CCGATGAATGGAAGGCAGCCACAGCCAGCCAGTGGCGTCGTGTCCGTCGTCCTTCATCAGACACCAGTACTCCTTCCTCTTTCCAAGATGCTCTTGCAAATCTCTATACAAAGCCCGCTGCCGCTACTACTACTGCTACACCTCCTTCCCACCCGGTGTCCCCACTAGGTAACTATGTCCTCATCCACGCTATTATCCAACAAATCTTCTTTGCCCGCCAGCTCTGCCTCTCTGCCCCTTCTATGGCCGGCACTAGCCTACGACCCGACGACCTCGCCGTCATGGGCAACTCGCTTAGTGCCTGGAAACGCGGCTGGCGTCAAACACCGGAGTCAAGTATCGATCCACAAAACCCCGCGGGACCCATAGCATTCACGTCCACCGCCCTGCTTGGCCTTGCATATATACGCCTGCACCTCGACCTCGGTCCATGCCGCCGCCTCGTCTCCCAGGATCCTGTCCAGATCGCCCAAGCACTCAATGACTCTCCACCTCTAACCCGCAGTTCCCGCCTGATCATGGCCCTCTTACACTCCGCTCATGCCCTTTCCATCCCCGTCCGTCTAGGCATCGACTTCGTAGCCCGCACCCACTCGTTCTTCTGGTCAATACAGCATTCAATATGCTCTCTTGAATGTGCATTCTTGCTCTCGCGCTGGCTACTCTGTATACCCGCCACCCAACATGACCAGGGTCTATCAGACCATGAACGAAAGTTGCTTCTATGGGTCAAGGGCATGATAGATGAAACAGACATGTCTTCCTCTGTTACTGCAGCTACAGAGGCAGAGCTTATTACTGATCCGGCACTGATGAGACGCCTTAGCGTCGCTGTTGTGCGTGTCTGGTCTAGGACGTTCAAGGGGAATACGAGCTGGCCTATCGTAGACCTCATTGGCGCCAGCCTGGAAATATACGCGGATCTACTCGATATATAACATATACTGTTTGATATTTCTTCCCCTTATAATTCTTACTTTCAGCGCGAATAGCGAGGCTATGATTTATCATGTTATTTTATATTATACCCCTATACTAGACCTAGTGACCCAAACATATGCAACGCTAAATAATCTCGACCAGAAATAGACAAAAAAGGAAACCATTTATTTCTTCGATGACATCCGTGCCGCTACGCTATGAGGTACAAACCTCAGCGCAGACATCGACTTCGTAAGACCGTCTAAACCATCTTGTTCTTCCACATCAACACGCCCATTAACAGAAGATACATCATTCGCCTTGACATCCTCATACGTAGCATGGTCTCGCCGTCTTGACGGCGTTGCGCCCGGAGATATAACGCCATTCCCTCTCGAACTAGCACCGCCTGTCTCCAACGAGAAACGACGTCTATGCATAGTCACGCTCGACCGGAGCATGGAGCTATACTTGTCTATCCCATCATTGACAATATAGAAATTATACCCCTATATAACCATTAGCAAAAGCACACCACATCCAACCACACCATGACCCCCTACCTTTGGAAAACAATGCTTATCAATCAAATGCCTCCTTCGTTTCTGAGGCGTCGAACACCTCCTCTCACACCCCTCTACAAAACAACCAAACTACACCATACCAATCAGCCATTCACATCAAGAAACGTATCCCAGTCAGCCAGCGGAGGGGCAGCACATACCGTCTTCTCGCCCCTCTCCTTCCTCTCCTCCATAACAGGATCATGATTCTCCTCAATATGCCTCGTAAGCAGTAAATCCGACGGGAAATTCTTCGCACATTCCGAACACCGGTTTATATGCGTCTGCAAGTAATGCGATTCATACGCTTCGTACGTAGGGAACGTTAAGTCGCCTTTATGCGGCGGTAGGGTGCAGTGCATCAACGTGTTCAAGGGACCTGGTTGTTCAGACGAACGATCCATGTGAGGATATTTATGTCGTGGTGGAGATGAGGGTATTGTTGATGGTGTTGATGTTGATGGAGCATCTGGTGGCTCTTGGGAGGTGTCGCGGGAGCGTTTCGACATGGTGGGTTTAACCAGCTGGTTGGGCTGATTTATGGGGGCGGTGAGTGCCTGGTATGATGTAGGGTAGGGTATGTATGCACGGCTCTCCAGAATTTGTATAGCTTGTTATTCAGCCTAGTGACGTTCAGGGCTGTTGATCAATTGGGTATCTCGTATGCTGTGCTCTGTGGCTTCGGGTAGTTAGATATTCTCGATCGTCTCCTTGAAAAATGGCCAGGGAAGTATTTAAATGGCTGGAGTGTTGGACAGTTATAGAGACGCCAAAAGTTTACAAGCTCAAAGTTGCAGGTAGCTGTTGATTAGTCATCATCAAGTTAGTGGCTAGCCAATCACTATCACAGTTTACTGTAGCAACTGAGCATTGCACGAGCATTCGTTGCTGTCATGAAATACAAGTTTATACAGATGAGAACAATGTTTCCAAATAACCATAGGTGCAGAATAATCTCCCTGCTTCAAATTTAGATATGTGATTTGCTACTTACCACGATTACATAATCTACACAAGATCAAACTTTAATATGGTACCGCGTTAACTATAATCCGCTATCTGATAAGCGGCGTCCCGCTGATTCATAAGCAATCTTATCGCTTATATTTTTTTCGCTCCCTCAAAATTTCATATCTTCATATCTTTTGCCCCGCAATCTATACACCTAAATCATCATCAAAGCCCAGATAATATTGTGTTTTGTTCATTTTGAATATAGGACAGTCGATCTTTATATAAGCAGCCATGGTGTTGGCCAAATCGAAGAATTCTGTGGGGTTGGGGAACAGTTTGATGAACGACAGATTTGGCAAGGGGAAGCGTTCAGACAGAAAAAAAGTATCTCACAATGCTGCTGCTATTCAGCGGAAAGGCACCGACGGCGAGACCTATATCACAAACCCGACCGAAGAGGCGTCATGGGTGAAAATGCGCAGTATTACCGAGCAGGCGGCCCTCGACGAGTTTCTAAGCACAGCCGAACTGGCGGGAACCGATTTCACGGCCGAAAAAATGAATAACGTCAAGATCATACACCAGGACCAGAAGAACCCTTATCTCCTTTCTGCTGCAGATGAGAGAAACGCTATCAGGAAACATCAGAAGAACCGTGCTCGCTTGACCGTTCCTCGACGTCCCAAGTGGAACGAACGAACAACTCGCAATGAACTTGATGTGATGGAACGAGAGAGCTTTCTTGACTGGAGAAGAGGGCTTGCCGAACTCCGAGAGGTGCAAGATATACTGATGACCCCGTTTGAGCGGAATTTACAGGTTTGGAGACAGCTTTGGCGAGTCCTCGAACGGTCAGACCTGTGTACAAATTGTGGACGCGAGGAACCCGCTTCTATTTCGATCAGAGGATTTGGAAAGATATGTCAAAGAAGTGAGCCCTGCGAAGAGAAATTTGCTGTTGGTGAACAAGGCGGATATGATGACGTTAAAACAGAGGGAGGCCTGGGCGGATTATTTTGAGGAACACAACATATCTTATAAGTTCTTCTCGGCTGCTCTAGCGAAGGAAATGAACGAAGCAAACGAGCAGGAAGACGAAAGCGATGAAGATGAGGGCGATGTTGAAGCAGCACTTGTCGAGAAAGCGAGAAATGCCCGTATTCATAACTCAGAAGAAGCCGAGGAGGCTGGCGAGGAGGAGGAAGAGGAGGACGATGACGATGACGAAGACGAAGATGACGATGATGGCGGTTTACCACTTCCAGAGGGGCCTGAATCAGAAAGAACTGAAATTATCACGGTGGATGAGTTGGAGGCACTGTTTATGTCTGCGGCCCCTCCGCGTGATCCTAGTGATGAGAAGAGCAAAGACGTCACCACCATTGGCCTTGTCGGGTATCCTAATGTTGGTAAATCCAGCACCATCAACGCACTTCTCGGATCAAAGAAGGTGTCTGTCTCCGCAACTCCTGGAAAAACAAAACACTTCCAGACCCTCTACCTAACACCTAAGATTGTCCTTTGTGACTGTCCTGGTCTTGTTTTCCCTAACTTTGCGACAACCAAGGCGGAGCTCGTTGTAAATGGCGTTCTTCCCATTGATCAGCTTCGAGAATACACTGGCCCAGCAGGGCTTGTCGCTCAGAGAATTCCACACGACTTCCTCGAGGCAGTGTATGGAATGAAGATACCCATCCGCAGCATCGAAGAGGGAGGAACGGGAGTCCCAACTGCGTCCGAAATCCTTCGTGCATATGCCCGTGCCCGTGGATTCGCCACGACTGGTTTAGGACAGCCAGACGAATCCCGTGCCGCGAGATATGTGCTAAAGGACTATGTCAATGGAAAGTTGTTATTCTGCCATCCACCACCCAAAGATCCTCCATTCACGGATCCAAAAGAGCGCGCAGATTATGAATTGGAATTTAACGAAGGATTGTATGATATGGCTCATCTCCCAGCCCGGCGGAAGGAGGCTCTGCTGAAGGAACACGCGGCTGCAACTCGCGGTGACCAGGTGGATGGGATAGACGATGATATCGATTTAGATTCGGTCATGACCCCATCCCACACTTCTGGTAACAGCTCCATCCCAGTCCAGAGCGCTCGATCGAAGAAGCTTGACAAAGGATTCTTCGGCCCTGGCGGTGCCGGGTCGGCAGGACATCTAAAGATGCCATTCAGCTATAAGTATTCGGAAGTGGGTAAACAAAAAGAAATCACTGGCCGCAAGCAAAGGACACTTATTGCGTTGGAGAAGAATATAGACGTATCAGAAGTTCGAGGCCCAGGGAAGAAACATTTCAAGGCAAACAAAAAAGTCAAGACTAAGAAAAAAGGAAACAGTTTCCTGGCGGAGGAAGAGTGATTTGGTTACGACTGTATGTGTCCATGTTGCGGTACTATGCATTTAGAAAGGTATCATGTCATTTGTTTCACGTTCACGAAATCGTGAAATATTCTTTTTATACTGCCGCCGTAATGTTTTGTTTGCGTTGATGTACTCCGGACTCCGTAAGAAAGAGAAATTAAGCCCTTGTTGCATGGGGAAAAACCTTATCGCTTATCGCTTATTTCACGTGACCTTATCTTAAAAATATTTTGTCTGTGGCCCGCACTTCTTAAAAAAATGAGAGCAACGAAGACCTACCGCATTCTCGCAACGATTCACAGCAAGGAGTATTCCCTCCAGAATAACGCATCACAATGCCTCCAACTAAACAGTGGATGTGAGTCATTTGAGATAAATTAATGTGCTGATTGCAGTGGTCTTGAAGAGCTAACTATGTTTCATTTCCTTAGTGATAAAAAATCCGCAACAAAATATCAACTCTTCCACAGATCGCAGAATGACCCGTTAATACATGATCCAGAGGCAGAAGATAGGGTTCTGCATGTAGTGGGGCGCCCTGCTCCAGCTTCTAGCGTCAAGTCATCATCGTCGAAGCGAGAGACACGGACTCTGCGAGAACTTGACGATGAATTCAAATCAGCGACTCGCAGAAATGAAGGAGAGGCAGCAAACTATGGCATTTTCTATGACGATACCAAGTATGATTACATGCAACATTTGCGCGGATTAGGCGAGGGAGTTGGAGACGCCCATTTCGTGGAGGCGAGAACAAAAGGCAAAGGCAAGAAGGGCATGAAACTTGAGGATGCTCTGAGAGAAATTTCGCTGGAAGGCGACGGAGCGGATAGTATTACCTATGGCGATGCTAATGATGATATCTTATCAACCGCCTCATCATATATACGCAAGGCTACTTATCAGGATCAACAGGATGTGCCAGATGCAATTGCGGGTTTCCAGCCGGACATGGACCCACGATTGAGGGAGACCCTTGAGGCGCTAGAGGATGATGCGTACGTTGATGAAGAGTGTGATGAGGACATATTTGATAACCTCGTTGTTGGGGGACATGATGCAGAGGTGGACCCTGACGAGTGGAGAGATACCTACATTGAAGACGACGACGAGGGCTGGGAGTCAGATGCAACTGAAAAAGCACCAGTTCAACATAATACCTCCACTGACAGCCACATTTCCACGACATCAGACGACAAGTCGAGCTCTAGCAAGTCATCTCAGCCGCCTATTGATGAACAGATACCCGACATGGAGGAACATGAAGGGGACTGGCTGAAGGACTTTGCAAAATATAAGAAAGATATGAAAACAAATAAAGTTGCAGCTAATATGGATGATAGCGCATCAGAGCTTCGCACTACAGCGTCGACATTATTTACACTAGGAGGAACCCCGGTCAGGAAGAAGAAGCGCAAGGGTGCAAAGACAAACCCTTCTGCCTACTCAATGACATCCTCCTCGCTTGCCAGGACCGACGGCCACAGGCTTCTGGATGACCGTTTTGAAAGGATGGAAGCCCTGTATGCTTTAGACGAAGGAGAGGAATATGAAGGCTCAAGCATGGCAGATGACATGTCCGTTGCAAGCGGCGTGTCACGATTTTCTAGGTTCTCCAAGCTCTCGCAAGCCCCGAGCCTTGTTGCCAATGATAGCAACACTCCTCTTCGGTCTGATTTTAACGATGTTATGGATGGGTTCTTAGACAAGTGGGATGATCGACGAGTCCATGCTAAACGCAAGGGGGCCCAAGGCCGCAGAGGAAAGAATGGGAATGAAGTCATTGGAATGAGGATGCTGGATGAAGTCAGACAAGGGCTTGGGCCTCCTAAGCTCACTACAAATGCCTTCGGGAAAGTCTGATATCCATTTCAAGCCATTTACGATTGTGATTTTCTTTTCCTGATTGGAGTTTAGCGTTGGTTTATGAATCAAAAGTATATGCCCTATTTTATAAATTAACGGGGAATAGAGGATGATACGCGTGATATTTAAAAACTGGACTAGTCCCTACCTACAAACAAAGATGAATCCTGACACACTTAATATGATTGCTAGTTATTGATATATGCTTCTATTATATTACATGTTGTACATATCGTAGGATAAGCTGTTCACAAAGCTCCGCCAACTCGCTCTACAATCCACATGGCGAGACGAACATTCCAGCTGACCCGTCGTTCAACTTTCCTTAAATCCTCCCTTGAAATGGGATTGGAATCCTCTTGTAGCCACTCAGTCTCTTGGCCTAATCTCTCTTTCAAACTGTTGTCCGTGGTTACTACGACAGCACCAACCTCCAAATCAAGGCCGTAGCTTCGTTTAGTATAATTGCTGCTTCCAACAAAAGTAAGACTTGGATATTTCTCGTTCGGAAGTGTTACCCATAGCCCCTTAGCGTGATATGTCCACCCACCAGGCTCATTCACAGTTCCCTTACGCCATTCCTTCAATTGAATAGAATTGGTCCTCTGTGATTCTGCGACCCGATCTAGGAACCTAGCGGACAAGTGGGTATATGCTGCGGGTAACATTCCTGAGACCCCTGGAGACCCGTAGAAGCCATTCGCCCATGGAGATGCTGTGAGAACTGTTCCTTGGCTAGTTAGAGAAACAGGAGACGGAGTGGTGCTTGAAATCAGAAGAGATGAGAGAAGCGGGTGCATGTTGAAGTAGCCAGCAGTGAAAAGCCAGCGAGAATTCTTCAACATCGGGTTATTGGCTAGAGCACTTAGGATACTTGTAACAGCTGGAAACTCTGTCGAGTGGTCTGGTTTTAAAAGCGGTGTGAACTGTGCCACAGGGTATACATATGTTTGATTTTCGGGCATGGATGCAGAAATATCCTGGGTTGTTGGTGGCTGTATTAGTTTCGAAAGGGATATTGACGCCACGGATATAAAAGCTTTAGGGTCATCTAGAGGGGATGGCCCAGAATTCGTAGCTGGCCAATTCATGACATAGCCCTGTTTGCTAGTTGCATCCGGTAGAACCTGAAAACTAAATCTGCAAATAGCATGGTGGATCTGAGAATAGTACTCAGCCAGCTCTTTTGACTGAAAAACATGGTATCGGTCGAGTCGATTTGTAAAATAGTCATCGGAAAGATTAGCCCTGTTACAAAAAAGCGTGGTGTGTTAGATGGCTGTGCGCTTATAAAGATAAATTGTAAAGTGCTATACCCAGAAAGAATTATTTCATCGTCTACCCCGTAAAGTTTCATATGTTGAAGACCCCATCCTTCGTTTATTCTCTTTGGTACGTATTTCTTCTTCATTCCAACGAAGTTTGGAGTATGAAACATTCTTATTTCCACTCTTTCCGGTCCATATTCCTCCACCAAGGAGGCTAAGAGGGAAGCACAAGAGGGATTCGGCGATTCACGAGTTCCACGCAGCGCATCCGTTAGAATGGATACCTTTAAGTCGGGGTTCCGGCGAAGACTCTCATTGATGACAGAAAGAAGCTCATGTTCGGTTTTCCCGATATACAGCGTTGAGAGGTATACTCTTCGTTTTGCGTTGCGTATTTTGTCCTGTCAGCTGTTAGCCGGTTACTCTCAGGCGCATGTGCATTGGCACTTACCTTCAAAGTCTCATAGAATGCAGCGGGAGAGTTCAGAATCTGGATATCTGACGCCTGTATTTTGAATTTGGGTGAAATCCGATCCAACTCCACTGTTAGGCTACCAATAGGCGAAGAAGAGCTAGTATAACTCGCTGCTGGGCTCGAAGCAGACGAGAACTTGCGGACAGGGGATATGTAGTTGGGCATGCGTGCTGAGTAGCCCCGACAGCAATTGAGGAGGGTGCGCCCTCCCGTGCATTTTATCATCGCCTCTCCAATATATATCGCATCTCAAGGTACAATATGACAAAGATCTAACTGGGTAGTTCTTCTGGTGACATCTCGTGGTTTGTTGTTGGAAGTTTCATAACATTTTTTATCTTATCGATCAACTGAATCGGCGCTAAACCACTTTTGGGTCCTCGCGGCAGTCCGAACAAACCAAGTGGAAAGCCGTGAAGAACCTCGACATTCCAACGACTGAAGACCAACTCTAGGGCAACGACACCGTCCGCTGTCACCATGTCGACCATCACCAGGACATTGCGGAACTTGTGGAAGATTGGAATCAAGGTAGGCGCTAATTGAGAGCATTATGCAGTTTAAGGCTAACCGATTTCTGCAGGACTATGGCCACCAGATGCACGTAAGTTAACCATCCGCGACGAGGATTGTAAGCGGATATATGGTATGGAGTTCGGACGCTAAATTATGTCTGCTTCATATTATAGTATATTGGTATGTTCATAGTTCAAGAAGTTTTGAGAGCAATTGCTAACGAGGCCGAATGTAGGTGATACCAAGGCCGGTACGCTCGTAGCCATCGACCGATACGGAAACAAATATTTCGAGAACAACGAAGAATTACCTCGTACGTCACACATATTTGGTGAATAAAAATAGGGAATAGTGATTCTGACAGATATAGTCCGAACTCGCTGGGTTGATTATAAGGATCATGATCTCGATGCTTCGCATATCGACCCTGGCTGGTAAGATTATTGACTATGCCTCTACAGGGAAGTCTCTGACTCTAATCTTGCATAGGCACGCTTGGATCTCCTACATGGTTGACAAGCCACCAACTCAGGATGCAATTATGCAAGCTGGAGTACGGAAATGGGAAACTCCAGAGCACAGACCCAACATGACCCTCACTCGGGCTGCATACAAGCCATACAACACGTTAGCTTCCCCGTTACGTTCTTGTCCCCTTGCAGAACACAAAAACTAATGCTTCCTGGATATTTACAGCGTGAAACCAAAATACTCTGCCTGGGAACCAGTTGCTGCTCCCCGGTAATGGGAAGAACACGCCTGCCGGTCTTGCCCTAAGATCACTGTTTCCAATTAAGTGTCAGTTAGTTAGACTTACTCTCGAGGCTTTATTTAGGCAAATATGTATATAAGTTGAAGTATTGGGCAACCTGAGTTTATTCCAAATCATCTCTATTGCGTTTTACTCGGATGGGGAGAGGAGTGTGGGGAATAGTAAGGAGCATAAATTATAACTATATACTTTAGCCAAAACGCAGCGACATACCGCTCATGCGTAGAAAAATTGAGAATAATTTTAAAGAACATAGCCACCAGACCCAATGTTCCACCAATGTCGAACCGGCCGGCCGTTCTCAAGGTCGATGCACCACCATAACACTTCCTTTGCCTTTTCAACCTGGCCCCCTTGCTCATACGCTCTAGACAAGGCAAACCATGCTTCCGAGTTATCCCACGCAGTGCCGAGTTTAGTTAGAGTAGAGAGTAGCCCATAAGCCCTGTCTCTCGCAGCAAGACGATTAAGAGACTCAGGTGTGTCATTGGGTGGCGTAGCTGTAGACTCAACTTTGGCACCTATTCCATTTGTAGCATTTGTTTCCGGTTGGCGCGAAGGTGAGTGGAGAGAAATGTTTGAGATATCAGGTAATGGGGGCGGCGAAGATTCTTCTGCGGGCAGTGTCTGCTCGTGAATATCAAGTAGGAGTGTAGCTAAACCGACCGTTGCTCGTGGATGATCAGGGTAATGCATGAGTGCTTCCTCGAAATGCTTGATGGCTTCATATGGCTTCGATTGCGCCTGGGCGATATAACCGCGTTCGGCATAGATATCGCCCCATAGCTCATCTGGAGACTTTGTACCACCCCATCCTTCATCAGCAAAGGCCCGAGCGGATGACTCTTGGGCTGCAACAAATCCTTCAATACGAGTGGCATGTGTTGATGCCTCGTTGCAAGCTTCCATAGCATCTTCAAGTAGTAAGGCCCTCCGGTAAAGGTTAGAGATGAACAGCCATATCTTGACAAGCAAACCGAGGGAGTGCTTTTGCTCCTGAACTCTTGGGAATCTGGTCAATGCCTTATTCAGGGGGCTGGATTGGTGAGCTGTAGGTAACCTAACGTCCTGTATTGGTGGCTGGTGTAGGTGGCCAGCTGGAGCTGGTTCTTCCGTGTGTTTCATGTTGTGGTAGACAGGCGGTAGGGTTTGCCTCGCGGTGTCGCTTTGTTCATTTAAAGTCAAGTCTTTTTCAGGGGCTGTGTTGGCTACGCTTCCTTCCAGGCGATGGATCTTCTGGGAGAATTTATTTTCTTTGCGTAGAAGTGAGCCTTGACGAGACCTACCGCGATGCTGTGCTGGACTAGACGCTTGTTCGTCATTATTAGTGACTTGGATAGCTGGTGCAAGTGCTGCAGCAGCTGATTCTTTGTCAGGGATTCCTGATGCAGCTCCAGGTCCTGTGCCAGAATCGCCGTGCAGCAGGGCCCCCTGATCTATCGGAGACCGCTGGGTCCTTTTCCAGCCAAAAATGCTACCACGCCCAGTTCTAACGGTCCCAGATGCGCTTTTTGGAGGAGTCAGATGGTCTGAGTTGCCTTTAACATCGATATCACCCAGCCCAACACCAGCAAAAAGCCGGCCAAACAGACTAATAAGTTCATCGCTGTAATTCAGGGCAGCCTCGGGGCCACGGACGACATCCATAAGTGCGAGTTGTGTCATGCGTAGCTCAACCATGCTCTCCCTCTCGCGTGTTTCTATGTCTGGAAACCTGGAATGTTGTCCATCACCAACGAAGCTCAGGCAGGCCTCGTCCTTTCCGCTTGAGGTTCGAAGAGGCCTGAAAGTACTTTGCTTATGGAGTAGCTTTTCTGTCGAGACCATTTCAAATACAACATCACAGGCATTGACCGCGGTTTTAAAGTCCTCTTTTGAACTGAGTAAGAGCGCAAGTAAATGCCACAGTGGGACGATATCTCTCTCCCCGTAGTTAATAACGGAGCGCGAGTCCGCCTGCTCTGCGTCGTCTTCAACATTGGATGAGCTTAGTGCCGTACGAACAAGCTCAATGGCACCATCTAGATCTCTCGTTTCTGCACGTAGCATAGCAAGAGCAAATACCGTCGCAGGGCTCGGCTCCTGTTCAGCTTCGGCTACCATGGCCTTCTCTAGGGCACAAATGGCATTGGCCTGAAGTTCGGCTCTGGATTCGCTGATAGGAGTCCATCTTGCCCACGTAGCCAGGCCAATGCCAATAGCCCGGTAGGCAAACGGCATCCACTGAGAAGGAATGCTAGTTTCGCCCGGTTGAGCACTGCCTTGAATTGAATTATGGCCATTTGTTTGTATTCGTTCACTCAGCGCTTCATCTAACAAGTCAGTAAGCTCCTTGACTTTCTCTGCGTCCCTTCGAGACCCAAAGCAGCATAACATTATCAACCCTTCAGCCAGAGTATAGATGAAAAGTGCTGGATCTTCGACCTCCCTCATGTGGCTGGAATGCTCCGATCTTTCTTTTGCGTCTTTTACAAGATGGATATATGTATCCAGGGCATGAAGAGCCAGGTCAAACTCAGCCAGTGCAGCATGTACGTGAAATAGTTTCCTGAGGATTAATGTAGAGTGAAACGTCTTGGTGGCGGCGCGATATAATATCTATGATCTCGTCAGCTACTTGTTTCTTCACATATTCCATCAAAACGGAAAAGCCTTACATCCAAAACATTCCGCGAGATGGCACCTTGCCCTCCCTCTCCGAAATCATCATCACACCATTCGGCACCGCAAAAAACTTCCCAGTTGCGTATGACCTGCTTGACCCAGAGCTCAACTTCTTGGTTGGTAACATTAGCCTTTGGAAACTTGGAGTGCCTGAGGAGCACGTTTTCGCAAGTTGCCTCTATCCTTCGAAACTCTGTTGAGAGCTGTATTCGCTTTGGGGCTTCCGACATAGGTGGGTATTGGAGATCGTTCTGTAAGATTATAGAGAGGAGATCATAGTATGCCCGCCATAATGAAGTTTTCGAACTTGAATTTGTTGGCGTGATATCGGCAGCCACTGCAGGGTCATTGCCTTTAATATCAGGATGGGACGCCCAGAGACGAAGCGATCGTAGCCCAAATTCTAGTTTAGCCTCATCGTAATTGGGCGCTTTAGATATAAACAACTCGTAGGCCAGCATCGAGGTCCTTGCTAGGTACTGTTCCGACCAGAACAGAAGTTGGGGATTTGAGGTATCAGCAGATGCAGGAGTGGCGGCCCACGAGAAAGTTGATTTAAAGGTCCGCAATGCATTTTCTTTCCCTGAGGACAATTCCTCCGCAGCACCTATAAATTGCAATTAGTAGCCATAAAGTGACATGTCGCGGTATATGTCGGAGAATAATCACCTTTTAGATAGCCTCCCTGGACAATGCACGCTTGTGTCCATGGTGACAATGGCCTTTCACTGCTAGTCAAGGCCCGTACGGTACCCTCGAAATCCCGGGGCAGGCTCGCCGTCGCCTCCTCTAGGTCTAATAGCTCCCAGAACAGCCATGCCAAACATATTTGTGCCTGGAAGGTATCCTCAGGGGTATTCTTCTCGTCTCCCTGTACAGATTGGAGGCTCGGTATGCACTCTCGTAGGGCATCGGCGCCCTGTTCATTGGCGGCACTTCCTAGTGACGTTCGTTTCCTGCAGTATTCTATTATCTGGGCTTCGACCTGAGCAGTCTGGATCAAGCCTGTAAAATACAACCATATATTAACGGTCTGAAAACAAACGCTAGAGCTCAAGGGCATCGAGGGAGAACACACACTTCCGGCCAGGGGCGTGCTTAACGATCTTTCGGACCAAGCCGGGTATTTCGTGCCAATTCTGATTGCATCTTGCTGTGTCCAGCAAGTTTATATAGCGCTGAGCCTTCTCCGTAAGCTGGAATTGCTATAGAAATAGACGGTTAGTATCCGGAGACAACGGGAGAGAAGAGGTCAGCCATCCCATGCGCACTCACGGTCATAGTTTCTCGGGATAAAGGGAGAGTTCTTGGGCCAGCAGCATGGCCAGGCAAAAAGAACGGCTGTAGACTCTGCAAGGCTTCAAAATGACCGCCGCCCCAAGGCTCCGTCACCCTGAAATTGCTTTTGCTGACGGTCCGTCACCGCGAAGGATCTTAGTCAGCATATTCGTTGGTCAGCAGAGCTTAGATAAGCAGGTTCATCGCGTTACCGACACTTCGACCTCAACCTTCATCTCATCAACAACATCAACCATCAACTATCAACTAACCTTCAGCTGTCATCCTTACATCCGATAGACCTTGGTGATGTCTAATTATCATATTCACTCTGCGATATAATGCCCAGGAGCTCCAGCAGAAGGTTGTGGGCACGCTAGTCTCCTCGTTCGCTTGTACTTTACTAGATTCAACACTACTTGCGCGTGGGCGAGAAGAACAAGGGTTTGTTGGGCTATGGCTTAACTACCCACTAGGTAGGTATCTACAACAGGGTTTGGTCTATCTACTGTGAGAGAGTCGGCTTTGCGATTAAAATGACAGCCTGGTCGCCAACCTCCAGTGGCCTGCTAGCAAAATGCTCCTTCAAGACTGGCTGGAACGCCTCCTTCATGTCTCCGTTCCTCGGATGATCCTTATACCAGAAATCCGTTAGGACGTCCGCTGCTTTGCTGCAGCGAACAGAAAGGTCGTGTTCTGGGAAATTGCAGTGAGCATCGACCCGTGCGACAGAGACGTCACCAAATCCATGTTTGGTAAAGATCCTGGCCGCTGTGGCTAGTAGAAAGCCCTGGTGGTCGATGGCAGACTCTCCGGGCAACATTCCCTCCTGCGCGATGGGGCCGCAAGCCTTGTTGATGAGGTTGACAACCTCATTGTCTGGCGCTCCCTGGACGATGACGATGCGAGCGTTAGGGGCTGTGGGATCTACCACGCGGGCCATTTCGGCGAGTGACTGCTCCAAGTCATCAACGTAGTGCAGGATCCAGAGAGCTACGGCAGCGTCGAACTTATTGTCCTCGAAAGGCAGCTTCTCGGCTGTCCCCTGGCGGATTTCAACACTCGATTTTGCACTGTTGCTGGCAAGAACTTCGTTTCTGTCACAGTTTGGCTCAATGGCATACGCCTTGCCTAGCTGCTTGGCAATTGCTACTGGTAATTCTGGGGCAAACACATCAGTCTCAGCTACACAACTACATTGGGGAGATGAATCATCTATCGACTTACCACCATGGCCACTTCCAATATCGAGGACCTCTTTATTCGACTCGACAGCCTTGAGCACAGCGTCAAACTCATGGCGTGTAAGTCGCTCTGCAAAGGGCTTCCATGCTCCCTCGCTCAGAAGATGCGGACGTCTTCGAGAGGTTGGCAAGGGGTACGGCCCGAAGAGCGGTTCCAGGCCCAGCTTCCTCGCGGTGATATACAAATGCCTTTCCTTGCTCTCAAAGCCTTTGATTTCGAACTCACAGCGGTCCACGATCTGGATGAAGAGGCCTGTCTGCTGCACAAGGCTCAGCCACCCGCTCATAGTGATGAATGTGGCGGGAATGACCCGTCCCATGAACTCGGTGTCGAAGTTCTCAATGTACTGATTTTTCCGCGCGGTTTTTAGGGCTGCTGTATCTTTGATGTAGTCCTCCGCCGCAATTGTTCCCAGGATGAGAGTGCCACCAGGACGGAGCCAGGATGCCATTTTGAACACCATAGAGTGTATCGTTGTGTGTGATTGCTGGAACAGGCTGAGGAGTGAAATGACAGCGTCAAATTGCTGAGATGGTTCATATGTTGTCATGTCAACCTTATGATAGGTTCCAGGGAAACTCTTCTGGCAAAGCTCGATCATCTTTTGTGAGACGTCGATACCCGTAACATTGAAGCCCGCCCGAGCCAGGCTGGATGCTGGACCCCCAGGACCACAACCGACGTCGAGGACTGATGAACCAGGTTCATGGTAGTCGCTTAATCTAGCAAAGGCCGTGTTTAGTCCATCGTTGCCGCCATATGCATCCTCATATGACTCGGATATTTGGTCAAACAATGCCTCTGCAGAAATGGAAGGATTCGTGATAACCGTCATTGTAAATTGGATACCGAGGCTTTGGGGCTATAATGGTCTGCGCAAACGAATGCAACTGATCTGGATGTCTTGTATCAATATTAACTGTCCCAATAGATGACTTTGGGCTGTTTATAGTAGTATTGCCTACTACCTAGCTTGACATTGGGCTCCCAACGTTTCCTTAGGCACAGATTAAAAGGAGTTTGTTTCCAACTCACAACATCTGATACACCGCTCTTCACACGAATTCGGTGTCAAATACAGTTTTGAGATACAAAGACTATCTATATTCTGAGGCTTATCTAGTTAACTGGTGTAAACTCTATGAATTCTCTATCTATACCCCCTGCTGTATTATTTGTGGCATCTCCCTTCTTATAGCGTGTACTCAGCACAGGTCCTGTCTGAATATCTGTATCTGAAAGTCCTGCCTACCATCTACTATCTTCAATTGTGTTGACGAACATAGACCCCTGCCATGCCTACCATACCATACCCACCAGACGCAGATATGCTCCTTGCCATGTCAAATGGCATAGCTGAGCAAGTTCGCAAATATACAGATATGCAGCGGGCTTATCACGGCAGTTCTGGCGATTTTTCCTCCGAACAAGGACAAAAGCTGCAGGAGCAAGCTGAAGTGGTAGCGCGAGAATGTGGCAAACTTCAAGCCCTCATCTCGGAACCCAAAGACTGGATGGTGCAAGCCGCCTGGTCTTACTGCGATAGCGTTGCTATTTCCACCGTTATCGAAATGGGTATCCCAACGCTGATTAAACCTGACGGAAAAGGGGTAACCTTGTCATATCTTGCTAGCTGCACCAACGCATCACCTGCTCTAATCAGTGAGGAAAACCACTGGCCCCACTCCCGCGTTCTCAAATAATGTGCTAATGAGACAATAGAGAGAATCATGCGAATATGTCTGAACAGGTTCATATTTACAGAATGCAGCGCTGGCAATTATCACCATAACCAGCATTCCCTGCAGCTGCTAGATGACAATTTTGGCAGCCTCGTTCATTATCTGCAAGTTCTTTATTGCCCATAGAGAAAATCTCCTGTTGCATGGTCATGAAGCTAACTACGATTTCATAGAGTCGATGATGGCTTGCTCTGTGGCGCCTACCTCGCACGCACCGCTTGTCAGGCCGCTTTTAAAATCTCGGACAATCCTACGGAAGCCGCATTCGGCATAGCATTCCAGAGTGAGTGAGGCAACTGCATAAAGAACAGGAAAAAGAAAGGAGAAAAGGAGAAGAATTAGTAGTTTAGATGGCTAACCTGGGTATCAAATAGCCAAACTCTCCCTTTACGAGTATTACCACTCTGTTGACACCGAGCGCGGCCGCCGCTTCTCACGTGCGATGGCCGGCCATTATGATGGGCCGTTGGACATGCCGATTGAGTTAATCTACCCGTTTGATTACCTCCCGAACGGGTCTACACTTGTTGATATCGGGGGCGGCAATGGCCAGAACACGATCCGCCTAGTCGTCTCGTATCCTCAGCTCTCCGCTGTTGTGCAAGACCACGTCAGTGTCATATCCATTGCTGAAAAAAAGGTTAAGCAACAATATGACGAGAAGATAGCGGGGCGGATTACCTGGGAGGCGCATGACTACTACGCCCAGCAGCCTCAAAAAGGAGCTGATATCTACCTGTTGAGCCACGTCTTGATGGACAATAGTGATGAGTACGTTTTTCCATTTTTATCCTTTCCGCCACCAATCCGCGTTTGAAAGCATTGTCCCAATATCTGACTTGGCGCTTTCTTCTTTCTATAGAAACTGTGTGAAGATGATCCGAGAAATTGCGCAAGTCATGGACCCAGCCAGGTCCAGGCTGCTGATCCACGACTTTGTGGATCTTCCGAGAGCCGTTGGGGATCGTCCTCGCTTACTTGACATGCTAGATATTCACATGATTGCAAGCCTCAACACTTATTCCCGTAGCGAGGTGGAATTTGACCACCTGATTGGGCGTGCTGCTGGCGACCGGGGCTTGGTCAGATATAAGACATGGCAGGGAAAAGGAGGATCGGCGGTGCTCGAGCTGCGCCTCCAGTCCACTTCTGAATCCGCTAGTTAAACGCGCCTATTTCAACAAGTGATATATGATGGCGTCTGATATTTTTACCTCATCCTTTACCGTTATTCCCATCGCTCTGTTACCGATTTATAAGCAAGCTATAGCCAACTAGTTAACTAGTTACGTAGGTATTTACGGAGTAATAACATAGATAGTGAGAATAGCTAGATACTACCTCTACCCCCAGTTATGTCGCTCCTTATACCAACTTCCGCGGTTGGAGTTATTGTCCTCTTCTGCTCTCTAGTAGCTGTTAACCATATTGCTACTAAGCTCCTGGCGTTCATAAAGCTGAGGCATATCCCTGGCCCGCCGTCGTCCAACTTCTCCGGCTGGCCACATAGTATAGCTTTACTACGCTATAAGCCCGCCGAGTGGTATCAGCATGTCACCGAAAACTACGGTTAGCAGAATCCCTTCCACCTGACAGACAGCTGTTGGACGCAGATATCGTCTTCAGACAAAACGAGTTAACCGTTAGGCTTGACTTACCTTCCGCCCAGGGTCAATCGCCAAAATTGCTCCTAATCTCATCATCACATCCTCACCGGAAGTATGGATGCATATAAATAATAAGCCGGGCTACACCCGTGCCGACTGGTTTTTCAGAGCTATGCGTGTCGACTATCGGCATGACCATCTTTTCTCGCTAACTGACGCTGCTGAGCATGATCGGAGGAGAAAGCTGCTGGGCCCTGGGGTACTTTCTTTTTACTATCTCCTAAGATTTGTACCAATTGGACCTTTTATTTAGACTAACTATCATGAGTAGTTCTACGGAACTGAATGTTCCTATGAAGTATTCATCAACAAGCGTCTTGAGGAGCTACTTCATCTCATCAGGTCCAAATATGTCTCCTCTGGCTCGAAGAGGGTGCCTGTGGACATGGCTGCTAAGGTTCAGTATTACACCCACGACGTTATCAGTACCATTACCTTTGGCAAGCCTTTCGAGATGCTCCAAAAGGACACCGACACAAACGGTTACATCCAGTCCATAAAAGATGGGTTTCTCATCGCCAATATTTTGGTTGCCTTTGGGCTCGCGAAGGTCTCTCAATCGTCACTTATCGGCCCTGCACTAGCTCCTGGAGTCAACGACGAGACTGGATACGGAAAGCTAGTTGCAGTGTCCACCAAACTCATAAAGGAACGCCAGGCAAATCCCCGTGAAAAACCAAAGGATATGCTTGACTCGTTTGTTCAGCATGGCTTAAAGGGTGATGCCCTGCACTCTGAGATTCTCGACGCTGTTGTGATTGGATCCTTTGCGCCGTGCTACTCTATCTGCTCGGTGATCCTACTCACCTTAACAAACCAGCGTGTCCTCACCAAACTCCGGCGTGAGATTCATGATGCCATTACTTCCGGTAAAGCACCCCGGGTAGGCGAGGGAGTCATCAGCTTTGCTCAGGTGAAACAACTTGTATACCTGCAGGCCGTGATTCGTGAGTCGCTGCGAATGCTGCCACCCGTCGTAGGCCTTTTTCCCCGGAACGTCCCCGCTGGCGGAGACATTGTCACTGTTGCCGGTAAACCTGTATTCCTGCCCGAAGGTGCATGTATAGGGCGATCAGTGTATAGCATGTACCGCTGCAAGGAAACGTACGGCCAGAACGCGGATAGATTTCATCCAGAGCGCTGGCTCGAAGCTGAAGATGCTAAACTTGCAAATATGATTCGTGTTAACGAGCTCATTTTTAACCATGGAAAGTACCAATGTATGGGAAGAGTTATAGCCCACACTGAAATAGCAAAGACCGTGTTTGAGGTGAGTGTCAAGGTTTTAACCAAAAAAAAGCCATAATGCTAACGCTGTGGGTGAGTAGTTACTACGAGCATTTGATTTTGACGTCGTTACTCGAGATAAAGACCCCTGGAAAGCGGTTGATATGTTTGGTATATATGGAGTCTCAGATTTTTGGGTATACATAACGAATCTTGAATAAATGATCTTTTGTTGTAGCGAAACGACAACAATTGTATCCATTCATGTAGCTCTTAGTCTAAAAAGTATAAAAAAGAGGCTCAAGAAGTGTCAATAAGTGGACCCGAATTACAATATATTATTGGCTGTCTTATTTTTAGTCCCATGTGTTTGATTGGGCCTCTTAGCGCATCAATCATAATGTATCATTTTATTAGTCATCACTCCCATAGCAGTCGGTGCGTACTGGCCACCGAAACTGCCGTACACATATACTACATATACCAAGCCCCGTATGCTCCTATAGTCTGCTATGTGCTCTATTACTACTCTGCATAATATGTATGCTATCAAGCTTGACCCCTGGTGCCATCCCATTCAGCGCCCACCACTGATACTTGGAACCTTACCTTAGAAGCTTTGGTGTCACGTGCCTCTCTGGCTAAACCTTGTAATGTTCTCCAATAGCTAAAATCTCAGGTATGCAAAAAAGAAAAGTGACCACTTTCTCCCAAGCCGAATAAAAAAGAACCGATTAACAGCAGTTTGCACATATATTGTTCTATATAATCTTGATAATTGATACCTGAACCCTCTGTTAGGAGCGCATATTTACTCTCGTTTATGTGACTGGTGTCCAGGATTTCAAAATGACGGCGGTCATGGCCTTGCGCGCCGCAATACACAATCTTTGCTCGATCCCAGTCAAGGATTTGCCCTCGACAGCTGAATATATTGCTACTACTATTAGCGAATGCAGTGCGATACTGTCCGTGCCTGCAAATCAAGGTCAATCCGCCGGTGAGCCTGACAGAGCAGTGCTCCTCCAGAAATTGAAAGCCCGCATCACCAGCCTGCTACAGGATAAAACGGTTGAAGGACGCTGGACTGGCGTTATTCTTGTGAAAGCGACTGTTGAATCCGGGAAATGGGAAATCTTGCGTGGTTGCGAGTCCTGGGTTCGCCATATACTGGCTGTATTGGGTGTATGTTTGGTCAAAAGCTGGAGTTTAAAGCAGACGAAGACACATGAAGTGCTAACAAACAGGTGCATTGGCAGAAACCGGACCCATTGTCGTTAAAGAAACTGGGTATTTTGTGCCTCACGCGGATATTCCAGCTGACGCATGCATATCCGACCTTAACTCGGGAGATCACTACGCCTACTCTACCACAGTTCATAACAGCTTGTCTGAACATTATATCCACACAAGCCGGCACCGACAAGCGAAGAACGTTGAAATACGGAAACTCTTTAACCGATACTGTACTGTGCTCCTTTTTAACTCTTCTTCCAAACCATCCAACAATTTTCCGACCTTTCTCCGGGCAGCTTCATTCCCTTGTGTTGCCACTGGTAGCTTCGTCAAATTCAGCAAACGTCATTCCTCAGTCTACCAGGTGGGCTGCCCAGCAACTATTGATATCGCTCCATAACTGCGCTCCAAAGAATACAGGGAATGAAGAATGGACCAATGCCATCCGGAGCACAATTCTATCTGCCCATCGAACCACAGACCACTTATTCAGGGCAGTAGTAGAGCATTGGAATTCGGTTGATTCCACGTTAAGATATGGAATTGACCGTAGACCTTCACATGCGCCTATTGGTAACGATGGACTTGATCCTCTCGGACTCCCTGCTTGGACTGGAATACAGCAAGGAAGTGGGCGATTAGTTGGCCTACTAGAGCTTTTGTCAAGCTTCCTTAAGTCAAAGTCGAACTCGACCGTTTCTGTACCCGTGGGTTCAATCCTTGATTTAACTTGCCGGTTAGGATCGATTTCACCTCTTTCATTCTCTGGTGAACATGGTGCTTCCATCAACCCCGAGATTGGTAGAGACGAAAGAGAGGGGCTGTTGAGCGTAATACCTGCCATGTATGTTGCCGCCTTGGGCGTACTGCAGTCTCTCCTCGAGGTTTTTGGCTCTGAGAATCCCTCAATCGCCCGAAGCTGCCTAGAGCAGACTATCTGGATGTTCACGTCGTCAAATTCCGTCCGATCCGTTCGAGAAGCGGCGTATAAATGCTTTACCACGTCACTCATGATCCTGGGGCCGACGTTGACCAAATCAGATATTGCATCACTAGCACCAGCTCTTCAAGCCTCGTGCAGTGATCTAGTGCCAATAAAAGATTCTACCACCGTTACTGAAAACACGGTTCCGAGCGGTAAGGGGAAAACAACTTCAACCGGAACCACAAATGCAGATGCATTCCTACAGAACAAAGCGAAAGTACTACCTGAAAATTATACTATCACCGAGTTTGGACCTCTCGCAGAATCAGCGACTAGGGTATTACTCACGACCCTCACATATGTTCAAACTGAGCATATTCCCTTGTCACTTCGTGCGAAGATTGATCGCACGTCAATTCTCTCCGGCAACAGTGATCTCATGATGACCTGTGTTCTCAATCCGATACCCATGACTGAGTCTCAACGTGGACATCCTAGTATACTTCCCTTCCTAGCAAGAAGCCAGCCTAATAACTTTAGGGTTGAAGGGTTACTTCGACCTCGTATGCCTGTGATATTCACCGGAGTAGGCAGGAGAGGAAGGACTGAAACTGAAGATCATGAAAATTACAATGAAGTAGAGACACATGGCGGTGACACAGAGAGTAGACCATACCCTAACGTACGGGAGTCCCTTGCGGAAAGGTTTGGGCCCCGCCCGGCACCTGTATCCGTTGAAAATACCACTCTACCGAGTGACGCTGAAATAGGGAATAAACGAAGACACCAGGATGATGTTGATAATGCTTTTCCAGCCGGCTCACCCCAGTTCGACAAACGACCTCGGATTCAACATGACACACCAACGTCCTCTGATGCTTTGCCAAGCGGACAAGTTGCACAAGCCCTTGAAGTTCTATCAAGCTCATTAGGCCGCTCAAATGATCAGGATACTTTGAAAACGAATGTGTTTCCAGGGCCTAGGGAAATCAAGCATTCCGCTCAAAACAAACCGCTAGAGCCTAGTCAACCGCCAACAGCGATCCAGGGTAATGAAGAAGTTTCTGCGACTGGTGCTGACAGTGATGATGAGATTCCTCAGTTGAATATTGAATCTGATACTGATGATGACGGTGGAGACTGAGAAGTGCTATGATTTACTCACCAAACGTCTCGTCTTTAGCGATTTCTAGAATAGTCTCACAGGACAGGGTCATAATTAAAAACAAAAAACTGGGATACAACATTATTTAAATGGTATCGACAGTAATCATTTTCTCATGTAGCGCTACCCCATAAAAATGCCATCAATCAACGCCCGATGGAATCAATAACAGGAGGCTCAGACCAACCACTCCATCATTGTATGTCTATATCCGATATCCAGAAGGCGACGTTACAAAATTATACCACGCTCCCACCACCTTTCCCCCTTCCACCATCGCAATGGTTCAGCTTGCCAGCGTACTGCGCCACCCGTTCCCTTCGCAAACCCCATTGCCCGAATGGGACTATATGGTATTGGCTCTTCTATCCAAACGCCTCCAGCTGTAAAATCGTCACAAAGTAAAGGACTAACGCAAGCCATCCAAACTAGAACGAATGTGCCCTTTGATAGGCGTTTTAGCCACAACGGAACCTTGAAAGGCATCACCCGTTTAGAAAGTTTCTCTATCGACACTTGGATAAATACGCCAACGATCTGAAGAGTGAAGAATAGGAATTGATTGAACGGTTTTGTAGAGGCCATCTGTGTATAGCTCCCCGAACAATGCACGATACCGCTCAAAGTGAACGAGATAATGACTTGAAGGCTCCAGAACATCAACGGTGGCCACTCTCTTCCCGGGTACATCGACATAAGCTTAGACTTTATCCAGTTACCGGGGGCCAGGAATCCAGCTCTGAAGTGCTTATGCCAGAACGTTCCCCAAAATCCTACCAGGCCTCCATCCAAAATTGGGGCCCACATATCTCCAAAGTATGGTGGGTAGAGAAAGGGGGCTTCAAATGGGATTCTAGTCTTGAATCGAAACGACGTCTGAGATATGGCGAGAAAAACAGTAGCGCATATTGTGGTTGGAAATAAAACTGCAAAATAAATGGCCGCTCCGCTGATAGCAAGACGGGATAAATACGCTATTATGGGTGCAAGTCGTCCACAAAATGCAAGCAAAGATGGAGGTGGATAGTTGAGGTGGCCCAGGAAGTAACGGTCCCAGGTTGAGATGACCTTCAATAAATCAAGGCAGAGGAAATAGACCAACGACATATACAAGCTAACCACCAGCTTGCCCTTGGTATTTTCTCCCTCGCGGAGTAAGTCGCCGTTGAGCTCAGCATCTTCTCCATGAGCCAGCTGGAGCTGGACATGTTTAGGGAGGCGAGGGAAGTCCCTTGGTCTCCAGTTCCAGTGCGGTCCCCTGTGACTGAAAAGAATATCAAAGACCCAAGTGAATCTATGGCCCAAAGCTTCTGGGTAGCCCTGCCATTTAAACCGCGGAACTATCTTCAAATCGGTACAAACAGCTGTCCCATTCGCACGCCCATTGGAAACGTTGTATTGGGCTTGGGGATCTTCCAATCCGGCACGATTACGACCGTGTTTGACGCTCTGTGCTTGAAGCGAATCCTGCTTCAGGGTATGAAAGGGCACAAAGGACCGTTCGATCCTCTTGTAAGTGCCTTGCACGTCATTGAATAAGAGTAACGAGGCACCCCATATGCTAAGCCATGAGAAGATCAACCCGACACCGTAACCACCCAAAACCAGAAGCGACCTGCAGAGTACGATGACACGTATGTTCAAGTAAACAGAGTAAAAATAAAGTAAATATTTTATATATTTGACAGGCCCATTTCGAGGCCACTTGATAAGCAGAGCAAAGACAACGATAAAAAATGAGGCGAAGTCCCGAGGGAACACCAAAGGTTGGAACTCCCCAGATTTGATGCCGTCAGCAAAAACCTCACTTCGACGTTGTAGGAGTGTCTTCACAGTATCTATATAAGAAGTATCCATCCTTCATGCAACGTACCAGGCCGAAATGCAGCTCGGAGGGCCAGTGAAGCAGGCGACGAGGCTGGCTCCAGGTTTTATGTGAAAGAAATCTAAATATAACAGTTAAGGGGTTGAGCTGGTGTTAATTTTGAGGCTCGGGCGATCATTGGCTGCCACTTGTGTGTTTATTTATTGATGGCTGACCCAGTCTATGAATATCGGTGGCTTACCGTTATATTCTCTAGGAGAATAATACCCTGTCCGCTGTCGCTTGAGCTGTTTAAACTAAATAGGTTGATACGTTGCTGAGAACCCCAGCTGAAGGTGATTCATAAATGAGTTACCTCCTATGAAGAATCTGATGAGCAAATGTTTTAGCGCTTTGCTTGGCCAGAAAAGCCTCCACCAATCTTAAAAGTAAGTTTTATTTCGTATTGTCCCTTGGTATAAGTCCAGGTTGTGTATAGGGACGGAAAATACTGTGGAATGTGTCCAGCAAGTAATTTGAGTAACCCGCCCTCAAATACTTATGAAGGGGTACACGGTAAAAAACTAGTTACTTATACGGTAATAACTACTGCACTATTATTGCGCAAAAGACTATACCGCAATAGTTAAATATAACCCGCAGAACCCCGTATTACTCATAAATTGATTCTTTTTTTGGCTCCTCAAAGCTGCGATTAAAAAAAATCAAATATGGTCCAAGTTTTGACGCTTATTTAGACGCGCGGCAAACATCAACTTTATCACGTGACACAGTTCCTCTACGGCTTTATTACCCAGGAGATAGAACTTAATCTAAACGCGTAAACAAGCGCGTGAGAAACTGAAATCAATTCAATTTTACATTAGAAAACCGATGTTTCAATGTCAGGGACGGAAGAGAACGAAAAACACGATCAGATCTGTGCTATACCCCTTCTGTTGCGTTGATGTTCCCTAATGGGACTCTTGCAACGCGATATCAACACGATTATCATACTTTCCCGTTGAGCTGTCAAAAACCACGCCAAGATATCGTTAGGTGATGGAGAACATTTTGTTCGGTTTCACTTTTGAAAGTAATCTGGCATGAGGAATCTTACAAGCCATCAAAATATTATGCAAAATGTCAGCCAAACGGCGGATTAGTGTAGTTGATCTTACTGGAGATGGACAGCCGCCCACAGGCTCGAGCCGGAAGAGCACTAGGGCTCCTACCGATGGCCAGCAGCTGAGGGAGCGCCAGAGCGTCGTGGATCTTACCCAGGGCGAACCGAGCACCCAAATGGAGTATGATGAAGAACTCAATGCAATGCAAACGGTCCAGGATTCTCAGGATCTTGATGAAACGACATACCTGACCTCTGAACTTTACGGTATTGATGCCCTGGTCATGCCACACCACCGCACGTAATGGAGAAGATACTGACTAGGATAATTCCATAGGCCATCTTGAAACTAAAGTCGTTGGCGTGAGATTCTACAACGGCCATGCCACCTTTGGCGAGTGCGTTCTTATCAAACGAGAAAGCAGTAACAAGTACGACTCGAATGCTGTTAGAATCGACAATGTCATGGGCCATCAAATCGGTCATTTACCTCGTGTGCTAGTCAGCAGACTTGCTCCTTATATGGTAATTGGCTGTCTTTTTTGGTAGAAATACTGGTGCTAAGTTTCCTCGTAGGACTCGAACGAACTATTGGTGGAAGGCACACTTTCGGGGGAGATTGGAGCATATGATTGCCCTATCACACTTCACCTGTTTGGAACAAGTGATCTTGGACCAAAAGAACAATTGATAGAGAAAATGCAGCGTGATAGATTGCCAACCGCCGTGGCTAAAGCAGCAATTCGAAAACAAAAGCAAGATCTCGCAAAGAAGGCTAAAGAGGATGCAGCAAAGATGCGTGCGAATGCAAGAGCGCTTGCCCAGCAGAAAAAAGGAGACCCCATGTTTGCGAACCTTTCTCAGGGAACAGAGCCGGTTCAACAAACAGAGAGTCTGGATGAACTTCTCTCTCAGAGTATTGCGTTTAATCCTCGAGAAACAGAAAAGATTGTCGAGAAGTTTGGCATGGACGAAACAGAACTATCGCAGATGCCACTGGCAGAGTGCCCTCCCCAGCTTTCCACGAAGTTACTTCCATATCAGTGTCAGGGACTGGCATGGATGCTTGATCGTGAATCCCCTAGCCTTCCAAAAGAAGGCTCTGATGAAATTGTGCAGTTATGGAAGCGAGTTGGCAAGAGGTACATGAACATTGCAACCAACTACACATCTGCGGCTGCACCACCACTTGCAAGCGGCGGAATTCTGGCAGATGACATGGGCCTTGGTAAAACGATACAGGTCATTTCGCTGATATTAGCCAATTCTACTCCTAAAACACCAAAGTCTTCCAAGACCACACTGATAATATCTCCTCTCGGTGTGATGAGCAATTGGAGAGATCAAATAACGGCACATATACATGAGGAGCATGCTTTGCGTGTCCTGACGTATCATGGTTCCGGCAAAAAGGAAGCTGCTAACCTTTCTCAGTACGACGTTGTTATTACTACCTACGGTGCCCTTGCATCGGAATATGGACAGCTGCTGACTGCGACAGGGAAGCTTGCAAAGACAAAGAAAGGAATCTTCTCCTTACGCTGGCGTAGGGTGGTCTTGGACGAAGGTCATACGATTCGAACCCCAAAGACAAAGGCAGCTCGTGCGGCTTGTATGCTCGAGGCAGACTCACGCTGGTCCCTTACTGGCACCCCAATCGTCAATAACCTGAAGGACTTGTACTCCCAAGGCAAGTTTATCAGACTATCTGGCGGCTTAGAGGATCTCCCCGTTTTCCACAGCGCATTGATTCGGCCTCTCAATGCTGGGGATGAAAACGCTAGCCTTCTACTCCAAGCTTTGATGGCAACCATATGCTTGCGGCGCAGGAAGGATATGAGCTTCGTAAATCTTCGCCTACCCCCCATGGAATCCCATATACTGCACGTTAAATTTCTTCCTCATGAAAAAGAGAAGTACGAGATGTTTGAGTACGTAGTTACCCACCCCAGCTATTAACTCTCCTGAACAAAGAAGTAACACCAACATTCTAGGGCTGAGGCTAAGGGGGTCTTCATGGATTTCCAGTCACACGATAAGGGCAAAAAAACAACGTATTCCCATGTCCTTGAAGTTCTCCTACGACTTCGTCAAGTGTGTAACCATTGGAAACTTTGTCACGATCGTGTCAAAGGACTTATGGACCTACTTGAGAAGGATAAGGTGGTTAAGCTCACTCCTGGGAACATCAAGGCGCTTCAAGCTGTTTTGCAATTAAGGATCGAGAGTCAGGAAGAATGCTCCATTTGCCTCGAAAGCCTAAATAATCCGGTCATTACCCCCTGTGCACACGCTTTCGACTACTCTTGCATTGAGCAGACGATCGAACTTCAGCACAAATGCCCTCTTTGCCGAGCTGAGATCAAAGATTGCTCGGCACTGGTATCCCCTGCTGCAGAACTTGGAGAAGACTCCAACGAAATTGACGTGGAGTCAGACTCTTCAAGCAGTAAAATTCAGGCTCTCATCAAAATCCTCACCGCAAAAGGGCAAGCTGCCGGGACGAAGACCGTGGTATTTAGCCAGTGGACATCCTTTCTTGACTTGATAGAGCCTCAACTCGCCCTGAACAACATCAAATTTGCTCGAATTGACGGCAAAATGAACTCTTCTAAGCGTGACGCCGCCATGAGTAAACTAACTCATGACCCAGAATGTTCTGTGATGCTTGCCAGCTTGAATGTGTGTAGTGTCGGCCTGAATCTGGTGGCTGCTAATCAGGTTATTCTGGCTGATAGTTGGTGGGCTCCAGCCATTGAAGATCAAGCTGTGGACCGTGTATATCGCCTCGGCCAGCAACGCGCCACAACTATTTGGAGGCTTGTTATGGAGAACAGCATTGAGGACCGAGTACTTGACATTCAAAAGGAAAAACGGGAGCTCATGACCACTGCTTTTCAAGAAAAAGCTGGCGCCAAGGACCAGGCACAAAGGTCTAGATTAGCTGATCTAGAGAAGCTCCTTCGGTGAGATGGAATACGGATCCAATTCTAGAGTTCGTGCCTATGTTTTTTAATTCTTTCTTAGTAGACTTTCGGGCATCCACTATAATAATAAATCTGTCAGTTCAGTCCCTTGAAATATTGTAAAGATACCATGTGCAGATTTTTCTTATCTCTTTTAGTAAATGTAAAAGCAGAATTGTACCAGAAGACAACAACTGTACAGAGAATAGCAAAAACCGTGAATTAAATTAAAAAGGGTATCATGATGCAATATATCTCCCACCATAGCCATCCGGCTGGACCCTTTTTCCCATGCACACCCAGGCTCCTAATCAATCCGCTTTTGATATAAACCACAAGGCCAGTACTGATATAAACGACCGTATGCAAAAATTCTGCGTAATTAAGCGGGGAGGAGAAAGAAAATAAAATAATAAGAAACAACGGAAGTGGCATCGGAGGCGATAAGAGGAAGTCGAGGAGAAAACAAAGCGATATTTGATTCAGGTAGGGAGCACGAGCGAAGGATACGTGTAGGACGAAGCTGACTCAAGACTTAAACGAGGGTTGCGACGCTCGTTCGTGGATAAGGAGGAAAGGAAAATCTAAAGGACGTGTCTATTGTTGTTTGCAGTTCTCCGCCGTTGGATCGTCCTCGGAACTCGACGGAGGGACTTATCGGCCGAACTGACTCAGTGCTTTGTTCTTTAATTGATCCATTGTGTAGTTTTTACTTACCTCTCGTCCCCTTGTCCATCTTGTGTGGGTGACTAGGTTTGGGGTCTAGTGGGAATTGGGCGACCAAAGGGGGCAGCGGAGGAGGCTGTGTACTTCGAGGTTCAGTTCCCTGCCGGCCTGGGTTATGGGGGTTTGTTGGAGACGCAACTGAGGGAGATACTGTTGGTTGAGTTCGGAGGGGCCCGGGAGGGCCTGGAGGAGCCGACGTCGAAGCTGTAATTGAAGCCGGATTTAGAGCTTTGGGAGCCGCAGAGGTTTGGGGAGTTGAAGGAACTGAACTGGAAGCAGCCGGAGCTTGAGCTTGAGCTCGAGAGACATAAACTGGAGCTTGAGGCGTTGGCGGAGTTGGGGGGACCGGAGATATTGGAGTGGAGGCAGGAGCTTGCACCAGCCGTGGTTGTGCTGGAAGTGTCTGAAGTGGAACCGCTCCATTTCGGCCTTGGAATGAAGCCGGAGGTCGTGGTGTAAACTGCATTCGACTTGTTACCTGGAATCGATTCGGTATCTGAGGTGCTACCTGGGGCTGTGACTGTGGTTGTGACAAGCGTGGAACTGGTCCCTGAAGGGGAAGCATATGCTGTGTATTTACACCATTGCTGTTGTGAAAGAAAGGAACCGGCGACTGCATAGGAAATGTATAGGTGGCGGGCTGAAATGGAGGGCCGTTGTTCACTGGGAAGTGGTGTTGGTGTGCCTTCATCATTTCTTCGCGCAGGAGCTGTTCTTCTGCTAATCTCTTTTCATGTTGTTTCTTTGCCCATAGCTCGGGGTTAGTGCGCTCCAACCTCTCATCATCCAATTCTGCTTGGATCTCGCTTTTCTCTTGTGGTGTAAATTGCACGGCATCCTCGCGATGGAGGGTTTCTGTTAAGATGATCCGATGGATGTAGTTAGGCTGTGCAAGAATTTTGTCTAATACCTTTGGGTCTTTACCCTGGAATTCAGATAAATCTTGCTTTCTGCAATTTTGGATAGGGCGCCTGAATTCACTGGTAGATTTGCCGGTAGACCGTGTAGGATTCTTCTTGTCAACAGCCCGAAGGGCCATATTCTTCTTGAAAACCCCCTTCTCGTGTATCAATTCCTCGAACGTCCCTCCCATAACAAAGCGATAGACAAAAACGTCCTTGGCCTGGCCAAGACGGTAGGCCCGCCCAATGGCCTGTTCTTCCCACGTTGGGTTGTACTCAGACTCAAAAATAATGACCCTATTTGCGCCAATAATGTTAAGTCCTAGGGCCCCAGCTTTCGTCGATATGAGGTATACATGCGCATCAGAATCGCTGAAATTCTTTGTAGCTGTCTGCCGGGTTGCTATCGGTGTCTTTCCGTCTAAGCGGCAGAACTTTTGACCTCTTGCCTCCAACATCGAGCCAAGATAAGTAAGCGTGTGTAAATATCCCGAGAAAATGAGGACCTTGTCACCAGTTTTGATAGATTCGTCAACAATTCTCCCAACCATTTGCGTACGATGAGAATTTTCCGGGGAGTCCAGGCTTTTTATGCCTTTGAACTTTTGTTCAAATTGTGAAACAACTTCATCCGTTATCGCGGTTTGTCCCTCAGTTTCTAAGACATCGTCTTCTATAGTTATTGCGGTTGGACTGTCAGGGTTGGCTTCAGGCTCGGATTCCGAAGGAATCACTATTCCTTGGCCTCCTTCGACAGCATTCTCCCTCTCAATGACCTGACTTCTTTCTTTCTTTTTCTCAAGAATCCTTCGCAAGAAACATGAAGGATGATGACATAAAAGAGTCAGGTAAGAGAGCAGAACCCACAGCCGTGTAAACTCGAATTCGCCCTTCCCTTCCATGGTCAAAGACACGAACTGATTGTAGGTCTCTTTTTGAAGGGGCGTTGGTGGGATATATATGACAAACTCAACTTTGGATGGAAGATCTTTTTGGATGACTGACACGCCGGCCCGGTTCACCTTTGGCTCGAGAACCTTCTTCAAAACTTCTAATTTCTTGCGAGATTTCACATATTCTGCATTTGTGCTGTCAAAGTATAAGCCCTCTCTTATGGGTTCCTCGTATTTAGCTTTAAATTGTTTCAGCGTTCCAAGATAGCCAGGCGAAATCCAATTAATCATTTGGTAGTAATCAATCAGTTGATTTGAGAGAGGAGATCCAGTCAGCGCAATGCGGCTTTTGGACTTGAACATAGTGCATGCTTTTGAAAGGTTGGATGCGCCATTCTTCAGTTTATGTGCCTCGTCTGCAACAACGATATTTGGACCGTCAAGCAACTGTCGTTTGATTATCTCACATTTTTCGGCTGGCAGTCTCTGAAAGGCAGCTTTTTGGGCATTGTAATGGATCATTCGTCGTAAAAGTTCATGACTGATCAGTAGGACACCACCCTCAGTATACCAGCCATTAATCGTATAAAGGCGCTGTATTGGATCCTGGGACACAATTTTTCGTACTTGCCCTAGGTTATATCTAGTCGCAGCATCTGGTGGAGTCCATTTCGCGAACTCTTCATCCCAGTTATCTATTAACGATGCAGGACATGTAATCAGAGTCCTAGACGTCCTAAACCGCTCTGGGACTTGCGCCTTGATTTTGGGATCCGACGAGTTTGACGCATTAGCAATGGTTACCAGAAGAGAAATCCTATATTTGTTTTCAAAGTTAGCAAACTGGTCTCTGCAGGCAAACTAGCGAAGCCAGGGGCCAACTTACACCTGCATTGTTTTCCCTAACCCCATTGTATGGGCTAGAAGACAGCCTTCATTTTTCTCATCTTTGATCAGTTCTCTCCACATAAATTGAATCCCTGAAATCTGATGCTCCTTGACACGGCGCCCAATATCGCGATGTAGGCAGATAACAGGGTCATCAAAACTGACAATTTTCTTTTCTGGGTCATCATTTTCAATACCCCCTTCTTCTTGTAACATCCGCTGCCGTGTTGCTTGTTCCTCGACTCTGCGCTGCGCACGGCTTTGCGTTTCCATGGCTTCTTTACTTTCTGCCACGGCTCTCTTTCTCTTTTTGCGTGGAGTGGATCTGAAAATCTCCTGTACCTCAACTTCTCTTCCTAAAGGCTCCTGTTCATCATCCTCATCTTCAATGATAATCGGATCGATAGCCGGCGTAGAGCCTTTGCGTGAGGTATTTTGCGAAAAGGAGATAATTTCGCAGGATGTCTCCCGCTTTACGCTCTTTGGACGCTCAACACGAAGAATCTCTGTAAGGTCGTTGTAGAAAGGAAACACTTCATCCTTACGACGGGCTTCCTTCAGGTAGGCTGTCGGGATACCTACGCTGTTTTGTATTAGTTCGAGTTTTAGCCACGAAACGTATAAAGTAGCCATCCTTTTATAGAGGAAGATATCTTCTCCAGTTATAGAAGAAATTTTGTACGTTTCCTTTTGAATCGCTTTTAATGCCTCCCTTAGTCGTCGACGCCAGGTACTCTTGTCAACAGAACTGAGTAATGAAGTTAACTTCGCTCGCTCATCCTTAGACAGAGTATAGATAGTTTTAGCGAGAAGCCGCTTCCTATCGCCCCGCCCTATAACAGTCTTCCAGCTGACTTTATTCAATGCAGCAATATCAGTTACATCGGGTAGCTCCGACGATTCAGCGTCTGGAGGTGAATGATCGAGCACCGTATCGGAAAGCACAGGAGCGGCACGGGGAGAAAACTCAAGCCCATCCTTGGGATTCTCTGTGGGATTCAAGGGTGGAGTGTGAATATCTAGACTCCCAGAGCCGTCAGCATCGTTATCGCCTACATCCTGTTCACCTTCCATATCCGCTTCGGTCAAGTCCACAACGTCAACGTCCTCAAACGGGCCTCCCATAGGGCCCTGGGCAGCCGAGTCAGACGGCGGCTGAGTATCCTGAATCTCTGGAATAGATGAAGGAATAGGAGTAACGTTCGTATTGCTTCCAGAAGGTACTTTTCCATTGGTATGTATGTGGGTATCATCAGACACAACAAAATCTGGGTCGCTTTCTATAGCCTCGTCAGTATCGGATCCAATAGATTCCTCATCGTTATCCTTAAAACGTGGCCGGGGAGCTCTTTGGCGAGTCAGAGGAGCAGTCGGTTTGGAAGGGCATATTTCCAGCTCCAGGACAGACACTCGCCATCTCTGAATTTCTCTCTGTGTCACTGTCACTTCCAATGACGCGCACTGCCGTAATACTTTCCCACGGTCACCATTTTCATATTCGTTGCTTTTTATGCCTTTTATCCAGCTAGCAAGACGCGTGTCAAGGTGTGTGATCTGAGCTTTTGCTCGGCGAATATCACTGGAAACAGTCCCTGCCTTCCTTGATTTCCTCCATAATGCGTATGCCGTTCTCTCATGGATTGGAAGCTTGGTATCCTTCCATTTTTCGATGGTATTGGTGATGAACTCATCAACGATCGTATTCAAATCGGCTGCAGACATCAGACTAGACGCACCATCCTGTCTATCACTTTTGTCGTCATCCCTAGCTTCATCCATGTCTCTGCAAGTCTCAGAGTCATAATCTTCGGACCCCGATTCGCCATACAACGGCAGTTCCTCGCTTTGTGGGGGGTACTTGACAGTAAGGTAATCCAGGGCACTTTGTTCGTTGAGATGTGGCCACTTTGAGGCTTCCTCCACTCTAACATTGACTCTTCCATTATTTTTCTTGTAGAGTGTGAAGTAGCGGGGTACATTCGGTGCAGTACTCTCATCGTATGGGAATATTGCGAGAGACCCTTCTTTATCCTCAGGGAATGGCTGTGGCACTTGTTGTAGGAAATGTAGCATCCGCTTATTGACAAAGCGGGATTCACCCGTCGAGGAGTTTGCTGGACGTACGTATCCAAATGTGTCATTATCATCGTCACTTTCAATCCCTTTATAGAACACATCTTTGACAGGATGCTTCTGGAAGCACAAATATCTCTTCCGGCAAGGATTTTCGGGGACGTTGGTTAGCGATTGAGTGGAAAGGGCACTGGGGTTGAGCCGTCGACGTTTTTTACCGTCTCCTCCTTTCTGCTGAGGAGCCGGTGGGTCAACGATCTTCGGCGTGGACTCGACGGGTTGAGGGACAGTGCACTCGACTAGCGGTGCTTGACGCTCGCACGAAGGCTGTAAGGGTGTCGGTATAGATCTGTTTTCAGCTACAGGAGGAGCAGTGAAGCCGCCAATCCTGGCTGGAGAGGAAACGACTACGGCATTCTGAGCGCTTGAGAAGTCACTGTTAGCACCGTTACGAAACTCAGTCGAACGCGATCTCAAGTACTGAATCGCCTTGAAGACTGTTGCTTGGTGTCCGAGGGCCTTCAATCCAAGATAGCGAGGCAAGGCCTCCCTATCGACTTCTGTCAAAAGGACCTCGCCGGTCACATAGTTCTCTCGGAGGTGGCTCTCCAATTGGATTGGATCAGGACGCGGTAGCGACGAGCGCGCCCAAGCGTTGAACGAGCCATGGCAAAGATATGTGACCACTTCATCAATAGACCAGAAGAACGGGTCTGCCTCCATCGTGTCCTTGACCTTCCGCAGTCAAGCGACAGAGGACTTCCTTCTATCTCTCTGGCCGTGTTTTTTCTTCTTCTTTCCTCAACTTCTGCTGCTTCTGTCTCGCTAGACGCGTTGCGGGACGTTGTTGCTTTTCTTCTTTTTTTTTTAAGGTTATGACAGGCGATAAGCGAAGTCTAAATAGAATTCAGTTTTATCGGATGCCTAGACTTTGCCACGTCCTGATTGGCTGTTAGTTACAAATTAGCTAATCCTTCATAAATTCTGGATAACTTAGGTAAGCATCAAATAGTTCACTTTTTCCTCTTGAAAGCTCACTTTCACCTTGAAGATGAGGCAACTCGCAAACCGCACTGTATCAGATTGGCCAGCTTAGGTACTTAGTGTCTCAGGTCAGTAACTTACCTCTCTTTTATTTGTTCCCCTAGTTACTCTTTAAGTATGAGACGTCGAAATGTATGGTGACCGCTTACGACCTGCTTGCTCACTTCAGTCGTCTGCAGAGGATTTATCGCAGGTATCGCCGCGTTCCGGCACGGATTCTGACTTAGAGGCGTTCAACCATAGTCCGGCAGATGGTTGCGTCGCGGCAATGCCTTGTCAGATAGCCGCAAAAACAAATCATCTGAATCAACGGTTCCTCTCGTACTAAATTGAATTACCGTTGCGGCGAACTTCATCAGTAGGGTCGAGTTCGCTTCGGATCCCCGTACTACGCAGGGAGGGCTATTCGCCGCCGACACAATGACAAACCGCCAGTTTATCGAGTGTTTGCGTATTGCATTTACCTCTAAGAGCGGTTTCTATGCCTGCAAAGTTGGGTCAATTGAGCCAGTGCAAGAAGATGGAGAGATCCTCCAACACGGGACCTACCAATAGTCGCCAATGGTTCAAGGGGAGATCATTACCCAGAGTGATGAGCGTTATTTCGTTCGGACTCTCTCCCATTCCGACACATCCCGAGACAATGCATTTGTCCGTGATGTAAGGGGACGCGATGGCCGATGTGTAATTACCCATGTTGTCAATGCAGGGGCGGTAGACGACGATTGGACCATCTTCGAGGCGGCGCACATCTTCCCGTTAACTAGCTCTCTCATCAATCTTTACCCAAATCGGCCTAAGAGCCGCCATCGATGACGAGCGTGGAGTTAATTCTCCAAAGAACGGGCTACTCCTGAGATCGCACATTCACCAACTTTGGGACACATATTCTGTTGGAATACTCCACTCTAGCTACGACTCGCAATCTTTACCCAAGGATTTCTTGGGGCCATCGAGCCATTTTGTCCCTTTTGGTCCAACATATTCTTTCTCTGTCAACCCTTTTGATGACTACCGAGTCCAGAGTTTTAAACCTAACTCAGCCGAATACCATAACATTCAACTGCATCCCGTCTGTCGTAACACCAATGGCCCTCATCATGTCTCCGATATACGACTCCGATGGCACTATGAGCAAGCCATACTTGCCAACGTTCGCGGTGCAAGGGAACAACAACCCGTGTTTGAACACGATTTTCCCCCCGGAACTGATATGTTAGGTGAAATTAGGCGAGGCCCCGAGGGCGGAACTACTGTTTGGGATATTCCACTTTTGCTACGACTCGCGCTCATTACCCAAGGATTCCTTGGGGCATTAGGCCTTTTTATCCCTTGTGATCCAACAACTAAGGATGGAAGCGGAGCTATTCGGCCGTTTGTATGGGAACGATGAGGAGTCAGCGCTGCCGTGTAGGAAATAGTAGTTATTGCACTGCAGTATCCTGCCACTACTAGCGTAACTACTTATAGAAATCTGTCAAGGAAGAGTCTTCCGACTCAAACAGCCGTGTGTTAAGTCGCCAAGTATGCTATATAGCTATCCCTTCCAAGGCTCCCTCGCACCGTACAGTAAACTAGCCCAAGCATCAGCCTACCTTTCTATCTAGCTAAATCTCGGCTTGATGGTAGGTGATTAAACCAGGTAGTCAGCTTCATACGGAGTACTAGCTAATTAACTAACAGCGGGGCAAAATGGTGGGATCAACCCCGGGAGTTGATTGATAAGCGGCGCAACTCGACGTCAGCTCGAAACCTCCGGGGCTTTTGGATATTATAAATATACAAAATATACCTATAAAGGAGTGCAGCTGGGCCGTTTTTAGCAGAGATATAGACGCTTTTTCTTGTGTCTTTCTTCTATTATAATTTAATAACGCCAGAAGTCTTTGGCTGCAGCACCAATGGATCTCTCGGCTTCCTCCTATCCACCAGAGCTCTCTCCAGAGCAGAAACAGCATCTAGTTGCCGCCGTCAAGGATTGGTGTATACATCATGGCCTTGCCGTCAGACCCCCTCCGGCATTCATACAAGGCGCATCGGATCCGCAGGGTGTGTTGGCGACCAACGCTCCAGTGACTCTGTTCCCCAGCCTTTTCCCCCGGTCCTGCTACGAGTCGGCAGTATCGGTGCAAAAGACATACAACCAGCTTTATGCCTCTATAACTACCGATGTAGATTGGCTGGGAGAGATCATCGAAGAGTAAGCATAACCTAAATCTTTCCCTTCAGTTGTTTTTGCATTTTTTCCGTACAAGTACTTCATGAATGATTATTAAATACCACCCCGGTGATAGTCTTGTTGAGGTAGATGATTTCGTGGCCGGTCTCTGGAAAGTCCATCTGGCTGTCAAAAGTGAGGGATATGTACAGCCTCTCTCACTTGGCTTGTTCCGGTCAGACTATATGGTCCATGGCCCTTCTGGTTCCCCCAGGGAAGCAGAGTTGAAACAGGTTGAATTCAATACCATTGCTGCATCATTTGGAGGACTATCGAGTTTGGTGGCCCAGATGCATACATCTCTCCTGTCATCTCCAACTGGAGAGCCCCTAGTGTATCCGTCACATCCTGCCTTTAAGGGTAACCTGCCGCCCGAAAATACCGCTGTTCCCACTCTGGCTGGAGGCCTTGCAGCGGCCCACAAGGCATATGGCCCTTCCAAGTCTTCTCCAAACCAACTGCCGCTATGTGTTCTCTTTATAGTGCAAGCTGGAGAAAGGAATCTTTTTGACCAGATGGAACTCGCAACTTGCCTTTCCCAATCACATAACATCACCGTTTTCCGGGTTACAAGCGACGAGATTCTAGAGTTAACCTCCATTGCGGAATCGAACCCTGCCCGCCCTATCATATATACCCCGAGATATTCCCCATCTACTCAATTCGAGGCCACCACTATCTACCTTCGAGCCTTGTATGGGCCTCAAGACTACCCAGATGAAAAGGCATGGAAAGCACGAACTCACATAGAACGCTCGGCCGCCATCAAATGCCCAACGGTGCTCAACCAATTATCAGGCTGCAAGAAAGTGCAACAAATTCTAGCCACAGCAGTCAGCGGCCCTGAGACGGATTACTTGACCAAGTTCCTTCCTTGCACGGAACCCACCGAAATACAGCAAATACGCTCAACTTTTGCGCCCCAGTATGACCTGGCCGAAGGAGGCCGTGGCAGAGAACTTGCTTTGAATCCAGAAACTGCTGCATTCCATGTTCTCAAGCCTCAGCGTGAAGGAGGCGGAAACAACGTATACCGTGATTCCATTCCCACGTTCCTCAAATCCATACCTGAAAAGGACTGGAAAGGCTGGATACTCATGGAACTCATACAGCCCCCACCAGCTAAGAACGTTGCACTTCGCAGTGATGGTCAGGTCCTCAGCGGCGACGTAATTGGCGAATTGGGCACATATGGCACAATCCTGTGGAACAATGATGGGCAGACGTTACATAACGAGCAAGGAGGATGGCTTATGAGAACAAAGGCTAAGGATAGTGATGAAGGCGGGGTGGCTGCAGGATTCTCATCCTTGGACAGTATCTTACTTGTTTAATATATACGATGGAACTGAATTATAGGCCTAGAATCATAGACATTTTATTCATCTCTGTAACATAATCCTATCTTGCATCATCCTATCGTCATGTTAAATGAAGTAAGTCTGCATAAGTGGGAGGAGAGAAGAACATAAAAGTATAAACACCTAAGGTTAAATGAAGGCCAGAAATTTTGCCCAAATTTAGTATCCACCATCTATCCTGAGCAAATGGCCGGGAGGCAATTCAATCCAAGCTACACAAGTAGACCTCCATTGATTGCATAGACTAGCATGAAGCAATTCCGAGGAAGACGCAGTTGTGGAGTGAAAAGAATGGGGGAGTACCACGGATATCAAAACATTCCACAACACTACCTTAACCGTTTCATCCCTTTACCCAAATACTCGTAGTAAGTAAGGGGAAGATGTAGTAGAAGTAAGGAACGGCCCGGCAGTTGCTTATTCAAGTTCAGCAGCAAAAAAGTCGTCAAAAGATCGCCGACGTGTCGGTTTCGAATAGTTAGAGGGCAGTGGAAGAAAGTCAGCGAAAGGGTTATTCCTCGCCATGATCTCCGCAGTGTGGGTATTTAGGCGATGGTAGGGATTGTTTCGGATCGAGAATTCACCACCGCCGTTGAATCTAATGGATAGAGGGCCACCATGCTGCTCTAGTAGGTCTGCTTCTTCTGAAAGGAGATCCGAGCCTGAGTCCTGGTCCCCATTGGAGTCTCTAGAAGACATCGAAGCAACAGTAGGGGTCTCCCGCGAACTATCTGACAACGTTGGTTGGGATTTCTGCGCAGTAAATGGCTGACAACATGGTCCGTCGCAGTCGTCCAGGAGATCTAGAGTGTCGCTGGTTAGGACTGGTTGATTGTTGGCAAATGCGTTGGTAGGCCTCTTCTTTGGGAATTGTGCTGGAGAATCAACAACCTCGCTACTCGGAGATGAGGTTTGGGATAAAGGGCCTTTTTTGGTTGAAGAAATAGAGGCTTGCAGATTGACATTATGATAGCCAGGGGAAGCCTCTGGTAGATGGGCATTTTGATCGTCGGACTTGTTGGCTCCTGTTTTTGTCACCTCGTCATTTGTATCATCTGTGCCTGACCCCCCATTTTCCGTGTCCTTGTCAATGCTCATTGCAATATTGCCGCTAAGAGCAGGCTGGCTGAGGTTCACCTCATTCTCAGTTGCCTTTTCAGCCTGACGCCGTAATCGTGTCTCTACCCTTCTGGCCCACGTTTCAGGCAGATATTCTGGTGCTAAGGATCTCCAGTCATCCTCCTCAAGAGCATTAGCGTAATCTTGAAGTTGATAGAGGAGTTGTATGGTTGATTCTATGCGCTGTCCTGGTACATGAGGTCCTTGCTTTCCATCCAGGAAGGTGTCTAGTGGATACCGATGAGGTGGCCCCCCATCAAGGCGCTTCATAAGAAGATACCGAGGGACCTGTTCGCCGCTTCCACCAGAAGTTGCATATTCAATAGTTGTAGTTGTATTAAGCGATATCTGAGGCTGAGATAAGCGCTCAACCCTTTCAACTTCCGCTTTGGTGATACTTCCTCGACGCGTGGTCCAGCATGAGAGACCGAGAGGCGAGCGAGCTTCGCGTTCACGTCGCATATTTAACGCATTATCAGAAGGGATATCGGCTGGAGCAGCCGTCATGCGCGCTTTGATATCACGATAAGTGAGGCGAGAATCGGTCCGCATCCAGTATTCAAGGAGCCAACCAGCAGCACGGACAGATATATACTGCGGAAGAAATGGGAAATCTCTAATTGCACTAGATCCCTCGGTACTGGAATCCTCCTCATCCTTTTTCAAAAGATGGACTGCAGGTCGAACAAAGGGCTCTTGTGGTGATTCTAAACGAAAAAGCAGGGGAGGCAAATGTGCCGAGCTGTAGTTTGAATGGTACGGATGTTCACAGGTATGAAACATACTCGGGGTCCCATCGTCTAGACTCGACGCATTAGGATTTACAAACATATGCTTAGGCCGTTGAATAAGAGTTACTCACGTTTGCACAAGTTTTGGGCCGCGGTAAATTCTTGCAGAGGATCATTGTTAGCTAAAGTCTTCCAAAGCACTCAACCCAAGCATGATGATATATCCATATGAATAAAATCAACTTATCCAAGGGTGTATCTTACCAGATGGCATAGGAATCGGCGGGCTTGTATCTTCCAAGCCTGCCTCAGCCATTGCTGGTTGTTGCAGTCCGAGGGCTACGCAAATACAGGAGTGCCAAAAAGATGAACGAGTTGGTTGAAAGACAGTGTCACTCACCAGAGAGTAGGAAGATATTTCCTTTGATATCTTAGAAGGAAGAAACAACACATGCTTAGTCGTAAGGTTGTCTGGGAAATTGTGCGATACAAGTGCGCTTCTAAGAGGACAAAAGAAGAGGAAAGCCCTCTTATCACTTCACCGTTGCGGTCCTGAAATGTGATTCCTAATATCATACTATCTTTCATTCGCTTCAGTATATCAAGATATGTATCAGATATAGGAAATACCTACCCAAGAAGATCAAGAGGTAGGGTTTGATCCTATGTGCATAGGATAAAAGAAATATTAAGTAACATGCTCTGTTATTTAAAGACTAGAAAGGAATGTGTTATATGCATAAGCACTTGATGTCAAATATGATACCGCAGTATCATATTTAAGAATGTGATCAAATCAAATGCTCAGAGGGCCCGGATAGAAATAGGACGAACTTATCCATGGCCTGCATATTATATCGATAACTAACGCGTAAGGGATAAAATTTCCCTAGTACGTAGTTTAGTGATGTGGTATCATAACTTGGATGTGCTCAAATAGTTGCCTATTAGACAGGGATATTTCAAGCAAGTCCATCTAGCTTGGATATTAAAACACGTCCACGAAGGACAAAGGGATATCTATATTCTGTCACGGACTCCATGCAATATACCAATCGTAGAGAGTCCAGTCAAAGTGTTATGTTGATGCTGATAGAAGTCAAGGTTAAAACTGAAGTCGATTTTGGATTACTAACAGGGACTGACTTTAACTAATGACTAAGCAGAAAAACAACAAACCTATGGAGACAACCTTAATTCAACCAACTTAACAAAACATCAACCCATCAAAAACATCACATAAAAAGCATTGCAGTCTTAAAATCACAGTCCTTTTTTTGTCCTTTTCCTTTTCCTAATTTTTTTTGCCTTTCACTCTATATTTTTTTTCTTTAGTTTGTCCGTCTTCCTTCTTTAGAAAGAACCAATTCGTCAAAAGCACATGCATGAATCAAAAACATATCAATTTCTTCATCTGAATATCGTGTCATCTCTCGTACCTGTAGGGTTGAATCGGTGGCTGATTAGTCCGTGGGATAATGTCGAAAGAACCGGCTTTCGGAATAGCAAGTCAACTCTGTCGATTCAATCCAGCTTGTTGATCCAATTCATTTGTCGATTTACTTTGTCGATTTTATATGCCAAAGACACTCGTAGATCCATTCTCTTCAATGTTCACAATCGACAGGACCAAAGATACCGTACTTTTTCATTTTCTCGACAAACTCAACTTCAGTCATGCCATAAAGTTCATGCAATGGCCGGCTGATAATATCCTGTGTGTCTCGTGTAAGTCGTTCATGAGCGTCCCCATTGAGGTTATCTTCGCGTAGAGTGCTTGTAGCTAAGAAATTCGGGTGTTCTGGCTGACTGGGATGCTCGTATATGTTGACGAGTTCCGCTAATGTTGGAGTGCGTTCAATATCTTCCATGAGATCATCCGTGGCTATAAAAGCGCTTTTGCTATCGGCTGATAATCTAGGAAGATTGCTATTTTTCATATCTTCCATTTGGAAGTTCACGTTGCTTTTGATATATTCACGACAAAGGCCGAGAAAGTGGTCTTCGGTCTTGACGTTGGGGTTGTTCTCCACGATATCACGAACAATGACTCCGTTTAGCTTTGCCAGTATGTAATAGTCTAGATTTTCTTGTTGGTGTCCAGATTCACTTTGTGAGTCTCCAAAATCCTCGTCATCGCTGGTATCAATAAGCTCAATGTCCTCATCCTCGAGACTTTCATTGGAGATTTGAGTTCCTGTAATTTGCTGCCCAGTTTGGGCTGCGGTTGGGGTACGATAGCCGTTGATAGTGTGGGCAATATCGCTGGCATCGGCATTGCTTGTGGAATCACAAAGGCTTTGAAGTTGTTGATGTATCCGGGTAGAGGGACAACGTGGATCTTTCCAAATAGGGTTCTTCTGGATCCGTGGTGATGCCGAGCCTTTGCAATTTCTGTTCAGGACTTTTCGAAGAGTGGTCTTTGGGTTTGAAATAGTCAAAGGTTCAGAAGCTCGAGTAGAAGTACGAGTGCGGAGGTGAATTGGCCATTTGGCTGTAGAGTAACTTCTGGCTGGCGAGGAAGCAGGGGTGAACCGTTCATAATATGTCTCAATTTCTTGAAAGTATCTTTCTTCGTCAGAAGATTGGCGTCGTTGCTCCTCAAGCCTTTTCATATGGTCCTGCATTATAGTGGTCTCAAGGTTGAGCTTGTCGACGAAATCTAGGTCGTCTTGACATACTTGGCGGACGCTTTCCATTGTCCCAGCTAATATGGCATTGACAGTCTCCATGTCGGGCGCTCTAACCCCTATGGCCTTGCCTGAGGCGGAAGGAATTGGCGTGACAACACAAGCAGCCTGAGGGTCGGAAATCGCATCATCCGTAGCCCTGGCAGGCACCTGGGCCCGCATGGTGTTGCTTGGGGAGCGGTCAGGGGTTGGCAAACCACCGGCTGCTGATGCTGCTGCATTTGGAATTGCGGGAGGAGGAGGAGGAGTAGCTGTGGCTGGTAAAGGTGATGCGACAGAAGATGGGGTCACAAGGATGAACTTGGAGGTGGCAGTTTTCTTTTCAGGTGTGGTATTTGGGGTCAGGGCCTGAGTTGCTTGAGCCAATGTTGGTGCAAGGATAAGGGTTTGGGCAGCCATGCCTCGTCGGATTGTGGTATCTGGACGTTTAGAGTACTGTTTTGGAGTTGGGATCCGTTGAGTAATACCATTTTGATCAACGTATACTCCAGGGGTCAAACCCCGGGTAGTGTTATGGTTAGGATCAATCCCGTTCTCAATCAATTTGCTTCGAATAATCTCGATAACGGTGTCAGTCTGTTTACTTGACACCCCCCAAGAGGCAATGGAGAATGCCTGTCGGAATCGAACACCACGCTGCTGTAACGTGTTTGTAAATATTCGGTATTTTGGGTTCATACGATCTGTGATGTCACGGAGTTGAATGCGTCTGTCCAAACGCATCCAGGCTTCCACGCGGAATTCTTCGACGTTGCTTGAAATTCGATCGGGTAGTAGATCGAAGGCTCTCATTGGTGGATGTTCGGGCCAGGGTGATGGTTTAAGAGGAACATTGATATTGCCTCTAGGCCTGTCTGGGCCCCTGAAAACATAGAGTATATCAGGAAGATTGTCGAAGCTCCAGGAGCTTTGAGATGGGACGGCATCAGTATAATTTTCAGGGTCGTCAGTGCCTGCTCTGCAGGGCTGTCTAGGCTGCTTTGCTTCTCCGACATTCACAGTAATCGGGGCTGCCTGACTAGCTAAATTGACTGCAGTAACGGGTGTCGCTGGGGTAGTTGGAGAAAAAATTGGAGCGGCGGGAGTAGCCGAGAATGCTGGAACAGCTGTAGCGTCCACGAATGCTGCAGTGCCCTGATTGCCTGCTGCAATGGTACTGTTAGTAACGGTCCAAGTAGCAAATAAGCCTTTAGAGCTTCTAGAAAAGTATTCTTACCATTTTCTAGACTTTGAGCAGTAATTCTATCGAAATTGAAGAAGTTATGCTGGGAAGCCGCATCCATATAAGTAAAACCAAATTGGTCAGGGGCAAATGGGCCACCAGCTGCCATGTCCATGGGGATTTCAAATCCGTTCATAGGAGGTCCCTGAATGTAGACCATTTCAATTGATTTCAGTCAAGCTGTCTTGCGCTTCTGAGGTCTTGGTTAGAGGAAGGAGCCAAAGGCTTTGAGAGATCAATTGGAAGAAGAAAGAGGGATATAGAGATCAGCTTCGAGAGACTGAAGCCTTTGTGTAGGAGAATTGGAATTGGTAAAAGGATGTAGTAAATCAGGGAGACAGAGAGTCAGGAGCTCTTCGAGTTTGTAGTCTAGGACTTTGCAATTGCCTATTTGACGCAGAGATGTGCTTGAAGTAAATTGGTATCTGTAGTGCAACGAGCTCGTGGAATTGCTATCTTGACGAAAATAGTAACGGTCAAGAAGAGGAATAGAAGGAAGAGGGAGAAAAAGATAATATGGTTGTAAAAAAGGGGGCTTCATCCTGGCAGAACGTGGTAGAATAGGGGGGGCTGGGATGTCTACGGGGCTCAGAGGAGGGGGTGAGCAGGAAAAATTTTTCATGAAAGAAAGTAAGATGAATAGGCTGGTCCTATATCGTCCGATTGTGAGCCCGTCAGAGCCTCCTCTTTTGCTCTCTGACAGCCTACAAACAATAGGAACCCGACCTGGTATCTATATTGAAGATATCAAGCTGGACCCACTCGTTTGTTGAGACCTGGACAAGCCTTCTAAATTCTCCACTAGCCTGCATGGTTAGCTTGTTTAAGCGCCGATTTCAACAGTCACGCATCAAATATCTTCAGTTACCAGCCACCTTTTCCCCAGCCAGAAGAGAGGAAGCGGAGACGTAAAAGAGGGGTAGAATCTGCTAGATATAGAATTTCTCTGCTGCAGAATCATTTATGACAAAATAGAAGCATTATAAGCTCAGTTTGTGTGTTCCATAAAGAGAGATGGATTTGAGATATATGCACCATGAGAACGGGACATATAGATCTGATATCAAACCTGTTGCTGCCAGTAGGAAAGGGTAACATATAGCTATGGGTATACAATGGCCTAGCAGTTCGTATATAGCTTGGATATTTGCTAAATATCTTACCGAAATGTTTGAATATCCCAGTTGCTTAACGTAATTCCATTTTGTTGATATCTTCCTTTTTAGGAAACAGCACCGCGCGTTTGTGATAGCACGTGATATTATATTACATAATATCGAATTAAGCGCGAGTGCAAACAAAACAAAAAAATGGCCAGCAAAACAATAGCAAAAACAGCGACAAAACAACAGAAGAATCAGGCCAAAAAGGAGGGTATCTAGACAGAGTAAAAAAAGAATCGAATGTACATACGGACAGTCGGGATTCGCTGGTGGTCACCCACCCAACTACTAACCGACCGGCAAGTGGCTTAAGTACAGCTGAGCGGACGGGAAGCTCTGTTTTCCACTTCCTGTGGTCGTATGTGCTTAGTTGTCTTGAGATTCGGAGTTTTCTGGCGATTTTCCTAGTATGTTACACGCCAAGAAAAGGGCGATTAGGTAATTAGTCTTAGAACTTTAACTAGCAAGCTTTTGATAGAGGCAAGCTCAGTGATGCACATCCATAAACTACCATATATTTGAAAAAGACAAACAATACCCCAGTCTATTAACCCAGTGAATCATGGGCAATAATAAAAGAAAACACAAATCCGGTTCTGCGGAGACGCTGATCACGTTGACTTCGCGGAAGCCTCAATGGGCGTATCTCCACCTTGAATTGTACAGTGACACCCGTGACAGTTCTGTTAATAGGCCATTGAGCAGGAGGACAGAAAAAAATTGGAACGCAACGTTGAGCTAATTCATATCATTAATGCTACTAGAGTCTCTGCTTCTTCCGATTCAATCGTTAAATCATCATCTGCATCAATAGTACTGGACCCCCTCACGGCAAAGACCTATCTGTCTGCAGCTCTCTCTCAGTACCTCGGGCTGTCCGGTACCGCTATACCCATTGATATACTGAAGATAGGCGACAGACCAGGTCAAACGGATGGAAAATCTGTATGGATTCGAGTGCCGTACGAAGATGCTGCCGCCGTAACTGCTGCAATGAGTTCATGGATTGGTGCAGATTCCGGATCTGGTTCAGCAAACGTAGCATGGAGAGTTATCTCGAGGCGCTCTCATCTCGGTGCTTTAGTTGGAGGTAGTGGGATGGAGCTATTCATTCCTTGAGGTCCAGGATTGGGCCTTGCGATGAAACCATAGAAATATATGCTAAGCAGGACAGTTGGCATACCAATCCAGCGGAATTTAACTTACTGCGAGGTTAAGAAAACCTCTCGTAACCCTCTTAAAAGAGGGTATACGGGCGCATATTTTAATGACTCTATGAAATATACTCAGCACATGGAGTCTAACGGGGATGGATCGATTTATCCTTGATTGGATGTCTAGGAAGTCTGATAATAGATCTCTTCCCCAAAGTCGGGGCACATTGGATATCCATTTGGAAGACTATTTGACTGACGATTTTGTTTTGATGTATATAATTGAGAAACCACCACGAGACAGTGATGAACAAATCAAAAGTCTCGACAACATGTACAACTCCCACGCTATATATAAGCCAAAAGAAAAAAAGAGCAAGGTGATGCCGAATAACGACAAAGATAATTAGCAAAAACGATTAGTGAATCGGAAACAAGGAATGAAGAAAGCAAAACCGGATACTCGGGCAAAAGAGAGAGACTTTTTGTCAGAAGGCATACAATATACATGCATAAAAGGAGCGAGGGAGCAGCTCTACCACGCCCCTTTATCACCGTTGATTCCGTGGCCATCTGGTATGCGATTTCATGCAATGGATTCATCCTGACCCTTCATAGCCAACGCTAGATCTCTTGATCCAGCCGCGTTGAGTCTAGCAGGGGTAAGTGTGGCCTTAGCCTTGAGGGCAGCGCGGATCTCATCCACGCTACGGTCCTTCCACATGCTGACACTGCTCTTGCTGAGTGGGTAGAGAACATAGTTGTCTTCGCGGTTGACAAAGTCGTCTACCTTGGCTGGGGGAGTGGAGGTGATGATGTCAAGGTCAGCAGCTAGCTGTTGGCAGAAGACGTCAAGGGGAAGATCGTTGACATCGTCGCCGAAGGGGTTTTCAATTTCGGCACAGATGGAGGCAATTCCGTGGATAATGTAAGTGGCAGCTAGAACACGTTAGCATGGGGATGAAGCACAAAGAAAAAGCAAGCACGGTCAAAACTTACCAATAGTTCCAGGGATGGCAACCCATTCGAGTTTGTTGACGAGCTGGAATGGCAGGGCAAGGACGTAGATCCAGGTGATTTGAGAAATCAAGATGGTGTACGCCAGTGGAAGGGGAGTGTTGAGCACACGCTCGTTGCCAGTCATGACTTCTTCCAGAGCGTTGAGACAAGCGCCAGCTTGGGACTGATGCACGGGCACGGGAATGGTACCGTTCATCAATGACTCATGGATATAAGCAGACAGATAGTTGAGAATCTCGGCTGGAAGGTTTCCCAGAGGCTTGTCAGAGCGCTTAATCTGCTTGCGTGGGTTGGACATGGCCATTGGAACGCTCAAGTACTGGCCGATAGCCTTCATCGTGCTTGGCTTTTTGCCTGGCGGCGCATTTGGGTCATTGGCTGCTTTGGCAAAGGTATCAAGGTGGTCAATCAGGCCGGAGATATCCTCATAGCCGTTTCCAGGCTCGAAGCGCAGTTTATGCTTGAGGGCAACAGCAAAAGCCACAATGAGGTTAATTCCGGTCCTAAAGAACATGTCAGCACATGCAGTAGGTTATAATCGCGGACTCAAGAGAACGCACAGCTTCGAGATGATATCTTCCTTTCCTTCTTCACCTTCGCGTTCAGTCTTGTGAATCCAGATGATACGGGCCAAAGTGCGGGAATTCTGCATCAGAAGAGCCCAGTACTTGCGACCTTCACCATAACTAGAAACCAGCACCTGTTAGTTATGCCACAACCTAGCATGGCGACACCAGGGTTTCGATCATACCGTTCATAAGCAGTCGAACTTCGGAGGGAGAGAGCAAGACCGACGACGAAACCGAGAACAGTAAGGAGAGTTGAATCAATGCCGACTGGAGGATGTTAGACCGCGTTCTTCTTCATGCATACGCCTAATACATGGAGGTTCAACGTACGGGGAACACCGCCTAGGTGAGTTACACATGTAATGAGGGTTGACCAGCAAGCCATCACTACCAAGGGGATAATCATTCGGGGCATGACACTGCCGTGAACCCGGAGAAATAGTGGCCATTTCGAATGTCTATCGAGGTTTCTTGGTCCTTTCTACATGTCCGACACCGTTAGCCGAACATCCATTGTGCACCGTGAAGGGAGAATGAAAGTAGAAAACGGCCACTGACGAAATAATCATTTATGTCGATGGTATTTCTCTTGGAGAGCATCTGTTGTGGCAGCTTGAGATCAGAGGCAGCTGCTGCACTGCTGATGTATGTAGGTCTTGGAGTAATCTTTGGAGGACCGGATTGGCCGGTCTTTGACGGTTCACATTTGGTCTCCATGCTGGATGCTTTGCTCTGAGCTCGAAGATTCTGGGGATGAGGAGCCGGCTCCTCATTAACGGAAAAATCGTCGGTCATATTGGAATATTTGTGGACGGAGTACGAGATGGATTATAAGTATAGACAAGGGGTGAATTTGATAAAGGATAGTCAACGGTATTATGTTCAAAAAAAGAAGGTGAAGACGCTGATGATGATAACGAAGGAATAAAGATTTATCGCAACAAACAAAACGAGAGAGCAAACGGGATTTGAGAAGACAGTACGAAAAGAAAAAGGGAGGGAGTGGAAGGATCAATTCAAGAAATATTTTTCTGGATCCCCTAAAGGTCTGGAAGGGATGGCGATGGTCCACAGAAGGGCGCTAACAAGCAGAAGGTTGCTAGTCCCCTGTCATGACGGCGGGAAGGTGAAACAACGCGTTGCAGCGGTCACAAAATACCTCGGGCCCTGCTGGGCATGAACTTAGCCCCCTGCAGGATACACACCAGCTTCTACTTATATATGTATCTTTCCCTTGACTGGCCATCTTGTGAGAATCGTGGCGATCAGTATGGCCCGTGGATATTCCCCGTGGAGTGTGCTGTGCAATGTGTCTTGTCTGTCGATACTTACTCGACTCGAGCGTACCTATAAATAGGGTAAATTAAGGACAATTTACTCCGCCGGCCCGTTTGGACAACCTTATGTCTTTTGGTAGGAGACAGAGCGCACCCTCCCTCACTTGCACCAATATCACTAATCTGCGAGACATGTTGGTGAAAAAGGAAAGCGAAAAAGCGAGGTCCAATTCCTTCCTTCCCCTGAGTTACCTTCGGCCATCCGGAGCCTTCCATGTCGACTCCGTAAAAAGTCGCCTTTTGTTTAGTCAAGTCTTAACCAAGACTTGGGCTGAGGCCTTGTCATCAACAACTAGGTTCATTGCCCTGGTCGGTCCAGGGTGTGTCATGGTGCCAATGGCGCTGGCTGTACTCCGTAGGATTGCAAGGGATTCAGGCCAAGGCCAGGACGTCCGACCAGGAATGCTGATGCATTGATTCGTTGTCATGCCCAGGAAGGGGTCCCGGCCCCTGCTTCAAGGCTGAAGCTGCGACAAGTATTAGGAACCGACCAGTCAAAAGGATCAGGGCAAGCGGCAGGAAAATCTTCGCCATGATATTTGATCAGCGATCACCGCTTGATCATTTTGTCTGGAGTTGTCTTTAGCGACTTTGTGGACCTGGAGAAGACGCGAGTGCTCGATGTCCCCATCCATATCTTGCATGTATGTTATTAGCGAAAGAGGTCTCCAAAACTCATATCTCCTACCAAGAGGTCGAACGAACCTTTTCTCTACCTTTTCCATGGGTACATAAAACATGACGGCGTCAATATCTTATCATTCATTCTCGTGCTTGTCGTATTGGTTGCCAGTTAACTAGCTACGCCCGACTGCGCAGAACAGCCAAACAGCCAGAGAGGGACACAGAGAGAGAGAAGACCAGCGCCTTTGATACCCAATGCTGACATCACTTCTCACGGGATCTCCTCTCTCGCGGCGCTCCAGGCCTTCTAGCCGGTGTCAAAGGGCGTGTGCTATCGTGTGCTATGCACATAACATGACTCCATCATACTCCATACACTGCGTACCCCGTACGCCGTACACCGTATCGATCGATGGAGTCGCAAGCAACCAAGCACAGGACCAAGCACCGAAGAGCCGACGAGACACTAGCTGTCGAGCCAGAATGCTAGATCAGCCACCGGCCAACGCCTTCGGTCTGGCCACGGTTTCCACACCTCCCAACGCCCTCTTGCCGCCCTCAGCGTATCCAGACATCCTGGCTACCTCCTCTTTCTGTCTCTTCCCATACCCCTTCTTCGCTTCTTAGACACCTTTTTTAGATGTCTTTCTTTAGATCTCTTCTTCTTAGTTTGCTTAGAAAGCGCCGTCTCGTCGTCTCATGATTCTCCAACTTTTCCCCCTCCTTTTCCCTTTTCGGTAATTCCGAAGCCGGGCCGGTCTCTGCTGACATAAGCGTCTTTATCTTATCGTGGCGGGAAGTTTCCTCCTCATCGGGACTAGCGCCTGGTCCCTGATTGGGCGGCTCGGCCGAAGAAAAGCCGGGAACTTCGTCATGCGGGGAGAAACTAGCAAGCTCAACACAAGCAAGGACAACAACAACAGCAGCAGCAGCAGCAGCAAGGTAGCACCAGCTTGAATAGCCGACGCTTGTCTCGTCTTGTCTAGCCTCAAGCATATATTAAGCATATATTAATTAAAGCGCCCCCTCACCCACCGCCAGGTGACTCTCTGCCATTCTTTTGCATTTCGAGTTTTTCTTTCCTTCTCTCAGCGTGCGTCTACAATGGCTTCTTCCATTCTACGCTCCAGGGTTAGTGGCAGGGCTGCTGCTCAGGTCAGATGCTTCAGCTCGACTCGCAGACATGCCGCTGCCTCTGCCTTTTTCTCCAACGAGCCGGCTGGTCCGACTGTGAAGACTGCCATCCCTGGGCCAAAGAGCAAGGAGGCCATCTCCCAGCTTGACCGCGTCTTCGATACTAGGAGCTTGAACATGCTGGTGGACTACCAAAAGTGCACTGGCAACTAGTACGTTGATACTCACTCAATTGCACTGTTTATGGACCAATTGGACACACTTGCTAACTGACATGCTTGGTATAGCATTGCAGACTTGGATGGAAATGTCTTGCTTGATGTGTACGTACTGTTTCCAATGCGCGGAGATAACCGAGTCTCTCTGACTAACTGATGCGTCCCGCAGGTTTGCCCAGATTGCCTCTATCCCGGTGGGATATAACAATCCAGCATTGCTTGCTGCTACTAAGACCACCGACATGGCCAGTGCTCTCATCAACCGTCCCGCACTCGGCAACTTCCCCTCTCACAACTGGGCAAGTATCCTCGAGTCCGGCCTCTTGCGGGTTGCCCCCAAGGGTCTCGACCAGGTATTTACCTCCACTACCGGCTCTGATGCCAACGAGACTGCATACAAGGCGGCTTTTATGTACTATGCCCAGCGCCAGCGTGGTGGCCCTGAGGTAGAGTTCTCCTCTGAGGACATCTCTTCCACCATGGTCAACCAAGCTCCTGGCTCCCCTAACTACTCCATTATGTCATTCACTTCCGCCTTCCACGGCCGTCTCTTCGGCTCTCTTTCCACCACCCGCAGCAAGGCAATTCACAAGCTTGACATCCCCGCCTTTGACTGGCCCCGTGCTCCGTTCCCCCAGCTCAAGTACCCGCTTGACCAATTTGCAGCTGAGAACGCAGCTGAAGAGAAGCGTTGCCTCGAGGAAGCTGAGAGGCTAATCAAGGAGTTCCACAACCCCGTCACTGCTGTTGTTGTCGAACCCGTCCAGTCCGAGGGAGGAGACAACCACGCCTCCCCTGCCTTCTTCCAGGGTCTCCGTGAAATTACAAAGCGCAACAATGTCCTCTTGATCGTTGACGAGGTTCAGACTGGTGTCGGTGCAACCGGCAAATTCTGGGCCCACGAGCACTGGAATCTCTCCACCCCACCAGACATTGTGACTTTCTCCAAAAAGGCACAGGCTGCTGGATACTACTTTGGCAACCCAGCTCTGAGACCCAACAAGCCATACAGACAGTTCAACACCTGGATGGGTGACCCAGCCCGTGCTCTCATCTTCCGTGCCATCATCGAGGAGATCGAGCGTCTAGATCTCGTCAAGCACACTGCCCAGACAGGAGACTACCTCTTCGCTGGCCTTGAGCGCCTGGCCGAGAAGTACCCTGGTGAATTCAAGAACCTACGTGGAAAGGGACAAGGCACCTTCATCTCATGGGACAGCCCCCAGCGTGATACAGTGTTGAAGCGCGGTAAGGAGGTCGGCATCAACATCGGTGGATGCGGCGAGGCGGCAGTCAGACTGAGACCCATGCTCGTCTTCCAGAAACACCACGCTGATATTCTCCTCGAATCTCTCGAGAAGATTGTCAAGTCATAAAATAGCGCTGTTTTTATCGCTTTAATTGTTCTGTGTTGTCTTTCCTCTAGTTTTATATGTGCAAGTTGCAGAATTTGGGTCAGTGCAGGGAAGGTAATTTGATCCCTAGCTTAGCTTTAGAGATGTTTCACGAACCTAATAAGACTTTCCAGCATGGTTTTTACCTGTTGCAATACCTTCTTTACCTGCTTTATTCCAGGCACTATTCTACTCTATACTTTGTTTTATTACCCACATATAAACTCCCCAGGAAATATTGTAAACGTTTGGACAAAAAAATATAAACGCCTTCGCCTTGCTACCAGCCAGTAAATAAAATAATAGCACCAAACCCCCTGAATCAAACCCATGAGCTAGCGTGTGTAAAACCACTTCAACCATCATTATCGGCGGCACTTCCATCTCTCCTAAACAGCACCAATTAGCCTGTATGTTTTTTTAAGAAGGGTAATATCAGCACATACGGAATATAGGTTATCCCCGCCTCTTCCAAGTCACTCAATACCTCCGGCGGAAGCTATTATCCATCCTTATTAGCCTATCTTCTCGCATCCTGGTAAAGAGTGTCTCCAAACTCACCGATCCCACGACCTTCACAGCGTATGTTCCAGGGACATATCCGTCCAGTCTCTGCCAACGAGCTACCCAGGAGGTCCGCTCGTCCGCCAGCGCGACCAAGCCTTCGAAGACCTGCGAGGTACAATCCTGTATCGCTTCGGTGTTTCCGCGGAGGTTCAGCACGGCTTCACAGTTGGGGCAGCCTTCGTTCATGAATTTCTAAAAGGTATCTTATTAGCTGGGTGGTCATGGAGAGCTATGCGGGAGCTGGGGAAGGGTGCAAAATACGTTGTGTAGCTGGACGATGGAGCAGACCATACATGCGCGCAGAGAGCGCTGCTGGCTGGCTGAGACATAGAAGGACCCGGACGCCATTTTATGAGTTTCGACAGCTGGGCTTTCTTGTTCTTCTCGTCCTGTCTTCCTGTTTTCTTCGTTCTTCTGTTCCTCGTATGTTCGTTCTTCTTCAATCGTCTTTATCAAAGTTTAAGCTCTTTGCTTATTAATAAGTTATATTACATCATCACGCTTACTAACAGGACCAAAGCTTATCTTTCCCCGGCTGCCGGTTGACTTTTTTTGTCTTTCGTGAACTTCTCGACGTTTCGACTTCGCACTCGCTGGCTTTCTGGATGTGCTGTTTTATTCCCTGTCGTGAGATATAGAGCAGGACGATATTGATACCACATTTTCCCTTTGTTGTTTAACCCGGTCGAGTACTATCTCCCACTTATCTGCACATTTATCTACAAAAACCCCACATTCGTCCCGCTGCACATCACTTTGGCCCCATGTCTCAACCCGATGTCGAGGCCGCTACAGCCCTCAAGCTACAAGGCAACAAATGCTTTGCGCAGCATGACTGGCCCGCGGCTCTAGACTTCTATACCCAAGCCATCGAGCTGTATGATAAAGAGCCATCGTTCTACTGTAACAGAGCACAGGTATATATCTCACTAATCCCTTGTATCAAGTATATAGTGAGTTTGTACGGTTTTTTGATTCAGCAAGCTAACTCCTATGCTCTTTCTATCAGGTACATGTTAAACTAGAAGCCTTCGGATTTGCGATTGCAGATGCCACCAAGGCCATTGAGCTTGACCCTAGTTATGTCAAGGTATATAGACTAAACCCCAGTTCAGACTGTAGTAACCCGGAACGCCTTCAATCAGCTAACTAGAGAGCAGGCGTACTGGCGCAGAGCTGTTGCAAATACTGCCATCCTTAACTCCCGCGCAGCCCTTAAAGACTTTAAGACCGTTGTGAAAAAGGCCCCGCACGACCGTGATGCGAAACTCAAATTGGCAGAGTGCGAGAAGCTCGTACGGCGGATTGAATTCGAGAAAGCCATCGAGGTCGCTGATCCTCCATCGGCGTTTGAGGGACTCAATATTGAATCGATGGTTGTGGATGATAACTATGATGGTGTACGATTGGAGGATAAAATGACCCAAGAGTTCATTGATGACATGATAAAACGATTCAAGAATGGAAAGCAGATACATAAGAAATATGCGTTCCAGATAGTGAAAGCTGTGCGGGATATTGCATACAATGAGCCTACCATGGTTGAAATTGGCGTTGAAGAAGGCTCTAAATTAACAGTCTGTGGTGACACACATGGTAAGCCTAAAATTTACCCTTTAATGACGCTTTCACGGCCCTTTCTATTAACACTTCTGTGTACAGGCCAGTTCTTTGATCTTCTCGAAATATTCCGTCTTAATGGCTTCCCCTCTGATAAACATTCTTATCTCTTTAATGGCGATTTCGTTGATCGCGGCAGCTGGTCTTGTGAAATTGCCCTCCTTCTTTATGCCTACAAATGGATGCGCCCCAACTCCTTCTTCCTCAATCGCGGAAATCATGAAACCGATGATATGAACCGCGCGTACGGCTTTGAGGGAGAATGCAAAGCCAAATACTCCGAACGTCTATTCAAGGTCTTCTCTGAATCCTTCAGCGCACTCGCCCTTGCGACCTTGATAGGAGAGAAGTATCTAGTACTCCATGGCGGCTTATTCTCAGACGATAATATCTCCTTGGCCGATATCAGAGCTCTGAACAGACATAACCAGCGCCAACCTGGCCAGTCTGGTTTGATGATGGAGATGCTCTGGACTGATCCTCAGGTCATGCCTGGTAGAGGACCTAGCAAGAGAGGTGTTGGTATGCAGTTTGGCCCAGACGTCACTAAACGGTTCTGTGAGAAGAATGGTCTTGAGGCTATCATTCGAAGTCATGAAGTTCGTATGGAGGGTTATGAAGTTGAACACGATGGAAGATGTATCACTGGTAAGTCTATCCTCCTTTTATATGTGCTATAAGTAAGCGCTGCTAACTGTTGTAATAGTCTTCTCTGCCCCCAAATACTGTGATAGCACTGAAAACAAGGGTGCATTCATTAACATTGGGCCCGAACTCAAGCTAGACTTCCACAAGTTCGACGCTGTCCCACACCCTGACATCAAACCAATGGTACGTTCATCATTCAGTTGTTAATAATTACTTGCTGTTACTAACTTCACTTTCAGGCATACGCCAACAACTCGATCATGTCTCTGATGTAGTCAGATTTGTAAGCCAAAATGCTACCAGAATCCATCAGAGGCATTTGATACCATACACCTTGAAGGTATCCAGAGTAGGGGGCTCGGTTATACTCCATTTGACTAGCCACGTTCTCTTTAAGGCTAAACCAAGGACCTTAAGGTTTACCACTGCTCTTTTTACCAACAGGTACGCCCACACTACCGTGGGCCATATTACCCGAATTATTCCATCATCCCCTTGCAATCTACGAGTGACGAACCTTGTACCACTTATGATCTAACAGCATGGTAGAGCACAGGCGTTTTTAAAAGAATTCGAAGCGCTTTGGGACTGCAATCTGTATTAAAAGAATGCCTTGGGGCTAACTATCATCTTGTAGCTATTTAGTTCGCACCTATGTTGGCACCCTAAGTTGATAAAGTCTTCACTTGTATCGTCGTCAATACTGCCTACCTTTCTAGATCTACGTTTCTGTATTCTTTGTAAGGGGAGCTTGATGTTTCTTATCTCCGAGATAATTCCGGGCGGGATGTTCTCAAGCGACTAAGTTTAACTATTTGGTGGGATACCAAACATCTCAAGTACCTTGCTTGAGCTCATTCAACTGCATGCTTTAAGCCCCAACGCCGTGCACCAAATTTAAAGATGGAATTCGACACCAAAACTCGTAAGTGCCCTCTATGAGCATGGGTATAGCCCTTCCCTCGAGCCATAACCCTGAATATCGCATGTCTACCTCTGTTGGCGGGGTTGTCAAGCCGTAAATGCCGAAGCTAACGCCTCTGTTGTACAATAGCACCCGTCTGCACATCAGACAAGAAAACGTTCGCATACATTTCTGCATTGGAACGATGGCCCGTTATTCTAGTGAGGCATTCTTATTTGACTAACTGTACCGCTGGTGCCTGGTCTAGTAAGCTAAACGAGCGTTATTCCTAGACTGGTGCCATTGACGATCTTCACCGTTCGGTTATTAAGGCAACGGATGAAGAGAAACAGAAAGAGGGAAAGGGTATCCTCCATGAACTGGCTGGATTGAAGTACGAACTTCAACATGACCGGAAATTGACGTTAGTTAACCCTGATTTCTCCAACAATGTGGCTTCGCAGGGTAACCTTGCTAACCTCTAATGTAATCGCTAGTCCTCTCGTCGACGATGGAGAGTCAGACATTGCCATTTATAACAAGGAATTAGCAGACCGTGGGGAAATCTCGTGGCTCAACGCTCCCTGGCTATTTGCGGAATGCTATCTATGTTCGTAAATGCTCCAAATTCCTTACTTTTTTCAATATCACCAACTAATAAGGAAAACAACACCGAAAAGACAGGCGAATGAGCACCCATTTTGCCCTTTCAAAGCATTGGAAAGAATACGATGTCTTTGCACAGCAGAAAATGTCCACGTTTAGGTCTTCTAGACCTGCCGTGCTTGAACTAGCCACTCGATACAAAGATTTATCCCAAGACCTAAAGCAGATACATTCAAAGAGGGATGATATGACTCCTGAACAACAGCAAGAGGCTGATAAAATGTTATTTATGGAGATGTGTGAAATTTGTCTGTGGGGTAACGCTACGGATCTCTCGCTCCTGACATCCCTTACATATGAGGACATCCAAAAGCTTCAAGGAGCAGAGGCCCGAAAGAAGGCTGAAGCAAATGTCCTGGTGAATGATCTTCCGGCCGCATTTGAACTCCTAAACAAGGCCCGCACGGAACGAAAGAACGAAGAGCGCCGAGTAGATATCGTTCTAGATAATGCGGGTTTCGAACTTTTCGTTGACCTCATTTTAGCCGGCTATCTTCTTTCCTCTGGATTGGCAACGTGTGTTGTCCTTCATCCTAAATCAATTCCATGGTTTGTATCTGATGTTCTACCGCGGGATTTCGGAGACCTAATTGCTCTCCTTTCTGATCCGCAGAGCTTCTTCAGCAGCACAGAGGGAGAAGAAACGGGCGAGGAGAAGAAACCACAGCCTCTCACAGAAAAGGAGGTAGATGAGCTGAAATATCTATTCCAGCAGTGGGGGGATTTCCATGCAGAAGGACAGTTGATCATCAGACCGAACCGATTCTGGACAACGGGATCAAGTTATTGGCGGCTACCAAATGAGGCCCCAAGTCTCTATGAAGACCTAAAGGAGAGTGAACTGGTGATCTTCAAGGGAGACCTGAACTATCGAAAGTTGATAGCAGATGTAAGTTCGCTTTTTCATCCGCTTGTCCTAAGCGTATGCGTAAGGATGTGTATTAATTCTATCGTTTAGGCTCACTGGGACCCAACTACGCCCTTTAACACGGCAATCGGACCACTTGGCCCGGGTTCAGGGGTCAGAGTCCTCGCCCTCCGCACTTGTAAGGCTGACGTTGTCGTTGGTCTTGAGAAAGGTGAAGACGAGCGCCTACGTAATATGCCGAATGGAGGAGGTGACTCTGGTTCCCGGAAATGGGCCTGGAGCGGGAAATGGGCCGTCGTTTCACTTTGCGATGGGAAGAAACAGTAATAGACATTGTATATCTGTGAGAAAAAAGTGGATATTGAAGGAATGATTAGTAGGAGAGCTAGGGTGTGCTTAATAGACATTAATATTCGCATTGATTTCAGGGGTGTAAGGAAAGTTCGCTTGCTCAATGAGTTTTGGACAAAAAGCTAGTACAGATATATAACCAACAACCAAGCTCAAATCGTAATTCGTGCTGCAGACGGCGCATTCTACGCTGAAAGCATGTTTTCCTTGTCCTCTGCTTCGACTTTAGCATTAAGTTGCCTCTGCCTCAATCTAGCCTTGGCTGCTGCAAGCCGGTCTGATGGTATAGAGCCGAGTTTGGATTGAGCAGGACCGTCCGGCTTGGTAATTGATTGGCGGTTTATATCTGACGAGTGATTAGTAGCCCGCTGTCGTTCGGTTTGCGAAGCCGCTCGTGACTTAGGCCGTTTAGGTAGGGTGTCTACACGGCCAGAGTTCAGATACGAAAGGGAAGGGCGAGGTGAATGGCCGGGGCGATACGAAGTTCGTTGTTTGGCAGCCGGTTTGGAGAGAGGTGTGGATTTCACGTCGCCTGTGAGAGTAGGTGCTGAACCAAAGGTTGTGTTCGTCATATCACCGTCTTTCTGGCGAAGTGATTCAAGATTCCGAGCCGAACCACCGAGTCTAATAAACAGTTCTTCGGCGAGGTTGAGTGGTTCATCGGAGTTCTTTGAATTATTACCAGAAATTTTGGTATCACTTTTAAGTTGTAGTTTGCGACGAACGTTGGCCATAGGGGCACTATTGGTAGCTTCTGTGTCTTCACGAATATGCTCCAATGTTCCTTGTTGTATAGACTGCTTTGTTGGCGAACCCGTCCCTCGGAGGGTTTTTAATAGCGCGCCTATGGTTTCTTCATCAAAGGGGCTTTCAGGGGCTTTGCTTTGGGCATCTTCTCGGGATTTAGCCGGTGACTTCTTAGGTGAATTGAGCACATCCCTATCACTGGGGAGGGTAATTTCCAGCTGGTCATCTCCTGAATCATACGAATCCGCCCGTGCGTGATAGCTACGGGTAGTCTTCCTAAGCCGCTCAAGTATGTCTTCTGTAATCTCTTCACGTCGTGTCGAGCGGCTGCATGCTTGGGGCTGGGAGTTATCAGAACGCAATGCTAAGGTTCCTTTTAATAAATCGATGGTCTCTTGCATTTGTTTCCTCTCAGCATCAAAGGATTTCCTTAACGCTTCCTCCGCGGCTTGGTGGTCCCGTAAAGAGTCAGTTAAGCGCTTACTATAGTCCTGGGCGCGAGACTCAAGTCGCTCTTCGCGTTTCTTCGCTCTCTCTTCTTGTGCTTTTCGCCGCTCCCCGACATGTAGAAGTTCAGTCTTCACTCTGTCGAGATTGCGTTGCAGTAATAAGTTCTCTCTTTTCAGTTCGGCAGCTTTCCGCTCCGAACTCCGGACAAGTTCTTGCAGCTCCTTCAACTTCGGGTTTCCCTCGCTTTCACGTAGTCGGGCGTTAGCCTCCCAAAGAGCCTCTTCAACTTCACGAAGCTTCGCAGCAGATTCATCTGCCGAAATATCTCTTGCCAGCATCTCCTTATCGACAATCCCATGATCCTCCAACGTTTTCCTAAAAGTTGCTGTTTTTTGCTTATATTGTAATGCAGCAGCAGTTTGCCTTGAAAGCTCGCGGAACATCTGGTCCTTGTTTGAGTTTTCGCCATCTCCGCCGCCAACCATACCAGCGGCAAGCTCAGAAACGCGCTTCTCCATTTCCGCTACTTTGAGCTCTTCTTGCTTCAGTTTCTCGGTGAGACGTAGGGCCTCTGTCTCCTTTTTCTTTGCGTAGGATTTGGCAACAGAACGGTATTCGATTAGTTTCCGTATTTCCTTCTCCGTCTTGGTCCGGTAGTTTTCAAATTCAGATTTCCAATACTTTCCGGATTGGGAATGCGGAGCCTCGAGGTTAACTGTCACATCTCCCTCGTCTTCCTCGTCTTCCTCGGATTGGTCAGATTCACGGCAGTCGTCCTCGATGGCCTTTTCACGAGTATCTTTGCGCTCATCCTTCTTGACAGGAGTACAATCATCAAAGCCATCCACTTTTTGTCCGAATTTTTCTTCGCGGGCTTCAAGTAGAGACTGTGTCAGTTTGCTCCTGCGCCCGGAGCCACTGGACACACTCATAGACCATTGGCTGCTGATATTCCCTCCACTTAGCTCTAGATCCCGTTCATCGTCAAGAAAAATGGGTTTGCGCTCATTATCCTTGACGCCAGCTCCGAATGACACCGTTTTACGGCGTGTTGTAGCGGTCCCAGGAGTAAGTAGGATACTCTTTGACGGCGACGCTATCGCATGCGCAGGTTCCTGTACCTTCGGCTCAAGCTTGGGAATTTCCATCTTTCGGTCCTCGCCTAACGAAAATTTCTGAACCGCCTTTTTTAGGTCATCGTTTTTCTTGTGAGAACTAGGGTTCAGTGGGCGTATGGGGATGGTTAAGTCTTTATCCTCGTCCACTTCGGGGGCAGGAGTTCCAAGCATCGCGTTTTTAAAAGCTCTGTATGCAAAAACTGGCGCTGGTGTCTCTGGCGCATCAAGTATCATGGACTCGTCTGTTTTAATTCAAGATTGTGGTTAATATATTGCCCTTGGAATGAAAGGTATCTACCTCACAGGGAAGTGAGGTGAGGCGCCTTACCTCCTGCAACGCCCTGATTGGAGCCTGCCAACCAGCTCAGCATCGTTGACACCTAACAGATATAGAATTGGCATTAACAGCTGCCCATTACCGTAGAAACCGTGAGCGTATGAGCAACGTCCGATGCCCTCTTTACCGGCTTCAAGGCTGCTTGTCTCTGTCTTGCTCACGCGAACTTTTCCCGTCGTCCAAAATGGAGAAAATGCGCTTTGTTTACTTTTCTGACGTCACGTGGTTGCCGCCTCGACCATACCCGCCACTAGTCCACGCCGGGACTAGCGGCTGACTTTAAAACTTGCCGAGGCACGGGGTGCATGGCGGAAGCAACGTCGACAAGCGATGATAGTTCTCCATATATAAATATGAAAACAGAGGGCAGGTATGTTATGGAGAGCAGATTGAGGGGAGACCGCATACTCCGTAATTATACCCTAGGATTTGTGACAGCAGGACTTTGCAGGGATCCGTAGACAGAGGTTCGCAGAAAATGAGGCCCGTTGGTGCTGGTCTATAAATAGGAACATGCCAGCCTCCAAGGTGACAGATATCAACGGCGGAACAACTGACAGCACCGGCCATATAGTTTATTTGAACCTTCACATTAGCTATATAGAAGCTACATAAGATACAGATCATCCATATTTCGAGGAGTACTTTTCCTTTTTATATTTATACATACCTACCATCTCTGACCGCACCTAAGGTACCTATATGCAGGCTTATCAACACGTGATCCGGTGCGACTATCTTCCGCACACCGCCAGCAAAATCCCTGTACAAGGTTGACTGCAGCACAAGATGTGAATCACTTGTTGGGCACAAAGACAGACAGACAGTCCAGCACTTCCACTCTCTTAACCACCAATTATTTTTAGTCTAATAATGTTCCAATAGAGGGCTGCAGCTACGGCTGCAATCTCTGTTGCTTGCTTCCTGAGAAGCAACACTCCCTCTCGTTGAGGAACCTCTATTTGTATGCGATCATGCCGCGCAAACAAAGGAAAGGGAGCACAAAGACCAACGGTTCCCCTGTGGAAGATAAACAGCAGACTGCCTCTAACCAGGCCCTGACCACTAATTATGAAGAAATACACAAGAACGAGGCAGATGCCCTACGTTCAATCTACGGCGACGAGTTCGAAGACGTAGAGACGAAACCCTCTGCGTGGAATGTAAGTTTGTGTCGGGTGCTTTGCACTGCTATATAAATGCGTACACAGTTATATAATGGCCTTTTTTTATATATAAGACTCTTGATTTAACCTATTATGCTTATCCTGTCTATCCAGCAATCCTCGACAATATCCTTTAAGCTGCAGCTCAAGGCGTCATCGAATCCAGAGGTTCGACTCTGCCTTTTCGTTGAACTGCCGACGACATATCCGAAATCAGTGCCGATATTAAAGCTAGAAACCGTTCAAGATGTCAGACACAGCGCCAAAGAGAGGCTTGAGGAAGTTCTAAGGTCCAAACCAGTAGAACTCCTGGGGTCCGAAATGATCTACGAACTTGCTGTTGCCATTGAAGATGTGCTGGAAGATTCCGCCCAGGCACAGGCTCAAGATAAAGATTTACCAAGCCTTGAAGAGGAACGTATCGTTCAGGAGGCTGCTGCTCTTCAGCAGGCCGAGAAGCTGAAACAGGAGGAGTTAGCTCGACAGCAAGAAGCAACCGTTGAGGAAGAAAAATCGTTACAGTTGCTAGTTGAAGATAAACTAAAGCAACGTCAACGGGAGAATGAGCAGCTGTCTCGCCGCAAGAGTAGGACCAATGCAGAAGACTTTGGTCTTTTGGAGTCTATTGTCGATGTCCCAGACGCGATATCGTTCGATCCTCCAATGGCCATCACTGGCATGCATGACCGTCCTCTCTGGTTTAAGTCTGTTAGTGGGAAGAACATGATTGGTAAGTCTCACTACAAGGAAACATTTATAGTGAGGCCGATTGCCCAGGGAAACACACCGTTGGTACCGCTGCTAGTCTTGAAGGAAATATTCATCCACGAGAGTGAAAGTAAGGATGTTGATCTCCGGTTCCAGATCAGCCTGAGTGAGGATAAACTTGAATTTTTAAAGAAGCTTCGTCATCCCAACCTAGTGGATTTCATTGGCTTCAAAATCCAACGTCCTATTGATTCATACTCAGGTCAAGCGGGCACATGGCACATATATGCCCTCTTTGAGCATGCTAATAAGGGTTCTCTATCTGAATTACTGGATATCGTCGGCAGCGTTCCGGCAGACAATGCTAGAGCCTGGATGATTCAGCTGGTTGAGGCTCTAGAGTATTATAATCGCCATGGTGTTGTGCATGGAAATATTCACTGTGGCCGTGTTTTACTCTTCAGGAGTCCATCGAGCACTACCACAGTAAAACTACTCAGTAACGTGGAGGAGGTACTCCCGCTATCATCCACGACCAGGAGAAGGAGTCTTACAACGCCAAAATCTCCATTCTGGCTACCTCCAGAGCTCGCAGGTGAAGGCATGAAACCAACCATCAAAACTGATGTCTGGGATTTAGGTATTCTCTTCCTGCAAATGGGATTTGGAAAAGATATCCTACAACGCTATACATCAGCAGATGCGGTCATCAACGCCATGGAACTATCCCCTCAACTAGAGGACATGCTCGTTGAAATATTCAGATCCGATCCTAAGAAGCGCCCAACGCCATTCCAGATCCAACCATTTGAGTTTTTCCGAGTTGACACGCCGTTGATCATCCCTGTTGGAACTCCAGGCTCCTCTTCCCTCCCTAATCGTACACGTCATGACTCGCAGGGCCATTTAGCAGCAGTCTCCCGTTACAGTCATGATTTTGATGAAGTCGGCCGTCTTGGGAGGGGCGGCTACGGTCTGGTTGTTAAAGCTCGGAATAAATTGGATGGCAGGTTTTACGCTGTTAAAAAGATATCCCAAAAGTCCCCTGTCGCTTTAAAGGATACCCTATCTGAAATAATGCTACTGTCAAGACTCAATCATCCTTATGTTGTGCGATATTTTACGGCATGGCTAGAAGAGAATTACGTTGCGCTGAGTGACGATGACGATTCAGATGCTATTTTGTCATCAGATGGCTCTGGTTCGCACTCAGAAGATAATATTGAGTTTGGTTACAGCACTAGTGGTCTGGATTTCATCAGCTCAAGCGGTTACCCAAAAGTTGAATTCGGATATGATACTGATGAAGGAGAAAGTGATACCATTTCAGATGGCACTGGTGTTCAGAAGAAAGGGACTGATGCCAGTACTACGCAGGAGGGTGTATCCCTTCGCCGAGTAAGATCGGGCTCGCAGTCACGAGTCATTCCTACAACTCTTTATATTCAAATGGAATACTGCGAGAAACATGTAAGCGTGCCCCGGGGAAAGTCGCTGTGGTTTCATGGAACTAACTTCAAGTTCTAGACTTTACGTGATCTTATCAGATTTGGATTGCATGAAAATATCGATTCTTCATGGAGACTCTTCCGGCAGATCCTTGACGGTCTAAATCACATTCATTCCCATGGTATTCTACATAGGGATCTCAAGCCAGATAATATCTTCATTGACATGGCAAATAATCCGCGAATCGGAGACTTTGGCCTGGCTACAAGTGGGCAGCTTAGCTCGACTGATCGATCACCTGCCCTGGAAAGCATAGCAGCTGGGTTTACTCAGAGTATTGGTACGACGTACTATGTCGCTCCTGAGGTTAAGAAAGCTTCTATGGGACAGTACAATGAGAAAGTCGATGTAAGCTCCTATATCATCTTATCATCGGGTTCATGCTAACAACTTACAGATGTACTCCCTTGGTATTATCTTCTTTGAAATGTGCTACCCGCTTGAGACTGGAATGGAAAGGGACCGGACACTTCAGGATATCAGGCAAAAGCAGCATACCCTCCCAGAAGCATTCAACCTCCCGGAGAAGGTAGCACAAGGAGAAATAATTCTGTCTCTCATCAGTCATCGACCTAGCGAACGTCCAACCACAGCCGAGCTACTTCAAAGTGACAAAATACCGCTCCAAGTTGAGGAAGAGATGTTTCGGAAAGCAGTCATGGGGCTCCTATCCGACCCTGAATCTCCGGACTACAAGAAAATACTGTCTGCGATATTTTCCCAGCCTCAGAAGAAATTTGAAGACATCGCATGGGATATAGACTCGCGTGCAAGTCCTACTGCTACGGAATTGCTACTTCATGGGATGGTAAAAGATAAGCTTACTTCATTATTCCGAAAACATGGAGCAGTGGAAACGTCTAGACAGTCCCTCTTCCCACGATCATCCCATTATGGCCCAGGAGCCGTCCGGCTTCTAGACCCAGGCGGAAATCTAGTCCAGCTGCCCTACGATCTTACTCTTCCAAATGCTCGAGCCCTGCCAAAACAGGATTTATCTATTGAAAAGGCATTTTCCTTTGGGACGGTTTACAGGGAGTCTGTCCATAGAGGCGAACCCAGGGGTCATAAAGAGGTTGATTTTGATATTGTTTCTTATAACACTTTAGATTTACCTTTGAAGGAGGCAGAGGTAATCAAGGTGCTGGATGAGATTATCGACGAATTCCCGCCATTGAAGTCGAGTCAGATGTGCTTCCATCTCAATCACTCTGACCTCTTGGAGGCTGTCGTCGCATTTTGTCGCATTACGCCCGAACAGCGGCCCATCGTGAAAGAGGTTATCAGTAAACTTAACATTGGACAGTACACAATGCAGAAGATCAGAAGTGAACTCCGCTCACCGAGCATTGGAGTGTCATCAACATCAATTGATGATTTGTCGCGATTCGATTTCCGAGGTATGTCAAAGTTTCTTTTACGCTACTAAGACGTGAAATTAACGCATCTCCTAGATACCCCCGAGAAAGCATTAAGCAGGCTTCATGCTATCATGGATGGCACCGAATACGCGGATAGATTGTCACCTATCTTTAACCGATTGAACATAGTTGTATCATATCTGGAGAAGTTCAAAGTGAAGCGGAAGGTCTACATCAGCCCACTAAGCAGCTTGAACGACAAATTCTATAACGGCAGCGTGCTCTTCCAGTGTGTGTTTGATAAAAAGAGAAGAGATGTCTTTGCAGCTGGCGGAAGATACGACAGTCTGATCCAAGAGTTCCAGCCCATTTTACGCTCGAACCGTCCAAGATCTCATGCAGTTGGCTTTAATCTTGGATTGGATAAATTGAATGGGTCGATGACGAACTATCTGAAAGGGTCTAATAAATCTTTCCTCAAACCAGATGTAGACGTTGGGAATGCATGGCGCAAAAATAAGGTATGTTGAACCAATTACTATCAGAAAATAGGCGTCTATGGCTAATATCAGCGAATATAGTGTGATGTATTGGTTGCTAGCTTTGATCCTTCTGTGCTGCGCACGGTTGGAGTTGGTATTGTCTCAACTCTATGGGCACACGACATTAGCGCCGAGCTCGCGGCAGACACGACGCCTTCAATAGAGGACCTTCTTAGCAGATACGTTGACGATAACTATAGTTGGGTAGTTATTGTCAAGCAGGACAGTATTGAGAGAGGTTTGAGAGTCAAGAGTGTTCAGCGTAAAGAAGACTTTGACGTGAGGAGTTCAGATTTGGTCCCCTGGCTTCGGAATGAGATGCGCGCTCGCAGGAAATTCAAACATGACCGACCCCCCGAATCTCCAAAGCTGGTTAAACATCCTAGTCAAGGCGAGGCCAGCCTTTCAGGCAAGGAGAGAGACTCAGATGTTAGAATACTGACGCCCCTTCACAAGAGTAAAAAGACGAATAGGAGAAATATCGTTGAATTTGGTAAGTTTTCTACACAGCACTATGCGGAATTTTTCCTGTTAACAGTTCAATTGCAGCACTGCGTCGCTCTCGTGAAGTGCTCGACAAAGGCCTTGATGGACCAATTGCCGCAATTGACGTTCGAGACGATGTCCTTGAAAGTATTCGAGACACTCGTCTCTCCGATCCAGACAGCTGGCGGAATGCGATCCAAAGTGCACCGTTGGTTGAAAGAAAGTACCTAGGGAACATCCATGAGCTACTGATCGATCTTGCGAGTGAAGGCGTCGCACCGGATGGTACTGTGAAGTATACCAATGCTTTCGTCTACAACTACCGGACCGGAAACTGCATTTATTATGACTTGAAACGAGGAAGTTAATCAACCTACAGAACATGAATTCATGTATATAGTTAGTTATTTTTACATTGTCCCGTTAGATATTAGCCAAATGAAATCTAAAGTACACCAGCGAGGACGAAAAAGAGAGAAAAGGGGTAAGCAAAATAAAGAGGAACTGCTCTTCCTGTGGTATCATTCGCTATCATCATCACTACCATAAGCAACCAAAGGGCCACCTGAACTCTTGGTTGCAGCTGGTTTTGTAGTTATACCCGAGCCGCCATAGGTATGCAACGCGGCCAAAGTTGACCCAGACAATATCCCATTACCCGCGGCCGGTTGTGCGGGAGGTGGCGCTTCAATCAACCCAGGTTCCGCGGCTGGTTCAAGCTCCTTTGTCCCATCCTGCGCCTGTTCCAGCTCTCGACTTCTCGCATACCAAACTTCATCTGGCGGCTCATATCCATCCAAGTTAAACCCAGCCTCTATTCTCTTCCTCTTCTTGGCCTCAGGATCTCTGCCTTCAAGTTCTGCCACAAATTCGGCCGGTAAAGCTCTCCTCACAGCCTCTGCAGCCTGCTCTTCAATTCGTCTGGCTTCCCTCTTCTGCGCCGCAGGGTTCGGATCCACGGTCGCCCATCGAACGTTTAATATTTCATTATTATCCAAGCTCTGATGCGACATAGCCTCCTTTGCGAACTGTGAGTTTGCTTCATTTGTGTATGTGACGAACGCCACGCCTCTCTGGTTAAGAACGCGTATCCGGTCGATCTGGCCCCATTCCGTGAAATGTCTGGCTACCACTTCTTCGATGTCATCCGTAACGTGTATTCTTCCAACGTATAGAGTCCTATTCTGTCTCATAAATGTGCCCACGCCACCCATATCATCTCTGTAGTCGCTGAATTTGTCTCTACCGAAGCAGTCCACGTTTGGATTGAAGAGGTCGTGTATGCCTGGTAGGCGGTGAAGGTATTCACACTCGTGTCCCTTTGGACAGAGTCCTCGCGCAAAGAATATGCAAAAGAAGGATCCTGTTATTTTATCGGCACGCGTATATCCGCTATCCTTCGCAATATTGCACCTCGACTCGGCTGGCTGTTGGGAGAGATATTTATCTTCTCGGTCTCCTCCTGACCACTTATTATACCAGATATTGAAGATGGTTCCTGTCTGCGGGGGCGGTTCCGATTTCACAGTCGATGGATCAACCTGTACTCGTGCCGGCCGTCTTTTCCGTCGTATTATCTTCGTCTTCTTCTCTTTGTCTGCTCCGTCTGTCGTTGTAAGGGCAGTTTCTGTTGCTTCTGTCGCATCTGCCTTCTGCATCTGGAGGTCGGTAGACGACTGTTCAGCCATGGCAACACCCTCCTGAGCCTCAACTGGGTCTGCCGAAGCCATATTTTCTATTGTGGATGGAGTATTATGGTTGTTCCGGTAAATGGTATGAACTGCAGCTCGTCGAAGCTTCAAAACTTCCGAAGCTGCAAAAAAGTGACGGCTGTGATTACGTAACCACGGCAACCCACATTTGCGCCAATCAGTCGGCGGGGAGAAGAAGAAGACGAAGAAGAGAACAAGTGAAGCAGATATCAAATTAATTCTCGTCAACTTGATCTTGCTACCTTTGACTCTGGCTGGAAGAATCAGAGTTAGATATTTCAGATCTCGCCGATTCTTATACTGATTCTGGAAGATAATACCCCTTAAGGTTGCCCATCATGGTGAACATCACGGAAAAGATTAAGGAGTGAGCTTTACCAAATATATCCCCATAAATAGTGAATATAGGTTAATACGTATTTCTGGTGGTGTACAGGATCGAGGAGGAGATGCGCAGGACGCAAAGTATGGCCTCTTGCTACATGGATATGTTGATATTATCATTTGATATAAGGGCTAACGGTTTGGACTTATAGAAAACAAGGCCACTGGTATGTTCATATACGTTCAATTCCCGAAAAAACAAAATTAACACCTTCCAGAATACCATTTAGGTCTACTCAAGGGGTTTGTGTACCCGTGAACAAGTCAGTGTTCAACTATCGAACTAATTTTATACCCCTACAACTAGAAAGCTCGCACGACTACGAGCCCAACTTCTTGAACCAACGGGAGGGTCTGGGTCAGGCGGAGGAGCCGGTTTTGATGTTAGCAAGAGCGGAGATGCTCGAATATCTCTTGTTGGATTCCCTTCCGTTGGAAAGTCGACATTTCTATCAAAGATAACCAAGACCAAGAGTGAAGTTGCCGCGTATTCCTTCACAACTCTCACGGCTATCCCAGGCGTGTTAGAGTATGGTGGCTCAGAAATTCAGATCCTAGATCTTCCTGGAATTATTGAAGGGGCAGCGGAAGGCAAGGGACGAGGAAGGCAGGTTATTTCTGCGGCTAAGGTATTTTCCACTAATAGCGGACTAAATTCCCGGTTACAGTGGCTAACATATCGTGAAGACGAGTGACTTGATTCTGATGGTTTTGGACGCAACGAAGCGAGCTGAGCAGAGAGCATTGCTAGAGGCTGAATTAGAAGCTGTTGGAATTCGACTGAACCGAGAAGTGCCGTAAGTATACATAGTCCTCGATTGCAACCTAACAGCTGTTAATGTATATGGATAGAAACATCTATCTAAAAGTTAAAAAGGCCGGTGGGATGAAGATCACCTTCCAGTCACCCCCCAAGTATCTTGACGAGAAGATGCTGTACAATATTTTGAGAGACTACAAGGTGCTCAACTGCGAAGTCCTGGTCAGGGATGAAAATGGTAGCGACTTCCACCCTTTTTCCCACTTGTCTCTGCCCCATAAACTAAAAATGAACAAAAGCTACGGTCGACGACTTCATAGATGTGATCATGAAAGACCACAGAAAATATATCAAGTGGTAAGGATATCAACAGCAACTGACCTAGTTTTGACTTGTCTAACCGGCCAATTCCAGCTTGTACGTGTATAACAAAATCGACAGCGTCAGCCTGGACTTCCTCGACCAGCTAGCGAGGGAACCTCACACCTGCGTGATGAGCTGCGAGCTCGACCTCGGCATCAGAGACGTGGTAGACCGATGCTGGCAGGAACTCCAGCTCATCCGTATCTATACAAAGCGGCAAGTGTCATTCTTATTGTATCAATTGTACATGTTATTGCTAACAGGAGTATAGAAAAGGAGTCGACCCCGACTTCAATGAGGCTCTTATTGTGAGAAGCAACTCGACAATCGAGGATGTGTGCGACCAAATCCACCGCACGCTCAAGGAGTCTTTCAAGTACGCCCTTGTCTGGGGCGCCAGCGTCAACCATGTGCCGCAGCGAGTAGGCCTCGGGCATCTCGTAGCAGACGAAGACGTCGTCCATATCGTGTCCAAGTAGTGTCTATACAATACTATCACATCTATAGCCTAAGCCACCTCCATCTGCGTCTACAACAATATCAGCATCAGCATCGACATCGTTGGAGAACCTTCTCGAAGCTTCGCTGGGCGGCCTCGGGATCGGCCCAGGCATCACGTCACAGGCGCCGCCCACTTTAGCCAGCTTAGAGCAACGCCTCATAAACACCAAAGGCTGCGCCAACTTCGACAACTTATACATAACAGACACCACCTACATACATATTTTTTGTTGATGCCGTTGGAAGTGAAAGATAAATAGCTAATCGGTTTCCAACATCCTTTTTTCCCTGCTGGACAGTGACTTTTCTAATTACCTAACGACTCACCAGCCTGGTCGCTGTTTGACTGGCTACTTAATTCGCCCTGCAGCAACTTTACCTGCCTCCAACACACCGCATAATCCGTGAGCCAGCAAGCAGCTCGACAACACGAACAACCAGACATTGAACACACTCACTCAGGACCAGCAGTCATGGTTGCTGAGACGAAGCTCTACGATTCTCTAAACATCTCTCCTTCTGCCTCGCAGGATGAGATCAAGAAAGCATACAAGTAAGTCTACTTCTAGACCACGCCCCCGCTTAGCTCTACGTTGCATCGCCCGGACTAACAGATCAATAGGAAAGCAGCATTGAAATGGCATCCAGACAAGAATCCAGACAATCCTTCGGCAGCTGAAAAGTTCAAAGGTGAGTGTTTATTCCATATCCGCAGTCGGTTTGTTCAACTACATGTGGAGGATGGAGTGGGCTGACAACGTATGTGTGTGCAGATGTCTCCCAGGCGTACGAAGTGCTCTCAGACCCCGAGAAACGCAAAGTCTACGATCAATATGGATTAGAATTCCTCCTCCGTGGCGGGACCGCAGAACCTCCGCCAGGTGCAGGTGGAGCTGAGGGCATGCCGTACGGTGCTGGTGGGATGCCGGGAGGTTTCCAATCGTTCGGAGGCATGCCAGGTGGAGGCGGTACTCGAACATTCCATTTTTCGACTGGAGGCGGGCCAGGTGGGTTCTCGTTCAGTTCACCAGACGATATCTTCTCCAGCTTTGCTCGATCCGGTGGTGCTGGCGATGACGATCTCTTCTCCTTCCTGAGTGGAGGCGGTGCTCGTGGTTTTGGAGGAGGAGGAGGTGGTGGTTCACGATATAGGCGGGAAGCAAGACGGCCTCCAACACCCGAAGTTACAACTGTTGAAAGACAGCTCCCTCTCTCGCTGGAGGAGCTGTTCCATGGTGTGCACAAGAAGATGAAGATCAAGCGGAAGACCTTCGACGAACGGACAGGGAAGAGAAGCATGGAGGATAAGATTCTCGAGTTTGACATCAAGCGAGGTCTCAAGGCTGGAAGCAAGATCAAGTTCAAGGGAGTTGGCGATCAGGAAGAGGGCGGAACCCAAGATCTACATTTTATCGTCGCTGAGGTAAGTCATTTTTCACCCTTGACCTATATTATGTATAGAGCACCCAGCTAACTATTCAACAGAAAGAACATGCACACCTCAAGCGTGTCGGTGACGATTTGATAACGACCATCGAGATAAGCCTCAAGGAGGCACTGACTGGCTGGTCTCGCACAGTCAACACCATTGATGGACGACAGCTGCGTGTCAGCGGAGCCGGGCCAACACCACCCGGATTCGAAGAGACGTTCCCGTCACAAGGCATGCCGAAGCCAAAGCAGCCGACTTCTCGAGGCGACTTTATCGTCAAAGTGGACGTCAAGTTCCCTACCTCCTTGACCCAGGCCCAGAAGACGAAACTCGCACAGATTCTCTAATTCGGAAACCTTTTCTCAAACCGGTCCGCCTCCATGACTACATACATAGGAGGACCTCGCTTGACACGAACACATGAGTTAATGAATGAATTCAGCACAAAGGGGATGGAGGGCAGCTGCATTGTTGGAGTTTTGGTTTCTAATATCATCATCAGTGGAACAACGGGGGATTAGTTGATTTCACCTGCAACAAATACTAACTAGTTATCATATGGGACGGCATGGCGTTTTATCTTTACCCTTCTACTTCTCTCTGGCAGTGCCCTGTGTGAGGCAGTTTGTCTCTATATTATAAACACAATACATAGCTCATCTCTCTATACAATGTCTACTACTACTACTGTTGTACTTACTCTATGTAAATCTACTTCGACTCTGCCCGCTTTTTAGTCTCAAAGCTTATTGGCGCGCTCGGGCTCCACCCCAGAAATAGAACCATCAAGTTCGAGCAAGCTACAAAACTACAAACAAGAGAGATAAACAAGCGGAAAAGCGATCGACGACGCAGACGAAGACGCAGACAGCGCAGTCCATCACGATGAAGACTCGCCTGACGTACATCCACGAAGGCGACAGCGAGTTCGACGCTGACCAGGCCGCCGTGAGCCAGACCGCGATCTCCATCCGAGCCTTGAAAGCAGCTAAGCAGGAGAGGATCTTGCTCGATTATACCGAGCTCCCTCATGAGGTGAGACATGCTGGACAGTACGAGTTTGAGCAGCGGGTACTGACAATATGGCTGGTATAGATACGACAAGTGTTGAAAAACTGCCGCGACCTGCGCATTCGCTGGGCCTCCGAACGACCATACGCTGCTGTTGCGCCGTTCAGCAGCAGAGTCTCTCCGGGGCTGCATGTCGTCTTTACGCCAGCCAGCAGCGGTTCATCTGGGTATGTCGTGGCTCCTTTGACTCGCTCTTTAGATACTATGTTCTTTTGTTTGTTTTAGCCCTGAATAGCTACTTACATCAATTCTTTGTTTTTGGTGTTTTTAGTGAACCTCTATGCCGTCTGCTACAGAAAAGCTTCAGTAACCAGATTGACTGCACCATTTCTCCGGTTAGTTCTAGCATCTTTCACTCACAACAAAATATTGCTTTTGCTTTGAGCAAGGAACATATATTAACACTAAAATGTGCTCTAGATATCATCTTCTCCATCTTCATTTATACCAACCACCGATCCCTACGCACGGCTAAAACTCCAAACACTGCTCCCATCCCTACATCAGCTTATTAACTACCTCGATCGATATGTTTGTCGGGAGAATACTGAATGCCGCAACCGCATTACTTCGATTTCATCAGCTTCTTCACTGGATATAGATTACAATGATTCCACGGCTTATCTTATGGTGGCTGCATATTGGCCTGGCGCTTCAGAAAAGACAGGCTGGACAGAAGTGATCAACGCACCTAAACATGACGGAGATCGGGTTGAGATTGGAATATTAGCGGAACAGAATGCCTTAAAACCAGAGGAAGTTAGAATGGGCGGGATGTTAGCCGATATAGGGCGGAAAGCCGAGCTAAGTATGAACAGTCCAGTCTGTTCAAGCCAATTATTTACAGAGATATTTTCTAACATATTTACCACGCAGCTCCCACTCTATTCAGCTTCAACTCACGACACCACCCTATGCAGTCCACATATCGCACACAATTTACATCTCCCACCGGCCTCCACCCCACTCTCCAGCTCTCCCTACAGAAATCGTCCCTCTACCCGCCTACCAAACTACCACCAGACACAACCTGCTCCTTGTACACATATCTTACCCTCCCATCGACAATATTCGCAGATAAATACCAACTATCCACTAAAGATCCCCTCTTCCTCCAATCCCACAACCTTATCTCCCTACACGCCATCCAAGGCGAAACCGACCTCGAAGCACCAAACTGGATAACACAACAATGGGGATCCAACTTGCTCCTAGAACTAGCCACACCGTCGCCCGAAGTTGCATCAGAATACCCCCTCATAAGCGATGAATGGAATATAACCATCCCCCTGCACCTGCGATACCTACATCCTTCCCCATCAGGATACCGCGATATATCTGTTCCCTGGCCCGTAGTTTTCTGGGCCTGTACCAACGACGACGGAGCAACGGATGAAAAGCAGAAAATCAACCCGTTTGATCGCGTTAGTTTGGGATGGGAGTCTAATTTCCCTGCTCGGACTACGTATTATCACCTCCAACCTGAACCGGAACCAGCGTCAGACCTTCTCATTGAGACGATTAGTGTTCCAGTACTGAATATGAGTCGAGATACGCAACGGATGGAAATACAAGTTGGAACTGCTATGATTATCATCGGTGGGTTTATGTGGATATTGTGGAAACTGGGGTTAATAACGAATTCTTCGGCTCCCGTACAAGTACAGGAGGAGCCAGAGGAGAGTAAGAAGGATCAATGATGCATGCATACAACAACTTCTTAACCGCACTATTATTAATTAATAACTAGCTACGTCTGAAAGGAAAGTCATAACGAGATACAAATGAAGACATACTTAATATTTCTGTCTTTGAAACACATAAGATAACGCACCGTTTAACGGAAGAGAAGTAAGCCCATTAGAGAAGAAGTGGAATTGTCAGTCATAAATCAAATGCCTCATGTATAATCAAGTCCAGTATCGAGGGGGAAGAAAGGACTATATACACATCAAAGGAAAGAACTTCAATCGATCCTATCATAAACATTCATCGTCATCATTAGATCGATAAACAGGGGGGAGGAAGGTAAGAAGGTAGGTTAGTTAGCTTTGTGCATGAATAAAAAATGAAAAAGAAAAAAAAAAATTCCCTCCTTTTCCTGACGATCAGGAAGAGCATCAGATTCCATACCACTTCGTTGACTCAAGCTTCCGAAATTGGTTTGAGCAAAATAAAAGGAAGCAAATAGAGAGAGAAAAAAAGAGAAAAAGAGAAATCGAACATGACATAAAACTTGATGGGGCATCTGGTTTCATCGGTAGAAACCAGTGAATAGGAAAATATGAATCTGCTGCTCTTATCGTCATGCCAAAGGACGACTTCTGTAAGAGCATAGATGTTGAAATAGGGGGCGAGCATCCTTCTTATGCAGAAGTCTGCGTGGAACTGACCACAGCAGGGGGGTGGCTTGCGCGTAATGATATGAGACTTAAAAACTCGAACAATGGGGCAACAATGGCTCTATCCCAGTAACGACCAAAAAACAAACGCCGGATCCAAATGGCCCAATGAGATATTAGTGCATCGAGGTGTGAGTGTGAATTGAATAATCGATCCATTGAGAACTCCAACAGGGTGAAATGGCCAACAAGGAGGAAAGGTAGGTATTCAAATCCAAAAGCGGTATGCAAAGTCATTGAAATCACAGAAACGATTGAACCTCAAAAGGAGTGGTCGGAAGTTATACAACGATAACGTCGCCCTCCGCATCAGCGGGATCGGATAAGGTCATATCCGTATATTTGGAGGTTCCTAGAAGAACAGAATCCTCTTCCAGAGCAATGGCGCTATCATCGTTATTAACTTGGCTGCCCTCTAGGCTCGTGTCAACAGCAGGCCGGTTTGGCGGATCAGCCTTGTTGACCTTAACAGCAGTATTCGACGCGTTGTGATTCATGTTTGGGGCAGCCTCCTGAGTTGGTTGCTCGGTCTCCGTTTGCTGACTGGAAAAGTTGGTAGAGGTGAAACTTGCAAGCTGAGCTGCAACTGTTGCTGCAGGTTTGCTCAAGAGGTTTGTGGAATGCTCGCGCAGTGATTTTGGCGAAGTAGCCATGAAGCCTCCCCTTTCTGCTTGCCAGTGCATCATCTCAAGGAAGAAAACCTTGGTCATCCACCAGGCACTGAAGCTCTCTGCGTTCGAAAGGGTAAGACGGTGGAGAGCGGTCGTCCATAGTGCATCCGCTTTTTCGATTATGCAAGTTGCAGAGTGGTTGGGAAACATGCTAGGTAGTTGTAAAATAAAAGCAATCCATCGATCGGGGAAATTAGTGTATTCTTCATTATTAGCTGACTGAGGGAACTTTTGGAATCCAGCTAGCTCGTGGTCGATAGAGTCGGTCTGCGGAGGGGCGCAGTTATCCAGCGGGTATAAAAGAGATTTCATATGTTCCTTTAAGATTGTAATCGCGGTTTTCAGGGAGCACGAAGGTACGTTGGCCTTGATGGCAGTTTCAGTCGGATCAACAAAGGTGCTAAATTCTTCCCACATCTTGTTTCGATTCTGTTGGTGGCACAGCCATGCAGCAGCGGCAATGGCAGACTGGTTAACATCCAGCATACGTTTCAGTAGATGACAAAACAGCCGGCATGGAACAAGTCGCGCAGTGGACACATGGTCTGGTTGTGATTTGAGGGTTTCGGCGATGTGCGTAACAAGCTTGCATGATATCGATTGAAACGCTTTGAGGACAGGGTCTGGGACAACCTGCGTTGTTAGTGGAGAGACAAAGGCAAGCATCTTCTGGTACATGATCCAGTCGCATTCCTCTACCCATGGGGCAACGTTTGGATGAACAAGGAGTTTGTGGACTGGCACAGTGAGGGTGCCTTGGAAGGCAGAGAAATGGCGGAAAAGGTTCTTTTCCTTGCAGTATCGGAAGCTGTCGATAACTGAAGTGCAATGAGAGCGGTACAAGGCAGCAAGAGCATCAGCAGCCGAAGGATCAGAGTTGTCGGGAAGATACTGATGTATGTTTGGCAGTGAGAGGGTGTCGCTGTCGGTAGACGGGGTATTGTCTGTTGACTCGAATTGAAGTAAATGCTGGATCTTCAACTGGGTTTTGACAGCCATGGGATCAACTCCGACACTAAGATCAGAAATGCTGGAGTCCGCGCAGGCACAACGGTGGACGGGACCGGATGACTGGTTTTGCTGCAGGATATTCAGGTCTGGAGATGCACCGTCTCCTGCATCCACAAGTGATTTTTGCGATTGCTGAGAATCAGCGACAAAGCTGGACTCGAGCTGGGGACCAGAGCCATCCATGCTCAAACCGTGGTCCTGTGTTTTGTCCACCTTATCGTCGCATTCCGTTTTGGCATCTTGACCAATGAGGGATAAATCAACGTAATGATATTTTGACTCTCCGCGGACTCCGAGTCGACGAGTCTGCACGTTTGGAAATATTATTCTGACGAGTTTCCCAAAAGAGGCGGGATTAAGTACTGATACACGGTCATTTCCACATTTTTCGGCATAGCAACAGTAAACACGGTCTCGACGGACTGAGCCGTCTCCTCTCTGACAATTCTCACGTAGCCTGTACCAGGGTTAGCCAAACCACACACAACAATGAAAATTTTCGAAGTGCGACTATGCATACCATATCATAGCAAACACTTGTTTGACCTTCTCTGATTTACCACCTGCACCTTCGTTCTTCCTAACTTCGGAGGCCATATCCTGTAGGGAGTATCCGTCATATTGACGAAGAAGCCGTCGTAGTTCATTATCATTGGCTATCGAAGATGAGGTACCGCGTCTCTTTCGAGGGCCAACCTCTGACCCATCATTATCTTCCAACATGCGGTCTGGTGTAGGATGATGATGATGATGATTTTCCGTGGTATCAAACATCTGGGGAAAGTGACTGGACGCGAACTCGGCCGGTATGATACCTGGCGGCGACGGATGTGGCGGCTGTACGCTTATATTCCTGTTCCGAAGAAGATGTTCCTGAAGCTGTAAATCCGGACGCTGCTGTCGCACCGCTGAAATATTATGGCTTTCTTGATGCTGCTGTAAAGTATGCTCGTCCAACCTGGCAGTGGGAGGAGCATGTCCGAACTGTTCACCATACCGCAGAATCATCTCTTCCGGGTTTGGATGATGATAGGTTACTTGGGAAGTAGGGTACTGAGTTCGCATGTAGGTAGTATAAATATCCTGGGGAGCGGGTTGCTGTTGTTGTTGCTGCTGCGGGTGGACATCTGGATGGTACTGTGTGGTGACGGAGTGAATGCTGGCCGTCGATCCCCGAGACCGCGAGAGACGAGCACTCTTTGTCGACGCTGTGTTCGACCTCGACCGCATCGGTTCAATGGTGCTCTGTCGGCTCCTTGGCCGCTTTTGGGCTGTCTGGGCCGGCAGACATGAGGTATCTGCCATCGCAAGGTGCCAGTCAGTCTCACCGTCAGAGTCAGGAATGGGGGGTGGAAACACCCCGGGCATAACATCAACAACATCATCATCAACAACAACAACAACAAAAGACAACTACCACCACCGGCGAAACACCGATGGGGTCAACAAGGCCATTTACCGATATCTGGAGACATGATGATGGTGAATATTCAGCGAATGTATTTGTTGGTGCATAAGAATACGATCTTTTTCGCTGTCGTCGGCGGTCCCTTGCTGCTGGGACTCGAGGTCTATCACCGCAACGGGGCCCAGCTCGAGCCAGGCAAGTCGATTTACCTTGGGGTGTCGACTAAGCGATGCGAGGGACAATATCTGAGGGTGGGTTCGTCGTCGAGCCCGTGGTGGCTGCGGCCGTGGTGGTCGTTTGCGGGTTGGTTCACGCAGAAAAAGGGCCTTTCTGACGGACCTGGGATGTCGTTTTTCTTCCGTCCGGCATGTAAACAAGATGTTGTTGATGGGGAAACGCCTCGCCTGCGCCTTTATTTTCCTTTTCGCCCAAGTATTTTTTCCTTTTTCGCTTGTTTTGGCCTCTTTGCTTTTTCGTGCTTACATACTCATTGCCAAGCTATATCAGGTGACTTGTTATGTAATATATTAGTCAGAATTTAAGTCATGTGACGTAGATAAGGTCACATGACTAGTCTTATCTTGAAAGGCGGCGTTAGTCGGCAGAACGTCCTAAACAGGGAAGTGGCAAGCACGTGAAAATCATCACGTGACTCAGCTGCCGCACACGCCCAAGAGCCCAAAAGGACCCGAAAGATGCAAAACAAGCCACAAGTTTCATGACCTGCGGACGAAGCAAGCAAGAACAACTTCCAGCACACACAAAACACACACAAACGCAAGACAACTCCAAGACCCTCACTTTTGACACAGCATCTCTACACCTGCCGCCAACCGACGTCTACTACAGAAATATAGCAGCTAGTCTCGCCAGCAACGATGTCGTTCCAGGACCGTGTGCAGCACCAGATCGCCCAGATCGATAAGGAAGTATGCTAGCTCTCTCGCCTCTTATCACCAGCTACAAAGACACATCCCACTTTGCACGGCCAACAGGTTGCTAACCGGCTCTTCCGCAGCTCTCCAAATACCCAGTGCTCAACAACCTCGAGCGACAGACCTCCGTGCCCAAGGTCTACGCCTTCCTCGGCATCGCGGGCATCTACGTCTTCCTCATCTTCTTCAATATAGCCGGAGCTCTCCTCGTCAACGTCGCGGGCTTCGCTATCCCAGCATACTACTCCCTCAATGCTCTCTTTACCTCCTCGACGGCAGATGACACTCAGGTAGGCAGCAGCACCATTTTTATTTTTTTTAGTTTTCCTTTCCTGTCGCTCGCTACGTTTACTAGATATGATCATGCTAACATTTTGTTTTGTAGTGGTTGACGGTTAGTTTTTGGCACCCCGAATGACCCACCATGTGTACCGAGATTTCCAGGTGATCGATCAAAGCTAACCACGTGAAATTCGACGTTGTTTATAGTACTGGGTTGTCTTTGCTCTGTTCAGCGTCGTTGAGAGTGCCATCAGTGCTTCATACTGGTTCCGTAAGTTACATGCATGCGTGGTTGCTGTTGCTGCTACTTGTTTGCTATTCGCTGCTGCCTAGACTAACGTTTGTGTTTCACACCCCCTTGTAGCATTCTACTACCTGTTCAAGTTCTTCCTCGTCCTCTGGATGGCCCTCCCACAGACCAGGTAAGACAGGCGACAGCTTCTGGTTGCACGGAGACTCCCTTCCCTCCCCCTTTTTCTGCATTACTTGCAGCATAGCTAATGACCATTGTGCACGTAGCGGTGCTCAAATCGTCTTCCACTCTTTCATCCAGCCTGTGTTCTCTCGCTACTTCCAGAGCGCACCAACCTCCTCTAACCTCAGAGCCCAGGCCGAGCAGGCCGCCAAGGAGCACTCCTCCTGATCGTCCTCCATTCTTATCGGTATTATAAGACCAGAACGGCGGGCAAGTAGTTATCTCTTTGCCCCATTTCGCTTGCTCTAATGAGTTATGAACACCTCTTCCAGATGCGCATACTTTGAACGACAGGCCTGGTGCTGCCTTTGGTATATGGATAAGGACACACACATTCACTCACTCGCACACGGATGGATTCTTTTTTAATGATCACACAAGAGCAGACTTCGCGGCGTCCTTCGGGACCATGATAAAAAAAACAAACAGTGAACCTCAAGCTTGTTTTTATTTACTGCCTGTCCACCCGCGCGTTGACTTGACTCTTGTACGGAGTATCCATCAGCATTGACTTGTCTTGCTTTTTTTTTTTGTTCTTTTCCTCTCTTTTGACATTATTGTTATTGTATCGTTCCGTTGGCTCGCAGGGGGCTTGGCCATGCAGTAATAAGCAGAAAAGAAAAAGAGAACTACCCCTGTTGCATGGCCCCGCGCCATCGTCCTATATTTCTCTCTCTATCTCTCATCTCTCTCATCTTGATTCGATTCTCCATTTCTTCGTCGGCACTCGCGGTAGTTCTGGACGTGGTGACGGAAAGAAGACAGGTGGTGGTGCGGTGGCTGGGCTTAATTGGTTGTTTTAATGTATAGTGACTCGGATTGCCACTGTCTCTGTTTTATTTTTTTGCTTCTTCTCCTCCTTTTCCATACCCAAAGTTGGCTTGCTTTTCTTCTGCCCCTCGATAGAAGCAACTGGGAGCTGGAATTTGGCAAGAAGACCCTCTTATTCTTCCAGAGTAGCAACTGTAGCATACTGTACTGTACTGTTCAGTAGAGACCTAATCGGTTCCCCCAGTTGTCCAGTTTCGGATTCAGAACAATCTGGTAGGGAAACGGGTTCGACTCGCTCGTAATTGGCGGAATGTGGTCTTTATTCTTGTTCGCGATGGCCACGATCTTGAGCGCGGCTTTCCTCAACATCTTCTCCATCGCCTTTCGCACCTTTGCTCGATCTGCAGTCACCCGTCAGTACTGTACCGTCGTAATAAAAGATGTAAAGGCCCAAAAGCCCCAAGCTAAAGTTAAACGTACCTAGTTCCGTCCGGGGAGTCGCAATGGTGATATCCAGAGTCCATATCTCCCAACAAACCTCTTCTTCCCCATTACCTGTCAGCCCCGTAAACCACGCACCAGACTTCTTCCGTCTTTTCTCAAAGAACTGCACGGCAATGCGAGATCTGACCCCGCCCGTCGCTGAGTTCGAGGCCGTCGAGAGATACTGCTGTATCAATGCATTCACCCGCGCATCAATCAGCGTCTCAACCTCCAGATCATCCACGACAGGCAGCGTCAGGTCAAGAACGTCGACGGAATCCGGTCTGACGCAGGGGAAGTACCGGTGGAAGAAGATCGCATGTATAACTCCTGCTCAACCAAGATTTTTTTGTACTTAATTAGCAGCTGCGAGATGTACCACAGGGCTAAACCTATGCATGTAACAAGTGTCTTTCCATACGCACCCTTCACGATCTCCTTGACCGACGCGCGATCCGCAAATATCTCAAGGATATGCTCTGGCGGCTTGCGAGGATCCATAGTTCGCGGCGTGAGGGTTGCCGCCAGAGCTGGCTGGGGTCGGTAAACGCTGTTTGCTTGCGCTACTTTTGCCCGACTTTTGACTTGTTGTGTCTTGTCTCCCCCGCAGACCCGGCGGACTGGGATGATGTGTACTTATGCAGGTAAGTAACGTGTGTCGGCGGTTGGTGTGTATGTATGTAAGAGGTATGTATGTATGTATGTCAAAGTAATATGTGTTCTTGTGTACGGAGTATATGTAAGGGGGAAGAGGAACGCCACCGAAAAGCGAGTCCCTTGGGCTATGGCATGCGGGAGGACGCGGTCACCATCTCGCTGGCGGCAGACAGGGCGCTCTTAACATAGCAGCGTGTCCATCGGGTTCGCCGGATGTTCTTACGGTGAAGGTGAAGTCACGCAGCGAGGGAAGCGAGGCAGAGGAAGAGAGACAAGACGCTGGGCTAGAAGCTGGCTGCGGGGAGCTTTTCGTTTTCAGCTAACTATTTAAGCCCATCGGTTGAAGGTCAGCAACACTTTTAAGCAGATCCTTTAGATCCTTCCTGGGGTGGATGTTCGGCGCTTTGGGCTTATTCTTCTCTATATCATAAAGAGGCCAAAGAATCCGGGAAATCTAAATATATCAAGAGAGAGAGCGAAAGTTTTCTCTCTATCATGAGGATCTTTTTTTTTCTCTTTTTACTTGTAAAGTTGCCGAAAGGAAGAAGACGGGGGCAGCCGAAGAGGCGATAGCGGGGTCACGGGGACGCAGTGACGACATAGCCTGCACGACATGGCTTGGCGACTAGGCCAGAAACGGCGAGCTTTGCCGTGACCCCGATAAAAGAGACATGTTAGATGTCAGGCGATAATTCTCGCCACCAGGAACCGTCCGATTTATATAGCCATTCATTTGTCTACATGTATATAAATGCATTTCTGTCAGATATTGATTCTATAAGTGCCCCGTAGTTGAGTACGAAAAACACCCGTGTTAACCATTCGCATCCTTGCTACTTTCCTTCTTTTGGCAGCGGGACACAGTGTTGAACGACATCCCTCCACCCATACATCAATCTCTCCAGATTCCCTACTCTCCGCATCAAATTGAGAGACTAGTAATCCCCGATCCGCCATTTACATCCATTTCAGGAGTTGGAGGAGGCAAGTTATCCGTCTTGGTGCAAACCCAACAGCTAGCATACATGTTGACTCTGTCGATACAAGCTCCGTCGATTCTCGCGCCATGACGCATAGCAGTGAAGCCATGTGCCTCGAAGACTTTGATATACCAGGGACTTAGAGCGGAAGATCGTAGCATCACACGGCCGCTCATCTTCAGCGCACGATTGAGTTTGCTGATCTGTGTGGCAGCGGCATGGGAGCCGTTGTCGAACCAGTCCATGCTGTCCATGATGACTGCGACTGTCAAAGTGCCGGGCATGATGCGTGCAATCACCTCCTCTAGCTCGTCGGTGTGGATGCGTAGTCCGTCCAGAGCTCCGGGGCGGGATAGTTTGGCGTGGGCCTCGGGGGTGAGATAGTCCAGATGGCATTTACGAGAGAAGCTTCCGGCCATACAAACATGGTAGTATGGGTTGTCCTCAGCAATGTGAGTCTGTTCGGCAACGGGATCGAGGGTGTTGACCATGTAGTGCCAGATAGCGTGTGAGCGAGTATTCTTAGCTTTTCTGGTCTTGACAAGCTCGGACTCGGCATGGTCGGTTTCAATCATAGCGAGCTGGTTCAAAGGCACACCAAGGGCGGACCAGAGGAAACTCTTCTGGGCAACGACAAGATTACAGACAAGCTTAGACAAGAGGGCAGGTCGGACCTTGTTACGCCAAAGGCCACGCTGCTCGTCGAGAGTCTTGACGTTTAAGATCTGTTTCACAGTAGATTGGAGGCCGAAGAGACGAGCGACCCAGCGGAAGGCACTGATAGCATGTCGTGAACCACCAGTATCGTATAGACCATAACCACTGGCGTTCTGGAAAACATGGACATTATTGAGCCAGTACTGGAATGCACGGCCAGACAAGTGCGGAGACAACTTAGAGATGAGCAAGTTGCGGAAATCAGGGTGTTTTCCTTCACCGAAAATCTTCCAGAAATCGTCGTAGGACAGGGCCGTGTACGAGGCCGCCTTGAGCTCGAGTAGATGGTTCTGGGTAGGGTTCAGGTCGACAGCATGGACGCGGGCAGGGCTCTGCATGAGATAAGAGAGAATATTATCTCCAGCAGAAGTGATGGCAAGGATCTTGTCGTCGGGGCCGAGATTAAGAATTTCCTTATCCACGCGAGAATCTTCCCAGGTAAATGCATAGATGTACTCATCGTTGAACTGGGTGTGTTTCTGCAGCTGATCATCATAGTAGATGCGCCAGTGATGGTTCTGATAAAAGAACGACGGAAGGGGCAGATTGGCAGAGATATTCTGGACAGCAGTGACGAAGGCCTTGGAGCGAATCTCAGGCGCAGACCTCTCAACTGCATGCGTAAGAGTGTCACCCTGATTCACAGGACGCAGGTACGGCGATTCCGTGGCCAAGGCATCAATGCGTTCAATAATCTCGTGTGGTAGACTGGATAATGAGAACGGCTTCTTATGGCATCCGATCCAGACGTAATATGGGATGTAGCCCAAGGTGCGGTTCCGGCCATTAGCAGTCAGGACTGTTCCGAACTTATACTCCAGATAGTCACGACGGCTGGGCTCAAGGCCAACACGATCAAAGTCAAACCAGGTACGCCAGAATGCTCTGGACAAGGCATTAACATGGCGACCCAACTGTCCGCCAGTGTAGTTTCTGGAAGAGAAGTCAATCCGGTTCTGAACGTAGAAGTCAACTACACCCAGGATACCATGAGGAGACAAGAGCGTGGTCACCAGGTCGACTACTGAGTAGTAATCGGGCTATAAAGAAACATGTGTTAGCGGAGGCATCAATATTAACAATAAAAGCGTTCACACTCCTCCTCGCGTAGTACAGGAGGGTGAAACACTTGCAATCATAGAAAGGCTGTATGAGAAGGTAACCAGGTCGGCTCCTCCGTGCTCTGGGCCCTTTTGATCAAAGTAGCCGAGCGTGGGTGATCGCAGGGGATCTCGAGAAGAAGACATTCCTGTCTCGTAGTCCTCAAGACGAAACTTGCGAGCATCCTGACAGATGACAGTTACGTTCTTCCATCCGAGACGCTCGAATCGCTTCCTTGCGACTTCGCAGAGAGACGGAGAGAAGTCGACAAGGTAGACACTGGAGAAGAATTCGGGGACATTGACGTTCTGTGCCATTGCCTCGATATTCCATCCTGTGCCTCCACCGATCTAGCAACTGTTAATTCCATGAGATCTGATGCATTAATTCAAAGTATTTGGAACTCACATCGACCCAGATACGTCTGGACCTCTGCTTGTCGGTTGCAGCCTTCAGCTCAGCGGCCTTGGACTCGAGCTGGGCGGCAGCCAATGCCAGCATATCCTCGCGGCCCTTGAGCAGGACCTGGCGGGTGGCATCGTAAGCGCCTGCCTGCTTGCCATAGAAGCTCTCTAGGGCATCCTGCTGAGTAGCTTTGGGCCCGTCCTTGGTAGGCTTAAGGAAGCAGGTATAAAAGAAGAGAAGATACGACTTTAGGAAGCCTGGAGAGTCGTCTTCTTTGCTGCACTTATAAGAGAAGTAAACGCCGCCGAGGAGAGCGATTACAACTCCAGCATAAAGAGGTTGAAGTTGAATATCGGAACCAAGAGGCAGGAAACTGTTACCACCCTAAAAGAGATGGTCTGGCTTAGCGAGCGATCAAGCAGTTGAGACTGAGCCCTGAGATGAGTGTGAAATACATGAGAAGCCATGATATTCTCGCATTGCTTAGAGCAGAATAGTTACTTAAGCCAGCAGACAAGCAAACTCGAAGCAGTGTTGAAGTGATTCAGAAATGTTCAATCGTTCTTTAGTTAACTGAATAACTGATTCGCTGGTTAAGTACGCAGTAGTTAGTTAATTGGCAGCTACGAGAAGAAGCCGGAAAGCGAGACGAGGGACGAAAAGAAACCCCTCGCTGCCCGTGCCCGCGGAGAAGAGTATCTCCATGCCCTCCCGCTTGGATCCATGGATATTAGGCATTGAAGGTTAAGGTTGGTTATAACCTCCGCTACAGATAACCCAGATATTACAGGGGGTCGTACGCCAAAAGGCCACTGGATAAACTCGGTTATATGTAACTTAGTAAGCAGCTGGTTAAGCTCTTGGTTACAGTTATAACCACTAGTTATCCAAAGGGCGGGAAATGTCGAAGATGAAAGAAATCATCGAGACCAAACACTTGCTCTTGCTGGAAGAGTTAACTATCCCCTTGTGTCATAGCACGATGCATCCAAGTGGGCCACAAGGGAAAACTTTTCCTAATATGTAGTATGTAACTAAATAATAAATAGACCCCTTGTTAGTGCCCGTGAGCTTGTCGGCCTTACTTCTCCCGGCGAGGCTACCGCGTTGCCAATGGTGAAGTTTTAAAGGCATTATGCTACCCTGCTTTATCGAGCGATAACCAATGGCTAGCATCCATATAGACACAGGCATGCTCGATGTATCCATCTGTAGGCAATCCCTGTTCGAGGTATCAAGACAAGGGTGGATTTTGATCTCCAACGTTTGGAGATCGACTAGAGGCACTTTGTAATTGGGCATGCATACAAAGGGTGATTGTAAAGCACACCACACACCAGCTTGACCCCGGGGCCTAGTAAGACTTAGTCGGTAATAAATGTCTTCCTGCTACAAAATGCCCTCTTACCTCCAGAATTTGCACAGAAAAAAAAAAAAATCAAGACCTGAAAAGGCTGCTGAGTTGCAAGGCGTGGTATCACATACACAATGGGGTCACATATCGGTAGTGACCAAGAGATCGTTGTCGACTCCGCTGTCAACAAGAACAAGGGCAAAGGCCTGCGCTTCTATATCATCATCGCCACACTTTGTTTTCTCAGTGTTCTCAGCGCCCTAGAGAATACAGTTGTCACCACGTCTCTGCCTAGCATTGCAAAAGAGCTCGAGCTGGGCAACAGCTATGTCTGGGTGACCAACGTCTTCTTCCTAACTGCGTGAGTGCTGAACCCATCTTCGTCCAAGAATGTATAACAGTTAACTAAAAAGCTAACCGTCTATCCAAACAGTGCCGTCGTTCAACCGTTATTCGGCCAATTAGCTGATATCTTTGGCCGAAGATGGATTACCATGTTGACGATTGTTCTTTTCGTGCTAGGCAGTGGACTGTGCGGAGGTGCTACCAACGGTGCCATGCTCATCGTTGGCCGAGCCTTCCAAGGAATGGGAGGTGGTGGCCTGAACACGCTTCCTAATATTATCGTCTCAGACCTCGTGCCATTGAGAGAAAGAGGGAAATACGTCGCTTGGTTCCTCACGACATATTTTATTGGTATTGCCATTGGACCATGGGTCGGCGGTGCCATTGTTGATTCAACCACCTGGAGATGGGTGTTTTATATCAACCTCCCGGTACGTCGATGTGACTCATGACTCCTGCATATAATGTTCCATATTAGCCATCGTTTCTAACCATCTACTCACAGATTGGCGGTGTGTCCATGATCATGGTATTTTTTTTCCTCCAGGTCCAGTACGACAAGGAGATGGCTTTTATGGAAAAGCTCCGCCGTATCGACTACGGAGGGAACTTCCTACTCATCGGCGCATCGGTTTCTATCCTCTTCGGTCTAACATATGGAGGAAACCTACATCCCTGGGGCTCATATCAGATTCTTGTACCCCTCTTCGTTGGCCTCGCAGGTATTGGTGCCTTCATACTCTTTGAAAACACTAAATGGGTCAAGGAGCCCGTCTGTCCGCCCCATCTTTTCAGTAACCGTACGTCTGCCGTCGTGATGATCGTAACCTTCACCAGCTCCGCCCTTTTGTACTGGGTATATTTCTTCCTGCCCGTCTATTTCCAGGCCGTACGTATGAGCTCTCCCTCAACAGCTGGACTCCAGGTCTTGCCATCAGTCGTTGTTTCTGTGCCTGCCTCGATAGCCTCTGTGCTATTACTCACACACTTCGGAAAGTATAAACCAATTCATCTTGCGGGTTTTGCGGCTCTCACGTTAGGTTTAGGACTATTTATCCTCCTAGACCGAACTACACCCACGGCGGAATGGGTGATATTTCAAATTATCAACTCTCTCGGTAATGGAATTATCATGAACACTCTGCTTCCCGCCTGCCAGGCTGCCTCCCAGCGAACCGAGTCCGACCAAGCCGCCACGACGGCTGTGTGGTCATCTATTCGCTCTTTCGGCAGCATCTGGGGTGTCGTCGTGCCCGCAGCAATCTTCAGCAATGCCTTTGGACAGCGAGCCGATCGCATAGCCGACACCGCTACTCGTGAGTTGATCCTCAAACAGTTTCACTCCGGTAATGCATACGCAGATGCCACTGCTGCATTCCTCGAAACGCTCGATCCGAGGACGAGGAGCGAGGTAATAGGCGTGTACGATGAATCGTTGCGGTTTATGTGGCAGATTTCATTGGCATTGGCTGGGTTTTCCTTTTTACTTATCTTCATAGAGAAGGAGATTGTGTTGAAAACAGATCTTGAGACCAAGTACGGTTTGACGGAGAAGCAGGATATTGAGGGGGCAGAGAGCGCAAGTTCATAACTAGTTAGTTAACTAGTTAGGTAGTCAACTATCAGCTAAACCCAAGTTTGGTTAATGCGATAGTGGCTCAGTTCTAACAAGGCCATCATACAGAACTTGCCTTCAACCTTTACTGATATATGACCTTTTTTTCGCCCTTTGAAGTAGAGCTTGATGTTTATATCCTCGCCAAATTCATATCGTGCTTAGTCATCTCTCGTTTATTAGTTATTCCGTGCTTGAGCAGCAACAGGCTTGGCGACTAGACCAGAAACGGCGAGCGTGTTCGTGACCCCGATAAAAGAGACACCAGGTCACCTGCCTCACTCTAAGCCGAGGTCTGACGCTGGTGAAAGTCGAACGCAGCAAAAAAAGGACGGGACGAAGAAGACGAAGACGAAGATAATCCGGGGAAGAAGAGAAGGAAAACAGCTTTATATGACATCTACGAACGGGCTACTTTGATATTTGGATAGGATTACTCGATTTACACGACCGTTTTTGATCTCGTCGGCCGCAGAGAGAGACCTCGATTACACGATAATGCCCTCGCGGTCAGCGTAAAGGAGCATGTTCAACTCAACGAAGCAGTGGTTGCGCCGGCACCGCAGTGGCATTGCCATTGGTGCCGGTGTCGTTGGAGTCGGCTACCTGGCCGGTCAGTACGTGCTGGGCAAGATATCAGAAGCCAGAGAGCGCATGAGCAGTGAGCGGATTGCGCGGGAGAAGTATGTCACTTATCAAATTAAAGACGGACAAGATAGCTAACAGCACTTAGTCTACGACGCCGATTCGAGCAGAACCAGACAGATTGTACTTTTACCGTGCTTGCCTTGCTACCGACAGCTACGGAGAACATACTTGCGGCTCTCCCAGTCGAAGAGCTGACGAACGAGCTGCAGCAGAAGCGCGCGGAGAGGCTGGCCAAGCAGCTGGGCGGAGGAGAGGTTGCGAGCTCAGAGATAAGTTCGGAGCCTCTCAGCACAGTAGACGACGATGGGAAGAGTCTGTCGAGCTTGAGGAGTCAGGGATACATGCACGCCAGTCAGATGGGTGACTCGGTTGCCGGAGATGGGATACCACGGAAGAAGAGCCGGACGCAGCTATGGAATGAACTCAAGGTCAACTGTATGCCCGAACCATCATTAAGCCCGTATATTCATTCATTATTCATTATTCTTCACTTGCTAACTGGGTGTGTACTGCTACAGCTTTAACCCGATCGTTTACTCTTCTGTATACACTCTCACTTCTAACCTTACTTACACGCATCCAACTCAACCTGCTGGGTCGACGAAACTACCTGTCCAGCGTAATATCACTTGCCTCCCCACAAGCCGATCCAGCCATAATAAGCCTGGAAGAGAACGACGGCGACAATGCGTTTGGAAACGACTTTGAGACCAACCGTCGATACCTCACCTTCAGCTGGTGGCTCCTACACCGTGGATGGAAGGACCTGATGGAAAAAGTCGAAGAAGCCGTGGTCGAAGTCTTTGGACCGCTCAACCCACGCGAAGACATAACACAGGACAGACTCTCGGAGCTGACGCTGGAAGTACGAAAGAAGGTCGAGGGAGCCACGAGCGAAGAGAGACGGGTGAAGCAATGGTTGCCGTACTTGCTACCGGCCGTCGAGCAGGAAGACTACGTGCTACGCGAGTCCGGGGTGCTGCTATCGTCTGAAGAAGTCTCGCCGCAGACAGCATCCAACCTCCGACATTTACTGGACGAGACATCCGACCTTATCGAATCACCGCAGTTCACACATATCCTCTCCCTACTCAACAACGAAGCCTTCTCCTACCTTATCGACCATAAATGCGCCATCGACGCCTTCAGGAAGCCGCCTACTGTCCCTGCAACACAAGCACCAGAGGCAAGTCCTGCAAACCTCTTCTCGTCTTCAGCTACCGTTGTGCCGTCAGACAGCCAGCAACCACCGCCAAACCCCAGGGTGAAGCTAGCTACGATCCTAGCAGTCGTCTCTCGCCAGGCACATACCATCGGCCAGGGCTCGAATCCACCCAACGAGTACCTGTCAGCCATGGAGGAAGGGGTACGGGAACTTGAAGCCTTTGCGGCAGTGGTGTACAGTAGTAACTTTGGCCTTGAAGGTGCAACGTCACCTGGCGGGTCAGTGGGCGGCTCCTTTGTCGTTGTCCCCTCGTCTGAGAAGATGGCGAAGATAGAGATGAGAGACGTCGAGGCTGAAGAGGAAGCCGGAGCTGAACTTGAACCTGGAGCTGAAGCAGGAACCGGCGCTGGTGCTGAGGAGATCAATTTTGAGTCTGCCTGGGGCAAGGCAACGACTGATGAGATGTAACTAGAATACCCTATATAGCAATGAATAATCGCATCTTCAAGCGTGCCATCTTCACTTCTCGACTCTAGACGTAGTAACTAACTACCAGGAGTAACTAATAACTCTCCACTGCGGCCCAGCCATGCACGACGCTGATCCCTCTACCGAACCGCCATCGCCATCATCACCACCACCACCTCCATCAACATCCAACAATCAAGGCCATCACCAACATCTACCGTCACCGTCTGTCCATCTGATCTCTCTTATCTACGTCAAACAGCTCCTGCACCAGCTTTTAAGGCCTCCAGCTCGGCTCCCCCTACCACTCTCGTGCTAGACCCCCGTATCCCAGCCGGCACCAAGACGCTTATCTCTCGCAGGCGGTAAAAAGAAGAACAACCCAGTACCGTCCCTTTGACCAGCCAGCTTCTCTCAGCTACCGTTAAGCATGAATGGCGCCCATCGGAACCGCAGCCTTACTTCCCCGTCGACCTGAAACCCCCGCAAGCCAGAAGGCCAGGGCAGCTTTTAACCACAAGCGACCTAGTTATCTAGCTGCTTCTCGAATGGCCACTTGATATCAACAACACAGCCCACGTCGTGCCCATGCCATGCCATGCTGTGAGACCCAAGACTCGCCTCTGCCATGCGAAGCGTGACCGTGAAACCACATGGCGTCTGCAGGCTACATAAAACACACTTTGAGCTAAGTCGTTGCTTTAACCATGGTAGCGCTGGGCGGCGGTTCGAGGTTCGTCAAAGGGATGGGCTCGGTGGCCGGGGGCAGGCGTTGGGACCGGAATATAACAGACAGAAACCACCAAGCAACGGCTCGAGCTCAAAGGAGTTCCAAGACAAGCCGTACCCCCCCTGGCTTCTCACTAAGGAGACATGCAAGGCTTTCCATGGGCCCATGACGTCGACGAGTGGTGAACGTCGTTTGTTTGGTTGATCTTACGCCGGAACCTCAGGCAGCTGAATTAACTGCTGTGGGAGTTAAATAGGTAGCTAGCGGACCGCCCTTGTTAATAAAGGGCTGCTTCTCTCTCGTCCCAGCTGCTGTTTCGTTTCGTTTCGTTTTGTTCTGTTTCTTCTCTTCAGCCTGCCTGAGGCTGTTGGTGTTGAAGCTGAGGTCGACAAAGATGACTTCGGTGACTGGCTCGTTGCCGTTGGTGGCCGCTGCTGCGGCTTCACCTACTTCTACACACAGAGCGTCGCCGCAGGGAGGCATCTTCGACGGGGCGAATCCGTCTCACTATGACCCCAAGCACCCTCTTACCCTCTTCATCATTCAGGTATTACCCCAAGTTCAAACCTGCGTATAGAAGACTGAAACTGACATGTTCTAGGCCGGCCTGATCATCATCTTCTGCCGACTGATACATATCCCTCTCTCGCGGATGCGCCAGCCACGAGTAATATCAGAAGTGCTGGGCGGCATCCTGCTTGGGCCGTCAGTGATGGGACGTATACCCGGGTTCCGCGAGGCCATCTTCCCGGATGAGTCTATCCCCAACCTCAACCTCGTGGCTAATCTGGGACTGGTGCTGTACCTGTTTATGATCGGTGTCGAGACCGACCTCAGATCGCTGATGAGTAACTGGAGAGTAGCCGCCAGCGTGTCAGCAGCGGGAATGGTGCTGCCGTTTGGTCTGGGTTGTGCCATCGCATACGGGTTGTACCATGAGTTTCGGCAGGAGCCTGGCCTGGCGCCCATCGGGTTTGGAACTTATTTGCTATTCATCGGTATTGCCATGGCTATTACGGTAAGCCTTCTACAACAGGGAAGCTTGAGGTGCAGCTAGCTGAAACACTGCTAACGATTATCAACTAATAACAGGCATTCCCGGTGCTATGTCGTATACTGACTGAGCTGGAACTGCTCAGCACCAGAGTCGGAGTCATCGTGCTCTCTGCTGGCGTGGGCAACGATGTAGTCGGCTGGATCCTGCTTGCGCTCTGTGTTGCCCTGGTCAACGCCAGCACTGGTCTGACAGCCCTATGGGTGTTACTGACCTGCGTCGGCTTCACCCTGGTTCTTGTGTTTGCCATCCGCCCCGTGTTTCTCTGGTATCTGCGACGGACCGGCAGTCTGCATGACGGACCCGACCAGTCGGTTGTCACCCTTACGCTGCTGTTGGTCCTTTCAGCCGCATTCTTTACCCAAATCATCGGTGTCCATGCCATCTTTGGCGGGTTCATGATCGGTCTTATATGTCCTCATGACGGAGGGTTTGCTATCAAGCTGACTGAGAAGATTGAGGATGTGATCGGTGCTCTTTTCCTGCCGTTGTACTTTGCCCTTTCGGGTTTGAATACCAATATTGGGCTGTTGGATTCGGGGACTGTATGGGGGTATGTCTTTGGAGTCATCTTTATTGCGCTTATTGCAAAAGTGACTGGTGGAATGGTTGCATCGAGGCTGAATGGTATGCTATGGCGAGAGAGCTTGACCATTGGTGTGCTCATGAGCTGTAAGGGTCTCGTCGAGCTCATCGTCCTGGTAAGTACTGACCTTGTTCGGACATATGGCTATATTGTGTTGGAGTTATACTAATTGTTATTGGTACTGGGTATAGAACATTGGACTGCAGGCAAAGATCCTGAGTCCGCGAACGTTCACCATCTTCGTGGTGATGGCGCTGGTGACGACTTTTGTGACTACTCCAGTGGTCTCGTACCTGTATCCTCCCTCGTACCAGATCAAAGTCGAGCGCTGGCGCCGTGGAGAGATCGACTGGGAGGGCAACGTGCTTGACTCTGAGCACGACCCGCACAGCGGCGCAGACAGCATTACCCGACAAAAGTCACAGGGCGCATCTGTCCGCAAGCTGATGATATACCTGAGGCTGGACAGCCTGCCAAGTCTGTTCACCTTTGTATCGTTGCTTGGAGCTGGAGACGGGCGGGACCCAGTCGCTTCTCGAACCCATCATGCTCACACCAGCGATAACGATAACGATGGCGAGGACGGTGAAGGGTCAGAAGACAGAGGAAGAACCGAGAATGCGAGACGAGCGAGCAGCAGGCCCATCGAGGTGCATGCACTGCGTCTGGTCGAGCTGACTGACCGAGACTCCAGTGTGATGAAGGTATCTGAGGTGCAGGACTCGAACTACAGCTTCAGCGACCCGATTCTCAACGCCTTCCGCACCTTTGGCCAGCTGTACAAGGTCGCCGTGTCGGGGGGTGTGGTCATCGCGCCCGAACATGCCTATGCAGAGACGCTGGTCAACAAAGCCCGCGACTGCGCCTCTGACCTGGTGCTGGTGCCCTGGAGCGAGACGGGAGGTATGAGCGAGAGACAGATCCCGCTGCTTGACGACAAGAGCGAGAAGTTCTCGACGGGCCCTCACAGCTCGTTCATCTTCAACATCCTGAAGAACTCGAGGAGCAACGTTGGTATCTTTATCAATAAGGGGTTCGGGGGCGCCGGACTGGCACGTCCCAAGCCGGGCCAGATATCAAGGACGTTCAGCGGGCACAACACCTACCGAACGAACGACCTGTCGCTGGCTCCATCTCCCGACAGCGGGCATCACATCTTCATGCCTTACTTTGGCGGTGCAGACGACCAGTTCGCACTTAGACTTGTCCTTCAACTAGCCAACAACTCCTCCATCACGGCCACCGTTGCATATATGAATGTTACTTTTAACAACGACAACGCATCAACGCAGCAACGGCAGGAAAGGGAAGCCGACGCGACCTTCTACCGGTCGATCCGCGACTCTGTGCTTCCCGAGCTGCGTCCTCGCGTGGTGTTCCAGACGGTCGACTGTGCATCTTCTTCCTCCGTCAATGCTCTGCTGGCCACCACCCGCGAGACTGCCGCCCACGACCTGTCCCAGTGCACCGGCAGCAGCAACGGCAGCCTAGTTATCGTCGGCCGCAACAGCCTGACAGCAAATACATCATCATCGGCAGCAGTTGTACCACCGCCACCCACTTCTTCTTCTCCTTCGTCACCACCACAAGCACAAGTTCCTCGGCCGTCTTCCTCCTCCGCCGCCTCTACTTCGGCGTCCCCAGAGTTTGGCCACGAGGCAAAGAAGGCGATCGGCGTCCTGGGCGAAGCCATGGCAGGCAAGGCCTACGACATCCAGGCCAGCGTCCTCATCGTCCAGGCCAGCCACTAACCATCTCTCTTCTTCCTCTTCTTCTCCCATCTCTGTGACACTCTAGCATTATATCTATTATATTATACGGAGCACAATACTATATATTAGCACGGCCACTTATGAACTGGACCATCCATGAAACTCAACTTATTAAACTCTTCGGCAAGATCGTAACCTATATCAACCTTACTATAACTAACTAATAATAAGATAGCCCTATATAGCTATAGCCAGTCCTCCGTAAGTCACTAAAACAAACACGCGGAGTAAAAGAGGGTCGACCCCCTTGCTGCATCGGCGAAATATCCCTGGCCGACTCTGTCCTCGTATTCTCCTTTAACTCCCTTATAAGTCTTTGCTTTGCCTGTCCAGCTTAAGCAAGTCATCTTCCGTCCGTCCGTCCGCCCTTGTCTGCGTCGTGTCTCTTTACTCCGACCTCTCTGCCGCCATCCTTGCTGCATCCATCCCATCCGTCTGTATACCTGGACATAAGTATATAAGTAACTATACCTGCCGGGTAGTTACTTAGTGACTTCAGACAGGCAGGCATCAAGCATCCGCCATGGCTTCTTCCTCCGTCCGCCTGCATGCAGCCTGCCGTCTCTTCTCTCCCTTCTCGTCGGACATCGCCATCTCGTCTCTTCTCATGTCACTGTAGCAAGCCGTAAGTGTCACTCTAACACACTAACTAGTCTCCACGCCCAAGCATCCCCAAGCATCCCCAAGCATCTCCCAAGTCCACAGGCACAACCAATGACAAGGAAGGCAAATAAAGTCTTCCAGAACATGTGGAGACGCAAGAGACGAACAAGACGAAGCCAGGACGAAGAAAAGATGGAGATGAAGTTTCTGGCCGGCGTTGAGGTTCGTCTTGTCTGGTCTGGTCGGGGTTGAAATCAGTTAGAAGCCGCAGTAAATGTACGTAAAGGAGGCTTCTTCTTCTTCTCGTCCTGTGTGACTGAGATGCGACGGAGTGACAGGACGGCCGCTGCTTCACTTCTGCACCACCAGCCTTTAAAAGGCCTCGTCTGCCTCTTTGTCTTTGTCCTCTCGCCTTCTTCTAGTCTATGTACCTCAGGTAACTAACTGACTATACGAGCTGAGTCTCTTTTTATCCGGGGCAAAGTCAAGTCAAGCGCCCAGCGAACTCTTCACTCCGGGGGACGCTCCGCTCTGTCGGCCAACGCAGCCAGCCTCCGGCGCATATAAAAAGACACACAGCCGACGAGATACAAAAGGACAAAGAGAGAAAAGACAGACGGACGGGAGAGAAAGAGGCGGGATAAGTACGTACAACTAAGATCACCTCGCCAGGGACTCCCTTGCGACCCTCCGCTGCGCTGCTTACTTATAACTCGCTGCTTGCTCTGGTCCCGCAGGCCGACGATCTCTCTCTTTCTTTCTTCTCTCTGCCCTCTTCGCCTTTTTCGCGACTCACACTCGACCTTCCAACCGACAGCTCCAGCTTCAGCTTCACATCGCCATCATGGGCGTCAAGTCAGGTCAGTCTCTCTGTCACTGTCACTGATAATCTACAGTCTACTAACTCCCACTAGAAGCAGATGTCTCTCCCGACCTCTCTATCGAGCAGGACAGCGAGCTCCCGCAGCTCAAGCACACGACGGAGCGCAAGCTCATGGCCAAGATAGATCTCTACATCCTGCCAATGCTAAGCATCCTCTACCTGCTCGCCTTCTTGGACAGGTAAACACCTTCTTCTTCTTCTGCTTTTACTTTCACCCGGCTATTTTGAATGCTCGGTTGGTATTCGCCGAGGCTGACGAGACTAGAGTCAACATCGGCAACGCAGTCATCTTCGGCCTAAAGAAGGACTTGGGCATCACCTCGGGTACTGAGTACAACACGGCCCTGACCATCTTCTTTATTCCCTACGTCCTGTTCGAGGTAAGATTCATCATAATAACAAGAGAAATAAAGTGAAGAGACGCTGACTGTCGCGTGGTAGATTCCGTCGAACTTGCTGCTCAAGAAGTTCAAGCCTCATGTCTGGCGTGCGTTTCGGCCCCTTAACCCTATTATCCATTACTACCCGGTTGGTTAGATGGTCGGTTGGCTAACAGGCATATAGTCTCCGTTTGCATGTTTGCATTCGGTCTCATTACTTGTCTCCAGGGCATCGTGACCAACTATGCCGGCATTCTCGCGACTCGCTTCTTCCTCGGCCTTGCTGAGACCGGCATGTTCCCCGGATGTAAGTCCGCCCACACATTTAGTTATCCTTTGTTTATATGTATAATCTAACTTGATAGGCTTCTACTTGATGGGCATGTGGTACAAGCGATCTGAAGCCCAGAAGCGATTCTCTTTCTTCTTCAGCTCTACCACCCTGGCCGGCGCCTTTGGAGGCCTGCTCGCCAGTGGTATCGGCAAGATGGGCGGCCTGCGCGGCTACAATGGCTGGAGATGGCTGTTCATTCTCGAGGGTGTCTTCACTTGCGTCGTCGCTGTCGTCTGGTTCTTCCTCATCCCCGATTTCCCAGAAGACGTCAAGTGGTTGACTGAGGAGGAGCGTGAGTTCATCAAGGCCAAGCTGGCAAAGGACGTGGGCAAGGCCGGTGTCGATTCCAAAGTCACCTTCAAGGACGTCGTCTCTATCGTTACTGATCGTGAGTTATACCATTTTTCCCTCCTTACTTTGTAGTTAACTAACTTTGATACAGCCAAGGTCCTCGTCGGTGGATTCATGTATCTCGGCATGATTGTTCCTGCATACAGTACGCTACTCTACCTTACCACTTCTTACCACTGCTACGTAACTAACTAACAATTCTAGGCTATGCATACTTCGCTCCCACCATCATCAAGAACTACGGTTACGGACGTGAGTCTAGACCCATACCAACATCTTACCCCTGAAAGACCGTTAGAAAAGAAGACCCGACTAACTCTCACCCCAGCAATTGAAACACAACTCTATTCCATCCCCCCATGGGCCGTAGCATTCGTCTTCGCCATGATGATGGCCTACGTCTCAGACCGCATATCTCACCGCGTCTCCTTTGCTACCTTACCCATCGCCCTGGCCATCACCGGTTTCTCAATGCTACTCACCATCCACGTTTAGGAAAACAGAAACATCCAATACGGCGCCCTCTTCCTCATCACATGCGGCACTTACAGCGCCATGCCAATCATCATATGCTGGTACGCCATGAACCTGTCCGGCCATAAGCGCCGAGCCATTGGAACCGGCTGGCAGATCGGATTCGGAAACAGTAAGCTCACACCAACTCCAACTACAAATATACAAATACATATAACTAACGTGTTTCTTCAGTTGGCGGAATCATAGCGACGTACAGCTTCCTTGAGAAAGACGCACCGATGTTCAAGCCAGGCCACAGCATATCAATCGGCTTCCTGTGCTTGGCCGTCGTCTCATGCGTAGCGTACCTCTTCCTCATCCTAAACCGTAACAAGAAGAAAGACGCCCAGGGCGCTCCAACCCAGTCTCTGGACCAGGAAGACGGCGACCTAGGCGACCTCAGCCCTAACTACAGATACCAGATCTAGATACCTCTACCTCTACCTCTAGCTAAACAATACCACGTAATAGATGGATGGAAATGGAAAAAAAAGAAGAACTTTGAAACAGATGCTAAAAGGAGGATCATGGACCGGATAGTTATGTCATGTCTTGTTATGTTACGTTAATGGATGGATGGATCTTCTTTCTTCTACTTCTACTTCTACTTACTTGCTAATTATCATGATTTGATCCATTCAAGAGCAGCGATGAGCTTGTTTATTTAAATGGTTTGCGTTTACCTAGCTAGTTACACGATAATCCATTCCTATTATCCATTCGTCTAGTCATTATCTACATTCATATTAGGAGAAAAGGGGGGACTTTCGTGATTGATTCCATTTCTAGACGTCTTGCGCCGAGATGAGTGCATGTGTGTGGATGGTATGTATGTACGGATGTATGTCTGCATGTATGTGCGTCGCTAACGTTAGAACAAAGGGTGATAAAACAGAGAGTACGGCATGAATGAGACACGACGCTCGAGCCCAAAAGGACGCAGGTAGCCCATGATCGTTTGGTAGAAAGAAGCTAAAGAAAAATAGGAGATGGTCATCATGTCGAGCAGACGATAGGATAGGATAGGTAGATGGGTGAGATGGGATGGACTATCTCGGTTCCTGGGCAGGGAAGAAGCGAGGTCCAGCGAAGCCATGCGCAATGATACTCTCGATGTCCATGCGTCCCGGGTTGAACGGAGCCCACATCTTGATGAGAATATACCGTGCAGATCTGTATCACGTTAGAATGAAGAATAAAGAGTAAAAAAGGGAAGGAAAGAAGAAGAGAAGACGTACACTGGAGGATTGAATCTGATCTGTACAGCGGCTCTCTCATGTTCGATCGAGAACCTAGCAACAGGCTGCATGGTCTCGGACTCCTGGCTGTGCAGCGCCTCAGCAGCCGGCCGAGCAAATACGGTCGTTGGCGAGAGTGCTCGGTGCCGATGCGATGGTCTGGCCTGCATGTACGGGACCCGAACACCGAGTGCCTCGAGCAGCTGGCGTTGTCGGGTATCTAGGTTTTGTGCCAGTGCCTCGGCTACCCCAGATATGCCGTCGCTGCTCTCACTGTCACTGCCGTCGTGGTTCGGGGAACTGTCGCGCGAATTGGACGGTTCGGGGTCCGAGATGGTGAGTTGGTCGCGGGCTGCGTCGTGCTGGGTGGATTCATCTTCGGACTTGTCTTCTGGGTCGTCGACAATGCCGAATTGAGAGTCGGGCAGTAGTAGTTGCTGTTGGTGCAGTTGTTGCTGCTGCTGGCCGGCGCGGGATCGGAGCATGCGGGAGCGAAGGATTGAGGCTGAAGTTTCCGGTCGTCTGCTGTTCCCCATTGGTGCCACGGCTGCTGTTGCTGCTGCGAAGGGGGATAGCTGTTCGTTTCGACGACGAGGGCGGCGGGACGGGAACCCGGGCATGGAGTCGGCGGAACAGCTGGCTACCGAGCGAAGGAAGCGTGGATCGGAGTCCATCGAGATACTGACTGTTCCTTCTCGGACGCTGCAGTTATATCATGTTAGTAAACTGAACATAAACATGTATGTATATATATAAGAAAGTTCTTAAAGACATACTTCATCTCGTCGTGGCATCCGCTCTTGGGAGTCTTGATGATCAGCTTCTTCAAGGAGAAAGGTATTTCGCCACGGTGCCGGAGGACGATGTTGCAGAAACCGCCTTGTGCCCTGTAGACGACACCGTCGTTGACCAGGATATGGTCAGGCGAGTTGTTGCCCCGTCTATCAGGCTCGGAGCTGCCTCCCTTGCAGCTGTGGACTTCCATCTCCAGCGGCACCGGGGTGACCTGACCATAGTGGCTATAGCTGAACCCCTTGGTGGTGTCTCTGCTGTCGTCGGCATCGATCTTCCGCCGCTTCGACTGGCGGTGGTCTGACATGGAGTCTGTGGGTGGGGATCGGGCAGGTGGCCGTTCAGGCTGCCGTGACGTCGTCTCTGCGGCTCCTATGCTGGCGATTGCCTGTCGGAACTGACGCTCTGCACGCTGCAGGGAGGCCAAAGAGGCTAGAGACTCCTGTCGCTGCTGTGGAGGACGGGGCGGTGGCGGCGGTGGAGGTGGTGGCTGTAGCTGCTGCTGTAGCTGTAGCTGCTGTTGCTGTAGTAGGTGCTGTTGCTGTAGTAGCTGCTGCTGCTGCTGCTGAGGTGCCATTCTGGCTTGTCTCCGGGCTTCCCTCTGCGAAATAACGTGTCTCTGCAGGGTCTGGCTCAGCGTAGGCAGCGGCTCCAACGAACTGTTACTGTTACTGGTGCTGTTACTGGTACTGATGCTGTTGCTGTTGCTTATGGCCTGGGGATTGACGGTCGAGTCTGCGGTGTTGTACTCCTGCAGCGAGCGGTCCAGGGCATGCAGGAAGAAACTCCGGTCTTCGTCCATCTCGGAGATGATGTCCCTCAGCTGTCGGATTCTCGCGGCGATGGTCTGAAAGTTGGAAACGTCGTGCGACGAGTCTCGGTCAAAGGACGGCGGCGGCGGGTTGTTCGACTGTTATTCCTCTGTCAGTATGGGCTGTGGACAGACAGACACGGCGTAGAAAAGAACAGGTTGACCACTTTTCGCGGGCAGGAAAACCGGGTGAGCACGCAGAGGGGACGACTCTCACCATGGCTAAGGATTAGAGAGATAAGACAATCAACCCTGGACGCTGCCTTGCCGCCTGGAGCAGTGCGAGGGCGAGTGCGGGTGCGAGTTGTGTGTGTTTGTGTCCGGCGGGTTATACACGCACTAATCTCCTTCCCTCTTGTTCCGTTCCGCAGTCACTTTCTCACTCTCGGAGCAGACGCGGGAACCGAAGGACGAGCTTCACCGCAACGGCTTTGGCTGCTCCAAGAAAGCCAAGCCTCGCTCCTCTTCTGTCTCTGTCTGCCTGTATCTGCCTATGTCCTATTATGTCTATTATTCCGTAAAAGAAGCAGAAGAAGAAGAAGCAAAAGGGAAGAAACTCTAAGCAGAGAAGAAGAAGAAAAAAAAGGCGGTTGTTGTTGTTGACCTTAAAAAGTTCGACTTCATCGACAAAAAGAAAGAAAAAGACGACGAAAAGCGACGCAAAAGAGCGACCGAAGGTTTTGTCCCGTTTCGGCGATGGAGAAACTCGGGCCAAGGAAGGGGCTAGCACTAAAGGGGACTAGCGTGGGGAAGGTTAAAAAGGGCGCACGGTTCAAGGGGGAGGGACCCGCTTCTGCCACGTGATGGATGAGATAAGCAGGACATGACATAAGCAAAGCTTCTTTTTTCTTCTTTTCTTCTTTTCTTCTTCTTCTTTCCTTTTGGCTTTGCCCAAGGTTGCCTGCTTCACTCTCAGCGTTCACGACTGCTTCTACTTTTACTGCTGCTGCTGCTGCTGCTGGATGAGCTCTCCTGACTGGCGGAGTTGGAGTGCTTGCTGCGGCGGGCCGGTGCTGTTCCAAGATGACGAGTGAGGGCACAATTGCGACCATGGCGACCAATGGAGACGGGATAAGTGCAGGCAAGTCTTGTTTGTCTTGCGGGTGGCTGACAGCTCAAATACCTCCTCCGTACAGTCTGGCCTAACACTGTGTGACTAGACGAGATCGCGCTCTACGATAGACAGATCCGGCTGTGGGGTGTAAAGGCGCAAGAAAGGTAAAGCAACAGCGAGGGAGCTGACCCAAATACTCAGATATCATGCTAATACGCGTTGTATCCATCAGAATCCGCAATGCCAACATCCTGCTGGTTACTCTCAAGGGCCTAGGGAACGAGATAGCCAAGAACCTCGTCCTCGCTGGGATAGGCACGCTGACCATTGTCGACGGCGGGATCGTGCGTGAAGAAGACCTGGGGGCCCAATTCCTGATCACGGAAGAAAACATCGGCCAGAGTGTATGCACAACTCCCCTCCCGAACACCGGAAAGACATCCAAGACTAACGCTGTCCCTATAGAGAGCTGAAGCCGTCGCTCCGCATATACGCCAGCTGAACCCCAGAGTCAAGCTGATCGTAGACCACGCCAACATCAGAACGCAGCCGCCTGCCTACTACGAACAATTCGATCTTGTCATCGCGACAGACCTGGACTTTGACTTGTTTTCCACCATCAATGCCGCCTGCCGAATTGCGAACCGCCCTTCCTACGCAGCCGGTGTTCACGGCTTCTACGGCTTCATATTCGCCGACCTGATAAGCCACACCTTTGTCATCGAGCGAGAAAAGTCCAATGTGCCCCCCCAGACAAACGAGACTCCCACTCGCACCGTGCTAGGCGTCACTACAAAAGTCGAAAATGACAAGACGATCGAGATGGTCACCAAGCGAGAGACATACAGCCCCTTACTACTAGCTAACTCCTCCCCCCTGCCGGAGGAATTCACCCGCCTACCACGCAAACGAAAACAAGTGACACCTCTACTCACCTGTCTCCGTGCCCTATGGGACTTCGAACGCCAGCACGGTGTCCCCCCCTCCTTCTCCCGTCAGGATCTAGAAAACTACACTCGTCTAGCGAACGAACGCCATCTGGAGCTCCAGCTTGACCCTTCAACCCTCACAGCCTCGTTCCTGCGATCGTTCCTGCAAAACGTCGGCAGCGAAATTAACCCCGTTGTTGCGTTTTTGGGTGGCAGTCTAGCTCAGGATGCTATCAATGTGCTCAGCCAGAGAGAGCAGCCGCTTCAGAACTTTCTTATTTTCGACTCGGAGAGGAGCGTTGCACCCGTCTATTCGCTTCATCCGTTCTTCCCTGATACCACCAATGGTCTTTAGATTCCTTTTTCTTGCGCTTCCATCTTTTGGGGGGATTTGGGGGTTTCAAACGGACCGGGGTAATGGGTTAGTTTCTTTATTTATGGGCGGCTTGAGGGTCTTCTTTCTTCTTTTCTCTTCTCTTATTCTACTTTTATTTACTTAGGTCTCCCATTCATGCTTAGATTTAAGCCTTAGTTGGTTGGCGTGTAAGGTGGTATTAACCCTTAGCACTGCCCAGAACCATAGGACGAATTTATATCCTTTTAAGCATGGACGAACTTCTACGGTTAATCAAGTAATCAAATCAGAAATACCTTCCCATTAATATTCTCCTAACTAAACTCCCAAACCCTTATCCTTTACTTGATGACCTAGTGAAACGACAGATAATAAAGACAAGAAGAGGGGGAAAGGTCAGATAAAAACAAATAAATACAAGAAAGTTAGGAATGTTGGAAGAAATCTGGCTTGCTCCTGGGTCTGCTCGTGATGACCGGGAAGTATGGAAAGAAAGGGGGGGCTGTTTCCGAGAAATTTGTCCCCACCAAGATGGATAAGGCTTTGGCTTATTTCATGAGCTTGAGCGGAAAGTGAAGCGCTAATGGATGGAAATGTGAAAGATAGCTTAGAGCTTGACGGCTCCGTTGGCTGGAGCGTCTTCCTCACCACGGTCCTTATCAGCAGCGCCGATAAGGCCTTCGAGCTCGAATTCTTGTGCATCGCGGATGTTACGTTCTTGGGCAGCAGCACTCATACCGCCGTTCATTCCACCGTTCATTCCGCTGTGCATGTCTGCATTTGGGGATGCTCCGTCAAGCCCAAAGTTGGCCGTCGGGGCTCTGGCATGGTGCGGGTACCGGCCGGGCATATGGCTAGGGCGATGTCGGGTGTACACTGCAGACTCGGGCCAAGTATGAACTGCATAAATGTGGAGAAGTACATTCACGACTATTGGCAACGGTTAGTTAGTCTTAAAGCACCGATTTACTAGAGTATTATTAGAAAACTTACAGAGGAAGAGGAGACAGGCCAAACTGTAGAGGATAAGGAGGTATGAGACATGGCCAACTCCAGCATCGTGTAGAAGCTGCATCTGTTCTTCTGTGGCTCCCATGAAGATGAAGCCAGAGGCAAAAAGGAGCTAAAATGTCATTAGTTAGTTATATTGACCTTAAAAGTACTCATCGAGAAGAAAAACTTACGTATGGAGTGAGATACTGGAAGCTGTTTGGGTCAGTGCCATCTGGGCTAAGCGTGCTGCGGTCCTTGAGGACGAAGGAGATCTCAATAATTCTTGCTGCACCAGCGGCCATCAGAGTGTATCCGAATACAGAGTGGACCATGGTGCTGAGCATCAAATGCTGTGCATGGGAGGACATGGCATATCCGGTGAGCAGAATGACCACTGCTGGGAAAAGATTCCGCTTTGGACGTCCGTTTCGTTTTCTGCTCAACCACATTCCTAGAAGACCGGCACACCACCAAATGATACCCATGGTGGTGTGTTGCATATCACTATGACTCCATTCGGATCCCCAGCGGTGCTCAGTGAAGGTATTAACAAGACCCCAGGCAGTAATGACAGCCGAGTCAAAGAATTCCTGGCTTCGTCCAGTCTGGCGTAACCAGAACTGCCCAACAAGCAGTAGAATGGTAAGGATGATGCCGTATGCGATGAAAGCGCTTCCCATGATAAAATGTGCAAGACACTGACCAAGATGGTCTTCTCGGCAGAATCCAAGAGCCGTAATCCCACCGAAAACCATCTGGATCCAGCTCACAAGTGGCATAACTTTTCCAACGACTCCGTGCGTGACAACCACATATTTGCGAATTCGGCCATGGAATCCCTTCTCAATGTGAAGTTTGAGGTATACGCCCAAAATGACCTGGACAACAAGCATGAGCATAAGGGAATTGGCGAATGAGGCATGGATGTTCGGAGCAAATTGGCGACCCTTGTGAAGATGGCCAAGAAAGTACGCGAGAATAGCCACCGCGGTACCGACGACTTGAACGGGAACATGGTATCGAGACCGGACGATCTGGATATATCAAATAAATGTCAGAGAAGTCCAAAAACGCGTGTATAGGGTGGTCCGATGGCACTTACGCCCAGAACCATGCCGGTTGGAAAGATGATGCCAAACGCCAGAGTCATCAGCAGGATGTGAATCCATAGCGTAGTATCCTATTAACCAGACGACAAGATCAGTAACCATACTCTCGAATACGTCCATTCAAGTCGCGATCCCCAGAAGATATCACGTACCAGAGGTTCTCCCGAGATCACTTTTCCGTCTGGGAGCTTGTGATGATCTCCATGAGCCATCACCATAGGGCTGAGGGCTAGGCCCAAGGCCACTGATCCCACCAGCTTGTTCATCCTTTCCCAGCTAAGTTATAGCCAAAGGCAGGGGTTGCTATAATGTCAGATAAAGGTGGCAGTCACAGAATAAAGTAGAAACAGGCCTGGTTCTGTTGTAGTGATGTGAAGGACAAAATATGTGCAGAGATCGGGGTTTGCTATATAAAAGGATGGAAATATATATAAAGAGAAAAGCAGTGTGACGCCGAGCAATTATAGACTATAGAGCCATTGCCAGTGTCCTCAAGAAGTGCGTCCTAGGCCTACCAGACAGCAGAGACAGCCCAGAGCATCCTGTCGCAGATGGAGTGCAGAGGAGTTTGATACAAAATGATGATACTGCTCTCGTTTTCTTAATAGCAGCGAGTTCCGTTACAGTCCCCTACCTGCTTATGTCATCCATTCTTATCTCCGGCCCATGCAAAAAACCGCATGGGCAAAATTCTCCTGAACCTTCGACCAAACAACATCCAGACATTTACAACCTAGAGCAAGTAGACAGCAGCACTTCAACAAGGACGTTTATTGCTACTTAGACAGCCATAGCTCTCGTGGCCTCTCCCATTGTCTGAATATACCCTTCTATATCTCCTGCAAACAGCCCTGAGCGAGATTAACAAAGACCTCTGTAGTTCTAAAGCTTGAGATCCAGACGAAAAGAATACCCCATATACCCGCCCCATACCCCAGATACCCCGGGTAATTCAAGTACCTCCAGCAGCGATGACTGTATCTATCACAGTAGATACTGCTCCAGGGGATATACCCCCAACGCCTCAGCAGGCGAAAAAGATTGTGCGTGGCCCGTGTTCTATATGCAGTTAGAGACAGGATGTCATACTGATCAATTCTCGATTCCGGTACAAAGGAAGCCTTGGAGGCAACGATACCAAGGCTTCGTGAGCAAGTCAAAAATACCGAGCTAGCCATAAAGAAAGCAAGGGAGAGGCTCAAGTACTTCCCCTTGTATATTTCTCTCTTTAGCACCCTGCAAGATCTAACGGTTGGGTTTTGAATCACTATAGTGAGTTAGCCAAGGAGGGGCATGGTGGGCCCCCAGACGCCAGCGGTATTGTCAAGGAGCATATCCGGCTTCTTCACGACTATAATGAAATCAAAGATGTTGGGCAAGGGTTGATCGGACTCATTGCTCAAAGCCGTGGAGTGCGACACGTCGAGGTACAGACTGAGTTCGGAATAGCTACCGCAGATTAGCCAGGTTGCTCGGTGGGTGACGCCGTGTGGCATGTATACTAGTAAAACTATATCTATATCTATCAAAGTGAAGGTCAAGGACCAGCTTTCATTCCATCCTGAATCGTTCACAAAGGAGACTCATATAAATCAAAAACTGCATAGGTGAATCAAGCAAGACATAGGAAAAAGACAGGGGGTAAATACGTATAGATCAGACATGTCAATAAAACAAACGGAAAGAAAAGATATCATTTAACAATTATCCTCCAACAAGAGAAATACATTCGTCAACCGCGGCTTCAAGATCGACAATGCGGTTCTTTAGGTATCGATTCTCCTCTCTTAGAATACTCGTGACGGTTGAAGCGTCTGACGAGCCATTGGCACGGCAATCGGGGCATTTCAGTCTAGAAGACGTCAAAGCGTTGAAGGACGAACCGAAGGTGGATGATGATATGCCTTTAAGAACCCTTCCGTAGGCGCTTTCGCGTTGTGGAGCTGCCGGCTGGGTAGCTTTGGGGGTACTTGGACTTGATGCAGGTGCGGATGTAGGCCCAGGTGCAGCCGGGCTTGGTTGTAGAGTAGTCGTTGTAGACGGGCTTGACACCGAGACCGTGGAGAACCTGGTGTTGACTGATGCACCATCGTCATTTTCCCTGGAAAACACACTTTCCGCAACACTCTCGTCCCCAGAGTCAAAACCGGAATCACTGGTAACCGTGACGCCACTGGATTGCTTTGAATGGCTACCCTTAGAATCCCGAGTTGGCGTAGCAGCATCTTCTGGTTGTTTCTGCTGTTGTTGCTGCTGCTTAGCCTTCATTTCGTCCTGGTACTTTTGTCTTTCGGCCTTGAGTTCCTCCGTCAGAGCTTTCAGAGCTTTGTCCTGTTCGACCACCCTAGCCGCCATTCCGTCAAGCTGAGACTTGATATTTTTGATCCGAGATTGAGAATCCTCGAGCTCATCTGCTTGTGTATTTTTCTCTGCTACTGCTCCATGTAATGCAAAAGTTCGTAGCTTGTAAGCTTCTTGGAATTCGCGTAAGACATTTTCGGCGTTGGTTCGAAAGGCATGAAGGGCTTCTTCAGGGGGGAGGTCGGCAAAAGAAGGGTGAGATAGAATAGATTTTATGTCGAGATTTAATAGCTTATCATCGGCAGGTTCTGGAAACGAGTCCTTTTGAGCTTGCTGGGATTTTGATGTGAAGAAAGAGAAAGGGTTTCCTGAAGCGACCTGCCTCAGCGCCGCGACGTTCATATTTCTGGCCAGCTTGGTGGGTGACGGGGACGAGTTGCGACTTGATGGCTCGAGGGAAGGTGAGGCGTCTTGCATCATGTCATCGCTAGCTCCCTTATCCGAACGTGGGGAGGAAATAAGACCCAATCGCATAGGTGAAGATTCCCCTTGGAACAGTCCAGAGAACAGTCGGCTTGAGCGGTTGGATTTAGGCTCGTTGGTTTTCTCCGTTGAGACGCCCAGATCCACGTCCTCAAGCTTGGACGGGTCCGTGTCAGAAGAGTGGCTGGTCGTCCTTACTCCATCTATAGGGAACGATGGCCCATTCGTAAGACCCGGAAGGTCGGTTTTGGAACGACGGTGCGAGGCCGCAATACCTTGGGAAGAGCTGTGAGGTCGGTCCTCGTGAGGCCGTAGCCGCGACGATTTTGTTGGTGAGCTGGGCAGAGACCGACCCCCTTCTGCAGAGTATGTGGCAGCGCGAACTGAAGCAGTCCATGTTGCCTCCTGTTGACCTCTCGATAGCTGGTTGTTGTTCGTCCTTGATTCGTCAAAAATCCTGTTTAAGCGTTGCTGCAGTCGGTCTGGCGACGGGTGTCTCGACTGCTCAGGCGTCCTCTCGCCAACCTGCTTTTTCCACGTATCCATACTTTCACAAAGCTGCCCGATAGCGGTTCATATCGATATTCTCATAAGTCGAATAGTTTTTTTTGAGTATTTTGAGTAAGTACGGAGTACCAGCCCATATATAGGACAGGGCTTTTCTTTCTTGCTCATGCGAAAGCTTGCAGGGCCGCCCAGAGGAGAAAGAGGACACACCGACGCCGGAAAATAGTCGGCTTCCAAAAAGCAAATCTGGCTGAGACGTGCGATGACGAATTTCACTTGCTGGGCTGCCCCATGGTGGAGCCGAATGGCCTTTATCGATAAAACATAGCGCGTTGCCCTGGTAATGAAGGACCGCGTTCTGCACCAAGGTTGTTCGTGACGAGGTCTCGCCATCAAGCAGCCATCACGCCACGAAAGTCAACGCGGCCGAGGCGTTAGAGTGGTGTCTTTGTGTTGTTGTGATAAGGACGCAGATTAGCTAGTGGCTGTGTGCAGTGCCCGTGAGTTGCATGCTTCCAGCCATGACGGTTGCCACAGCATCGCGTGGACCATCATTTAGTCGAAGTAAGCTTGTAACAAAACAACAAAAGTACGCGGCCCTCTATGTTGTGGCAGCTGTTTCCACACCGTCTGGGAGTACCCGGGAGTCGTGGATGGCAGTGAAATGCACGATGGACATTGTAAACAAAGGAGGATCGAGGTGCTCCTCAGCAAAGAAGTGGAGCAGCGCGGCTAATCCGCGGGAACTGGCGCTTATTAGTTAACCAACCCAGCGAGCTTAAGTTCGACTTGCAAGTCGTCTCCATCAACAGGACAGAGTGGCAGGTCCCGCCGACATTTATCCGCACCCACGGCCTGATACGCCGTTTTTTATTCTGGCTACTCTGTAACATCGCTCGATGGTGATCTGCTCTTATCTTCAATTTCCTTTTTTCCTCCCCAGTTCTGGTCAATTGGCCAGGACCGCAGCCACCAGCCCACCGCCATGATGACGCTCGGTCTGGGGCCGCTTTGCGCGGAGTGCATGAGCATCATCAAGGATATTCCTCTTACGCTGCTATTTGGGCTATTGCTCTCTTGTTTTATGGGACTTTTTAGCCTGGTGAGTTCTTGCTTGTTCCGTCAGCTATAGCCACGTTGTACCTAATCAAAGGAATTCCATCAGGCCTACCTCCTCCTTTTGATCCTAGCACCTGCTCCACGAGCTCCATTCCCTGAAGAGAAGAAATACAAAGCAATTTTGGAAGATGGTACTCTTGCTAAGGACCAGCAACTACCTTGCTGGCATGACAAGATCAACCTGGACACGTACAAACAGTCGGACTTCGAGGAACCCACCTTATTCATGTCCGTCGTGATACCAGCGTACAATGAGGAAAAGCGACTCCCTGGGATGCTGGAAGAGACAGTTAGCTATCTAGAGCGCGCGTACGGGACGCCGAAGCTATCAGGCCAAGCGGATACAACAATTGCTACCGGTTTACAGGATGGCGATCTAGGAGAGACGCGACTTCGACGCAATGCAAACGGCAATGCAAAATCTGGCGCAGGCAAAGACTCTACCACACCGTTGAAAGGCTGGGAGATATTGATTGTCTCTGATGGCTCGACCGACAGCACCGTGGAGACGGCATTGGCCTTTGCCAAGGACCACCAGCTTTCTGCTCATCCAAAGGGGCATGCAGGGCCATGGACCCCTAAACTAAAAGAGGGAGTTAAGATACCAGCCGGGAGTATACGAGTTATTGAGTTGACTCAGAACAGGGGTAAGGGAGGCGCAGTGATCCACGGTATGAGACATGTTCGAGGACAATATGCCATATTCGCCGATGCCGACGGAGCCAGCAATTTCAATGACTTGGGTAGATTAGTGGAAGCCTGTGAAAGGGCGGAAGACACCAACGGACGTGTAGTTGCCGTTGGGTCGAGAGCACATCTTGTAGGAAGTGATGTGGTTGTCAAGGTAAGTCAGCAGAGAATCATTTTGGTTTCATTACATACACAGTTATATAACATCAGCTAACAACCCTTAAGCGCTCCAAACTACGGAACTTTCTGATGCACTCTTTCCATCTAGCGCTCCGCCTTCTTACGCCACCGGCCACAGCTAGAATCAATGACACTCAGTGCGGCTTTAAGCTCTTTTCCCGTGCAAGTCTGCCATATATTATACCCTACATGCATTCGGAAGGCTGGATCTTTGACGTTGAAATGCTCATGTTAGCTGAATTTGCCAACATCCCTGTTGCCGAGGTACCTATTGGATGGAAAGAGGTATCAGGTAGCAAGCTAAGCGTTGTTTGGGATAGTCTGGGCATGGCTTATGGGCTGGCTATACTTCGGGCTGCGTGGGGCTTTGGCGTTTATACGCGAGCTGGAAGTTGAGCTCATCCTTTCATTCACATATATACATCTTAGACTGTACATCATTTACATTTAAACTACTTTGTTTGTGGGAAAATATATACCATTGCTGGTTTAGTAGAAGATGAGTCGGAATTGCGGAAAGATGTTTGAAAAAGAAGATGGCGAAGTTTCGCTCTAGTGTATATACCCATAATCCCAACCAATAGATACCGTATCTGTCCAAGATATCCAATCCCGTCCACGCATTTCCCAATCAATCAATCAATAACTAAATAAGGGGGGTCATTCCTCCGAAAGACCCAGGGTAGCCTAATATATACCTGAAATCCAACCATAAACATCCAACGAATAAAACAGGAACATAGAGCAGAAGTACGCCGACTGCATTGCTCTGGGTATATACAAGCCGATGTAAAAACAACATCATCAAAATCATGCCTACCGTCCAAAAGGCCGTGAGATGAGATTATATACTCGTTTGAGGTCAAACCAATTGTAGAGTAAGTGGGGGTTGTGTCGGAATGAAGAGATATATGAGGATATGGCAGATGATGAGACAGCAGCGTAGACAGCGACCTTGGCGGGCAGCCAGGGGGAGAACAAGGGAAGCAGCGTAAGTTAAGACGTTGCTTGGTTTATGCGGTTGTGCGAATGAGTAGACACGGTTTATTGTTGCAGGTACCTATGGGGCATTTCGTTAGTAAATACAAAAGAAAGGCCAATAGCAAGTAAGAATTGAGAAGCGGGCGAATAGACTTACCCAGGTGACAAGTAAGGAGCAGAAGAAGAGGAGCGCAAACTTCGAGTAGGCCCATGCAGCACTCTGTCGTTCCCATGAGGCCTTGCGCATGCGATGGTGAACACCGGCTGAGCCACGTCTTTCGGGAAGGTTGTGGCTGCTCTCCGCTGCATGTTCGATGTCTATCACGTCGTGTACTCCTTGAAGTTCAGGGCCATGAGTGGTATGTCTAGGTGTACCTGGAGGGAAGTAGGCCGGTTCAAGGTCATCTCCCAAATGATCCGGTCGAAGTTCGGGTTCTGGCCAGCTTTCTAGATAATATGTTTGCTGCTGTTGTTTATTTTGCTGGTCTGTATGTTTACTATTTTGTTGGGTATACTGCTGGTGATCAGGGCTGGTATCACGCTCGACGTAGCTGGAAACCTCCGTCACACCAGCAGTGGTCGAGTCAGCTCCCGACAAGGTAAGACTGATGTTGCGCAGACGTTTGATGTCTCTGCGACTGGCAAGAATGAACCTGGCACTGTATATGTATATGCCGAGAGTGATCAAGATTATAGTCCAGATCGGCCCGTAAACGCCGCCGATTCGGAGAACCGACCACTCAGGCCTAATCCAACACCAAAGCTAGAAATAAATCGGGCCATTAGCATTGCGCGAGTGTTACGGGCGATGATCTCGAGGTATTACTTACTGTTGCGTCACCGTAAACCTTCCCTTTATCCTCGCTCTTGATGAAGAGGAAGGCAAAAGCCGGTATGAAGGGAAGCACGTAGCATATGATAATGTACTTCCACTCCAGCTTCCGTAACTCTGCGGTGCTATATCGATGGAACAGAGTCAAGTAAACATTGCATGCCATGCAAAACGCCCAGAAAGCATCAGCGACATGGAACCTTTTCTCTCATAAAAAACTAATTAGTATCCATCATGGCCATTTTTTTTTGTTCGCAGCAGAAGCGACAGGGAGACACACCATTGAATGAAGGTGGCCTGCCACTGACAGAGGGAGCTGTCCTCGCCCGCAACGATGCCAGATCTCGAGGTTGCTGTGGCGCAGATGCCGAGTATGTTCCCCCAGGTTGCGAAGAAGATGAGGCGGTTAACGGGCGTCCTGAAGCGGCGGCTGGCGATGAAGGTGAAGACGACGAAGAGGCAGCCGGCGAGGGAGATAGTCGAGCTCACCCGCTCAGTGATGTGCAGGGCCTGCAGTTGTCTCTCGGTGAAGGGCATCGGTCGTCGCTCATGGTCATCTAGTCAAGCGAAGTCAAGCCCAGAGAAGGTTGAAGTTGAAGTTGAAGATGAAGATGAAGATGAAGGTGTTGTCTTCCAGCGCCCAGACAAGGCTATCTCTATGGCTGTATCTGTCTCTGTGTCTTGTATCTGTGTCTGTCTCTGCCTGTCTCTCTCTATATAGGGTGGGAAGGGCAAGGCGAGAGTTACCTCTCAGCCGTGCGGGTATCCTGCGCCTGCTTGCGTCTGGTCCTACATATATATATAAAGCTAGCTAACTCGACGCCATCCCGTCCGCCAGCCGCTGCCGTCTCTTCTCCTGCTTCTTCCTCCTTTCTCCTCCGCCCGCGCCTTCGCTCTCGTCTCATCCTCGTCTCATCTTTTTCCATGTGCCCGAACGAGGCTCCGTCACGTGTGTGACTCTCACGGCATCAAGTTTTGTGTCCCTGTTTATACGGGAAGTTGCAGACTTGCATATGTGAGATTGAATTCGCCAGCCGAAGCGAAAACGAAGCCTTCAGCGAAAAAGAAAGGAGCAAAGTAAAAAAAGGGAATAAGAAGCAAAGAGATCCCATTGTGGTCGAATGGCTGGATATCAAATAGCTCGATCCGCTGTGGCGTGTCTTGTTGATCGGCTTGGTGATGCATGTCACCTATCATCGTTATTGGGCCAAAAGCAGGTCTCTGAGAAGTCACATCTTCCTCTCTTCCTGAGGCTGGCAGGGGTACCATTCTGATAGTCACGCAGCGGCAGAGGTACAATATGTATATAGCTTACTACCGAGCAGAATGCACCCCTGTCAGGGTCAGCAGCGTTTTCGGGGAGAAGGAGCCGTCGCCATCGCCATCGTGGATCTATCTGCACTATCGATGCAGGGTGAAACTAGACTATCTGCATCTTCTCAGAGCATCCCTTTTTTGGTCTGGCCCTTCTTCGTCTTCGTCTCTATCACTTCATCATCATCATCTTCTCTGTCTCTTCATCGACTTTCTCTCCTGTTTGCCCCCTTTTGGACAGGGCAAGAGTTGCCGAGGCTAGAGTCGCGTGATCTCGGTCGGAACAACAAACTTCCGCTTATCTCTCTTCCCGCGGCCTTCGAGGGCCTTTTACTAAGATGCCTGATTTCCGGTCTTTTGTTGGCTGTTGATGATGATAGTGCTATTTAGTTTGCATTTGAAGAAGCAGATGGCAGGGTCTCGTTGACCGGAAGACGGAGACGGCAATATACTTCTGTTGAGGGCTACATGCTGCCGATGACTTTTGACCTGAGGGACTGTGCCGTCAGCTTGGTCAGTGGGCGCCGGAGTCAGCCATCTTGCGCGCCTAATCCTTTGATCACCACCTCTATCTGCGACTGCGGCGTCGACGACATCCGACGTTACGCCCTGGAAGGACTATCAGGAAGCCACCGCGCCTGTCAGGACTGGATGGGCTGATAGTTTATATTCACTAGCTGATGCTTGATCTCACTCAACATCTTCCAACGCCTACACTGCACCTGATGCTGTTTCTGCGCCGTTAGAAATCAACGCCGTTAGCCGTTTACTAGCCAGTTAAGAGAGACACACACAAAAACACAACAGAAAAGAGAGAGAAGAGACGGTGAAGGAAATAACCTATAAGAAATACGATATTCGACGTTCCCCGACCAGTCTGTATAATTCTCCGCCTTGAGGTGGTGGTCCAGGTCACCTACCCATGAACCTAGCCCCGGCGGACCAGGCTCCTATACGATACCATCCCCTCCCACCGCTATCGCTACCGCTACCACTACCGGACGACAGGAGCGGTCTACAAGCCTACATTGAACAATCACGAGCGGCCCTACAGAGCCAGCGTGCTAGCTTCGAATGTGAGCGCGCTGCGTTTGGCGAGGAACGTAAGTTGTGGAGTCAGGAGCGGGAAATACTCAAGTCGAGAATAGCGAATCTTGAAAAACATATCAACTGCACCCATGAGGACATGGCTACCGCAGTGCCTGTAAACCAGGCTGGCAACCCGTCTTCCGCTAGCTTAAGAGTCTGGGAAGGCTCGAGGCCGACAGGGAGGCCGACAAGGAGGTTTTTTGACGGGACGTCAGCAGCGGGACTCCTTGCTCCAGCACCAGCACCAGCAGCGTATGATTCGTCTTTTCTCCAGGTAGATGATCACCTCGCTTCTGGTAGATCGCCATCTCTAGATGAGGCGCTCTCCCCCAGATCCCAGCCGGTTGACCGAGCACACCATGTTGCCATCCCTGTGGAGTTGGTAGACAGTAGCTTAGACGGCATCACTCTCAAATCGACTGGCCTGCCACCCAATGTTGCCGCAAAGCTAACTTCTCCTCCTCTCGCAACTTCAAACATCCCCTCTCCGCCACAGCTAGGCACCGCCCTCACCGCCGCCGCCGCCGCAGACGCTAACGAATCGCGGGACCATTACCACACTCACGATGGGTGTGATGCTTCAACCCTTCAGACCGCTCCGCCAGAGGTCGGCACTACTGCTGAACCCACTGTCCAAGCGCCAGCGGAGCGGCCCCGACTTACGACTCATACGACAGACGAACAACCTAAATTCACCCCAGACGCGGACTCACCTGACCACAACTACACAGAAGTCGAAATCGATGACGACCCAGAGCTGACTGGCCCGCTCATGCTCCGGAATGACGAAGAGCAGGATTTAGACTTCCTCGAAGCGCTTGACAAGAAACTTCTCATGGAGGCCAAGAGAGTGGTATCAGCCAGCCCTACATTATCTGACATCGATGCCCTGTCTGACGTAGCAAATCCTCAGTCGGAACCCGAGCCAGAGATCCGGTTCAAGAAGACTACCAACTTCGGTACAGCATTTGGCTCAACGCAGCGTATGGCTTGAATCTCGCGTTTCAGCGTACCTTAGTCTTCCCGTGCGTTTTTCTTGACTACAACGCTTGCTTGATCTGGTTCGATTCCCTTTTTTCCTTTTTCCTTTCCCCCTTTTTCTTTTCCCATTAAGTTAAGTCAACTCACTACTCAATTGGATAATTGCATATGTTGATCATGTCCCGTGTTGAATGAGCGAGCAACAGACATTCCTACATATTTCCACATAACTAACCTCCTCTTCTTCCTCTTCTACCCTCATCCGTATCATCTTTCGCCCTCTTCTCTTCTATTCATTTATTCGATCCCAGTTCTTACAGCGTCTTGTATGCAGCATTTGGAGTTAGCTTTTTGGTACCAGGGAGGAACGGGCGGGCACAAATTATCATCAAGGGCAGGGATACCCGCGAATGTATATATCATAATATGGCGTGGAGGCGTATTTATTAACTAATTACTACCTCTACTGATTTATTTGCCTCCCTCTTTGACAGGGTAGTCTCCATGATTTTAGTAAGATGTACAACTACCGTACCTATCGACAATATATTCTGGATAGCAGATACCATACATATCATAGATGTATGATGCTATACCATAGTATTCAAACAGAGGACTCTCCCTTTCAATGCCTGAATATGCAATTCCATACCATGGTACGGAGTACCGGGTAGATAAAAGAGGTATGTATATACTCGCCCAGGACGCCAGCGCTAGTGACTCACGTGACGCTCCTTTTTCTAAACAAGGTTCAGGGTTACAAGGTTGTTCGTCTAGCCGCGCTGTTGCCTTGGGACATCAAAGCATCCAACAACTACATCCCACTTTCAACACCGGCCGGTAGTCGAGATCATGGCTCGGCTTGTGGTCTTTTACCCTTACAGCAGATGCTGAAATACCTATACCTAATATAAAGATCTTAACGGCTAGTTGAGTGCCGACTAAATGGCCAGCCCTCCAGACTACCGTGCGCTGTGGTTGCAGTCACAGGAAGCGCTAGGCCGGGCGGAGGAAGAGCGGCGGCAGGCGCAGGAAGAGAGAAGGCAGGCAGAAGATGAGCGGGATCGAGAGAGAGAACGAACTCGTGATACGACCTTCTTGGAGTTCCTTGGCCTCTGTCATAATATCTTCTCCGTCTCGCTAAGAGTTGGGTCACCAGCCCGCTCTACCAAGGGAACAATAAACCCACCGATAGGGAAGTCTTGCCCGGTGCAATTTTTACCCTGGGAAGACTGCGATGCCCAACAGCAGAAGATTCACAGCTCTGTTTGCATGTATCTACAGCCCCAGGGAGAACCTGCACCACGGCTCTTTGCCTCGCGTCATGCTCTAGACCATCTTGGACAAGTTTTCAGCAACAGGGCGTTAAGTAGTGAAAAAGACCTGGAAGGCTATGAAAGGTTTGGAGTGGAAAACCATGTTTACAAAATTATCTCCGAGCTCTGCAAGATACCGGGTGCTCGCGCTGAATTTGAACTGGGCGATGGCGTCTGGTTTGATAACCATGATAATGACCTTGACGTAACTGGTGATAACGTCGCTCAGAAGTCAGATATATATCCCTCGAGACCGGACCAATTTTGCATCCATCGAGTCAACGGTGAGACAAGCCATATTGTGACAACGGTTGAATACAAACCACCTCACAAGCTCTCAGTCGAGAATCTTCGTTCTGGCTTAAAGCCGATAAGGTTTTGGGACGAAGTAGTCCGCTCTGACTCTGTTCCAATAGATAAGGATGAGAAATTAAAATATAATGCACTTGTGCTGACTGGTTCAGCCATTGCGCAAGAATACCATGTTATGCTTCAAGAGGGACTTGAGTACTCTTACTTGACTAATGGAATAGCCCTGGTTTTGCTGCGTGTTCCGCGAGATACACCCGAGATCGTATATTACCGTCTTTGTGAGCCAAACCTCGTTATCCGTCCTGGCATCAATGATCATTTACAACAGCCTTTGACTACCATTGCACGAGTGCTTTGTCTCTGCCTGATGAGCTTTCGCGCGCCGGTTCGTGACCAGGCATGGCGACACTTTGCCAAATCACGGGTACCAGAGTGGAAGACGAGTTTTGACCACGCACGCTCCCAAATCCCAGATGAAGAATTACGGGAAAATCCACCAGATTCAGAGTACGTTTCACCAGAAAGCACGGGTGAACGTACTGTCTCAGATTATATACCATCATCATCATCCTTTGAAGAAACTGCGGAACAGGGTCAGATGGAGACTAGGTCCCAGACTCGATCCCGAGCTCAATGCAGGCCAGATACAGCCCAAAGCAATGAGCCTTCAGACCCTAACATCGATCCAGATAGCGGTCCCAGCGGCCGAAAACGTGGTTTCAGTGAATTGACAACCTCCTCGTCATCCCAGTCGGCGAACCAATCGCCGCGGCAGACAACCGATACTGGACAAAGTGAAGGTGGCCATTACCAACACAATGCTCAATTCTGTACGCAGAAATGCCTTATCGGGCTGAAGCTTGGGGGTAAACTAGATGAGAGCTGTCCAAATGTAGCACTTCATCGAAAGACTAAAGACAATGATAGCCACTCCATTGACGCCAAAACCCTCGTTCAATTAATTAACCAGCAGCTGGATAAGAACCTCGACATCGACTGCACCCCCATAGGAAAATGCGGAACCACCGGCGCACCCTTCAAAATTACCTGCACTGAGTATGGGTATACCGTCGTCGGCAAAGGGACCACAACTCATCTCTGGGGCGTGGTATCCCGAGAAGCAGAAATATATAGTTTTCTAAAGCAAGCACAAGGCTCAGCGATACCCGTCTTTCTCGGCACCATCGACCTTGCCATGACCTACTACTTACATGGAGCTGGAAGGATCCGACACATGTTACTCATGGGCTGGGCAGGTGAACATATTGACGGGGAAAATGTCGACAAAGTTATTAAACGAGAAGTTGCAAGGTCCAAGAAAGAGATTCGTTGTTTGGGGTTATTGCATGGGGACCTTCGCTGGCAAAATATCCTATGGAATGCCGAGCTCAATCGGGCACTTATTATCGACTTTGACTCTTCCCAGATGGACCCGCGGCTTTTGAAGAAGCCACCAAAACAACTTAAACGAAAACCGAGTAGGCTAAAGGGTGCTTTATCAGAGAAGGTTAATCATGGGGAAGTGAAGAATGAGCGGAAACGACTTCGTGTGCTTTGATAGCCACGGTCGAAGTTAGGGAAGTTGAACGGACAGCTTTTTTTTTATTTATTTTTTGGGATACCCATACACGATACAATTTACGTTTGTTTCTGCATAGCAATGATTGAATAGAATTGAGAACTAATCTAGAGCGGTTTAAATCAACTATTTGTGTTCTGAAGACATTGTCAAAGCAGATATTTCAAGGCACCGCCTGCCTACGGGGATGCAATGCGAGCAAACCAGGAAAGCTCGAAATTCAATCAAAATGGAACCAGATCAAAGAGAATAGGTAAAACAAAGCAAGCAAAGCACCAACCCCATTCACTCCCAACCAAATAAATCAAAAGAGAAGGCAGAGCGGAACGAGCCTAGACTCCCATGGTGAAATCATGCTCGATGCCCGGTGTGACGCTGGCAATGAATTTGAGGAACACAACCAGGTACTGGTCGACCCGAATCGCAACCTCTTGATCTTCCTCATCATCCCCTTCATGTTCCAACACTTCCCACTCGTCGCCCGCACTGCTACTGCTGCCCTTAGGCTTATCGTCACCAGATACCTTCAACTTCTCCGTTTCATCCACCAGACCCTCCAGGCCAGCCTCAACCTTGTCCTTACCATCCTTGGAACGCTTGGACTGTTTCTCGCGACGGATTTTCAGCGCAGCGTCTGCACGATCGAGAAGCACTTTCATCACGCTTGCGTGTTTGCAAGGGTGGACGCTAGCCATCTTCACACCTCCCTCGAAAAAGGGGAAGTCTTCCAGCGTGACTGTCTTGTCCTTGTAGTCGCCAACTATATCCTCCATCATAAGGTGGGGAGGCAGTGGTTCTGATACGGCAACGTAACCGGATAGGTAGAGGCGAGGAGTCTTGTAGTATGGGGTATAGGTAATGTAGAGCGAGTATGTTCGTAGGGGGCTAAGACAAGTTAGCATCAGACATGTACGGTGCATGTGGATATAACTCACGCATTCTTCCCATCTTTCTGCGCCGGCTCTCGAATAATAGCTTCCTCATCGTCCTCTTCATCATCCATGTCAGGAATCTCTTCGTCTTCTTCTTCCTTCTCAGCTACATTGCCCGACTCATCCACCGTTCTAACGTCCTTAGCATGCGTCTCGCCCGCCCCCTCATCGCCACCTGTATTCAACCACCCGTCATCATCACCATCTGCGCCCGCACCAGACGGGTTTCCCAGTTCACCCTGTATTATGATATCTGCCGCCTTGCCCGCGAAGTTCTCGTCCAGTCGGCGGTTACATGGTACCCCGCGGGTGACCAGGAACTGCTTCCCCTCCGGCAGGTATGCGACTCGTTTTGACGGAGAGGACGCAGCGGACCATGACCAGGTAGGGAACTTGTAGACGAGGTAATCTCCAGCGCGCACGAACTCTTCAGGCGTCACTTGGCCGGTACTTCTGAAGGTAGAGACGTGTGAGATAGGGGCCAAACGGTCCCGGATATCGTTTAGTTTCGAACGGATAACGTTCATCTTGGTGGGTTATTTGGCTCTTCTAGTTCTGGGTGCCGAGAGATATGTATTAGAGAACGTGTAGAAGTGTGTATGTTATGGTGCTGGCAGGCGGTTGTAGGTTGATGTTGACTGCATGGATTTGGTCTGCTCTGCTCTGCTCTGTTCTGGTGGTGCCTGGCAAAGGCGCTTGACAGGGTGGGATGATCTCTATGACGTTTTCACGTGCTTGGCTACTTTTTCGTAGGCTTATCTACGAGACGGTCATTTATCTATCATTTTATCCGCTAGGAGGGTATATATATCTACTAGGTATTGGAAGATGATAGACTGTGGTCATTTCTTTATTATACATGGGCCTCTCTGGTGACCTTTGGTGTCGGCTATCGGCCTGTTTGCTCCACGACCCGCTTTATCAAGGTAGCTAGGTTACCAAGGTCCTGAGACAGGGACCTGAGTACTACTTTGGGAGCGCCTTTGAGAGCAGTGTTTGAAAGCTCTGCTAGGTGGTTGTCTTCTTGAACTGTTGCGGATGTTCTGGATGGCCCGTGTGAGTCGCCTTTTCAAATCATGACTCTCTCGTAGGGTGAATGAAGGATCCTCCTAAGACGGCAGAGGTGGTATCACGATTCAGCAGAAGTGGCCTGCTGACGTCTAGATGTCTCTCGCTCAACACCGCCAACGGTCAAGGGGACCACTTTGCCCTTCCAGAACTCATGTTCAGCCGTAGCGAACCCATCCATACTCCTCATAGCAACCACCAGAAAGCCCAACTCTTCTCGATCAACGTCAAATACCTCCCACCACTCACTGTCAACAACCTTGACGCCCTGTTCCCTTGCAGCAAGGTAGATAGCAGCAACAGCCAGCGCATTCGGTTGGTGAGTTAGATATAGCATCTGAGGCGAGAACAGGGCGGTGTTGAGATGTGCAAAGGTACGCGCAGCCACGGAGGAAGAGGACACCTTGAGAGTTTGCAGGTAGGTCAGGGCGATGGTATGCGGGAGAACAACCCTTGTGTGAAAGGAAGAGGTGCGTAAGACGGCAGACTCGATCTTCATTAGGTTCTGGCGTTCAGTCTGGTACAAGCCTTCGGACAGGTAGTAGCTCTCTGGATCGGGGTGTTCGGGCGCTCCATCCGGGTTGACGAAAGGCAGAGGCGAGGCCGTGGGGGAGAGTAGATAGGTGTAAACGTTAAGCACTGAGCGAGGCGATACAGGGTAAAAAGAGAGCTTTGCTGTCGTATACAGAGCTGCAGCAGAGATATCCTATCACCGTCGTCAGTTAATATTACACTGCCCAAAGTAAGGCACGCGTACACATACCTTTGCAGAGTAGACTGCCAGACTGCCTCCTTCGGGCCCAACCCAGAACCTGGTAAAGACGACTATGGCCTGCGCCACGACGTCCTGCGGCAGCTGAAGCAGCACCCCAGCTGCCTGGGTGAGCTTCACGCCCGCATATCGAACCGACCTCTCGAGCTCCTCTGGCACCCCATCTAACGACGAGGAAGAGTGCTGCAGCTGCGCTGGAGAGGCAAGGGCATTTGACAAGTGGCCCAGCTCGCTCTCAACGCCCGACATGACTTCTCGCGTCTTCGCCTTGCTCGGGTATCAATCAACCAACACCTCGACCGTCAGTCTCCATCAGGGAAGTCGTGAAATGCTACAGAGTACCACCTAAACTATCTCTCTGCCGCTGCCTTCTGCTTATTATGCACCACTAGCCCTCCGCCTTCCACCAGAAAGTCCTTGATGGTCTAGTGGTCATGATTTCCGCTTGTCAACTTCGCTGAGTAAGCGAGTAACAAGCGCGGGAGACCGGGGTTCGATTCCCCGTCAGGGAGTTCTTTTTTTTTTTTCGACATTTTTCAATTTGCGTCATCTTTCATTGTCAGCTGCATAAACTGCTCCGTAGTTATAGATAGATCATGCAAGGATAACTGAATAAGGATGATGCAGTGATCATCCGACTCTTTGTGTCTCATGGCAGGACAGGGCATTGCAGGGCATGCATTGCATAGTGTATGAAGATGGCGTGTTTTGAGACAAAAACAGAAAACTGGACGCCTTAAAGGCAGACAAGCCGTCGGTTTTGCGACGAAACGGACGAATAGTAGCGCTTGCCGTGTGGTTGGCGGCTGGCTGACCGTTCACTTCCGTACTATGCAATGCATAACTTGAGGAATCACGAACGACGGTCCTATAGGATCCGCTCGCATCTGTTCGCATCCATGCGGTCCCCAGCCCGTATTCAACTCCTCGTCTCCAGCCTGATACGGGGTATGGTATCTGGATCTAAGCGGACCATGCATTGAGTTCCGTAGTTAAATAACTACATTATTAACTCAAAGTTTTAGGACAACAAGTTATTAGTTGTCTAGATCGTGGCAAGGAAGCCCGAGACAAGGCCAGCCACGGCGGTAACCAGACATGTACCCTTCCCACTGAGCCGTGTATTGACGGAGCCTTGGTAGGAGGCACTATTTACCGGTCGGGTAGGCATTGCGACTGGCAAAACAGCAAACAGTGGCTATCAGTGGCAATATTGAGCTGTTGTTTTGTTGGAAAAGGAGGTGAGAAGAATTACTCCATACGGGGTTTGCTTTGTTTGGGGCTCCCATTCGGAGTCAATTGGCCGAGTAGATTGATGGATCAAGGCGTCAATCAATCAATCAAATAGTGTATAGAGCGTGATACGATGCAGAGGAAGCGGTCAAAGGGCCCGGAAAAGGTGCATAGTCACTGCTGAGCATTGGTTTCTATGCATGCATACGTACGTGCGGATGATCATTGAATGTGATGGCCCAAGGAAATGAGAGAACGAAATATGCAGCTACCCGAACATGACTTCATAGATCTATGTAAATATGTACAGCGCAAGTTTTTGTGATATGTACAGCTTCCCCGAGAAGATAGGAAAAAAAAGACAAGACGACGTTGGTAGTATATGAAAGTAAACGTAATGTTGAATAGAGAGCAAGGGAAAATCACGGCCCAATTTCCACCTACAGAGTAATCCCGAATCGAAGTTTGACCATCTTCAGTCAAGTTAAATGAACCAAGAGAAGCCTCCCAACGCTAAGAAATAATGATTGAAAAGCAACGCATATAGATAGATAGATAGATTAGATAATTTGGAGAGAGAGAGGGGGGGGGGAGAGAGAGAGGAAAAGAAGCCAGGGCCGATCCTCCGAATTAATGGCCCGGAGTATCAGCAAATTAAAGAGATAAATGAAAAAAATGAAAACAAGAGAGGAAAAGATATCAACCCCTAAAGTGTTAGCTAGTATCTTTGAACTTTTTCAAGTTTTTTTTTTCCTCCTTTCTGCTTTTTATCTTTTTTTACTATGCCGTGTCATGACCGTCATCAAGTCGACTCGGCAAGTATCTCAGCAGCCTTTCTGAAGAAGGAGACTCGCTCCGAGCACTGCTCAAGCTGCAGCACAAGATCCTTTATCTTAAACCGTTTCTGGGCTGGGTCATACGTGAACCAACGATCCATCTACCTCTCTCACCGTGTTACTGAAATGAACTCAAAAAGGTAAAAGTAAGAAGAAAGGAAAAAAAAAAAAGGAAAAGGAACTTACGGAGGCCATCCTATGTCCAAGCCAGAGACACCTCTCAGCCCTGACATTTGCGGTATGGGCCAGCTCAAGAGTCCGGTCTTCTTCCTCTGCCAGCTCCGTATTGACAAAGTGTCCATCGGGGAAGTAGAGCCTTGCCCAAGCCAGGCCGCGCAGGTCAAACTCTTCAGGGAGATGGTACTTGACCCCTACATCACTGGACTCGGTAAGGGGGAACTCATCACTGGTGATCTTGGACTCGCTTACGCGGTGGCGGTTAAGGGTATTAAGGAAAGTAACCAGGTCACGGAAGGGAACAAGGGGCTCAAAGACGTGCATTGCTTCCGGGGTGAGGGAAAGAGTGAACAGGAAAGCAAGAGAGACGTGGATAGCTGGAAGGACGTTTTTGTCACCAATTTGGCGGAGTAAGAGAGAGAACGTATGCATAGACTGGTAGATGGTGTAGTAGAGTGGGCTGAGAGACGAGCTGAATCTGGTGTTGGAAGACTGAGGGATAGAATCAAGCAAGGAGACAATAGGCTCAGACCGGGCGCTGCAGGTGCTCCAGTATGCTCTTGCCGATGGGATTCTGCAATCAGCTGGTTTTGCAACGGCAAGTTTATACAGATCTGTCAGGGTATTAGCTACCGCGGGCGCAAGAGAGTTGTCGTTAATGAAAAGCGTAGCAAAGTTGGAGCATGAGATTTGGACGCCCTGCTCGCGGAACTTCTCTCCCATTCGGCCTACGTGTTGCGGCAAGCAGGAGAAGAACTGCAGGGTGTGTTCGAAGTAGGAGTGAACTGATTCCTTCTTGAACAGGATGCCGTGCGCCTTGACGAATGAGGCCAGAGCCAGTGGGTGACGAGGTTGCTGTCTGGGCCGGCTGTGCTTGTGTAGTTTATTTTGCTGTTGCTGTTCTTGCTGCTTTTGCTGCTGTTGCTTCTGTTGGCGGCGGTCTTCTTCCAGCAAGGGGTTGAATAGCAGCAAAATGCTCTCTCTTGAGCTGGCAAAGGGCTCAACACAGACCAGAGACTTGGTGTAATAGAACAGCTGTGCCAGGATATTTGGTCTGGCCAGGACAGCAGCGTGATGCTGTATTCTGCCAACGTTGGGTCCTTTATCCGCAGCCATTCGGTACCAGTACCTGGCTACCTCAGCCCACTTCTCCCGGTTATACAGGTCAACCTCTTCAACTGCCATCTGGTACCTGGCTAAATCACCGAGACATTCAATCCAGATACGCGAGAAGGCAGGCACACTCTCAAGCAAGAGGGTCATCATAGAGTAAGCAATATAGATGAAAGATATCATGTGCTCGAGTGAACCCGGGAGCCGGTGCCGAAGCAGCTCCAGGAACGAGTGCACGCCATGCCTCCACATTCTAGCAGGCATCCCATACTCTGTAGCCAGCCTGCGCAGCCTAGGCGTAGCCGAGGGGTGCTGCGAGGCAAGGAAGAAGTCGTGGTGCTCATGGAGAAGGGTCCTATGGATGGCTATCAGGGCCTTCCACTGTTCGTTGCTGAGTTCCGATCTGCCGTTGAGCTGCTGCATGTCAATCTCAACACACTTCTTCTCGATGACGACAAGCCCAGAGTAGATGCCCTGCACCTCGACAATGAGCTGCTCCTCGGAGATCTGCCTGGTCTCCGGCTGCAGGAAGAGGTCTGGAGAACATGGGAGGCTGTGTGGCAGGGATCTATCATGGCCATATCCTTCATCGTCTTCTTCTTTTACTTTTGCTCCTGCTTGTTCTTCAACATCATCTAGGTCGTCATCATTATCATCATCATCATCATCTAGGTCGTCGTCAATGGCTTGGTCGATGAACCCGTCATCAGCGGCTCTGGCCTGGAAGAAGACACCGCACCGCTTGACCGTGTAGTGTGAGCACCGCTTTGAACTACTACCATCGGCATCGTCGTCGTCGTCGTCTCGCTCGGAGGCGGCACGCTTCTTTGGCGTAGTATTACATTGCCCTTGTTGCTGATGCTGAAGATGATATTGGAGCTGCCGGGGACTGGCCAGGTTGGACTTTGACTGCCGGCGACTGCGGGCCTTGGGGGTGAGTTCGTGGATGTTCAGGTTCTGTAAGGCCGAGGCATCGGGCGAGCGAGTCCTTCCGGTCACTGAGATCTTCTCCTCCGCGTCCTCCTTCTCGTCCGCTTGTCCGCTTGTCCGTGAGGCTGAGATGGAGCCTGAGGCCGACACCGACGCTAAGGGCGAGGGCGAAGGCGACAGCGACGGTGAGCGTGACGGTGACGGTGAAGGCGACGACGACGGCGACGGCGACGGGGATCTGGCAGCAACCAACCAGAGACGATTAGCTCAACAGCAGGAAAAGGCGGCTTAGCTAGAATAGACAGACGCTTACTGTTCAACTTTGTCGAAGCTTGACCATGACGTCCTCTGCAGCGACTGGGCGTCTGCGGGCGGCTGCTGCTGGAGGTGTTGCTGCCGCTGCCGGTGGTCGAGATCTACGCGCACCATGGTAGGCGATGCAACAGACTGAGCATGCCAGAACAACGAGAGGACAGGACAGGGGGGGACCTTCTTTTGATAGAGCTAGCCAGCAGCAAGAGAAGAGAAGAAGCCCAAAGGAGAGAAAGGCTCTTGGATTAGGTTCTCTTTGAGCCCCTTTAGCTATCCATATCTCTAGGATAGAGTGGCCCTTTTGTAGTTTTCGTGATTTATTTTCTATACATTTTCGATTTGGCGGTAGGAGTCGCACAGCAACCTGGCGGGATCAGCCTTCCAGTCATTGCTTTTTCTCAATCTGGTTCGCAAACTAGGCGGCATGCATAAGGCAAGACCCCGGGCGCTTAACGGTGAAAAGTAGTTACATACTCTGTACGGGGACGGGAACCGGGAACTATCATAATCAGCACTTGGGTACTCTGTATCATTGTCATCACTGTCATCGTCAGTAGGTGAGCCTCTTGGAGAACGGCCGATGGTAGTTAAGGCGGCTGCACAATTCCAAGTTATGATATTACATAACTACATGACTACATAACTAGTTAATTACCTTAGGGCGTACTCCGTACTCAGTGTAGTTATGCATCGAGAGCGTGGCGTTAGTTAACTACCTAGGTAGTCATTGACTAATGGCTGCTCCATGCAGGAATCCCTGTCTCATGCAAAAGGGCAGTGCTTGAAGAAGCAACGTTGACGGAACCAACTCAAAGTCTTTACTTACTCGACGTATTAGTGGCTGGCTACTTAGTGAAGGCTGCACGCAGTTTGATCACCCTCAGAAGCCTGGGCCGGGAGAGCCTTCCTAGGTGCCTAGTAGTTAATACTCGGTAACACACATACAGGCCTACAGGCCCTCCTAACCCCCATATAACTAGTACATTACTATATGTAAGCTTGCCAGGTTAACTAACTACCTGTTAGTTGAGCATGATTCGATCTGCTCGTATGACAAACAATGGCTCGCAGGCGACAAAATATAAATATACAGGAGTAACTAACATAGGCAACTATCCGTGTGTCTATCGCTTGAAGGCCTTGGGTCATCCCACAAGGTCACTCGCCTGTTTTGGATGCCTTGATGATGACTAGCATGCTGCTCATGGACTTTCCTCATAGGATCTGTTTGCTGACGGGGCGGTAGATGATGCAATATTAGAGGTGAGGGACCATGTAGATGTCTCTATTTGGGAATGTGTTGCGGTTACTCGCAGTCCGGGTGAGGTTGGTGAGACGAAAGGCAGATAATGCTTACACAAAGGCAGACAGAAATTGGCTTGGAGTAGTAGCACTATAGCTTGAAATGAGGGGGCACTTGTTTGATTGCTTCTAGGGATCTGATACTGCATGCATGAGAAAAAGTAGTGGAACATTGACAGATAACAATTGATTAACGGAACCGACGCGGAAGCAGGGACGGGACCGAAGAGGAAAAAGGAAGAGAGAGAGAAGAGAAATGAAGAGAAGAGAAAAGCCGCCCAGTTTAGTATTCGTGACATTGACCGGTTCATGAGCTAGATAGATAGATGTCCTGGCCGAGGTTGAGATGGCAGATGCAGAGAACACAAAACAGAGACATAGAAGTCTTTTAAATCAGAGTCAGAGTCAAGGTCAAGGTCAAGGTCAAGCATAAGGCCTGAGTGAATAGTACAGGTTGTTACTCTAGAGCGGAGTGATAAAACGTAAGGGGAAAAGGGGTAAGGGGAAAGGTAGGTATGCAACAAAGTCAAGGTCCAACACACGAAAAAGAGACAAGATAGATCCAAAGTAACTCCATTGGCTGCAAAGTCGTTTATTCATGTAGATACGATACCCTGGTGGAACGGCCCGGAAGTGTCGAGAAAAGTAAAGGAAGATCACGAAGAAAGAAAAGGCGACGCTGCATGTCATACCCAAAGTGAAGAAGATAGTCGGGTTGGCATTGAAAGGCAGACTGGCTTAGTTTGTTTGGTTGACTACCTACATAGGGCAGTCAACTAGCCATTTTAAGAAATAAACATCCGAAGCTGCGGAAGGGGCAAGTGTCAGCAAATTATATCACATCACACGCGGATGGACGTGCATCTACATCGATAATATAGTTACTTACTCTCTGCTTGATTGGCCTTCGACACATCGGACAGGCAGGAGGTAGTCTACGAGAACCAATCTTAGGAAGAAGATGCTGCTCGGCGCACCATCGACATAGAACCGCATGACCACAGGGGATAAGCACTGTGTCGACGAGTTGTGTCATGCACACTTTACACTCCATGTTGACCATCAGGCTAGCTGAATCCTTGGGCTCGGGGCGGCCGTCAGTCTGGACGTCAAGGCCTACCGGCTGTTCCGTAGGCTGAGGGTTCCGGGCGGCGGCTCGTCGCCTAAGTGTCTCGCGTTGCTGGTACTCTCGTAGCATTTGAAGTCGCTGGTCTGAGTCCATGCGGCTGGCCATATGTCTGTTCATAGCGTCCATGTACGTAAAGAAGGTTGACGAGTTACTGTTAGGGTGGTGGTAACCAAAAATAGGGTCAATCGGCCGTTGATTGGGGGTGGCGCTGGCAGTGGTAGCCGTAGCGGCAGTGGCAGTGGCGGAAGCTGAAGTAGTAGTTGTAGCAGTATTGTTATTAGATGTCGGTGCTGGCTGGGGCTGGGGCTGGGGCTGAGAGCTAGATGGTGGCGGCGGCTGCTGGGTAGAAGATGCAGGAGATACCCGCAGTGTCCTCATGCGGACGCGGCGTTGATATAGTCCCTCACCACTTCCCTGGGCTTGCTGAGAGGTAGGCTCGTTCTCGGAGGAGGCCATATCTTGAGCACTACGGCGGCGATGGGCCGTGGGCGTCGCTGCCGTTGTAGTAGCTGTTGTTGCTGCTGCTGTTGTCGGTACCGCGGGATTCAATGAGAACAGAAATGACTCGGACTCCTGACCTTGGCCTTGGTTCAGTTCTCGCTCTTGCATGAGTTCTTGTAATGTTGAATATGAGGGCTCAGTGTCCAAATTCGACCCCATAATCTCGTTTATGTCGAAATTAGTGAACGGTGTACTCCCTACTTCTGGTGGGTTGGTGCTGTCCCGGTGAGCTTGATGGGGTGTTGCCGCCGGTGCAGCCGAGAACGCAGGCGACATTCTTGGTTCCAGGTTTTCCTGTCTCTGTTGGATCTGCTGTCTCTGTAGAATGTGAGAGCCGTAGCTAGGCCTCGCTGCTGGACTACCGGTGACAGCATTGTTGGGAGTACGATGATCGTTAAGGAGGTTGAACGTCCGAGCCCGAAAAGGGCTATCTGAAGACCGATCAGGTTCAAGAGACGGGTAGAAGCCTATAAGCGGATCAAAGGCACCGGTTGACTCGGCCGGACTGGCTCCCTGAAGGCTGGCCATGCTATCAATGCTGACATTGCTGTTGGTATTAGCATTGGTAGTAACAACGATATTGGCATTGGCATTGGCATTGGCATTGGTATTGCCGTTGTTGTTATTGTTATTGTTGTTACTGCTAGAACCAGCATTCTGCCGCCGTGAATAAGGCACAAGATAGCCCGCTATAACAACATGTCAGCCCAACCAGTACACTTTTTCTTCATTATCAAAACGTGACGAGGTTTCCTACTCGTAACTTGAGGGTTTGCTCTCTCCCTATTCTGAAGAGCAGGCAGACCCTGAAAATTGACAGGAAACGCCCGCGAAACGGAGTGTCTGGAACTGGCGATGCCCGGCTGGAACCCCGAATGGCTGTACTCGGACGCCATGCTGGGGAAGTGAGCCGAGTCTCTGTTACTCGAGGAGTTGAGCCACTGCAGACGATCGGCCTGGTCCAGGGCTTGAGGGCTTACTGGAGAGTCTGGAGGAAACGGCCAGCTTAGTGATGGCTCTTCACGGCGTTTGCGAGGAGGAGGAGGCATCTTATGCTCTTCCTGATCGTAGTAAAAAAAGAAATTCAGAAATGCAGAAATATGCCACAAGAGGCAAACAAGACAGGGCAGTCCGGACCAAGTAAGGAGAAGCACAAACACGGCTGTGTGTGGAAATGTAGTAAAGGGGGTAAAAGAGAAGTCGAAAGGGGGAGGGGGAGGTAGATGATAGAGGACAGGGGCAGGGTGCTGGGGCGGAATATTTATATGTGCTAGCTGGTAAGGACAAGATACACAAAACAGCTGGTGAATCCAAGCAGGACAGAAAGGGTATCAGACAGAGAACAGGCTTTCTCCATTTTTCAGTGCCCTTTTATATATCAAGAGCTAAGAGAGCATAGTGATGTTAAGATGGTGAACATCCACCATCACTGCACTCTGCTGCCCCAGAAGCAGAGAGAAGGAGAAGAAGAAAGACAGAAAGAGGGAGCGGGAGGTATCAAAGTAAGAAATAAAATAAAATAAAGTGATCAAAACATCATAGCAAAGGCAGGGGCATTTGACTGACCACTAGAGCCTGGATTATAGGCTAAACTTCGTTCGGCTTCCTGGATGTCCAAGGGGTTGTAGGGATAGGATGGAGACGGAGACGGAGACGAAGATGCCAGGCCAGTCCTCCGGGACGGTGGTATATCAGACTGGCGCTGGACGGGACAAGTAGAGCTCTTGTAGGATCCAGGACGGCCAGACTGCGCAGTTATGCATGACATGACGGGTATCGGAGATCCAAAGACATGCACATAGGCTCCCCTTTCTTCCTTCTCTTCCTTATCTTCTTCTTCTTCTTTTTAATGGTTTTGACACTCGGGATAGCGAGATCTAGATGGTCAAAAAGTATACGGCCTTAGCGAGGATACATATATTTATTCGGTTATGGATGTACGGCCCGGAGCTCCTCCCCCAAGGTCCCTTGAAGACAAGAAAGGCGCATGTCCTAGTCCAGCGGATAGGGGATTTCACAGTGAAACCGGCCGGCAAGGCGACGGCAACGAAAAAAGAAAACGAGGGAGGAAGAGGGAGCACCAACCGATCCTAACGCTGTCGTTGACGTTTTGACGTTGAAAGCTGACGTTGATGTTAGAGTCCAGTGTTGACGGCCATAGGTATCACAACCACCACATGCGCCTGGGAGCAAGAACGGAGTGGAGAGAAAATGAAATGAGCAGCTACGGCTATTCCCGAGAGAATAGCAGTCTATCGGAGCCAAAAAACGGAGATACAAAATACAGATAGAGACAGGATATTAGGTATGTGGTATTGAATCTCGGTGGCCGGCTTATCTGATATCTGACGTCGCTGGGTTCGTCTGGCTGTTTTTGTCTGTTTTGGGCTCCTCTGGCTCGACTTTTGACGGCAAAACACCACGACAGGAAGATCAGCGACTCAAAGAGAACAGCCAAGAGGGAGAAAAGAGGAAGCAGAAAGAGGAGAGAGGAGAGAGAAGCAGACGCCGAGGAAGGCGATGGGCCTTTTAAACGACGTTCAGGCGAAGAGAAGGCAAAGGTCTCACATGACGGAAGAGGCAGACGAGAGACGACGCAAGACACAAGCAGTTTAAAAGGGACGAAGGGACGCAAGAGACGAGGGAACGACAAGCCCTCTGACATCAGGATAGTTGTGGGAGCAAAGTAAGAAAAGAAAAGGAACCTGCCGGGCCCAGAAGGCGGGACGACGATGGCCCCCGGAAGCTGATCCAGGAGGCGAGCAAGCTAAACGGTGGATGAACGAGAGACCGCGAGAGACGAGAGAGCCAACTCTCTCTGGCTAACGCAGGCAGGGGGCGGGGATGGCGCAGGCCAGAAGAAGCAGAGAAGGATGAGATGAGAAGAAGGAAAAAGAGACGGCGGAGATGGACTGAAGATCAGAGGCTGGTTGGATGGTACGGAGTACCAGTTATCTCTAGCTATGCGCTGTTCTTCTATCCCTCTCTCTCTGCCTCTCTTCAATCCTTCTAAGTCTGCTGCTTCTTCTGGCCTCTTCTCTGCCAGAGGATGGCCAAACCAACCCTGAATCCCAGTTGGTCCAGATTGGACGAGACAGAATGTTGCATCGGCCGTACAAGGGGATCCGATTTGCCCATGGACAAGGGAGACCGAGACCCGGTGGCTGGGATCTACCGTCTTTGCCCATATACATCACACACAACTTACTCCGTACATACAATCAAACGGAGGGCGCGGAGAGATAACTAATCCAAGCCTGTCCAGCCAACTGGATAAGTTAGAAAACAACTGAGGTCGAGAACCGGATGACAGCATCAACCAGGTTTCAGCCGCAGGAGACTTGCCAGCTCGAACGAGAGAGCCACTTTCCTCGACCTCGCTCGCTCCCTTTGCCACATGCATGATATCATGACTTGCAAACAAACAGTCCCTCGAGCAAGGAAGAAGTCTCGCTTTCTCTCTCCATATTTCCCCACGTCCACCCCGGGGGTTGTTATACGGGGTATTTACATCACCCCCAGCCAACGGTCCCACGGGGAAGATAGTTAATAATAACTAACTACGGAGTAGTTAACTCGTTAACTAAGAAAAAGAGAAGAAGAAGGAGAAGAAGAAAGAAGAAAGAAAAAGAAACGAGAGCTGCGTCAAATGATGCAGGAGAAAAGCTGTGTTGACGGAGCAGATCTAGATTCCCAAAGAAATCAAGAAATAACACCGTCTTAATCACTGAGTTATCAATACGACTCGCGGAGACGACACTCTATTCGCCGTCAAAGACCCTAAGATGGCCGGTTTATTGGCTTGTTTGCACAGATCGCCACCCCTCGAGCCATCGCTTTGCTCTTTGCTCAAAAAGGCCCATCTTATCTAGCCTAAATAATTGCATATAGAGTAAAGCTCTATTTTAAGGTAATAAATAATACTTAAATGCTATTCTTATTATGAAAAGCCTGCTTAATCTGCCTATATCTAACTACGCAAAGTAAGTTAGGGCAAGGTTAGGGTTAAGAAGGGCTTAGGATAGTTAAGTAAAGCCGGGAAGAAGGACAAGAATAAGGGATAAGACGGTGATACGAGATACGGTTTAAGCAAGCCAGGATAGCTTGAGGAGACATACAACAGGGTGTGTTACTCAAAAACAAAACGTTAGTTACCACTGCTCAGCCCGAGGAGAGCTTCATCATGCGACTCTCTCTTCTCATCCATGCAGCTATATAGGCGGAAACGGTTGGCATCTGAGCAACCAGGCCCTTCACTGACTGCCTGTTACTCCGTACCTAGGCAGTTCGTTAACTGACTGGTTGGTGACCAAATCTCATGTTGACCAGGCGTCTGCCGCTGCAGCTTCGCCGGTTCTCAACCTCGCACACACTGAAAACCAGCAACACCATGGCGACGTCAACCTCGAGCTTTACGCTTCCCGGTGTTGATCCACCGGTGCGTGTTCAGTTGACACCAGACCTCTCACAGGACCAGTTGCTGTCTTTCCCGCCGTTTGCGAACTGGCTGTCGACTGTACATCGTTCTCTGGCCAGACAGGAAGACGCTTCTCACGCGTTCCATTCAAAGCCGTATACGCTCCGAGGTATCACCGTGCAGGCCGTCGACTACTTTGGCCCAAAGAAGCTGGGGTTTGTCAAGTTTAAAGCAGACGTCTCTACCGATGATGGAGATAAGCTGCCGGGTAGCGTCTTTCTGAGAGGTGGCAGCGTCGGCATGCTGGTGAGCGCTTGCTACCTTTCGTTGCTTACTATTCTTTCTACTGTTTACCGTGACTACGTTGCTAACTGAGGACCGTCTACCAGCTCATCCTCCAGCCAGACGACCTCCCAGACTCCTCCAACGATGAAAAACAAGTCGTTCTTACCGTCCAGCCCCGTATACCGGCAGGATCACTTACCTTTACCGAACTACCGGCTGGCATGATCGACGAACATGGCTCGTTTGCCGGAGCAGCAGCTCAAGAAATACACGAGGAAACGGGCCTCGTTATCAAACAAGATGAACTCATCAACATGAGCTCGCTTGCTCTACTCACCAAAGACAGGAAAGCAGGCGAGGACGACGATCTACAGAGTGCTGTATACCCTTCGCCAGGAGGATGTGATGAATTCATCCCTCTCTTCCTGTGTGAGAAACGGCTGCCCAGACAAGACATACAGCAGATGCAAGGGAAGTTCACTGGCCTGAGGAAAGAAGGCGAGATGATTACGCTTAAGCTAGTGCCGCTGTCTCGACTGTGGAAGGAGGCTGCTAAAGATGCAAAGGCCTTGTCCGCCTGGGCTTTATACCAGGGCCTAAAGCAGGATGGTCGACTATAACCGAAATTCTACCTTCATGTCCCTCACGCCAACTGCCAAAGTTGTCTACATGGCCATCCTTTCCGTGGCTTCAGCTTTGACTCCTGCTTTAATGCTTAAGGTTACCTTTTAGACCGAACACTTGACATGCACATATACCCATAAGAGAAAATGAACAGTGATTGCTCTATAGTTATGACTGGAATCTACTCTATCTAATAAATCCTCTATCATTGAGTGCGCCATCATAACCCTAACAGTCAACATGCTTCACTTTTATCTACCCGACAATTCCCCATTGCCGCGCCATCTCTATTCCCTCTGCCAAGGTTCCAACGTGCGCGTCAATAGCATACCCTTCTTCTTGCTCCAGTCTTTTCGTTTCCTCGAAGAGTTTGGCAAGAGGGATGCTGAAACTCTCAATAAACTCGTCATCCTCAAGCTTAGGCTTTGGGTTCTGGTTTTCAGGCAATGACATGTCAACACGTACGTGAACCATGTTCATATTTGTGTTGCAAAATCCGGGATCTAGGGTTATTCTGCCGTTAGCGGGTGCTTCTTGATATGTTTCCGCCGTGTGAACACGAGAGGCCCAGATGGCTCGTCCATGCTACCATTAAGATGCAGAAAGAAAAAAGCTAAAAACGGATATACGTACCATTGTATAAAATAGGACCCTTCTGCTGGACGACACCAACATACCCGGTCTCTTCCTTCAGTTCACGGACAGCGCACTCCTCCGCTGTCTCACCTGGATCAACCAAACCAGCCGGAATCTCAATGGTGACCATATCAATAGGAGGCCGGTACTGTTTTTGCAGCAACAGCTCAGGACCAGACGGCTTAGAGAGAATGGCAACTATACCCACGCCATCGATCGCGGAACTCGAGCGAGTCTAGAAACGTGTTTTAGCATATGTTATAGTGACATGCGTTATTTCACAGAATGCATGCGGCGAACAAGGGGGAGGGAAAACAGGGACAACGCAGAAAATAAAAGGCGTCGGAAACAACGCAAATCCCGCAACTGTAACAAGTTACACACACATGCGCGAGATGGGTGTTTGCCCGGCATATGCATGTAATAGGAAGACGTCATGGTGCAGATCAAGCGGAAAGGCAAGCATGCCGGTCGACGGCCGATGTACCAGCAACGAGTTCGGCGACATGCCCCACCCCCCCCCCCCTCCTCTCTCTGTGGTTCCTGGCAAGCCATAGACATATTCCTTTCGCAGCACGCCGGGGCATTAAGAATAGAAGATAGTAAACGGTAGAAAAAGGAGAATTATGCATTATACTCACTTGTCTTTCTGCCGCTTCCCATGTTCTTGTTACGCCGTTTGGATCGGTGTACGTCCGCTTCACAAGCCTGATCCAGCGTGCTTCAGACGGATCCTAAATGTAGCGTGTTAGTTAGTGGCCTGGTACAGTGCTTACGTATAGAGTAAGGTGATATCATAGCATTGAAGCAACTATATAGTTTGTTTGTGCGGTTATCATTTTCCGCTTTATATTGGCAACTTACTAAAGGTCCGCTGGAGAGTAGCGCCGGCTTCTTGAAAGCCGACGATTGGCCTGTCATGGCTTAATTAGTTATATCCAGTGAGTGTGCGAGTGTGCGGTGTGTTGACTGTTAATTCCTGGGTATGAAACGAGTTGGGCCGCAGTTTGGGTGGTGGTTCTTATATTATTATTTTTACTGTTTGAACACACAGTCTAACGGTCTGCTTTCAAGGTTCTATCATGTGACGTGGAAGGGCTCGGGAGTAGCCGTAGACAAGGGACGAAAGAAGACTTATTTGAAGCTATTTTGAACGAGACATGTCTGTGGATTTGTTCTTTATTTATCTGGGGTCTATCTGGCCATGGCGATGGATCTTTGATCTGCCGGGCATACATATGCGTGTGCACGTTTAACTAACGCCCCAGCTTCGGGTACGGAGTAAAATATTGGGACAAAACGAGGAAAAAGAAAACATCCGAGAAGGAGAAAACAGGTGGAACATGAGGGGTCGTTGTTCGTCGAATTCGTCTTGGAGAACACAGGCTCTCAGAGATAGAGTAAGAAGAACAGGTGGACACGACTAGAGGGAGCTGTCTGTCTTCTCTGGGTTCTCAATCTTCTCGATGCACTGATCCCATTCACTCCAGTCTCTCATGACGACCTTTGCTCCCTGGTCGAGCAGGAGCTTGGCCATCTCATCCTGCTTCTCGGTGGTGGGGTAGCTGCCAACATACGCGATAACAGGGATTTTAGCTCGAACAGCGCTGAGGCAACCACTCTTGCTGTCCTCAACAGCAACACACTCGGATGCCTCCTTTCCAAGGACTTTGAGCGAGTGGAGGTAGATGGCTGGGTCAGGCTTGGTGGTAGGCTTTTCGAGAGAAGTAGCAGCGGAGAAGATGTGGTCTTCAGGGAAGAACTTGGTCTGGTCGACCTTCTTGATGGAGGCCTTGACGCGTCGAAGAGCAGAGGAAGAGACGACAGCCATGCCATACTTCTTCTCGGCGAACATCTTGACAAGGACCTCAGTGACGCCAACGCAGGGCTGGGCCTTGGCCTCAAGTTTAGCAATGACGCGGTTCTCCTCCTCCTTAACGTAGGCCTCGAGCTCCTCGGGAGTAAGGGTGATGTTAAACTTGCTCTGGATGGAGACCATCATGCCGCGGAAGTTTTGGCCAACGAACTCGCCGATGAGCTGTTCGCCGGTATAACGTTTCTCAATGTCATGCTTCTCCAGGATCTCGTTGGCAATGTCGGCACAGGCCTCGAAAGCAAGCTCCTCGGAGAGGACGAGGGTGTTGTCACAGTCAAAGAGGACGTGGGTGATCTGTATATCAGGGTTAGCTGCGTGTCGTCTATCTGTTTGTTTATAGAGCAGAGTAATTGCTTACCTTAGGCATGATGACGATTACCGCGAGGTAAGTAGACCTTGAATGGTAGATGAAGGAATGTAGGCTTGCAGTGGGACGATTGGAGGTTGGAGGTTGACGGTGATGTTGTTGTTGGTGGTGGTTGTGAGAAGGAAAGAAGAGAAGAAAAAGAAGAAGAGGGAGGGAGAGGGAGATAAGTAGTAGGAGGAGAGGAAGAAGTAGGAGTCGGCGGCACGTTTCTGGCTGTCCTGCTCGGTGGGGCCGGGCAGGTGGGATGAAGTAGAGGGAGAAGCAGGGGAAGTAGAGGCGGCGGCGACAGCAGCAGCAGCAGCAGCAACAGGGCCTGGTCAAGGCAGCAAGCAAGCAGCAGAGAAGAAGGCCTTTGGTCTCTTTCTCTCCTCTCTTGAGGTCTGAAGGACAGCCTTGTAGGTGTGTGTAGTAAGTTGTTGTTGGAGAGGGCTGTCTTCATAGAATAACCAGCATAGTGACCAAATACTCCGTATCGAGGGAGTATAAAGACAAGACAAGAGAGATACCTACCTCGGGCATCAACAGCAGCAGCAAAAGCCTAAGCAGTGTACCACGGTGGTCTCGGGACTCACCCGTGAAGCCTGAGACGCCCCTTGCCGGTCTCTTGACCTGGTACTCTGCTTGGTGGCTGTTTCTTATCACTGCATACGGTAAGACGAGAACATCCCACCGGTCACTGCAGAAGAAGTATGCACAATCTGTTTTTAGTGAGGTACACAGGCCCAAAAGAGTCTCTACTTAGATAGTCAGTTAAAAAAGATTAACTATCACTTTCTTGCTTGCTTGGTCACAGAAGGTTAGGTGCATATTCAGGGCAGGCTCAGAATCAAGCCACCAGGCAAAAGCAGGCCGTCGACAAGCCTAGACATGATATTCTCGATCTCATGCCTGTTCCTGTACTTGATCCTGCATGATAGTCTAGCTGGTCCTATTTGCAACACTTGATGTGCAGATAGTTATATCGATAACTAAATAGGAGAAGTCATCTTTCCCCCAAGGCGGTTGCCAACCTTTGTCCACCCTTGCCTGTGATGCTGGGAGTGTTGTCTCATCTGCAGCGTACAGCATACCACATATCAACAGTGTTTGGCTCGGCCATCGGGGATATCGACGCACTCGCAATCATCATCCCTTCTCATATTCATCGCTTGTCAACGTCATGAACCTGCAGCTAAAAGACGAACGGTGGAGTCGTGGCCCGCCGGGAAATTTTTATATCACATGACCATCTCTGGGCCCTTTTTGGCCAGGGATGGAAGAGAGAAATACAGACAACGTCTCATATTTACAACGACAGCCATCATGACCATTTAAGGAGACTATTTACGATATACAGGTGCATCGCCCGGTATATCAATAATATTTTTATTTATTTCATAATTATCTTATATAACTACTGCTTATAATGTCGGAGCCAATTTCCTTAGCGGACATCCAATTCCCAGCTGCGTCTCAGAATATATCCCACCTCCTCTCAGACCTGCGGAGATCGGCTCTGTCAATCACAAATAGGCTAAAGTCTATGGAGACAGACTCTATTTTTGTCCAAGAGACATCAGACTACTATGGTTTACCCCTTGTTGCTAACGAGAGATGTGGAAGCTGGTATATCCCACCCGACAAGAAGGTTGGGAGCTCCTATTTCAAAAGTACAGATGGTCATATGGGGCAGTGGGACTTTAGTCTAAGGCGACTGAATATGCAGGTTTTAGATATTTTAAAGAAGCATGGAGGGTAAGTTGGCTTTACCGTAGATATACCCTTTTAGTTACCTAACGTATTTATTCTTTATTAGATGTGTGATTGTTGATTCGACAAGAAGGGGTAAAAGTACGATACTTTTCCAGAATTATCAATGATATATCATTCTCATGCTGACTTATATTCAATTTAGCCATGCCAGACGCTCTAGGGAAAACGATACCAATCTGGTGCGCGGTAATGAATAGAACGCTATATCCTGACAAGCCTACCTTCCATGCAGTTCAGTTTGCACCCTCGTACCTTGGAGAATCAGAAGAGTCACAGATTGAAAGCAAAGTAAACGGTTTCGTAGAATCATTTAAAGTAAGCCCATGCCTTCCAACACATATACTCAAGCTAACCTATGCTTCTAGACTTTAAATTTGGATATAGAGAAAATAAAAGATAGACTGGGGAAACCTATTCGTCTGGTCTGGGCTAGCAGAGACTACTTCTCAGATAATGACGAACATGACGATTCACATTTACTCGTTCTCTGCTCGGCATCTCGATGTGTTCGTGGCGCTGAGATGTCAGAGGGCGGGTATATACAGGGTGCAGGCGACGATAGCGAGGGATGGTCTCACGGCCTCACGCCTCCTGTATTTTGGAAATATAAAGATCAACTCATGGCTGCTGGGGAATCAGAGCTTCCCGAGCTTATCCAGGAACTGATTGAAAAGGAACGCAAGTTACCGTCGACTGATGGACGATACTTGATAAACCCCACCAAGAACATGTATATTGGGAAACGAAGTGGTGTTGGTGACGAAGTGTCATCTTTTGATTTGGTCATCGATTGCGCTGGAAGCGTCGATCCGAGTGAATCGAAACCACAATCGGTCAAACGGTTAAATCTCGGCTGTCCTGCCGGGAAGTTAGGAAGCCGACAACTAAGAAAGGTCCTTGGGAACGTTGAAAGCTTTGTATCCCGCCATTTAACTGCTGATCCCACCCTCTCCCTTCTTATAGTGTGTACAGATGGCAAAGATATCTCAGTCGGAACAGCTTTGATGGTGCTTTGCGCCCTCTTTGATGATCAAGGTACTGCCCCCGGACAACTACCTGACATACATCTCAGATCTAACTGGTTTTCTAGGGAATTACTGTGGGCCAAGTGATAAGTCTACAATAAACAAGCAGTTTATCCGGCAACGTCTGGCATGGATTGTTATGTCAAAGGAAGACGTCAATCCGTCAAGACCGACTCTTCAATCAATTAATTCATACCTTATGGATAAGAATGGATAACTAAGCCTACTTCTTTGCTCCCTTACATCGTCTCTAACTGGGGTCGATTCGGGGGTTGGGGCCTTCCAACTTGTCGAGGATAGCCATATCATCGTCCACAATGTCAAAGTCGAAAACATCTGCATTTTCCTTGATATGGTCCGGGTTATCGCTCTTCGGAAATGGCACATAGCCTTTTTGAAGCGAGTACCGTACCAACACCTGGGAGGCCGTCTTGTTATATTTCTCTGCCAACCTAAGCAGAACCGGATGGGTAGACATCGTGTTTTCGGTCAGCGAACAGTAGGCCCCGACCACGATGTCATGCATCTTACAGTATTCCACTATAGAACTGTACTGGGACCATGGGTTCAGCTACGAATATGAATGTCAGCAATTTCCTGTCTGCCTTAAGAATGTAGATGTGGCACCAAGCTCACCTCAAGTTGGACAAAGTGTGGCGGCCATATATCTGCATAGCTCCTCATCTCTTCGAGTTGCTCCACCGAGTAGTTGCACACGCCGATGGCTTTCGTGAATCCTTTTTCTAGCATGTACTCCAACGTCAACCATACACTCCTTCTCTGCATATCATCGAAATGAGGCCAGTGTATCATCATCATGTCAACGTATCCGCCTTTCCCGCTGAGCTTCTCCACGCTCTCCACCAGGAAGTCATAGGCCCCGCCTGCCCCGTCAACAAGGAGCCGGACTTTGATCGTCAGAAAAAGATCCTTTCGATCAACGCCGCAGCTGCGCACTGCCCGACCGATTTCTGCTTCGTGGCGATGGATTTGAAGAGTGTCTATAGAGCGGTATCCGGCTCGAATAGCGCTCAAGCAGGACTTTTCAGTCAGGTTTGTGGGGGAATTGCAAGTACCAAATCCGAGCCGTGGTATCCGCACCGTCGAATTTGGCAGAGGGACGGTGTCTGTGATTGAATATATTGGTCGCGACATTTTGCTCGCTGGGACTAGGATTGCTGCAACTTTGGCTAACCAGACCTTCTTTAACTGAGGGACTTGTTTGTGTTTTCTTCATCCTCGATGCTTCCTTCCGTGTAAGAAGAAGTATTATATAGCATCGCTCTCGGCCTTTGCGTCATTGATTCTTTGCGTGGTCGACTAGTTACTTACTAGTTAGTTGTTTACTATGACGTCGTCGACTCGACAAGCGCCAGACGCAGCTTCTCCCGCAGAGAGTCTACCAATTACGACTGCTTTGTGTAACTATTACTAACCTTCAAGCAAAACAACAAAATAGTTAACAACAACATGAAGGCATTGGACAAAGACGTTGCGGTTATACCTAAAGGCAAGTTTGCTGTGGACTGAAAGCTTTGGTTGCGGGATACAACGATGGATGATACTGAACCAAGATGGATCTCCTTTCGCTTAAGGACCGCCCTCAGGCTGCGGTGGAAGAGTACCCTTCTGGACAGGCGTTTTCTTCTCATAACCAAAGTACAGGTCATTATCCCCGTCATAGAAGACGACGCGCCGTTACGCTGCTGGTTGACAAAGATGGTCGGGCTTTTCCCCGTCGTCGGGTTACTCTAATGCCGCCCTCCCTAGCCATCTCCCGAAGCAGCCGTCGCAGCGATTTGCTCATTCAGGACTCCGCATCCGGGACCAGGGGTCTTACTTGTGCTCCACTGGAGCGATGCATCGCACCAAATCGACTTCCCGCAGCACTCCAAACTGCAGAAAGTCAAGGCAAATGGCATAAGGAAAAACTCTTGAGTGGCTGTCGGACAGGGTTCTTCCGGGAGATCCTTCAGTGGTGGACCCTTGTTTATTCCCTTGAACAGCCACATTATATACATCAGCACTAAGGTTAGGATCAGCACATCCTTCGAGAACACATAGAGCAAGCCAGGGACCTCTGCGTATTTATCTACTTGAAGGCTGGGGGGTCACAGCCATGGCCACGCAGGGATTCAATGGATCTGTCCGCCCATTTGACAAGTCTTGTTGCGCTCCGTTCGTGTCACCTTACATGGATCGGATAAGTGCCCCCGAAAAGCAAGAGGCTAGCTTTGAGTACGAGGATTCATTACGTTTTATGCATTGGCTTGAGCAAGATATATAAAGAAGGCCTCAGAGTCCATTTCGTTGCGATGTTGAATGAGATCAACAAACCTACATACCTATGAATTACTTGCTATATCCTTTACCCATCATGTTTAAATTACCACTCTTGTTAAGCGTTCTTCCGCTTGCCACAGTCTTTAGCTCTGCGGCATCAGTCCAGGTCCGTGCAAATCATGACTGTGCTTCGATACAGCCTCCTCAAGTTCCAGGAGCCGAAGTCCTGTCTGTGATGGGCGTGGAACTCACGGTTGACGTCCCTCCATTCCCACCTTCGCCGTCAAAACTGAATACGACTGTTGACGTCTGCAGTGTTAACGTTACTCTTACACATATGGGAGTTAATGACAAGGTCGTTGTCTCAGTATGGCTGCCCCTGCCTGATAAGTGGAACGGACGATTCCAGGCAACAGGAGGAGGAGGTTGGGCTGCCGGAGAATTTGCTCTGCTTATGGGCCCAGCCGCCGTCGAAGGATATTCGTCTGCTTCAACCGATGCCGGCGTGTCTGTTGACCCAGCGTCCGCTGATACATGGGCCTTAAAAGAAGATGGAACTGTCAACTATGACTTATTAGAGAACTTTGCCAGTCGGTCAATCCACGACATGGCCATTGTTGGAAAAGCCGTGACGGAGAGTTACTATAAGAAGCCAGCCAACTATTCCTACTTCTACGGTTGCTCTAATGGTGGTCGACAGGGAATGGTGGAAGCGCAGAAATACCCGGATGACTTTGATGGTATTCTTGCCGGTGCTCCGGCCATCTACTGGCCTGAACTACTCGCTGCAACTGAATGGCCACAAGTTGTTATGCAGACCAAGAAGACTTTTCCCTCCCAATGTGTTTTTGAGGCTTTCAGAAAAGCTGGCATTGCTGCATGTGACAAACTGGACGGCGTAAAGGACGGCGTTGTTTCGAACCTCGACGATTGCGAGTTCAACCCATTCGCCCTGGTCGGTAAGAAAATAGACTGTGGAGGAGAGCCAACTACCATCACCCTTGCTCAGGCCTGGGTTGCGAAGAAGATTTTCGATGGCCCTAAAACCACCTCTAAACGGACTTCTTGGGATGTCCTACCCGTAGGAGCCTACTATGATGCACTTGCCAACAGCACTATCGAGAACGGTGTGCCGAAGATCTTTCCCTTTGTGATTGCGTCCTCGTGGATCAGATCTTTCTTGAAAAAGGACGTGAACTTTGACCTTACCACCATCACATACGCCGACGTGCCCAAGCTTTTCAAACAGGGTGTTGATGAGTTTGGTAAGATCATCGAGATTGATAGTGACCTCTCTGCGCTTAAAAAGAGCGGAACAAAGCTCCTTACCTGGCATGGCCTTGCGGACCAAATTATCCACCCTCATATTTCTATTAAATACCGCCAAGAGGTTGAACGCCGAATGGGAGATGGTTCCAAAGTAGACGAGTACTACCGCCTATTCTTAGCTCCAGGAGTCACTCACTGCGGCACTCTTGGACTTAATGACGGAGCAGCTCCCATTGATACATTGAAAGTCTTGGAGAGATGGGTTGAGAAGGGCGAGGCGCCAGAGACGATGCCAGCTGTTGCAACCGACGCAAACGGCGCTACCACTTTCACTCGAAACCTCTGCCGTTACCCCTTGGTCCCTCGGTACAAGGGAGGCGATAAGAACTCAGCGGACAGCTTTGAATGTGCCAAAGACTTTGGATCGCACCACTAGCTGGTAGGTTGCTGGACGAAATATGGATGGGAATAACGAACGACAGACTTGGTAGCCTAAATAGAATTTATTATTTTATTCTTTTTTTATCCTCCAAATTTCTTGTGCATTGCTCCCTGGTACTCTGCCAACTAAGTATTTGTCACTGCTGCATACACGTACCCTGGCTAACTTGATAGTTAGGCTCTTAAGGAAGCATTTTAAATATTTACACCGTCGAATGCTATATCCCTGCTAGTGGCGCCCACTAAGAGCGAATTTAGAAGCCTGGGCCAGGCGACATTCCAGACCAAAAAATGTTGCAGTATCCCCCTAATAATAACTACAGGGATCCTTTTAAAACATTCAACTACCCGTTTACAATGCGTATTAACGGTTTTCCAAGTAATCCGCCTCCAATGCTACAACTTGGTACCTTTTCTTCACTGGCTGCCCGCTCTTACAAGAATAGGGCGTATTTCTATACCCGCAGGCCGAACCCCTGGAACTACATGCCAGTATGGCTGAACACCATCCGTCGTTTTCAAACAAGCACTGTGTCAACTATTCCAGTTGGCCCTGAAAAGTACACCGGCAAATCCGGCCGTGATTATAAGATTGAGAAAACACTGCAAGAAGAAACATTCCCTCCACTTAGGGTCTGTCTTGCTACGTGAGCCGATACAGCCCACATCCTAAGATCTTGACCCTGTACTTACTACCTCCTTAGCGCGGGAGATCAAAAGTTCATACTGAAATACATTCACCCGGTTAATTTCGAGGATCTTCAAGACCTGAACAATCGACTACTCGGTGCGACTCATGTTCGAATTCCGCAAGATGTTCTTCCTGGGAGATCTATGTTCGTTTTTGAGTACTTTACGGGTCATCTCCTACGCATTGCTCAGTACGATTTGCCCCTTGAAATGACAAAAAGGATTCTCAAGGATGCTCTTCGTGGACTTGCAGAGCTTCATGACCGCGATATTGTACATACGGGTACGTAATTCCTTTCCCAGAGTGGTACGCAGAGAACTTATTCCGCTGTAGATATCAAAGCGGACAATATTTTCATTGACTGGAAGGGTCACGGCAAGGATATTGTTATTGATCGAGTTCAGCTGGGAGACCTTGAAGATGCAGCATATATCCCACCTGGGTCGCAGATTGTTGGAAAGCAGGCAGGAAACCAGATGTGGAGGAGCCCTGAAGCCCATGCGTCAGGGCCTTTGAACAAATCGTCTGATGTTTTCTCCTTTGCTCTTGTGGTAAGTGACTATTTATTTATAACTTCCCTGGTCCGAATATGCCATTCTCTTAACTATTGGATAGTGTATCTGTGCCATATATAAACGCGTTATATTTGCCGTTGGAGAAGAGGAGCTGGACGATGGGGTTCACCCCCTGTCCATTGTAATTGAGCGCCAAATCTCATACTTTGCAGATAACGACGGAATAGACGGACTCTTAAAACACCTTGGGGATAGTCCTTGGGTTCAAGTTTTCGAAGTCATTCGGGACGGTTTCAACGAGGAGAACCCGCGAAGACCTTTTTCTCTTTGGAAGAATGTTGATGAAGACTTTAAGAGTCTTATCTGCGCCATGACAAAATTAGACCCCGGAAAGAGAATTACTGCCCATGAGGCACTGGCGCACAAATGGTTTGAGTGCGTTTGAGATAAACCATGAGGCTCCCATGACATAAATCTCCAATATTCCAGCTAATCCCCTGCTCTAACTAGTATATTTCTAGTTCACTGGTTCATTGCTTGCCCAGCCGTCACCACCACGAACATAGAGCTCTTCAAGTGTCTCTTCCAGTAGTCCTTCAGCCAGCTGCTGGCTATCAGACCAGTTTGCAAGTTGTTGCACCACCCAACTAGCCTTATCTTTAATTCTAAATGGTAGAATCTCACCCCGATGGTTAATTATAAGAAATAGGACCTAGCTATCCTCATATACCTCTCGATCAGCAACAAGAACAAGGAGTACTTGATCTTTATCTAGCTCTCCATCTCGCAAGTACCCTGGACAAGGCTTATGGCGCCGCGGACTATCAGACTCGCCGTCCAGTATACTAGGATAACGCATCAGTATATGGAGTAGAAACCTCGGCACTATATCAGCCGGAGCCACATAAAGTCCATCTTCTACCTCATCCCCCGCTTTATCCTTATCTTCATCCTCATAAAGAAGAGTAAAATCCTCTCTATTATCAAATATAGATGTTGGGTTATCAAACTCATCAGCGTGTGGATAGTCGTCCCCTTCATAAATGGATGCCTTCCACAGTCGCTAGTAAGCTAGATCCGCCGCATCTTGGCTAGCCTTGTCGTTCTTGTAGCCTTAGTTACCAAGTACGAATCCAAAGAGCGCCACGTAGTCCATCGCAGTTACGCTCGAAGTCCGAAAAGAGGTCCCGAGGAATATAATTGGGATATTCCTCCTGGTCCTTTCGCTTTCGAAGGAAATATTCCTGTAAAAGCATGGTTCCTTGGTTAATAAGGAGTGCCTTGGTAGCGTAATATCAACAAGAAGGGAAGGCCTCAGTACATTTCGGTTATATTTCCCTAACCCAATTCGCTTTTCGACAAGCACCCGTTTCTGCTCATGTTTTGATAGTGATGATGCCGGGTCCCAGTTCTCCTGTCGGTCTTCCAGGTTAGATTGTGTCGAAGATATAACACGTCTCCTGCGCCAATCAGTGCGGGCTCACGGCAACGAATTGATCAAAGGAAAGAAGCCCAAATGGAACATCGAGTAACTCGGACATATTCCGCAGTGGTAATTGCAAGGCTGCAGCTGATCAATTTTGGTCCTTGAGGCTCTCCGTAGCAGAACGAATTGACTAAAATAGAGTAAGAGATAATTAAAGGATGCCTGCTTCCCACGCTAATCCAGGCCTTAGTAGTTACAAGCAGGGTGATAAGAGGCGGTTAGTTATTTAACTATTTGTCATTCTCAGAGCTGAAAAGCTTCAACCCAAATGATTCCAAAATCTCCAACTCAGCCCTGCGGGATCCTTCAGCTAACTAACCAGGGCCCCTAACCTTAGCAGTGCTTAGCTAGGTAGTTAGTTAGCTTATTCTTGATACCCCAGTTAGTTATGGCGCTGTGAGGCGTGATGATCCTCCATTCTGGGCCTTCAGCCGCGCTGCTGGCCATTTCTCAGGGCCACGATATAGCACAGTCCACGACCAATTGGAAAGGTTTATGCATTGCTTCAATGCCTCGTCTCAAACAAGCTCTGCGTCTCGATGTTATACCCGAATAACTAGTCTGATGGAGATTTAGTTTCTCGCACTCGAAATCCACGATCTATCGGACCCGCAAACACGTCTTTACTGGGTGGCTAATATAAATAACTACGGAGCACTCAGTACGAAGTGTAAACCGCATTAGTTGCGAGTGGAGAGGCCGAGGGTATATATATAGTGAGAGGTACACCCTGAAATTATCTTCGGTCCATCGAAAAATGACCTATTCTGACAGTCTGCACATGGATTCGAGCGATATCTCGAACAGTCCCCGGGTGGACTCAAGCGAGTCCGATCAGCCCGTCAGAGCGTTGAATGCCTGCGAACCTTGCAGACGAAGGAAGAAGAAATGTGATAGAATATCGCCGACATGTAGCTTATGTAGGAAGTACGCTGCGCTCCTGGTCCGAGTTAATACCCATTATTGGCAAATACTTGCGCTTCTTGTTCCGGACAACACTGACCAAAGACAGACAACTTCTCCGATGCTCATACCCTAAGGTTGGCCGAAATTCACAGCTTAAAGCCCTACGCGAACGACTTCGGGTGCTCGAGAATGTCATTGCAACGAAGGACAGTTGTGCATTTTCCCAGCAACAGGATATGCAAATTGCTGCGGCCTTGGTCACTGCTCCAACCATTCAGGAGATTGAGCTTCCCCAAATATACCCTATTGAATCGCAGTGGTATATGCCTGAACTGCTACGATTTTGTAAGTCTCTGTACATTTGCCTCTTTTCAGCCACTATTAAAACCTGCGTCTCATTCTTATTTACAGATAGCGAGTCTATAGCTATACAGCCCCGAAGAGACACACAACTTAGCAGCCTGCAGAATATATGGATGACAACAGCCTTAATGGATGAATGTATGTTTCATGCTACGCTATACGCCGCATCTGCATATCTAGACCTGCTCCGGGGGCAAAGCGGAAATGTTATTACTCTATACCACCAGACGGAGACTCTCAGACTGCTAAGCAGTCAACTGGCAGCTGCTAATATGCAGGTTACGGACGCCTTGATTGCCGTTACAATGACTCTGGCCCAGACTGAGGTGATTAATGCCTATCTTCCACCGTCAATAGATTCTAAATAACAGACAATTTTGCTCATATATATTGCATAGGCTCTCCTTGGAAATACATGCGTCTCCAGCACCCATAATACCGGGCTACATCACCTGGTAAAAATAAAAGGTGGCCTTGAAAACCTGGGCATGGATGGTGTACTTGCGGAGTTGATTTATGTGTAAGTACTTGAGCAATAAGGGTCATATATCCATTTCTTGTGGTACTAATTGCTCTAGAGGCGATGCTATGGACTGCCTTCTCTATGGCACTGAACAGTCATTCCAAGGCGCCAATCCTACACCCCCGCCAATGGCACTCATATCAAATGCTATATCTTGGGAGGCTTCCGCACAGATACCATCAGTTACCGGTCGAGGTTCGGCCAGTATTCTGGGACTAGTACAGCAGTCAATGCTTCTAATTGATAGCTTACCCAGCGCATCTGTGGAAGACGTTATAGACGCTTCCTTCTTCCAGAAGCTCATCCATTTACAGGATGAATTTTCATCTCTATGCAGGGATATTACCGTTGACGTCCCCTCGCACTCATCCTCTACCGAATTTTACATAAATGAATGCTGCCGCCAGACAGCATTGCTGCATTGGAACCTAGTTAATGATAAAGGTATTTTTCCTACTGAGGACACAATACCAATTGATGCCCGGGAACTTAAAGTGGCTATGGAGAAAATGGACACTCCTGCATGGTCCAAGGTTGCTCCAAGGGTGTTCATCTGGGCTGGAGTGACTGGGGCAGCAGCTTCGAAGGACTATGCAGAGCGTGCATGGTTTGCAGCTCGTTTAGGCCCAGTAGTAATGGCTCAAGGAAGGAGTGGGGTTCCCACTCTTAGGCAAGGAATGGCTCTTTATCGATGGCTGAAGACACTAGTTCCAGTGTGGTAGGGTATGGCTAATCCTTAATTTGAATGACTAAATGACTTGAATGAGATATCTTAGACGCCATGATTGTGATCAATATCCGATTCCACCAAACCACATTGTACCAAGATGAAATCTAGCCAGTATATGTACACAAGATCGAAGAAGACAAAGATAAATAACTTGTTAGAAGATATTCTAGGCATCCCACATAACTTCACTTAACCTCAGTAAAGAATCATCAAGTCCACGCTTAGCTGCCATGAACTCCTCTCTCGCTTCAGGTCCCTGAGGGCCTTTGAGTGCAGCAGAGTAACACAACTCAATCAAAACCTTCATCTCATCGAATGTGAACGGTTCTCCGTTGCCTTCAGTCAAGACCTGACTACCCATTTCCTTAAACCTATCTCTTTCCTCTTTTGCATTTCGTAATGATTTTCCAGGCCCTTCGAGGAACCAGTCCAAGAATTTGGCGCTTTGTGGGAGTGCAACTACTTCGGGTAAGGATGCAGCAACGTCTTTGTCCAACGATAAACTGCTCTTGGACGACACGGGGGCTGGGGAAACGACGATGATATTCTTCAGGTTCTGTTGAAGTACAAGGACATCGAGCTGGAGTCTCAACGCTCCGAAACTGTTCATTGCCCCAATAAAACGAGTGCTGGACACTAGTGCACGGTCTATGAGCCTTGAAAGACAGGATGTGATATATCGGCATTCGTTAGGTCCCAGATAGGTAGACATTCTAGCACCAAACGAAATAAGGTCGTTGTTTAATTCGAGCACGATGGGAGAAGCAGAAGTTGGTTCGACCGTTAATATATAAGCCCAGTTATTCTCGGTTGAGGAATTCCTGTTAGGCTCCTGTGACTGTCCGTCGTTTTTGCCCTTCAATGCCCGGGATATCATGTATATTGACCCGCACCGAATATCGAGATGTAGGGCGAAAATAGCCGTAAAGGCTAGATTTTGGATTGACTTGATAGCACCATCAAAACCCACAACTGACTCCTTCGTCATAGGAAGGCGAAGAGGACGTTCCAGATCACCCCGCTTTGGTCGCATCGATGTCTCTAGAGTCCAGCGTCGAGTAGGCGCTACCTGTCTTGATTGGACATGGCTTGAATCTGTTTGATGGGGAGTGATATGGCGCAATTTGGAGAGATTACTAGATAGCCAGTTCTAAAGAAAAGAGTTAGATGATACAAATGTGGATGGCACGGTCGGCGCTTACCATGCTATTATAGAGCAGTGACAATGAGCCAACTATCTTTGGATCAGCTATCATATCATATCCTTTCAACGACGTTTCTTTGGTTGCAGAGATAAGAAGTTCAATTTCCTACAGAGAATTAGAGTCTGTCTTCCACAAATGGTTTATTTTAACACTCACCCTGTTAATTAATGCCTGCTTCTCGCTGGCGGAACTTTCCCATAATTTTCGTCCCACATCGCGGATTTCCTGCGAATCTGCAAATGCCGCTGAAGTCTTGAGGGCTACACCACCAGGGTGATTAGGTGATATTCGGGTCATAAGAGCTGCATAACTATTATTAGCATCTACAGTCGAGAAAAAGAGAGTCTTGATATGCTTACCTTTATACCATCCGCTGCACTTTTCGTAATAGGTAATGATTTGGTCGATTATCAATTGAGTGAAAGCTTGATCATGGGGTATACTATCCAACATCCGGCTAAATGTTTTTATAAGATTCATGAAGTTTATAGTTCCCTTCAAGTGTTGGAAAAAAACAGTCAGATCATAATTTGGTCAATGGAATCCGTGGGAAACTGGAGTTACTTACTCTGAAGATTGGTCGAGGAGAGTGCAAGGCCCATTGAGGGTCCTCAGTGTAGGCATCCACAGAGATAAAATTGATGGCACATAGTTCGCTTACAGCTTCATCAAGCTGGGGCTGAAAAACGTTTATCAGGAATTCATCCAGGAAGGACGTTAGAGCTCCAACTGCAATGTCGGAGCTTGGAGGGACTATTTCCTTGAGCCTGTGGATAAAGGAAAGAGCAGGAGGTAGAAGCAAGCTGATGTTAAAGACACTGGGCTCAATAAGTAGTTTATGGCCAGTCCCTGAGCTTTGTTGGTTGGAATTGTTGTTATCGCTGGTTGAGAACAGCTGTCGTGATTTTGGCACCAGTCCAGGAACGGAGGCTCTCAAAATCTCTGCGAGCTCGTCTTGCTCTGCTTTCAAATCAGAAGCAGCTTGGTCTACTTCAGACATTTTGAAGAGTTTCTGAAATTCAATTAGCGGGGGTTTTGACGGAAGATTCTGAGACGGAGTCCATAGCTTACCTTTGTTTTATCACGCTTGATAGAGGATTGGGCATAGTCATCGTCTGCTGTTCTGGTGGTGGCTCTGAAAGACTCGGCTCCATCTGTGGAGAGGTAATCGTGAAGTAGTGATCGCATCTGTATACACATAAGTATTATGAGCTGCGAGTTTGGTAGGGGGTGTGCATACTTCGCTTTGATATAGCTTCCATAGCTCTTGGAAGCTACTAGTCAAGTGAACCTCATTTGGAAGCGTATCGCGCTTGACAATTCCACTGATAACTTCATACAGCAGACGATGACCCTCCGCAATTGTCTCGAACTTAGCGTATAAATTCCACAGGAATTCAGACAATAGATGTCTTCGTCCTGACGTGGAATCGATGACAGCACCCACTCCTGGCTTCCGAGTATCCTTTTGAAACTTTGGATGGCTGTTATTCACCTCAGCGCCTGTTTTATCGACAACACTATAAAGCTCAACAGGAAGGCGTTGCTCAATCCGATCAACTACAACATTCAAGTTCCCCATCTTATGAAGGGCTTCTAAAAGAAGGTGGATGTAATAAAACGTATCTGTCTCTGGGTTGCGAGATATGTCTTCCACAAATGCTGTAGTTGCGTCCAAAGATGACAGATACTGATAAAATGGCTTCTCCCAAGAAGTTCCACTTCCACCAGCCGAAGCACCATCTCTGTCAGACGAGGGCTTCCACCGATCACAGCAGTATGGGGACTTCAGATATAGATGGTCATGCAGTTCTTCAACAAGGATGTCGGTCAAAGAAGTTTCTTGGTTGCTGAAGTATGTCCGAAGGTCCCCCAGGGAACCTATACCCGCAAGTTCAGGACGTTGGAGCAGAGTAGTCCCTTCAATAAGTATATCAACTGCAGCGATGAATTTCTTATCCGACATTCGCGCCTCTAACTTCTCTGGGAGGGACTGGGCATGTTCGATCAGCTCGAAAAGCTGTAAGATTTCATCGTACGATTGTGATGCTATCGCCTGTTCCTTCAACTCCGGCTTCATGGTAAGCAAGCCAGCTTTAGCTTCCAAAAGGGCGGACTTGAGAGCCCGGATTTGGTGCTGGGAGCTTTGTAGGTTTGTCTGGATGTTATGGTAGGTCCCGAGGAGGCTGTTGAAGCCATGATGGTGCTCTGTAAGGGTGGTTAACATGGCTGCCTTGCGCATGCGCATTGAGGAGGGATATCACGTACCATTGACCACAGAGCGCAATGCACGCTGAATCCGCTGATGTATCTGTATAAACTCCGGCTCTTTATCTGCGCGGCCAAGGGTACTCGTGTCCATCAACTGTAGGCCAACCTGGACGGGAATGCATTCGCTGTCTGCCATAAAGTCCCATTCGTCTTCGATAGCTTGAACAACGCCTGATAGCAAGTTTCAACAAGTAATTAGCAAGACCCTTCCTTCAGACGCCGCCAAATGGTTCATGGGGAGCATACCATCGATCTCCTCCCCCCCTTTGATCTCCCGTCCACTTTGTCCGCTCCGTCCGCTCTGTCCGCTGCGACTGGCACTCCTCTGCCTCGCATTCTCCTCCCGCCTCTGTCTATCGCTTCCTCTAAGTCGGCTTTCGTCTCTACGGCCACCCCATGAAGGCCCATCGTCTATATCGCGACCTCGAGATCGTACGGACATCTGGGGAGACAGCTGTTCCATCGAGTCGCCAGGTGAGGGCGATTCGAGATAGGTCCCTCCGCCATATCCTCCTCCGCGCCCCTCGCGCCCCCTGCCATATCCACTCGCAGGTGAATTCATTGACCCATTATTCGATGCGCCGTGGTCGTGGTCGTGGTCTCGTCTAAAAGTGCGTGAAGTCGTGAAATAGTCGTTTCTTGGTGCTGAGTCGCCCGAGTTCATGATGATGATGATGATGCAAGGGGTAAGCAAGCAGGAGCCCCAACCATGGCTGGTTAGCGGCTCTCACTTGAGTTACAGGTGAGTTACAGGCTTCAAAGAGGATTTAAACCAACACAAAAAGACAACAATAGAAAACGATATAAGAAATACAGTACAGTGGTTATCAAATATATAAATAAGAATATTAAAGTAGAATTATGACTTAAGAGATTGTGTGAAGGTTTTGGTTAAGATTTATATGTACCATGGAACATAGCTGCGTGACTGATAGCACATAATATACATGCATTCCAGATATGATAAAAAGTAATATAACAAGTAAGATATCCATCATTATATCGTATCAAGTAGGACCTAGGCAGGGTCCAAACGCTGCCGTCACAGGTACAAAAAGCCTCCCTAAAGCCCTGGGGAGAGATCTACCAAACAGGGCAGAAGAGTAACAAATACACAAGAGACCCAGGGATGGAGCCTTTAGTAGTCCCTCAAGACAGCAACAAGCTCATCCAGTCTTGCAACTTCGCCTAGAAGTAAGGTCTCCTTGGCTTCCCATTCCTGTAGTGCGGCCATATCAGAGGCAGAGAGATACCGCTCCATGTTACGCTTCACGTCGGAACGTTCAGCTTTTTCGATGAGTGTTTTGAGCTTGCCTCTTTCGTAGGCTAGACGTTGAAGGCATCGGGCCATGCTCTTGTACGTGTCCTCAACGAGCATCATAACCACTCGGTCAGCGTCGTAGAACCATAGGTATATGGTTCGGGAAGGTTGACGTTGAGCATCTCGGGGCACTTCTTGCAGATCGATAAACCCCCCAGATTGCAGCCGTGCTAGTATTTGCCGTAGATCCTTGGAGGGCATCAGACTTATTTCTTGCAGGCGTTTCTCATCCAACCTTCCCTTGTCAGCTAGCACACGAAGAACTCGTACAGCAACAGTGCCATATCGAGATTCAACGAGCCGTTCAATTTCAAGATGTCGTAGTTTTCGAGCAAGATGTCTGAACTCCACGGCCCATGTGATGATACCCGAATCCATTCTCCGCGTTGAAAAGTGATAGGGCTCAGAAGCGAGTAAAGAAAGATGCTGTGCGACTTGGAAAACACGGCTTTGAGTTTTGGATTGCGGATTCCCTTCACCATCCTCTTCATCAAAGTCATCCTCATCCTCATCCTCGTCATCCTCTCCATGGCCATTCTCTAAACCATTCTGCTTAGGCTTTGTTGCGGACATACCGGCAACGCTGCTTAGAAGATCCAGATTAGGGTCGAGATCGTTGACTATTGTATGTAAGGGAATTGGTACGGAATAATGCTGTCCTTCCTCTCCTTCTAGGACAGGCCCATCCTGCTGGCGGCATTTTCGAGTTTTAAGCTCGATCCTAGATAGTAGTATTTCGTATACCTGAGAAGTGACAGGTGAGGTTTCTTGGTCTGCCAACTTGATTAGTCTTTGGCTGCGGAGAGCAACATTGAATTGCTCGTAATTGATCCGGATAACCATATTACTCTGTCGGCCGATGTTAGCTTTGAGACTTTAAGTGTAAGGAGGTAATATCGCACTTACATCCAATGTCATATCGCCATCATCATCGTCCTCATCTTCTGAAATGTCATAGTTGTCTGTTTCGACTGCTTCATCAAGCTTAGGTCGCTTGCGTGGACCCTCTGAGTCCCCGTTTGCTGCTCGTCTTCTCATACCCCTGGTGATATTTCGAGGAATCAGGCCATAAGCAACGGTTCCATCCATCCATTCCTGAAGCATAATTTCCGCCTTTTCCTCAATTTTCTCGTCAAGCTTTTTCCCTTTTAGCCCTTCGGTTTCACCACTAGCCTTGACGGCTCTCCTCGCCGATTCCAGTAAATCAGAGGGCGATTGAAAATGGACGTCCTTCACACGCATAATGTAACCGTACGCGGCAAGCTCTCGGAGTGTAGGACCGAGCCGGGAAGTCCCCTCCCCAGTCGCATTAGCATAGGCCCCAGTGTCTCCGTTCACACCGTCATCCACGCCGTTCCCCATAGTTTCCTCGTCTCCATTCTCCAGAGAGTGATCGCCGTTCACACCGTTGTGTTGATGGGATCCATTTCGTAAAGGAGTCGGCTGAAGCTCTGGTAGGCTCTCAAGGTGGCTTATTTTGACATGTCCCAGAGAGAGAATCGCCGAAACCACTTTTGCCGCATAATCACCCAGCCGCTCCCTTGTCAATTGCAAGATACTCCCGGACCGTACTAGTAGGTATGCGGCCCGCCAATTCGCTTGGTAGTATGATACGCCGTCCTCGAAGCCGGTATAGTGGAAGATAAGCTGTTGCTGGATGAGAATGGCTAAGCCGTGTTTCACTTGTCGAGGCGAAAGATTTGTGTTATGGACTATTCTCATAAGCGGTTGTCGTCCATGCTGGACAAGGTAGGAGAATATCAACTATACATCCAGATATCAGTCACACGCACACTATTTGCCCCATTCCGTCAAGACCAGGCGCATACAGAGTATAGTTCTCCGAAATTATCTGCAATCAGAAGCGTACATAGCTCCGCGGCATACTATCATCCTCGTCAGCGTTCGTTATCCCTCGTCCATTGAGTCTGAGAGAGCTTCTCTTACCTGCGACATCTTTTTTTATATATGACTGTGACTTCTAGAGAGATGCCACTCTAGAAGCTCGCAAAGGTCACGAATGAATAGTCATCAGCATTCCACGCATGTCACACTCCGAGCGCAGCCTCCCTTCTTCGTCTTCTGCCCTTTTCTTCCGTTTCTCTTGTCTTCTTCGTCCTCTTTTCGACTTTCTTCGTCCTTTTCTTCCTATTTTCTTCTTCTTTCAATAAGCGGGACAACCATCACGTGATACGAAAAAGCACCCTCCACGTGACTTTTAAGACTGTCGTCAAGTTGACCAATCAGAGTGTCCGCATTTGGCCCATTTCGTGAGTGACCGGAAGCTTTTTTTGGCCCAGAAAGGCGAACGTCGACTTCTTCACTCTCTCTGGTATATCAAGATCAAGACAGCCAGATCAGAACCACCATCCCCCGGCTTCAGCCCGCTCGTTTCTCCCTCTTCCGGCTGTACTCATTATCGATACAGAAGGCAATGATGCTTCCGCGAGCTTCCCTCGGCCGGACCGCCGCGCGCGTCTGGCGCAATGGCTCCTATCAACAGACCACCGTACGAGGCATGGCATCGCACGCTGGTCTCGAGTTTGAGGCCAGCGAGAGTGCTGGTGTGAAGGTTGCCAGCAGAGAGGTCCAGGGGCCAACTACCACCCTTACCGTCGTTGCTAAGGCTGGTTCCAGATACGAGCCATTGCCCGGTTACTCTGAGGCCCTGGAGAAATTTGCATTCAAGGTGAGCCAGAGCCTCCAGGAATGGGCCCATTCTCTATCAACCGGAAGGGTTATACCGTTTACTTTTCATTTTGGAGGCATTGGCTGATGGATTGGATCCCAATTGCAGTCTACTCTCAAGCGTTCGGCCCTACGAATCACCCGTGAGAACGAACTTCTAGGAGGCCAGCTTTCTTGCTACCGATCAAGAGAGAACCTTGTGCTCTCTGCCCGCTTCCTCAACAACGATCTCCCATACTACGCTGAACTTTTGGGAGAAGTTGTCTCGCAGACCAAGTATTGCCGTAAGGGAACCCAATTGCTCGTCTTGTCTCTGTCTCCGTTTCAGATAGGATAACTAAAGATTGATTGTTTTATCAGCCCACGAACTCAACGAACTTGTCTTCAACCTTATCAAAGCTTCCCAGAACAGCATTGCTGCTTCTCCATCGGCCCAAGCTCTTGATGCTGCACACACCATTGCTTTCCACCAGGGACTCGGAAGCCCACTCACCATCCCAGCTGCTACTCCATTGAAGAAGTACGTCTCTGCTGAGGGTATTGCCTCCTTCGCTGAAGGTGTCTACACCAAGCCATCCATTGCCGTGGTCTCCAGCGGCTCCAACTCCGCTGAACTATCCAAATGGATTGGCCAGTTCTTCAATGAGCTTCCTACCTCCACTGCTTCCGGTCCCTTCGCCCCCGCCTCCAGCCAGCAGACCAAGTACTTTGGAGGAGAGCAGCGAATCGCCAGCCAGGCCGGAAACGCCATTGTCATTGCTTTCCCCGGCTCCAACGCCTACGGTGCCTCTGGGTACAAGCCAGAGCTCGCCGTTCTTGCAACCCTCTTGGGCGGAGAGTCCAGCATAAAATGGACTACCGGATCTTCCATCCTCGCCAAGGCCACTGAGGCCATCCCCGGCGTCAAGGTCTCTACTAGCCAGTCCACCTACAGTGACGCTGGATTGTTCCACATCACCGTCTCCGGCCAGGCTGCCGACCGTGTCTCCCAGGCCACCAAGTCCGTCGTTGATGCCCTGAACAACGTCGCTGCTGGAAACGTTGCTGCCGAGGATATCAAGAAGGCCATTGCCCTCGCCAGATTCCGTGTCCTTGACGTCGGATCCAGCCTTACCGCCGGAAGCGAGGCTACTGGCTCTGCTCTCATCCATGGTGGCAAGCCATTCAGCATTGCTGCTAACGCCCAGGATATCGAGAAGGTCACTGAAGCTCAGGTCAAGGCCGTAAGTTACCATTCTGACAAATGAAATCTTTCTGTAGACAATTCAACTAACAATGACTTACTAGGCTGCCAAATCCCTCCTAAGCAACAAGGCCTCCGTCGCCACTGTCGGAGAGCTCTTCTCTCTCCCATATGCCTCCGACCTCGGTCTCACTGTGTAAATATACCCCCAAGGAACAGGTACCTCTCAACCACAATCGCTGAACCCTTAAAAAAACACCCCCACCCACACGATAGACTCAGCGTACCTTTTTTGATATTACTATACTAGTTGAAATAGGTGAAGAGAAAGAAAAGAGAGAGTTAGATAGGTGGCATTTTTCCTTCTTTTCTGTGCTCTCTCCCCTGCCCTCCATCTTCTCCATTACTCTCCATTTTTGCTCTCTTTTGTTTGTTCTCTAGTAAATGTACTTATATAAAGAAGAATCCAAGTGTTTTTTCATGCTTAATTTTCTTTTCTCTTGGTGTTTTCATCATTTGTATTTCTTACTGCGTATAGTTAGGATTACAAGGATTGAACGGCTTGAAAATATTATATATTCCCCCGATTAAATAGATAGGCAAGAAACGACATACACGAATGAAGTAATGAAAGAAAAATTTTACCCACCTTCGTATCAACGACAATGGCTTCGTGGACATGAGTTATCTTAAAAAAGGCAGCAACATGGAAAAGAAGTAGCTGAGAATGGGAAATGAAAAGAGAAACACATTATTTCTATAGCTAATAGAACATGCTGCAAGATATGAAGGAAATAAAGACGAGATAAAGTAGGGAAAGAAAGAAGATTTTTTTTTTTTGAAAAGAGACAGTAAAAGGCTACAGCCAGCTTAGTGTTTAGCAGTGACCGTGTCTCCTGTTAGTTTCTCAACAGCTTCCTTGGCCCTATTTAGAGTCGACGAGTCAGCAAATGAATCTAAGACAGACAAGCAATAGAAATGAAAGGTGAACGTACATATCTCCGAGAGCAACCATGCAGACGGTCTGCCAGATACCAAGACCAATACGAGGAGTGACACCCCTGTAAAGACCCTTGATGCCGTTCTGGCTATAAATATAGTTAAATGCCTTGCCGACAGTCAAGTTCTTAGGTCGGTTAGGGTCAACGGTCTTGCTCTGCATTTCGACACGGATGACCTCAATAGGCTGGTTCCAGGCCGACAAACCACCACCAATGGTACTGGCAGCAACCTTCTCGAGGCCATTGAGTTTCTGGCCGTCCTCCTTGTTGGTTACCTTTCTGATACCAATTTCAGCAAGACGGGAGAGACCGAATCGAGAACCCCAGTTGGTAGTCTGTCGAATGGCAACGGCGTTGACACCCTTGTTGATTCCGCGAATACCTTCGCGGCGGTAGATGTCCATGAATGTAGCGAAGGTGCTTGGGGGTTTGACACCAGCAGCAGCCATCTTGGACTTGGTAATTTCGACTGTCTTCATGCATGTGCAGAAACCCATGGTAGCGTAGGCCTGCGCAATACCACCGGCCATACCACCGCTGATTCCACCGATGAAGTCATTGGCGCCGAAAGTTTTGGCGTAGTACTCTGCTTCCGAAGCCACGAAGAGAAGGACAGCGCCCTTGGTGGAGGCCTCGATCCAGGCCCAGGGAATGAGACCTTGGTAGTCTATAAAAGGCAGTCAGTATTTATTCTTGTGAGTGTATGATAGTTAGAAGTAATTCTTACATCCAAGGATGCCACCACGGCCCCAGATACGACCCATGGCTCCGCCAAAGGTATCTGACCGGTTAGCGGCCATTGTAGTCTTGACGACTTCCAACGGCTGGCCGAGGGTGGTGACCCTGTTCCAATCAATCGTTCGTCAGCATTGTACAGCCATTGACACATGTCAAGCGGACAGATATGGACGGGGAAACGTACTCGAACAGGTTCAGGCCAGCGCCAACTAAAATTCTCAATCCATCAGCATCAAATCACGGTGGATAAATAATCTTTATTTCCTCTCATCTCTCCCCGCGTGGATTGCACTTACGTAGCAAATTGCTAAACTTGACGGGCTTCTTCTCGATCGTCTGGCCTGAGGCGGACATCTTGGATACTGTGATGCTGAAAGGGGCCCTGACCAAGGGAAAAATGTGTTGTTTATCGGAGCGGAAGAGGCCTTTATTTAAATTCTCTGGGAGCGGCTAGCTGGAGCTGACGGAGTATACCCGTCGGGGCTTAACTGGGTATGTATATTTTGGGACGACGAGATCTAATAGCACCAAGGTGTTGCTGTTGCCGTTTCTGCTGTTGCTGCTGTTCCTGCAGGTAGTCTCCGAATGTACGACTCGACGGTATGCTAACTATCAACAACAGCGCGTTAGTCGAGACCAGCTCATTAACCGTGCTATCTGAGCAGCGCCTTTCACAAGCCGCCGAAGACAATGAAGCGCCTTTCTACAACCAGCGGCGGGATATGCTCCGTTGTGGACAGGGGCCAGTGGACCACGACGAGGCACGAGCATCGGCCATGGAACGAAGAGCTCCGGCAAGCGTTTAGAAGGGGGAAAGCTTACCGTGAAGTTTTTATTCTTCTTCTTCGTCCTGCTTCTCTGGAGACAGTGATTAGCCGTAAAGACCTGATTGTGTTGAAATAGAAAAAAGAGAAAAAAGATGGCAGAGGAAGAACGAGGCCGAGAAAAGGATAAAAAGCAGCTGAAGACTCGGACCTTTTTCTCTCTTTTCTTCTTTCTCCTTAAGAAAAAGACCGGGCGATTTTGGCCTGTGATGAGCTTATGTAAGGCGTTCCTGTCGCACTTTAGCGGGCCTGGTTGGGGTGTTTTAGCGTTAGACGCTCAACAAAAGTGCAACAGAGCCGCGATAAACGGAGCTTTTCTTCCTCAACAGCTCGCCGCCTAAAGGGGATATAATTATACTGGCTATTACTATTATTACCTCCGATATACGAAGTAGAGGATGAGAGCCAAAGGCGATATTACACTCCGTATATATAGCAGTAAGATAAGTAAACAGCAACGAAGTCATGAGGCTCGTTGAAAGTATACATGGACAGCGGCCTAGTTTGGTAGATTGTGGCAGCTGACACCAGTAGGAGTATGAGATATCAAGCCTTTGGCAGTACCCTCAGAGTCATCGAGCTGCCATTTTTCCCGGTAGAACCCCCTTGGGCTTTATTCTGTCCCTCCTCATCAAGCATAAGCCGAGGTCTGAAAGGCTGCCAGATTAATAGTCAACACAAGTTTCATTGCTTTCCACTTGGCCCTGTATGTATCTTTCGTTTTGCAGCTTTTATAACTCGTCTCTCCGCTTCCTTGCCCAGTCTCTCGCATTTCGATATGCAGTTACCCCCTGCCGAAAGGTATCCAGTGTATCCATCATTGCAAATGACCTCAACAAAGTCATAATATATTCAGGACGGCCTTTGCTTCTAGGTGAGGGTACGTTGAGGTGCGTCGTGTAGAGCTTGAGTTGACCACCTTGGTAGATTGATGTGATAGTATATGCATTCTTATCATAGAGTCGCTCTTGTAATCCGTATGACTGCAGGATTTTAGGCTTTAGTCGTCCTGGGCGAGCACCAAAGAAGTGATCTGGTTTAGTAACAGCGAGTGAGCTATTCGTTAGAGGAGCAAGGTTCACAAATGGATAATCCTCTCCTAGACAAGCTATGATATTAAAACCACTTTCAATAGTACCGGTGCCCCTTTTTTAACATATCACTGCCCGCGTTAAAATCACCAAAACTCATCCTCGGTAAAAATGGTATGTGAGAGAGAGCGCCTTAGCCGGAGTAATCTGTTCTGAATCTCATCCATATTTTTGGGCACCTCGGGAAACAACTCATCCATATGTTCAAATCCATCAAGATAAACGCCGTGATCCTCTAGCTTTTGCTCAAAATCCCGACAATAAGCTGAGCTGGTTGTCTTGGTATCGGTTTTTTTACCACTTTTCGTAGCCGCCTTTTCATGACCGCGCTTTTCAAGGGGAGGGGAGCCGGTACGTCACTTCCCACAACTTAGTCTTTCACTTCTTCTCATTCTGTAGTGAATGGGAACATAAGGATCTTGGAAAAAATATATGTCCTAGCCAGCAATGCGTAGTAGAATAGCATTGTAATAGTCAACACGCCTCGATATAACCCAACAAACCCAATCCTTCTATCATTTATAAGGCAAACATAAAGGAAGGTATACATCCCAACGGCGGATAGCCATCCATGTATAAAAGCAGTTGGGCGCATATCTTCGATGATGCGTTTCCAAAGCCTCCCATTTTGCCTTGACAGTAATAGAAAGCTGATTGGGTATATGCAGTGTCTCACAAGGAAACACATGCAAGTTGTTGACCTTGCATATATGGAGGCTGCGCTGGGATGTCAGCTGCATGATGTACTTAACGTGCATTGACAGGAGGCATGAATGTCAAGTGAGATAGAGTTTGGGTGTGCGGGCGGGCCGCTGGACGGCACGCTCTACGGAATAACATACTTCCATTTTATTACGTAATGTAACCTTATTAGAGAAGATAGAGAGGAACACAGGGACTCGTCTGAATAAAGAGGATATAAAATACAACTTGATAGGTCCATATAGTTACAAACTCGAAGGGACAAAGGAAAGGAGGAGGCGGTGGTGGAAAAGGGGGGATAGAGAGAAATGGGTTACCAGCGCGTTACGCTAGACAGCCATGTTCAACAGTCTATAGTTTTCGACTTTTGGTTCGCTCAAGGATCGCAAGATATATAAATTATAGCTTAGCTCCGACAAGCTTGGCGTAGCCTTCGGTGCTGAAACTCTTTGGACGCTCGATGGGGGAGCCGAGGGCGCGGTCAATGATGAGCTGAGGAAGGACACCAAGGGCACGGGAGACACCGAAGAGGACAGTGTAGTAGCTGGCCTCGGTCAGACCGTAGTACTGGAGGAGAACACCAGAGTGCTATTTCATGTTAGCATTGTTCGACTTCCATTATACCAAGGGTTAGAACTTACAGCATCAACGTTGGGGTAGGGGTTCTTGGTCTTTCCGTGCTCGGTCAGGACACCTGGGGCGATCTTGTAGACCTGGCTGACGAGCTTGAAGAGAGGGTCCTCAGGGAGGTGGCGGAGAGCGAATTCACGCTGAGACACGTAGCGGGGGTCGGTCTTGCGGAGGACGGCGTGGCCGTATCCGGGGACGACCTGACCGGCGTTGAGGGTGGACCAGAGGTAGTCCTTGATGGCCTCGTCGCTCAAGTCGTTGCCAATGGCCTTCTGCATCTTTTGAAGCCAGTTCAAGACTTCCTGGTTGGCCCTGTATATGGGTTAGTACAACGATACACAAACGGCTGTAATTGAGAGGATAGCTTACAATCCGTGGAGAGGGCCGGCGAGACCGTTGAGACCGGCAGCAAGGGAGAGCATGGGAGAGCTCAAGGCAGAGCCAACCAAGTGAGTGGTGTGTGCACTGACGTTGCCACCCTCGTGGTCGGAGTGGATGGTAAGGTAAAGGCGCATCAACTCAACGAAGTCGGCATTGTCACCGTAGCCGAGCTGGTTGGCCAAGTTGAAACCGTAATCCTTATCCTTCTGGATGGGAGCGACCTTTCCATCCTTGAAGACGTTGCGGTAGATACGGGCAGCAATGGTGGGCAGCTTGGCGATCAAGTCCATGGAGTCCTCGAAGGTGTACTGCCAGTAGTCCTTCTTGTTCATACCCTTAGCATAGGCCTTGGCGAAAGCAGACTCGTGCTCAAGGGCAGTGACAGCAAGGGAGAACTGGGCCATTGGGTGGAGGTCAGATGGGCAGCGGTCGATGAGCTCCTCAATGAACTTGGGGACATCGGAACGGGCGGCCCACTCGGCGGAGAGGTCGCGAACTTGTTGCTCGGTTGGGACCTCACCGGTAAGCAAGAGCCAGAAGAGACCTATTAGTCCGTTAGATCCCCGTGTTTCAGACGTGTTTTCTGTGTGTTTGACCTGTACACACCTTCTGGCAATGGCTCCTGACCACCTGGGGCCTTGGGGAGGAGTTTCTGGCACTCAGGAATCTAGTTATCACCAATTAGTGGCTTGCTCTGGAAAAGCTGCCAGTCCGTCTAGAAATAACTTACGGTCTTTCCACGGAAGCGGATACCCTCCTCAGAGTCAAGAATAGATCCCTAAAAAGCAGGGTTAGTCTTAATGGTCGTACAATGCCGGTTTCTGACAGTCTTCTTACCTCCCAGACGAGGGACTTGATGCCACGGGCACCACCATAGACCTGGTCGAGGGTCACCTCACCGAGGACCTTGTTTCCATGCTCCCTGTAAATCGGGAAGGACCATCATTAGCCATGCTCTCCAAACCATCAATTCCTTGCCTCAATGTCGTCCTTAGAGCGTCAATATTACATACTTTCGGAGCTTCTTGACCTGCTCAATCTTCGCTGGTATCTGGGCGGCGAAGGTCTCCTTAAGAGTCTATAGACAATAACCACTCGTTAGTAAACTTGACTATCGCATACTCAATTCTGCGATTGGATACGTACTGGAGCCTTGGTCGAGGAGTACTGTCGGAGAGCATTGTAACTGGCAGCCTTGACAGCTGGCTTGGAAGCCAGAGAGGTGGATCGGAGAGCAGCGCTCCCTAGTCTGAGTGAAGAGGCCATACCAGCGGCTGATAGAAGGTAGTGTACACGGGAAGAATTAAAAATACACGGTGAGAGGGAGCTTGTTCGTGGATTGAGATGAACTTGAAGCTGTGAAGTTGAAGAATGAAGAAGAGAAAGAAAGAGAAGAAGTTTTGCTATGCTTGTGAGGGTATTGTCGGGACCGAAAAACGTGATCAGATGTTATTACAGGGGCCGATCTGGCAGTTGCTGTCCGTCACGTATTGTCACAGCGCCTTTTTCGCTCTCCCGGTATTTTGTTGGGCCCAGCAAGTCTTATCGTCGCTTTTTACTTCTCCTTTTTGCGCCGGAGATACATGCGCTTCGGAAGTATTAAGGGGTGAGGCTGGCTCTAGAGGAATTGGTTGGCCTGTGTCTTCGGGCCATTCAATTGAGCGATTGATGGGCAGCCTCGGAGAAACAGCTCAGGGAGACAGGCTGTAACTATGCACGTTGTTGCTGTATCACTTACGTAGATGACGGCGGTGCCGTGCCGAGGCTCAAAGATAGAGTTATAAGATAGATGCACTTATTATCATGGCGGTGGATTATTATAGCAGCAGTGATATTATGCGATTGATGTCGTCTCCATAGTATCTAGCTACCCTCTATCCGTCTTAGATAGGTCCATTGAGAGTAGCCACGGATACATAAAAGTTGTGAAGAGTGTATTAAAAATCCAAGGTCTGCATCCCCGGCAGCTCGTCTCCCGTTAGACCCTTCTCCTTGAGTAGCACTGCTCTCCTCTCCAGGTACGCCTTATAAGGAGCTTTGGGGATCGTCTTCTCCCTATCCTCCCATGGCTGGTATTCCACTTGCTCCCATACTTCCAGCTGGTCTAAGAAGCCCTGATTAGGCCGGATCTTCCGTTTTTCTTTCACATCCGCCAGCACAGCATCACGGCTCTTGCCATATTTCCGCATCAAATAGGCAATCACCATGGTAGGGGAGCGAGATATTCCTCTCTCGCAGTGCACAAGGATAACATTAGTGTCAGGGGCTTCTCCGTCGTCATCATGTCCACCCGTTCTTTCGAATTTGCGATGTACTAGCTGAAGATTCACATCGGTGCTATGGAAGCCACCTGTAGTGAAAAATGGGAGCCAGTCGGATCCAAATTTGCCCTTATATTCGCTATCCACCGGGCTTGCAGTTGAATCTCGAGGAGTAGCGTACACTTCATCGAGGAAGTCACAAAAGACATTCATATGTTTGATGAGGTCTTGTGTCGTTGTGTCGTCACATCTTATCCAGAGATGATGTTTAACATGTCGCTTAAATTTTTGCTGCTGCCACAGTGAGCAGCCGTTCCCAACCAAAGAAACCACGCCTGATATGTGATTATCATGTAGGACAAATTCCTGGTAGGTATTAAGAACATCTGCGACAAATAGGCCAGGCTCAACCTCGGAAGGCGGACGGACATCGTAGAGCACCATATCGACAAACGGCTGAGGAAAGAGATATGGAAAACACTTCAAGGTAGATTAATGGTATAGCCACCTTAAGGAGAAGAATATGTGAGCTTAGAGATGGGTTAAAATATTTTGAAAAGTGTCAGAAGCATATGCTGTTGAGTGAATGTCAAGGACAATGAACCACCGCGAAGTCGTTACTCAAATAATTGTTTGATTGGCGGGTAACTAATTAGGTAATTATTGTTTCCTGAGGAGAACAATGCAAAGGGTGCAAAAAGCGTATGACTTTAGACTTTTAGTTCAATATCTAGGGCCACTTAATCATCTCACAGTCAATGGATGACTCAGTTCACCTGGCTATTAATTCTTGATAGCCTATTTTAGGTACTATGCGTCAAAGGCATCATACCTGGAGAGGAACTAATAGTAATACTTTGTCATGTAGACAAGAGGAGCTGAGTGGATATGTATTTGATTAGAGAAATGCGGTATCAAGGAGATTCACCAGTAACCCTATTGTTTCTAAGTAATGAGGTAAGTTATTGAGTAATATAGCTGTGTTCTGGAGCAGGACAGTGTTTCCATAGGTCACAAGAGGACTGAGGGCAAGGTGTGTATAAATAGATCCTTCGAACCTAAGTGGGAAGGGCAAAATTCCAATCTCAGAGCATATCTCCCTATTGCAAGCGGCAATCCCTCTCCTTATGATAAAATAGTTTCTTGTCCAGCAGCAAATCCCACCGATATGCAGCGTGAAATTGACCTTTGCACCGAACTTATCGAGGACGCTCTCGGCCAGGAATACGATGTCGACCAAGACACAAAAACATTTATCACTGAAATCCCTGAGAAAGTGCTCCAAGGGGCGTTTGTTGCGTTACGTGCTCAGTCAGAATCAGGCACCCGATATGTGAACATGAGACGACCAGATATCAAGAGTTTTCTCTTACGCCTGGCAGCAAATGGACCCACATGTATGGAGGCATACGATGGTATCAAATATAGGTTCACCATGGGTAAGTTTTAGGCACTCAAACTCCCAATGGTTCGCTGCTAGAGATTGACAACAATTTTTAGAAAACTTGTCGAGGGAATCAACGCCTATGTCAACATTGAGTTAGATGGCTGTTATATGATTATGTAATTGTCACATGATCATACATTCCTGTTTAGGTTAGTCTCGGGCTGCCAAATTTCTTCCTCTCCTTGAAACTTGCAGAAAAAACCCTTTTCACCAAACACTCAACAACTCTTTTGCCTTCATCATATTTTTCTTCTCCTTCGAAGGCTTTTCATCGTCTAACATTAGCAGACAGGCTGTCCCATTACTTGTATCTGGCCTGGTTGGATCTTCTTTATCTCCTTTCTTGAAACTGATAGTGGAATACCGGCCGTAGGCCCTTTTTTCTCTGAGCCTGTTGCTTGGCCGGGACTGTAGTGACAAGATCACCCATCAAGCATCAAATAGAGACCTTATCTACTGGATCACGGATAGCTTTCCTACTCAGTAGATACAAGATACAGCATAGTGTGGAATCTTCCGGTCCCAAAGAACCTGCAGATACCAGCCCAAACCAGCCATCTTTGCAAGTACTAGCTTTCGCATCCTATCACATATAATTGGTAGCAACCTCTATCAGCCATGTCTTCTGCAGTAGCAGAGCTGGATGGCTATCTCCATTCCATGCTTTCTTTGAAGCCCCCTGGTGTATCTGGATCCAAAATTAACGGCATCACTTCACTCTGCACCGCCAATATTCAGGTTAGTCCTTTTGCAATAGTCTCACTTCGCGATACACTTATCATAACCGGAAGAATCTTAGCTAACGTCTTTCTTTTCTTCTCAATATAGTCCGAATCGGTGTTGATACAAAAGATCTATACCCATTTTAAGCGAGCACCAGGGACACACAAGTTGGGCGTACTCTATGTCGTAGACTCTGTAACTCGACAATGGGTAGAATTAGCACGCAAGGCCGGCCAGCAGATTGGCGGCAGTGCTCCAGATGGGACATATGCTGCAGGTGTTAACCGAGTGACCGAGCTTCTCCCAGTCCTCATGACTGATATCATAAACAATGCTCCCGAAGACCAAAAGGTACGCGTACTCTTAGACATGAATCAGACTCAATATCTCCTGCAAACTGGAAGCAATAATTCCTTTGCAGCGCAGAATATTATAGACCTAGGCATCTACCAGCATGGCGTTGCCTTAAAAACGCCTAAATCACCGTATCACGAAATTCCTCTTTTCCCCCTCTATACTTATGACTTTATATCCACTGCCCTTTTGAATCATAGGTCATATCTCATGCTGTGGCTGAATAATTCCCACTTACGTATATCCATTTTCTTAATTTAGGACAAAATCAAAAAGTTGGTGGACATCTGGGAGCGAGGATACACATTCCCAGCTCCCATGCTCCAATCGTTCAAAGACAAGCTAAACGCTCCAGTATCCCAAAGTAAGAAAAGCCCCCTTGGAAAAAAATGCCTTCGAGTTCACCCTCCTTGGTTAAAAAGACTGGTTCTTAATCAAACCATGGAATACCATACCTGGGAGAATTTGAATGGCTGTAAAGATTATAAAAATGACGAACATTATTTTTCTAATGTATATTCAACTTTCTTAGACGTGGAATCTACAACACCAGAAGGGTCACCAGCACCAAATTCCTTTGCGTTCGGTGGATCAGGTCAACAGCCAGCTGCTCCGGCCGCTGCGGTTCCTGATACATCCAGCATCTTGAAGGCGCTTGCTGAAATGGCAAAGCAAAACACAGCCGCTCCAGTCGCGCCCGCGATTCCAGCAACACAGGCTAGCACCAGTAATGTATTAAACGCACAGCCTGCAGTCCCACAAACAAATGCACCGTCTGTAGACCAGACTGCGCTCTCCTCTAACGGGCAGTCCGTAAACCCCTTTGCTGGAAATCTTGCCGCCCAATTCCCAGGTCTGGCCAATACCGCCCAAAACATGTTCCCGAACCAATCCCAAGGCCAGGCTGCAGGTGCAGGCGCTTATCCCGGTCAGAACCCGCTTGCACAGTTGATGCAGCAACAGCCACCGCAGCAGCAACAACCCGCAGCCCCAACTCCCGTTACTCCAGATCCCCTTCAGCAATTAAATCTGATCCAGCTTCTTGCTGCTCAGGGTATTCCACAGGAGCAATGGGCAACTGCTCTCCAAATTTTAAATCTTTCCAATGCAGCCAATGCTGGTGGAATGGGTAATATGAATCCAGCTGCATTGGCAGCCTTTGGTCAAATGCCCGCAGCGAATCAGAACGCCTGGGGAGCAAACGCACAGCAGGACAGCGCATCACGTGACAGAGATCGAGACACTCGCTCTCCCCCAGGGCAGTATCGTCGTCGTTCACGGTCTCCTGGATGGGACAGACGCCGTGATGTATCTCCACCACGCCGCCGCGACAGCCCCGTGTATGGTGAATACCATGGTGACTCCCCTGGCCGTAGCCGCGGTGAACATGGCAGAGGGGGCCGTCGAGGGAACGAATACCGCCAGCGCAGCCCGCCTGGTGGTAGACGTCGTCGAAGCCCAAGTCCTCGCAAGGAGACCAACCTCCCGCCTCCTGGGCCCAAGTTCATTGACTACGACTATTCTATTGGCGATGGAAACATTAAAGGTTCGATTATAGATCTCTCATCTTTTTTATTCGTTTATCTGAAACAAGAAGCTAACGGGTTTATATTATTATATAGTCCTGAGCCGAACATTGTTCGTTGGTGGTGTAACGTAAGTACCCGTACATTAGCTTGTTTGATAGCTTTTCTAACACATGGTGGATAGCTCATCTGAGTCTCATCTCCGATCGCTCTTCTCCCGTTACGGTACAGTTCAGACATGCATTGTCAACAATGACAAACGACATGCGTTCGTCAAGATGGTCAATCGGCGCGATGCCATGAGTGCTCGCGAAGGGATGGAGCAGTACAAGTCCGGAGACATGCAGCTTAGGGTAAGTCAATCCATCCGTTTGTCCGCATTAATATTACATTATAGCTTGGCGGTCTAACTTGAGGAAATATAGACACGTTGGGGAGTTGGTTTTGGACCCCGAGACTGCAGTGACTACCATACCGGAGTCAGTATAATACCTGTTGACCGGCTAACTGAAGCCGACCGCAAATGGCTCCTTACTGCAGAGTATGGCGGCACTGGCGGCAAGCCTATCGAGAATGGCATGGTTGTTGAAGAACCTGATATTGAGATTGGAGCTGGTGTATCTTCCAAGGGTATGTATAAAATCCCAAAGCAAGGCCTAGAACGTCCCACTTTGTTTGCATTGTAAGACTGACTAACAAAAACCAAACAGCCATCAGCCGTCGCATGGCAACCGACCAGGGAGGCAAGCGTGGCCCCCAGTCAAGCCGATACAGCCATGAGCGCTTCCGCCGCAACGAGCGCGGCGGCGGAGGTGGTGACGACGGCCACAACAGCGGCAGCGGTGACCATGACCGCGATCGCGACCGTGACACCGCTTCTGGTCCCAATGCCAATGCTATCGGAGTGCCTCCCGCCGTTCCAGGCTTCGGCTTCTCGTTCCCTGGCATGCCAATGTTCCCACCTGGGTTCATACTGCCAGGCACGCAGCCATCAACCACCGGGGCCCCATCACAGCCTCCGGCACAGGGCCAATGAATGATAGGAACGGAGCGTTGAATGTCTCCATCATATCATGCATGGCATCGGTATACTTCCATGGCGTTTAAGAGTCATTAACATTCGGTCAAGGAAATGGTTTTCACAAAAAAAGAAGGCCAGAGGAGTTCATGGTGTGTCAAGTCGCAGCCGCTGAAGCCATGATAAATAACAACCACAGTATAATACCCGTTTCCTCACCTTTCTCTTCTACTTAACTTTATTCAGGCCGGCGTTTGAGCTTACTTTTGCATCCTTTCTTGCTTTGTGTAATTGATTGATATCTTCACTATCTTCTTGTCACCTTTTCTGGCGCGTGGCCTTGTCCGGCTTTTTCCACTTCTGCTGCTTTCTTTTTTTTCAACCTTTTTTGTACAGTAACTGCCTGACTACGGAGTACTTCTTTTACTTCCTATAACCTTCTACTTGGGCACATAATGCAAGCAACTATAATCGTTATCTCCCACCCCCCGTATCTCTTCCCGCCTGCCGTCTCGCCCGACATCCCAACCTTCAACTCTTCTTCCCACCGCAACTTCAACTCCCGAAAGGACAAGCTTAGCTAAGCTTCATCACGTGTAGATCATCTCGTCTTAGCCTGCAGCTTTCTCTCACGCTTCTTTTCTTCTGCTCAACCTTGCGAGGGAAAACGCTCAGGATAAGTTTAGGTAGTTACTTTTAAGGCAGGCATAAAAATAAATATAATATAAGTATGGAGTAAAAGTAAGTATACTCCGTAACTCTCTCGAGTCGCCATTCTACACTTAACTTAGTACGACACTGCATACTCCGTACTCCGTACATACGGAGGCCAGCAGCAAGCTATCCGTCTCCGCGACGTCATGGGATCTTGAAAAGTGGAAACATCGCCACGCTTCACGAAGTGCTTGTCCATTGCTTATCTGTAGCACGAAGCCCATCATCGTCCTCATTCCCTTCTCTGACACCGAGCGCATATGCCTGGTTCGTTGACTTTCTGCGCCCAATTTGCTTCTTCAGCCTACATTTTTCATTTTTCTTTTGCTTTCATCCTGGCCTGACCGAGAAGCTCCTTTCAACGTGATAAGGCTCGTCAATGAAGAAGAGGAAGAAGGATAAGTATAGACGAAGCCGAAGACGAGAGACGAAGAAGCAAAGAGGTCTGCTGGCTGCGTAGCTTGTTTTGTTTATATTCATATGTTATTGTTTTGCTGATCTCGGACGTAACTAACAAACTAGCTTAGCTCGGAGCCAACATGGATGTCATCACCTAAAGGTCCCATCAGTGACTGCATCCCCATCAGCCATCCGCATCCATGGGCTGGAAATGACGAGACGGACGGAGTTACTCCTACCAAGTCAAACCGAACCAAACCAAAGCAAACCACGCCAACCACCGCTACCACTCCCACCACCACCAACCACCACATCCCACAGCTAACCAGCGCCGCCAACACCGTCCATCCTCTCGGCCTCTTCTTCTCTTTCTTCGTCCTTCCTGACCCCTGGCAAAGCAATATGCAGCCCAGCGCAAGTGAGCCAATGGCAGTCTGAGAAAAGGCGATGGTGGCAGTTTCAATTCATTTCCACCCCTGCTCCACCCGAACCAACCCACGTCGACATCTGCAGCATGACGAGGGAGCGAACAGCTTGGGGCAAGCTTCCCCCCTCCTCTCCCTTCCCCCTTCGCGAACTTACTTTTTCCTGCTCCCTTCCCTTTCCCTTCCCTCGTCCTCCCGCCTAGGTCGCCAATTCTCGCGCCGAGCAAGATCTGCGAAGTATTAATTAGGGATAAGAAAAGGGGGATGAGAGTGTGTGCGTGCATTGGCATGTCAATTGGGCAGATAAAGGGGTTCAATTGGCATGCTGGAGGGCTTGGACAGCCTCTGCGGCTGTCTGCTCGGTGCTGGGCAGAGGTCGAGGTATCGTGATGGGCTTCTTGGGGGAGCTTGGGGGAAGCTATCCTTCATCTTGTCGCCCCCCTGTCCTTTTGTCCTGCACTTCCCTGACTACCGCGAGCTAGTCCCGTCCTGCAGGTTACATACAGCACCTTACTTACGTACTTTACTTCATTATACAGTACGAGAGCTGTGTTTGTTACCCGATACGTGTACGTACGGGACAGAGTACAGCTGGCGTGCTAGGCGAAAGTCGGGAGGATGAGGTAAGGCAAAATAATAAGGTAGAGCGGGAGAGCGATACGAGGCATACTTGATGCCGTATACATACAATACCGCTAAACGAAAGATGGAAAATGAAAAAAACACCAAGAAGGGTCGCTTGAAGATTACCTTACAGCTTGTTGTGTGCTGTTATATATGCTGCCCTGGGGGATACCGGTCCCCAAGATACGCCTGGGTCCTATCGTACTTACATATACTCTGTCGGAAATGGCGCCTGTTCTCCCCAGAGAGGATTAAAGGAAAAAGAAAAAGCTGCGAGGAAGAAAAAGGCCCAGGGTATGGCCAGACGAAGCGGGCTTCTCTCGTCTGATTGACCGGGCGCCGGCCTGTCCCCCAAGGCATACCAGACTCACTAGCTGCTGCTGCGATGATTTGCATGCATCGATGACACCTGGGCATGGACCACCCCAAGCATATTAATAGGCCCCGTTACGATGGCAACGAGAGGATGGATTACTTAACTAAACAGGGCCTGTTCGACCGGACCCTCGTTTAAGATGGTCAAATCGCAATAGGGAACATCTTATAACCCGATGAGGTCACCCGTCTCACAATTATTGTAACTGCAACAGTTGCAGCAACAGAAAAAGCAGGAGAAGTAAGAGAAGCACCACAGCACTAGTTAGTTACCGCGAAAGGGAAAGGTACAGGACGAAGATACAAAAAAAGTGCCGAAACGCAGGCCCATCCGTACAAGAGAGATACACGGCATGCAGCGACCAGCGTGCATATTATGCGTGAATAAAACGACACAAGACCAGAGGCAAGCTTTTCTAGAAGACGCGAAGAAGGACAACGAAGACGGCGAGGCGAGGACAAGACCAGACAGAAAGGCGAAGGAAAGACGAGAGAGAGAGACGAGAAGCTCTCTTGGGGTAAGTGGATGGATGGATGAAAACTTTGATGCATCTTGCGACCTTTGAGGCATTTTCGTGATTCGTGTGAATTTTTATTTTTGTATTTTGCATCGTTTTTTCAGTGTTTGTTCCAAGGCCGCGGAAATCCTTCCTGATCCGCCCCGTCCGTCCCTGCTCTCTGCCTGGGGAGACCAGAAGAAGCACAAGAACAAGAGGAGCATCACCACCAACAAGAAGAAGCCAGAGGCAAAGAGGCAGAGCCTCGCTTCACTCTTCACTCTCTTCAGGAAGAAGAAAAAGGGAATAATCCCGAGCGACCCATTCAACCGTCACCTAGCGAGTCCCCAACATCGTTAGTGTAGGGCTTGGTCCAGTCAGAGCCGAAGCTCAACCCTCTTGGACATTATCACTATCACTATCCTTATACTTATTTGTGGGCATAACCTGGAGTCGAAGAGAGCGAGAGGGGAGTGTCTTGTCTTGTCTTGCTCGTCTACCCGGCTTGGCGATTCTACTGACTTCTAAAGCAAAAACTGATGTGCATAATCGCTCTCTTGCTTGTTTGTTAGACAGAGAGACGAAAGGGCGGAAGCCCCGTATCTCTCCGTGTTGGCGGACCGAGCAGCACCAACCACCCAATTGATGTCGACGGGCGATGGCGATGGCAAGAAGTGCGGGATATACGCCCGTGTCCTGTGTCCGGAGGTACAGAGCATGTACATACTTAGTGACATGCTGTTGTAGGTCCATCGAACATCCGCGCCAGCCGGGGAGCCGGAGACCGTTGGAGTGTCAGATTGAAAAGTGAGATGACGCTTTGAACTTTTCGGACTGGGGTGCAGAACGCAAAGGATGCAAAAAAAAAGGAAGCGGAAGAAGAAGAAACGAGGCCTGTCTGGTGACAGTCTATCTCTCTCGCACGTCCGTACCGACCGATATAACCATGCCTGCCCATACATCCCTAACATATAGTTACCGTTGGCTACCAGAGGTCGAAGTCCACGGTACTTGCCTTACATACCTCCGTGGGCAAACTTTTACTTCCTGCCGCATACTTTTTCTGAACATGTCAGCGTGGCCGCCCGGCATAAAGGCAGTTTACTTTTAGCAGCATGGGAGGGAACATGGCTTGCACAACCCGTCCACGTCCACGTCCACGTCCATCTCATGCCCGACGCACAGGCTAAACGGTAACTAATCTATGTATAGCAAAAGCAAGGAAGAACTGAAATGAAAATAAAAAACAAAAGGAAAGAATGGACGCCCCAATCTACGGGGACGTGGGAGAAAATATTACTAAATGCCGTTTGCTTCGATTAAGTTGAGCAGGCGGTCGTGTGAGCTATATTACCCTGCTTGCCGGTTCTGCACAGACACTTTGACACGACGCGGCAGAGAAGGCAGAGGGCAGAAGCCAGCGAGCGAGAAAAGGTAAAGGGCAAGGGAACGAGATGAGGGCCCGACAAAAGTCCCCGAGTGGCTGGTCAATCGATTACACCGCAAAGATCATCGAGAAAGCCTGATGGAAGTTTCTCTCTCTCGGTGTCTCTTTTTGCCTCTCTGTGACCTCATGGCCCGTCTCTGACACCTCCTCGTTTACCCGCCGTGGCATTGACACGATGACATTACTTAATAGCTAGGTATATGTAAGTATAGATAGGTAGACGACAGACAGACAGACATAACCAAGTAAGGTGAGAGAGACGCTCGGTTTCATCGACAGAAAGTAAGGAAAATAAGAGAGCAAGCCATTGACCAATGAGTGCGGCTGCATTTAAAAACTCCCGTCATCGACAATCACCTGATGGAGAATGGGATGGCTGGTTAGCCCTGCCAACCGTGTTATTATTATGTATTACTCCGGCATCACTCCTACTCGTCCACTTCACTTCCCTTACTTGTCTCTAAGTATAACTCACCCAACTCGCCCTTAAGTGGAAAAAACGGCCCATCAGGCTTCCCGTCATAAACTCCCGTCGTCGCGTTACATCCGCGGTCCTTTCTTTTAAGTACGAAGCCAGCCTAACTTTCTAGCCCACCCAACTAGACTAAACATGTAACTCCGATCATGCAGAATCGCCTTTCGGGACGAAAGAGAGGCCAGGAGAGGAGACTTTACCTCCGTTGCTTTACTTTTTTACCTTCTTCCTATCTAACCTATCTAACCTTACTCGACTTACAGACTACCTGACCTTGCGTCTGCTTTCTCCGTGGGGTTTGGGATTTTTTCAAGAAGCTGCTGGCCTGCGTTGCGTTGGCGTTGCTTTTTTAACCAGATGGATGTGATGTAACTAGGCCAGCTAGGTCCGAACCGAATGCAGAGAAGTCGAGGCGTCGAGCGAGTTTGCCGAACTTGCCGAAGGTTGTTTTTCTTTTTGCGTAGGTAAGAAGGAAGAGAAAAAAAGTTAGCTTCCCTTAGTCAGCTGGCTGGTAAGTGCGGTGTAAAAAGAAAGGCGATACATGGTGATGTACGGAGTAAGTATGGATGTATGCACTTCTCTAACATCAAAGTAACGATGTGAATTGAGTAATCGCTGATTCGGTCGGTAGGCAGGGTCGGCGGGTGAGGGAGGAGATAAGCATGTTGAAAACGAGAACAAGCAATTGATAGGAAGAAGAAAGGAAAGACGAAGAGGAAGAAGCAACGAGTGTTTGAACGGCCGTGTTAATACCTCGTTATAACATGGTAACTCATAGATAACGAGCGATAGAGGCAGACAGGCATAAACCAGAAAGGGAAAAAGAGACCAAGAAAAAAAAGAAGAAGACGAGAGAAACAGACAAAGACCAAAGCGCCTCGACGGCAGCCTCATGTTGGACTGGCCTCTGTTTCATGGATGGCATGGCTTTCTTGGATATCGAAGTAAAAGGTGTGTGTACGATTAATTGGACTCTCGCCAAGGTCTCTCAGGTGCTACTATCAGCGTTCTACCATCGCACATCACTCTTGGGACCTCTCGACTCCTGGACGGTTCTTCAACACCCCCAGTCGTCGCTGCAGCCCTGTGCATGAATGTACATATAGTCTATAGGCTTGTCCAGGTCAGACAAGAACCTGCGCCCAGGGCCGAGAGATTTTCTGATTCCCTTCGTTTCCCTTTCCTGCCTCTGCCTCTTTCACTTGGCGTTTAACCACCATGACGAGTCCTTTTTCTTGGATCTACGACATGGATAAGGAAGAAAGGCGGAGGGAAGAGCGACCTCTTGTCCCATCTCGCCAAGTGTTTCGACGGCTCACTGCATCGTACATCAGTATAACTTATACGGCACGGCGGAGGGAGGGAGTTCAGTACATATGTATGGATGAGAGGGAACCCAACCCCTGTCCCTCTTCTTGGTTTTTTACATCTTAGTTTTACCTTACTTACATATAACTTACTACAACCGACCCCATGGGGGATACGATGGGATTGGCGATGTTGCTCTTCATCCTCGTCTGCTCCGTAACGTAACTGCTCCCAACCTCCCGACTCGTCCATGGTCATGCCCTTCCTTCCCATGTCCCTTCACGTGACCGCGGAACCCCCGTCAAGCTTTTCGAGGCAGAGGCAAAAGGGAAAAGTTCGGTTCGTCAACGGTAGAAAGTAGGTGAAGGAGGAGAAGAACATTTCCCAATGGGGAATGCATCATGTGGAGAGGGCAGACGGAGAGGGAGGGAAGAAATTTTCTTCTTCTCTCCACCCGAGCCCATCGGCCGGCGTTACAAGATAGTTAGGATAACCATAAAATAGGGTGCCAGAGGAGCGTCGACGGAGGCGTCAGAGGGAGGGTGGAAGATGGAGAAGGGCGAGTGTTATTGGCTCGGGAGGCATGCCGGTCGGTCAGTCGGAGTCGGTTCAGGCCCGTCGTGGCCGAGGTGTGTTGGAGCAAGTAGGCAGAAGTAAGAAGAAGTACCACTGCGTACTGTAGAGGGAGGAGGAAGAATCATGACGTAGAGGGAAGTGGAAGAAGTGGAAGACGCGGATGCAGAGCAAGAACTAGAGCAGGAAGAGGAAGAGCAAGACCAGAGTAGGAAGAGATATCGGCCGTGAGCCTCCATGGAAGCCCATCCAAGGAGAAGACTTCCGCCCAAGGCTTCCCTCTCGTCTTCTCTATCGCTTTCCTGTCTCTATCTGCCTCTCTCTATCTGGTCTTTCTCTATGTCTGCTATGTCTGCCTGCCGCCGTCCTAGCCGACCTTACCTGGCTCTGTTACTTACCTTACCCTCTCGCTTTTCCTGCTCTGTCTGCTCGACTTCCCTTCCTGCTGGCTCTTGGCAGAAACCACCGTATCGTGACTGTAAAATACCCAAAGTGACAAGACGTGACAAGACATGACAACACCGAGCATCGCCGAAAGAGGAAAAGCCGTCTTTCTCAAGTGGGTCTTTTTCCTTTTTTTCTTCTTTTTCTTCTTTTTTTCTCTCTTTTTTTTCTTCTTTTCTTTTTGCTTCTTTTTTTCAGCGCTAGTCCTAATCGAGTTTTACCGCGGATACGCCTTGAAAAAAGTCCTGCTGCTGCTTGCTAGTGCTGGTAATCTTACGCCTGCATTACCAAACTTACCCTGCCAGACTAGGCCCTCAAGCTAAGGCAGGGGCAGCACATCTTACCGTACGTTACCCCCGGCGCACCCCAGCAGCTGTCCAGCAAGCAGCAAGTCGCACCCACTTTTCATTTCTCTCTCTCGCTCGCTCGCTCTGCGCTTCGGCTTTCTTATATCTTGCTCGCTTTCCTCCTCTTCCTCGTCCTTCTCTCTCTCTTCTTCTTCTTCTTCTTAACCTGCCATCCTTTCCTCCTCTTCGCCTGCTCGCGTCTGCCCGTCCGTCGGTCTTCCTCCCTTTTTCTCTCTCCCCTCCCTCCCTCTCCTCCCTTTCTTCTTCTCTCTGCAATTCCAGCCAGTCACTGCGACTGCGACTGCGTCTTGTTCGATGAGCACGTAGGATCGACGACCCTGAACGAACCTCACCAGGACAATCAACACCCAAGAAGAAAAGCAACACCTGAAAAAGCCTTTGCAATGGCCGACCACGCAGCCCAGGGACAGGGCCATCCTGTCCCGCCCAACCACCTCGGCACAGCTGTCCCCAGCGGCCAGTTCGGCGAGAACAAGGAAGAGGTCCAGCAGCACCACCAGCAGCACCAGCAGACCTCGGCCGCGTTCGACGAGAAAAAGGGCGGCATGCCAGAGGACGACGAGGAGGACGAGGACATGGATCAGCTCATTGCCGACCTCGAGTCTCAGGACGGCCACATCGATGAGATTGACGAGGAGGAGGACGACCAGCCCGGTGGCGAGCGTCCTGTGCCCGAGGAGCTGCTGCAGACAGACACCCGCACCGGTCTCACCGACGCCGAGGTCATCACCCGCCGCAAGAAGTACGGTCTCAACCAGATGAAGGAGGAGAAGGAGAACCTCATCCTCAAGTTCTTCTCCTACTTTGTCGGCCCCATCCAGTTCGTCATGGAGGTGAGATACCCTTTAAAAAGTGACTGTAGCTGTTCAATTGAGTACTAACGACAGTAATAGGCTGCTGCTATCCTTGCTGCTGGTTTGAGAGATTGGGTTGACTTTGGTGTCATTTGCGCCCTTCTCCTGCTCAACGCCTGTGTTGGTTTCATTCAGGAATTCCAGGCCGGTTCTATCGTCGATGAATTGAAGAAGACTCTTGCCCTCAAGGCTGTCGTTCTCCGTAACGGCCGTCTCGTTGAAGTCGAAGCCCCAGAAGTCGTTCCCGGTGACATCCTCCAGATCGAAGAAGTGAGTTTTACCTCGTATAAAAAAAAAAAACAAGAAAAAATAAAAAAGTAAAATGCTAATAGTGTAGGGTACTATCATCCCAGCTGATGGCCGTGTCGTGACCGAAGACGCTTTCCTCCAGGTTGACCAGTCTGCCATCACCGGTGAGTCTCTCGCCGTCGACAAGCACAAGGGAGACCACTGCTATGCTTCCTCCTCCATCAAGCGTGGTGAGGCCTTCATGGTCGTCACCTCCACCGGTGACAACACCTTCGTCGGTCGTGCCGCTGCTCTCGTCAACGCTGCCTCCGCCGGAAGCGGTCACTTCACTGAGGTCCTTAACGGTATCGGAACTGTCCTCCTTATTCTTGTCATCTTCACCCTGCTCGTTGCCTGGGTTGCCTCCTTCTACCGCTCCAACGGCATTGTCACCATCCTCGAGTTCACCCTTGCCATCACCATTATCGGTGTCCCCGTCGGTCTCCCAGCTGTCGTCACCACCACCATGGCCGTCGGTGCTGCTTACCTCGCCAAGAAGAAGGCTATCGTCCAGAAGCTCTCTGCCATCGAGTCCCTCGCTGGTGTCGAGATTCTCTGCTCTGACAAGACCGGAACCCTGACCAAGAACAAGCTCTCTCTCGCTGAGCCCTACTGTGTGGCCGGTGTCGACCCCGAGGACCTCATGCTCACTGCCTGTCTCGCTGCCTCCCGCAAGAAGAAGGGTATCGATGCCATCGACAAGGCTTTCCTCAAGTCCCTCCGCTACTACCCACGCGCCAAGTCCGTCCTCACCCAGTACAAGGTCCTCCAGTTCCACCCCTTCGACCCCGTCTCCAAGAAGGTCTCTGCCGTCGTCGAGAGCCCCCAGGGTGAGCGCATCATCTGTGTCAAGGGAGCTCCTCTCTTCGTTCTCAAGACCGTCGAGGAAGACCACCCTATCCCAGAGGACATTGACGCCGCCTACAAGAACAAGGTCGCCGAATTCGCTACCCGTGGTTTCCGTTCTCTCGGTGTTGCCCGCAAGCGCGGTGAAGGCTCCTGGGAGATCCTCGGAATCATGCCTTGCTCTGATCCCCCACGCCACGATACCGCTAAGACTGTCAACGAAGCCAAGACTCTCGGTCTCTCCATCAAGATGTTGACTGGTGACGCCGTCGGCATTGCCCGTGAGACTTCCCGCCAGCTCGGACTCGGAACCAACATCTACAACGCTGAACGTCTCGGTCTCGGTGGTGGCGGTACCATGCCCGGATCTGACATCTACGATTTCGTTGAGGCTGCCGATGGTTTCGCCGAGGTTTTCCCCCAGCACAAGTACAACGTCGTCGAGATCCTGCAGCAGCGTGGCTACCTCGTTGCCATGACTGGTGACGGTGTCAACGACGCTCCATCTCTCAAGAAGGCTGACACCGGTATTGCCGTCGAGGGTGCCTCTGACGCCGCTCGCTCTGCTGCCGATATCGTCTTCCTTGCCCCCGGTCTCTCTGCCATCATCGACGCCCTCAAGACCTCCCGTCAGATCTTCCACCGTATGTACGCTTACGTCGTCTACCGTATCGCCTTGTCTCTCCATCTCGAGATCTTCTTGGGTCTTTGGATCGCCATCCTCAACACCTCCCTCAACCTCCAGCTTGTCGTCTTCATTGCCATCTTCGCTGATATCGCTACCTTGGCCATTGCCTACGACAACGCTCCCTTCTCCAAGACCCCCGTCAAGTGGAACCTGCCCAAGCTCTGGGGTATGTCCGTCCTTCTCGGTGTCATCCTCGCCATCGGAACCTGGATCACCCTCACCACTCTCCTTGTCGGTGGTAAGGATGGCGGTATCGTCCAGAACTTCGGTCAGATCGACCCCGTCCTCTTCCTCGAGATATCCCTTACCGAGAACTGGCTCATCTTCATCACCCGTGCCAACGGTCCTTTCTGGTCCTCCATCCCATCTTGGCAATTGGCCGGTGCTATTCTCGTAGTCGACATCATCGCCACCCTCTTCACTATCTTCGGTTGGTTCGTTGGGGGCCAGACCTCCATCGTCGCCGTCGTCCGTGTCTGGGTCTTCTCCTTCGGTGTCTTCTGTGTCCTCGGCGGTATTTACTACATCCTCCAGGGCTCCACTGGCTTCGACAACATGATGCACGGCAAGAGCCCCAAGAAGAGCCAAAAGCAGCGATCTCTCGAAGATTTCGGTAAGCATTACCTCCTCCACTCTACTTGTACTATCTATTTGAAGAACAGTCTGCTAACATCCTCTCTCTAGTTGTCTCCCTCCAACGTGTCTCCACCCAGCACGAGAAGAGCGCATAAATGAACATAAAACCCCCTATTCCCCCCAAATAAATGCGTCTCTTTCCCGCCTGCTATTCTAATCCGGAGGCTACTTTCCTTGTTTCCCTGCCTTGTTTAAAGACCCCCGCATATCTTTTCTTGTTCTTTGTCACTACTACCATCACACACACCCCTTGCTTGTCCTTCATATAGACAGACAGCTGCCAGATTACCCCTGGCAAGGCCCGGCAACGACCTAGCTTGGTGATACCACTACCACTCTTGGTCCGGTCCCGGCCTAAACAAACAAACAAACAGTTTAGAGCGGAAATAAAGAAAAAATTCAAAACATTCTGGTCTTGCCCAGCAGCATCAAGCAGCGCAGTGTGAAGTGAAGTGATGTAGTCAAGGTATAAAGGCACGCATCCAATCCATCCATACAAACAAAAGCAACAAAAAGCCTGTCTTGTCGTCTACACAGCTAAATTGGTTGCCTTGCTTGTCCCCTGTTTCCTTTCTTGTCTTTCATTTGTTTCTGGCTACTGAATTGGCCTTGGTGATGTTTAATTAACCCTGTGATTGTAGCTTAGATCATGCCCTGTGAGGTTATATTTAATTATTAGACTGTATCCCTTCCCTGTCTCTGTCTTCCGCTTATTCCGCTTATGTAAGTTGTGTGGTTAGGTAAGCAGCCCTACTTTGGCTTTTCAACTTAACTTGGACGTCAAAGAAACAACTTCTCGCCACGGATACGATGAGTCTATCTGTAAGTCAATACTAAGTTGAAGTAGCTATACAGGATAGATACTTGTATTACTTGATGGGTAGGCTTGTTGCTGGTCCTCGATCTACCGAAGTAGGGGTAGATGTTGGGCCTGAAGTTGACGTACTGGCCGTGGTAGAACCAGCATCTGGATAATGATGAAGTCACCACTAATACAGGATATATACCAACCTTCTGGCCCAGGATATGTCCATGTTTATATGTACCATGTACATCAAGCACTTACTAACTTCCCTACTATCCCTTATTGGACCATGTCTCATGGGGCTGTGACCTGTAGCTCGACCGGTAGCTAAGAGTTGCAGCTACCGGTTGGGTTGGAAGAAGTGACGCAACCACTTCTTCGCCTACTATAACTTCCACCTCTCGCCTTATTTACATATACCCCTTCCAACCTTTGAAAGCATCATAAACACACGTCCATAGTGAAATACCTATTTCAAGAAATAACTTGCTACCATTGACCATGTTAACGCAACGTCTAACCGCCACGCATCCACACTTCGCAAACCATCTAGACGAGGTAGTCGACGCAGCTACTTCGCAGAACAGACTCTTCCAGCGTCGTACGTCGGTATATCAGAAATACCACCTCCTTGAAAACATCAGGAAGAAATCATGGCGTGGTCCGCCCTCAGAGGCACGTCTACCCATCCCACACTTCCGCATACCGTATACTCTATACGTATACATGTGTATGTATAAGCTAACAAACACCAGACGATATACGGCGGTTTATCCTTCTCTCTCGAGAACGACGATAAACAAATCGGCATCGCCCTCGCCATCCGCGATACAGTCTACTTCCTTGATTTCTGCGAACATCATTTCTCAATCGAACAGCATGAAGCCAGCGCTGTAGGGGAGATAGTTACGCAGTTCATAATCGACCAGCTACGAACCTACGAAAAGGACCATTTGGAGAAGTTCTTCGGAATCGCTCTGCCTTCGCTTCTGGTCGAGAAGTGTTCGAAGCTATGTTCGCGCATGTGGGCGGAGCTAGACATCGTGCCGTTCGTACTTAATCCGCAAGGCCCGCAGAATGTAGAGTGGGTTAATATGCAGCTGTGGCAGAATAAGACGCTAGATGAGAGAGCGGAATCAATTGCTAGGAAGTGCATTACGTGGGTTCCCTTGATTGTATCCGCGTTCTGATGATTGAGTGCTTGATGTGATGCTAACGGCCAATAAATAGCTACTTTGGTCCGAACCAAGCGCCGCTATTGCAGGTTGGGTTCCGAGGGCTGGTTGATGTTGATGCCGGCTCGACGGCGGTGCTTACCTCTTTGTCTGATTATGAGAAGACGGTTGACGAACGGACATGGAGAGCCGTGATGAAGTATGCGGCTGATATGAAAGATCGGAACATCAGGGTTGCGTTTTTCAGCAGCACGCCGCAAGGCGGAGGTGTGGCGTTGATGAGACATGCTCTTGTCAGGTTTTCTCACGTCCTTGGAACGGATATCAAGTGGTTAGTTCTGATGTCTATAACTAATGTGCTAGGTTTTCGTAGGCTAACCTGTGGATATAGGTTCGTGCCACGCCCGCGACCAGGTGTATTCCGCATCACGAAGAATAACCATAACATCATGCAAGGCGTGGCTGATCCAGACCAACGTCTAACCGATCAACATAAACAGGCTCTAACGGATTGGATCCTCGCGAATGCAAATAGGTACTGGTTCGGTAAAGGCGGACCCCTTGAGCCCCCGGAGAAGGGAGGAGCGGATATCATTATCATTGATGACCCGCAGATGCCAGGCTTGATACCCCTGATTAAAAAGGCTACACCCAACAGACCTGTTATATACAGAAGCCATATACAGATCCGAAGTGATCTGATTGACCAGCCTGGTTCGCCGCAGGCGGAGTGCTGGGAATATTTCTGGGATAGTATCCGCCATGCTGATTTATTTATCAGTCATCCCGTTGAGGCGTTTGTGCCTAGTAATGTCCCCAAGGAGTCTGTCGGTTACCTTCCTGCTGCCACTGATTGGTGAGTCTGCTTTCCACAGAGGTTCTAATACTTTCGACAATGCTTGCTAACGTGCTCTAGGTTGGACGGTCTGAATAAACCCATGGATGACTGGGATCTCGGATATTACGGTCGTGTGTTCAATAATAAATGCAGAGAGATAGGCATGACCACCATCGACTATCCAATGGGTAAGCCTCAAATTAAACCGCTAAATACCACTTACTCACTTTCACTAACTGATAACCATAGACGAATATATCGTGCAAGTAGCCCGCTTCGATCCGTCAAAGGGAATCTTCGATGTTCTCAGATCCTACGCCAAATTCCACGATCTCATCAAGGGCGTCCCTGATGTCGCTACGCCTAAACTTCTAATCTGCGGACACGGCTCGGTAGACGACCCAGACGGCGCCCCCGTCTACGACGCCGTAATAGAATACGTATCCAAACAGCTCCCTCACCTAAAATCAAAAATATGCATCATGCACATTCCCCCCTCCGACCAAATCCTTAACGCAGTCCTTTCAAAGGCCAGAATTGCTCTCCAGCTATCCACGCGCGAAGGATTCGAAGTCAAAGTCTCCGAGGCCCTGCATAAAGGCAAACCCGTCATCGCTACCAAAGCAGGCGGTATACCGCTACAAGTCCAGCATGGCAAAAACGGATACCTGGTGGAAGTCAGCGACACCGACGCGGTAGCGAAACACCTCTACGACCTATGGACGGACAGCGATCTGTATGATCGAATGAGCTCGTATGCGCAGGGTAGCGTCAGCGACGAGGTTTCGACTGTCGGCAACATCTTGTCCTGGCTGTATCTAGCCAGTTCGATGTCAAGAGGCGATAAATGTAAGCCGCATGGTAGGTGGGTTAATGATATGGCTAGGGAAGCTGCTGGAGAGCCCTACGTGCCTGGTGAGAATAGGCTGAAGCGCGCGGTGGATGTGAAGCCGTTTGGCCATTGATTCCGGCTCTGGCGTATCTCGGTTTTCTTTCGGGCCGTGATCTTTTTGTTGGATATTATTAATGTTGGCGTATGGCTTTATGAATAATACCTCTCTACTCAACTATAATTTCAATTATATTTCGGACCTATTTGGATGCTTTATTTGGAGGTACTGCATTTTATGAAAAGTTGAGTTGATTGTTCCGTGACATTTATGTAGCTAAAGAAGGGTGAGGCTTAAAACGTGCCTAGAAAATCTTAAATGCTTGTCTGGGCAACTTGCCACTGACAACATCAAGATGCCCATTCTAGCAGAGCTTTGAAAAGGCTACCAAGAAGCAGTTATATAGACCTCCACATTGTTTTATATATTAAACAAGTCTTTTTCGCTATATTTGGTCAATTTACTTGGGGGTAGAAAGCGTGGCTGCACTGGCAATGAGCCCTATGCCATCAACATGAGGTCAATACCAGGGTACCATTATGGTAGGTCGACCTACCCGCATCCCTTCTAGTTTTAAGAAAGGAAGAAAATGTTATAGAGATACCCGAATAGCTCGCCAGATTGACGGATAAGGCTGTTTAATCAACAATTTTTATCCCGGAAGCCCTTCTACATATCCTCCTCCATACCTAAACAGTGCCTTTATCAATAATGAATATACCACTCTAACAGCCCTTAGATCCCGAAAAGAAGAAATACTTTAAAATACTGCCTGGGAATGCATCTCAAAGCGAATCAAAATACACACCTTTCGAGATAAAGAAGCGCGAGGAGCAGTACAAGGTATGTTTCAAGGATTTCTCTCATGATGCTCCAAAATCTCACAGCTAGGGAAAGCAAAAAAGACAGAAAGTCACACATGATGAACGAATACGGCTAGAAAGGGTGAAGCGAGCAAAGATGCTCTATCGTCCTATGCTTGGTGTCCTTGGAGTTGAGCAGGAAGCTGGCCGATGCAGATTACTGAGTAGCCATACACTCAGCCAAAGGGCTATGACATGCGCCAATTTCATGGAGCCTCGTGAGCTAGTCGACCTCAGTCGTAGGGGACAGCAGTACTGTCATGAGTTTGCACGAGACCCGAAAACTGGAATCATCCTTACGGGTATGTGGCTGAAATATCAAGGAATTGAGCGATTACAACTGACGTGAGATATCAAAGCTTTGAAACCTACAAGCACATCCAATTTTGGGTTAGTTGTCACAGGCTGTTTTGCTTCTTAGTTGATATCGTTCTGATGATCGATTTTTTCACCAGTGCGTTTCGACCCATCTCTCCCAAGAGGCCATGGAAATACGACGAGCATCGCGATGACGGCATAATTGAGCTTAACCATCGTGACTGGGTAAGTATCTCTATGACTATTCATAATTTTTCTCAATATATTAACCAATTTGTAGGTTGGTAGTGTCGCCATAAACCCAGATAGATACGCACTGTAAGCATCAGAACCATACCCTCCTTTCATATAACACATGCTAACCACCGTAACAGCGTAGTGTCACAGAATCTTTTGTCCGGGAAAGGCACCGATTTTGCTGTGTGCAAGCTCATTGACCCGGATGAGGTCTATGGGAGGAGCAGCAGAAATGTTTTTCAGAGTAAGACAAAGATATAGTTGCTACTCACGCCCTAACCAGCTAACCATGTGGCATGAATTACAGCCTATTCGGTATTCAGACAGGCGAGAAATGGAAGCTTTTCTTCGGCCGTGGCTTGTACTAGTTCCCATCCATGGTTATTCATGGTCGGTTACGGCAGAGAGCTGATGGCTATACGCTTTACCCATGGAGTACAAACAAAGATGAGCCGTTTTAATGTTTACCCAGCGGATATAATGGCACTGGACTTGAAGAGCAATTCCGAAGTGATCGTCGGTATGCGAAATTCAGTCATAGGGCTAACTGATCAGCGGTGCTTGAGTTCATATAAGCGGTTGTTGGTACATTCTCATGGTGTGAAAAAACTGAAAATGGTGGGTGATTCAAAGGTGTTGGTTGCTGGGTTTGATAATACAGTAAGTTTCATACCCGTTGGATGGACTAAGTAGTTAATTCTTTTTAAAGAAAGCTTCTGGTCTAATGAGAATATGTTATGTAGCTCGATATGTACGACTTACGATACTGTCGGCAAACTTTCCAACCACACTCTAAGCCAAATAAGTGGAATCGCCAACCTTCTATACCCTATCTTAGGTTCGGCGAGATCAATTATAACACACTCAACAACTTTGATGTTGCTTCTGAAATAGGGCTTGTGGCTTGTGGTTTGTCTCCCTTTCTCTAGATTCTTTACTCAAATTCTAATGAGATAACTATAGCAACGGATTTGCCGATGGTACAGCTCTATTCTTTACATACCGGGAAACTGCTTGAATCTTCGGCTAGACAGACAGGGAACCCCCGATGTTCGTCAGACATCCTATCTCGAGATTATTCGAACCCTGTTGACTGCGTGCGCTTCGAAACAGTAGTAGAACCGTACGAGTATGGAAGATTGGCAAAGACAAGTGATAGTCGCAATACTACTAGTGATACCAGCCTGTTGGTTGGCTCTGGTGAGATTATTGAAGAGTGGAGTATGTAGTAGTAAGTATCGCATAGCAATGACCGGGTTATATGTAGCATTTAATAGGGAGTAATCGGGAATTATTTTCTAGGTCACCATGTACTTTTCTTACTCTTAGCCTATCAAGACTCATTAGACTAGCAATTTACAGACAATATTCAACCCTCCACAGAGTTAAAATTCCAAGCCAGTTGCTTATTGTAGGAACTAAGACGAGTGAGAGTGCATGGCGAGTTTAGTTCAGGTGCAAAGGTGGAAGTTTCCAGCGTTTGGATTCGTGCCCTGTCCGTCGTGGGAGATGATGACGCAGAAGAGCCGGGTCTCCTTAGTAGCAATGACACGGAAGGGGCCTGGGTTCATCTTGGGGCGAGAATCATAGTCGTAAAGTTTATGCTGCTCCATAAAGACGGGATACTCGCGGAGAGCTTTGTTTTTGCAACCTTGGGGCATTGGGAGTTTTTGCAGGTTCTGGAAGTCGTGAGGGTAGCCAGATTTGCCGGTCTCGATAGGAGCGTGGCCAAGCTGCCATTTGGCGTTGTCAACACTGATCCTCTGCTGATCGGCGCGGAGAGCCACGTTATGGCACTGGACGATCTGAGGATTGTTGTTAGTTCGGTTGTTTTGTTATATAACTATTAAATAGTAAAGGATGTTTCTTACAGTGTCACGCTTCTCAAGGGGGTTTTCCACAGCGGCAGGTTGTTCAACGGGGTTTGCAACCGCAGCGCTAATCAGGGCGAAGGTGAGGATTGCTTTGAAAGGAACCATGTTGAACGAGAAGTGTTGTTTCGTAGAGATTGAGCTGTGTAAATGACTTTGTTGCTCTCAGTGCCGTTGATGCTGTTGACAATGATAGCATAAATGGCCATTCAGCCAGATTAAAGGGCCCTAACTTATATAGACATTAATCGCCATACATTCGTTGCCAAATCCATGTTTGCTAGGGATTTGTTATTGGACATTCATTCGCCAGCTCATCTTTCCGGCGACTGCTTGAGGACCTGATAAGTGCAGTTTCTGGCGCTGTGCAACCGAGTGTCTCTCCCCCAAGCGGGGTTTGCTAATACCATATTGCCAAATGTCCTGCATTTGGCTCCTTCGGGCCTTCGCAGATATGGCTTCTGTGGTTGGTTGGGTAACTAGTCATCTGAACGAACACAAGATGTAAAAATGGCGTTTCTCGGCGTAGATCCCAGAAAGCTTTGTGGTAGAAGATGCAATCGGTGGCAGCGGACGACAGCCTTGTCGGGGTAGTCGGAGTTGTCAGGCTGATTTTTGGGAGAATAGTAAGGGCCCTGGCTTGTCATGGGGGCGGTCAGGTTCTAAATGTGAACTGATATCAAAATAATTCAACCAGTTGCCTTGCACTTGAAGCATGCTTTCGTAGGGATATCGACAAGGCACGAAGAGTATATAATAAAAGTTGCTAGAGACCTAGATCTCTGTTCAACCTAATATATAGGGTTATAATGAAGAACAAAAACATCCTGATGACCCCATTGGGGAATTTAATCTTGCCATACTCCGTACTGGGGTTTGAAGATGGGAGGTGAAGCGGTTGGAAGTATCAGGATGAACTTCTGCAGACTTTTCGAACATATGGGAATAGGATATTGCATATTAGGGCGCTACTCCACCTCAGTATATCTCAAGTATAGCTAGCCAAGTTATGCTGCTTGCTGTAGCTACACTGGTTGGTGGTCCAAAGTTGGTATCTTCACCTTTGGCGTCTGGCTTGATGGACTTAAACACAGCACCAAAGTAGTTAAAGTCACGGGTGGCTCCCGGAAGCCGCTGCGCCACCGAACTTTAACTGGTTGCTTGTCAAAAGGAAGAAATAGTCATAGATTGGCTGAAATAGTGATTCTTTTACTGTCATTTCCAATCAGAAAAAAGGAGCTTACTTGAAGCTGTGCAAAGCTCCCCTCCCCCTCCATCCCCCCCTTCATCCTCCCCTCCATCATCGCCCCTAAGAAAGACGCTGTCCGTCACTCCCTGCAGCCTTTTGGTTAAGTTAACAAGCTAAGAACGAGCGGCAAAGTTCCACAGCCAATGGCTACGACACGACGCTGGTGCTGTCTCTCCACTCCAGCAAGGCAAGATCCATAGAGACATAGTTACCCTATTATTAACTAGGCAGCTAAGTTACAGCTATTACGAAGAAGAAGAAGAAAAGAAAAGAAGAAGCAAGGCAGAAGATAAGATAAAAGAAACACAGCTTGCGAATACAAGAAAACACCCCTCACCCCTCTACAGAGTAAGTAGCAGTCAACAGAGGCCATTGATTGAATAATAACACCCCTAAACAACGACATGGCGACGCTATCACTCCGTCTTCCGTCTCTAGAGGACGGCGATCCCTGGGTTGTCCACCAGAAGCTTTTCGACGTTCTGAAGACATTCTTGCAGCCTGGTAGCAACGCAGCTCCGTCATCTGCAGCCAAGGACATCGACGACTTGACGCCAGGCAAGCGACAGGCAGACGACGGAAAGCCAAAGGAAGACTATGAGAGCTTTCTCCTAGAGATATGGAACTCGATTATAGAGATTGCTAAACAGATCCCAAGTGACCATGCCTCGCAGGACCGCCTGGTAGAGCTGGTGAAGGCGCTGAGCGAGCTGCCGCCTATAGAGACAGAGATCTGGGGGGTGAGTTCGTTTCATCCATATCCATGGCGGAGTGTAGTTATAGGCAACGAGGATAGATATGCTGATTCCCATGCTTTATAGAGTACCGTCAAAGTATGGGCTGATCTACCGTTACTTGGACCTGCCATGAGGGAGGCTTGGATAGGTAAGAAAGCCCCTGGACAAGTACCTTATGTTTTGTCAGGCCAGACCTTATACTTACACAGTTGCAGAACCAACAAGCCACAACCAGGCTCCTACCACTGAAGATGCCCAGAGATGGATCAACCAGAATGCCTTTGCGGCTCGCCTCTTGAATCTCGAACAGATCTCTTGGTCCAACTTTGCTGTCTGGAGTCTCCGTTCTGCCCTCGAAGAAAAACCAGGTACAGCTGCACAAAGCCACAAGTGCGAAGTTAGTGCTGCAGCACAGTGGATGCTGTATTGTGCTCCGTATTTGCTTGAAGAAGCAAAGGGTGATGCCGTCAGAGAGGCACAGGAAGCAAATGCAGAGCCTCAGCCAAACAGGGGCCAGCCACTCGCAGGAGGTAAACTGTACAAGGGCAAGGCGAGACTCTGCCCTGAACGTTGGCAGTTCTGGAAGCAGCAATTTGAGGGTATTACTCAACCAGATATCCAGAGTGTTGCTTCGTTGGCAAAGCAGAAGATGGATTCTGCCGAGTAAAGAGATACTAGGAAACAGCACTTAGTTAAGAGACATGATGGAATGAATAGAGAACTACTTGATTTCGTCCGCTTGTTTTATCATGTTTATCATCCACTAATATACACTGCAAAACACAGCTGTTATGTTGCATGTCTATTTGTTTTCTTTTCTTTTTCCGTCCCAGTAATCAAACCAATGTAAATGCAAAACCAAACACATTGCCAACTTGAAAAAAAATTCGCTAAGATATAAGAAAAACATGCTACATTCCCCGATCTTCAGGGAACTCATCCTGCAGCCTTAACCGCGCCACGACATTCATGCTGAAAAGCTCCTGCACAAGCAGCTTGGCAGCATAGGGTATCACCATCTTCACTACGCCTGCGGAGGACTTGCATCGTTGACACCAGCCGGAGTAGCCCATAAATCCGCAACTCTCGCATACATCCACTTCATGACGGTCGGAGGATATCATCAACCTCTCAAGCAGAAGCTGGCTTGTACCGTATGCAATCAGACAGTCACGTTCCATCTCTCCCAGACGGAGACCTCCATCACGAGAACGACCCTCCGTGGGCTGACGGGTAAGCGTTGCTCGAGGTCCACGGGCACGTGAGTGCATCTTATCTTGCACCATATGTTTCAGCTTTTGATAGTAGATTGGTCCAGTGAAGACATAGTACGTGAGAGGCTCGCCCGTTATACCAGAGGTCAAGTAGTCCTTTCCACCATAGCTGAATCCATGGTTCACGAGGATAGCAGACATCTCTTCGACGGGACTGCCGCCAAAGGGGGTACCGTAGCCAAACTGGCCAGAGACGATACCGGCTTTACCTGCAACAAGCTCCAACATCTTGCCGACAGTCATTCGAGACGGGAAACCATGGGGGTTCATGATAATGTCAGGAACCAAGCCTGTATCTGTGAAGGGCATGTCTGCCTGCTCTGCAATGATACCAACAACACCTTTCTGTCCGTGGCGAGACGAGAACTTGTCACCAACTTCGGGCCGTCGAGTTTGTCGGGTCTGAACCTTGATCAGCTGGCTCTCTCCCTCGGTAGTGGATATCATCACTTTGTCAATGTAACTATAATCAGGAAGCTTGTAGGTTTGAGGGGTTGGGTTGTATTTCACAGGTAAACCTGCATCGGAGCCAGTGATTCCAGACGAAAGCGCATTATCTGGCGTTTCCTTATTTATATATACTTCTCCGGGGCTGACCTTCTCTCCAACAGCAGCCAAGCCGTCATTGTCGAGAAGGCCATGTTTTCTGATGGATACCCCGTTCTCTCTCGTAGGGCCAACAAGCCTATCCTTTGTCCCGTTTGAGTAACTTTTGAGGTTTGCCGAATACTTTCTGAAGACCTGGCAACGACCAAAACCGCGATCTACGGAACCCTTATTGAGTACGAGAGCGTCCTCAATGTCGTACCCGGAGTAACTCATCACAGCAACCATTGCATTTTGACCGGCTGGGAGCTTGTCGTAGTTTGTCAGTTCAATCGTCCGAGTCTTCACCATTGGCTTCTGTGGGTATACCATGGCATAGAGCAGGGAATCGATACGGAGGAATTGGTTATTAGCAATTGCACCTATGGCCTGTTTACCCATAGCACATTGATAGGTATTTCGAGGGGACTGATTGTGGTGTGGGTAAGGGATAAGTCCGGCAACAGCTCCTAGGACTGTAAATGGCTCTATTTCCAGATGTGTCGTGTTTGCGTCTATCTCTCTCTCGTAGACAGCAATATTTGCATCGTTCTCTTCGTTGACATCGACATATTCCACCAATCCGTGGGAGAGGAAATCGTCGAAATCCATGGTACCGTTACGCAAAGCACTTAAATGCCGAGCTGTAACCCTGGACCGTTTCTTTTCGACAATGATCAACGGGCGACAGATACGGCCGTCGTCAGTGGAAACATGAACACATTTCTGGTTATGGTTGATGAACACGCTGACGAATTCTGAAATCCTGCCCATTCGTCGCAAACGCCGGAAGGCGTTGAGGAAATATTTCGGCCGCCTAGTCAGAGCAATTGGAGATCCGTTCATGAACACAATATAAGCACCCTGGCCGAAGCACTCTCTGCCTCCGACTGTTTGTATATCCTCTGCACCAAGAGTAAATACAAGTTTCTGCACAGGCTCCTCCTCGTCGTTCGTTGTGATGTGTGTCATGAGTGCAAGATTCTTTACAAGTCCACACGCTTCACCTTCTGGGGTATCTGAGGTGCACAGCATGCCAAATTGTGAGGGCTGGAGTGCACGAGGACCGGAGACTTTGCGAGTCTTCTCGAACTGACTGCTTATTCGGGTCATCATACCGAGTGCAGCGATATAACTCAGCCTGCTTAGAACGTGAGTGACACCAGCTCTTTCCATTCGGAAACGTTTCAAGCTCCAATTACCGGTTGCAATTGCGCGGTTCATTCCTTGGGTGATATGGTTGCCATGAATAGCAACGACGGGGTAAGCATCAAATGCCTCGGTTCGTACCGGTTTCTTCAAGACCTTATCTATGTTCATTTTGATATCGAAACAGAATTTTTTGAAAAGATCTTCAAACAGCAACGCCAGGAGCTGACCAGCTAACTCTAGTCGCTTATTGCCAACGTAGTCACGATCATCCACCAAGCTTGGATCAAGTTTTGCCATGAGCACACGCCGAGCCATGTGAGTAACATAGAGAGCCTTCGGCCGAAAATTCATGTCTTGCACTTGAACGTGGGATATGATAACAGAGGATATGGCCTCGATAGCCTCCGCAACATAATTCCGACGAGCAGGTCCAAAACCTGAGGCCTTTCGATTGATCTTGATACGCGCACCTAGATATTCGAGAGCCTGTTGTTGGGTGTATATATTCAGTTTGACTGCTTCTTCGAAGTTTATCGCAAAGTCTTCCTGGTATTCCATATCAACTCCGGCAACTAATAACAACATTTCCTTGTCGGACTGTATTCCCATAGCTTTCAATAGAATAACAATCGGAATATCGTCATTTAGAACGTTGTGCCGAAGGTAAATGCGGCCCTTTTTCATAATTATGTAACTTTTCGACTTTCGCTCATGCGAAGAACTAGATTGCGCACGTTAGTAGAAGCACGTCAAGAAAAATACACATTCCAGCCTCTTTTTAAACATACCTTGTCACCGAAGCTTGCACGATCTCCTTCTTTGGGTCTGTTTCAACAATAACTCTGTTTTTGCTCAGCTGTTCTTGCACCAAAATGACCTTCTCCGTTCCGTTAACGATAAAGTATCCGCCGGGATCAAGAGGGCATTCGTGTAGTGTGTACATTTCCCGTGCCGATTTATTTGACAGTACACACTTGGAGCTCCGGAGCATAACAGGCATACGGCCTATCGCAGTACCATTTCGCTTAACCCGCTGGCGGCCACGGACATATTCGAAGTCAACCAAAATCGGCGCAGCATAGGTCATATCCCGAAGCCGACATTCATTTGGAGTTATTGTAGAGTCAATTTTGATACCTGACTGCTCTTCATCGGTTCGCCGGGGTGCTCCAAGATATATGTCATGAAACCTGTGAGTAAAGAGAGTAAAAATTAGTCTTTGCGCAACTTCCGGCGGTGAGTACCTTCAACCTACTTGATATAGAACTTTGGGTCAATATCACTGCGAATTTCTGCGCTAGACTGTACAATCTTTTTGAGCTGAACCTCGACGAAGTAATTGTAAGAATCAATATGCTGCTTGACGAGTCCCTTGACTTTCAGAAATGCTGGTAATAGGTTCCATTTATCTCTTTCGGTATTGATTGGATCAGTCAGGTGTTTATCGTAATAAAATGGTTCAAGGAGAGCTTCAAAGTCCTAAATCATATCTTCAGTTAGCATCCTCCAAGGCTTCTTACTCAGTAAAATAAGAAACTAGGTGCATACATCCGATCGCCTGCTCTTTTGCGCATTTGGGTTATGACTCTTTTTCTGAGCTTCTGTATCATGTGAATCATTTGCGGATTTTCCAGTAACGTTCCCAGTAGATCGTCTCCCAGCGCCCGGCGAAGATGTAAGCTATATTGGACAGGTTAGCCCTCTGTTTGTGACTTTGCAGATATGAATAATTAAAGAGCTTATCACACATACATTGCCCGCCGCAACCCCGGCATTCGGGCCGACTGTCTTCTTCCGAGGAGCCATCGTTCCGCGATATTAATTCCAAGAGCACATAAAACAAAGAGTAATCAAAACAAGAGCTATAAATTGCGTCAAGCCATCGTGGTGAGGATATGTTGTATCGGTTTGTCGGTGTTATTCCCTATAACTTTTTTTTTTCGATGATGGATGATTGGAGGGGAATTTGGAGCTCCACGCATTTTTGTTTTTCCGGACTTTGCTTGAGCCGCTGGGGCCCGCGCTTCGAGACGTCAGGACATCGGTATAAACGACATCGACGACACCACGCCTATCGCATTTCGCCAAGTTGATACTGCTAGATAGGATATGGTCGATCGCATTGATTAATCACTGTTGGGATGCATTGAGCTCTCCCTTTATTCGCTCCATCATTGGATGAGACTGTTCTCGGCCGTTGCACATTGCTGAGTATACCCCGTACAGACAAGATCTGATATCACTACGGCCTGGGGAGAAGGGTACGAAACGGAACATGATCCAACTCACTACTATATCGGAGGATATTGTGATATCCTTCTGCTAAAGAAAACCAGATATCCTCTGAAAACAGCAGTTAGTATCCGTTCTGTGCTGCAAAGGAACCCAGTGATGCGGACGGCGAGGTGCACAGTCCTATCTACGGTTTATCAGATCTGAAATTACGGAGCACGACGTATAAGTTGCCCAATGTTGCTGATGATAATACCTTTGGACCTTATGCTTAACCTTTTCGACAGCATGGACTTGATTGCAAAAGTCACGGAACTCGGAGGTTGTCCGACCTTTCAACTGAAAAAGCATCCCTTTGCACAACCATAACATAGCGAAATCGCGATCATCAGAGTTATATTGTTACCATTGTATGTCAAGTCACGGAGAGATTTTATCTTCTCACAATGCACTCGCTTAGATACAAGTACGGGAAGTGTTTATCGTGAACTGTTTGATAGACGCAACATCTATAGTAAAGAATGAAAACCAACCTTAATACGATGTGAGTTTCTTCAGCCCACAAAGTCGAACTGCTAAGCGAAGATGTCAAAATTCTGGCAATGGACGGCAAGGGATCGTAGCATCTGATACCATTGTTAGGTATCATTGCTTTCCGTTCGTTGCGGCCTCACCGACTCGATACCTAACCAGTGAGGTGGTGTATACCTAAAGTGCCTCGTACCCTTGACTTGATGAGGATGAGGGCGGCGATGATGGTTTGCGGTTATCAAAATCAACGCTGTGAAGTGGGGAGCTTGACAGCGAGTTTCATTCAGGTTGTACAGCAGCCTGCACTATCCCCGGTCAAAGTGCCGGGGACCAACTCATTGCCGCAGATAATCTAAGTATCCGCGCATACTCCGTAAGCGATGCGTAGATATGCACTTGAGTATAGAGCACTCTCAAAATAACAGCCTGCATGTGGTTAGTGGAAGTCAGAAAAAAAGCATGCATCTAGCAGTGGCATAGGCGATAAAATGCTGTGGCAGGGGGACAACCCGATTTCAATATCCTACCAGCCATGGGTAGATCCAGTCTCTCTTTGGATGTTTAGGATGAAGCTTGATGCACTGACAACAAGTTACACCGTACACCGACCAACGATCCCGCGGAAGGATGGGACCCTTCGAAAAGTGACCTGCCAATCGCCGCATATATCGATGACAGGGCTCGTTGGGGTGGACTTGGCACTAAAACCTGGGGAAAGCAACCTAGTTGGATCGGGAGAGAACCTTGAGAGGCATCAGCATATACTCCTGGCGAATGTAGATGTGTGCTAAAGATGAATAGCCCTAACTATATGATTGGGCTCCTATTGTCCCTAAAATATCTGTTGTGAGTTACGGGAACGAAGGGCGGGGACAACCTTCTACGGAGAGGTACATGGCATGATGTACCACGCGAAGTACATTTATCCTGCTCAAACGGCTGGCCTATGATGGTGCATCGTGGCAAGCTTGCATGCTTCGAAACCTAGCGGCCGCTTCCATGCTTGTGCTGGCAATTCCACCGCTCATTCGAAGTCGGGATACTGGCTGGGCTGATTGCCATTTTCGATATGACTGCCGGGTTTAGAGACACACTTTACAAAAATAGCCCAAAGCCCATAATCTGAAGAATTCCCAGGCAGCAAGGTAATGAGACACGGGCCCCCGTCCCGGAATCAAGACAGCTGTCATGGGTGCCTGGAGCCAACAACCCCATTCAAAGAAAAGGACGAAAAAAAAAGCAACGCCCTCGAACAAATCCATATTTTGGCCGTGCAACTTTCCTTTCTTCTCTCTGAGAGCGGACAAGGTACGGAAAAGAAAGAAGGAGTGGAAGAGGGAAAAGAGGGAAAGAAGGATAGGGTAAGGCTTTCTCCGCATTTGCAGCCTCCTGACTATGTTCTCCGTATCCGCGACCGTAATACTTGATAACTGACGAAGAACGAGAATTCTTCTGCTGACGATGTGGGGAGTATGACGAGAAATCGGATTGAAACTTCGTCTGTGTGTTTTTTTGGGGGATGCTTGTTTCTTTTTCTTCAGAGGTTCAAAGGCGGTGGTGATCAGAGTTCCCCGTCTGCATTTATTGGACTTGAGAGTTCGATCAGCGTTCATGACCGTCTTTCCGAGTCTTGCTCATGGCAAAGCGAGAAGGCAAGGAGATAAGCAGAGAGTACGGAGTACATTTGCTCTGGTTGCCTCTCCTGGTTCTGATAAGGGCGAAATATATAACCAACAGGCCCTACGGCTGCACGCTGCGCACGACGCACAGGTTCTGGGCCTTGTGTTAGTGAGTGACTGAGAAGTTTGAGACTCCGGGCCCGTTTGATTGGGCCATATATCAGGTGCTGGAGGTTCTCCACCCACGTCGTCGTGCATACATCGAGAGATATGCACCTAAGAAATGGCACCATGTACCTTGCAATCTGATGCGTCGTCGAGATGCACAAAACACTAATCTCGTTAGCCGACAGCAACTTTACTCTGAACGCCTCTCTCCGTCCGTTATCTGCTGATGTCAGTTAGTTACATTCCACAAGCAAAGACTTGTACGTTTCCCGTCAACTTTTGAGACAAACCGTCCGCCCAGCTGTTTCTCCGTACTAGGCTGCTCTCCCCCGCCCTTTCTTCCCGCGGCTCGTTCTCGGGAGGGCGTCGGGTTAGGTCACTGGTACCGGCTCGCGAACGAGGATGCAGCGCCAAAGACAGCGAGTTGTTGGGCAATGAACAAAGTAGCGGTGACCCCTCAGTGGAACCCCCAAGGCAGCGGGTAGCCCTGCCTGACGCAACCCTATTTGTTTAGAATTTCGAGGGTTTCTGCAAGACGTATTCCAATCAGAAAATAGAAATCGGCGAATATTTAGGCGTGGTTGAGTGTCCAGGGGAGCGAGAGCGCCAGCCATTCGTCCAGAGCGGTTGCTTATTTGATGTCTATCTGGGACAAGACATAGGGTTTCCAGGTTGCCTTTCCATCGTTTGATGCTTGAGCTGCTGCAAGCCATTGAAGTGAATCCCCGCTGTCCATCGCATAATATTTGGTCCCTCTTCCTCCTCCCTTTCATCTATTTCTCCTTTTCCTCTCTTCTTCTTCTCTCTCCTTTTCTTTCCCCGGGCTTCCCTCTCCCTCCCGTGTCCTGCTCTGCTGGCCCTCCCCAAGTCTCACAGGGACACTCCCATGCTCTGTACAACAACCGATCTTGCTTGATTTCCCTTCGTTCGATGACCGGCTCTGTCTTTTTCATACTCTCCCATCATTCTGGCCTGGAGAGATAGACCGTATGTATGTTAGCAGCTCCGGATGGTGTTCCCCCGTTTGTTCAGCCTTATGACTCCTTAAAGCGGATCTCTGAGACGCTCTTGCTCACTCCCTTTCTCCTCGCCAGACACCATCCACGCTTGGATTGACCCTCTCGCCAATTGACCCGCCACGGCGTTGTCTCATACTGCACCATTTACCCCGCCAAAAGAGGACCGAGAGAGAGACCGTAAATCCAGCACCCGCACCGTGTCAGAAAGGAGAAGGAAAAGGTCGATCCGGGTCTTGATTTCTGGTTTGACAGCGGCAGAGCGGTTGAATCAACCAGCCAGGAAGCTGGCCGAACGGGATCTGCCGCCGCCGAAGTCCAGCCCAAGCCCTTCTATTTCGCCTTTTTCTCCCAGTTGACCGGATAAGGATCTCTGCAGCCGTAAGTTCGTCCCAGATTTTCGCCTCTTTCCTCTTGTCCTTTTGCCTTCATCCTTTTCGCCATCCCTCGTCACCGTCCTGGTCGGCGGTTGACTTCCCGGAGACGTCGTTCCCAACTTCTTCCTCTTTTTGGCTTTTTTTTTTGCCGTGACGCGGGAACAACTCACCGCTTTTGAACCTCCCCTGAAATCTATTTCAGACGTCGAAAAACTCCGGGCGTCTCCATCTCGACGACGCCTCTTCAACCCTGCACTGCCGTTTGGCATATATATATCTATATCTCTTCGCGTATAATAATGTGTTGATTTCTTTTTTCCCTCGTCTGCGTGTATATATACGTTCCTTTTTATTGTTGCGTCATGTCTGACCGTGTTCGCGGGTTTTCGAGAGCAGATGCCTGGGAATATGACCTTTAGAAACAGCTTCAGCGGGAAACTTGACGACTTCGTTGGCCCATCTCCTCAGTCTCCTCCTTCAGATTCGCCCTTCTCCGCGTTCCCGTCGCCTCAGGGAAGCCAGAAAGGCTTCGTGCACGGCATCAACACGCAGGCGTCAACCAGCGAGGTCCGTTCGACCATGCAGCGTCGTTTCACCACCGAGTCGGCAGTGCTGCCGCAGTGGAATGGCTTCAATCAGCAGCCATTAAAGCAGGCCGAGCAGCTGGATATATTGTCGTCGGTGAGTCTGAATACGCGCTTTGTTTCTGTCCTCGGATGGCGTGATCGAGTTGTCTGGCCAAAAGTGAAGCTGGATACCCAGCTGCTCTCACTTTGATATTAATATTTTGGTCAAGTCACTGGGAGACCAATAGGCTAATTGTTGCTTGAATAGGCCACCCACCTCCACAAATCTCAGCTTGTGAGTAGAAGACCCTCCTTACTTCTCTGTCCTCTTACCCACATCTCACCTTACTTTAAAGCCCCCTCTATTCCTCTTCCCTTCCAACTCTCTCTCCCCTCCCTTTCTTCTTCTCTTTCTCTTCTTAACGCCGTTCATCTTTTCTCCCTTCTTTAAACCTGCCCGCCCGTCTCCTTTCTTGTTAAAAGAATCACTGCCCTCCATAACGCTTCTGCCTTGCCATACTTCTTCTAATACGCTTTCTAGTTTGAGAAGAAACGCCAACACATTGAGTATATGCGTGAACAGAAGCGTCGATTTGAAGCAGATTTAAAAATTCTTGACCTTCAGCAGGAGAAGGAACGACAGGAAATGGACCAGATTGCCAGAGACCTTGCCCAGGTTGGTCTCAGTGGCCCTGTTAGCGAGCCAACCACTCCTCCAGAATACTATCGAGACAGCGGCTTCCCTACTGCTCTTTCTCGTCCAGCTCGATTCTCTATTTCAAACGGACAGCCGTTGTCACCATTTGGAAGTGTTTTCTCTCCCACTTCCCAAGTGACATCTCCCACTACCAACCAGTCTTCTAACCAGGACTTTTCCAACCGACCTGGTATGGGAATGGGACTACGTCGAAACTCAGAGCAGACCTATGGAGCTGCTTTTACAGGCTTTAGAGCTGGCCATGCGTAAGTTTCTCTTACTATGCCTAGTTTCCAGTTATTTATAGTTAACCTTTATCCACTCTATAGAAGCCGCTACTCCTTATCAAACAACGTTTTTGGATCAGCCTTGCCCTCAGCTTCCTCTCGTACCAACGGATTTAATAACCACATGGATTTAGCTCTCTCTTCTCTTCTAAGAATCCTTTGGAATCCGAAGAGGATAAATCCAAAAATGAAGATCGTGTTTCTACTCCAGATGTAAAGAGCTATCTTCGCATGACGGATCCAGATGACAAGTTCCCTACCCTAGTTCGTAGGGACGATAACCCATCAGTTGTAAGTTTTCTATTTCTTTTCATTCTTCTTTTGTTTTTCTGAGCTACCGCTGATCCACTACCTCTCTTTAACTTTAAATAGCTCTCAGCCAATTCTGCAGCTGTTGACTTTGCAAACTCCCGTACTCCTGTACCTGAGAACTATAATGCCAATGCTCGCCATCACGCAGTTCACCATAGCATGCCACAAAACACTTTATCCTGGTGGTCTGATAACTCAACTGAGAACCCCCAACAAACTAATGGAAACGGCACTGGAAATATCCATTCCCTACGTCATGTGAACCGTCTTTCCTTAGAGAGCAACCTTTCCGGCCTTGGTGCCCTTGGTTCTACTGCCCATCAGCCAAATCATACATCTGGACATCATAGACCAACTTCCTTGCAGTTGTCTTACTCAACCAATGATCTCCCCGCCGCTCACAATGGGTTCCAAGGCGATTCTACTGCCAGAACTCAAGCTGAAGTCACGCACAACGGCTACCAAACTCATAGCCGGATGCATTCTCGTGGTGGCTCTGCAAACACCACCCCACCAACTCCCCAATCTACCACTGACCGTGAGGAGCCTGGCCCCAGCATCCCAACTTTCCAGTCTTCCTATCAGCCCAATGCCATGTCCCATGCTCTCATCTTGACGTCTCCAACTACTGTTGCTCCATCAGCGGTAAACGGGTCCGCTACCCCTACACCAAGCACCTATGCAACACCAGTCTATGGGTACGGCATGCAAGCATATGCGCCCGCACCCTTGCAACTCAATGGTAACTATACCGCTGCCCAGAGTCACCCAATGTTCGGAGCATTTGGCATTCCACCGGCACAGCCACCGCAGCCGAACAACTACGGTAGATTCGCAGAAAGCCCTCGAAATGCTACCCAAAGCCGCCGTAATGGAGATACTGAGAACCCATTGAACCGCTTTGGCAATGTACCCCTTGAGAATTATTCTGGCGAAATATATGGAATGTGCAAAGACCAACATGGATGTCGTTACCTTCAGAGAAAGCTCGAGGAGGGTGTGCCCGAGCATGTTCAGATCATCTTTCGTGAAACTCAAATGCATGTTGTTGAGCTTATGACCGGTATGCTACACTTGCATCCTTTATCTCGTATCCACGTTTCATCATACTAACCCTTTATTCAGATCCATTTGGAAACTACCTATGTCAAAAGCTGCTTGAGTTCACCAATGACGAGCAGCGTACTGGACTTATCAACATTGCTGCCCCTCATCTAGTCCAGATCGCTTTGAACCAGCATGGAACTCGAGCTCTCCAAAAGATGATTGAGTTTATTTCTACCCCTGAACAGGTACGACACATGATTGAACCCTGTTCATAACACATGACTAATATTTTTTTTTAGATCCAAACTGTCATCCATGCCCTTAGTGGTCAAGTAGTCGAGCTTGTTCAAGACCTTAACGGCAACCATGTGATCCAAAAGTGCTTGAACCGACTGTCAGCCCCAGATGCTCAGGTATGTGCTCCTTTGCTTTAATCATTACCTTCATTCAGTATTTGCTTATACTCTATAGTTTATCTATGATGCAGTTGGCAAAGAATGTGTTGCTGTCGGAACTCACCGCCACGGCTGTTGTGTTCTTCAGAGATGCATCGATCATGCCTCTGGCGATCAGCGCGCCAAATTAATTGAGCAGATTACCAAGAGCTCTTACTCGCTTGTTCAGGATCCCTTCGGCAACTATGTTATCCAGTACATCTGTAGGTTGACCTCCAGTACCGTATCATGCTTATAATTCTAACGTTGATATAGTGGATCTTGGAGAGCCTCTTTTTACCGGGCCACTTTGCGCAACTTTCCAGGGAAGCATCCCCTGCTCTCTCCAAACAGAAGTTCAGCTCCAACGTCATTGAGAAGTGCATTCGTACCTCCGACTTCAATATGCGCAGAGCTTTTATTAAAGAGATGTTGTCTCCTCATGAACTTCCGAACATGCTTCGTGACTCCTTTGCAAACTACGTTATCCAGACCGCTATGGATTTCGCCGATCCAGAGTCTCGCAACACTCTGATTGAAGCCGTACGCCCTTTGCTGCCCGGCATTCGCTCGCAGCCACATGGACGTCGCATTGCAGGAAAGATCATGACTCTTGACTCCCACGCTCGAAACAATGGTACAAATGGAACGAATCCTGGAGCTCCTTTGGCTCTTGATGAAGTACGAGGTGGCTTCTCGCAGCCCTACACTCTCCCTAACAACCAGTACAACTCGCAGTTTAACTCCTCCGAGGCTACTACTAACGCTCCATCCGCGGCCGTCTCCGAATCTGAATTTGTCGAGGCTCGCTCTACTCACAGCGAGAGTGGAACCACTACCATCTTCAGCCCCGTTCCCCAGCACACCAATAACGCCATCAACGGTATCAACAACATGAACGGCATTAATGGCGTTAACGGCTCGAACCCTCACGGCTTCAACATGTTCTAACCTGGGTGAAGGCCAAATTGTATCAATACCTCGTTGCGTGGAGATTCAATGTCATGACTGCGCAATGTTTTCATTTCTCAACCCTGTAACACCAGCAAGATACGATGCCACGACTCATGATTTTACGGCTCTGATTTAAAGAATATAAATTCTTACCGCGACAAGAACAGCATTATCGGCAAGACATGAAACACCGGATACACACAATCATGCTTTCCCTACCTTCCGACTGCATACCGTTAAGAAGCATCTTCTTGGAATCTTTGATGATGCCATCTTTCTTACTTTTAAATTTTTGATACATATCCATTCTCCAGTCCTCTGGACCATCTTGGACTAACGAATTTGCATTTGCCCGGCATTGTCACAACCAATTTGGCATATTCAGTCTTCTAAGTGGGAGATATGGATGATATCATTTATTTCTTCTATGTTCACCTTTTGCCACAATTATGTCAACGCATAAAAATGGCCTTTTACATACTTTCCACCCACCTCAAAATACCTCTTTCCCTCCCTTTTTGCATTCCCTATTTTTGTGGGTTTTTTGTTTTATTTGTTTCTTTAACCTTCTTTCCCATTCCTTCTTTCCTTTGTTGATCCTTCTACTGTGTTTACATTTTCCCTTCTTCTGGACATCTAACTATTGATGATAGTTCCGACCACATGCATCATCAACATTCTAGGCCCTGGCTTATCTCTAACAGCTATACCGCGTGTTATGTCCTAAGCAGAGCAAGAATGTCGGTCGGTTTAACCACTCTCTCTCATCTTTTTGAGGAGCTCAGTCCATATTGATTCTACTTTGTGTTTTATTTGTTTTCCACCTTTGTTTTCACACCCCAATTTTCCATGGGCTCTGCATACCTTTGCTACCATTGCATATTGCCAACCAAGTTCCAATCCAAGACTGGCCCCTGGCACCTACTCGAACATAGCCAGCCTTGGCCAGGCTGGTATTGTCAAAGGTTAGTGGCATAAGGATGTTCACGGCATTTTATTTCCCTATGGCTTTCTTCTTCAACCACCTTTTACACTCCTTCCTTTCATGTCCTACAATTCTACCCCTGATATGCCCATGCAAGCAAATTATGTACCATCAGTTGTGTTCTGCATTGTTCTGCATTCATGTATCTATATGAGCCCCGACTTATGGATGCTCAATGTTATCAAGACGCTGTTTTTTAACCCTTGAACCCAGACCTAGCTTCCCACACATGCACACGCCCACGCCCACGACTACCTAGCAAGCCTGCCTCAAGTTATTTCTTCGCTTTGCAAGTTCAAGTTTGTTTCCATAAGTTCAGTTTGCAAGTTAGTTAGTTTCGCAAGTACAATTCAAAGCCTACCCTTCGATTTAGTTCCATACAGTGCAGTAGTTATACTTAACCTTAGCATGTTCTCTGTACTCCGTACCAAAGTTATCATCCCAAAAATTAAGCCTCGCCTTGCGTATGCAAAAGCAAGGTGCGCGTTTTTTTAAGATCCATGCTACTTAAAGTCTGATAACGCTCTGAGTTTGGGTGACTAATAGAGAAACAACCTTAAATTGAACCGCGCGTTTAATCGAAACTTAGTTTTGAGTTCAATTTAACGCGTGCTCATCAACATCTTCAAGGTCGCGAAATGTGATGAAGGATTCCAATTAAGCTATCGAGCGCCCGTTATCGTCCATTTTCTATTACTCTTTTGCGAACGTGGATTTTCAATGTTGCCTAGAGAGCTAGTGGTCTCAGTTTCCGGGCAGTGGCCTTGCAGAGAACAGCAGGCGAAGCAGTTGGCTCATCTGCTATGTGTTCGTAGAAAGCTTCCAATCTGACATCTAATCTACTCTCTTAAGGATATTATATCGTTATGCTAACTAATTTATGCTATTATTAACTTAACAGACCTCTTTATCCTCCCCACCCGCTGTAATAGTTCATGGGCCCAAGGGCTCTGGCAAATCAACAATTCTCAGAGCCTTACTGCGAGCGTACACTGATAGCCAAGGGAGTGAAAGCGCGAAAGGAAATGGTAACCATCGGGTAGCATCCGGAGTAAAAAGACAAAAATTGTGTCATGGAAAAAACGATGGACTGAAACGATGCCAGTTTTGCTACGCAGTAGTGAATGTTGCCGAGTGTATATCAGCGAACCATCTCTTTATGAAGATTATTTCCTGCACCATTGATGCTATTCAACGGTGCACCACTGGAAGGCCAGACGATGAATGGATAAATACTGTTGGCAGTTTACGTTGTGAGCATGTGAGCTCGCTTTCAGGGCTGCTTGGGAATATCCTGCGTAAAGCCGAGTGTCAGCGATTTGTCTTGTTGTTAGACGGAGTGGACGAACTACGGGAAGGAGGGCAAATGCTGTTGGCAGCATTGTGTCAAATTGGCCGTATGGTATGTCCTGTCATCTTATCCTCTAGAACTGCCTTATAAAAGACAGTCAAACATGAGCTAACGGGAGTCACTCTAATCTTTAGCTGCCGAATACAACTATAGTTTTCACTTCAAAGTTTTCACCCCGGCCCCTTCTACTTCATGCAGCCGGTACACCCCATGTCTACTTTCCTCCTTACACACGGGCAGAAAGCATAGCTATTTTAGCCAACTTACCTCCGCCGGCTCTACCTCGGCTACCCGAAACTACCGCCGCCAAGTTATACCCTCCCTTTTTAGCAACGTTGTACGATTCATTGATTGGCCCAACTGCAGGAACAGTATCAACTTTTCAGTCAGTATGCGAGAAAATATGGCCGCGGTTTGTTGCACCTATAACGAATGGGGAGACGCCTCATGGAGGTGGGACGACAGAATGGGACTTCCCCCGACTTCTTGTGAAGAATAGGTCGCTCTATCAACACCAGGGAGAACAGTTGTTAAGCCATAGAATTGTTTCCGAGGACTACGCTGCCGCGACTGCTTCGCCGACCGTAACAACCAAACCCACACTCACTTTGCCTTCTCTTCCATATTTACCAACCCTAGTGCTTACTGCTGCTTTTCTCGCGGCTCATATACCTCCTCGCCTTGATTTATCTCTTTTCTCTAAATTTACACCATCAATCAAACGCCGGCGAAGGCGTCTAAATACAGCTAGCCAACCGAAAACACCCGCTAAAGCAGACGAGGATCAAACCGAAGACACCCCGAAAAAGGGCGGGAAAACTGGAACCCAGTCAAAGGCACCTAAAGGAACAACCAACACCATGTCTGTCCCCGGAGGCACACGTGGTGGCCGAAGTAGTTACTTCGTTAATCCTCATTCGTTTACTCTTGAACGACTTCTAGCTGTGTATCGCGCTATAGATCCGAATCCCCCATTAGTCAAGGATATATCTCTAGCAGATACGATATACCCAGAATTGGCAACATTACATCGCCTCCGCCTCCTTATTCCTGCCTCTGCGGTTGCAGCAGCAGCTGGGGGAGTTGTTGATGGGGCTGAGAAATGGTGCCTCAATGTCAATGCAATGGTTAGTGTCGGCAATTCTATCAGCGATGAATGGGTTGTTGAGATGGCCCACGGCATAGGAATAGAAGTAGAGGAATACTTGGGATTGGGATAACTTCCCTCCATAAGGAATGGTTTTATCTATGGATTTGCTATTACTTTTTCTTTTTCATTTTGAGGATGTCGACATATATTCTTCTAATTTTCCTATTCCTAGCCCCTGTGGAATGCTTATCAAAGACAGCATACTCTTGATCATTAGCTTCGCAGCCTATAGAAAGAATTGGAGCAGCGATATGGGTAAGGGAAAGATATATTTGCTGCTATAGACACGCTTAAAAAGAGCTAGACAACCACCCATCCCATCGCACTGCTCAACAGCTAACCATGTCCATTCCAATAGCTTATCGGTTGTTTTCCATAATGTCCTCACCAGCCTTTATACCAAGGGCCAAAATGCAATGCATGAAAAGGGATGCGAAAAAAAATGAGAGAAATCCTAGAGCAAAAAATGGGGCTCAATTTGCGCCCCTTTTCGGGCCAATAATTGGTAGGGCTTCCGATACCTGCGGAACGGCCCACCAATCGTGCCACCGGGACTGTGATCCAACCTCAGGGACCTGGACAGAGATATTTAGAGGTGTAGATGGTGTCTTGGCCAGTATAGCCTTTTTCACAGTGTCAATTGCTATGCTTGTTGCAATACATGCTCTAAGCATGTTCTTTGCGTTTTTTATCCAATCACTCTCAAGACCAGACGACGTCTTTGGCAGTTTCTCCTTTGGCGTGAGGTAAGGACCATCTGCCAGATATCTTTCTAGGCCCTTCTTTGCTTCAGCGGCAGCTCGAACAGCTCTGTTTAAAACAGCCTTGTCACTCTGACCCTCAAGAGTGGCTTCGCGTTCATAGATATCAAAGGGCAAAACCTCGGGCAAGGAAATTGGAAGAAACGGCTTCATGCGGAGTTCATAACGAAGCTTTGCAGCGGAATAACCAGGCGATGACGAACAACTTAGGTCTATCAAATCATGGCGTGCGAGGAGAGTATAAAGAGCATTCAAAGCGATGGAAAATGCATCCGTAACCCCAAGTTCCGTAGATAATCGATCAAGGAGGTTTAGAGTACGTTCGCGAGACTTTATACGACTTTCGATGTCCAGCCGTGATTGTTCACCAGGTTTGGACAACGCTCTTTGGCTCTCGGTGATGACGCAAGCTCGTATGCGATCAAGGTGTACGAGGTGAGTTGAACATATGTGAGATAAGTACCAATACATGCCTTGGAATTCTCCCAAGGAGTACATCGAGAGCTCAAATCCTAGTTGAGCCACTAAGCGCATTTGTTGGAGTTTATAATGATACGTCCAACTGCTTAAGGGGTACGTATAGGTTGGCTCTTCTCCGTGTAAATATATGGGGGTTTCCATCGTCCATGTGCGAAGTTGAGTATCACATTCCTCAGCCTTACGGTCATTGACATATTAGCAAATTTCCCATAAACTATCGAGTTTAACATTTCTCACCTCAGCCTGTAGCCTATCCCAGTCAACTATGTTATGACAGAGTGTACGCCGTACTCGGCAGCGGTTTAAGCAAACTGTTCGGTAGGAGTCGATGAAAGGCTTTAACATGTTAATAAGCCCTTCATAACGGAGTTCAAGATCAACCATACCTGGGTCATTCTTTGTATAAAAGAGCCCATTTGTTTCGCTATTTGAAACTTTGGGTTTGAAGGAACTTCTACCTCCTCATTTTTGGTATCAAAGACAGGACTAAATGGGAGGACAAGGTCTTTCATACTGCCGCTACAGAATTTCTCTGCGGGTAAGTTGTCAAGGACCTGTCCATTTAGTAATAGAATGGACTGCGCTAAAGATCGGATGTAGACACTCGGCTGTGGTTTGCGCGATTGCAAAGTCCATAATAAATTCTTTATGAAATGTCAGCGTCCGTAATCCCAGAAAGTTTTATGTTAATATTCCCATGAGCACCTACATAGAGGGTAAATGCGCTGTCTGAGTCAAGTATTTCCTGTAAATCTATTGCGTCCTGGCAGAATCTTTTCAAGTACGATATAGCTTCTTGTGCTTCAATCTTGATTATCGGCCGTGGCGGAACGGTGCTTGCGAGTCGCCGTTGAATCTTTCCACTAAAGGCATCTTCGACAGGTTTTCCTAGATGTAGTGATTTTTGTATGAGGTCTATTTGGCCTAATGTGGAAGACAGGCTTGTTGTAGAATGTGACTGTGACAGAACAAGGTCTAGAGAGAGGTATTCTAGGATATGACGCCGGAAAGAGAGCCGATTAAGGAGTGCAACCCTAAGTGTTTCGTCGATTGGCCTCGTCTCATGATTGATCCACTCAATAGCATTATCAAGGACGTCTATAATCTCCTCAACCTTGACATTGGGAAATAACTTTCTGTTATATAACTGAGTGCTAAAATCTTCCTCCTATTGTCGGTCAGTATTGCAGATTTATTTTGTATGGACGAAGAATCCAAACCTCGTAGTAAAATTCCGATGTAATCCTGTCTCGAACACACGCGCAAGCTTTGATTAAAGCAAGGCAGTATGCTCTTAGCACAACGGTTACAATGCCTCCTGCTGCATTTTCTTCCCCTTTTATGGGAACGGCTGTGTTGCTATCGAATCTTGCATCTTCTAGTGATTTAGGGACTGGCCACAGTAAATGGTCAAGGTATATTGATGTAAACAACGTTTGCGAAAGCGGATGCCCCATATGCCATGCCACCTGGATGGTACAGAGCAGTCAGATATTGGTCTGTTGTTTTAAGTGTGATAGGTGATAGGTTCGCGGTGAATAAGGTGTACCTCGTAGCATAATAGTTGGTCCATTATCCCTAGAACCTCCTCTGGGAGCAGTTCCCTCATCACGTCATAATTATGGTCGAGAGTCTCTCCAGGAGCAAGGTAGCCGCTGTCCATTTTTGAGTCCATAATCTACACCACGGCCATTCTTGTAAGTACGGCGTCTATCCGATTATAACACGAGCTGCGTGAACCAGGAGATAAATGGAGGGCATCAGGGTATGTCTCTGACCTCAAGGGCTCCCACAGCCTCGAATAGCGTGAAGTATTCATCTTTAACAAGTTCGCCGGTGACGAGCACTAGAAATCCCAAACCTCGTTAGTTACACTTGAACAACAACGGGAAATGATGCTTGCTTAGAAAAATACAGACCCGACGCTGCCTTTGTGAATTTATCTGTGATATCGTAAGGCATCCTGTCCTGGCTATAGAATCTCGGTTGTGGTAGCAAATTGGTGGCGGGGCAGAGAGGTCAAAAGAATCGCTGTGATTCAGGATGGGCGCCTGAGCAAAGTAGGAGGAAATTAGGCACGCAACAGAGAAAACATCATTACAGCAGAAACCGTCGGCTATAAGTGGTATTGCCGTGCCAAAGGTCGAGATGTCACCGGAAACAAGCCAGAAGCCAGAAGATAAAACCACGACTCCAACGGGTGGTAATACGTCTTCGAGATGGATTTTAAATTTAAGGATCTCATGCTGAGTCAAGAAAAGCAGCACTTCGAGTGTGATGGCTTTTTCTCTCTTGACAACGCGTACAGGTAATTGAAGCGGTAAAAAAGAGTATAGAATAGTTTGGATTCTTCTATTGAATTGATACAAGATATATTTATTTCTCCGTCTGCAGTCTATCACCTCGTATTGTACAGACTTCCGATGGTATTTCTTCCCCTTCAATGCACCGCACACTCGGCTCAACTAATCCATCCTCCGTCAAAAATCGTTTACTTCGAGGCCTGGTTGGCGCCCTGGTTCAGCTGGGAACCAAGGTCAACAGCTTCGCCTTGCTTTCCGTTCTGTATCAATTGGAGGTCGCGGGTCAGTCGGGTCCGGGCCAAAACCAGCAATTCACCATCATCAACCGGCATAGGGATGAGATCGCCGGGTACTAACCTTCCATTGTGCGAACTTCAGCTCAGATGGAGTCTGGGACTCGACCTTGACACGGATTTCTGGCTTGAGGGAACGACGGACTGCCTGAGCAGCAACTGAAAGGTAACGGTTGTAGCTGAATGAGATCGCCGAGGTCAGCAATTGAAGCGGATTAAACGGAAAACGGAGTGCAGAACAAGTACATACGTCAAACCGGCGGCTTTCCACGCGAAGGTCATGGTGAATGATGTGGTGCTGGACGTTCTTCTCTTCGGCTGCTTGAAAGTGGTTGTTTCGTTCGACGTTTCTCTTTCGCTGAAGCGTCCAAGTTTGTCGGATGCGTCACGTGATGGACGGGCCGACCTCACTTCTCAAAGTCAACTTCATCCAATACGACATTCGAGCTTGACGGCGGTATTTTTACTCCGCTACAGTATGCGAAGCGATTAGATTATGGCGAATATAGGCATTCTAGGTCGACCCTAACCTCGTCCCTGGTTGTTGCTGCGAAATAAGAGAATACGGCATTCCGCAAAATGACAGCACGGAGTACCCTCGCGCAGTTCACTCTTCAGAGCAAGGTTCCGCCAGCCAGCCTCGAAGTGTTACAGAACCTCGGTTCCGTAACTACATAGACCGATACAGCAAATGAAAGGAAAGAAAGGCAGAAGCTGGTTTGATTTAAAAGTTGATGGCACCATGGCCCGGTTCGCAAACTAGACAAGCCATGGAAGGAAGGGGACCATTCAACTGGTAACCTCACCCGTGCTAGTCTAGAAGTCTGCATACACAATGAATCAAAAAACGCTTTCTATTAGGTGAAGCAACTACAATGAACTGGGGATATAAATTTAGAGCATACACAAGCTCTTTATACCTAAGTAGGCTTAGCCATTTGGTAGACTTCATTGTGATTAATCATTAGAGACAGGTTGTGGGTAAGTTGCTCTAGCAGAGATATCATCCTCTTTCGCTATTAGTATAATAAGAAAGCAGAGCCTAGAAATAAAGGCTTGTTTACTCCATACCCTTAACTGCCCTACTAGATAATCAGACGAGTAGTCACTTTAGGATGGCGATAAAAACAAAAGTCGATGTAACAGATACTCAACTTTTATTTTCTAAGACTCTATGTTCCGGAACGTCCCTTCGCACAATGCTTGAAACCTTCTTTGATATAAGTCTAATAAAGGCGGAGCCAGACGATAACCTTCTTTTAGTTAAGCCTAGCCAGATGTCCGGGCCATTCTTAACGAGAAAACATGTCTTTTCTACTGTAGGTTGTGAAATATGTCTTGTATAAGTATGGAGAGAGTCCTTTTCATTTCCACTGAGCCATCAAGTACGATGTTTAAACCGCATTTGGCCAGATTTCTGACCATCCAACTAGGCGTCTGCATGCAAAAGGCCCAGCAGAGTGGTATGAAATGCAGGAGTCAGCCGTCCCGCGCCCAGTCCGTAGCCCTGGAGTAATGTTTCTTTTTCGTTGCTGCTGCATTGGTCGATCCTCGTTCTATATGAGCGGTGAGAACCCATCAGCCGCATATACTTCCACTAACATTGATCACATACTGCAAGTAGAGACGCTGGGAGACGTATCCAAGGGAAGAGAGGTATTCTTGCCTTGGGAAGATATAGCAGCCTAGCATGTCGCCCATGCGTGCTGCACTTCTTCCAATACATATAATGAGAAAGGATAACGGCGGAGATGGACGTCGGGCTCTTGAATGTTATCCCATGATATCATCGAGGATTGTATTGTCTCGTTGTAGAGAATTCAGTATGGTTTGGTGGATTACCCGGTGGATTGAAACCGTCGTGCATGGAAACAACAACTCTTTTGCTGCAGCCAGCGCCTCGATAAAAAACAAGGACCACATACTGGCGCCACCCCTCGCGTTGGTTGGGAACATAAAGACATTAGTATTGCTCAAAAACCAACCATATCCCGGTTACCGGACTCTCGGGAGTGGCTATCAATCAGCGAAGGGGCAAAGCCAAAGGGGGGTCCATCGCTTGATTGATATCAGATCCCCCGTGTTCCTATCTATTGTTTCCTCAATATTGGTCCTGTTAACTTATCACGCAACCGCAGACCAGGCACTAGGTACCGAGGACAACCCCCCTTCTTATTAGCCTCACTCTTTTCTTCCACTTCCCTCCCCTCCTTTTCTTTTTCCTTTTCCTCTCCTTCTTCTCTTTTCCAACTCCGCCTCACCTCTCACTAACCACACTATCACCTTCTCTACCAAGAAGAGAAGCCATCAGCTACTGCGTGATATCTTGCTATCAGCAGCTCTCGACCCTTAACGTCCGTTACGAGTCTATTGAGAAGCCTGGAAGTCACTCTTTGACGCAGACAAGTAAGCTGATATCATGCCCCAATAAAGAAAAGCTGACTTCTAGTTCATATCCCACTTGGTATAGAAGTATATATCAAGGAGCTAGAAGCTGTTTTGGCTTGAGTCTTTGCTTTGGTGAATAACGGCTAACAGTTACCACTGTTTCTTAGAAAAAATCCAAGAAACCATGGCAACCAGGAAGGGAGATGTAGTGGCCGCTGCCCCGAAAGCGGCCAAGAAGCCTAAGAAGGTCTTGAATCGACCTCCTACTAGGTCCATCGTTCGTTGGTGTGGTATGTATAGGGATATCCTCCTAGACAATGAGATCATGTTGTGATGTGAGAGGCAAACCCATGCTGACTTGCATCAGACGAACTGGATAGAAAGCTGCTTCTTGCAATCCAGTCCGCTTGCAACAAGTGTAACATCCGTATCCCTTGGATCGAAGTTGCACTCATGATGGGAAGCAACATCACCGACGGTGCAATTATCCAGCACTTGGCGAAGTTGCGTATCCGTATGGTGGAACTCGGCCAGGATGTTCCACCACCGCTCCGTCGTTCAGGTGGCTCAGCCCAAAAGCCTGCTGAGACCGACATGGAAGACACCCTAGTACCTAAGCCTGCTGCCACTCGAAAAGCCAACTCTCGCAAGAAGGGACCTAAGCGGTCCATCTATGACTCTGGAGACGAAAGCTACGATGACGGCAACGAGCCAGACAAAAAGCCCAAGGCTAAAAAGGGAAAGAGCGCCCCAAAGAAGAATAACAATAGGACAGAGTCTGTTCCTATCAAAATAGAACAGGAGGCTGAGGATGGTAGCACCACTTCCGAACTCCGGGAAATTGAATCCTCCAACGAGAACCACAATCAACAGTTCGTTGGTGGCGGCGAGGACTTCGCAAACTTCGAATACCAGCATTCCGAGAGTATACACACTCCTCCCAATGACGAATCATCTCACCATGGCGAACTTCCCGTCACCCAAGATGTCACCTACGACGAGGAGACGGCCAACGCAACTGAAGTTTCGAACGGCGGAGTTGAGGCCTCACCATTCCTCATCGGCAACGAAACTCATCCAGCTTCTGGAATCGAGGCTCAAGCCATTCCATCTGCAAACAATGCTGTAGTTGGTACTCAGCAGGCTCTTCCCATAGGTATCGGCCAAGTTGTTCCACATGCATACGCACCTCACCATGACTCGCAAACCTTTCCAACTCACCATGTCTGGACTGGAACTCAGGCTAGTGGTAACCATTTCGAGACCCCGCAGCAGTTCCCTATTGATAATTTTGGTTTCATTCATAGTACTGTGAATCCAATCGGGGCGTTCACTCAAGGTTTCCAGGCCCTTCCTGCCCAAGGTCACCTGCAGCACGGCTCTCACCTTCCATTTGTCCCAATGCACTCTGCCCCGTTAAACTCGGCTTCCATGAGTTTCACAAGCTCAAACACCTCTTTGGCTAGTTCGATGTTAGAAGATGAAGGGCTGATGCAGGCTGGGGTATTGGACCACAATATCAATTGGGCAATGAACTCTGCCCGAGAGGCCGAAATCGAACACAGCTTCAACGAATTCATTCAGCAGCTTTGAATTGCTTTGCGGTTCATCATCTAAAGATTGGTTACTTTGCTCTCTAGCCGCTACCTTGGCCTCAAATGTTCATTCATATCAAAAGTTCACATAGAGCTCAGTCAACCATCTCTTTGGCAGATCCCACACAGTGAAGTGGAGACCAGTGGCTTTACCCTAAGCTGCTGGTTAGTTCAGATAAATCTTGTCTCTCTTTTATTGATCTTCCTCCTGTTTTCATCTCATTGTCACTTGCTTCTCTCACTTGCTCCATGCAGCTCAGGTTGGGTCAAATTCCAGGTCACATCCCCGAACACTCAATTGGGCGTTGGCTGGTCAAGGAAGGTATCGCTTTCTATCATCAGGGCCTCATGGCAGATTGCATCAATGTACATATCTTCCTAGCAATGATTGATGACTTTTCAAATAGATTCTTGGGTGCAGTTTCCAGCCCAGCTGTCACCTCGGTTGAACGACGGCTGAAAATGAGGCGAAGACCTCTAACTTTTATGGGTATTTCCTGTGCAGTCTCGCTGTCGCATATATGAAGAGGCAAGTAAAATAATGTTTCTTTGCACCCACGACGCTCGAGATGAGCTTTTCTCGTATCTATCTTCACTGTCCTCCTCGTCTTTCTATCGGACGTCGTTGGATGACCCGAAAGGGGAAACAAGCTAGTACCTTTCACGTGACCCTTGCTGGAGAAAAAGAAAAACCGCCAAGACTTTCTGGAGAAGTTGCTCGAAACATCAATTTTTTTTTCTTCAACTTCTTCATCAACGACTTTTTTCCTCCTTCATCTTCAACGTCTGACACGGCTTCAATCCCTCTTGTCTTCTATACCCTTCCTTAATTAGGAGTTTTTTTGGTTCTTTGTGGGCTAATTTCGCATCTCTTTTACTCCCTTCTTTATAATAATATTATTTGACAATGCAGCGAGCTCTCTCTGCTTCCTCCCGGGCTTCGGTCCTTGCATCTGCTGCTTCTACCAGGACTCGGCTCTCTCAGTTCCGGCCAGCTCTTGCTGCTGGTGTCAGCCTTCAGCAGCAGCGATATGCCCATAAGGTAAGAGATTTCTTGTTTATTTTCTGGAAGATGGCTTCAATTGGAGCTCTTTTTTCTGTTGCTTGGGCAGGGTCTGACAAAAGCTCTTCATCTGATATAGGAGATCAAATTCGGCGTTGAGGGCCGTGCCTCGCTCCTTAAGGGTGTCGACACCCTCGCTAGAGCCGTCACTGCTACACTAGGCCCTAAGGGACGAAATGTCCTAATAGAATCCCCCTACGGCTCTCCAAAGATCACCAAGGGTATGTTTACAGTTCCCAAAACCCTGCGTTTAGCTTTTATGTAGAGTTTGCTAACTTGAATGAACTTTTTAGACGGTGTCACCGTTGCTAAGGCCGTTGCTTTGGAAGACAAGTTCGAGAACTTGGGAGCTCGTCTTCTCCAGGATGTTGCTTCCAAGACCAACGAGGTTGCTGGTGACGGAACTACCACTGCTACCGTCCTTGCCCGTGCCATCTTCTCCGAGACCGTCAAGAACGTTGCTGCTGGTTGCAACCCAATGGATCTCCGAAGAGGTATCCAGGCCGCAGTTCAGTCCGTTGTCGAGTACCTACAGGCCAACAAGCGTGATATCACCACGACCGAGGAGATTGCCCAGGTTGCTACTATCTCTGCTAACGGAGATACTCATGTTGGCAAGCTTATCTCCAACGCCATGGAGAAGGTTGGCAAGGAAGGTGTCATCACCGTAAAGGATGGAAAGACCATTGATGACGAGCTCGAGGTTACCGAGGGTATGCGTTTCGACCGTGGATACACCTCCCCATACTTCATCACCGACCCCAAGACCCAGAAGGTTGAGTTCGAGAAGCCTCTGATCCTTCTTTCTGAGAAGAAGATCTCTGCCGTCCAAGACATCCTCCCAGCCCTCGAGGCTTCCACCACCCTTCGCCGGCCATTAGTCATCATTGCTGAAGATATCGATGGTGAGGCTCTCGCTGTCTGTATCCTCAACAAGCTCCGTGGCCAGCTCCAGGTTGCTGCTGTCAAGGCTCCTGGATTCGGTGACAACCGCAAGAGCATCCTCGGTGATATCGGAATTCTCACCAACGCCACTGTCTTCACCGATGAGCTCGACATGAAGCTTGACAAGGCTACCCCCGAGATGCTCGGATCCACCGGTTCCATCACCATCACCAAGGAGGACACCATTATTCTCAATGGTGAGGGCAGCAAGGACTCCATTGCTCAGCGCTGTGAACAGATCCGTGGTGTCATTGCCGACCCTGCCACCTCTGACTACGAGAAGGAGAAGCTTCAGGAGCGTTTGGCCAAGCTCTCCGGCGGTGTTGCCGTCATCAAGGTTGGCGGTGCCTCTGAAGTCGAGGTCGGTGAGAAGAAGGACCGTGTCGTTGACGCCCTCAACGCCACCCGTGCTGCCGTTGAGGAAGGTATCCTCCCCGGTGGTGGTACTGCCCTCCTCAAGGCCTCTGCCAACGGCCTTGCTAATGTCAAGCCATCCAACTTTGACCAGCAGCTCGGTGTCAGCATTGTGAAGAGCGCCATCACCCGCCCAGCCCGCACCATCGTCGAGAACGCTGGTCTTGAGGGAAGCGTTGTCGTTGGTAAGCTCACTGACGAGTTTGCCGGTGACTTCAACCGTGGCTTCGACAGCTCCAAGGGAGAGTACGTTGACATGATTGCTTCCGGTATCGTCGACCCCCTCAAGGTCGTCCGCACCGCCCTTGTTGACGCCAGTGGTGTTGCCTCGCTCCTTGGAACCACCGAGGTCGCCATCGTCGATGCACCCGAGCCCAAGGCTGCCCCTGCCCCTGGTGGCATGCCTGGAATGGGTGGCATGGGTGGCATGGGCGGTATGTACTAAAAAGAATAACGTGTTTAATGCGTCCCTGCTTCCATGTTTTCTCCCCTTCCATTTCTCCCTCCATGTCTTAAAATGTTTTATTTGGCGTGCTGCATTCCCCTTTTTGTATTTCTCTTTCCATTTTTTTTGTAAACCTATGTCCCTTTCCTACTACTACATCTCCCTCATCCTCCAAAATCTGTTGTTATACTCCCCCAAACTCCAGAGATCTGTACCATAACCACCTTCATACAACTCCAACTTTGACAGACGAGCATCTCTCCACTCTTGCCCTCTTTGCCATTTCACTTTATGCGTTTGTTGTCCCCTGAGGTAGACAAAAGGCTGCTGTTGAAGAGATCAAGGGCGGAAGCGGGCGTTATGGACCATGGACTTTGAGGTTTCAGCCGATGTCTTCATGGTCATGTACTTATATAATATGAATCCAAAGAACCGTTCAATTTCACCTTTGCTACTCTATAGCTATATATAAGTAAATACAAATACTTTAGATGGCCAGCCAAACTAGGAACAACTGATTATTTAACGAGCACATACGTATGAACTGATCCGCCAACATCCAGACTACAAGGCAGCCTAGGACCGTATCATGCTTAACCAAAAAAAGCCCAAGGCAGATAGATGTAGATTCTCAATGGCCAAAGTACACCACACGACCAAACCCCATTCCAGGCTCCAGCATAATTAGTATCAGCCAGAACCCTACCTGGCGCTTACGTATAACGAGGTGGCTGTAGAAACCAAAAAAACCGGCCCGTCGCCGTCAGGCTGACTCTTTCTTTTTATTTTTATCTTTTTGTATAAGCGTATCGCGGTAGTTCCTCCAGCGACGAGACGGTTAAGTAAAGCAGGTAACTCGGTACTAAGCTGTCCCCCCACCAACAGGCATAATAAGAAACATCTCAGCCCCGCCATTACTCTGCTGCCTCCATCTCAAAAACACACCAGCTCACCAACATCTGGCATCCCCTGTCGCTGTGAATTAACTTGTTACCCACCTCCGTCTCTCTCTTCTCTTAGACGGTCCTTCTCCTCGAGCCGTAAGTTGACGTTATCTCGACCCCTCGCCACCAGGTTCGCCTAGTTAGCAGCTAGTTCTTCCCTGTCGCCCTCATCTCACCTCGCCCCTTTTCTTACCGCTCGGAAGACGGACCTTCTTGTGTGTTTTCAATCAAACTGACATACAGATACTTGCCTGTCAATAGACATTAAAGAAATAAAAACCACTTTTAAGGAGTTCCAGTTTCTGAATATACACGCGCAATCATGTCGGTATGTTGGCTCTACCCTTTCCAGTGCGAATTACTCTCATTGTTGCTAACACTGCCTCTACTTCACATAGATGGCATCTGGGTGCGTCTCCCCATCCTCCCCTCTCCGAATCGTCTTGGATACATCCACCATGCACATAAGCAAAGAATCTCGAGAGTCAATATTGAAGAAAGGCGTTGGAGTTGATTGATGAGATCTATGGCGGAATGAACGGAGAGCGCCCGCTAACCACAAACATGCAAATACAACAGAGTCACGATACACCCCGACTGTATCAGCGCATACGAAAAGCTACGGCTTGGAAAGGGTGCTGGCAGAACAAAGTACATCATCTTCAAGATCTCGGACAACAAGAAGGAGGTTGTGGTCGATGAAATCTCCACCAACGATGACTACGAGGCCTTCCGTGAAAAAATAATGTCCTCCAAGGACTCTTTGGGACGTCCAACACCAAGATATGCCGCATATGATGTCGAGTTCCAGCTTGAGGGTGGTGAGGGATGGCGGTAGGTCTCACCATCCAGATATCTTTTGTGCTGCAGTTTCGAATTAGCAGTTCCTTTTGGCTTTATCCAACTAACATACCTAAAACAGACAGAAAATTGTCTTCATCTCCTGGGTTCCAACTGAAACTCCTGTCATGGTAAGAGCCTCTGTATATCTTGAATATATCAAAACAAGAGCAGCCAGTACTGACCAATATCTCACAGTGGTCCATGATCTATGCTACCACCCGCGCCACGCTTAAGGATTCCCTCAACCCACAAGCCAGCATCCAGGCTGACAACCCATCCGAAATCGAATGGGCTGATGTTTTGGCTGCGGCTGGCGGCAAGAGCACTGCTCCCAAGTAAAGCAGCATGAAAAGAAAACCCCCACAGGAAAACGCAAGGGGCTTCTAATGCCGTCACACAAATAGCATTTTGCTAGTGTTTTGATAGCTTGTGTGATGATACAGCGTGATGGTGGCTGATATGTTTCTAAGCCCTCTTCGTCCTTCACTTCTGACCATATCAATAATGCAAATATGAACTCCAAGCAAACAGGTACGAATTTATTTCCTTCTACCTATGAATCCAGGCCTTGTGTGTAGATATTTGGTTGTTTATAGAGTTTCTCGACCTCGATCGCTCGTTCAAGTAGGAGATTGTGCTTTCTCATAAATGAGTGGTCCCGTAGGCATAGCCGTAGCCATTGTGTGTCCACTGTGTGTCTGGTATCATGGCTGCCATCTGCTGTCCGAGGCGAATCGTGAGTAATTAGGGAGTGCATGCGGCAGTCAAGCGTATCCTAAACCTTCAACAGGTTAACTCAACAAAGTACACTGCTGCTTGGACAAATCATCGTGGCTACCAAGCATTTATCCAATTTTTATAGCGTTCGCTGCGCCGAAAAGCATCGTCTGATCTTCGCCGTTTGAGCGCAGATACCGGGACCAATCAGAGCATAGCAATTTCCACGCTGAGTCAGCACCACGGAAACTTTCGCAGCCATAATCATCAAACCTCACAACATCCCAACTTCGCTCTTCTCTTCAAAGCGTCGATTTCAGGTCCTTCACTCTTTCCTTCGGCCACAGGAATCAAACTCTGTTTACGCCTCTTCTCTCCTCTCTCAACTCGTCGTCCTCCAATTACCTCACCATGTCCTTCCGAGCCACCCCACGGGCCGTCGCTGGCACCGTCCGCTCCGTCTCGACTACATGCTCGAAATTTGCTGCACGAAGCAATCAAGCCTCACCAATTGCTTGCCTCAATGCCCGTATGTCCGTCAACAGCCAGCAGATCCGCTCTGCCTCCTCGGAACACGCCATTTCCAACCCTCTCCTCGCTGGGATCGAGAAGCGATGGGAAGCCATGCCTCCTCAAGATCAGGCTGAATTGTGGATGAAATTGAGAGACCGAATGAAGGTTGACTGGAAGGAGATGACTCTACAAGAGAAGCGAGCTGGTAGGTGATGTTTTCATAGCCATTGGACTTCAACGAATCATTTCTCGCGCCGGTTTTGGGGAGTTGATATAGATACTTGAAACCGGCATCGCATTTTCCTTCCTTTTTCATCCTTATCAGATACTCTGCCGTGCCATTGCGCCGCGCCGAAGGGGTGATGCACTGTTTTACTTTGCTAGAGATCGTATACTAACTTGTTACTTCCTCTTCGACAGCCTACTGGATCGCCTTCGGTCCTCATGGACCCCGTGCTGAGACCCCCAAGGGTGAGGGTATGAAGATCTTCGTTCAGTTGATGAAGTACATCGTTATCTCCGCTGGTATCTTCTACGCCGCCCGTCTCTTCGGCGGCAGCCCACCAAAGACCATGACTAAGGAATGGCAAGAAGCCACCAACGAATACGCTCTGGTACGTCAATATAAAACTATTCAATCGATGGCCTGTAAACATACACTAACATGAAATCTGCCCAACAGAAAGAGAAGCTCGACCCCATCACTGGTATCAGCAGCGAAGGATACTCTGGAAAGGGTTTCGTGCAGAGCCCACCAGCTGGCAAATAGATTCGATAACATAATGCGAAGATCCACAGAGGAAAGAAAAAAAAAAGGGAACTGCCTTCCACGAGGTAAATATGAAGGCTTCTCTCTGATTTTTGTCAGTGTACCCCGGGTTTTTATATCATCGGACGTCGCCTTCCAGATCTACCCAACTTGTGCAATACCAGAGAAAACAATTAAAACTGTATTAATGGAATCGAACAACTGTATAGTGTATTCTTTTCCTTCCTTTTCCTTTTTTTTTTTTTTCTACTCCCCTTTTTTGCTTCTCTCTCTTTGTCGGAAGGGAGGATTGCGTTGTCCGGTCTCCTAACCTCTTTAAAAATGTGCATATATCAATGCTGGACACGGCCGGAAGACGGAGGAGGGCCTGGATCTCGCCCTTCTCCTGATGGTATATCCCCTTCGATCAGCTGTTCATCCTCTCTGTTTCCTTTGTTGCTCAGTCGCCCGCCTGTACTTCATGTTCTATATATAAAGCAAGTGTTCTTTTTCCTCATCTCAAAACTCTGCGGATTCTGATTCCCTCACTGTATCATTATCATTTCACCGAATGTTAACATTGGTTCTAGACATAGGATTTATTCTACTTGGGTGACTCTAGAATTTTGCACGGAATATAGGTACTCGCCGCGGAATGGCGAGGGGGCGATATAAATAGTCATCGTACGATTCTACCAAACGGAGCTAACCAGATAACTACATCTGCCTCTCACCTGGGTAGCTACCTAGGTACCTCTATAGCTAGGTAGCTAGCTACTTTATTTTATCTCTGTTATTAATGATCCCGCGCTGTATAACTATTCATTTCCTTGGTCTATTTAACTGGCCTGAACCTGCATAACCACGGCAGCTAAAGGAAAATCGCTCATACAGAGAATTCTCCGGGACGTCCAATCATTAAATTCCGGCCCCCTAGCTGGCCTATGATAAATTCTCATATTCCGCATTGCGCGGGTGGTCGAAGGGTAGCTTTGTATGCATACGCCTCTTTGCATATGGACTGGGCTATCAGATAAAAAACAAGATTTCATACTTAGCAATGACGTTCTAGGGACCAAGGCAGGGCAAGGGGGGAAAAGGTGTAACCGCAGCGCCGCCTCCCCAGCATCCATCTGCATAACACACAGCTACAGAGAGCGCGAGCGAGAGAAAAGAAAAGAGAGTGGGTAGTTAGTCCATATAGTTACCAGAGTTTGTCTCACAGCAGAAGTTGAGCCCTTGCTCGCCACTGCAGCTTAGCTAGCTGGCCAACCGGTTATCTCACCTCCGTCTGTTGCACGCACTTTTGGGAAGAGCTATTTATTGTCCCCTCTCTGTTGGCCCAGCTGGAACTGACCATTATCATCTTTCACCCTCTGAGCTGCTCCTGAGCGTGTTTCTCTCAAGCAGCCAAACTGCATCGACTACTCTGTTGCTCCGTGAAGATGAAGTCAGAGAGATACACGAAATATACTTCCCAGCCGCTGACTGAGGCAACAAAGATTCCAGATGGCACAGGTCAGTAGCCGGCCAGAGCATGCTTTTCGCTCCGTTTTGATCATCGCGGTGCCAACTTAATAATCTCGTGCTAGGAGTCGTTGATTTGGATCCGTGGCTCGAGCCGTTTAAGGATGCCCTGAGAAGTAGATATAAGCTTGCTACCGAATGGATCCGGAAGATTGACGAGACGGAGGGCGGGCTCGATAAGTTTAGCAAGGTGTGTTTCCTGCATCTTTTTACTTAAATACATACCTTTCTCCTGTGCTTGTGTTAGATGGATGCTAAGTTTACATGCATAGGGCTACGAGAAGTTTGGTTTTAACGTTGCGAGTAACGGTGATATCACGTACAGAGAATGGGCTCCAAACGCGACCACGGCTCATCTCATTGGTGATTTCAGTATGTTTCCAACTTCAGTGCTTTAATTATTATTATTATTTGGTATGCTATGGATTAAACTGACTTGCGCGAAAGATGAATGGGTTCCAACTGCTACCCCTTTGGAGAAGAATGAATTCGGGGTCTGGGAAGGCGTCCTCCCGGCAAAGAATGGGGAGCTCGCAATACCACACAACAGCAAGGTCAAGGTAAGGATTCAAGGTCTCACATTCTATACCCAGTGCTCTAGATAAGAACAGCCAGTTCTGATGGAAGCGTTAGATTACCATGACCACGCCATCAGGAGAACGACTCGATAGGATACCAGCTTGGACGACAAGAGTAACCCAAGAACTCAGCGTCTCTCCAGTGTACGATAACGTATTCTGGCATCCACCTAAGGAGGAGCAGTATCAGTTCAAACACGCTGCTCCCCCCAAGCCAAAGTCGCTTCGTATCTATGAGGCACATGTGGGAATATCATCTCCTAGGACAGAAGTTGCAACATACAAGAACTTCACTGAAACCATGCTTCCACGTATCAAGTACCTGGGATATAATGCCATTCAGCTTATGGCAATCATGGAACATGCATACTACGCAAGCTTCGGATACCAGGTTAACAACTTCTTTGCGGCGAGTAGTCGCTACGGTACTCCGGAAGACCTGAAAGAGTTGATAGACACAGCTCACAGTATGGGTATCGTGATCCTTCTTGACGTGGTACACAGCCATGCGTCGAAGAACGTGCTGGATGGTCTTAACATGTTCGATGGAACCGACCATCTCTACTTCCATGCGGGAGGGAAGGGTAACCATGATTTATGGGATAGTCGTCTGTTCAACTATGGAAGCCATGAGGTGCTAAGATTCCTCCTCAGTAATCTGAGATTCTGGATGGAAGAATATCGCTTTGATGGCTTCCGGTTTGATGGAGTTACCAGCATGCTGTACAATCATCATGGAATCGGAACGTAAGTGTTATTCTCGCCCTTTATTACTGTGAGATATACGGTCTATTCTGACACAGCCAGTGGGTTTTCCGGCGGTTACCATGAATACTTCGGCCCATCTGTTGATGACGAAGGTGTTGCATATCTGACGCTTGCAAACGAGATGTTACATCAAATTTACCCCAATTGCATCACGGTTGCAGAGGATGTTTCCGGCATGCCCGCATTGTGCCTGCCTTTGTCTATAGGAGGTGTAGGATTCGACTATCGTCTAGCCATGGCAATCCCTGACATGTATATCAAACTGCTCAAGGAGAAGAAGGACCATGAGTGGGATATGGCAAACATAGCATTCACCCTTACCAACCGTAGACATGGTGAGAAAGCAATTGCATATGCCGAGAGCCACGATCAAGCGTATGTACTCCTAGGATTTTTTCCAGCTGCTTTCCCCATTCTCTCCCTCCTGGAGAAATGCTAACAATGACGGGCAGGCTCGTTGGTGACAAAACACTGATGATGTGGCTTTGTGACAAAGAGATGTACACAAACATGTCTATTTTGACCGAGTTAACCCCTATCATTGAACGTGGCATGAGTCTACATAAGATGATTCGTCTGGTCACACACGGCCTTGGAGGAGAAGGCTACCTCAACTTCGAGGGTAACGAATTCGGCCACCCAGAATGGTTGGATTTCCCCCGTCAAGGCAACAACAACAGCTTCTGGTATGCCAGAAGACAGCTGAACCTGACCGAGGATAATCTCCTCCGATACAAGTTCTTGAACGAGTTCGACAGACAGATGCAGCTGACCGAGGAGAAATACGGATGGCTCCAATCACCACAGGCCTACATCAGCCTGAAGAACGAAAACGATAAGGTCTTAGTATTTGAACGCGCCGGACTGCTCTGGGTGTTCAACTTCCATCCAACCAACAGTTTCACTTCCTATCGCGTTGGAGTAGAGCAGGCAGGAACTTATCGGATTGTCATTGACACTGACGATAGCAAATTCGGAGGATTTGACCGCAACGCCAAAGGAACACGTTTCTTCACCACAGACCTGGAGTGGAATGGACGCAAAAATTACGCGGAATTGTATCTGCCCACAAGAACGGCCCTGGTGAGTTCCAAGTTCAGCCCTTTTGACCCAGGATGAAACGACGAGCGCAAGTACTGACTATGGCAACTAGGTTCTCGCCCTTGAGGACACCCTGTGAGATTGAGAGGTGGATGTAGTAGATGTAGCCTAACCGACGTATTTCCCTACGTTATCAGCCTCTCTTGTCCTGCTTAAAATGTCTTCAGTTAGTTCATCGTCAAAAATGCTTAACATAACATCTAGCTAGTTAAATCACTATTGTCTCCTGGCCCTGTTTGATATCGCAGTCCTGGCCTTCCTAGTTTCCCCTTGGCGGCGAGGTGGAACCGGCAACAGACGGAGCGTGTAATTTTTCCACCACACAAAAAGGACAGACTTGGCTGTCCGGAAGGCATTTTACGAGGCTGTCTGTGTAATACGTTAAATTACATGGTTGTCGCCGGGGTGATGGTACCGCGAACAAGGCGCTAAAGAGAGGCGTATCCGGAAGTACCCTGGCCGTATTTATCCCTGTAATTACGTACTGTGACCACTAGCCGTATCTAAAAACAGCGACCACACCCGAACAGCTTTCTCGCTCTTCTTCCCTTTTGCTTTCAACCTCACCTCTTCATCTCTCTCCATCCACCCTCCACTCTTCACGCATCTCACCATGTTCAAGAGGTAAGATACTGGCTCAATGCACTCGATAGACCATCCTCATCGACCAGACAACGTTTGCTGACCCTTTTCTCCTCGCTGCAGCGGCATTTCCCGGACCCTCGGAAGGTCTGCATTTGCACGACCTTCCTCCTCTGTCCTCTCTTCCGTCCGCCCAACCTTCAAGAACAATGCTCTCCAAGCTCTCACAGCCAGATATGCCAGTACGGACTCTGCCAACATCGGCAAGATCCATCAGGTCATCGGTGCCGTCGTTGACGGTACGTTTTTGCCTCGTAAACACAGTCGAGAAGAAATTTCACCATCTCGGCCGGACGCCAATTGGCATCAATTGAGCATCAAATCTCGAGCTCAATGCCATTGGCGATGCATCTAACTCGTTTTCGATGATGGAACTGATGAATTTGTGCAGTGAAATTCGATACCGAGACCCTTCCCTCCATTCTCAACGGTTTGGTGACCGACAATGGCGGCCAGAAGCTGGTCCTCGAGGTCGCTGTAAGTATTTTCTCGCATCGCCAATCATCTCAATTACGGCATTGATGATGGCTAACTGGGCGCTTTAGCAACATTTGGGTGAGAGAGTTGTGCGAACAATTGCTATGGACGGTACGTGTTGATATTTCTCGCAAAGGCTTGGCATCAAACTCGACCTGGGGCCTAGCTGAACAAGACGTTCAATGCTAATACGGCTTTACACTATAGGTACCGAAGGTCTCGTTCGTGGTGCCAAGGTCACTGACACTGGCCTTCCCATCCAAATCCCTGTCGGCCCTGGTACTCTTGGACGTATCATGAACGTCACTGGTGACCCAATTGACGAGCGAGGCCCAATTAAGGGTGTCAAGATGGCTCCTATCCACGCTGAAGCCCCCGAGTTCGTTGAGCAGTCCACCTCTGCTGAGGTTCTCGTCACTGGTATCAAGGTCGTCGATCTCCTTGCCCCATATGCCCGTGGTGGTAAGATTGGTCTCTTCGGTGGTGCCGGTGTCGGTAAGACTGTGTTCATCCAGGAGTTGATTGTAAGTCATTTGAAGCCCTTCCCCTCAAAGTATCTCCCCCAAGGCACTGGAAGGAAATTGAACAATTTTGTGTTGGGAGAAAAAAATTTCATGTACTAATTGTTTCCGTAGAACAACATTGCCAAGGCTCACGGTGGTTACTCTGTTTTCACTGGTGTCGGAGAGCGTACCCGTGAAGGAAACGATCTCTACCATGAAATGCAGGAAACCCGTGTCATTCAGCTCGATGGCGAGTCTAAGGTCGCCCTTGTCTTCGGCCAGATGAACGAGCCCCCAGGTGCCCGTGCCCGTGTTGCTCTTACTGGTTTGACCATTGCTGAGTACTTCCGTGATGAGGAGGGTCAAGACGGTGAGTTTTCAATAACCAAATGATTCAAGGGGATTCAAATTCTAACAAAGTATGCTCTAGTGCTTCTCTTCATTGACAACATTTTCCGTTTCACTCAGGCTGGTTCCGAAGTGTCTGCCCTGCTTGGTCGTATCCCATCTGCCGTCGGTTACCAACCCACTCTTGCCGTCGACATGGGTGGTATGCAGGAACGTATTACCACCACCAAGAAGGGATCCATTACCTCCGTCCAGGCCGTCTACGTCCCTGCTGACGATTTGACTGATCCTGCTCCTGCCACCACCTTCGCCCATTTGGACGCCACCACTGTCTTGTCCCGTGGTATCTCTGAGTTGGGTATCTACCCAGCTGTCGACCCTCTCGACTCCAAATCCCGTATGCTTGACCCCCGTATCGTCGGTGAGGACCACTACAACACTGCCACCCGTGTCCAGCAGATGTTGCAGGAGTACAAGTCCCTCCAGGATATCATTGCTATTCTGGGTATGGACGAATTGTCGGAAGCTGACAAGCTTACCGTCGAGCGTGCCCGTAAAATGCAACGTTTCCTTTCCCAGCCTTTCACCGTCGCCCAGGTCTTCACTGGTATCGAGGGTGCCCTTGTTGACTTGAAGGACACCATCCGAAGCTTCAAGGCCATCATCAACGGTGAATGCGATGATCTCCCAGAAGGTATGTTTTTTCCCTCTCTCCTTTCTCCCCTTCTCCCGATAATTGCGCAATTGCTAACTCATATCCCACAGCCGCCTTCTACATGGTTGGAGACATTGAGTCCGCCCGTGCCAAGGGAGAGAAGATCCTGGCTGAGCTTGAAAAACAATAGATGTGTGAAGATATGTAGATTAAAGAAACCAACTCACCTTGTATCCCAAGCCTTGATTCCTGTTCATTTTAATTTAGTCTTCCCAGGAAACCTCTTTTTCATTTGTCGAAAGAAATGTATTTTTTTTGTAAGCTGAGAGTATGGACGGGGCATCACTTGATATTTCCACGATCGAAAACTGTTTTATAGATATCATGCAGGGTCAGAACGTCCTTTCAAATGCTGTCTGTTCGTCTGTCTGCCTGTTAATTGTCAGCCGCTTCTGCTCATCCGTGATCGTTCTTCGTAAAACCGCGAAAATAAAGTATATCCCTGAGGTCGCACTCACGTCGCCACTCTAGCTAACCATTGCCCCAAGAGAAGGCATATCTCGCCTCGTCCGTGGTGATGAACTTAACTCTTACTAAGGGCTCGAGCTTAATCTAACTACTATTTCGACTTCGGCAGACATTCTGTCATGGGAAAGGTCAAGCAGCTAACTCCCTAGTAGCTGACTAGCGCTGGGCGCCTGTCTCATCGCTGCAGGTGAGATCGACCTTCGAAACCTCCATCGAAATCTCAACCAAGCCAGCTTCGTGTCTGCACACACGAACAGAGTGTCTCAAAAAGCACGCAGAAGAAGGCAGGCTGCATCATTCAAGCTGAGCCACCCAAGACAAATAATGGTCAATGGCATTGCAACGAAGGAATACGACGCTTTTGCCAGTTCAAGATGTCGACCCAACTTTTGGCTCAACCGGCCAGGCAACCTCGGAACATCCCTCAAATTGCTTGTGGAACCGTCATTTGGGCTGTGCTTCACATGTTTTGATGCCGGCGCAGTCGATGCCGACGGGAGCAAATACGAGCCCACCAGCTCCCGGTTAAGCAGGTCGACGCTGACAGGCTAACTTCCCTTCGGTTGAAGCCCAGGTTGGAGACAAGCTGGATATGGAGCAGCCTGGCTGTCGTTCGCTCTGTTTACCCCATACGGAGATGCGCAGCATAACACTTTACTCCACGCTTACGAGGAGGACTATAGAAGGATTCTGGATTAATAGACTGAATGACTGAATAAAGCTGGTGCCTGGCAGTGCAGGGCGTTACCAGTGCGCCCGATGGGGAAATGAAGCCGTATTCTTCCACGAAGGCTCAAATTATCACTCCCGGATCGACCTAAGGGTTACGCTTGATTGCAGGCGAATTGAATTAGGGTTCAACTATATTATGTCGGCCAAATTGGCTGGCTGGTTGGGACCGGGTGGGCCATGGACGTCGAGAATGAGACTTTTTGCTCATCTGGGGAGGAGTCCGGGAGCGACATCACCTCCAGCCCCCAGCCTGCCTGACTGTGGGGGAAGGTTATATAGTTTTCTATATAAATCCAACTTCCCCGGGTCAGGATATACCGCAGAAGTCTTCGTTCCCTGGTGTCTGTTGGGCCAAGGTGCGAGGAAGACTACTTGCATTTGTTTGTTTACTTCAGCAGTTGGATCTAGTTGTACACCTACAGCTGCACACTATGAGAAGAACAACATACCTGACGGCTTTACTGCCGTTTGTCGGAGCAACACATGCAGCCCCGGAGGGACCTCGATGTCGATGCACACCCGACCTGTCTTGCTGGCCATCCCCGGGCCTCTGGCAGACACTGAACAAGACCTTATCAGGAAATCTCGTTGCCGTCAAGCCCGTGGGGGCTGTCTGCCACGACCCAACCTACAATGGAGGCCTTTGTGGCAGTGTGAAGGAGATGCAGATGGACTCTTCCTGGAGGTCCGCACAAACAGGTGCGGTACAGAATATCAACTGGGAGACATGGCCGGAAAGGAACGAGTCATGCTATATTGATGACTCTCGACAAGCTCCCTGCGGACAGGGTAGGATACCATTGTACTCCGCTGTTGTCCATTCCCCATTGGATGTTCAGAAAGCTGTACGGTTCGCCAGCAAGTATAACCTTCGTCTGGTAATCAAGAACACCGGACACGATTATCTCGGACGCTCGACTGGACCGGAATCTTTGCAGATATTTACCCATAACATGAAGAACATCAACTTCACGGACAACTTCGTGCCAGAGGGAAAGCCAGATGGTAGAGGCATTGGCCAGGCAGTTACCATTGCTGCTGGTGTTCAACTATATGAGCTGTACGAGGCTGCTGGCAAGAGAGGACTTACACAGGTTATTGGCCTGTCAACTACAGTTGGAGCAGCTGGTGGGTACATTCAAGGAGGCGGCCATTCGCCCCTAGGCCCATGGAAGGGTATGTCAACCGATCATGTACTAGAGTACAAAGTGGTCACTGCAGATGTGAGTATATATTAAAAGCGCCACTTCCATTCTGCATTTCCTTTTCTTGAATAGTAGCTGACAATTTATCTAGGCAAAATTCGTGACTGCAAATGAATATCAGAACCCCGACCTGTTCTGGGCTCTTAGGGGTGGTGGAGGAGGGACATTTGGTGTTGTCACCAGTGTTACTCTCAGGACCTTCAGGGACCCTCCAACCATCGTGTCACAAGTGAACATCACTATGGGTAGCAAGGCAAACGAATCGTATTGGACTGCGGTTGAGAAATTCCAGGCATACCTACCAGCACTTAGCGATGCCGGCTGTTCAGGCTATTATTACGTGCTTCCAAATGTGACCCTCGGCCCACAAAGTGCAGCAGTTGTTTTTGCTCTATTCTACTACGCAAACCAGACGGATAAAGCATACGTCGACAAACTCTATAAGCCTCTTTTTGCCGATCTCTCCTCCATCCCTGGAATCAGCGTCGCCAAAGAGGATGTCGCAGCTTCATCTTCAACCGAAGCTTTCAGGCCCGTGTTTGGCAATAAACCGCCCCGAGACGGCGGCGGAGTAAACATCCTAGGCTCAAGGCTCTTCTCCAGAAAGCTCCTCGAGACCCCAGGCGGAGCAGCTAACCTCACCACTGCCCTCTCCAAGCTAGATTTCAAAAACCTGCAGCCCGCCATTGGCCACCTCGTTGCTGGAGGACAAGTTGCTGAGAACGCAAATGTTCAAAGTGCCCTCAATCCTTCATGGAGAAAGGCACTGGTTCACCTTGTCCTCCCTCGCGACTGGAGTATCGACTCCACCTTCGCAGAACAGATGAGGATTTCCACTAAACTGACTGAGGTAGAAGTGCCATTGCTAGCTGCCGTGGAGCCTGATATGGGCGCGTATACCAATGAAGCTGATGTGAACGAGCCAAGGTTTCAACAGACCTTCTGGGGCTCGAATTATGACACCCTCCTCCGTATCAAGAATAGATGGGACCCAAGGGGCCTCTTTTTCGTCCGTTCGGGAGTAGGAAGCGAGGCTTGGGATAAACAGGGCTTGTGTCGAGCCTAATATGAGCCGATTAGCACCGACTATGATATGATGACTTGAGCATCCATTGGTTTATTTTATATTTATTTTCATGATAGTTAATATTGGCCTAATAGAAATGCACAAAGCCTGAAATGCATGCACTTAATCGCTAAAGATGAAGACCCGTGTTATTCGGTTGTAAGTAAGTAAACCAGGCCCACCAACCCCGAAACTAATGACATGTTACAGGACTATCAAATCATGCTAGAATAACAAGAAAATGATAACTACAAGATATAAGCCCGCAAAAACAGCAGCCCTAGGAAAGTTTAAGCCCTAACAAAACTCGCCATGCGTATCAAGCCCACAAATGACTTCGGAGAAACTTCATAGCTAGCTGTTTTTCCACAGGGTTGGGCAGTTGCCCATCCGATTACATACTTCATCCCTCTGTCCAGTTCTTTGGGTGGCACCTTATCAGACATCGCTATGGGTTCACCGTAGTTTTCGTGGACGTCCTTGCCATCATAGTATGCCTCAATAATCACATACTGATAGGGACGGACTGATATTAAAAGTGCCTAATTATTGGAAGTTGTTAGTAAATAAATGTTTAAAAGGATAGTGGAATAAAAGCCATACTGGAATGATGTCATGGGGCTCTTTTTCGTCCTTGCGGCCCTTGAATACAATCAGTCTGATAAGGATCAACTCGCTCCGTAGGATAAGTTTCTCCGTGTTATCCTCATTGACCCAATGGAGAGACATGACCATGAGGTGAGGGAAATATTTGTATTTGTAAATCATTTCTGTGAGCCACCGATAATCCTCGCTTCGAGGTGAAGGGCTACTGCCTCCGAGCATCATTATGTTCTCGCCACGGTTGTTCCTTGAAATGACGAAAATTTTAGTAATCAATAGGTGTTTTCAAAGAACAACGCAGTATACTAAACCTAGCTTGTTATACTGACTTAAGTATTTCCATCCCGCGTTGGCGAGCTAGTGATTTCTCTGCCTATAGACCGACCCGCGAGAAACTCCTGTTCAAATCCACCAGGAGACCATTAGATGAGTCAAAATTGTTGGGGGGATCGGGTTCTCCTCGGTATGGGGCTCGAGCTGGAATGTTGGAAGACCATAATTCTCGTTTAGCTCCCTCTCGCTCGTCTGCTCGAAGAATCTTGGTTTGGCACCCATGTGGATCTTGATGCTTGGTATTGTGCTTTCTGGAGTAATGTAGTATTTTTTCGAAGTATCTAAGTAGTTGTAGATTTCTATGAGATGATCACTCATTTTGGCCTTGGACATGATTCTATCGGCGTCCTTTGGATCAAAGCCCTTTCTCACTGCTGATTTAAGCAGCTGAGCAACTTTTGCACTCGTTCGCGTGGGTGGGCGTTCGATTACGCATGACATGGCTGGGAGGTGTTCGACTATGTCACTGTTCCGCGGAGGTGGGATGGGTGATGGGAAGTAACTATATCGTGTATAACTATGGATCTTGAAGGGCAGGAAGAAGACGAATGAAGAGAGAAGGGAAGATCAGAGCATATATGTTGAAACTTCAGAGTATAACCACGACTACGTGGAATACTTAACAACTGGAAAGTATAAAGATGGCGCGTTCATGACTACGAATGAATTTGGGGCATTTGAACCAACTTCAAGGAATCATATGAAGATGCTAGGATTGTATTTTCAATCGTTCACAATGCATTTGATAGAGAATACCCATAGAGGTGAGGTACCTAGGTATTCCGCTGGTGAGAGGAGGGGAGTGCAGTTTCCAGAGGTCGTGTACTTTAGAGTACCTTTATCAAGTTCTATATCAAAGAGAAGATGTAATATTTATTAGCTAACCAGTATGAAAACGACATCCGCCCCAGAGTAAATGGTATATTTGCGACATCCAAGCCATGGTCTGTGATATTCACTATGAAATAGTTGGAATCGATAGGATGACGTCCGAGAAGCCAACGAGCGTCAAGTTCGTTATCTGATCGAGCTAGTCAATTAACTAAACTTTGAAAAGTCACGTGGAGATAAGATGGCAACCCTGGAAGAGGAAAGGATAAGATGACGATCGCGGGGAGTCACGTGGTGCTAGTTACCCCAGCTCCCAGCCCGTCTGCCCGCCGGGAGTCATTCTCGACGACAACAACGTTTATCAACTCCTGTCTATACGCCGACAGACCCCAGCACATGAGGTTCCTACGTCCATATCTTCCTCTCTTCCACCGGCGGGAGATCATGGCGCTAACGACGTCTACTGCCCACTCCCGAGCTCGATTGTCTTACCTTGCGCTCTATTCGGTTCGTCGGAGTTTCTCGGTTTCGGCGACAAAGTCCACCCAGTTCCACAGATCCGATTTCACAAACCAGCCGTATACAAATAGCTATGAGACGGGAATACCTACTCCGGGGCCATTGGGGTCAACGCCGTCGTTCGGTGTTCCTCGGGTAACGCCCAAGGTGCTGAAACAGCACTTGGATAACTTCGTCGTTGGACAGGATCGTGCCAAGCGGGTGTTGAGTGTTGCAGTCTATAACCATTATCAGAGAGTTCAAGAACTTCAAAGGAGGCTCGAAGAACATGAAGAACATCTTGCTCAGAGGGCACGGAGAGAGTCGATGGAAAGCCATCCGGTAGAAGGTAGGAAGCACCCCCCTACGACGTATGATTGGCCGTGTTCAGGAGCTAACTGGTCCTGCTGCTATAGACGAATTCCCAGGTCAGCAGCGGACTATACACCTTTCTGCCCCAAGGAGATACTATGATGACAACTTACCTTCAGAACAAGACCCTCTTGTTGATTCGTCCATTAATATGCTGGAGAAATCCAACATACTACTACTAGGTCCTTCTGGTGTGGGTAAGACATTGATGGCAAAGACGCTTGCCCGTGTCCTTTCGGTGCCCTTCAGCATGTCTGACTGTACGCCGTTTACCCAAGCAGGCTATATTGGTGAGGACGCTGATGTATGCGTTCACCGACTCCTTGCGGCCGCAAACTATGATGTGGAACAAACTGAAAGAGGGATAATCTGCCTTGATGAAATCGACAAAATTGCCACGGCGAAGGTTAGCCATGGCAAAGATGTCAGCGGAGAAGGAGTTCAACAGGCCTTATTGAAAATAATCGAGGGTACCACTATTCAAATTCAAGCAAAACCCGAACGAAACGCCTCGCGCCCTAGCTCTGGGAGCAATAGCTCTCCAGGTGGAAGCTCATATAATTCAACTTCGAGTCCTTCTGGGAAGGCAGAAGTATACAACATTCGAACAGATAACATACTCTTCATATTTTCCGGAGCATTCGTTGGCCTACAGAAAGTTATTATGGACAGAATATCACGGGGATCAATTGGTTTCGGACAGCCAATACGGGCCTCATCGTTTCAAACTGATTCGACGCAAATTAAAAATAATGCACCTGTCCCGATCCTTCCTGGCTCACGTGAAGAAGCTCTTTATAAACAGTACCTCCCTTTTTTCACACCAACGCAAACACCAACGGCACCTGATGAAGAACCCGTATATTTTAACCCCCTCGACCTTGTTACGCCAAGTGACCTCCAGGCATATGGCTTTATCCCAGAACTAATTGGCCGTATCCCCATCACCTCTGCGTTATCCCCCTTATCCCATTCCCTCCTCCTACGAATTCTCACCGAGCCTCGCAATTCATTAGTAAACCAATATACGACTCTCTTTGCTCTCTCAGGAATAGAACTACGGTTCACCACTGCTGCTCTCCACAAAGTTGCAGCTAATGCATTTGCCATGTCCACGGGAGCTCGAGCTTTACGGACAGAGATGGAATCAATATTAGCCGATGCAATGTTTGAGGCACCGGGATCAAGCGTGAAATTTGTCCTTGTCACCGAAGCCGTTGCCGCGCGGAAGGAGAAAGCCGTGTATCTCTCTCGTGGTCAGAGTGGGAAATTCCATGCCCTCATTGCCGCAGAAGAGGGTGAGTGGGAGGAGCGAATAAAGAGAGAGAAAGGGGATGGGCCGAAAGAAGGTAAAGCTCGAAATCAACCGCATAGTTTTGAGGAGTGGCGGTCACGCTCAACTGCTGGTTCGGTTGCAGGGGGCGCGGCCTCATAATTTCCAGAAGCAGAACATTTGTTCCCCTTTCTTGGCGTTAGCGTTTGTATATAACAAGAGTATGAGCATGATTTTATATCCTTTGAACGATTGCAACGAAGACATAAGTTGAGGGGTATATTTACGTACAAATTAGTCACTGTATCATTATTAGTTTAACTGCCAACGGTGGTAGGCAGGCTAAGCTGGCGCTGGTCCATTTGATTTTCCATTGACTTGCCAGCGACCGCTACGTCGGCCTTCATATATCTTTTATTGAAAGCAGAGTAGTTTAGTATTTCAATCTAATAATATTCAGTTAGCCTTAGTACTGATATGCAAGTAAAAAGGTTTTATTCATCTATGACAATAGATGGTAGACGGTGAATTTGATGGAGGACGACTTACGTGGCTCCATTTTTCCCACCGTGGTTGGGGCATAGAATACACCAGCACAGGAAAGTATCTGAAATTCTCGACATTCGTAATAGCCCAACCAGCGAAATATTCAATAAGGTGGTCAGTATTTCGCTGCTCTTGTGTCAAATCCTTGGGTATATCTGGATGCTCATCTTCAGACCTAACACCATAATCCGGTATATGGCGGGTAGACATGATAACAGAGGGTTGACCCTCGTCGCCAGTTTCTCTATCTAAGCTCCCAGGTGACCCTTCACGAACACTGGGATTTTCGGGCATAAGTGCATTGAGAAGACAAAAAATATGGTATAGACTGCGTAGAAGTAGGAAATTAGCACACATTCTTCCAGGGAGTGTGGTAACTTATGACTGGCTTACGTCTCATCCGGCCATGTTGGCCACATTTGTTGTAGCCAAACCTGTATATTTGGACGGAAAAATAGTTTCGGCCCACGTTGACATTATAATCCCAAAAAATAGTGGATACCCATTCTATCACTCTCAATGCGCCTTTAGGGTCATGAAGGATGAAGTCCTCCGTTATAAGAATCACGCAGCCAGTAGGGAATAGCCGGATAATGTGACGATTGTTGCTCGCCCATTTGATCGGGCGTGCCAGAGATAGTGAGAATACGTTTGTTTGACAGTGGAGGAGCTTATAAAGCCTAGGCATGCAGTTATAGGCATTGAACTTCTGGTGACACTATATCGATGGCACGATGTTGGTTAGATATCTATACCAGATAGGAACGGAAGGGGGAAAGATCATAGGTTTTTAACTACTTACAAGTATTACACCTTGTGTTTCCACTTTTGATTCGGCCACATCATTGATAAACTTTTCCCAGTCTCCTTGGTTCTGGTGAGAGTATGGCGCTATTCTATGAAAGACTAATAATTGTTGGACCAGTTCATGTTCCTCTGATTCTGTTGAAGGGAATAGAAGATAGAACACTGGCTGTGCCGCCTTACGATGCTTCGGATGAGCCAAGTACTCAAGAGTGATCCGATAATGATTTTTAAAATAGGTCGCAACATCTAAATCCCTAGTCCTTTCGGGAAGCGGCTTCGCGATGGTTTCCCGTGATGATTGTTGTACTGGTGATGCAGCTAATTCATTTGGTGGAGGCGGTGGTATCTTAGGTGGAGGTGGTTCCTGTATTGGGGCCAAATTTGACGTATCGGTAGTGATCCTGGCAGCTATCTCTTTGGATTCTTGGGTAAGGACACGTTCTCCTGTGGCTTTGGCTGGCCTTTCAGATAATTGTGTCTGAAGTGGAGAAATTGGCATTAGACGTGGCGGTGATACTTTCCTCGGCTCGGCAACATTAAGTAAGTCTGCCACGACTAGGAGAAGTCTTGGGGATGGATGTAAAGGTTTCTTAGTATGAAGGAACTTCCATTCTTGAGCTTGAGATGGGTATATGATTATAAGGCGATTGGATTTTGTTGACGGACTCCAGGTTGCAGCTGACCGACTGTTTAGGAGATGTTCTGCTAAGTAATTTATCTCATTCATCGTATCATCATAGGGGACGACATTCCCGTGGTCCGTCTTGTTAATCTTCTGTAACAAAAGAAAAATCAGATATAATACAAAAATTATCGGTTTTGGAGCACTGATGCCTACCAGCTTGTGGTACTCCTCAGGTGAGCAAACTTTTTGAAGATCGATGACGACCCGGGCACCTTTCTTTAAAGAAAGCAACCAATTTTTAACTGGAGGAGGAAGACCAGAAATACGTATATCTCCAATCTCTTTTCCAAGTGCGCTAAATACAAGGCGAACCATAACATCACCTTTGTTCCATGAGCGCCAATTTTTCATATTTGATGGCTTTCGGTTAACCCTACTACCGGGATTATTGTCGGAGCCATGCGGAGGTGGGTGCCCCTGGTTGTGTTTACCCTCCCTTCGTGTATCTTCTGTTGAAAGCCTGGGAGCCCAATAATCACCACCCCTAGCCTTCCTGAAGGCTAAAAGCTGGCCCGGATCGTCTCGGACGGGTTCTCTTTGGATTTCCGGCCCGAGCGTGGAGGCAGGGGTTGTGGCCTTCTGCAGCGGTTTTTTTTTCTGCGCTGTTGCTGATTCAGGAAGAGGCTGTGGTATTTGAGATGTGGGTGTTTCTGGAAGCGTTACCTTCCCTTGTACAAGAGGTGCGGGGGCACTGGTGTTGTTTCCAGGATCCCTAGGAGGCGCTGGGGGCACGGGAGGCGAGGGATTTGAAAGAGAGCCATTATTGCCATCCTGAGCAACGAACAAGGTATCTATCGGCGGTGACATTGAAGACAATCTGGGACGCTTTCTACATGTAGGGAGTTCTGTGAGTGTTGACCTTCCTGCAGCGGTCAGCCACTCACTAGGTGGCCGAAGGTCAAGTTGAGAAATATCAGGGGCTCTATCGGCTCGAGACATTTTGTGGTGTTTCCGCTGGGTTGAAAGGGTTCGAAAGAGTCCAATGTTGGGAGGTTTCGGAAGCTGTCTGCCACCTGTTGCTGCCGCCATAGAACCGCCTCTCCGAGCAGTTGGGGGTGCAAAAGTGGAAACCGGCTTTCTTGAAGACATGCTGATGGGATGGCCAGCCGTTGGTGGCTGCACCGTCCGATCTCCCCCTCCCGGCGCTGTGACATTGACGGAGGGCTTGACGGAGGGCTTCCGGATAGGCAGCTTAGGATTAGGCTTTTCGGACGACCGTATAGAGGGAGGCGCTGTCGGCTTTGACTTTGATATAGAGGAAGGGGGTATCTGTAGCTGCTTTGGAGGATGAGACGCATCCCGTAGGGCAGATTTGAAGGTTCGTCCGTTACCTGCATCTGAGCTATCAACTGCGCTCTCAGACGATTTTCCAGTAGTCGCCAAATTCTTCTTTGGCAGGAGCTTACCCCGTCCCTTTCTGGAGGCAGGAGGAGTGCGCCGGGTAGTAGATTCATCGCTACTGCTGTTATCGCTGCTACTATCATCGGTTTCCTTGTCCTTTCCTGAATCTGTATCTTCAGGCTCGCTTCCATAGGCTAGTCCAAGACGCATCCGCTTGAGCCTGCGTTTTCTTGCCCTCCGTAGTTTGGCCGTTTCTATCTCTACGAGGAGCTTTTCAAACGCAAGGACATCAAAACCGAGCGCAGTCCCCTTTTGAATTGCTTCTTTCTTCTCGTTCCACTCTCTTAGTGTAGTTTCGGGGTCTCCAAAATGGTCAGCAGGCTCCCAGGAGGACCTATGAATGGGATAATTTTCCCAGCTAACGAGATATTCAGTCACTCCATTGTCAGTAGTCCTCTCAGCCAGCACACCAGCTATAATATATTCCTCCTGTGGCTCACTGGGTACTGTGGATGTGATTGAAATGGCATCCTCATCATCCTCATCCCTATCTATGTTGCCCTGAGACGCCATCTAGGCTAGAACATTAGATGAGAGAAATAAACCGGGGATATTGACTTTATAACCAATTCACTGTAGCTAAAGCAGCTTTTATTCTTCTTTAGCTAGTTTGGTTGTTGTAAAAAAATAAACAGATGTAGGGTGTAGCTAATCTGTAAGATATGTAGCTAGATCAGACCGCGTCAGGCGCGCTTCTTTCTGCTCCCTTTAACGGAATAACGGTGTCTTCTGGGGTATCCACTGGTGATAGTCAGTCCCTAGCTGCCCATTCTGCCTTAGGGGAAAAAGTCTCCCCACTGGCCTTTCAGCTCCCCTCAGCCTTTGCACTTTGGCTGCTCCTTGTCTGTTTGTTTCTTATATTTTCACAGACTTCCCTTCGCCGCTTTGGAAGTGTTTTAGTTGAGCTACCTGCACTAAGCCTCTTTTGGACCAGGCAATGACATAACCACTTTTGATGACTCATCAAGATGACTAATGTCACTTCTACCTCACTTTTTGCGACAGGTCACATGTTAAGTGAAGTACCAGTGACTTTGTCCGCCCAAATGCTTCTTCTTACTCCGTAAAAGCACAACGACCTCCGTCCAAATCCACCAAAAGTCAGGGGAGACATTCCGTTCTAGCTACATCTCACTGCTCGAGTTGAAGAAAGACATACTGCATACCGACAGCTTGCTTCCAAGTGAAGGCATACTCTGCTCCCGTTCTCACACGCAACGCCGCTCTGCTATCCAAACCGTCCAGGTTCCCGATTAGACCACCCTCCCTCCCTCAGCTAGAAGAGCAGCCCTGTTGCCTGTTCATATCACCATCTCCTTCCTACAGCTCTACCCATGGCTAACGACGAATATGATGTGAGTTACATTCCATACCTGCTACTCAGCTGCTGGCTCCTGCGGTCTAACGTATGCTCCAAAATGCAGTTCCTATTTAAGGGTTTGTCGCCGCTCCCCGCACTCCTATCCGCATGCCACCAAGACCTACTTGAAAGACAAATCTACTCCCCCTCCTTTCCACCTTTTACGGTATTATGGAGTTAGAGCGAGATAGCTGACAGCGCTGTGTCTGTGTAGTGGTGCTTATCGGAGACTCTGGAGTCGGCAAGTCTAATCTGCTGAGCCGATTCACGCGCAATGAATTCAACCTCGATTCCAAGTCCACCATTGGCGTAGAGTTCGCTACTCGGTCTATCCAAGTCGACTCGAAAACCATCAAGTCTCAGATTTGGGATACTGCTGGACAGGAAAGATACCGCGCTATAACCTCAGCTTACTATCGTGGCGCTGTTGGCGCGCTCCTCGTTTACGACGTCAGCAAGCACCAGACTTACGAGAACGTTACTCGATGGTTGAAGGAACTACGGGATCACGCCGACTCGAACATCGTCATCATGTTGGTCGGAAACAAGAGTGATCTTAGACATTTGCGGGCTGTGCCGACTGAGGAGGCCAAGCAGTTTGCGAGTATGTTGCTACTTTTTCGGGAGGCAAAAGGGATAAGATCTAGAGTATAGTTCCTCGACTGACTTTGATGGTTACAGGTGAAAACAACTTGTCTTTCATTGAGACCTCTGCCTTGGACGCAAGCAATGTCGAGCTTGCTTTCCAAAATATCCTCACTGGTAAGATCTCTCTGTCAAAATTTCGGCATATTGCGACTGACCAAAACTTCGTCGCAGAAATCTTCCGCATCGTATCAAGTAAAGCCCTTGAGAGTGGCGATTCTTCCGCAAACCAGCTCGGCGACCGCAAAGTCGTGGAAATCACCAAAACCCCAGACTCCGAGAAGAAGCCAGGGTGCTGTTGATTGATCGAATCCTATCCTATTTCTACGTGTTCACGTTGGATGTCATTTAATGTGCAAAAGCAACTATGAAGGGTACTGGTGGCTGGAGCTTCATATCCTGGTTTTCTTTTGTCCGCGTTTACATTTCTGTTATTACATCTTCCTCCACACCCCCCTTTACTTCCAGTCCCTTCTCATCCGGCCTAGGATTATGATCGGTTTCCATTCTTTTTCAATCGGATTTTACAACGAACTTGTTTTTTACGATAGGAGATGCATTCCTTTTTTCACCTTTCCTTTTTCCTTACATTCTAATTACTCTTCAGACTCCTTTTCTTATATCCACATGGTACTCCGTGGGCTTGACTCTGACCTCCGGCAGCTTTCTTTACTACACGTGTACTCCTACTGGCCATGGTGATGTTAAGAATGCGTTCCCTGCCCAGCCCGTCGTGATTACAAGCCGTCCTTACGACCAATCAAAAACTCTAAACCCTCGGATCTGGATATCAATGCTAGATGGCATACAGGGAGGCTGGAGCAACATGATTTTTTGAAAAGTGGTAAATGCAGGATGACAGTGAGGTGTTGTGTTTGGAGCGCTGCCTGTTAGGGAGTAGCTCTCGTTTCACTCGTGTTCCATATCTACGTAAACCAAATAGTATTTAATTCTCAATCGTAAGCGGCTCAGGCGGGAAATTAATTAATTCCTATCGATTACGGGTGACAGATGAAGGAGCCGCACTAGAGGTTTATGGCCGGTACTCTCTGGGATATTGAATTAAAGATATCTCCCCAATACAAGGTCAATGTTCTTAAACGAAAGCCGCCAAAGAGGAAAAGGAGAGGTTACAACGGAAGTAATTATGACATCTCACAATTGTAAGGGAGTTGGAAATGAACTATCAGATATCTGTTGTTGCAACTCCCAGTTCCTGATCAAAGATAGCATCTTTGAAGGCCTCTATGTCTTCACCACGCTCATTAAGTACCCATTCAAGAGTCTGACCAAATGTTTCCCCATTATTCTCAAACCATTCTCCAATTGACTTGACGTATCGTTCCACTTGTTCCTTGAGTCGCGTGTTCTCCCTCAACCAGATGACCTGCCCAGGATCCAATTTCAACATATCCTCTACCACATAGTAATGGGGGATTTCATCGCCCCACCCTTCTGCGCCCGGGTCATGGTATAGATCCGAACGAAATTTAGTTGCATATTTGTTCGTGGATGCTGAAAATTGGCTTGTTCCAGAACGCTCATTTCTCGAGTGGTTGAGAAAGAAGGTTTCTTGGTCATGCGGGGGAGGAGTATGCGAACGATAAGGATCCGCAAAATAAAAATCGGATGAGCTGTGTGAAGGAGGGTAATTCAGGTGGATGTTGAACGAGAGCGACTGTGTGTTTTCAGGGAAACGCTTGTGGAACTTTCGTTGAATAGTGCCGTTACTGGGACATATATGATTTTGTACCACTTCACGAATCACTAGGCGCGTGTCTTCCATCTCAGCTAATTCGTCTGTGGACCAATTGTGTAGCAGCTCGGCTCGCTCACGGACTACAGCAGGGACTGCACGCGACGCACGTGGATATAGAGCGCAATGAAATGCTCTAGAATACAGCCATAGTCGATAGATAGCACGGCGGAGTGTGTATCGTTCGTGATCTGTCAACAGCCGTCTATCCTCAAAATCGACTTTCCATTTCTTAACAGGATAGATCTCCTCCCACTTCCTAGCCACGCGTCCAACTGCAACGATTTGTTGAAGGAGATTAATCGAAAGGGGAGCTTCTCGGATAGCATGTGCAGGCTGGCTGGAGTTCTGAGTCACCAATTGGATAATATCCTTCAACGGACCGTATTCCGTCTCTGCTGCGGCGGCAAGAAGCGGTAGTTTTTGAGAGGATGCGAAAATTTGGTGAAATCGGCGGCATGTAAGAGCCAAGTTTAAAACGTCGGCAATGGATGTGCAGGATTGAAATATCTGGAGCAGGAGCTCTGTCGGAAACAGATATGGTAACATTGTGGTAATTAATAGGGGAAATCTCTGGTAGCTATGGAAGAAATAGTCAGCTCTGTCCTCGGTATTTTACAACGAGATAAAGATAGATGTACAAACGTACGTTCAGCTTTATATTTTTGAAATTTCGGCTTCAGTTATGGTTGGACGTCTGGACGTGCAATTCTCGGACCTGTTCACTCGACTAATCGGTTGGAGGTAGATAGAGGATAGAGAGTTGAATGGTATAAAGGACGGAGGAATTCGAATGGTAACGAAGCAATATGACACGGACAAACGTTTGATATGTCCCCTTTATAGGAAAAAGATATCAGTCTCTCCGTGTGCGGAACCGCGTAGTTCAACAGGCGACCACCCCTCCGTCCCGGGGGGTTATAGAAAAGGTGATCACATCTGCATGATCAGTAACTGATGGTATAATCATTTTGAAAGTATTTTCAAGCCGCAAAGGGCTGAAATTGGTAGAAATTGCCATGATGCTTTGGATTGTGGTTGAAAAGGAGAAAAAGACAAGCTTGAAGGCAAATTCGCGCGTTGTAGATATATACACTGATTACGTAACAAATGATTTACATCAGGCTTGGCAATATTGATATTAAAACGGTGAAGATAAAAAAGGGTCAAGAGATAGTCATTCACTCCTATTTACACCGGACCTAGCTTTTGAGAACATAAGAGACATAGTGATAGCACATAAGAAGCGAATACCGCCCAGACCCCACGGACTCAAAAAGTCCAAAAACAGAACCAGAAGGAAACTTAAAAGCAAGGGGTGCAATAGCAGTCTATGCGAACAAGACTCTCGAATCAAGCTCGTCGACCTTCTTGTCCTTCGAGCTTTCAGTATTTATTCCCAGCTCCGTCTTCTTGACGTTCCTATCGATCTGTCCCGTTCTCCTGGAATTATATCGAGAGGCCTTCTTCATCCGTATTTCGCGCCTAACCTGGTTAGGGCTCACATATTCACGGTTCTCATAGATAACAGGACCACCAAAGCTTCCCTCTAGTATCACAATTGGCGTAAGGACAAACCGCGGTCCAATTTCGACCAGCGAGATTTCAGGACCGCCCTTGCCGCCGGTGGCAGCACCCTTTGATTTCTTCTTCTCGCCAGCCGCTGCTTTTTGAAGTTCCTCTTCCGCCTTCTTGGTAGCTGTAGCAACATCTGTCTCTCTAATTTCGTAGACACGGATCCAGATTTTTCCATCCACGGCGAAGATACCAATCACCCGGTCAACGAAGGGCTTCATTCCTCTAACGCCTCGTTTGGGCACGGTGAACACGCTCCGTAGCATTTCTCTGACAAGTCCCCTCCACTCGTTGCCCTTTTGTAGCACAACATTGTCATCGAAGGAAGGGTCAAAAACAACGATGCCTCGTCCTCCCTTGAGGCAGTTTCCTGCGAACCCAGTACCTAACTCGCCCATTGTATGTAGATTGGTAACGCTGAATTTGAGCGTGGGGCCATTGGGAGGCTTTGAAAGCCATAGATATAGGTCTTGACCCTGCTTGCGCGCCTCAAGGAAGAAAACGACATTGCAAGAATGGAGGTCGGCCAATGAGTTCAGCAGGAAGTTGTAACCTTGTGACTTTTTGGTGTCGAGTTTGCTTTCTTTATACGTATGTGGAAGAAGGGCAGTGAGGTCAGTGACTAGATGACGGTGTCTATAGAATTAAAGTCAGCGCAATTCCAATATAGCAATTGTTGATAGACCCGGAATTTGACGTCCTTCCCGTAATGGAAGCACAAGCGTACCTGTACGAAACACCTCTTGAAGTCAGCACGAGAACTCTAGTTTTTGGCATAAAAGTCGAGTTCTTTTGCGATTGTGAGCTCTTCTTGGTCGTAGTTTTTATGCCGCCATCTTCTTCATCGCCATCATCTGAACCAGCTTCCGACTCGTCTTCTGATATTTCCTCATCTTCCTCCTCTTCGCTGCTATCGTCCTCGAAATCTTCCATCACGTCCATATCAACATCCTCGTCCTCCGCATTATCTCTGGGAGTATCCCTCTTTTTCCTTTTCGAAAGAGACTTATAAACTGATGCCATTATTAATTATAGCAGGAGATAGCTGTGAAAAGGTGTAAAAAAAAAAAAAAAAAAAAACGTAGAGTGAATTGGGTTATCAGTTTGCGCAAGTTGATTTGAGTTTTCTTTTTTGACAACCTACGATAAGTAGCTGCTATTGGCTAATATTGCATCCAATGAATAGGGCCTTTTTCACAATGAAGTTACATTATTGGCCAGTAAACATTTTTGCCTTTTTAACATTTGGACCAATAAAAACTGAGTAATAACAATGTGACTGCTGGCTACGGTTCGGGTTAACTTTGATGCTGGCCCGGGACGCTCCCTTTATCACCGCGCGATGAAACAACAACAAACAACCAACCAATTGGTGCCAACATTTGAACTGGCTAGAAGATAATGCTAACCAGTTCACTACTCCGTATAGAGATCTCTTACCTACCTATTATTATTTATTTATTCTAAGTTTATACCACTTCATTACTTTCCCGTGGTTTATTTAGCCTGTAGACATCAGCTTGTTGCTCAATTATGGCTTGGCTAGCTCTGTGTCTACTTCCGGAGATAGGAAAATGATATCAAGTTGCTTGGTTTCCCCCATAGTGGCAAAGTATCCTGGGCCCTAGTCTGGCGCTCTTCTCCAGATGGCCTTCCCAGGCTCATGCATATGCTTCGGTTCTGTGGTTTCTGGGCGAATAGATCTGGTAGCTGGCATCGAAGACATCGCCGCCCTTCAATAAGCACGGTTTCTATACATATCAAGGTAGGCACGGGCAAGCTCGCTACATTATGTTTCTATGACGCTGGCCTAGTCATGGCGAACTCTGAGCATGGTTGGACTCAGCACCCTGGTGTCTTTACGTTTTGAAAGCTCGGCGGTGATGGTTGTGTCAATGCTGGCTGTCGTGGAAGCAAGAGGGCATACGTCCCCTTAGGCCTGTCATATCTGCCGGCACGACTGAGGGCCAAAGTCAAGGAAGGTAATCCCAAGCGCGATCAGCATTCTATTCAGACTATCCACTTGATAGATATTACACTTTCTACCTCTAATACCCTGGTATAACGGCCACACCCAAGAAGCTCGAGCTACCAAGGATTACAACTGCGCGGTTGAACTTTTAAAGGCTTACCATAACCTCCACGATATCCCTTCTGCCCCAGGCCATTCTGATTTTGCTATCCCAAGTTCCACATCAGGTCATTTTTACCTTTTCCCACCGCATGAGAAGCCCTACAGCTAGGACCGCCGCTGCTCCCGAAATTGATATGCCATAGACATTGGCGATAGTGGTTCCGATAGCATCCGACGTGATACCACGTACTTCAGCAGTGCTGTTGCTAATGATATCAGAATATCCCCCAGCGAGTGCCGCACGAATCTCACTAGAGGAATACCCCTTGCCGTCGAGGGCGCCTTGCAAGGTATTGAAACCAACGTTCTGAAATATTGTTCCACTTATAGCTAATGCTAAGGCTCCGCCGCCTAGTTGTGCCACATTGATGAAGCTGATGGCAGATGTTGCCTTCTCAGCTGGAGATTTGGCAAGGGCGATTGAGTAGGCTGCCTGTAGTGTTAATCCACACCCGGCCCCGATCAAGACTTCAAACCCATAGATGTTTGCAATAGGCGTTGAAGTGGAGATGCGGAACATGAGCACGCTTCCCACCAACGCCATGACGCCGGAAATAACGTACCATGCGGCATACATGCTGAATTTCGGCAAAAGAACTCCGGATAAAAGGGCGGTAAATATAAGGAGGAATATAAAAGGCAGAAGTCGGCCCGCGACCGCGATAGCGCCATCTCCCTTTGTGAATTCGAAAAAGAGAGGAATGTAGTAGATGTTGAAGAAGTTGACAGCACTGCAGCCGGCAGTCCCGATGTACAGCATAATCATCGACCGGCTTTTGAGGCACCAAACTGGGAATATTCGATCTTCTTTGGTCGTCAAGAATGCAGTCCATTGCTGAAGCACATACAGGATCATGGTTACCCCAGTCATGACCCAGAGCGTGATGACTGAGCCCGAGCTCCATGGCCACTGGGAGCCGCTATATGTACACGCCGTGATAAAGAGAGCAAACGTCGCGGCATTGAGTAATGCGCCAAGCCAGTCCAGGTTCTTGATCCGCGGTAGGATCTTTTGGTGACGATGTGCACCGTGGCGCGGGAACCAGAAGATGTAGATTGGGGCAGTAACTACCGCTAGAACAAGATTGATATAGAAGGCCCTTATTGCAAGATCAGTTTGATGTGGCTCGAAGCGTTCCTCTTGTCCGCACTTACCAACGCCAAGTTGCTTTACTTTGAGCAAATCCGCCGCCGATGACAGGTCCAAGGACAGCACCTAGACCCCAGAATCTAACCCAGGAAGTCAGTTTCAGAGCTCCATTATAAACGTTAAACTAGTCGGGGAAAGGCCTACGCGCTAATCAAGGCAGTGTAGAGTGGCCTTTGGGCTGGAGCTGGGAAAATGGAGATGTAGGTCATGCATCTGTCTCAATGGTCAATGGGTTGGCTCAACTGCAGCAGTGTTATGATAGCATACTGACCCAAGATAGATGCCTGTTCCGCCTATTCCTGCCACGACTCTGCCGATTGCCATGGCCTGCATACTGGGGGCTGCACCACAAATTGCACTGCCGACCTCAAAGGCGACAATGCTGCCTAGGTATAACCATTTGACCTCTGCCTTAGTATACAGGGAGCCGAACAGAGAGATGGTGGCGACTGATCCGAGTAGAAATCCAGTACCGACCCATGGCAACAAGCTCAGGTCACCAAGAGAAGCCAAGATGGGCCCTTGCACATCTGCAGCAATCGTGGAGTCTAGGCCGTATAGAAACGCGGTCAAGTACAGCCCAACGCATACACTGAACCACCGGAGATTGCTCATTTTCACTGGCTCCGTGTCTCCTGCTTCTTGTTCTGGCGTGGCGGAACCATCCTTTTCGCTAACACTGGGCTCGGCAGGCGAGTGGTCAGTGGCAGGCGGTCGTTCAGTGGCATCAGGAGTGTGAACATCGCTGCCTGACTTGATCTCCAAGCCCATGATGGCGCTGCAATTGGGAAGGTGAAACTGGCCGCGAGTAAGGCTACTAGGCAAATGAGGAAGAGATGAGGACAGCGGACAGTGAGCAGCGCGGCTTGAGTACTGATACTGGAGTAGAAATGGAGCGGATCAGATTGATGAAAACATGATATCAAAGGAGCAGCCCTTGGATTAATATATAGTATCTACTCCGTACGGAGTACTGAAACAAAGATACCGGCATTTCCAATTTAATAAAGAGGATTCTACCATCAAGGGCCGTTTAACTGGATATGTGACAGTTCTCTCTCCCTAAGGCCTCTGTTATACATACATATGTCCGTTCATGGATGTATACACTTGTTGGCTGTTAAATCCTTACTATCAACTAATGCCAAGTGCTCTTCGTCCGTGACGGAGGAATTACGGCGGATTTGCTTGCTTGCATGTTATCGTACTTACCAACAAGCCAGCCAGCCGCAGTTCTCCACTTGGGGTCTTACTTTTTTAGCAGCGTTGATCAAGGTCGGCCGGGCCGTGCCGAGAAGTCAACAGGTCGGCTTGGAATCGCGTTACTTGCGCGGAGTACAATTCCTCAGCCGTGTTATAAGCGTATGCCTGCAGTACTACTGGAGGTACGGTACTCCGTATATCGTATGAGTAAAATGCCACGAGTCTACGAAGTACAGCATCAAAAATCGATTTAATGAATGTTGGGAGCTAAGTTGTACTCTAACTAGTTAATTAACTGACTAGTTAACTTTGGGATTGAGAGACAAGGGTTATTTAATGACTCAAAACTTACGGCCAGGGTTGACCAAAACCACGGACCCAACACTTTATTATACAGAAAATTAAATTATATATAGGGGGGATTATGGCGTATTACATTTCTTTACCGACATTCTGGGAGCGAAAAGCCTGTCATTTAAGTATAGTACATAGCACTTATATTCCTGGACTATACGGAGTAGTTTCAAGCCCTGCATAGACGTTCTGCGCTAACTAGTTATCTCATTCAAACTGATCCAAAGTCAACGGATGTAAGGCTGAAGAATGAGCCCGAAGGGTTAATATTCTTCTTGATATCCTCTATTCTGTCATACGTCCCTGCGTAGAAGATTTCTTGATATCCTTTCCCGTCCAGTTCACTACACCATATGTACCCGGACTTCCAGCCGACAGAGCGCAGTAGAGGTCAGCACTTTGCACAACACGTTCTCTATTTGCATTCACAACCTCCCATTTTAATATATTATCAGCCGCAAAGCCGTACATTCCAGATAGATGGCTAGTTCACCACCTCCAATATACCCACAGGCCTACCAGGATGCGTTGTTAGCTTCACGAACGAAAGCTCTAGACCGCGGATAAGAGCAAAGAACTGCCTTGCCATCTTGACCGTTGGGCATGAGCCTGCTACAAAAGTGTAGCCTTGCGAGGAAGCGTAGGCTTCGGTGGCTTCGCTCTCTGACCCTGCCTGTATACTAAGCGCTGCTCCATTATAGTATGGTCGCGAATAATCGCATATAATCGCTGTTTCGTGGCAGTTATGCATCCAAAGCGATAGTGCCCCTTTTCTGGTGCTCTAGCCATAGAAGCTGAATGCGTGTTCAGTTAACTATTCTTTGACCAAAGAGTGTAATTATGACGGTTATATGGGAGTGAATCTTGAATATAACTAGCTACTGGACATCGTCGATGGAACGGACGTTGATCAAGTGGGACGCATAGTTTCCCAGTATGCATCTAGTCGAAGTAGGGGCGAAAGGTGTACAGGTAACTTATTGTTTTGAAAGTACAAAGCCAAAACTCAGGCTGCTCGAGGTAGTACTCCTTTCACTGAAGTCAAATATCAGCCAACCAGATAACCAATTAACTATTCGAGAAAATAGTCATATGAAATGCTAAGGGAGTACCTTGTCTGTGCATGGCCCCAATCCGTGGTCAACTCGTTGCACTTAACCCCATCATAGTTTGGGTAATGGCAAACCGATCCAACCGGCACAGTAGCAACCAAACGCCCATTAACCGTGCGGTTTAGCTGGGATCAGGGGCGTTGCTTCAGCCAACCAAGATCTCCGGGTATATCTGCAGTGCAGTGCTGCATGGGCGGCCGAAGGGGCCCCCCGACTGAGAACAGCCTGGGAGTTTTCAGCTGTTTTCTTTCGAGTCCCTGCCATCATGCATGTTACGCCGGATGAGAGGACAACTACACGGCCCCTGCCAATGCACAAGTGCCTCGTATAGGTAGTAGAGACTCCACAAAGAAGCAGGGGCTGGCACCTTGCTAGCAGGGGTGTCGGTACTCCGTAGGTATGGGTATACCCATACCTTTGTATCTGCTAACCATTCCATGACTCCCTCATCACCAGTAATGCTCGCGGTACCTAATTAAACCAAAGAGCTCCAGAATGGAGAACTGAAATGCCCAAGAAATAAATGTTGAGAGGCAAGTGACGACTTAAGTAAGATTATTATTCTCCCCGGAGTATAATATCCTGGCAATAGCTCGTGGATGGAGCAAAGCTGTGGAAGCAGCCGTGGGTGGATAACGAAATTATAACTACCTAGTTAAGCCTCAACTACGACCGAGTCGCAGTAATTAGTTACCGCATCTGGGCCTTTTCTACTGCTGCCTAGTGTCGGCCTTGCTACGCAGCCCACCGCTGCTATCCGCTAGTGTCTTTGACATGGATATTAATCAATTCTCACAAAGCACCTGTCAAGGTACTTATATAAACCATGACCGAGCCGTAGGGGCAAAGACAAATGCTAGCAGTTGCTCTTAATGCCTGTTTTGTTAGGTTTCCACTAACTATTGATTCCGATCTCGTACATGTATGTTAGCTATACGGATGGAATCGACCGTGGTTCCCAGGGTACATACAAATACTTCAAAAGTCAATCCCTGGAATTTACGCGGCTCCAAAGTGTTGATTACCAAGAATATGCATATAAAGATACCCACTAGATGTTATATCCAACAACTACTTACATGCATGCTGAAACGTACCATACCTGGTGACACTTGTTACCCTGGTGTGTTTACGTACATAGTCGCGGCCTGCCAGTGGTAGGACACCCACCTCAGTTCATTCTCCGTTGCAACGGTCATCGTGGGGCTAGAAATAAGTGTGGTATATATATGGTTGCCTGCCATGAAACCTGTACATGGTCGTTATTATTTCGGCTTTATGCATTCCCGGTCGCAGCAATATACATCACTATTGTGCTAGCATTCAACGTGGCTTTTGGGGCTCTTATCATGTTTGGAACGCTTGTCTCAGCCAACTTTGATCGAGAAACGCTGGAGTATATTGAAAATCCAGATCCTGTTGCAGCAGTCAGCCGTACTGTCCAGGACAAGATACGCATTGCTTGCATAATTTGCCGCTCTAGAAAGGTATGTATACCTATTAAAAATCTCTATCCTTTATCTATAGCCATAGGTGAATAAATATATTACCATTCAGTCTACTGTAACAATATCTTTCTAACAAATGATGCGATAGGTTCGTTGCTCTGGAGAAGGGAAAAGATGCCAAAGATGTATATCAATGGGACTCGAGTGCGTATATCCGAAATATCAGGGCCGCAACAAACGACGGGAAAGGAACAAAGCCCGTCGGACAGTAAGTGATGAGTGATGGACGATATCATGGTCCTTAGATTAAATGTTTAACGCAGTACATTCCAACAGACGATTCGGCGTGGCAAGAATATCGCAACCAGGACTGTGTGTGATGAAGCAGAACCCTGCGTCAGAAATGATCAGGCCAAGTACAGCGAAGAATTAGTAGTGGACGACTTTGACGATACAACATTCGCAGACAGCTCCTTTGACGAATCTCTTTTTGCACCTTGGATTATGGATACCGCCATGCAGAGCAATATAAACGCTAGTTCGGAATCAAATACCAATAAGAATTCAACTTGTAAGTACTCTGTATTATTTAGTTCTACAGATATACTGAGCCCTCCTGACTGACACCCTATAGCCACTGTTGATACCACTGTTGATATCGCAACAAATGAATCATCTTTATCGCCAAAGTCTTGTAATGCCACGGCGGTGTCACCTATTCAACTTCTGGATCTGTCAACAGCGGAAATATCCATGACATCGTTACTTAGACCGTCAACTGCTGGCGGGACAGATAGTTTTGAATCATTGGAAGGATCCCACACCACGTACGGTGATGTTGCTTGGACAATAAATGGCGATGGAAACAGCACGGCAGGCTCAACGCCAGGTCCGTTGTTACTCGACCCTTGTGGCAAAGCTCACACAAAATCCGATGGTTGTTGCTGCCTGCTGAACTCCATCTCATTTCTCGAGAGGTTGACCTCTAGATCTACTTCGCATGAGAACCGTATTGATCTATTACTCGCCGACGTTCGCAATTCCATTGAGACTTTGGCAACATTTATATCGTGTGAGAGATGTGCGGTTAGAGTAGAGCAAGATATTCTACTTGCCATGGCGGCCAGGCAAATAAGTATCATCTGCGGAAAGACGGCCAACTGCTACAAGACCATGCGCTTATGTGCCCTCGGCAAAAATGCATCTGTTGGCGCGGTTGATATTTCCGTGTCAACCTACCGCGTCAACCAACATGAGAAGTTACACTTACTCGGAAGCTTGGTGGCTCTACAAATTCTAGAGTGTCAGCAGCACATTAATACGATCAAGGCTCGGTATCGCGATCGGCCAAGTAAAGGCCACGCGGAGGCCCTGATTGAAGCAGAGAACCATATTAAGCTAGCACGGGTCACTATCAGCAGCTATTTATGATGGATCCCTTACGACAGTAAATAGACAAAATGGAGTTACGGCCTGATCTAATTACTGGCAAAGATATAACCATCAATCAACCGCTATTTAGTGCGGACTCGCCTTTTTGACCAAATGGTTGACAGTTATAAGCTCGGGTAGAGCAAGTTCTTCTGTATCAAGCCTAATATACCTAAGGGCTTAGAGTTCGATCCTGGCACTGTACACATCATCAATTTTGCCTAGGTTTTGGACAGTCCCTATATAGTTAAAGGCATAAGGGTACTAGTCTTAGCCACCTAGCAGCCAATTATAATCCAAATATGTCTAGTTTAGCTTGCCTCATACCTCACCATACTAGGGGTTGTGTGTTAAAGATAGAACCAATCGATTAACCGCCATTTAATGCAGGCTCGCACTTTTGGCCAAATGGTTGACAAGCACTTAGCTAGGAATTCACTAGTTATTAGAAATTAGTTAGTTAATTAGTTAGTAGAGAGAGTGTAGTAGCTGTCTTCATGGAAATCTAATATTATCCTTATGAGATTTTCATAGTACTCCTTTATTAAGAACAAGTTGTTAAATGTTATATTCTACTTGCCGCGTGGGAACAGCTGAGGCTTGAATGTGGTGGAGCTTAGAGTTAGCGAACCTTCTTTCAGGGGACCCACTTTAGCCAGTAACTCGTTGTGGCGGCACGAAGTAACTAGTGGTTAGGCTTGTTCGTAACCGTTAGTTCAAGTATCAGGCACCTGTCAGTCACTGGAAAGATTTCTTAACTTTATACAAGATACGTTATCGCTGTAAAGCCGAGATACTGCTTAGGAAGTCTCGGAAATATTGTAGGCCAACTTCTAGTCGCTGTGGTCGGAAGAAGAGACATATGAGCCCCCCTTCGGTTGAAATCGCCTCTGCACAAAACTTGGCACTGGACTCGATCGAGTTGGTATCAAAGACAATCTTTACCTTATCGCCCGTGACTCTTCAAATCTCCTTCACAGGCCAAGGATCCTTGTAATCGTAGACCATAGCTATCGGCTCCAAGTATTTTCACAACATCAAAGTTGTGTTGTGAACAGGTAGTCACTACCAGATAGTCTAGTGAACTGAATAGCCAAGGATCCCGTAGCACTAGTTAGTTAGATTGTCCATAATTGAGAATTGGGACCGGCTCGGCGGTAGGGTCGTTGTGAAGATTCAGTTTCAGGTTCTGGTATAAAACCATGCCAATGGTAGTGGTACTAACGCTAATTGTGGTGGCTTGCTAGAAGTTGTGATTCTCGGGTATATGGGTCTGGACATGTTCTTTAACTAACCACGATGCATTCGGGGAAAGTGCCGTCTTTAGGCCAAATAGAATTTCTCCCATGAGCGGATTTATGCTTTTCAAGGTTATTTGATTTTCCACATCGCATGCAGGTAACTAAAATTCCAGATCGGGCGGCCTGGCGGCTTCTTCGGGCCCTTTCAAGTTTGGCGTTCCTCCGGTCCACGTCATCACGCAATAGACAGCGGAGCACAGGAGACCAATGTATCTGGTTGAATTAATGTACTGATTTCCTACCATCTATCTATCTCCTTTACCAGGATAATGCCTTTGAATAGTATAAGTATTTGATACCAACTGTATCTTTACAATGTTCATCGACTAATAGCACCGTATTGCACGCACGCCTTCACACCGGGACGACTTATATATAGATCAAGGCCGTTTTGCCTGATGGATATTATCACTCTGCTTCCAATAGCCCCGTATATATCCTAAACTACGCGGCGCAACGATGCGCCGAGTTCTGGTATCATTGATGATTGCAGATGAGCACTTTCTAGGAGCTAGATGAATGACGATGACATGAGATGGCTCGATTTGGTTGTGCCCGACACCGAATGTAACGGGATGGTCGACTTGCGGCCCGTCGCCAAATTCAGTCAGCCGACTCGTTGCCTATCCAGCGAGTGAGCAGGTTGGGCTTGCGCACTGCGGACTGCCCATCAACGATCTATCCTCTGCAGGGCGACAACCGCTTCACAGCAGCGAGGGAGCTCAGCGCGTAATCGCCACACGCGGTCGTTATGGAATCAAGCCACTGGTGTATACTCGTGTTGGGTCGAAGCTGCTCGTCGCTTCTGAAACCAAGGCATTCTTGCCCTGCCGTGCAGTGACGTGCGTGCAGTTACTGATATCGTAGTCCTCGGTATTATCCTGCAGACCGCAGCCACCGGCAATTTGCTAGATTGGGAATGCTCGTCTCGTACATCCTTGCTCTTTTAGAAGGCTCGAGAGAGCCGTTTCGACCTGGTGCGGCTTCAATTTTATCCTTGCTAATAAGAAATTCGAGACAGATGCCGCTTCTTGAGTTTACAACAGAATGGAATATTGAAATTCGAAATTTGGGATGGTTTTTTGGGCCTTTTTGGCCCAGTCGTTTGACAGGACGCTGGAATTTGATTCCACGCAGCTTAAAAACCTGTCACAATTGTGTAAGGAACTCTTGTTGGATCGTAGCGGAGGTTGCTGAGTAAGCTTGGCTTGGCGAACGTTATATCGAACTATCTCAATTTACAATGGAGATTGTGGTGTGCAGACGTATGTTTTTCAATCTACAGACTTGCTAAATACATGGGATTTGGATCCTCTTATAGCTGAGATTCCCATACATTGCTGAATCTCATCTCGGTTAAATCTCTGCCATGTCAATCTCGGTTAATGGTATATGAAACCGTTGACTCCACGCTGACAGCGATGTGGTGTTATGTTGGAGCCGGCGTTTGACCAGGATGTTTGACCTGGCGAGTACGAGGCAGCGTTTCGTCTCGGATATACGAAACGCCGCCGCCGCCACCTCCTGCTCCATATCGGTGTAGGCACCAGCAGTTCGACGAGCTCATTCCTGTATAGATAAATAGCCGTGAAATGGCTGCCAGTCTAGATAGCCATCATCATCATCCATTTACACACCTATTTCTCTTCATTTCCAGTGCTCAGCAAGACGCTGAGGCATTAGTTTGCTGCTCCGTTGTGTCTTTGCGAGGTTTCCATCACGTGATGTTCATCAAGCCTCCGAGAGATAATATATTGGATTAGTCATCAAATTATGCGCCACGCAACTATTGTTCCGTCGTAAAACCTCACGATATGCTAGTTACCGGCAACTAACAAAGATATTGTAATTTTCAGATAACTTTCATAATCTGTATATTAAATGATCAAACATATATTGTACTCTGTAGCTTTAAGTTCTGGCTATAGCCCAATCGATTGTCCGCAGTACAGCTCTGATCTCGGCTTGTCTTTTCGGAATATCGTGGAAGCCGGTGTGCAAAACCGTCTTTGCCATCGTCTCCTCGCATATGCTGTGAGCCAGTTCAGCCATCTTGGCCATATACTGGAAGTCGTTCTGCGCCCATGCATGGACAGTTGGGATTTGAATCTTCTGTGACAGTAAGGATGGACACATCACGCGAGGGATAGCATCGCGCGCCCCGTATCGATATATGTCCATGTCAGTCCAGGGGAACAACGAATCGTGGCTGGCTGCATCGACGACCGTCCGCTGTAGCAAATCTACGTACTCTTGCTCTGCGATTGTCAAATCTTTGCCGTTGTTACATGTTCTTGTCCGGTCTCTTATGTCGTATTCCAGCGCCCGCAGCTTTGATATTATAGGATCTCCTAAACCCGCGTCGGAGCTACACGGCATCGCGGTTGAGAAAAGACAGGCAAACCTGACTCGCACTGGCCTAGCAGTTGCTTGCTGCTGATATAAATATGACAGTGTCAAAGATGCACCTTGGCTGAAGCCGAAGATGCCGTCAAAGGGGCCTTCGTCTTCGAGGAGGCCTTTTAGGTAGTCGACCGCTTGCGATATGTGAACAGGAGAATAGCCTTCGGTATGAGAAAAAAAAGGGCCTGCCTGGTATTCCGGGACGCCTGGATACGACGAAAATATTAACGAAACCATCGAAGTCGTTCAGAAGGCTGGTCAACTGACTAGGTAGTTACGTACCAGGGCCGCGCTCACACTCGAATTGCCCGTCGACGAAGACGAGCTCAAAGCTGGGGTCCAGCTCGCGGCGCAGGTTTGCCATTTGCGCTTCGAGAAGGGCGCCTGAGCTGCCAACGCCATGGAGACACAGAACCCGCATTCTTGCGTGTAAAGAATCGTGTACAACTGAGCTGCCCCATAAGTTCTACTGCTATTCTTGTCTTTAATGGTTTAATATGCTGCGTTGCGATGCTTGGGTCGGGGGAACTCCTGATTTGATACGGGCCGAGCAGCAAGTTCTTCCTTCGCCCTCCCTGCGGCTCTTCCTCATCCCCCGTCTGTATGGCCCGGAGCCAAACCAGGATTATTATGCAACTTTCTCCTGTCTCGCGAATCCCAAATGAACTGTGGTCGCGTTAATGCGGCGCTGCCTTGGAGCAAACGGAGTTGGCTGGGCCACCATGCAGTTATAATACCCTTGATGGAATCCAGCTCAAGCCATCCAGAGGCATAAGTGCGGCCATCGCTATAGGATGCACATACACACACACACACACACACACACGCAACTTCAGTCACGCTCTGTTCTTCTCACATCTTGTTTTATTTGTTGTATTTTTTGGCAGGTCCATAATATCTACCCGCCATTAAGCCTGCACTATGGATTGTTCAGATAAACAGGAACCCATTGCTATTGTTGGTGCCGCATGTCGCTTTGCTGGCGAGGTGTCATCCCTTGGCTCTCTATGGGATATGATCAGCAAGGTCAAGACCGGCCACTGTACAGTGCCTGGTGATAGATGGAATAGCAGTCACTGGTATCATCCAGACCCGGACCGAAAAGGCAGCATCGGTTCACAGCACGGATACTTCCTTCAACAAGACATCAGCCACTTTGACGCCCCTTTCTTCTCAATAACGGCCAAGGAGGCGGCCGCAATGGACCCGATGAAGAGGCTATTGCTTGAAGTGAGTTATGAAAGTTTCGAGAATGGTAAGGTAAATTCCAAAGCCGGTCAACAACAAAGTTTGATTCTGATTATGAGTCTGTAGCCGGTATCCCGGTCGAGGATTTGATGAATAGTCGTACGGGTTGCTACGTTGGCAGCATGAGAAACGACTACGAAATGATCTCCACGCGCGATTTTTACGACATCAGCCATCCGGCAGCAACTGGTCTAAGCGGAGCAATGACTGCTAATCGTGTGTCATGGTTTTTTGGTCTCAAGGGCCCAAGTATGACGCTTGACACAGCCTGTAGCTCGTCGCTATACGCTCTTCACCTTGCATGTCAGTCGCTTAGGCTGAGAGAGACCAACATGGTAGGTTGAGACAGTTACATTTCCGCTTGTGATTTGATAGTCAGCTTCTTATTTGATCCTGATAGTCGCTCATCGCGGGGGTTAACCTTATGATTAACCCCAATACTATGAACCAACTCACCGCAATGCATATGCTCAGTCCCGAGGGCATCTCGCACACATTTGATGACCGCGCCAATGGGTATGGCCGTGGAGATGGTATTGGCGCTCTGATAGTCAAGCGTCTATCAGATGCTATTCGTGATGGTGACACCATCCGCGCCGTGATTCGTGGTACTGGTGTCAACGCCGACGGCAAAACACCCAGTATCACACAACCAAGTTCCGAGGCACAGGCCGACCTCATCAATCAAACCTATACCGATGCAGGGTTAGATCAGTCGGAGACTGAGTATTTCGAATGCCACGGTACGGGGACACCAGTTGGCGATCCTCTTGAACTAAACGCTATTGCTTCAACCCTTGGAGCAGCAAGGCGTACAGCTGGAAAGTCTCCTCTCTATATTGGGAGTATCAAGCCTACTGTCGGCCATACAGAGGGATGTGCAGGCTTGGCAGGAGTTTTTAAGGCAATTCTGCTACTTGAAAAAGGAATGCTGGTTCCTACGTATGGGGTAGAACAGGTAAATCCCAAACTGAAGTTGACCGAGTGGAATCTTGCCCTTCCTCAGGATATCGTCACATGGCCCTCAGCAGGTTTGCGTCGTGTCAGTGTTAACTCATTCGGATTCGGCGGTGCTAACGCTCACATTATACTGGAAGATGCTTACCATTACCTCCAAGAAAGGGGCCTGGCTGGTAGGCACAACACAACCATACATGATTCGGGCTCGGATTCTGGCGTTGATGATGCACCGGTAAATGGAGCCGTCCACGACGAATCCAAACAATTATTTCTCTTCAGCAGCAAAGACCAGGCCGGGACTAAGCGTGTGTCAGAGGGCATAAATACGTGGCTACAAAGTGACTCAACGGATAAAAGTTGCCCATACTTCTTGGAGAACCTTGCATACACACTCGCGCTGCGCCGCACACATCTCGAACATAGAACATTTGCAGTTGCAAGTTCGCTATCGGAGCTCACAAAGAAAATATCACAAGGATTGCCGGCTGCAACTCGAGCACAGCGTCATGGAGACAACCTTGTCATGGTATTTACTGGTCAAGGTGCGCAATGGGCAGCGATGGGACGGGGACTTTTTGAGAACCCCATATTCCGTCAAAGTATTGATGATTCCCAGTCTCACCTCCAGGCTCTGGGCTGTAAGTGGAATGCAAATGAAGAGTTGACTAAGATACCCAACCCAAACATCGACCGTCCAGAATATAGCCAGCCCCTCTGCACAGTCGTTCAGGTTGCACTGGTCGACCTTCTTCGATCCTGGAAGATTTTACCTACAGCCACTATCGGACACTCGAGCGGCGAGATTGCTGCCGCCTACGCCGCCTCATTTCTGACCCAAAGCGACGCCATAAAGCTGGCCTATGTCCGCGGCCTCAGCTCTGCCGCTATCTCTAAGCAAGGTGCAATGATGGCTGCTGGGCTTTCCGAAGATGATGCTCAGATATACCTTGAGAAAGTCCCACAGGGGTCTGCGGTTGTGGCCTGCGTGAACAGCCCATCAAGTGTGACGCTCTCTGGTGATGTCGATGCTATAAACCAGCTGGAGGCTCTAATTTCTAGTGACGGTAAATTTGCCCGCAAACTGAAGGTCGCAACCGCGTACCACTCTCCTCACATGCGCGAGGTTTCGCCATCCTATCTTGAAATGATTGGCGAATTATCACCGAGGCAGAGGGATGAGTCGGACAGCAGTAGCCCAGTCATGTATTCGTCCCTTACGGGTTCCATGGTTTCTTCTGCTGAAGAATTGAGCGCCCAGTATTGGGTCGACAATATGCAGAATCCTGTGCGATTCTCGCAGGGCTTTTTGGCATTGCTGAAGCATAAGAGAGTGGCCTCAGGCAGTACCCGCCCAGTAGCCATACATTGGGGAGGTTTCCTTGAGGTTGGCCCTCATGCGGCTCTCAAAGGGCCTCTGCGACAGATCATTGATGCGAGCAATAACAAATTCGCCAAGTCAGCACCTTACGCATCCATGCTCGTTCGTGGCAAAGATGCAAGAGAGACGTCCTTGGACGCCACAGGAGTACTTTGGGCTGCAGGTTGCAAAATTGATATGGGTGCAGTTACCCAGCACCCAACAGTCAATACCACACCTCAGATGCTTTGCGACTTACCCTCATACCCCTGGAATCATACAAGAGGTTTCTGGCACGAATCGTATACGTCACGCTCTCATCGGTTCCCTTCCCATGAACGCAGTGACTTTCTGGGCATACCGGAAGATTCTCCAAATAGCCATGAGCCGCGGTGGAGAAACTACCTGCGTATATCGGAAAACCCATGGATTGAAGACCATACAATAACAGGAACCGTACTGTACCCAGGGGCCGGCATGCTTGTAATGGCCTTGGAAGGTGTCCTGCGCACTGCTGACAGCTCTAAGACTGTTGACGGTTTCCGATTTAACGATGTTATGTTTGAACGTGGACTCGTGGTATCTCTTGATGACGGGTTGCCCGTGGAGACCCGCATAAGTTTCCATCCACACGGTATAAAACCCGACTCGTGGACCTTCACGGTCTTCTCAATGACCAAGGGCTCGCCGTGGGCAAAACACTGCTCTGGGACCGTTGCCCTTGTATATGAGAAGGATGAAAGTGAAGTTGAAGAAGGCCGTGTCGATCCATTCTGGCAGAAACAATTGGATTTACGCAAGGCCCTGCTCTCTACAGCGGACTCCATGGTTATCAATGTTGACGAATTCTACAAAAATCTGGACTCCATCGGCATGCAGTACGGTCCAGTCTTCCGTAATGTGGTGTCCCTCACGTTAGTGCCGTCTATGGGCGCTTCGCACGGATCCATAGCTGTTCCAGATACCAGGTCTACAATGCCCAAACATTATGAGCCGCCGCATGTTATTCACCCGGCAACCATGGACTCTATATTCCACATCATGCTTGCTTCCCTTAATAACGGTCAACCAGTGAAGCAAGCTGCGGTGCCTTATAGCATTGAAGAAATGTACATCGCCCGAGATCAACCACAAGAGCCTGGAGCGCTCTACTCCGGCTATGGTCGCTTGCTGTCACAGAGCGGCCATGAGATCGCCGCCGAGCTATCTGTCTCTGATCAAGAGTGGGAAAAACCAAAGCTTTCTATTAAAAATTTTGCTCTTCGTCAGGTTACGTCTGGGGACGACCGGGAAATGGCTGGTTCCATATTGCCGGGGACCACCAAAAATTGCGCGAGGATCACTTGGATTCCCGATCTTGCTTTCGTGACTAGGGATGAGGATCATACGAAGCTCGTATCATCTAGGGAGACGGCTGCTTTGATCAACAGCTTGCTAGACCCGTTGTTCCTAAAGATGTCGAGTAACACTGTACTCGTTGTAATGTTCGATGAGTCCAAATCTAGCACCGATCTTCTCCTTGATTTAAAGAACAGAACATATGGACCCAAAAAGATCATAGCCCTCGCGACATCCGAGTCGGGAGGCCAATTGATGCGAGCTACTCTTGGTGAAAGTACCGAGAAGACCACCATCATCTATAACGAATGGCTGCCGGAAAACGAACTTCTTCAGACACTGGCGCCAGAAGCTAACGATCTTGTTATCGGCTTGGGAGTCCCTGATGTCTCGAAGAATGCTACAACGCTCATGAAGCTGGCTCCACTGGCGTGTCTTACCCATGCCAGTCAGCCAGATGAAGTTGACATCGTTATACCAGCCAGCAAGCTCGTTAGCCACTTTGTTGGGGATACAACCGGCGTGCTGTTCGCATCAAGCACGAGTTCACCCTCGGCTGTGCTACCTGACTCTGTTATTCTTCTCTTGCCTATATCGCCGTCTGACACCCTTCGTACTTTTGCCACAACAATCCAGGCTAAGCTTGAAAACTGCAGTGTGTCAGTCTCACAAAAAATACTGACTCCCTGCGACGTGGCTTCACTTAGTGGGCAGTCTGTTATTTCTCTCCTCGAGGTTGACAATCCATTAGTGTATGCTTGGGACGAAGACCAATTTCACGCCTTTAAGGCGCTCGTATCCACAGTTGAACGTCTTTTCTGGATTACCCACGGGAGCGTACTGGAAAGTTGGTCTAATGGTATTGAATTTGCAACAAGCCAGGGTTTGCTACGAGTGCTGCGCAATGAATACCCAGTCACAAGCTTGCCATCTCTAGATCTGTCTGCAGCCGCCGATATTTCCAGTGGCCTATATGTAGATTTGATTCTCAACGTTTGGAGAGCGTCTCTTGCCGAGGACGCAGAAATGGAATACGCTGAATCCAACGGCTTGATTTACATTCCTCGGGCCATCGAGGATGCCGGGTTCGACTACGAACTGCAATTAGCAAGTAATACCGCAAAGCCAGTTATGTCTGCCCTGGGCGCTTCGGGGAAGCCACTGAAAGCGAGCGATTCTCTCAACACCCAAGGTTGCATCTGGGTCCCAGACAAAGAGGCGGAATCATCACTTCAAGCAGACGAAATTGAGGTAAAAGTTGAGTACGCTGGACTTGGAACTAGCAAAACATTGAGCTCTGCTCACCACGCTGTTGGTATCGTTACTCGTCGAGCCGACTCAGCCAAGGCATTTGAGCTTGGCCAGCGAGTCATTGTTTTCTCCCACTCTGCCGCAAGGACTCATGTCCGGCAAGCTCAGTCCCTGGTTGCCCCGTTGCCTGAAGGTCTTGGTCCGCAGGAGGCTGTTGCTCTTGTAGAGCCGATGATAACTGCGCAGTATGCGCTTATCGAAATAGCCCATCTAAAACGCGGCCAAGCATTGCTGCTTGACAACGCAGCGAGTGCAGTTGGACAATCCTTAATACGAGCGGCCAAAGCTGTTGGAGCGAATATATTTGCTTTAGTCCGCAGTAAAGCAGAGCGAGGGATGATATCCGATGTATTTGGAATCCCCACCGACCACATCTTTGACTCTGCTTTGGACAGCTTTGTACCATTCATTCAAAGTATCACATACAACTGTGGCGTTGATGTCGTTGTCAACCAACAATCGGGGGCACATATCTCTAGAGCCATGTCAGTCCTGAGTGATTTTGGCCAATTTGTCGACATCAATGGCGGAAGCACCAAAGCTCTCCTTCCGACCTCGAAAGCCAACTTTACTTTCACGCGTATTGACATGGCTACATTGATGCAAAGCAGACCAAGTATTATCAGCAAGCTATTCCAGCGAGCATTCAATGAATATACTTTCCAGGAGCGTTCCCCACTAACAGTACTGCCGGTTACCAATCTTTCGGCTTCAACGAACAATACATCGGCTGAACAAGTTGTCGTGTCTTTGACTGATGCAAGTTCTGTACCCATGCATGCAACATACCAGGAATTGAAGCTTGACAGTCAAGCAACATACGTACTGGCCGGTGGCTTGGGTGCACTTGGCTTAGATATTGCCAATTGGATGGTCGAATGTGGTGCTAAGAACCTAGTTTTTCTATCTCGATCAGGCGGCTCAAAGAATGAAGATGATCTGCAGAAGTTCGCTGAGCGTTCTGTACGTGCCGAAGCATACAAATGCAATGTTAACGATGCTGTCAGTGTTGCCCAATTATTTGACTCCCTCAAAGCCAGTGGCAGGAGAATAGCCGGTGTGATCCAATTAGCCATGGTACTCGAAGACGGCATTTTCGAGAACATGTCTTTCGCTCAGTGGCGTCGTGCGATTGAACCCAAGACTAAAGGCTCACGAAACCTATTGGCTAATATCTGGCCTGGCGATAAACCGTTTTTCATTTTGCTATCGTCCATTACTGGTGTTATCGGCAATACTGCGCAAGCAAACTACGCCTCTGGAAACACTTTTGAGGATGCATTAGCACATCACGCTCGTGCTCATCTCGGAATTAACGCTACTAGCATTGACGTCGGCTTGGTTTCTGATTCCTCGCACTTTACGGCAGCTGGCGAATTTGGTGATCTCTCCAGCTACCTTAGCAGGTACCAGCACGGTTGGCGCGGCCTACAGACGAACCTTAAAGAACTTGGGGTCGTTATGCAAGCTATCATGCGACGCTCTACTACATTAGGACAGAGCGCGCCCGCTCAGATAGTGCTGGGACTAGGTGACCGTATTGAGCACAACGAGAGCGCTGGGGGTTTTTCGAAGGACAAGAAATTCGAGCTCCGCGTCGTCAAAACCGGAAACGACGCCAGTGACGGCAAAGCGACGCAAGATGTTGGTGTCCTCTTGTCCAATGCGACGAGCATGGCAGAGGCTGCTGTAGTTGTGGAAGATAATATCAAGGAGCTGGTCGCTGCCGCCATGGGTGTCCCCCCCGAGGAGATAGATTCTCAAAAACCTCTCTATGACTATGGTGGTAAGTCATATACGTCCACTTTACTAGTTATAAGAAAATGATGTGTCTAACGAGCTTTTACTGCAGTTGATTCCTTACAGGCTGTCGAGGTTCGGAATCGCGCCCTGAAAAACATGCGGGGTGATATTTCGGTCTTTGACATTCTGAGTGCTATGCCGCTGGCCGGTGTAGCAGCCAAAATTGCAGCCAGTAGTCAATGGGTAAATATCACTGCCGACGAGGATTGAGAGAGAGGTTGTTATCTATCTTGATAAGTAGTGTATTGGACGGGATATTAATAAGCTTGTAGACAATTGGTTAGATAACTACGGGTTAATTAAATAGTTGATGTCAGATTTTTGGTATTAATAAGTCATCTGATCTCGCTATATCTCGCTTGATAGCTTCAATGTCATCCTCCACCTTTTGACAGTTGGTTGGTTACTTAAACCAGGTCAGACTTCCGCTTTCTCACCCTTACCCTCACCCCGGGTGGAGGTATAGCTAGTTCCGCTATCCAGACATTTGCTGGTCGCATACCTCTATACCCCAAAGGAAATTCGATGTCATAGTTTCTCAAGGCATAAGCTAATATCATCTTCAATTCACAACCCACCAGACAACGGCCCGGGCATGCGTGTCTGCCATGACCAAAGGGAAGATACTGCGGCGACGTGCTCACGAACGACTACTTGTTAGCCACAGGTTCAACAGGGTTAGAGTCCCCATTAGAAGCCTTTATTCTCCCGGAGAATCGAAAAGGGTCGAACTTTAAGGGGCTGTTGAACTTTTCAGGATCTAACTGTGCAGGTAACGCCAGGAAAGAAATTATAGAGCCCCTTTTAAACGGCGTTCCGTTATTCGTGACCACGCCATCTTTCATGACCTTGCGTAATAGCCCGCGGTTGCCAAACGGAAAATTTACACGCATAGTTTCTCGTGGAACACTGTCTGCCTTGGAGAACTTTTCATGGCTGGGACAGGCCATACTTACTTCGGTGGCAACCCGCGTCAACTCCGCTTTATCACCCCAGAACGCTATGCATGGTATTTATATAATCCCGGTGAAATACCGCATCAATGTTACTAAGAACAAGTCTAATGTATACCCGCCCTTGACGTACAAATGGAATATTCCGAGTCTATCCACGCTGAACTGATTTCCCTTGAGACTGATAGATGGATGCCTGTTAGGATTTGGACTTATCCTGTGTCACAACTCTCCGCAAAAATAAAATAAAAATAAAAATAAAAATAAAAAAAAGCCTCAACTCCCTGGTGAGGTTTCTAGGGCCTTTATATCTTTCCCAAAAGGCCCTCAGTAGTGAAATGTTTGCTTATAAAGGCAATGAGACCACCAAACAAGCACATGGAGCCGCTAAACATTGATACTTCAAAGAAACCTCCATATCGATTAACGAAGGCTCCATTGACTGGCGGGCCGATCAAACCACCAAGGGAGCTGATGGACATCCCCATCCCCATGTATGTTCCGATATCTCGGGGATCCTTGGGGCAGAGAGAAAACGCTGCAGAAGCCCCAGAGATGATTGTACCAGACACGAACCCAAAAGTAATCGCATATCCGATCAATACAGCGTTAGTTGTGGCTGAGTTCATACAAAAAATAACAATGCCTGTGATAACTCCTCCAAAAGAAAAAATATTCAAGCGCCCGTACTTATCTGCTAGCACACCAGGGATAATGCGGCCGAAAGTAGAGGATGCATTAGTAATGGCAAGCAGATAACCGGCAAGTGTAGGATGCATACCCCTTGACACTGCATATATTGGGAGGAAGAAGAGCGGGGTGAACATGCCAACAAACATAAAAAATAACGATACAATCAAGATGATAAACTTCACCTCTTTATATGCTGCAGGTATCCAGAAGGTAGATGATCGAGACGGGAGACGCGCCTTGACAGTAAGGCATGCAAAGAGCATAAAAGGCATAATGAGAAACCCAATGATTCTCACAGACCAGCCAAACCCCAAGGTAGAACTGTTCAGCATTTTTGATAAAGCAATGGGTATAATGATTCCGCCGATTGAAGAGCCAGACACTACGACGCCCAAGGCAGCCGCACGCTTCTTATTAAAGAACTGGGAGACCGCTGCAAAAGCTGGGAACTGCAGAAACCCCATAACGATACCCATAAGAACACCTTGTACAAGCATCATTTGCCAGTAACTGTTGCAGAGGCTAAGCATCAATATTGCGAAAATATAAATGACTGCTGTGGGTATAATAATCTATTGTGAAGTCAGCTAAAATAAAACTTATCAAGGCAATCGTTAAATGGCCAGGATACCCATGCACCCAGAAGATCAAAGGATGGCCCGCCCATTATTCCCGTTGCAAACAAGAGGAATGCCGATAGTGATCCAATCCATGCCACTTTATCAGGAGACTCTCCGCTGAGTTGATGAGAGAGATAGTATTCAGTAAAGACGCCAAAGGAGTTTGAGAAGCCCAAGCAACAGAAGAATATCGCAGAACCTCCGACTGCAACGAGCCATGCCCTAACTCCACCATCTGGTGCTTCCCCAAAATGGGGAACCGTAGAAGGCATTTCTTCCCCTTTCCCCTCGTCCTGAAGAGACGCCCTTGATACTGTCACGGCACTCTCCATGGTTAGGATATATATATGTGTGTATATATATAAGTTATCTGTAGATTTATAATGCAGATTAAAAGATTGAGCTGTTATCCAGCTATATTCGCACATATTCATAAAGCAACATAAGGCGATCCATCATGCCGTATATGCGATCTTTTATATTGATCATCTAGCTAAGTGTAATATCTATTCTTCGGCTTGCTGCTCCTGAAGTCGGCAGTCGGCACTCGGGCTCGGACTCGGGCGCTTAACGACTCGGTGACGGCCTCGGGCAATGGGAAACGATACGGACCAAGAACGAAGGTTACGTGGTGACATTTAGACTTTCGTATGGGCGGGCCGAATTCTTGGGATTTTGGGTTGGGTTGGCCCAATGGGTCCAATGGGCCCTATTATGTAATTCTTGGTATATCTTGGCGCTTATAATAATATAATAGTAAATTGGGGTCTAGTGCTATTGTTTTTAGATTTTTAGCTAATTTATTCATTTAGTTATAGATACTTTAAAAAATATGGATAAATCTTGTCCCTATTTTAAATAAAGCTCTAATAAAAATGAGTGGGTGTAAGCCTTGGTGTGATCACGGGTAGTTAGGTAAATTTAAACTCTTTGGAGATTCTGAGTCAGCCACTAGTTCAATGGAACTTCCATAAATACTCCACTCCGCATAACCTCCGATTCTCATGAGTTTTCCGGTATAAAATCTACCCAATATCGTAGATGTCAATCAGGACCTTTCTAAGTCTCCAACAGGATTGCGCAAAGAACTAGTTAGTTGAAGACTTAAAAGTGGCATCGTCGCGATGCTTGGGGCAGAGCGTCGGCAGCGAAGACCTCCTGTGCAAGTTGTCCACTTCCCTCGTCATTAACTAGCCATCCGGACTGCTAATAAAGGTTATGTAGGGCTTGCTCTCTTTGTCGAAGAAGGAAGATTCGATGCAACCGAGAGGAGCCCTGTAGTAACTGTGTGCGGTCTCGGGCTAAGGCATGTCTCTATGAGCGTAAATCAACGCAGGTATCACCACACCTCGATACCAGTAATAAGCCAACTATGACTAGACTGAGTGCAGGGTTAAGCCCAAAGGGCACGGATCGTATATCAAGTGGAAGGTCTGCTTCTCAGAGCTATCCACCTTCGCTGACGGAAGGGTCCACAAATAAATCGGTCGTGGTAAACCAGCCGTCTCATGACACAGGATCCACGAATAGTACCAGGGCTGGCTCTGGAGAAAACAAACCGTACAACTATAACCCAAATACCCAGAAGAGTTCTTCTGCCTACATTTCGGCGCCCAGAATACTAGAGACCTCGTCACAGATCGGTGGTACCTTCCATATCCATCGTAGGGCTGGTATTCCTAGCGAACCTCTTGCCATATCCGGTGCTATCACACATAAAGGACGTTCATTTGGCCAAAGTCATTGGATCAATATGATTTCCCTAGTAAGCCCCGTGCCATAATCAACCTTTTTCGAACATCAAATAATGAAAATTTTAGTTTGAGGACATCTGTGGGACTGTTGAGCGGCATTTGCAATATGACCAATCTGTCACTCTTTCCAATGTTGAAAAGTGCAAGGCTTTGGCCAGAACTATCAAATCGCGACGTATACCTACGGGCCCTATTCGTCTCACGTCAGATCTCCCCTCCAAAAAGGTGTCTGACGAGCTCGTGGACTGCTACATCCAGACAATTGAGTCTATATACCGAATTCTCCACATTCCAACCTTCAAGATGGATTACGAAGCACTATTCCTATCCGCGGACGAGACTGCACCCGACATCACATTCCTAGCTCAAGTTAAACTAGTACTTGCTATTGGTGCGGTTACCTACGATAAGAACTTCTCGCTACGCGTTCTGGCAACTAGATGGATATATGAGACCCAAGCTTGGCTTTTCAGTCCTACATTTAAATCACGATTCAATATTCAATCATTGCAATCCTATCTGTTACTTCTGTTTGCCCAAGAAATGGTGGGCATTGACGGAGATCCGATGTGGGTTTCAGTCGGCACCTTATTGAGGAGAGCAATCTATATGGGGCTACACAAAGACCCCGATGGAATGCCCGGGGACGATGGAAAGCCTGGAAATACCCTGTTTGTGACAGAAATGCGTCGTAGGATCTGGAATACAATCCTTGAAGTTTGCCTTCAGTCAAGTTTAACTTCCGGAGGGCCCCCATTATTCTCTCTTGACGATTTTGACACAAAGCCTCCAAGAAATTTTGACGATAAACAAATCAAGGACTCTGCTGCCATACAAAAAGATGAATTTACCCAAGCATCTATCTCTATAGCTCTTCGTGAGACTTTGCCTCAGCGCTTAGCGGTAATAACCTTTCTTAATAGTCACGGTTCCTCACTTTCGTCGTGCACCTACGAAGTAATTCTTCAACTTGATAAGGAGCTCCGATCAGGCTATAAGTCTTTATGTAAGACTATTCAAGACTATACCCGCAGTCCTTACCCTTCCTCTCTATTTGAATTTCGCACAGTCGATTTAATCATGCAACAATATCTCTTATGTCTTCATGTGCCCTTTTTTGGCCTATCGTCGGCTTATGCATTCACGAGAAAGGTCACTGTTGAGGCTGCTTTTAAAATATGGCATAGCACTTATCAGACTTTGCCTTTTGTTACTTCTCGGCCTAATGAATGTCCTCGCTCCTCGACTCGTGATCATTCAACGCTCCTAGCAACTTGCGGCTCAGGATTTTATCGAACCATCATGCTTCAGGCTGCTCTAGTGATAGCGGCGGAACTTAGATCACAGATTCGGAATAGCGAAAGCCTAGGCCCAATACCTTTAAGCCAAGATCTGTTTACGGTGCTGGAAAATGCAAAGGCATGGTCTATCCAGTGTATTGAAGCTGGCGAAACCAATATCAAGGGACCTTACTTATATGTGTAATTGATGCACATATTCAAGCACTTCTGAAAGATCCAACAGAAGATTACATTCCTGGGACTTTAATAGGCGCTCTTGAAGATGCATCCGCAGCGTCACTGTCTATTCTTAATGGTGTGGCTACCCTGGACCCTGTTGGGAACTCCACTGATACGCTTCACGAAATGCCGCTGGACAATATGAGTGACGTAACAGAAGATTGGAGATTTATGGTATGTGATGAATTCCCAAGTATATACTCATATTCGATTCAATGTCACTCATTTTATTAGGTGGCCGATTCAATATTCAATCTAGACTGTAGTTCCGATATTATGCACTCGCTATTCGGAACCGCCCACACAGCACGGTAGTTTGAATTTCGTTTCTACCAGCCGATGGATAGATATAAAATCCCCAGGGCCACAATTCCTCGCTGTGACTTTAATCAGAACGAAATGACACATAATTATATGTTGTATACCCAATTCTCGCTATATGAGCGGCGAATTCTTCCCTTGACTTATCGCCATTCTGTAAGCACCGTGTCTCCCTCAGTTGCTCGCACATACCCTAGGCTGTCACACCATAGCTGCTCTCTCATTCTCAAGTCTTCTGATTCAGCCCCAGCCTTTGCTCTCTTAGACCCATTCATATAAATTCCACTCGGATGGCTACCCAGTGTTTCTGTTTCAAACACAGCGTATAATACGTCCCCGACAGATTTCCACGTCGTTCTGAACGGGTCATTAGGTCGAAATAGGATTATGATGGCCGCGACGATTCTAAGAACGACTTGGGCCAAAAATACCCCCCTGACCCAGCCGTCTCGGTGGCTAAGTTCGGTTGGCATGGCGGCTGGGTCGACAGCTAGAACGGATATGCTAGACAGTTTGGAGTCTTTTTCTAGGCGCCTAGATAACTCTCAACTTTATTTCACAATCAAACTTGCCCATGATGTATTTGGTGTTATTCTAGAGACACTTACAACATCATAACCTGGCAGAGTTTCGCAGCGCCATATCTTCTAATACCCGCTAGCCGGTCTGCCCGAGTACACTGCATTGCAGTGCCTGCTGACGAGTATCTACTCCCAAATGACGAGAAAGTCGTGCGGTATATAGGCGACCTCATGTCCCCGATGCTAGGCCTGAGCACATCAGAAATCCACCAGCTTGAGCAAAATGTAGATGTTATTTTACACGCTGGTGCTTCTGGTCATTGCCTGAATACTTATTCATCCCTACGGACGCCAAACGTACTTTCAACACACTTTCTAGCATCATTAGCGCTTCCGCGATGGGTTCCCTTCCTCTTATCGTCTAATCGTGTGGTTCTGTTATCTGGGGGTACTTCCCTGCTTCCAGGCTCCGTTTCAAACTTTATGCCACCAATTGACGGCACCGAAGGCTATACCGCGAGTAAGTGGGCAAGCGAAGTGTTCCTTGAGAATATGATGGCAGCGTGCAATGAAAATGGCTGTGTGCGATGGCGAGTGACCATCCATCGACCTTTTATAGCAGTGAGCGAACAAGCTCCACCTTCTGATGCGCCTAGTTTCCATCCTGCGATATTCAGTTGCCATGCGTTGCGTTCCAAGGCTGAATGAAACGGTAGGGTATATTGACTTTGCAGCAATGGATGCAGTCGTCAATAATATCAAAGATGCGACCCTTGGACTCGCTTATACATCCGCTCTGGGATCCTGTCCGCCTTCAATCAAGTTCCAACACCATTCAAGTGGCGTCAAAGTACCCGTGCATGACTTCAAGAGTTATATGGAAGAGATTTACGGGGTGTTTTTGACGAGGTAGATATAGGAGAGTGGATAGTTCGTGCCCAAGGAGAAGGTATTGACCCTCTGATTCCAGCATATTTGGATGACATCTCGAAGAATAGCTCAAAAATGACATTCCCATATATGAGTGAAGGGCTAGTCAAAATATTTAGATAGCTACATTAGTGTTATAGAGAGCTGGCTTAGTTATGGGCAGCGCCTGATTGTCTAAAGGGTTAACTAGGGTTAACCACCCGCTAGTTCTATAAAATATTCCCAAGTTTTTATATTTTTGATAAAGAGAAGCCGGAGCAAATTAGTGATATGAAATAAAAACATAATAGATGGTTTTGGTCCTGCTTTTCAAAAATATTTATCGAACAATGTGTATCGCTACGGAAGTAAGCAAAAAAGAAGCTCTCGAAGCGCAAGTTCATATCATCAGATAGTTCAAATTACAAAAATGCGAAGATGGGCAGTTACTATTTCTTCTCCCCGTCTCCTTGTTCGTTCGCTCCTCATGGAAGTCAAAAAAATATTATCTCCCCCAATTACCGGAATATCCACCGACATCTCCATAATGCTGCTGTTGTGGTGGTGGTACGTAGTCGGCACGAGGTGGCATGCCGGACTGATATCCTCCGTACTGCTGCTGCTGCTGCGGCGGCGGCGGTTGATGCTGCCATGATGGCCCATTTCCAGGGCTACCATGCTGTCTTGGAGCTCCGTATGAGCCAACGGGAGGGCCCTGGATTGAATCCTGATACACGGGTCTTCCCTGGTCGATGAGAGGATCGTATATAGGATTTGAACCGAAGCCAGGTGGTGGTGGTGGCATGTTTCTCGGTAAGCTTTCGGGCTCTCTGTATCTGTGATCGTAATTCCCCGCGGGGGGGCCTCGAGGGGGGTATGGGTTGGCCGGCCGGTCCAGCCTGGTACTTTGCATATGATTCTTGTCGTTCCGACTGTCTTTTCCTCTGTGCTTCACGGTGGGACAACGGGAAGACGGGAGGGGCGTTAGGGATCTTCATTTTAGGAAGGGTGATTTCCATGTTCTTGGGGGTCGTTGGGGTTTGCACTGGAGAGACTCGGGGAAGGGAACTTTCCGGGGTGTTACTGGGAATTGGCTGGTTCGTATACCGGGGATCTGCCGCCGGTTTGTGGAGGGCCAGAGAAGGAGCGAGCGTTAGGGTCATGCATCTGACCTCCATAGAATCGCCCTGCGTGCTGGTTCATTTGTATACTGTTTACATGTGGTGGTTGGCCCATGGGGACGCTGCTGTTCTGCATGGGTGTTTCGTTGAATGGTTGAGGGTGAGGAGGGAAATGTTGCTGTTGATGTTGGTTGGCTGGTGAGCCCGAGGTAGTATGGAAGCCCTGTACCTGGCCAGCCATAGATATGGGCTGTTGGGGTGTATTACTTCCAACCCGCGAATGATTTGGCTGTTCAATAGAAAACTGGATTAGCTGGCTTGTCCAAGTCCAATGATGGGCACAATATCAACAAGATCAAAACATACACTATTATGCTGGACCATCATCTCGTCCTGGTTGGCTAGGGTAGAGATATCAGAGATAGCATGCACTGGCGTGCTTTGGGCCGAGGAACGTGGATGGGGCACGCCATCTCCGGCAACTGGAGTCCTCTGTGATCTTGGGGAAGTGCTCTGAGGTGATAGTTGTTGTGTAGCCTGTATCGAACACGCAATAGATTAGCCACCGTCAACCCGAGTAACCAGAACAAAATCCCAACAAGCTAAGAGAAGAAAGACTGCGACTTGAGGTCGGTTCAACGTACCGCGAAGTTGCCATTCCCACCCCACTTCGCATTCCTCACTTCCATCAATTCTCTTGTAGCTTCGGACTCAGGCGAGGTGGAACTCATGGTGAGAGGAGAGGGATAGGGCCCAGGACTGGCAGCAGAGTGAGGAGTCGAAGACGTTGATGCAATAAACGGTTCGGTCGGTATCTCCCATTGTGATTTCCTGGTTACGGGCTGGACATAATACCATCGCTGCTGGCGCCCATCCCACTGAGCAAGCCTAGAACAGAACAGCAGCACAACGGTTAGCGATGCAGCAAAAGAAAAGGAAATAGAGAGAGTCAGCTAGAACGTACCATCCCTCGGGGAGTACTGGAGGAGAAGACGATGGGCCAGCCGCATCCGGGCTCATCACCCTTGAAGACTGCGGGCTCATCGTGTGTGTGTGTGTTGTTAGGTGTGCCGGCGGCAGCCAGAGACAGATCTCAAATGGCCCCCACTAACCACCTAGTTAACGGCAACTAGGAAACAGCCGTTTTATATCGAACAGCCACCGATGTCGAGCCAGCAACAAACGGCCAAATGTCGAGCGAGAGGGTATTAATAACGGTGCGACGCTCGATGTGTGAAAAGTTATACCTGGACAGTTATATACCTAGGTAACTGATGTCCTATCCCGCCGTCCAGAGGGGAGTAGTTGTAGATGACCCTGACAACTACCAGGCGACCGCCCAGCGAAAGAGATGTTGATATTAAAAGGACAAACAACAGAAGACGGAGAAAAGGACAAGAAGAGCGCAGCGCAGAGGAGAAAGAGCAAGGACGCTATTGAGTTTGCATGGTGATGTGATTAGTCGTAGATCGATAGTTATATCGTCGAGTGTGATAAGAGCGCGCAGGACAGGGAAATCTGGTCTATCAGGTGGGCGGTTTTCGTCCCTTTTACTGTACAAGGTCAGCGAGCCAGCAGGAGGCAGCAGGCAAGCGAAAGAAACCAGATGGAAGACGCAAGATGAGATGACGAAGAAGAAGAAGAAGAAGAAGAGAAGAAGAAGAAGACGAAGAAGTAGCTATTTTTTTCTCCTTGCTGGTGGGGATGAGATGGAGACGGACGGCAGGTTAACTAGTGGACGGTTAGCAGTAGAGACGATGATATACACGGCGCCGACCTCCTCCTCTGCCTCTTTTCTTCTTCTTGAGCTGCTCTCGTGCCTAACAGTCAGCTAGTTAGTTAGTTAGGTAGATGGACATCCAGCTTCTATTTACACTAGTCAGAGCAGCGGGAGCCCGTCCTGTGTTCTCCTCTGTCTGGCCCCTTGATGCCCAACGGCCAAAGATGTAACTTGGGCATGGAAGAAGTACCAACGATCAAACCACCTGGACTTCCATACATCCATCCCGCTGCGTAAGAGGCCGGTCGTCCATGCTTTTTTGAAAGAAAAAAAGAGGGAAAAAGAAATGACAGGGAAAGAAAAGGACGGAGGCACTCTGATCATGCTTCTTTTCGCGTAAGTGTGTGTGCTCGACCAGGTACAGGACGGACAAGGCTCGCTTGCAGGGGACACAGAAGATCTAGGGTCTGGTCTGGCACGGAGTACAAACATACATATATACATACATGCTATGTAACTGCTAGGACTGTGATATATTTATACGTGCATGCAAGGGTTTTTTCGTCATTCGCTTGGCCGGAGGTGCATATGCTTACTGCGTAGTTGCTGCGGGTTTAGCTAGCTACATACATGTATGTGCGACGAAGGTAGAGGGGAGTGTGTTAAGTAAGGATCGGTGCAAGGGAAGGGAAGGGAAGCCTTCCTTTTTCCTTTGTCGTAAAGAGTATATGCGGAGTGTCCTCGTGGTTATCATATAGCTATGCACCCAGGTCAATAATAAGTTATAGCAGACAAGACGGACGGAGGGCTGGATGTTGCGAGAGCTCTTCCGCTGCAGATGTTGCATTGATTAACTATATAGTGTAGGAAAAAACAGAAAACAGGAGAGAAAAAAAAGACCGCCCAGGCTGGTTATCCTCCCTCCCTCCTTCTCCCCTGATATGCTGCCTAGTATCGCCCAGTTTTATAGTACCGCCGTAAGTAGTAGTTGAAAATTGAGAAAAACGCCGTGAATCCTGCTCCGTTTTTTTGATAATTTGTAGGCCCAGATGAAAATCCCATGATGATAATGATAATGATGATGATGCAGATGAAAACAATGGTGACAAAATGCAAGACAATGATTTGAAGGAGAATACGGGCTCTCTCTCCCAATAAGAAAAGCAGAATAAGATATAGAAAATTAAGAAAGGGAAAAGGGGGGAAGGTTTTCGGTCCACAAAACCCAGTCTGTGTAGAGGGTTTGTTTGCTGTTCGACCATAAGAGAGACGGAGGCTTCGTTTTAAGTAGGTTCGTCACTTATATCGCTCCTGAAAGGACCATTCTTCGTTCACCAAGCGTACTCGTCGTTCATAAAGTCAATGTCGTCACCGTTCCAGTCGTCGTCTCCGCTGGGTTCTGCATCACTGAGGTTCTCTGCTGGCAAGATAACGTCTGCAGGCCGGAGATTGTCGATTCGGATCTTCACCACATTGCACATTCCTGGACCGATACCCGTGAAACGCTGATGCATGATTGGCAGTGTGATGTTTCGAGTAGGAAGCTTGTTTGGGGATGTTCCATCACTAGATCGTGCGCTTTCATCACCACTCATGGACGATTTCCGCTCAGCAAGACGTCGGCTCTTTCTCCTGGGTACATTATCGTCTGTGGCCTCATCTCGGACAAGATGTGAAACGTCAGAAGCATCTGACCTCGGCGATGGTTTACAGGCAGGCACCACTGAAGATGACGCCTTCATGTTTCTGCCGGAGATGCAGAGTGGAGGCTCACTTCTTCTGAGAAACGTTCGTTCAAGCGTTCGGGCCCATTCGTCTCTGAACTGAGCACGGTCACGCCAGTCGGTCTTCAGGATCGCGGTAAGGGTAAGTTTGCGCAGGTACTTCAAGCGTGGAGCAGCCTCAATCAACGATCTGAACACAGCCTCTGCGGTCGTGATGTCCCATTTACGAAGACGTTCGAGTTCAAGCGTTTCCAGATTAGACGGCCATGTTGGAACCTGGCCGGGATGAAGGAGGAGCTCAAAGCGTGGTTCAACGTCATGGGCCAATGTGTCGCCAGAGCTGAAGTTCAGATCCATCCTGAAAACACGCAGGAGAGGACAGGATGCCCGCAGTCCTACAGTGAAGGACATGTCAATATCCTTGTTATGGATCAGATTAAGAACCTCCATCTTCTGGCCATGCTCGAACAGATAACTCGCAAGACCTTCTGTGTCCACGTTTTCACACTGGGTTAGGGTTAAAGTATGCAAGTCGACCGGCAACTTGAAGAAAAAATCATTAGAAATGAAGCACTCGGTAAACCCCAATACCGAGAGCTTTGGAAGAGCAACTAGGGAGGAAACTATAAGTTCGGCTGACGGCGGATAGTCGATACCATGCTGAGGCTGCTTCGTGTCAGCTGGCTCATACGGCCAGATTCTATAGAATCTCACTGTTCTGAGTGAGTGAAGCATTGGATGGAGATGAAATTCCTTCAATCTCGATAGCTGCATTCTGTTACTCCACTCCCAGCTTTGAAGCTGGATATGATCTGGTACCGTCGACTCAAACCATTTCTCAAGAAAGGCCAGCTGGAACGGCTTCGACATCTTCCGTGGAGTATCACTGAGATCACGGATCTGAAGATGCTTTAACTGCGGTGCAAGCACCAGGAAATTATGTAGCGGCATGTTATCCGCCCTGGGAACATGGGTATATAGTTCCAAACATTTTACCTTGCTACGATAATTGGTCAGAGACGTGGACTGATCCAGCTCTAACGGCTTTCTAATCTTCTCCAGCCATTCCATCGAGAAGGCGGTCGCAGAATGATACAGGGCAGCAATAGCGGGCTCAAAAAAGCCCTTGCAGAGCCGGGAAACACGCATCAGCCACCGTATCGACTTCCACTCCTCTGTGACTTGAGTCCCTTTACCCATCGGCGCAGCTTTCAGAAAGATATCGAACAGAACGTGGTATGGGAGGGTCTGCCATGGTGGAATGTTTGCGGATTCAATGAGGGATGGCATATCGAGGTCGATTTCGTCTTCCAGCTTGAGCTGTTTAGGTGAGGTGGTCAGGACTTCCTTGCGGGACGCTTGAAGAAAGAGAGCTCGTTTCTTATTGCTTGATGATGACCTAGTGATTCGTGCTCCGGACGGCTTTCTTCTCCGAGGTGAAGGAGAAAGCGAACGCCGTTCAGTCTGAGGTTCCTCCGAAGGGATAAAGTCAGGATATACCAGTGGCCGAACGGTTACTGGGGAGCTGTCTGAGCTCTCGTCGTAGACGTCTACCTCATCCGAGTCCGAGCTGTCCTCGCGGTAAGTCTTCACTCGAGTACTGCTTGCGCGAAGAGGCCTGCTCGAGCGCCTCGGAGGGTTGGCGGGCAAAGGACGAAGACTTGGAGCCATGCTGCGTCCAAGGGCGGGTGCATCATTGAAAGGTAAGGGTGAAGCGAGATAAAGGAAGTAGTTATCGAGGATCGAGGAAACTGCCGAAACCAGCTCAGCAGGCGGTAGAAAGGCCTATAAGGACCGAACAGCGTCAGGGCGCCTCCCACACGACCCCACAAGCTCACTCGTCGCAATCCATTCTCTCTTTGGTCTATAACTGTTAATGTTCGGATATATCGTCATTGACTTGGCTCGTCGTTGACGTCGGTTTTTTCTTGAGGCTCTTAGAAATAGCAGAGCACGTGACTGCTGTCACGCCTACGACGGGATAGCGGAGGAGAAAAAGCACGCCTCAGCAGCTAAAGAAACACGGGAAAAGATAGCAAATAGGCCTGGAATACTCCGTACATAGACACTAATAACTAGAAGGTTTAATAATTAATCTATGATTATCTATTTACTTATAAAGAGTAGAAACATATAAGAAATGTTAAGCTTCGGAGGAAGGATCCAAATAAAGAGTTTTGATTGGCTGAATTTGCTTACATTGACACAATGCTATTGGTTCGGTTATTATTTTTCCGAGGGATGAGTAAGCCAGCCGCAAAGATTCAAACACAGTGTTGGTGAGCATCTCGAACAGCATCAAACACCACATTCAACACTATACGGAGTGTTGCACCCTATTATGCCTGTGGGTAGGCCATCTTATCATTAGCTTATATCGATCTTATGGAGACGCACAAAGCATTGCTGCGGTTTATGCACCACTGAAAGACAGCCGATGTATCCAGAAAGTGCCTCGGGGCATTGGATCATCATATGGCATCAAGCTAGGGCACCATGTAGTTATTCATAATCTCCTCGACTGAGGGAGTGCGCTTCTCGGCTATGGCTGCGCTGAAAGCTGTAAGCAACGCCTGCCTAGGTCCTGATTGGGCGTCACTGTTATCGGCCAACAGTTTGGCCCCCAAACACATGGTTGTGCTTATAGTGCCGAGGCCCGCGACTATGAAACCAAAGGTCTCGTCCATGATAGCTACGGGAAATACGTCAGGCTTGCGACCCTCCTGCCGAGTGTACTTTTCTTCCCTGTCAACAATACAATCAACGGTAGAAAGCTTCCATGGCTCCCACGCACTCGAGCCTTGGCTCTGCTGGCGTAATTCGACTGCCTTTTCGATACCGCGGCGTATACAGTTATTTTTATGTGCATCCAGTGCCTGAATGTTGGCATGACTTTCAAGTACCACCACATCATACCCGGCGACGGTGCATGCTTGATATGCTTCATAACTTCTCCAAGCTCGAGCATCGACTCGATTGTTTTGTCGTTTTCCGCGTGCGGGAAGCGGACTGGCTCGTCTGCATTTCCTCTAACAGGGCTGAAGTCATCCGCCGAAACACCCTTTAGCTGTTCCGTCTGTCTCTGTGGCGCTGTGAGGGAACCCTGATCGGAAGGAAAAGACCACCACGGCATCGAGGGCCCAGTGAAATATGCCTTCTGTGGCAGAGAATGACCACCCGCCGGTTTGGCGCAGATCAAAACATGGTTGGGTTTCGGAACCTCCCGTAACTTAGTAAACTGAGTTAACCAACTCTCAGCAAGACATCCATGTAGATATTGGCCTCAACAAATGTGTCAACAACGCGCTGCCCAACAGATGCAAACCCTCAACAGCGAGAAACTATCTATATCCTTGTTCTTCATATTTTCTCGATCAAGATCCTGCCATGCGAGTTGTCTTCTTTAACTACTTTCCACGTTGAACGTGTCTGAAGCATTTATACAGTGAAGCCTCACTCTACTCGAATCAACCGTCATCTACCACCACCCAATCCATAGTTATTTCGATACTCCATGGCGGAGCCGGCAATTACTGTTTCCGGGACAGACGGACGAAAGTCCAAGTCTGTCCATGATGAGAAGAAGCCTCACATAACAGAGACGCCCATGACCTGGCAGAACTGGCACCAATTTGTCAACTGGCTGAGCGTATGCTTCATCATAATTGTGCCTCTTGTGGGCTTGGTGGCGGCTTATTTCCTTCCCTTGAAGCGCGCAACCGCCATTTTTGCTGTCATCTACTATTTCAATACTGGACTCGGAATCACAGCTGGTATGCCCAACCACTACAACCATAATCAAATTTAAAGAGCAGGTATTGACTCTTGACGAAGGATATCATCGCCTGTGGGCCCACTCATCGTATGAGGCGTCTACTCCCCTCAAGATTTATCTCGCTGCCGTAGGTGTTGGTGCCATTCAAGGGTCTATCCGATGGTGGTCGAGTGGCCACCGCGCACATCACCGCTATACCGATACAAAAAAAGATCCCTATTCCGTGAGAAAAGGGCTATTATACTCTCATATCGGCTGGATGGTTATGAAACAAAACCCCAAGAATATCGGCCGGTCCGATATTACGGACTTGAATCAAGACCCTATCGTTATGTGGCAGCATCGACACTACATTAAAGCCGTTCTTTTCATGGGCCTTGTATTCCCTACATTGATTTGTGGCTTTGGCTGGGGGGACTGGGCGGGTGGCTTTGTATACGCGGGTATCCTACGTGCAGCTTTTGTGCAGCAGGCAACTTTTTGCGTTAATTCCTTAGCCCATTGGCTAGGAGAGCAGCCATTCGATGATCGCCATTCACCTCGCGACCACGTTGTCACAGCCCTACTAACTTTAGGCGAAGGTTATCATAATTTCCATCACGAGTTTCCTTCTGATTACCGTAACGCGATCAGATGGTGGCAGTATGATCCAACAAAGTGGGCGATATGGACATGGAAACAACTAGGCCTGGCATACAACCTCAAGGAGTTTAAACAAAACGAGATTGAAAAGGGCCTCGTCCAGCAGCTACAGAAAAAGGTGGATATCAAGCGCTCCCAACTGGATTGGGGCACGCCTATCTCTCAGCTGCCGGCCATGATCTGGGATGACTTTAAGACGGAGGCTGCTAAGAAAAATGGACGAGCTCTTGTGGTTATCGCGGGCGTCATTCACGACGTGGCTAGCTTTATCGAGGAACACCCCGGAGGCAAAGTGCTCATATCATCAGCCGTTGGCAAGGATGCGACCGCTCTCTTCAACGGCGGCGTCTACCAGCACTCCAATGCTGCGCATAACCTCCTCTCAACGATGCGCGTAGGGGTCATTTACGGAGGAGGCGAAGTCGAGATTTGGAAGCGTGCTTACTCTGAGAAAACAAAAACGATCTAGTTGTCTATGACTATAGGCGATTAATATGAAGAACTAATCTTACAAGATGGCCATTGCTTTTATACTTAGTATGCAAATGCGCCCCATTAAAGAATTGATAAGGTGGTCCTGGTGATGCGGGTTACCAATGCCAAATTCAGCGCCCGCGATCCCGATTGCATGGTATCCTGAATCCTAAGCGTATGAGATATCGAGCATACCTAGGTACAATATACAACACCGCGCTTTTAGGCGCCCAAATATCTACCTACTTAGGTACTTAAGGTTAAGTATCACATCTTATCAATTTTAACCTGACTTTTTAAACACAGTGAAGTTACATAACACAAGACGGGTTGAACAGCTGGCTCCGCCCGCCGATTGAATATTCAATTTAAACCGCCTGTTCGTTAACTATCTAAATCGTATTCTTACGAATTAGCTCTTTTTGACGGTTATATATACCATACGGCTAGTAAGGGTAGATATCGTTTTATACCTATCTAGTCGCTACACGGGGCTTATTTTAAGTCACGTAACACTATATTGAAACTTGCTAGAATCCTAAAGAATAGTTAAATTAGTAACGAAGGAGATATCTAGTTTAATATACATAGTTTCATTTATATTCAGATAGAGAAAACGCCTTTTTGGTAGTACTACAATAGAAAATATCCAATAGATCTGTTACTACTACTAAGCTATAATGGGTAAAAGTCAACATGAATATAGAAATAGCTCGAAGGGCTCCCTATTGTTATCTTGCTTTAGAGCGAAGGGAAGAAACCCAACAGAAATATAAACCAGCTATAAACAACCTCCTCCTAGCTACAAATCAATCGTTATTCGATACTCCTGCTTCGTTCGAGAGTTCAGCGGCGAGTTCCCCTGTATCTGCTCCCAGCTGTAGAAACAGACTACGAAGGCGGTTTACCTCAAGTCTTCTTTCGATCGACGGGCTAATTGGATAGGAGAAACGTTAGTAACTGAACTCACACTATCATAGACCCTATGTCCTATTGTCCCCATATGAAAATGATCAAGGAATGGTGTACCGACGAATTAAACCCTCTCCCCTTCTATCAGCGCTACGTCCTCCATCTCTGCTCCCCCTTCCTCCTCTTCCTTCCCACCACACGTCTGGCCAATCGCTATCGTCGCATGGGCAAGATATGCTGGTAGCGGAGCTCGCCCATCCATATCCCCTTTCTCTATCTTAACTCCTAACTCAGCCGACTGCGTGACTCGAAAGATAGTCGAGAAGTTAGCCCTGTACGACGGCGGTGTGTTGTTACGTTTTGCAAATATTAAATATAGGCCTGCGATCACGCATAGTGTCGTGGTTGCCGTTGCAGCCCCGTATGCCATCCAGAGCTTGAACGGGTCATACATGTATACGTTCTCCGTCACGAGTCTAGTGACATTCGCTCTCATTGGGGGCTTCAGCCTAGAAAAGAAAATAAAGGGTTATATTACTGGGCTGGGCTCTTTGTCCTGTTTTTCTACAATGTATCTGGGGAGGGAAAACGTACTGGACGGCCTGTAGCCCCATGAGGCTGATGACGAAGTCTTGAAACGCCGCTTCTATCACCTCCTCGAGCGGTCGTAATTGCGATATATCCTCCCCCTCGTGAAAAATTTCCTCGCTATCACGATTGTTCCCGCTACCGGAACCGGCGTAGAAATTTTTCAGCAACGAGAGCTCTCTAGAATATACCAGGGGCGAGTATCGCACCTCGCTTGATTCTTTTAGCTTGTTGGTCTCATGAATCAGCTGTGTGACATTCCCTACTATTATACTGCCGAACGCCTGCAGAATCGCTTGGTATGAGACCTGGCGGCGCTCGGGAGGGAGGAGGATGCAGTCGTAATACGACACATTCAAGTTGGCCCCCTTGAAGCAATCGGTGCTCTGTTCGCCATCGAAGCTGTTGATGACGGGAACGAGTGAGTGTCGTTGAATTTCCGCCTTGATCTGCTGCGCTCCGTTGATGTATTTGAACGCAGTGGTGTAAGTTGAATTGTGCAGCTGACATTCGACGGCCGTCACGTTGCCGCCGCCAATGCCTAGGGGATTAGCAGGTGTAGAATTTGGCAATACACACGTGAGCGGATCAAATCCATACTCCGGAAAATAGAACGGATCCTTAGCGTGGGATGTATCCAGCATGTTGGGCAGTACGACAGTGTATAGGGTTGCGTTTGGTGAGAAGGGTCCCGGATCCTTAGGACCCGCACCCCTAAGATACGGGCCGCCAAAGAAGACGCTGGGGTCTTGAAATGTTAGAGGAGACAATGGCGCTTCCCTCTTCCCCACGTTTATCTGTGGGCCGAGAGTAGTGTCTATTATCCGCACGTATGGCTCCGTCTCGAGAGTAGGGTTTATTCCAGGGAACCAAGAGATATAGTTCGGCATATACGAGCAACCCTCTTGTGCAAGGAAGTCGGCTATGTTTTTCTGGAAACGCAGACTGTCGGCCGCCGACACTCGACTACATTTCAAAGACGGCCCGTGGAACTCGGCTGTCCACGATGAGTTTGGAAAAGGAACCGGAATGGGCAAGACACCATTTCGTAGAGCCACCAACTTTGCAGCCCGTCTCATTATATTGCTGGGGCCGGCATAGCTGTATACTATCACTGGACCGTTGAGTGACGTTTCAACATCCAGCCTGTTGATGAAGGCCGTGGAGGAAAAGTCAACCATCGCGACGCCCTCCAGCACCGTCTTCGGGTTTAAGCTGAGACGCACCGACAACGTTGCTGGAGTGACAACAGCCGCAATGGGGATCAACCTATATGTGCCGTGCTCTCGTTAATTTTCTATCCGTCTGTCTGGTCAGGGCGAGTTGGATGGAATATACAGACCATATGGGCAGCGCCAACACAAAGAGCAGCGGATATCTATACCAAAATTTGCTGCTCAATAGCGAGATGATATCCCCAGCCGCCGCAAATACAGAGTCGACCTCCGCCAGCGTCTGTGTCTTGTTCGGTTGGGACCTGCGCTTCACTGCCCACCATGCTGCTTGGTAGTAGGTGGTTGAGACGGCGAGGACGAACGCTGCTTTGGTAAGAAATGCAAAAACAGTTCCGAGGGCAATGTTGAACTGCTGCTCCGAGATAGAGGTTCCCAGAAGCTTGATATTGCTGTCCGCCGCCGTCAGTCTATCGTTTAGTAAGGCATAAAACAGGTGATGGCTGATAGCGAGGGCGAGGCCGACAAGCCAGGAACCCAGTATTAGCGACGGGACCTGCAACCATCCGAGACGGCTTGAAAATTTGCCCCCCATGGTGATTTCAGTAGCTTTTTTCGCCTTTTTTTGCCTAGGGGCCTGAAATTGACCTGCATGTTTGGCAAAGGGCGACTTTATATCCCATGCCTCCAGGATTGAATCACAAGGGTTGGAGAAGATGCAGCCTTGAAGAGAGCCTTCAACGGCCTTCTCATGCTCTGCGGAGGAAGCACATAGTTAGTTGCAGCCCGAGAAAACAATCGAGAAATCTAACCTAGGCGCTTGCATTAGTTAGTTAAAGGCTTGGTATCAGAACGGACTCTTTATAGGCCAGACGGGTTAGAAATCTCGTCTAAACCCTTGCTGCAACGAGGCTGGACTGGACCCCACGAAGGGGCCACAATGAACATGCGTATAAACAATAGAACCCTGCTGCACCTGTCTTCACGGCGTGGTCATCAGTCTGTGGTCTTTTGGCAGGCAAACTTACGCCGTACACAGCGCTGGTGACCGCGAGAATTATCATAGCAGTTGGCTCATGGTCTATGCAAGGTATCTTCCACCACAGTACACGTTATAAATGGGCGGCTACACGTAGCTGGCAGAGCAGTAGCTCTAGTTTACACCAAGCCTACTTCTATATTTCTGGCCTGCGAGTAGGTCCCTATCTGCTGGGCCGTAGTTGGATAATCCGTATAAGTGGTATAGTTATTGGAGTTACCTTTTCTATTTGATATTAGTAGGTATCTAAAAGATATTTAAATGAGGCCTACGATATATATTTACATATAAATATCGAAAAAAGCGAAAAAAACCAGCAGAAGGCGATAAAGTTGACGTTGTTGCAATTTCTGCAGATGTATGTGGGCGCGGAGAGACGTATTTTGAAGTGGTACAATATTGGATGATGATGATCACTCCAGCGCCGGCTGACCAACTATTTAACTATGTCTTTGCCCTGCTACGATTTTATTCTTTCGTTGAGATGTTTTATCACTAGGGTGTCAGATATCTTGCCTATTGCATTTGCGCTGGGAAGAATGCTTTTTCCAGTCGTTCAAATAGAACTGGAGGTTAGCTATTCGGCACTTGAGTGTCTCTAATTGATGGTCTACAAAGCTATACTGCAACATAGAGTCTATCCTTGATATAAAACAAACCCTTGCTCTATCCCAGCCTACCAAGGCTCTTCTTAAAGGCCGTTCACAATTTAGCCTTTTGAGACTCCTTCTCCCAAGCTGCCACCCTCTGCTCCCTCTGCTGCTTGATCTTTGCCGGTTTGTCCGCATTCGCAGCATCCTTCTTCACCTGCTCCTCGTGGCCCTCCAAATTCGCAATGACAGATCTATACATCTCCTCCTTCAAGACGCCGTAAGCGCCTGTCTTCGCGCGCATCGTCAGCTTCCTCTCCTCTACCAGCTGCAGCACCTCCTCCCAAGCGCCCAACTTGTCTACGAGCTCCGACGCCAGCGCTTCCTTGGCCGTAAACCGCTTCGCTTCGAGAATCAATGTGCGGTACGTGACAGGTGACACCTTGGCCTCGAAAATACCCAGCATGGCCGGCTTAAGCGGGGCGCCAAAGTCAAGCTCGTTCAGACAGAGGTAGCCTCGCGAAGGGTTGAAGACGCGGTAATCATGGTGCATAGCCATCATCAGGCCGCCAGCGAAGGCGTGGCCGTTCAGCCATGCAACGGTGGGCATGGGGTATGAGACAAGGCGCGCAAACAGCTTATACAGCGAGTTGACGTGGTAGCCGGGCACGGAGAAGGCATGGTCGAGGTCGAGGCCGTTGCTGTAGAATTTTGTGATAGCGGAGGTGGTGATGACGACACCGTGCGGGTAGCGGGCCTCGAGGATGTCGAGGGCGAGGAGAAAGGCCTGGCAGAAGTCGGTGACGAGGCGGTTGTCTGGCGGCGAAGAGAAAGTGAGCAGGTAGGCCTTCTCGGCTGGCTCGGTGACGGTGACGGAGCCGCTGGTGGCCTTAATGGGGAGGGTGAAAAGGGTTTTCCCTGCAGACGATGGAGATGCCATGGTGAGCCAGTCGCTACGGAGGGAACAGTGATAGAAGGAGACTGTAGGCTGGGTGTAGCGAGTCTCTAAGCAAGGAGAGAGTCTTGAATCTTTGCATCTTGGATATCGACATAAGCAGCTGCAGAGCTGAAGAGAGATAGAGAGAGAGAGCACAAGGCGTGAGGAGCCGAGGTAAGTCGGCACTATTTTCACGACGGAGTTAACTAAGGAGTTAGTTAAGCAGTTGGACCTTTCACATGTAGCGCCGTCATAGTGATCTATTCTACATATTTGCTTGAGGCTTGAAGTGTGAGAAGACTTGCTATAAATCCTCACTCTGATAGTAGTTAATTATTACAAGGATCTTTTTTGATCGCGGTTTGATCGCAATAGTTAATTCTTCCAGGGGTGGCATCGGCTGGAGGCAAAATGGACTATCATCCCACGTAGTTATTTATCTTCGGGTCTAGGAAAATTTCATACATAAACTTGAACCATCCATGGGAAACTTTGTTAGCGTAGAACATCCCAATAAGCTCACCTAGCGACTCTTCATCCTCGTATGTCAGTAATTATCTGGTTAGTGATCAGTCGGGCTTGCTTAAACCCTGAATCTAAGTCAACTAGATAGTTACATACCTAGTAGGTCGGTCATTCAACGACATCTTTTATTATATGGATTCATTTGGTAAACACCAAAACATAACTAGCTAATAAGAAGGACGGCTTTACGGAGTAGTTATGGTAACGAAAAATATAAAGAAGTTCTGACATTATTCATCTACTAAAGATCTATATCTACAAATTGAAACAATTATCATTGAACAATTGTGAACCATGTCTCCTATCGTCCCTTACCTTAGGAAAGGGTGTTTTTAAGCACGGGGCGCAGTTACTCGCCATCTCCATTCGCATGAGGCACACATACGTCTTCTCTACAAATAGCTAGCATGCCAGACAACTCCTCCATCAACCGATCGATTTGAACCTGTGTCGCAACCTCGCTGCGGCTAAAGATATTGATGCTCAGCCGCTCTTTTTCTGCTATGGTAGACACCCAGACATTCATTGCAGGTAGGGAAATTGGTGACCACGCATCTATCTGGCATGACAGCTCGGTGGATTTCAGCGTACTTTGATCGTGGGCAAAACGGTGGTGCACTATAGATCCAAAGTCGGTTTCTGGTGGCCAGGAGGTGCTGTTCTTGACAATATCGTGTAGTCCCATCGTTTCGAAGGGCATTGTGCTTACGTGTTGAGCCTGCACTTGCTTCAACAGCGAGCCGATTGTCTGTCCTGGCTGCATTTGAACCCGCACGGGCGTGAAGTTGATGCAAGGCCCGATGACGTCTTCCAGATCGACGACGCCTGTGTTGCGGCCACTGACTAGTTGACCGAAGACAAGATCGGATCGTTGTAGGAGTTTCGATTGAGCCATAGCCCAAGCTGTCTTCACCACTGTCGCCAATGTAATTCCAGGAGGTGGAGTAGGCAAAGGCACGGTTGCCTCTGATTCGACTAGGGCTGGTGATATAGAACCACCATTCGACGTACCTGTTGCTACTGGCTGGTCGAATATAGAAGTCATAGATGAACCCTCGAGTAGATATCTCCAAAAGGCGAATGCCTCTGAGTTGTGACTCCGAGCACAGTATCGTACATAAGTCGCAAAGTCCGCTGGAATGGAGATGGGTTGTTGGTGATACAAATCAAGGAGGTTCTCCATCAACTTGGGTATAGATAGACCGTCGTACTGGGCGTGTGATAGACGCATGATGAGCAGGTGGTGTTCGCCATTGCCTTTCACCAGGGTCATGGCTAGCGGCACCGTCCCGTATAGTGTCTGTGAGATGGAATCTTGTCGACTGAACACTTCGGCAAATGCCCTTAGGTTATTTTCGCTGGTGTCGCACTCAATTATGCTCAGGGGTAGATGATGGAGGATAACTTGTAAGGTGTGCCCTGCGCTTTGAATAAACACAGTTCTGAGGATCGACTGCTTTTCGATAAGATCTAAGCAGGCCTGTTTCAATCGAGTGGTGTCCAATGACCCTGATATCTCCAAGAACCAGTAGTTCTGCGGTCGGCTTGCAGAAAAGGCCTGAACACAAGTCGTAGGAACGACATCAGCCACATCCTCCTCCTTGAAGGGTAGATCTGCCCAACAAATATCTCTGGAAAGTTCATTATCAGTGTTGCTGGAAGGTTCCGGGGCAGTTGCCGTTGAATCCGACACGGTCTTGGTTAGTTGGATCTCTCTTGCAAGGTCTGCTAGCACCGGTACGGTGAATATGTGTCTTACAGTCAACAAGAGACCCTCATGACGAGCGAGGGATACTAGCTGCATGGCTGTGATGGAGTCACCACCCATCTGGAAAAAGTCACCGTCCACGTTGATGACATCTGTATTGAGCTCTAGCACCCGGCCAACGATCGATTGTATTCTGCGCTCGATCTTGGTCAATGGTCGCTGGATGATGTGTTGGCTACCAGAGCCCCCATCCGTACATGAGATCTCCGTTGCTCGGTTACGCAGCTTGGCTCGATCGACTTTACCCGACCTAGTCAACGGTATATGATTGACGGCAACAAACATAGCTGGTACCATGTGTCGAGGCACATTCTGAAGGAGACGCGATTCTGCGATGTGGACGTCTGTGAGAAACTCCTGGCTTGATTCAAGGATCGAAAATTCATCTCCCGTAGACTCATGTGCCTGTCGCCTTATAAATGCTGTGAGCACTCTTTGGGATGCAGAGTCTGGCCGTTGTAGAATTTCTGCAGCGACGTCTTGAGATCCTGGGAAGAGACGGCGGAGATGAGACTCGACTTCCCCTAGTTCAACACGCTGGCCATGGATCTTGACTTGATTGTCACGGCGTCCAACATATTTCAGGGAGCCATCTGGTAAGTACTGAACGAGATCTCCGGTTCTGTACATGTGTCTCGGAGAGGATTCATGGCCGCGGAAATCCTGGAGCCATTGAGGTCGCTCAATAAAGGCTCGGCGATTTTGTTCTTCATTACGTAGATACCCGCGGCCGACGATGGGACCTTCGACGAGCAACTCTCCAACAGCACCAATGGGAAGTAGTCGAGCAGGATTCTCTTTGTCGGTGACCCAACAGGCTGAGCCACTTGCATATCCAATGCTTGAAGGGCTAGAAACCACACGGTCATTGACGACGCAGTCGACTGAGCACTCGGCTGGCCCGTATGCATTGATGAGGTGAACGGACTGTCCCCATGTCTTGATATTTTCTGCTTTAATAGCTTCGCCGCTTAAAATCAAGAACTTGATCCCATCTACTTGCGACGGATGGATGATTTGTGCAACAGATGGCGTAATATGCATCCAATTCGCATTCAATTTTCGTACCGCGTGGGGGATGTCATTCATTCGATCTGTTTCGGAGGGAACACATAGGCACCCACCGGCAATGAAGGTTGTCAAGTAGTCACTGATACTCACATCAAAGGCATGTGAGGCAAATTGGAACACTCGAGATTGGCTCGTAACTCTCAGTCGTTTTTTAAGTGATAGGCCGCTTGTAGCGTAGCTTGAGTGCTCAATCACCACACCTTTGGATTTACCAGTCGAACCTGACGTAAAGACGCCGTAGAGGGCATGATGAGGAAGGACGTTTTGATGAATAAACGGTGGATCCAGGCCTGACATCCATTTTACAGCCTCAGTCTGGGAAACCATTACCACTCGCTCAGCGACTGATGCAGCTTTACCATAGGTGGAGGACGAGGAAATGACAAGGGTGGAGCGAGAGGTCTCGCAAATTTCACGCAGACGGGCTTCTGGATAGGAATCGTCTAGCAAAATGAATGCACCGCCGGCTCTCATTACTGCACACATCGCTATAGAGACCCATTTCGACTTCTCAAATAGCAATGGCACGAAGATTTCCGGTCCAATCCCAAGTATCTGAAGCTGAGCCGCTAAATGCGCAGAGAGCTGGTCAAGCTCCTTGTAATTGAAGTTGCCATCCCATGCGCAGACCGCTGGTGCTTGTGGATGATCCCGGCATTGATCAAGGATCAAGTCATGGACACATACTTCCTCGGTTTGTGGTAGTTGTGCATTCCACGAGTGAATGATGCTCAGCTGATCCTGACTAAGTAAATCGATGTCACCGACAGACGTTGAGGGACTGTCCATGATATTCAAAATGGTCTGCACAAAAACATCACAGAGGCTAGAGCCTTGTTCAGGATCTAGGAAGACGTCCCAGAAACTGAGGGAGAGGCTAATGAGATCTTGGCCGGCATTCACATTGATGACCAGTCCGTACTGGATAACGAGTTAGTTATAATGCTGTTCTTAGATTTGATATATACATGATGAAATTTTCGGGTCAATGTTGAGTAAGGAGAAAGAGTTCATACCTCAGTTGGGTCTTCTCCTCCTACTGTCTCTACCAAGGCTAAAGCATGTTCATCAGGTGCTCGGCCCGGGCCTTGTGCTTGCACCGAGGGAACAGTTTGATAAGAGATGATAGAATTGAAGAGCGGTTCTCGATTCAAGCCTAAGTCATGTTGGATTTCCGCTAGCGAGCAATGTTGGTGCTCAAGGCTGTGAATAAAGTTGCTTTCATTTCTCTGCAAAAGTGACAACATGGAGAGGTCACTATCCAACTGTAGGCGGCAAACCAGCAGATTGATAAACAGGCCCACCGCATTTTCAATGCCTGTGAGCGGAATGTCTCGCCCAGATGTTAAATATCCAAAACAAATGTCGCCTGTGCCGGTGTAGCAGCGCAAGACCAACGCCCAAGCTACTTGTATTACGTTGGATAACGTCGATCCATATGTCTCGCAGAAATATTTGATGCGCCTTGCGTCAATGGTGCGAGTCACGAAGTGTAATTGACCCTCAGAAGATTCGTTCAAGCTAGGAAATAGCGTTGGAGTGACATCACGGAGGTACTCCTTCCAGTAATCGGCAACCTGCTGGCGGGGGATAGATTTCAGGTAAGAAATGTAGTCCTTGTAAGGCATAGCTTGAGAGTCAAGGGCCTTGCCATTAATCAGGTTACTCAATTCGGTGCCAAGGACACGAATGGAAATACCGTCGACTAGCGAGTGGTTAATGGCAAGTTCACAGAGAATCTCTATTTCACTTGCTCGCTTGATAATAAATTGCCAGGGGAGTGCCCCTATGGGTTCCGGCGCGCAATCAACTGAATCCAAGACAATAACTTTACCCGCTCCGTGATTGATAACCAGTTGATCGTGGAGCCTGTCGCGGGAAGGGCTCTCAGTGATAATGGTACGAAGTACTGAGTATTTCATCACGATGTAGCCCCACGCTTGTTGAACTTCATTGATAGATATGGGTGCGCGTGAATCTGGAATAGAGACTTTCCAGACTGTTCTGGTAGTGTATAGTTTATTGTCCCGCCCCTGGCTCAAGAAAATACCTTGTTGTACGGGCGAGCAAGGATAGACTTCTTGCACGGAGGATGGGTCAATGTCCATATGATAAGAATGGTGCAAAGGATGGGAGAGTTCAGGGCAGCTCAGTGAGGGTTGGGGGACGTTGCTGGAGGTAGCTTTGTGAGAAGCATCGTGCAACTCCTCGGCGGCAGTTATAAGGAGGGCCTGGCAAGCGAATACCCAGCCCTGGATGGACGTTTGGCGCAGTGAATGCTTGTTATATGTGAAGTCGAACTCCAAAGTATCCCCAGAGCCCCAAATCTCGATATCAAATATCGTCCCCCTTGGCATCTGTGGATGCACCCCAACCGGAATGTCTGAAATATCAGATGTGACTTGAAGGATGGTGTCTTTGCCCTCTAGACTATGATAGCCTCCATGATAGTTCACAAGGATCTCCATGGGTTCTTTGAGAGTAAGTCTTTTATTTCCCTCTGGATGCAAATAGCGAGCCGTAAAGTAGCTCCAACCGTTGGCTTGTGTCTGGCGCAGAATGTCTTTTGTAAGTCGGGCCACATCCATAAAGCTGGAGGCCGCGGTGGTGCGGATAAGCGCAGGCCAGATGGTTGTGAACCAACCCACAGTTCCCGAGACATCCACGGAACTATCCCAAGGTTCCCTTCCGTGGCCTTCCTGATATATCATTGGGGGTGGACGATCTGGGAATGACTTGATAAATGAAAGGAGGATTGCAGCGTGTAGAAGCTCAAGAGGTCTGGTCTGTAGTACCCTGTTTGCAGGTCCAAGAAGCAGCTTCGTGATGTGAGGGTCGACGGTGAATTTGGTAGATATCACGTCTGCATGGATGTTCGAACTCTTGGGTAGGCCCCAGTATTCTTCAATATTTAGCTCAATATCAGGAGTACTCGATAGTAATGGAAGCGTCTTTGATGGTATCAGATGTTTTTTCGTATATTCGGCTTGTAAACGGCACCAGACTTGGAAGGGCAATGAGCATAGAGGAGGCAGCGACTCCCCCGCTAGTAACATCTCGAGATCATTCAAAACGATTCGCCACGAGACAAAATCAATGACGAGATGGTGCGCAGCAAGAAATAGGTACTGATTGTTACCTACGGCTATTTGGTCTGCCACCAACATTGGACCCTGCGTGAAGTTAAGGGCTGCCTGGCTTTCCACGAAACACTTCCTCGGCGTCTCTATATTAGACTCTGTTAGGTCCCGATAGCGATACGAAGACTCAATGTCCCTAGTAACCATTTGTACCCAAGCTCCAGCTTTCTTTAGAAATCGGGCGCGGAGCATTGTGTGCCTTCTCACTATTGTCGCTAAAGCAGCCCCAATGGAGCCCCTCGGTTTTCTGAGCTTGACTAGGAAGCTCTGGCTGAAATTGTTTAGGCCGTCTGGGACTCTATCAAAGAAAGCCTGTTGAATTGGGGAGAGATCGAATACCGTTCCAACAGTTTCCTTGATATCCGTTGCTGTCACCTTGACAGATTGAATATGGGAGGCTAATCGGCGAATTGTTTTGTGACGAAAGATATCTGCAACAGTTACTGCCATCCCTTGCTGGCGACATTGACTAACAAGAATCATCGCACTGATAGAATCTCCTCCAAAGCGGAAAAAGTTATCGTCTAAGCCTACATAGGTGGGAGCTTTGTTGAGCACACGTGCAATACAAGTTTGCAATGATTCTTCAAGCTCGCTCAGGGGAATATCTCCTTGGTTGCTAAGAGGAGAGATATTGATGTACGCATCAATCTGCTCCTGTGAGAGATTTGAAGCAGCGTCCCGTAGAAGTCTGCGGTCCACCTTTCCAACAGCATCGAGTGGAATCCCTTCTAAAGGAAGGAATGCTGTAGGAACTTTGAAAGGAGGCAACACCTCTTGGAGTTGGGTTTGCGCTGTGACAACAGCAATCTGGAAAGGAGTCGATGGTCCTACAAAGGTGACTTTGCCAGAAGCACCAGCGACAGGGCTAAAGGAGTGGCTGATGAATGCGGCCAATATTGGTTTCTCATTCCCATTACCGGGTCGTATCACATCAGCAACAACGTCCTTGCCCTGGGGAAAATATTTCTGAATATGATAGGCAATTTCTTCAAGGTCTAAACGCTGACCTTGAATTTTGGCTGGGGTATCCTTAGGTCCAATATACAGGATCGACCCATCGGGTTGGTACCGAACCAGGTCACCTGTCTTGTATACCTGACTAGAAACACTTGGTGTATGTTGTTGCAAACATATTGGAGCTTCAATAAAAGACGTATTACCATGGTCTGGGTGTTTAAGATAGCCACGACCAAGAATGGGGCCTTGAATAACTAGTTCGCCGATCGCACCTGGAGGGAGGAGCCTTTGATGATTTGAAGGATCAACAATCCAACACACTACACCTGTCCCAACGCCGATATTGCGCGGATCATATGTGCCAACAGTGTTGGATTTGATCGTACAACGGACTGAGAGCTCGACAGGACCATAGCCTTCGACCAAATGGACAAAATTGCTCCACCGAACCTCACTTGGGCAGGTTGTGGGCTCCCCTCCAATATAAACCGTCTTCAAACTGGGCACGCTTGAAGGATCGATACGGCGGGCCACCGAAGGCGTGAGGGATACCCAGTTAGCATCCAAAGTACATATAGCCTTTGCTACATCATCCAGCTGGGATTGAGAAGGAATGCACGCACAACCTCCCTGGGTAAGTGCCATCAAGTAATCACCGATGTTCATGTCTGATGCATGTGAGGCAAATTGAAACATTCGAGTGTTACCATCTATTCGTAGAGGCCCCTTGTTCGCCTCCACAGCCGAACAAAAGGAGGCATGTTCAACAATGAGTCCACTCAGCTTGCCAGTAGACTCAGAGGCGAAGATGGCAGATAAAGCATTTTGGGGTTTTGCAATAGAAGGAATTGCTACGCGGGACGGCCAGAGGCACTCAGCTTCCTTGTCCACCACCACAATATGGGCTGGAAGGTGATGCAGTATTGCTTTATTGGTCGTCGAGCTGACAATAATATTGACCTTTGCATGTGCACAGACTTGCTCCAGGTGGCCTGTGGGGCTAGATGGGTCGAGAAGAATAAACGCTGCGCCAGACCTCATGACGGCAAGCATCGCAACGACGGCCCACATGGACCTTTCAAACAACAAAGGAATATATGTTTCTGGTTGGCTTCCCAAATCCATGAGATGTGTAGCAAGTCCGGATGAGAGACGGTCCAAATCTTGGTAGGACAGGTCGCCGTCCCAGGAGTGAACCGCCAGCGAGAGGGGACTAGATTGGAAGTGCTGCTCAATGAGGTCATGCACACAAGCACTAAGGGCAATAGGAACGGCTTTGTTCCATTCGTTGAGTTGAAGCTGATCCTCAGAGCTCAGGAGACAAACCTGTCCGATGTTGACCTTGGGATGGGCCGCGATGCTCAGTACTGCTTCTCTCATCGTGCGTAGAAGCTGTTTGGCTTGCTCAGCAGATATGTACTCGTCCTCCCAGTAATCAAGCGAAAGAGATACCCCTTGCTTGTCTATGAGAGCATGTATAGCGATGTCATACTAGGTTGATCAAGGTTAGAAACACGTATACAGGAGAAAAGGCCATCGGGTTTCTATAAGTTTACCTCTGTTCGGTCCTCCCCATCAATTACCGAGAACTCCAATGACGAACTAAAGGAGTCATGGTCTGAATTCCTGTTTTGCACGGACATGCTGGAGTTAAACAGTTCAGTTGCGCCCAAGGGCATGCCATGGAATATCTCTGCGAGGGAGCAGTTCTGATATTTCAAGTTGTTAATGTTCGCATCTTGATTAGCCCGTAACACATCGAGCAGCTGTAAATCAGACAATAGGGAAATGTGGCTGATTAAAATGTTTATGAAAGGACCAACAGCTCTTTCAATGTTTTGCACGGGGACGTCGCGGCCAGATGAGACATATGCAAAGCAGACGGATTCTGAGGTGGTATAGCACTGCAAAATAAGAGCCCAGGCCACTTGTAGGATGTTAGAGATGGTAAATCCATAGTCCTTGCAAAACTCGTAGATAGTGGAGGCATCCTCAATCTCGAGTTCTGCACAGCGCAGTTTCCGCTTGGTACCATTTACTGAAGATGGTCTCCTGGTGGTATTCATCTTGGGGAACATGCATGGCGAGATTGTTGAAAGCTGCTTTTTCCAGTAATTGATGATGGTGTCCTTCGGAGTAGATTGTAAATACTCTATATAGTCACTATAAGGTGGCCCATCACCTGCAGGAAGCGACTTGTCATATGCTAATTGCACTTCTCGTATTAGAACGGCTAAGGATGTTCCATCAATCAAGGTGTGGCTGACTTTCAAGTCACAGAAAGTATCACCTGTCTTGCCTTGACATAAAACGAGGTGCCAGAGAGAAGCTTGATCTCGGTGCATGCGCGCTGAACGATAGTCACTGATCAAGTCTATCACGTTCTCATCATCAGACTGTAGGATAGTAATGTTGTCCGGTGTTGAGGCCATGACTGCCTGGCTGTAGTATTCCATATGCAAACTGCTCTGTACGAAAACGGTTCGGAAAATAGGATGACGATCGAGGACCTGTTTCCATGCTCCACGAAGCCGATTCATATCAATGGGGTTATGCCTCGTAGCTTGAAGCTTCCAAGTAAAGTGAGGGGTGTACAAATCATCATCTTTCAGCTTGCTGAGAAGGATTCCTCGTTGAATGGGAGAGCATGGGTATGCATTCTCGATCAAGTGGTTGCTCTCTCCCGCCTGGGGACCAATTTGATCCTGGACTCTGACAACAAATGCATCAAGGCCTTCGTATGTGGTTTTAAGTAGGGGAAAGTCACTAAGTGAATATGCTCGAGGAGCATTTGGTAGATCAATAATTGCGCTAGTGACTGACTTTTGATACTCATCAACCCAGCGTCTCAGCAAATTGTGATGTTTCATATGTTTATTGAAGGTGAAGTAAGTCACCAACTCTCCTTGGAAAGTAACAGCCAAAATGTCAATGAGCGCGAGGCGCGGTGCCTCTGACGCTATATCAGTTGCTTGAATTTCAGAAAATGGAGATCTGATAATTTTCTGGATCAAATGATCATCTTCTCGCTGATCTTCGAGCCCTTCGAAGTGGAAAATGACTTCAAATGGCTCTGGCAAGCACCCAGAGTCCGATGAATCCCTGTAGTGCGGGCTGAAGGAAGCCCAGCGATTTGTAGGAGCTTTGCGTTGTGCATCTTTCGTGCGACGTACCATCTCCACCATATCGTAACAATTGTCGAGATTTACTGGGGTAGGATGGATTGTAGTAAACAAACCAACCGTCCGTGAAGTATCAATCGACCCATCTACAAGTTCTCGACCGGAAAGTTCGTTATACATGATGGGAGGATCCCGGTCCACGAACACCTGAAGGAAAGAATGGACTAATGCCGCATGGAGAACCTCGGCAGGCCGAGTGCGAAATGCCTTGTTGGAGCTTCCCAAAAGCAGATTTGTGGTGGGATGGTCAATCGTAGATGTAATAGTTATGGAATGTTTGGCCTGATTTAGACGACCTTCCATACCCCAAAACTCAAGTGGGGATACTTTCGGGATTTCTTCACTAAAGTGAGAAAGACGCCTGTTTTCGGTACGAGAGTACCTGGCCACGGAATCCGCCTGCAATTCGCACCAAGCCGGGTAAAATACTGGTGCTGGGGCCAATTCAGGGAGCTTGTTGTTATTGCTCAACATCGTCTCTAAGTCACCAAGTATAATACGCCACGAAGACTGGTCAACAACAAGACTATTGGCAACAAGAATGAGACAGCCATCTCCTTGCCCATCAAGTTGCACATATTCATCAAGTTGCACATATTCTGCCACCAGCAGGGGGCCGTGCTGGATATTAATACACCCCTGCGCCTTTTGCAGCTCCTGAATCAATTCATTCTCACTCGAAATGTTCAAATGCTGGAATTTGTACGACTCGTTTGTTTGAGATGTGATGCGCTGCGTCCAGAAACCATGGCAGTCCTGGTTAAACCGAGCACGAATCATAGAATGGCGCTCAACGATGGCCTTTATGGCTCCTTGCAAGCGGTGGGTTTCAGTTTTTTGGGCGATGTTGATGATAACACCTTGATTGGAAGAATCACAACCCTGGGGAGAATATTGGAAAAGGAGTTGCTGGCTTGGAGACAAGGGGAATGGCTTATCAATCTTTTCCACAGCCAACTCAATAGTGCTGCTACGTTCACATTGAGCATGACGGGCAATCCCGGCAAGGGTGCGGTGTCGAAATACGTCCTCCATACCAATGGAAATGCCGATTCGGCGACATTGCACAACCAGCTGCATGGCAGAAATGGAATCTCCGCCCAGATGGAAAAAGTCATTATTGGTTCCTATCATATCCGAAGCAAGATTCAGCACCTCAGCACAGAGCGGTAGTAACTTGTGTTCCATTTCAGTCGTGGGAACTTGCTTGGCTGACGCGCTGGTGTGCATGTATATTTCTAGCTCACTCCGAGTAAGGGTAGCTGCTTTTCGTTTCAGCAGGCGACGATCTGTCTTGCAAGAGCTGGTCAGAGGGACCCAGTTTAAAGGTAGAAAAATTGTGGGCACCATGTGCTTGGGCAGTTGGCTTTGCAGACGGGATTGAGTGAGGGACGCCTGTATGGAGAACTCTGTACTTGGAGGAGCGAAGAGATCATTAGCAACGCCGACATCGTTGCTGATACCTAGGCTCGTGGACTTGACAAAGGCAACCAAAAATGAGCGAGAAGCTTCCAATTCCAATGCAAGAACATCCACTACGACACGTTCTGCGCCGTCAAAATTGGTTGATATATGATGCTCAACTTCACCAGGTTCGATGCGTTGACCCCTAAGCTTGACTTGGGTATCCTTGCGCCGGAAAAAACGGATAGACCCGTCTGGGCAATAATAAGCCAAATCCCCTGTCTTGTAGAGTCGCACAGTCTGCTTGGTACGGAACTTCTTTGTCCATGCTGGATTTTTAATAAATGCTGCTGATGTTTTTATGGGGTCATTTAAATAACCGCGGCCAAGAATTGGTCCTTCGATGAGAATCTCTCCAATTGCGCCGATCGGTACCAGCTTATTATGGTCTTCTGGATCAACAACCCAGCAGACACAACCACTCTCACGGCCGATATTTCTCGGATCAGATGAAATATCTGGATTCACCATGGCCAAGACCGAACATTCGGTCGGACCAAATGTTTCCCGAAGAGATACCCTACCTCGCCACATCTTTATATCATCGAATGAGGGGGTTTCACCAATAAGGGTCACGACTTGCAATGATGAGACTTGGTCAGGGTCGAGTAAACGAACGACCGGCGGCGTTGTGTGAATCCAGTTAGCACCATATTGTTGAATAGCCTCAGTCAGTGCATCCACTCGCTGGGATTCTGAGGGTATGCACACGCAGCCACCCGCCATAAACGTTGCCAGTTGGTCCATGATACTCACATCCCAAGAGTAGGCAGAAAACTGTAGAACACGAGTAGAACTGTCAATAGATAGAGCCTGATGCTGGGCTGTAGCACTGGTGCAGAATGAGGAATGATCGATAACAACACCCTTGGGCTTCCCAGTCGAGCCAGACGTGAAAACTGCATATGCTGCATGTGTGGGCTGGGCTTTCGATGGTAGTATGAACTCTGAGGATGGCACAGTCCACATCTTATCTTCACCGTCGCCAATCATGATAACTTCTTTGACCAAGGAGGAGACATCCTCAACTGTTTTAGAGGAGATCATGATCTCACACCCAAGTTCAGCACAGATGGTCTGCTTATGTGCTAGGGGGAGCGAAGGGTCAAGAAGGGTAAAGGCGCCGCCAGCACGGAGGACTGCAAGCATGGCCACAGGTGTCCACCTAGATTTCTCGTGGTGTATGGTTACATATGTCTCCGGCTGGACACCACGGTGAATTAAAACGCGAGATAAGCTGGATGACAATATGTCCAGCTTTGCATACGAGAAATCACCATCCCACGCGCAAACAGCCTGGGCCGAGGGGGTAGAAAAGAAAAACGGCTCGATGACTTCATGTATACACTCCTCTCGCGCCTCGGGGAGAACCATGTTCCGCAAACGTAACCACTGAATATGATTCTCGCTCAAAAGATCGACATCCCGAACCTTTGCATTCGATGATGCGACGGAACTCAATAAGGCCTTTTCAAAGGCAGCCGCGAGATCATGGACCTGACTCGGTGTGAATGAATGCTCATAGTACCAAAGTGCAAATTCCATGTGGTCTTTAGATACGGCAATGTTTAATGTAAGGTCATACTGTAACAAACATTAGTAACTATCTGTATGGCTCTGACACAAATGTGAGCATGTATAGACATACCTCTGTCGGGTCATCGCTACTGACTGTACGCATTAAAAGTCCAGAGTTATGGTTGGTCGTTCGTTGTTCGGATTTGGTCTGAAGCGATACCGCGGTATTGAAAAGCCCACGGGCTGAAATGTCCAAAGAATGATATATCTCAGCAAGTGAGGTGTGCTGGTGGGTCAGCCCTTGCAGGAAGTCGGAGTGAATTAACTGAACCAGATCTGTTATAGAGTTGCTACCAGCCAACTGCATTCTGCTTACGAGGATATTAATGAAGGGGCCAATAGCATTGTCCATTCCAGAAATTGGCATATTTCGGCCAGTGACTATGTAGCCAAAGCAGACAGCATCAGATGCGGTGTATGTTCTTAGAACCAAGCCCCAAGCGAGCTGAACAAGGTTGAACAGAGTGACCCCATTCTCTGCGCAGAAGTCTTGTAATGGATGAAGGTTATCAAGTTTCCGGGTGACATGTGCCACCGAAGCCTCATAATTAAGGTCTTGCGTATGATTCAGGGTAGGGAGGATACAGTGGTCTGACCCCTCTAGGTATGTGGCCCAGAACTCCGTGGCCGCTCCGTTAGGAAGATCTTGAACGTAAGAGATATAATCTTTCAGAGTTGCCACGGGTTCGAGGAATGTTTGGCCTTCATAAGCACAAGCCAGCTGCTGTTCAAGTACATTCATTGAAAGGCCATCGACTAGAGCATGAAGGATGCGAAGCTCACAAAGTAGCGCATCACTCGCACGAGCTATGATCAGCTGCCAAGGGCGGGATGCTGTGACATCCCCGGGCCTCCGCGGGGCTGAAGAATTTATACTACTACCAAGGTCAAGAAGAATGACCTTACCAGCTGCGTGATTTAGTACCACTTGATCCCAGAGCTGACCTGAGCTGCTTTCCACGAAGATCGTGCGAAGAATGGGATTGTTATTGACCACCTTATCCCATGAACGAATGAGGCAGTCAATATCAATGCCGTCCATTCTTTGAATATCCCACGTAGTACTGGTAACGTACTGAGCTGCATCCTTAGCTTGACTGAGAAGCATACCCTGCTGAATGCTTGAACATGGGTAGGCATCCTCGATCTCTGTTATATCATGTACTCCCGTCACGACAGCGACTCTTTCGACTAGATGCTCCAAATCGCTGTAGCCGATTTGTAGAAGAGGAAAGTCAGCGAGCGTAAATTGCTTCTGCATTGACGAGAGAGTCACACTGGCCTCGCTCAGCGCAGATTCAAAGGACGAACCCCACTGCTTAATACGAGCTTGTGGCATAGCTTTATGATATGAGATTTCCACCTGCAGCTGCCCACAGGTAACTACGGATGAAACCTCAAGCAGTTCAAACCTGGGGGCACTAGCGGCTACATCAAGCTGTCTAAACGGGGTATCCGCGGTGTGAAATAGTCCCTGCTGCTGTTCCAGCTGTTGGAATGACCCAGCATAATTAAATATTATCTCTAGAGGCACATCTAGTGACAGCTGGCTGCGACCATCTGGATGTAGATATCGTGATGCAAAATAGGCCCATCCATTGCTTCTGACTTGTCGTCGGCTATCTTTGGTGCGCTTTACCACTTCAATGAGACTATGAGCCACTTCCACGGTTGTTGGAGTAGGCCAGATGGTGGTGAACCATCCTACTGTTCGTGACAGGTCGATGGAGGCATCCCATACTTCCCTTCCGTGGCCTTCGCTATGAATAGTGGGCGGGTCCCGGTCAGGGAAATTTTTCATAAATGAGAATATAAGCGCAGCCTGAATGATCTCCACAGGCTTGGTCTGCAAAGCATCATTAGCATTACCGAGAAGGCTCCCAGTCACTTCCGCGTCCAAAGCGAAGCTGATAGTGGCAACATCTAAGTATGTGTTGGATTGTCCTGTCAATCTCCAATAATCCAGGAAGGCTGTCGACCCTGAAGAGCCAGCATCGTGCTCGTTAGGCGGTGCCAGAGAGACCTTCTGGGGAGGTAAGTGTTCACGGGCATGCTGGGCTTGGAGATGGCACCACGTCTGGAATGACAGCGACGATTCGACAGGGGTAATAGTGCTAGAAGTTAGAGATGCTTCCAAGATCTCTTCTAGGTCGCTGAGAATAATCCTCCATGAGACGTGGTCTACCACAAGGTGATGTGCTACCAGGAGAATGTACTGTCCTTGGTTATGGACTTGGTAAAGCTCAACCGCTAGCAAAGGGCCGCATTCGATATCCAGGCTCTGTTGAGCCGCTGCTGCATGAGGCTCAATAAAAGCAAGGTCAGGGACTTCGTGGGTTTTGAATAGATATGATGATATGCCAGAAGTGACATTGGAAGAAGTCGTGATGCGCTGCGTCCATCCACTGTCGTCGTCTTTACCAAATCGGGCTTGGAACATCACGTGACGCTTAGTCATCTCCCGAACGGCAGCCTCCAATTCATTTGCCGAAACTCGCGTCGCGAGCGAGACGAAGAAGCTCTGATTATAGTGATTGCGGGACTCTGGCGGCACGACCTCGAAGAACATTTGCTGGATCGGAGACAAGGCAAAAGGGACATCTAGCTCTTCGGCTTGCTGTGAAGGCAGCACGGCGGTGGACTTGACACATAATGCCAGCTTCTCAATCGTGTTTTGGGTCAATACGCTATCGACTGCCATGACAAGTTGACGCATTCTCGCACGCGCTACGAGCGACATGGCACTGATCGAGTCACCCCCGAGCGCGAGAAAGCTGTCGTCAATGCTAATTCCCTCGGGAGGAAGATTCAGGACCTTCGCGCAAAGCATCACTAGAGCCCGTTGCATTTCCGTTTCCGGTGCTCGCTTGGGCCTACTACTCCCGCTGACGAACGCCTTGATATCATTGCGGCTCAGATTTTTCCCCAAATTCTGCAGCATCCCACGGTTCACCTTTCCGGATAGGGTCAGCGCAATATGATTCACCGGTAGGAAAAGGGTGGGAATCATGTAGGGCGGAATCAGCTCCCGCAGTTTAGATCGGATGCTCTGCACATCGGCAAGGAACTGTGCTGTTGCTTGAAGGATCCTAGTCTCCGCAGATAATGAATGGCCATTGGAGAATTCCTGTAAATGAGGAACTTCCAGGAAAGCTGTAAGGATAGATGTGCCCTGTTGCTCGTCTGGGTGAAGAACCTCTGCTGCAACGTTGGTCGCGTGGGGGAACAGACGATGTACATGATGTTCGACTTCGCCTAGCTCAATCCGTTGACCGTGAACTTTTACCTGGAGATCTTTGCGGCCAATGTATTTTAAACCTCCAGCAGGTAGCAGCTGCACAAGATCGCCCGTTTTGTACACGCGATCTACTCCCCCGCGAATTTGTTGGAGCCATCGCATTGATGGCACGAAGACAGATGCTGTCTGCTCCGGCGCATTGAGATACCCCCGTCCAACAATTGGACCCTCGATAACCAACTCACCTATCGCGCCGATTGGAACCAGCTGCTCGTCATCGGTAGGATCTACAATCCAACAAATGCACCCCATGCCCTCACCGAGCAGCTGAGGAGATTGGTTTATGTTTACTGGGTATTGCCCAGTCGCAACACAGGAGCACTCTGCAGGCCCGTAAAGATTAGCAAGGCCGACCTTGCCCTGCCACTTCTCAACATCTGCTTGGGTCATGCTCTCGCCACTCATGATAAGGGTCTGTAGGCCAGATATGTCGCTTACATCAAGCATTCTAGCCACAGATGGTGTTAATTCTGCGAAATTTGCGCCCGATTCCCTCAAAGAAGCGGGAAGGTTGTCCTTAGCACTCTCGCTGGATGGAATACACACTGAGCCCCCATGCATTAAAGGAAGTAGGTGATCGGTGATGCTGACATCGAATGCATAAGACGCGAATTGGAAGGCTCGTGTATTCCGGTCCATACCGATGAGCCGCCCAACCGCCATGTTGCCAGTACAGAAGGAGGCATGTTCGACGAGTATACCCTTTGGTATACCTGTGGATCCACTTGTGAAGGCGCAATAGGCGATTTGTCTAGAATTAGAAACTGGGTCTGATCGGATCCGTCTTCTAAGGGGATTAGGGGAGGCAAGGCTCTGCTGTGAGCACACTACCACATGTCCTTCTAGGGCTATGGTAGATGCCAGATCTACATTTTTCGCTGAGGATACGATAATCTTTGCCTCCACTGCTTCGCAGAGCGATCTTAGACGGGCGGCTGGCTGGGAAGGGTCCAACAGAAGAAATGCACAGCCAGCCCGCATCACACCAAGCAGCGCAATTACCGTGTTCATAGACTTCTCTATCAAAATAGGGACAATAATCTCCGGCTTCATTTGGGCTACGGACAGTAGGTGGCTGGATAAGCAAGAAGAGAGCGAGTCCAGATCGCGGTATGTCAACCTCCCATCCCAAGCGTCTACGGCGATGGCATCCGGCGTACTCTCGCTATAGGACAAAATTAAATCATGGATGCAAGCCTGGACTGGTGGTGGGAGCTGGCCATTCCACTCTAGAAGATTTTGCATGCCCTGTGGACTAATCTCCTTCAGATCCCTCACAAACATAGCGTCATCCACGATTCGTGAAATGGCATGGGACAGCTGGTACACCATCATCTGCATCACAGGGGGCTCGGTGATGTGGCTATCAAACGCAACTCGGAACTTGATTGACGAGGGAGCTAGTTCGCATGTTACGTTGATGGCATACGAGGAGAATGCCCTTTCGTCATATCCATACTCGTAGGCCACAGAGAAGTCCGACGGTTCGAGATTTTCCTCATCCACTGTCTGGACCACAAGCAAACTCTGGAACTGACAAGCCAGAGCTGCCTCAGAGCTCAGAGAGCGAATGAACTGGAGTCCTGCCTGCTCGAATCGTATCATTTGCGTTCCACGAGTTTGGATATATCCCAGCGCATCTTGTATACGCATATTGGGATCGACGTGAACGCGGATGGGCACTGTTGCAATTGTTGGACCCGTCATGTCCTCAATGCCTGGAACTGGAGCGCTTCGTCCAGCGACGGTGGTGCCAAAAACTACCTCGTCCAAGCTGCTATAGCTAGAGATCACCGTTGCCCAAGCTAAGCGCAAAATGGTGGAAATGGTAAAATCCGAGGACAGCTCACCGAGAGTGAGTTCATGTTCAAGGAAGCCATCTATTGTTGGAACATAATATACTGATGGTAGCGGCGGGAACTGTCCACAAGCAATGCTCTGAAACTCACTTTTCCAGAATCCAGAGATCGCAGCATCATCAGTTGCGGAAATATAATACACGAACCCGTTAAACAGACGTGGGGATAACACCTGGCCAAGATAAGCTGTTTGTAGATCTTGGATCAGGAGTGGGATGGACCATCCGTCGTATAGTGCGTGATGCAGCGTTACGACTAGATACCACCCACCTTGCTTAGAATCTTGGGCGATAGCAGCTCTCGCTAGCGGCCCTCCCAGGCTTATTGGTAGAGTAGCTTCTAGTTTGATGTACTGATCAAGCTCAGCTGCCTTGGGCCACTCAACTTTGGAATCCAGGACTGCCTGGTACATCTGCCCGTCGGCATCTTGGACCAGCCGGGTGCGTAGGATGGCATTTGCCTCCACAGTGGATTCCCAGGCCCTCTTTAGGCTATTGAGGTCAACATTGGGTGGCAGCCGCACTGGGAAATAGCCCTGGTAGGCACCCCGTCGCTTTAAGCTCAATGCCAGTAACCCAGCTTGGAGTGCGGTTGCGGGATAGATATCTTGAACCTGGCTAGTAGGTATAGAACATGAGCTGGCTACAAGCGAACGAAGTCGGGCCCGTTCTGTGTCATTCGATAGAAGAAGGAACGGAGGGATTGGGCGTGCTGCCGAGTCGCCTTCACTGCGCTGTAACTTTCCAGCTAATGCTCCAAGGGTTGGCTGGTCGAAGATATCCGCCACCTGCACGGTCCAACCGGCCTGACGGGCATCCCCAACAAACCGTATCGCTGAGATTGAGTCTCCTCCGTGCTCGAAAAAGGTATCATCCATTCCAATATCCTCGATTGGTACTTTCAGCACACGGCCAGAGATGGACTGGATGAGTCGCTCCTTGTCAGTGGCCGGGGTCCGCTTGACTTTGCTTGCTACAATGTAGCGTCTTTTTTCTTCCCGTGCAAGACGGGAGGCAGCTTGTTTCACAGCCGTTCGCTCCGTTTTGCCAGAAGCTGAGAGAGGGATCTTCGCCATGGGGATAAAGATTATCGGCACCATGGCGGGCGGAAGCTTCTTGCGCAGCTGAGCTATCACTCCCTGCACCTTTGCCCGGAACGTATCACTAGGCAGGTTGAAGAGATCATGGGGATTTTTGCCCTGAAGATCGTCATACTCACTTGGAATTTCGATAAATGCCATCAAGACAGGTCTTTCATCGTCAGTGATTGGAACAATGAGATCCACCATTAGACGTGTAGCCTCTGCAAAACACTCCTTTAAATGATGTTCAATTTCTCCTAGCTCAAGCCGTTGCCCCCTTACTTTGACTTGCGTGTCTTTGCGGCCAATATAACGCATTGATCCATTGCCCGAATTATACTGAACAAGATCCCCCGTTTTGTACATCCTCCGTGGACTAGCTTCGATGGTAAACTGGCGAACCCACGCTGGATCTTGGATAAAGGCGGCAGAAGTGCTCCGTTCATCGTTCAAATAGCCGCGACTCAATATTGGGCCTTCGACTACAAGTTCACCAACTGTGCCAATTGGAGCCAGCTTGTCGTGATTATCCTGCTCAACAACCCAGCCAACGCTACCGGTAGCAAAGCCTATGCAGGAGTGATCTGTCGTATCCATAATAGAGGCATTGACGAAGCAGTCAACGGAACATTCCGCCGGTCCATATGCGTTGATTAGCTTTACCGAGCTAGCCCATGTGGTTACTAGACCTGCAGTCATCGGCTCCCCGCTAAGCACCAGAGTACCTAGCCCAGGAATATCCTCTGGCTTCAGAAGCTCGGCCAGCGAGGGGGTAATATGCATGTAGTTTGCCCCAAGGCTTTTCATAGCTAGCGCAAGGTTGTTTTCCCTCTGAGAAACTTGTGGGATACAGAGACAGCCACCAGCAAGGAATGTTGCTAGATGGTCAGAGACACTAACATCGAAGGCGTAGGAAGCTACCTGAAGAGCCCGTGTGTTCCTATTTATACCCATAGGCTCTATGAGTGCTTGCATGCTTGTAAGGCATGCCGCATGCTCAACAACGACGCCCTTAGGGGCGCCAGTGGTACCGCTGGTGAACACTGCATATAGTTTGTTTTTTGGTTGGACGATAGATGCCCTCCACACTTCGGCTTTTGTTGATCTATTACCCACCGGTTCTTGCCATTCAGTACTATCTAGAAGAATGACAGTTGAAGTGATATTTAACGCGGCAGGCGATAGCGACGCAGATGTTAGTAAAACAGGGGCATCCAGCTGGCTATGAATGAGTTTTAGACGATCCAAGGGATGTGCGGGATCCATCAGTACAAACGCACCGCCGGCGCGCATAATTGCCAGCATGGCAATAGGGGTCCATCTACACTTCTCTAGGTATACAGGGACGAATACTTCTGGCCCTATTCCCCACTGAACTAATACGTTAGCTAGTTGGGAGGATAAACGGTCTAGGTCGCCGTAAGACAGATCGCCATCCCATGAACGGACGGCTGGTGTTTGCGGCTGATCTTTAAAATACTTATCTATAACCTCGTGTATGGTGCCATCGACTCGGGGAGGGATATGCTGATTCCAAGCCCTGAGCCGCTCTATTGTCTCCGGCCCGGCTAGATCGATATCGCATACCTTCAAGGATTGCTTTTCGACTAGCTCTAGTATTGCCCGTCCAAGATGATAGGATAATGTTGCAGCCTCTGCTTTACTCAGAGCTGCTGGGTCAAAAGATGTTTGAATCAAAATGTGGTCTCCATTGAGATTGCAAAGCAGAGTCAATGGATATGTGTTGATCGTGGCTATATTTTCCGCAAATCGCTGGACCTCATGCATAAGCTTTGGCTGATAGAAGCTTTGCTGCTGCTGGATGACGAGGAGGTTTTGGAATTGACAGGCAACAGCAGAGTCTGCTCCTAAAGCCTTGATGTTGTGTAGGCCTGTCGCCTCGTATGGAATCATTTCAATGGTTCGAGCTTGGACCTTATCTAATGACTCCTGCACAGAATCTGCTGGGCTAATATGCACTCTGAACGGGACTGTTGCCATTGTTGGGCCCGTCATCTGCTCAATGTCTCTAACAGGTGCACTACGCCCTGCGACTGTCGCTCCAAAAACAACATCACGCGAACCGGTATGCTCGGACAGTACTATAGCCCAGGCCAGACGGGCTATAGTAGAAAGGGTAAACTTGGAATCCACGACCGGAGTCTCTAGCCTGTGTTCTACGAACTGCAGAGTAGCGGGCTTTTTGGCACGGCCGACCTGAGCCCGGGGCGCAGGAAACACACCGCAGTTCAAGTCCATAAACTGAGAGCGCCAAAATTGATCACGGGCTGATATATCCATACGGCTTAGGTATTCAATAAAACCTGTGAATGGCCGGAGCTTCAAGGCCTGGTCTGCATAGGCCGACTCTAACTGCTCAAGTAGGAGGGTCATTGACCAGCCGTCATAGACGGCGTGGTGTATAGTGAGGACGAAAAATGTCTCAGACTCTTGTGAGACGATGACGGATCTTAGCAGTGGTACTCCCAGGGCAATTTTAGCCCCCTTCGCGGACTTCATAGATTCCTCAAGGCTGCAGGACTCTACCACACATGAAGGGCCATGCTTCAAGACAACCTGGAATGTACGGCCGGACTGCGACTGGATAATCCGTGTCCTCAAGATGGGGTTGGCCGCAACAATTATATCCCATGCGGCTGCAAGGCGAGGAACATCCACACTGGGATCGATGCGATGCTGGTACTGCGCGACGTACGACCCCTGCTGCTTGATAGTAAGACTCATAAGGCCTTCCTGGAGCGCTGTGCATGGATAAATGTCCTCAATATCGTCAGAGGATGTCTGGCACTCGATCATTGCCATCCCACTAAGTGCGCTTACGTCGTCTCCAGAGGGAATTAGGCTGAAGGGAGCAACGTTTTGCGCAGATGACGGAGAATAGCGCTCCAACCCCTCCGCCAGGCTTGATAGGGTGGGCCTGCTGAAAATGTCAGAGACAACCAAGGTATAGCCTGCTGCACGAGCAAGGCCAACGATTTTCATGGCTGTGATGGAATCGCCGCCGAGCTGAAAGAGATTATCACTAATACCCACTCTTTTCGTCGGTAGGGCAAGTGCCATAGCCCAGAGACTTTGCATCAGCTCCTCGTTTGCGGTTGTAGGCTGCAGCTTTCCGCTCCCTCCACTGGCGTCCACTAGCGACTCGAGGTCGCTGCGAGATAAGCAAGATGCAGCTAATCGAATGGCACGACGATTTGTCTTGCCCGACTTGGTTTTCGGAATCATCGAAATCTGGATCATGAGTTGGGGTATCATGTAGCTGGACATGGAAACGGCCAGCTGCGTTTGGATACCTTGAGACAGCAAGCAGAAGCTGTCACTTGCTGGCATTAAAAGTGGTTGCTGCTGGTCAGTCTGGCTTGTATTCGCCTCATCGTTAATGAACGCAACCAAAATGCTAGATGTTGTTTGGTCGGTAGGGTGGATAACATCGACCACGACGTTGTATCCTGAGGGAAGATAGCGCCGAATATGGAATTCTGCTTCTTCTAGTTCAATTCTATGACCACGAAGCTTGATTTGATTATCCTTGCGTCCTAAGTACCGGTGCGAGCCATCCGCATTATAACGCACTAAGTCACCGGTTTTATACAACCGACAGCCGTCATAAGGAGAAGGCGTAGGTAGCCAGGACAATCTGGTAGAAATAAAGGCACCCCGTGTGGCATCAGGCCGGCGAAAATATTCACGAGCGACCACAGGCCCTTCAAATATAAGCTCTCCAACCGCACCAATAGGCATGGGTCGATTGATGTTAGATGGATCGACAATCCAGCCAGAACCCCCAACAGGTCGTCCAATTGTGCCTACGATCCATCGACCGGTCTCTATGGGCTGCACAGTGCAAATGGTGCACTCGGTAGGCCCATACGCGTTAACAAGCCTGACTTTACTAGACCAAGTATCTGCAATGTCTTGGGGTAGGGCCTCTCCAGTTAGAATCATTGTGCGCACGCTGGGGAAGTCACTGGGCTGGAAAAGTCGAACAAAAGATGGGGTAAAAGCAACCCAGTTAATTTTTGCCTTGGATACAAATGCCGCCAGCTCGTTCATTCTTGCCTGTTGGGAAGGAATGCAGACACATCCCCCTGAGGTTAGGATGGTAAAGATTTCCCAAATGCTAACATCGAATGTATAGGAGGCGAATTGTAGTGCTCGAGTCTCACCATCAATGCTCAAGGTGCGGCTCTGCTCGCGTATGCTCGTGGAAAGTCCATCGTGTTGAAGAATGATACCCTTGGGACGGCCAGTGCTGCCGGAGGTGTACAAGATATATGCGCCGTGTCTTGGTTCGGAAGGTGAAGTTGGACCTTGGATTTGCGTACCGGAGTGTTGAAACACTTCTGAAGAAATAACGATCCTTTTCGCAGAGGATTGGAAATCAATATCAACTGTTGTTGGTGAGACGAGGATCATATCTGGCGTTGCCTCCTCGAGTATCGTTTGAATGCGCTCCACATGAGCGCTGGGGTCTAGGGGCACACATATGCCTCCCGCTCTTAAGACAGCGAGTTTAGAAACAGGTACCCAGACGGACCTTTCAAGGCAAATTGGCACGGGTGTCTCTAGTCCAACTCCCTGCTCTGTTAGGTACATAGCGAGCGAGGAGGAATGATCCCATAGCTGTTGATATGTGAGGCTGCCATCCCATGCGTCGATTGCTAGACGGTCCGGTTGTGCGAGACATTCTGCTCTCACTAAATCGTGAATACAAACCTTCACCGTGGGAGCTGGTCTGTCCCAACTCATGATTTGGGCCTTATCTGCGTCGCCAACCAGGTTAATTTCGGACACAGGCACGTTCGGCTGCCTTGTAATCTCTCCAAGTACGGTGCTGAAAGTGCGTCCTATGCTGCGAGCCAAATCAGGGGGGATCTTATTTCCCCAGTAGGTAAATGAGACAGCTGCCTCATTGTGGCCGGTCTTGACGTTTAAAACAATATCGAACTGGTTGGGCTTTGTTAGCTCATGTTTCTATAGAGTCGAGAGGACAACTTACCTCCGTGGGCTGTTGATCAAGTGTCTCATGGAACTCGATGGTGGGATTGGCACTAATGGGGAGCAACTTTTGGTAAGTGATTATAGTGTTGAACAAGGGTGTGCCAAAATGCCTCAGGGCACAGTATATGTCAGCCAAGGAGCAATGCTGGTTGGGAAGGCTCTGCTTGTACCGGTCCCGACACTCGTGCAAATGCTGCCGGACGCTCAGGTCACCCTGAAGATTGATTCGGGAAATCAACATATTGATAAGGGGACCCACCATGTCCTCTACACCGTCAATCGGTACATCCCGGCCAGAAGTCAAATACCCAAAGGCAACCGTCTTGTTGCCCGTGTAGCATTGCAGCACGATCGCCCATGCCAGCTGAACCATGTTGAAGAGTGTAATACCCTCTTCATTGCAAAAAGAAAACAGCTGGGGAGTGTCCTCGATAATAATTTCAAGGTCCACAAGTTTATCGGTCATTGTGGTGGACTGAGCGCTCGGAAATGATGGAAAGTGACACGGTTCGGTTCCCTCAAGGTAGGTTTTCCAATATTGGAGTACTGGGCCCCGATCGACCTGGTTCAGATAGTTGACATAGCGGCTATATGATGGAAGGGATGTTCGTGACAGCTCTGCCTCATACGCACATTGAATATCTCGGATTAACAATTGCGTTGACTCGCCATCCATAAGAGCATGGCTTATCTTAAGCTCGCACGTTGCATTGCCGCCACCCAAGGACCTAAGAGTAAAGCTCCAAGGGAGCAATGTCTGTTCTTTTAGGTCACTCAAGACCCGATCTTTAGCACCTTGGATTTGCCCCCCGGCCTCCAACGGCAGGATCTTGACTGGAAGAGACGGGCTCTTTAACAGGACTTGACAGTATGAACCATCTTGGCCCTGTACGAATAGAGTCCGGAGTATAGAGTGTCTCATGGATACCAGTTGCAATGCCTCTTCGAGTCTGTGCAGGTCAACTACTGTCCCATCCCGAGAGCGCACATCCCACGACATACGGGACCAGTAGGCCCGGGGGTCTCTGGCTTGGCTCAGTAACATTCCATTTTGGATAAAAGAGGCAGGATAGATGTCTTCGATGTCAGACGGACTGGAAATACCTTTCCGGGCTAGGGTATCAAGTATCAGGGACTCTAGCTCCGTCGACGTGATGGACAGCTGCGGGAAATCACTGAGTGTTGGTTGGAAAGGGAGGTTTTCTAGCCGCATTAGCAACTCATCCAATGCGTCTTGGGAAAGGCGGAACCATTGGCTAATGGCGTCTTGGTGCAGCATGCGCTTCGAATACGCCAGGGACACGTCAAGGGAGCTGCCAGATTGCATCACAGAAAGCTCAAAAGGGGCTGGCTTCTGTGCTAGAGGATTCACTTCCCTATTATTTGGAGGTAGTGGTATCTTTTGGAGGTAAAGCCCTTCTTGCTGCTCGGTAACTTGTTTCCAGCGGAAGATGGCCTCCATAGGCAGTATCTGCCTAGAATGGGTGGTATGGTCCTTAGCTTTTCGGTGAGCATGCTTGCTTCGACGTACCATATCAACCACATCACCATCATGGCCCGCTTCCAAAATTAGAGGAGTGTAGGTTGTGAACTGGCCGACGACCTCTGAATCATATACTGTTCGCCCATCGCATTCAATGAATGCCTGTAAGCCGTCCCGTCCTGGAAAGGTAGCCCTGAAGGCATACAGAAAGACACCCAAAAGTATCTCCGCCAGCTCTGCACGAAGGGCATGTTCGCCCCTCTGATGTATCAAGCTAGTTCTGGCGGGGTCTAAATGAAATTCAGCTAAGATGGTCCCGCTACCTTTCATGCTGCTGGTATCGACTGGGCCCCAAAAGCCAGATAGAGGGCATTCAACGGGTGGTTGTCCATTGATATGTGGTTTAAGGGCCTCGCACCACGACTGAAATGAGCCAGTTGCGATTGATGATGAGGGGCCACCACTAGCCAAACAGATGTTTAGCTCGTTGATAATTATCTGCCATGAAGGAGCGTCAACAACGACCTGTGGAACTACTAAGAGTATATGCTGAGTATTATCTTCCTTATTGGCGATTAAATCAGCCAGGAGAATTGGCCCTGTTTCCAGGTTGATCCGATCTGGGCGAGGATCTAGCTTGGCCAAAGGTGCATTGGTAGTGGTTTGAATGTGGGAGCATTGGTACGATCCTCGGATCAGAGGTGTCACTGTCTGCATCAATTGGCCATCTTCTCCATGAGTAAACCGCATGGACAAGCTGGGCTGGTGATATATGATAGCCTGTACCATGGATTCCAGTTCAATTAGGGTGATGGGCTTCGCCAGACGCAGCAAGAGGCTCTCAGTGAAAGCCTGGAGAGGCGAGCTCTTCTCCTGAAGCAGAATGTGTTGTACTGGGGAGAGATGGAAGGGAAGGACTGTAGAGGAGGAGGTTTGAGAATTCATCTGTACAAGTACTCTGGCATTCAATTCAGCAAGAGTAGGGTATTGAAAAATGTCCTGGGTCGTGACGGAGAGCCCTCGACGGCGGCAATGAGCACTGAGCTGCATGGCTGAGATGGAATCACCTCCTCTGCGGAAAAAGGAGTCATGCAGACTGAGTTCCTCGGTCTTCAGGCCTAGAATATAGGCAAATGATTCCTGGAGTGTCCGTTCGATAACTGTTTTTGGAGAATAATGTCTGCTCTGCTGGTGCAGCATGTATACTTCAACACCGGTCCATGAAAGTCTAGCAGTCTCCTCTCGAAGCCGCCTACGATCTGTCTTGCCTGATATGGACAAGGGGATATAGCTGAGTGCAACAAAGGCTCCAGGAACCATGTATGCAGGCAACAGACCTTTCAGTTCCGTCTCAACCTCTTCCATCTGAAGGCGAAAGGCGTCTGTAGGCGCGGCGAATAACTCAGCGGGCAAGGACTCTTCGGCCAGGGTATCCCCTAACCGCACGAATGCCACGAGGACTGCATGCGTACCAACACCACGATCTAGCTGGACCATGTCTACAACCACTTGATGCGGCCGCGGGTCAAGCAGGTCTCCAATATACCATTCAACCTCACCCAGCTCAATGCGCTGCCCACGCACCTTGGCCTGGGTATCCTTCCGGCCAAGGCAGCGAAGAGATCCGTCAGGTTGATATTGCGCCAGATCGCCCGTTTTATACAGGCGGATACGATGAGACCCTTCACCCCGGAACTGGCGCAGCCACGGCGGGTCAAAAACGAAGGAAGCCGCTGTCAGCTTCTTGTTGCTCAGATACCCTCGCCCTACACCGGCACCCTCTAGCACTAGCTCTCCCGGCTGGCCGATGGGGAGCAAAACGTGGTGGTCGTCCGGGTCTACGATCCAGGCCACACAACCAGCAGCGAAGCCGATGTTGTGCGGGTGTCCATCGGGGCGCACTGGAGAGCAAATTACAGAATAAACCGAGCACTCTGCGGTACCGTACGCATTGACGAGCAGCAATCGGTCTGCCCATTTCTCTACGTCGCTTTGGAGCATGGGTTCTCCAGCAAACTCCAGTACTCGCAGGTCCGGCAGCGTGTCAGCATCCAGCAGCCTGGCCACCGAGGGTGTGAGACTGGCGAGGTTGGCCCCGAACTGGGAGATGGCGCCGGCAATGTCATTCTTCGCCTGGCCCGGCGATGGAATACAGACGCATCCGCCGTAGATCCAAGTCCGGAGAAAATCCATGATTGTTGGGTCGAAGGCGTATGAAGCAAATTGAAAGGCCCTTGTCTGGGCGCTCATAGCTAAGGCTTGTCCTGATGCCTTTGCCGCGGCGCAGAGGGCGGCATGTTCATTAACCGCACCCTTTGGCTTCCCTGTAGAGCCAGAGGTGAAAACAATATATAGAGCACTGGATCCCGTCACAGGCGATGCTCTCCAGGACTGATTACTGCTCTGATGCCACTGCTGTGATTGTGTCTCTCCAACTAGGATGAGGCAGGATTCGTCTGCCAACTGTAGGGCTTCTTCTCGGAGACTGCTAGCAGCCAGCACGATTGTTGCAGACGCCTCTTCACAGATCTCCCGCAACCGGGGCAAGGGGTGTGAGTCGTCGAGCAGCACGAAGGCCGCCCCGGCTTTGACGACAGCAAGAATGGACACGGCAGTCCATTTTGATTTCTGAAAGTACAAGGGAACAACCACCTCACAGCCAACTCCTCGTGCCACTAGCTCGTCGGCCAGCGCGGAGGAAAGCTGATCCAGCTCATGGTACGTCAGGCTACCGTCCCAAGCGCAAACACTAGGAGCCGACGGTTGGCTGTCAAAATGCGCCTGGATCAAGTCGTGTACACGCAGAGTATCATCTTTGAGAACGCTTTTGCCATTCCATTGTTGGAGTTGCTTGATGTCGTTGATATCAGCTTTGGCCGCATGGCTTGCTGGGCCTCCATTGGCAATCCGCTGCGGACTCGAGCCCATCTCGACGTGCTTGCTTGGTGATAGATTTTGCTTCCCCTGGCATGTGTAAATGTCGTTTTGTATGTTTGGAGATGGTATTACTCCGGCAGTTCAGCTTGTCCAATTCTTTTCCCTGCATTGGTATATATTGGGGGAGAGGTAATTGTACGAGTACCTCGTGAGGACGCTGCATTCTCTTACTTTGTGAATATCAATGACAGCAGATACAGCTTCCCCCACCTCATGGCCGGGGCCTCTCCCTGTCTGTGGCCGTACGTAAGTATATACCCCCTCTGGACTCCACCCTCGAGCTGCAGGACAAGCATCTGTCTGCGCATGTAGCCCGTTTCTACATGTTGGATAACATTTCGATTATGCAATCCGTGCACAATATAGTTACTTAGTTCGCTGGAGAACTAAGTAGCTGTCTCTTCCCAAGTTGTGCTTTCTTTTATTTCCTTTCTTTTTCTGCTTTAACCATCTCCGAGTGAGATAGTTATAATAGTTATAAATGCGAGTCCACCAGTAGAGGATGGGGTAGATCCAGAGGCAAGAGGCTGCAATCCGAACACTGCAATTCTCCCTTGTATATCCATTCTGAACCGAACACATCATGGCACGTCGAGTGCCTTTTGACCTTCCAGAGGAGGCCATCCGAGTGATCAAGGAGGATGGAGGAGTTATACTCACTGGCTTTGCTCCTACAAGCGAGGTCGAACAAGTAAACCGTGACGTCGAGGAACTCATGGCGAAACGAAAGAGCGATGAGGTATAGAATACCATGAATTCATTCTGCCTCTTCTCTGTCTCTTGCCGCGAGGGGCTTCTTTGCAGCAGAAAGGCTGACCAGACACCCCAGGCCAGGAAAGCCCTCTACAAGGGACGCATTTACTGCGGTTTCCTGTACGGCCTGAGCGAGACGGCACGAGAGAAATGGATCTTGAACCCTACTCTCCAACTGATTGTCAATCACTTTCTCCGCACAGTGAACCCTCCGGACGTGGATAAGAACAGCATGCCAGGGAGAAGCACCGATGCCATTCTTTCACAGGCAAACAGCATCCTGACCCTTCCAGGGGGTGCGGGCCAGGCCCTCCACCGTGACGACAGCATCTGGCAAAACGTTCATCCCAGCCAGGAGGAGTCAGGGTACCGCTTGGGCTCTGATCTCGGTCTTGGGTTGTTAGTTGCAGGAGTTCAGACAACCCGTGCGAATGGAGCCACGTTGGTACATACTTACCCTCCTTTCACATCTGTGCTTTTGTTCAGCATAGAACTCCCTTCTTCTAATTCATTGTCCAGTTTGTCCCTGGATCCCACCTCTGGGGTGATGCGCGAGACGCCACTGAGGACGAAGTTCATGCCGTTGAGATGCAGCCGGGCGAGGCGTTTCTCTTTCTAGGCTCAGCGTTACATGCAGGCGGTGCCAAATTCGACTGACGCTTCCAGACTGATACATGCTATTTTCTTCTGCCGCTCATGGGTCCGACCCGAGGTGGGTTTTCCGGGTTTATACAGTTATGCGTCCTTTCCCTGCATTTTGGTGTGCTGACTGGGTTGTTAGACCAACGAATTCGCTTGGTGGACCAGGGATGAGGTGGAGACCTGGTCGACAGATGCACAGCGACTTGTTGGTTATGTTACTGATAAGATGCTGGGCATCTGCGATGACGGAGATCCTATTGACGCTCTACGACGACCACGGACAGAGGCCGCGGTCCTGAGCAACTAGCTAACAAATTCAGGGTAGGGGCAAGATGTGACCCCCGTAGAAGGTCAGCATTTTCCCTCCCCCCTTGCTGCCATTCAAAATGACGCTCTTCTGGTTGCAAAGATTGACGGGCTCTAAGTTGGCAAACTTGCTGATCCCCCGAACTTAGAAGGCTGCATTGCATCTTGTTGTGCATGAGGACTCAGTTTGATAACTATGTATTGAATCACGTAGCCACTTCGCATACATCCATGGATACGCAAAAATGAGACAGGGTGCAGTCAACAGACACACTACGCTCACAGGCAACTAAGAATTATAAAACTCGAATCCTGTGCGAGTAGTTACTGGTTAGAGACTGGTTTTATTGATCTTCGAAGAAAACAGAGAAAGTCTTTGGCAGAGGGGTATCCGACCAGCCATATCAAATTCAGTTGTTGTAGTAGGTTTCAACTATCCCTCCTTGAAAACAAGTAGGAAGATAAAAAGTATATAGTTAATTAGTAGTAGTTTTCTGTCTTTCCGCGATGCTCTCTCGCCGGGCACAAGAACAGATCCCCCCTTCCGCATTCAATGTGATGTGGGAAGTCATGAAAGATCCATGGGATGCACAGGATAACCCCAACGGATACGTGAATGTGGGTGTAGCAGAGAACCACTTGATGCAGGCCGAGCTGGAGGAGTATCTCTCGCAGCGCATCGACATGCGTGGTTCTGTCTTGACCTACCAGGATGGTCCGATGGGCAGCCAGCGGTTGCGTGGCGCGCTGGCGCGCTTCCTTAACCGCCAGCTGAACCCCTATCATCCCCTAGACGCCTCCCAGATCATCGTCACCAACGGTGTGTCCAATGCCCTCGAACACACCTCCTGGGCCTTTGCCAACCCAGGAGATGCCTTCATTCTAGGCCGGCCGTACTACGGGGCCATTAACCTGGCTCTTCGGCCACAGGTGCTCACGCTGCCCGTCACCTTTGGCGAGGTCGACCCGATGAGCCTAGATGCCATACCATTCTACGAGGAGACCATCCTCGCCGCAAGACTACAAGGCACAACCGTCAGGGGACTGCTGTTGTGCTCACCGCATAATCCGCTGGGCAAGTGCTACTCGCCCGAGGTCCTGGCGGCATTCTTGAAGCTGTGCGACAAGTACCAGATGCATCTTGTCTGCGACGAGATATACGCTCTATCTGTCTGGAGTGACCCCCCTTTTACCTCAGTAGTCGCCCTCGACATCGAGAAGTTCATCGATCCAAGCCAGGTCCATGTTCTCTGGGGCATCTCCAAGGATTTCGGCGCCAATGGCTGGCGATTGGGATGCATCGTCTCGCTTTCTAACCGTGAGTTCCACACGGCGATGAACTCGGTTGCCATCTACTCGTACGTCTCGTCCATCACAGATCACATCGTGACGCAGATGCTGGAGGACGACAGGTTTGTCAACGCCTATCTAGACGAGAACCGGCGCCGGCTGGCGTCTATGTATTCCTTTGCGACCGATTTCTTGCGGCGACATGCCATTCCCTACCGGCGGGGCGTACACGCTGCCTTTTTCCTCTGGGTTGATCTAGGCCAGGCGTATCGCAGTCGACATCCAGACCGGGCGTCAAAGGGCGATATCACGGAGGAAGTAAAGCAGGCTCTCTGGGCGCATAAGGTGTATTTGGCATGGGGAGGCAACTTTGACAGTGAGTCCCCGGGAACATTTCGCATTGTGTTTGCCCATCCTCGAGAGTACTTGGAGCAGGCCCTGCGCCGGATTAACCGGGCGCTAGACCATGGAGTCCACTGCGCGAGTTGGGTAAACTCGTCTCTGTAAGCCATAAAAGAGGACACGCCGATGCGGTCATATAAGATATATAGAACTGTCGCAATTATACTCCGTACGTATCGAGCAAGTAAAACGGGCCTCCTTGCTCATCTCCATTTCCCCTTTTAGTCTCCTCTATGGCCAGGTTGCACATATACACAGCATATGCAGTGTCGGACTCTTTCACTAACTAATGCAAACCCTGGCCGCTTCACCCTGGGGCTTCATTTCGCTTAAGTAGTTAAATAAAGTACGGCTCGGCTCGGCTCGCACGGTGCCTTTTCCACATGCGTTTTAGTGGCCGCATTTGGCGTAGTTAGTGATGTTATCCCTGTCGATAATTCACAAGATTATACCCTCATCTCCTTCTCTGTCCTACTTTGCCGTGTCTCGTCTGACAGCGTCTTGGGCTCTCCTGCATTGATTTCGCTGCGTCCTAATTATATAACGAACCAGTTAGAGACGCCACAGTTGCACTGATTTACCTCCTAGTGCGGTGTTCCGGTAACTACGGAGTAACAACTCATCCAACAGTGCTCGGCAGATAGTTTATCATCTTCTGTTTATACTACTATCCGTTAGAATACAGTCTCTATCAACCCAACGCTTCTCCAGACTTTCTCGTAGTAGAAGCTACAGTCAGGCAGAGCTTCAGCCAGCCTCACGCGTAATCCTGCCATCTAGCCGTCGATGTCCCACTTTTGTCTCTTCACCGTACACTCGCGGGCTGCAGCCATTCGCCTGCATCGACACGAACGAAGCCCCAACCCGCATCCCGCTGCAGATATAGCCGCTACTTGGAATATCTTGCTGCGGATGACACTCTCGACATACACGGCTAACTAACGGCTTTCCCCCGGCCTCATATGCTTCCTACACGTGATGGAGCCTGGTTGAGTGGCCGTGGCCGCCTGAACTCTGCCATCACCTGAGCTTGCCCTGCGTTTCATCGCCGACGATGACATCTTCTACTACAAGAGCCCGCCATGTAGCGCTCTAACCTCCTCCATCCTATCCTTGACCCGAGTCCGCATCCTAATTCGCATCATAGCCGCCGGGCATCATGTCGAAAGTGACGCAGTGGAAGGCCATGACGGTCATGACCGTCGACGGCTTCGGCTATGCCCTGGCCAAGTCATCGCAGGTTTTCCTTATTGAACAGTCCCTATGCCGCAACTTCTACTCCATCAGCGACCCTGGCGTCATCCTCCCAGACGGCAGCGTGCCGGAGGACCTGTGCAAAAGAAAGGACCTGCAGTCCAAGGTCGCCCTCATGTCCAGCACCTTCGATTTTACCCTCTTGATAGCTAGTACGAGATCTGGTCTCTTTTTTTTTTTTTGTTGATAACTGCCTAACCAGCTACTGCCTGGGCCCCGCGAGTTAACTATCATCTTCATCTCATATCAGGCTTCTTCGCCACTCCGGTCTTTACTCACTTGGCGTTGACCGTCGGAAAGAGAACCGTTCTCCTCATCAATTCTATGAGTTACATGTTGCGCATGATATTGTTTACGGCCGTGGGTGGGTGACTTTCACACCCCTGCGTTCCAGCTCGGGCAGTTGGATACCTATGTAGCCAACTGCTTGTAACTATATATGGCCCCCATAACTACAACTAACACGTTTGCGCTTCCCAAGTTTACTTCCACACCGTCACTGACATCCGCTGGGTGCTTCTGCTATGGGTTCTGGAGCTCGTAGGAGGCGGCATGCCGGTGCGAGAGGTCTTGCTGTGGATGTACATGGCAGAGAGCGTTCCCGAAGACGGACTGTAAGCACTAACTAACTGTTTACCTGCCAGCTTATGGTTAACTATCAGAAACTGACGTGTTTTCTTATGACGTCAGAACGGGTGCTTTTAATATCTTGAGCTCCTTTCTGATTGGAATGATGTCGGTCGGCACATTCATCGGCTCTATGCTTCTCAGGCACCACGTCTGGGTGTTGTGCTCGATCGTCATCTGCGTTTGTGCCATAGTTGTCCTGCTAATCTGCCTGCTTCCAAATGGACCGAAGCCTCTATATCCTGATGAACGCAACATCTTGGCCGAGGAGGAAGGCACTCAACACTCACCCATCTCAGAAAGCAGTTCACTCCTTAGTGGGGAGGACGTCCATGCCGCCTCGCCTCGTCCCCCTGCTTTATGGAAGTCTGTCCTTCGTGCTTCCACGGTTGATCTATACTTGTCCCTACAGCTCATCGTGCAGGCTCTCCGAAATCCACTCACTCTTAGAGTTATGAGCATGTTTTTTACTTACACCTTAGCCGGGACTGTCTCCAGCACATCGCAGCAATGGGCATCAAGCACCTTCCATGCGAGCTTAGCCAGTATCGACAAAATCACGTCTATGGAACAAATCATGTCTGCCATTTTCCTGTTAATCCTGCCCATCGTTTCGCAACGGTTGTTACGACCACGCTTACGAGGCAAGCAGGATACAGATCTTTGGGTCATTATGGGCAGCTTGACGGTTGGTGCGTTTGGCGCCCTGATCATCTCCATGGCGCCATCTCTTAAAATTTATGCTCTGGGAGTAGCCGTTGGTGCCTGCGCCGTTGGAATGGCTGACTCACTGCGATCGTTCGCTACCAGTGCCTTATCTGACACCGAGTCTCTCCAAAGCCTCTATATGTGCATTCGGACCTTGCAGTCTTTGGCAGCAATTGTCGGTACCCCGTTGTGGGGAGGCATTTTCCTGCTTATCCTGAAAAGTGGCGGAGCACTGCCACCAGGTTTCCTGTACTTTTCTACTTCTCTCGTCTTTCTCTTCACTCTTTACTTGGCGATACCTTTGCGCAAATATAGGTAGGATAAATACCATATTGCATACTAGTGGGGATGGGTTGGTGGAGATTTCATGATTGAAAGGATAGAATCCGTTAGTTTCAAGGTTATTTTCTTTATATCAACATTACAGGAGCTGCGTCTCCAATAGATTTAGACGACTACAATGTATGCAACTAACTAACTATATTACAAGTATGACGATATAACTGTTTGCTAACTGTCAACTGACCGAACCCGGATTGAGCGCTGTTCTAGGCTGGGCCAAATAGAGATGGAACCATGTGTGAGATGAGAAATGATATCTCCGTATAAGTAGAGGCATTGGTACCATGCAAACTCGCCTACGTATAACCTGGTCAGCAATATAGGCCAAAAGGCGAAGTACACATAGGCGGAGTCTATTAAGTAAAAGCAGTCCCAACCCAACCCCTGGGCAGATCTACGAGCAACAGAAAAGAAAAAACACTGTGCAGGGAGTCTTGGAAGCTGAGACTTCAGTACATGACTATGACTGCATACATATGAGTATACAAAGGATTGACCCCTCCATATAATTACTTTTTATACATCAGGCAGGGGGTACCGTGGGGTGAATGGACACAGGCAAAGTTCTATCTTGATTATATAGTCATGAGTAGCTAGTAGCACCCGTGATTTGGCTAGCTAAGTAAGTATATCATCTTTAGGTATCTTCTTATTCCTCTTATCCAGGAGATTTTATAGCGCTCTGCAAGCAATCAGGAGCCTGACCTATACTGAACATCGATGGATTCCTGCCCCCCAACAGCCTTCCCCTCGCCCGGCTGAGAGTTTCATGGTTCCTAGGTTGGTTCCCAGTCCAAGTCACCCCTCCAGTCCGTATCCACCCCTACGACATGTACATACAGTACAGCCAGCCACATTCTAGGAAGTAACTACCTAGAGTACATAAAGGTTATGACGGGGACGTAGCGTCAAAGCATAAAACAGGAAGAGACTACGAGGGCATGGAGTGCCGCTGTTGGTACCGAAGTAGGGTTGACTAGCTTCGGCCCGTACAGATGTGAACCGTGGATTAGATGCCAGATAACTACTCATGTGGAGACACTGTTTCAGAGCTTCCAAAGCGCCGAACAGTGTGTAGCTATGTTGTTGGATGATGCCCAGCACCCTCCTTTTTATGCCTCCCCGCTATCTGTTAGGATATTAACAGGTGTGTACATGCATCAATGATATTAGGTTTGCTTGCTTCAGTCTCTGCATGAGGCCCTGTGCGTGCTCGAATTGCTGCATTTGAGCCAACGTGTCGTGGAACAGTAGTTATGGACGTCAACAACCAGTACAACCCACGGCATCATTTATCCGTCGACGTCATTGAGTATTTGCGCAATAATATGCTTACGAAATGCCCCTGAAGCCCATTTGAGACTATAAAATTGCTGATATTGCGTCCTATATCTCGAGAGTTGGCTAGTTAATACTATACGATTGAATTTGTACAACTCGCAGTCTTCTACTTTCAACTTTTAGTGTCACGCTTACATACCGCCAGTTATCAAAAGTTTCAGAAATATCCAATCATGAAGACCGTCGACTTTGATTTCGATGTTACCGCAAGGGTGATGCCTGATGACCCTGTTGAGCTGCGCGGTAAGAGTCGAGAGGATGGAAAAATGATTGTGCTTGACCGCTCCGTGGATGCGATTATACACTCGGGATTCGCATCCATCTGCGAGTACTTTCGCCCTGGCGACCTCCTGGTGTTGAATGATAGTTACGTGCTCGCAAACGTCCTGTGGTTTAAGCACGGTGATGAAACTACCCATGTGGGCTTGTGTGGCCACGAACCCGACAATACGACGGTCGTCGATATGTTCGGATGGCCAGCAGCTGCAAAGGGGTTGAAACTGACGTCCAAGAATAACGACAAGCTCACCTGTACCCTGCTGGAGCAGCTGCCCGACCAGCTCTGGAGAGCCAAATTTGAACCGTTCGACCTAGTTATACCGACACTAGTTGAATTCGGACAGCGAATTGACGATATAACTGACCCGAGTGTGACACTGTGGAGGTCAACCCCTCTAGCCTATCGCTCTGTGTACGCCAATAAACCTGGGTCATTTAATGTACCCTCAGCTGGGCTTCACTTCTCTGACAGACTGATGGCTGAGGTTGTTGCCAAGGGAGTTGAGGTCGCTTACCTTACGCTGCATGTTGGAGCAACGGAGACCTTTGCGGTTCGCCATATTAGCGAGGAGGAGATCGAGAATCACACGGTCCGGTCCGAGTACTTTGAGGTCGAAGAGAAAACAGCTGCACAGATAAATCGGGCCATTACTGAGAACAGGCGTATCATCGCTGTGGGGACGACTGTTATGAGAACACTGGAATCACTGGCAGTCAAACAAGAGCCCAAAACTCCTATCAAGGCTCAATCAGGATGGACAGATCTATATATCTTCCCCGGGTTTACGTTCAGGCTTGTGGACGTGCTGCTGACGAACCTCCACCAGCCACGGTCAAGCCATATCGTCCTTACCGCAGCCTTTGCTGGAAAAGATCTTGTCATGCGCAGTTACGCAGAGATTCTTGAACGTGGTGGATATGAGTTTGATATGTTTGGTGACAGCATGCTGATCGTGTAGCCGTGGGGATAACGGGTGATTTTTTAGCATGTTAGGTATATTTGTTAGCCAAGGCCAGGCCACATGTTGGAAGCAAGCACGGCATGCCATTGCCTCAGAGCTAACTACAATTCGTTAGACTGCACTTTGCAAGTACGTGATTTTGCGTATGATTCCACTCTTTCATATGGAAAATAAACAGTCTCTCGTTACCCCATTTACAGGGTAAGGTCTGCCCGATCGTTGCTAAATCATCTTTAATCGTTTTGCATGGCAAGACTCTTGTATTTGCTCCGCAAGTGACTAAATGAACGAATATGGTAACTGGTATCTGTAGCCGCGCGGCAATTTCAGCTTTTAGTCAGCTTTGCCAACTAAAGCGGTTGGAGCGGAGCGACGCACGTGGTAGTAAGGCCACCTGCACCTGCAAATATAATAGAATGTGTATGGAATATCGAGCTCGATGCTCCTGCTTATATATATTTTTGGTGGTAGCTTGCATGGCAGGCAGCACGCCATGCCTTGTATGTTGGCTGAGGTTATTTGCCAAGCCACTAGCTATGCAAGCTGCCGTAGAGCCACTAATAATAGTTCACGTGATAAATATAAACCAATTAAAGCTCATGTTGAATAGTTTGAAAGAACTTTACTTTTCGACCGAGGTAATACTCTATACTCTTATTGGTTAATATGCCTCACGAATCAGTGGTGTGATCGGAGTATAATTGGTCCGAAGGGTAGCAAATATATTACTTAAGCATCTAAACAATATATATAGGTACCGTTTTTACTTATGTCTAAGCGCCAGACGCGTCGCTTAGCTTGCCGACGAAGGGATTCATCTACTCTGCATTTGCCTGGGCTTACTCCGTCCATCCGTCGAGATGTCGGCGCGCGACGAAGGCAGCGATCTCTGGTCACTTCACTTCCCCGTGCAGCGAGTCTAGCAAGCAGGGCCCAATAACGGGGCCAAACGAGCAAGATCCCTGTCCACCATGGCCTGCCCAGGCGCGAGCCGAGTCACATGACACATGCGATTTGATGACCGTGCATTAATTAATTTGTCTTAGGACGGTGTTTCTATTTATATCGAGCCAGAAGGTGAAACAGCTACAACTCGCCCCCGAGTTATTTTATTATTATTATGGATGTGGGATGCTGGGAGCTCTTGTCGTGTCTCCAACGCTCTCGGAGGACCGCTCCGCACCTTGCCTCTTCGTATACGCTCGCGAATTGACCCTCGATCAAGCCATATGGCAGCCTCCCGCTCCGCCGGCAGGACCTCGTGAATGCGCACTTCCAACATCCGTACTAGGCTAACGCTCTTTCCCCCTCTCCATCCCCCCCAAAGGAAATGCAATTCGCTTGCACAAGGCTGAAGACGACCCAGTATGGATGGGCTCCCCAAGCCAGGAGCTGAGGATGGAGCCCATGGGCGGCCGCCGTCCTCTAGCAACCCCGAGAGCGAGCAACAGTTTCCCAAGTATTCCGACACTGCAGAGCCACAGCACCAACAGCAGCAAACCAACAATAGCCATAGCCCCCCGCTGGCAGAAAACAACAGCAGCAACAACAACAATAGCGCACATCCCGGTGGTGGTGGTAGATATGCCATGTCGCAGGTGAACCGTGACGTTGCCCCAGGCGGCCTTCAACCGTCACCCAGAGATCCTCGGTCTGCTATTCTGGCTCGACGTTCACCCTCCGCCGCGTCTATGTCCCCTCCAGTGTCCGTCTTATCCCAAGAGCGCCAGAACGAACGTCTCCCGTCTGCTGAGCCGCGGTCTCTTCCTTCGTGCGATATCACCAATGCGACTATCGACGATGCCTACGTCGAGTTCATCATGTACTGCAACCCAACCATACCAAGCTCCACGAACACCTTGGAGCTGCGCCGAATGTTTAGGTCACCGCCGCGCAGTGAAGGGAAGAATTTCTGCACATTCATGCTTTGGGAGTTGATACAGAAGCTTGACCGCAAGGAATTAAAGACCTGGATTCAACTTGCTATAGAGCTTGGAGTAGAACCGCCCTCGGTGGAAAAGAAGCAAAGCACGCAAAAAGTCCAACAATATGCAGTGCGCTTAAAGGTTAGATTTGGCAAATTTGATTTTTATTTCTTTCACTCTTCTAGTTTTCACGCTGTGGGCTTGCTGGTGCGTTTGGTCCTGACTGTTTTATTTCTAGCGATGGATGCGTGCAATGCACATAGATGCATTTTTTGAATATTGTTTAGGGCACCAACACCCGTACTATACAAAGGTTCATCCACTCACCGAACAAGAGGAGGAATGCCGCGATGGAGTGCCGAGAGATGAAGACCTGGCTCTGCGCGCTCTTGTTCCCGAATGGAAGCCCAAACGAGGCAGAAAAAGGGTCGATGAAGTTGGTGTTGACCCCAAACAACAAAAGAGAACGCGCTTATATACACCCAACTCCGGGATAGAGGGAGGCTATCACACTGACGAGACACCCCAAAGTTCTATGCCCTGGAGTGCATACCCAGATTCCGCTGAAAATCATTCTGGAGGCTGGCCAACAGGTCCACCAGCACACCTAGATAACACAAAGAACCCACACCGTATGTCAACTCCAGAAAGGCCTATAGACATCCAGCCTGCCGCATCGAGATGGAGCTTCCCCATACATAGATCTCCACCGTTTCAATATCCACAGTCTGCCGTTACTCCCCGCCACCGTGATCTTGATGCACTATTTTCAAACGAGCCACAGTCTGCTATTACTCCCTCTTCGGCAGATAGGGTAGGTGGGAAACGGCGAGGGCGCCCAACAGTCTCTTCGGCATGGCTTGGAAACAGTCCATCCGCCGGAAAGGCTCGAGGTCGACCTATGCATCCCGACGCACCCTCGTCTTCACTTTCAATGGCTGTCACCAGTCACCCAGACATTCGTCCCAATGATATTATTCCTACTGAACCTCCCAATACCGCGCCTCCTACTAGCAATGAGGCAGCAATGGCAGCGCCTGTTGGTGCAGGTGCTGCCCAATCTCTTAGGAACTATGCGCCATCAAGACCTACTAAATTACATCTTCAAGTACCAAAGTCAGCCGGCACGCCTATTCGCCTTGCAACTCCGCCATTATTACTAGTTAATGGTCAGAACGGCTCAGGCGGGAACCCTGATGCAACACGGACTCATTCCGGAGAGATTCCTCCAAACACCACTGAAGTATCATCTCCATTTAGCCTAACACTTGAGCAAGTTGATGACGCTCTATCTCGCGAAATTCAAGGAGCCACACTATTCGGAAGGACAACACCTCTCAATGCGGCCGAATCCCGAGCCATTGCTCATGCAACTATTCAACAAATTAGATCACAATGCCACCCAGATGCTCCTCCTACCATTGTCGCCAGTTACTGTGCATTCTCACTTGGTCTCGGCCATAGACTCGGCCTAGCCTGCAAAGCCCCAGATCAAATGAAGATCAGAATTGAGCCGGGCATGTCTGACGATAGAATTCGTGTACACTGCCCACCAGACGGTCCTACTAATAACGATCCTAATGGGTCATTTTCCATTAGTTATACGCTTTCTTATGACTTTTCTCCTACCCCTGGTGTTAAGTCTCAGGTGTCTATACGTGGTAACGCTCCATCACAAATGGCGTTGGGTGAAGACAGCACAGCTCAATATGGTCACAGCCATTGTAGACATGGGGAGCAATGTACCACTACCGGGGTCGAAGAAGGATTGTCTGATGATGAAGGTAGTCTTGAATTCGGCATGACTGCGAGGGACTGGAAACAGCGATACTTGCTCCTACGGCAACAGACCCGGAAGAAAGATGCTGCACTTTTGAAGTATAAGAAACAGATCCTCGAAGCTGTCATGACTGATCCATGACTTTAATTACACCACTTATCTTTTCTTTTATCATCATATATATATATATATACTTCCTTACCGTTTCTTCCCTTCTTTCGTTTTAAATTTTCCGTCGAAGACCTGATACCCAGTGCTGAGCTGTTTTGGATTTTCGATTGGGGCTTCTGAACTTTTATACCCATTTTACATATCCGAAGTGCTGTATTACTATTATTTCTTTAATTCCAGATTTCCGTTTTTGCCTAGCCCATTTACCCGACATATCTTCTTGGTCTCGTTTAATGGGTATTTAACTCACTTCTCTAAACTGATGGTCATAAGTGGTATATATCCTCTTTGTTCCAATATAGGTTCTTCCTAGAGCTATCAACCATATCTCATCCCATGTTCCATGTCAAAACCAACCTATGGGGGAAATGGGACAAGAGGATATATCCATGACCCAGATATCCCACTCGTTTCGAAGAACTATTTCAGGAGCCCTTTATACATCTGGCAAGCACTTGTGTTTGCTTAAGCAAGTCAAATAAGCGCATGTGCAACACCGACGTCATTTACACAACCTGGTTTTCAATCATTTCCTTCTCGTTCTTGACTGGTGCTCCGGTGTCACAGAACTCCTTGAACATAGCATCCTCGTTCTCCTTGTCGACAGCAGGAGCTGGCAAGAAAGGATCGTTCTTAGTACGCAGAGGAAGTCCGTCTTCTCCCTCATCATTTTCAGCTTTGACGGACGCATCGGAGTCCGAGACCTTTTCCTCAGACTTGAACTTCTTAGTGGGACTTTCATTGTTGGCGCCTCCCTTGTTGGTCTTGCGCTTGGTGGGAGTCTTAGGCGCTCCGTTGGTCTTGGGTTTAGTTGGGCTCTTTCGAGGCGTCTTGGGTTTGGACGATGTTCCATTCTTCTTGGGAGTAACATTTGCGGATCCAGGTGCACCGTCTTCATCACCGCCTTCGCTGGATGAAGGATGGATTCCATTCCCCTTCAGGATACGCTCATAGCGTTTTGCACTAGAAGTGATATTCATCAGCACGCGCAAGCCAATAGCTATATGTCAATGGACTCACGCAGCTCCCTTGCTGACAATACCGCATTCTTCGGCAACTGAGGCGAAGTCGACCTGTGTATCGTTAGGTCCGAAACATCTGGGAGAGAGTATTTCCAAGAGACCCCGGTGTGAGTTACAGGGAAAATACTTACCTTTCCATTATTGGAGTGTTTAATGCACTTGATCAAGAAAATATTCGTTTCTTCGGCAGTAACGCGAGACATTTTTTTGGGCGATTATTGGTTGTTCTTGAATGCCGGGAGGTTTCTTTGCGTTGTCAGTGGGTATCAGCAAACTGTCGTGGATCAAGTAAAAAGATGAAAATGTTTGAGAAACGAAGTCGAGAAAAGAGGAAGAAGAAGGGAATAAGCTTGCCTTGAAGCAAGGAGAATAATATAAGGAAATGTAAGGGAAGGAATGGAATGTGAAGGTTCAGATGTGAGATTAGTATAAAATTGAGAGTCAAACACTGAACTATCACTTGGGATCCTGCAAGGCTAGGAAAACTGAACTGAGTATCAGTTTCAGAGAGGTGCAATAAGCTGTAAGCTGTATAGAAGACAGCTTTCTCCTGAATTTTAAATGGGAAGAGCTAGGAAATCCACTTTGGCTGCTTCTCTGCAGTTAAGCCCGATGATATAGAGCAGGGATAGCTTTTGAACAGACAGCTCTAGTATAGGAAACAGGGTATATGATAAACCTTACTTTGCAAATAGTTAGATGCCTTTCTTGCCAGAGGAAGGAAGATATTAGAAATCTTTAGAAGGAGAGAATCCAGTTTCTAGAAAGGATTCAAAGGAAGAAAGAAAAGGAAGTCTTTTATAGAGTCAGAAATCAACAATAATTAAGCGCGCTAAGGTCAAAGAAGCCACAAAGCAGGATAGACGCGTTACGTAGCAAGGATTTGAGTGTAGCAAAGAGTAGAATGGCCCGAATGATTCCTGATGGGATATTTACTCAGTCGTTTTTCCCATAAATTTACCAGGAGTGTTTTTATTGGCATATATAGGTCTATTAAAACGATGAGGAATAAATAGCGAATTTTATAAGAGTAACAGTAGACTCGATTATTTATGTGCTAGGCAGACTAACCCAACCGGATTTCCTGGCATTAAATAAGAGTGTCCCAAACTCGGCAGTCAAAGTACACGTTTGAGATCATATCCACTGTCAAACCATCATACTTGGGTGATTCAAAAGCAGAATAGCCAGAAGAACTTGCGCGTGGTATGGAAAAACCAGCAAGGTCACAGAGTAGAGCTGCTCATGAGAGAGCAAGGGGGTATTTAACAATCTCTGTAACGCAAATTCGGAAGGGATAATCATTGGAAAAGAAAAACAAAAATAGAAAGAAAAGGTGAGTTTTGCATTTTGATGCTTGAGGCCTCCTATTGGGGTTGATTTGATAGACGAGACGTAACGAGACGTGACGATTCCTAAGGCATGGTTAGAGAGGAGATGATGTCAACAGGGAACAAAAGAGTGAGAACGTAATACCTCAAGAGCGTATCATCTAAGCCGCAATCTTATCTGCCTCATCCTCGGCAGCTTCGGTTTTCACATTCTCAGCCTTGATGGGTTCTTCATTCTCCTTGTCATCAGTTTCCGCAGTTTTACGCTTGCGTCCACCGTTAGCAGCAGGCTTTCTACCGCGCTTGGCGGGGCTTCCAGCAGGTTTTTCTTCTCCGTCAACTTCGGGTTTGACCTTGATGGGCCCACGAGCGGCTTTTGCTCCCTTGCGAGGAGTCTTAGGTGTGGTTGCTGGAGAGCCATTCTCCGTACCACCTTCAGTGCCATCCGTAGCACCAATACCCCACTTCTTTTTGATTGCGCGCAGACGATTGCCCACGGAAGCCGGGTTCTTGTAACCCAATGACTCGGCCATGGCAGGAAGATCCACCTAGAAAAGTAGAAACGATAAATGACTGGGGTTGGAATTGGTTAACATCTATTACTAACTCACATTGAAAGGACCCTGAAGATGTTTAAAGCATTCAGCCATGAAGGCAATATCAGTTACCTGCTTGCTTCCGGGCTCGCCAGAATTCTCTGTGTTATCGGCCATTTTTTGAGTAGGCAATTGAAGTGGGTTGAATTTCGTATTAAGATGAGGTAGACAAAAGTAGTAAGTTGATTATTTAGATGTATTGGAAGGCAAGTTGCGGTTTGTTGGTTGGGAAGGAAGAGAAAGGAGGAAGAAAAAGAGGAAGAGGAAGAAGAAGATGAGGGGCAGTGGGTTTTATAGTGAGAAATCTCTGAGCAGATATCAAAACGGAACTTTTCTTAGTGCGAGCACGTTTGGCTTCGTGTGACCAAGCAATAGCCGACGTCGAGTCCGTGGAAAGGTGATGGAAGCTCAGAAGAAGTGATCTCGTAAATATTTGGAATGCAATTTACCAAAGTGAGAGCCAGGGAAGCAACAGGAACAAACCAGGCATTTCTAGACTTTGAATCCATTATTTGTCTGTCTGTATATGCGCCAGTTCAGGAATGGAATGTGAATCTTGGGGTATAGTAAAGGCTGCGCGCCCTGCCAGGTATTAGCCATAGCAAAGAGAAGAGGTCCTCTCTAAGCTACCTGTTATCAGTAGTTTATTAGGATACTCTTGGTGTTTCCTTACTAAAAGAGTAAGCAAAAAAGGGGTATCACCATAGCAGTGTCCAACAGAGAATACTGATAGGTATAGCTAGTATTTCTCTAGGCAACGCAGTATCTTCAAATGTAAGGGCATTAAGATAGTAAAATAACACTCTGAGGCAGCAAAGGACATATTTCAAGGAGCCTAGTCTTCCTGTAGCTATTTTAACCGACAATACCCACTTTTGCTGTGGTACATCTTGCACATTTCATGGTTTGCACAGAGAGAAAAGAAGACAGAAGAATGAAGCCGCGAAGACATGAAGTCCCTTTTGCCCAAAACAGCAATCCACGTGACACTCACTTTGTCCTTCACAAGCGAAAAGAAAAAGCAAACAAAAATATTGAACATTTCACAAAGTTGGCTCAGCTTTGATAAAGAGATCCTGCATCTCAACTTCACCATCGGCCCTTTCGCCCTTGACCTGGATCCAGTTCTCTCCAAAAGGCGGTGCAGAATACCCGATGACAGGCTCTGGGACGAAAGAAGGCATCGTCAAGTCTGCAGGCGAGACAGTTGAGAAGTCATAGAAGGCGTTATGACTTGGGACAGCTGCGTTCTCAAAGCACCGAGGAACAGCCGCCATGTCCTGCGGATAGAAATACTGGAGCGGAGGAGGTGGCGATGCTGACACTGGCACTGATGCTCCAACTTCGAACGCTGGCTCCGGCTTTACTGACGGTTCTAGTTCCTTCTTGACTGTCGGGCTAGCCCTTCCAGTGGGAGAACCCTCCTTGCTCTTTGCCGGCTCTTCAAACATGGCCTTCTTCGATTTCGCAGTGTCTGCCTTGGACTTCTTCGCGCGAGGAGTGCGAGCTGTCGCCGTGTTCCCTTCCATTTGTTGTCGGAATCGTGAGAATCGCATTCGGGCTGCATGCCCGTTGGTAATTTCCAGCTGAGATGCAACCAGGTTCCAGTCGATCTAGTGACCAATGTTAGCTGTTGCTCAGTTACTCTGTTTAATTTAATGGACATATACCCAGGCCAACTTACGGATTTCAAATCTAGCTGCTTAAGGATCGTGTATAAAAACTTTGTTGTTTGACCGTCTGCTGGCATAGTTTTGCTTCGCTTAACTGTAGCCATGATTGATGCAAGGTGGTGCTTCAAGCAAGCTTGGTATATCAGGGGATCAATATGGGAGAAGTCGACTGAAATTGAAGTTGAAGTATGGAGTAGCTTAAAGCTCTGCTAGCTGTCAGTATCCTGGTGGTCCGATGGATCCCATATATGAGCACTGATGAACAAATGTGCAGTCCCAATGAGGGGGAGGCAGGGTAGATATGTCTTCTTACCCTGTAGCTTTTCTGCTCTATATCCCTATACCCTCTAGCACCAAGAAGGATCTAGCGACATAGTAAGCTTGAAGCCCATGGTTCAAGCTTTGTCAGGCCCTCCTTTGATTTTAATATTTGTTGTGTATATCCAATTATAACAAGAACACAGCCCTTTGTGTTTCCATGCCAACTTTGATATTATTTTCTCTTCCCAGCCGCTCTGTTTTGTTTGACATACCAGAGATGCCTGACTAAAATCTACCTTTGATAAAGCCTGATGGTGACAAATACATGATTCTTGTCCTCATGGCTTCCACAATGCATTCCATGATATCTATCCATGATATCCCTTATTTCTAGAAACATCCGCAATGGTGCTAGACACTCCTGACTACTATGAAACTATTACCCTAAAAAAACAGTGTGCTTCCTCGGCTCTTTTAATGATTCATTTCTAGTTTTTTCTACAATTACATGAACCCAAGTTTCCTCCAGTTTGCATATCTGATTTTTCGCGTATCAAAACGACAAAATGTACGCCCTCGATACACGGCCGCTGTACTGAGCAAGCTCACTCATCGCTGTCAGCTTCCTTCATTTCTCCCTGCTTGATTTTTTTGGAATCTCCAGCCTCCTCTTCCAAGATTTCGGCGGCGCGCTTCTTGTTAACCTTTCCATTCTTGCAGCTGGATTTGGACTTCGGAGTCTTCGCTGGCGAAGAGGATTCCCTGTTTCCCTCATTGGCCTTCAGTTTGATGCGAGCTAAACGATGTTGAATGGCTTTGGGAGTGCATCCTAGTTATGGGTCAGCCATATGGATATTCTGAAGAGACCCAATAGCAAACAGAGGCTCTTTCCATACCCTCGCCGATTATCTCAGCCACCGCTTTGTAGTCGATCTTAGTCGCCGATGTTGTAATTATAGCAAAAAGTAACTGTTTCAATGTTTATATCAGTTATCGAATTCCAATTTCTCCATGAATCTATATAAACTTACCTTTGCATCAACCCTGTCATCCCATGTAATTGCCATGTTTAAGAAGCTTATAGATTGTTTCTGAGTCTTGTAAATGATAGTAGGAAAGACAGTTTTGTAAAGACTAGGGTAATTAGACTATGATGACTGTTTGTGAAGAGGGTGGGATATGTCTTTTTGCTATGAAAGAAATATATTGATGCTCTCTAGTAAACCATCGCCGCGGTAACAAAGTTGAGACATAAACATCTATGTACTACAGTCTAAGTCTAGGGGACAATACTTTGTAGGAATTCTCCTCGACTTGTAGATATGGAGTTGACCCAAGCTAGTATATCAGATACCGTTGCGCGCCACCCGTTCATTATTTCAAGGGGTCTGAGAAATGAAAAGAACGGGGGAAAATATTTCCTTATTTATACTTAGGATCAATCTCACCAATTAGGTAGTATAACTTTCTAGATATTGTATGTTCAATGTTCATAGATCCCAGGTTATTGCTGAACGCTAAAATAGGTATATGTTTACTCGATATCTTTCATAATACTAAACAGATGGTAGTCTTAAAATAAACATAGAAGACGCCAAGATGTATCGGGTCAGGGTATCCGAGAGATTTAATGTGATTTGAAAATTTGGGAGGCATCTTGTTTTGGGGGGTCAGAAAGATAGCGAGTGCATACTGGGTCTGAAGAATATGACTATGGACTTCAAGTTATGAGGATGCCCCATGCAAATGTTCGGCTAGTGATTTAAATCAATGCATAAGGTATCAACTTCATCCAGCCCTATGACAAGGTAAAAGTGGGTATCAAGATAGGCTAACACAAGGCTGTTCAAGAGGCCATGGGTTGGAAGGGGAATAAATACGGGTTGGTGGTAGACAAGGGAACCGGGCGACATTCAAAAGTTCTTGTGGTTTTGCTGAACGGAGCGGTATAAACATAAAAGGCGAACCCGATATGATAGAATTTATCACTACTTATGCCGACTGGCATCCATTTCCCAAACTTGAGAGGTATCAGGCAACTCAGCCATGGCTGGCTGCTGGTGTCCGTATCCTGCTGCCCCGTTTTTTTCGGACTCCATTACAGTCGGTATTGAAGCAGGTGGTACGTATTGTGGCCCAGTTGCGGGTGATGTTGGAAGAGAGTCAAGTTCTTGGAATCCATTCTTCGGTGGCTGATGGGGAAATGGGTCGTGGGCTGTGTCTTGTGGTGAAGATGCTGCTCTCGCTCTCCGCAGCCGAAAGATGAAGTAGCCAAAGAATGCCAATCCTCCTACACCAGCTATTGACGCAATAACTGCCCCAGCAATCACCCCTCCGGATACCGATGGCTCAGCATGGGGGTGCCGTGGTCGGCCAGTTGGCCTCCCAGTCTCGATTGGCATCTCCATTGAGGTTTGTGACGTTGAACCGGTTGTAGGCGCACTGGTAGCTTCAGATGTGATAGATGAAGTTATCTCGGACGAGGAAGTAGAACTAGTCTCTGTTGAGGACTCCGTTGAAGATCCTGAAGACGATGTCTCGGTCGATTTGCGTGTTGTACTTGACTCACTGTCTGTGCTCGTGCGGCCCGTAGGTGTAGGCTTGTCCGATGTTGATGACGGCGATGGTTTTGGAAGCTCATCGCCTTCCTTGTTGACCAAAAAGGATTTAACCGCGCGCTGACCGAGTTTCCGCGGCCCCCAAATTAGACATGACCATCCGTTGCGGTCTTCGCAATGGTCATCTGAGAACAGGTTGATACAGTATCCGTCTGAGTTTTTCGGGTCCCAGGTGTAAACCTTTCCCTTGTCCATATCAATTTTTGTGCAGGCCTGCTTCCCAGATCCATTCTCAATATGAGCGTCATTTTCTGTATCGTGCCAAACAAACGACCATGCGTCCGCCGCGGTTATGAACAGAAACACCCCAAGGACAAAATGGCAAAGCAGAGTCGTTCGAAAAGCCATGCTGACTGTTGCATCACTGAGAGAAACAATCGGTCATTAACAAAGAGGAATTATTTTTATTCGAGGCAGCTTAACTGGTTTTTTTTCTTTGATTCAAGTCGAAAGCAAGGAGGAGAAACCACGATCATGGACGAGGGATGTCCTCTTCTAAACAGAGCCTCAAGGGGGGTATCCAACGAAGAAATCAGTTACGAGCTCAGGGGAATCAGCATCGTATATGAAATCCCAAGGCCCAACCAGCACACAAAGTTCAAGCATCTCAAAGGGTTTCCTGGGGTCAGTCAAGTTGAATTGCTCCACCTTGACCACAGGCCCTCGGCTTAATACTAATATCTGGACAAGGAACATGCTCGTATTCTAGAATTAAAGATCCACAGGGTAGCCACTGAAAAGTCCATCAATTCCTCGAATAAGCCAAGAGGCTTAGGGTATCCCGCGCTAACACGAGATGTCCTCGGTTTTCGGCTCCGCGGGAGTCCGTCAACCGCAAAACGGGCATGGTGGTCAAGAGCTCGGGATAATAGTTCAACCTCTAGCCCGGTGCATGGCAGGGTAGCATCTTGTAAAGGCATCCAATGCTTTCTTTATGGTATGAATATTCGCTCCTCCCACGTCATCCAAAGAAACCGAGAAATAGTGCGATATTAAAACAACGACTGGTAAGGTTGATGTCGCGAACCTTCTTGCACGGGCAAAGGGGTAATTAGATCTGACTAAGCAACCTTGTTCCGATATCCTAAAAATAGCAACCAACGACTTCATCAATTTTCTCGCTGACAGCAAAATCTCACATGAGGAAACAAGTATGTCCAGGATATCCCAGGCACGATGACGATCGAGAAAACTGCAACTATGGGTCGGCCTCTTATTCTCGTTACTCCGTATGAAGTAACAAGTAGGCGATCTTCTCGAAGACGATGGCCAAAATTTCTCGGCTGAAGAGATGTTTCCGCTGTCGGCTCTCCAGCATTCTCAAAATATCTGCACTAGATGCTTATATAGGAAGCCTCCTCTCGAGCCTGGGGTTCGTTAAATTTGTTTTCCCATCCATTTATTCCCGTGATATCCCTGTGATATTTATAGAGGTACTATCCAGGAGGTCCGTTATCAATGTGTGGGGGTACTCCGTACACGACCCAGTAGTGCCCTAATTCGAGGACTCCTTTGTACCTCTTAAAGGTAGGTCAGGGCCACAGGTTCCGTGAATTTACCCTTTTCAATTGGAGGGCAGGCTATGATTTCATCAACAACCACATGGGGGGAAACTTCAGTAATGTTATATGGGTATGTACACCGTATTGATTAATACCTACTGTTAATTGCTACCTAGCTCTATATAATCATATGGGCGATGAATGCATGGCAAACTGATAACTTCTAGACTCCGAGATCTACAAAGAAACTATCAGTGGCAATTCCACATTGTTAATAATAAAGCCAGGGTTTTCTTCACGGAGAATATATTTATGCCCTCTTTGTTTACTTCATATTTGAAGACCGTATCCAGTCTGCGTTGAATCACTCTTGTCTACCATTGAAATAGTAGAAAGATATATATACGTCAGCCGATAATACCGAGAGCTCTATTAACACATATACCATTGAGCAAGCCTATCTCATCCTGCATTAAGACTCTACACCTACTGTCAACATTAAAATAGCGAAGCTTGATGAGTTCAAACAAAAAGTAGCCAATATGGCTGTTTGATTTTATCTTGATAACTAAGAGAAATACCCCTGTTGGCTAAAGCCCGCTCCGTTGTCGTGAGAATTGCAGCACAGCGATACGTTGCGTCGCAAATTAAACGGCATCAGGGGTCAAGAAAAAAGGAGAGAAAAAGAAAGGTTGACTTGAGAAGATAGCAGTACCATTACTTCGACCACGTTTCTCCCGAGTTTGATATCAATTCACCAGTCCAGAAACACTCTGCGTCAATTCTGGAAATCAAATTCGGCCCTGAGCTGTCGAGATTAAATAGCTTCGTCTTTAACAAGTTCATCCATGAAGTCATCATCGTCTTTGTCGTCACCCTCTGCTGGAGCGAACTCGCTGACGCTACTTTCATACTTCATACCATCCTCATCGTCAGTATCTTTTTCATATTTAACCATTCCTAAGGGGAGAATAGGATTGGTTCTCACGCGTTTGCTTAAAGCTCTCTGCGCAAAAACGTCTTCCAGCTCCCCGTTAGAAACCAAGTTCTCATCCTCGATCTCCTTCTTAACCGGCCCTCCACGATTTGCAGGGGTTGGAGTGCCGGGAGATCCATTTTTCCCGCCCATGCCCTCCATTTTTGCTCCGGGGCGAGATCGCTTGGTGCTAGACTTTGAGCCTGCCCCAGCTCCGCGCTTGCGGGAAGCAGGGGTTGTGGGGGCTGAAGAACCATTCTTGGCTGCATTGGCTTTCGCGAGCGCGCGAATTTTCTGGATTCGTTCAGTGATAGCGCGAGGAGTCGGACGGCCTTCATTTTCAGCTGCTAGTTGTAAGGTGAGACACGTGTTCATTCCACAGACATAACATTGAGTACAAGTTGCTAACTTACGCCATGCTTCGGAGATCTTCTTCGTGTCCACACTAATCTCATGGGTTTCAAGTAACTTAATGAGCAGCTATTTTCACATCAAATGGGTTAGCAACGCGGACAGTACATACTGAGCCAATCTTCAGCTCAATAGACAGGAAAAATCTAACAACATAGAGATCGAGTATTGCGCTAAAGGGGCAGTGGCTGAAACCTGCCGCAAGGACAGACTCAGGTAAACTCAAAGAGAAAGTACATGGAGAAGTAAAGCTTGGAGTGTAATGAAAAAGGCATTACCATTTGCTCGTTCTCACTGGTCCAACGGATAGGCATCTTGAGTATTTGAAGATGTGGATTCGAGGAGTTATCGAAGTTGAACTTTGCAAATGATGACTTTGGTACTAGCAAGTTGACAATTATCTTAAAGTGTAAATGAGGCTTAGCCGAAGGTTGAATTGGCAGTGGTTAAAGAAAATATCGAGCTCTGAGTGAACCTGATAGTAGGGGAAGTTTGGAAGAAGGGTGTGATAGGAAGAAAAAAAGAAATAGAAGAAGAAAGAGATTTCATATGTGTGGTTACTAGGGCGATTTAGTAAACACAAGACCAGAGTGAGAGGTAGATGACGGCTCTTAGTGTTGTTAACTAAGCGGTGAAGAGAAAAGAGCGAGATTAGAAGCAGCACAGCCTGTAAGTTGTGCTTCTATCCTACAGATAGCATAGTGAGATTTAAAGGGAAGGTTAAGTCAGGAAAAGATGTAAATACTTAAATGTGTGGTGCTGGTGGTTTTCTAACTCCACATCCAATATAGAGAGAGTTATTAAATTTTCCCTATATGAATAGAGATTAACCATCGCAGCTAATACCTTTGTAAATTATTTATACCCTTTAACTAAGATATCAATACATTTTTAAATCAGTTGGAAATAAAACCAGATAAATCGAAAAGTGTGGAGTCATAGACACCTAGGTAGTTACATATGACAGTGGAGGAGGCTCAGGTCTTTTAATAGGGGCGGAAAGCTTAAACTGTTTAGGTGCACTGACAGAAACCTTAAATAAACACCCAACCTCACTGTTTAGACAAAGATCCATTTTCGGGTTGAAAATCCACACCAAACCTATTTTATTTGATACTCAGATACCACAGGACGAGCCAATAAAATATGCAACACGTATCTACTTTTATAGTAGATGAACCCGTTCTATGCGTGGCTTTACCTTGACCCAGTACGCAAATCCACGCGCTGATTATCCACTCTGCCTTGCTGTATTGGCTACCTACGCGATAGGTTCCCCTTTAATAATAATACAGTTCGTTATACGGCAATTTTGATTGTATCCGCAAGTTTCCATGATTTTTCCACCTCTTACACTTCATACCCATACCATCGACCTTCATCCTACTGCTGTCATGTTTTAAACTCCACCTCTGGCCTCGAAGATAGCCGCTTCAAGCATTCTTATAGCGGAATAGTACGTGATTATAGCTCTACCAGAAGGTATAATTAGCTTGAATATTGGCGCTATTTTACCTGTCAACTGTAGATTCGCCTTTTTATATTTCCAGGTATCATATGCCGAAAATATGATAGCTATACATATTTAGCCAATACCATTGATTTGCCCACGAATTTTTGAATACTCCAATACCTAATACTCAAACATAGGTTTTGGCTCCAGGTTTTTTGGAGGGGAACCTATATTAGGGGCCAAATCTTTCCTTGATTTGGTATTCTATACTAAGATATTGTGCATTCCTAGCATAACTTGCTATGTGAGGTTTGTAGTTCTCTACAACACGCTAGTAACTTCGTGGAACTTCCACACAGACAATAGCGACTCATGTTTTTTTTTTTTTACTTCATTGCTCATCTTCAGAATTTCATTACAAAAGCCAGCTATCTTTTAATAAATCAGAACAGCAAGATATCTTCAAGAAACATTACCCACAAACCATACTGCCTAATATTACAAGCCACCATGGTCAGCTGGCACAAGGAGAACATTGAGAGGCTAATTGCAGCGCTACTCCTTGCACACCCAGAGTTAAACGTAGGCAGACCTTGATCCTCCTTCTTCTTCGTCTTCTTTACTTTGCATATACGGAAATACCAGGCTAAAAAATGTTTTTATAGCTGAACTATCGCAAAATGGCCGTTTACTTCGGTCAAGACGCATCTTATGATAGCATTCACAACCAATTCCGAAGATTTCGACGTACCGCAGACGAGATGCAAGGTGCCCTAGGTCAAGCCGCCCCGTCAACCCCCATCCGTCGGAGGAACGCAACCCCATCGACCCCCCGTAGCGGCAGGGGGGCTATAGTTAAACCTACCTCCGCGCAAAAGGCATCAAATTACAACAAATTCAATATTGAAACACCCACTAGGAAGGCGGGTTTGAATGTGGATGGCAACATACACGACCCCATAATCCTTGACGACGACGACGATGAAGATAATGTTACTACTCCAATCATTAAACACGAAAAGAGGGAGGTCAAACATGATATTACTCCTGTTAAAGAGGAAGCGAAGCCGGAAGAAATCATCTCGATGAACGATATGTTTTCAGCTGCTGGCTCTGCTGAAATTCAAGCTCCTCAGCACTCTCAGCACGAGTCTACTGCCCCTAGCGAGAATGCTCCTCAGCCATCAGATCCACCAAGTCAAGCACCAGGCCAAGGCCTTTACTCCATGCCCTTCCCTAGTAACCGCCGCTTATTCTTCGAGGACGACGAAGAAGAAATAATCGTTTGATGGGAGGTTCGGGGTTGATTGAGGGATTCTGTAATACCAGAAAACCTTCTCTTGTGTTGTTGGCTCATATTTCCGATGGTTAAGTCGGTGACAGTGGGTAAAGTAACTATGGCTCTGATACATCCAGATTTTCTAGTTTCAGGCAAGCAGTGAATATAAATCTGATCTGTTCTATTAGTCTCTCTGTTATAAGTTATCTGTCTAATATAGTAAACGTTCGCAATATGTTACAGATGACTTTAACTATCTTTATTCAGCCGCAATTTTTAAATAGTATGAGATTATTTCCCAATAACGTGAAGGATCAAGTCTCATATGCCCAACGTGAGGCGATCCCAGGAATTTTTCTCTTGATACATGAAAGCCTCTACCTTCTGCTTCAAGCGAGTGTTCCTCAACATCTCTCCACGAGATCAAATCGTCCATCTCGGAATATATATAACATCGTTTCACCAGGCTATCGATTAGTTTGGGATCAACCGACGCCTTCCAGGCAAGCTCAGTAGGTAACTCTACTCCGAACAGACGACAGTAGCCAAATCCCCATAATAAAGCAATGTAGACGGCCATTCCCGCAAAGAATCGAGGGATAAATGACTTTGGAAGTCCGTATGAGACTGCTCTATGGGCTCCGGATAACGTGGACTTTCCGGGGCAGCTGTCCATGATGAGTGATGTTAACGGCAGCGGCTTCTTCGTTGCTTTTTCATAAGCTACGGCGATGCTTCGGAGAGTGACACAGCCACCGTTTGAGAAGAGATGGAGGTGTATTCGATCATCGGAAGACGGCCCAGGGGAAGAAGAAGAGGCCGTTGAGGACAGCAAGACATCAACCACTGGCTGAACTCGACGTGCCTGAGAAGCCTCGGAGGTGTTCAGGAATAGGTCGGAGGAAGATGTGAGGACAAACACAATCCGTGCGTTGGGTACAATTTTGGTATATTCCGAGATGTATTTGCTTGCATGACGAAGTTGTGCGTCCATCCAGAATAGAATCACGATTGTAAGGCGAGACGAAGCTGTGATGGCTGCCTTAGTGGGCTCAGTGTTATTGTTGGCTGCCCCATCACGAAGCCAAATTGAACGGCCAGCTTTCACAAAGGAGGAATCTATCAACGAAGGCAGTTTTTCCAAGGGAGAGGCCATCTCGAATTGGGTGAGCAGTTGTGCGACTTGCTGTCTCTATCGTTTTTATATAGGGTTCTGATTACAGCTTTTGGTCTTCCCAGGCTATTATACGAAGAACAGTGGGCACGGCTGGGCTAATTGCGGACCTATTAATATGGTAGCTATTGGGAAGCTGGGGTTCGAGGACCCCTTTTGATCACCACTAAACGGCATCAATATAACGGTACGGAGTATTCAACCTTAACTGATCTACAGCTGGAAAGAATGATGCAAATGAGACGGTATGTGCAGCAAGACGTTATTGACACACGACAGCGAATAAACGCCATGGATCGCGAGTGTGAACAAAGGGCACAGGAAAAGACAATTGTTCATAAGGGTACGGGCGGGTTCAAACCAGAATAACCCCTGATATATGTTCCTTTTTTTCGTCTTCTTCCCGGTTTTACTTTGGGCGGCTTGATCTTCCACCCAATGTCCGGCCTTTATCTTTTTTCTCTGTGTCACTACCAGAGGCTGGGGTGGCCTGCCCAGCAAGCCCCGATCCTTTCTTCTTTGCCCGTAAGGTCTGGCCAGTGCCAAAGAATTTGGGCTGCGCGCCCGATTCCGGAGATTCATCGCTTGAATCTTTCTTTTTGACCGGGGTAACCGCATATCCAAAGAAAAGTTTTCCGGGCGGCAGCCTCAGTGGCTGTGGGCCGTTTGATCTTCGAGTGGGAGGTGCAGGCGGTGGGTTACTAGATTTCCCAGACGCAGGGGTTGCAGATTTTGGCGTAGAAGATTTACTTCCCTTCTTCAAGTTGAGTCGTTGACCGCTACCGTGGAAATTAGACGAAGCAGCATTCGCTGCTCTTGCGGCATCACTTGACCCTGGGGCTATCGCGGCATAATTGATAGATTGCGCCATTGTCCCATGGGAATGAAGGGTTCCGCCTGCAGGCAAGGAGCCAGCAACACCACTAGACGGTGTACTTGTCCCGCTCAATCGTTTTGGCTCCTCGTATCCTACTGGGGGAGCGAAATCAACCTCTAAATCGGTTTCTAGCACCGAGATAGCTTTCTGGCTGGTTTCTGGCTTGGTCTCCAAAACAGCCATCTCGTATATCTGATCGTTGTAGGAAAATGTGAAGACATCGCCTTTGGTTAGGCAGGAGAAATTTCGAAATGCGTTCTCAAGCACAGCCTTAGGGTCACTGATATCGAGGAAGGACGTTGACTGAGCCTGGAGCTTGATTTTGGATCCTGGAGGAAGATCCGTTGATTTAATCTGTACTAGGTCCCCAGGTTCAAGTAAAAGTGTTTGCATAACCTGGTTTCACCAGTGTTTTTAGCCACAGACCGTCATAATGGAGACCATATAGTATATATGTTTACATACCCAGAATGGCAAGTATATTTTACCCTCCTCAGCAATGAATTCCAGTACTCCGGCATGAGTCATCCGTTGCTTTGCGCCGTTATGTAGCTCGAAAAGCATGGGGTAAGTAATGTGCAGTCGCGTAAGCTTATCCAGAGCGCTAGGCGGCATGATCACTTTGCCTCCATGGTTCACATTCTCACGCTCAGGGCCGGGAAGCATGGCTACAGGGTAGCATCGATAGTATTCGTCAAATCGTCGAGAGGAATGTGCCCCATGGCGCATCATGGACGGATGGAGGATCCCATCCATAGGGTCATCGTTATAGTAGCCGGCCTAAGAGACAATACCGTTTAGCCAATAGCTCAACAACTTAAAAGAGTGCTTGAAGACCTCACCATTACGAAGCTCTATACCCGGCTATTGCTTCCAGGGGGGGTAGGTATGCTTCTGAAAATGTAAGAGGCAGGCAACGTTATTAGGTATGCACCGGCGCCCAGGAAGCTTAGGTGCGGGACAGGTCAAAATACAAATAAAAAGGAGCTCCAGCTATGATTAAACCAACTTGGAAAAAGCTGTCTAAATGCTTGTAAGGCGAGATCCAGGTCGTGGGAGCCTTGAGCTGTAGACGTTGAAAGTTGATTGATAGCCTACACTGGCAGCTTTAAAACTATCTAGTGGGAGTGACGCAAAGGAGACAAACAGTGCAAACAAGCAGATTCGTCTTGTCAACTATCCTCAGGTTAGCCGTGAAGAGGTCACGGAGATATCTTACTACAGCATGAATACAAGATATACTCGAGCTCATTTTTGACTTCTTTGTTTTACTGGCGAAATATGTCGTCCTCATATATGAGACCGAAGCGACCAGGCGAAGAGGACGACTCGGACGGCGGGGCGCAATCCTCATCCAAAAAGCCGCGGTTTGACGTCCGCAACCCTTCTGCGCTCGCACCAGACGCCCTGGAGGATGACGCTGTTCTGGATGCAGATGAGTTTGGTCATAGGGGTCAAAGGGTCCGTCGAAATGCGGTGAAAGTGGAAGGATTCGAGTCAGACAGCGAGAATGAAGGCTTCGATGCTCGCGCCGAAGCAAAAGCCAGGGCCAAAAAACGGGAGAGTCGCGCTGCGGACGACGATGATATGTTTGCCGAACTTGAAGAAGACTTTGGAGGAAATGATGATGAAGATGAGACAGGCGGAGCAAAGAATAAGAAGCAAGTTCGGTTCCTGGAAACAGATGAGATAGAGGGACAGGTTAATTCCTCGAGAGCCGGAGGAAAGGTTACCCTAGATACCCGATCAGCTGGTGGGAAAGGAAAAGGACGAGCGGTCGATGAAGAGGAATATGATGATAGTGGGAGTGATGTTGGTGACGATGTCCGCGCAGCACTGCCAACGGACGTGGACAAGGAACTTGGGGCTGGCAGTAAAAAACAGCATGCGCCTCTCCTTGACGCCTTTAACATGCGGGCCGAGCAAGAAGATGGCCGCTTCGACGATGCTGGGAATTACGTGCGAAAAGCAATGGACCCCGACGCTGTTCACGATTCATGGCTAGAAGGCGTTTCCAAGAAAGATATGCGAAAAGCGAAAGAAGCAGCGGAGAAACGAGAGGAGGAGAGACGCCAGCAGTCTCTTGCTGCTGACAAGGTAATAACTAGTGATGTCTTGAAAACATTGATACAACATCTTGATCGTGGAGAGACTATCATTGAAGCTCTAGGGAGGCTTGGGAAGGGACTAAAACACCGGCCTAAATGGCAGAATAAGAACAAGAGAAACCAGAAAAAGTCCAATGGGGCAGCTGAAGATGTTGAAATGCAGGAGGAAGACCCAAAGGAAGCAGAGAAGAAGCGCGCTGTAGAAAAAATTACTGAAGCTGCTGATATACTGCTAAGCCGTGGGCAGACAGACATATACGACACAGAACGTGAGCTTCTCACGCGGCTATATCAACGGGAGACTGGAGAGCCGTGGGTAGACCCCCCTCTCCCCGAGACGGCAGTTGACAATGGTGAAGAGAAGGCCGAGATGTGGGAGTTCCGCTGGTCGGATTCTCGAGATGGCGGAATAATACACGGGCCTTACGACAAGCCAACTATGCAGTCTTGGAGTGGTGCCGGATATTTCACAGATGGCGGAGCGGAGTTTAGAGTTGTTGGAAGCTCCAGTGCTTGGAATCCAGGGGATCCATTCTCATGATACTTATTTACGGGGTGTTCTATTTTTTATCTTTTTGTAACATAACTAGCTATTCGGATTTGCGGATATACCAAAGTGCAAGCGGAAGGAATAAATAAACGGGCTTTGATTCTATCACGATGAAAGTAGATATTACCACCTAAACCCTCCTAGAAGAGGAGGAAGTATCGACGCCATATTTCATATTGCACAGTACAGCCCATTATCGAAAAAAGTTTTTGTTTCCCCTGCAAGCCCAGCGCGCCAAAACTCGTACAGTACAGTCATTAAAGGAGTGAGCAAGTGAGCAGCGCGATTAAGAGACTTCCATGGGATCACCACCGCTAGCAGCAGCTGTTGAAAAGTTGACATTTCCTGAGTCACTGATGAATCGCTGCTCGAACTCCTTGACAAACTTGACGCTTCGAGCAGGGTCGTAGAAGAGACTATAGCTTCGTTGGATGTCTTCGATCCCGACTTCTTTGGATTTCCTCTTCTGACTAAGGAGGGTTGATGTTGCGATGATGTTGCTGGCGTAGCGAAGGCCAGATTCCTGTCCGATCTTAGTCAAAAGAGCGAGGGCATCAGGACTGAGGTCAATCTCTTCTTCCTGCGCACGAATGGCAAGGATCTGTTGTATATCTTCCTTGTCATATGGTTGAGTGCTGACGATGACAACTCTGTCAAGGAAGTCCAATGGCAATCCATGAGGGGACTGGTATGTTGTGCCTCGTATCCTGGTATTACCTCTGTTGCTTGCCATGATCACGATTGGTGCTAACTCAGCTTCTAGCGCGCGGTTGATGTATGAGAAGCACTCGATGTCAAGCATGTGTACTTCGTCAATAAAGAGAACACCAGGAATAATCTCAGCTTTTCCTTCCTCCTTCCATTCACCGACTTTGGAGTTGATCTGATCGCGGACTTCGCTCCGGATCTCGCCAGTATCTCCAGAGAAAAGTGCTAGGAATCCTTGACTTCTAGAGTTTATCACGTCGATTTCGTGAAGGCTGACGGTATGTACAACCTCCTTCCGGACCTGAAGTTCGCCTTCAGGGCACTGAACGAACTTGGTATCGGGGCCCATGGCATCATAATCTCGCGACCTAGCAAAGGATCGACCTAGCTTGGTTATCTTTCCAGCGGCTTTGTCGATTGAAATGACGTCTCCGGCCATGACACGCTCCTTAGTCATCGAATCGATCATTTTCGTTCCCATATCATAAACTGTTTCCATGTCCGTGGTTTTAATAGTTAACTTTCCTTGTTTATTGCCCTATCAAGGAGTATTAGCAACTATTATCCAATGTCTCGATCAAGTATAAGTAAAAGGAAAGAAGAATAGCCTTACCCCTGTAACACTTCGATCAATCTGGATCTCAACGACTTCTCCTTCAATGATCTCGCTCTCCTCCTTTATCCGCACACCGATCGATTTCCGGAACGCCTGGGTAAGAGCTTCGGTCTTGGATAGCTCCAAAGAAAAGATTTCCGAGGAGGCAAGCATTGTAAACGGCACATCTGGACCCAGGGACTGTGCCATTCCCATCGCAATGGCAGTCTTTCCAGTGCTAGGGGGTCCCGCGACGAGCACTGCCCGCCCTGCAATCTTGCCCTCCTTGACCATCTGCAGTATGACCGCAGCGGCCTTTCGGGCTTTCTGCTGGCCGACTAGTCCCTGTGAAGCGGCGCGTGTCTGGAGAGTATCTGGGTCGACACCGAGCCCTCTGATATGCGAATGCGCCGCAACCAAATTGAGGCCCCGGAGGTCTCTGCCTTCAGAGACGGTCGTGATGGGCTACATAGGAGCTGTCAGTGCTGTTTGTTTCTCATGGGGACTCGACCTGGAGGAGTCAGAAGCTTACAGCCGCCATTGCCGTGAGTATATCTTGTCGCGGATTCTCCCTTTGCGATATCCTGAGTCCTGCTGTCGAACAAGCCGTCTGTTGATGCGGTGCGTATTTAGATTCTTCTTCGTCTTCTCCAAAAGCTCTTGGAACCAGCAGCCATCGATATTACGTAATCAGCTTACGGAATTTCATTTTCCCGGTATCCTGTTTTTTGTTTTTTTTTTACACTGGAGGTTCTTTATTTACTTTGTTTATCTTTCACTCTTGTTGCCTTTCATATCATGATCGTCTACTACTTATCGTTATCTGCGTATAACCTACGGAGTACGGAGTAATAGAGCATCATATTGCGCTGTGTTGAGAGTCTCGGCTGGTACTGGCATACATGGTACAGTAGCGACGGGAACTCACTTATCGCACCTACGCCGCGATAACTAAACTCTAAAGAAAAAAGTCGACCAACTTCTCGATTGATCTACTGAAATGCCGCGCTTTTCAGATACTGAGAGTGACTCTCGTTACTCCCAGATATTTCTTTTGGAATCCCTCGTTCATTTCCTCCATTTCTCTTACTTTCGTTTAGTTCCTTTTTCTTCAGAGAAGTAAAGTCGAAGGTGTCGTGAATACTTGGTGATATTCGCCCTTTACCCATTCACTTCGTGCAGTAATTTGGAGCTGTGTATTTTATAGCTCTCAACTAATTCCCATCTCATTTCCTTGCTTGATACTACTACGCGTAGAGTCATTGTCGACTGTGAGCCCTGTGAGTGTAGCTATCCTTCATATTTTGCCATTCATGATAAAGCTGATTGATTAAGATATAGAACTGTGTACCGCAAGCCTGAACTCTTAACGATCCCTGCATACTACGACTTTCGAAGAAGTTCGTGCAAGTCGAGGAATGCTATGATTGATATCCAGGGCCAAATCACGTCCGCACCGCCAATAAGCATGGCTTCTCGCCCGCGAACTCCGGAGAATCCCAATCCCAACTTCAATCCTCCTACTGGACCGCGTTTACCCATGTTCGATTCGTCTCGAGACCCCCGCCGTGCCTCCCGGAATGGGCCCCCTGATGTGCAGGGAACTGTAGATGTCATCACGCAACTCACTGCTGAGATATCTGAGCTCACTCATATCAATTACGCACGAGATCGCATTATAAAGAAACGTCACGCTGAAGAACAGGCCCTTAAGAAAGCGAGGGATAGGGCATTCGCCTATCCGTCTTTCATCCAGGGACTAAGATCTGCAAGAGAAGATCGAGATAAAGAGCTACAAAGTCTCGATGACCGGCTTAACACACACAATGCAAAGAAGGAGAAAATTATCCTTTCTCTAGCACATATAATCCATTCAACTTCAAGTCAACAGATACGCCCGGATTATGTGGCAGAAGATCTTCAGAAGACTAGAGATGAAATGTGGCGTCAGCATGATAAACATAAGGCAAATAATATGACCCTGTTTAATCGCATTGACAATATTTTTCTAAGCCTCGACAACCTTCGGGATGATGTTGATTCTATATCAAACACGGTGAAACAGATCAATTCAAATGGCCCCTCAAACCATAAATTCCAGTTAAATAAAGATGAGATTGATCGGAGGTTCACTGATCTTTCATCAAGTGTTGAAACCTTGAAGTCTACCTGCGAGAGCACGAACAAAGATAACGATTCCACTCTGCACTCATTAGATCAGAGAGTCAAAAATTTGATGACTAGTCTAGCTGCAAGTAAGGTTGCTCGACTAAATGATGCCAGACAAGCTGAAGAGCGACTCCAATCCTCTTTGAAACCTATCTCAGACCGGACAGATACATTGGCTAAGAGTGTGCAAAGGATTGAGGAAATCGAATCCAAGCTGTCTAATTTTGAGAACACTATTGATAATACGATAGAGGTAACAATACCATCCCTCCAATCTCAGGTCGACAAAAACTCCAAAGCCATCCAGCCCCAGGTGGAACGACCACCAGAGGTTTCTTCTCAAGTGCCATCGCCGTTACCCCTCGACAAAACTCGCGAAAGCTTTAAGGAAGATTTGCGCCTTTTGTCGCAACGACTAAGTAACATTCAAAGGGCCCATGAGGGTAAACTGGATACCTTATCAAAAACTGTGGAGGGTGCTTATCAGGCGGCTTCCCGTGCACAAAGCATTGATCCCCAATCCATAGAGCAGCAGTTCGCCCAGTTAAATAGTCGATTAACTGGCAATGTAAACTCGCTCCACGGCCAACTTACTGCCACTCATGCGGCCCTTCACTCATTGGAACATCGATATAGCCAACTTGTCACCGAGCCAATTGTCCGCCAAATGGTGTTACGCATGCAAGAGATGTACCCCTATGCTAGCAGAGCTCAGGTTGAGATTGACCGTTTGATCAATATTGCGAACGATCACATAGCACACATCACTTCGCATGGAACAAGGATCACCGCTTTAGAGCAAGGCCAAGCGCAATCGAAGAAGACCAATGAATCTTTGATCGCATTCCTCCGTACTGAAAAGGCTGAGATTACTGAAAAAGTGGACGCTGTTCGGGCAAAGATAGACGAACTAGAAGAGAGCACACTTGATACCTTTGCCAACCTTACCGCAGACGTTAAATATGCGACGGAAGAGATCAAGGGTGTAAAATCCCAGTTTCAGGGAATAAGCGATGACAGCCCTCCTTCAGTCCAAATACTTAGTGAAATAGGTGTTACCTCTTTATCCTCGGCATCCCAATCATTCTTTGACCATCATAGGAATAAGAAGAGGAAATTGGATGAAGATATACCAGACAATAGCTGATGGCGAAGTGAGCATGTGAGTTGTGCTTCATGGTGACAAATGCTTGCCTTACTTTCTGAGCGTATCACCCTGCTCTACCCCTTCCCTTGTATGTTCATTCCCACCTTCTTTTTTGCATACTCATATCTCCTTTTTTTATTTCAAAAGATACCCATTTTACTATCCTTTCCGGTATTACGGAGAGGTTGGTAATATTGTTCGAACGAAACACCCTAGAATTTCAAGATAAACCTCAAAGATTTTCACCACTAGTATCATTATCAAACTCCAGACCTTTCTATACAACCTGATCATAATAGGTCAAAAAATAAACGACGAAAGAAAGCACCACGAATCAAGTTTCCTCCCAAACTGAAAGGTATCAGATTTATCAAGGACTTAAATAGCTCAAAGAGCACCAGTCTCCTTGGCTACCTCACAGATCTGCGATACAACAGCGTCAACATCGTTGAATTTAATGGGTAATCGGTGGTCACCATCCCATTCCACGAGGCGTGTACTACTCTTCACGAAGAACGAGTCACGCAGGTTTCGGTGAAGAAAAAGGCCCGGGTCTCGCCGCCCATGCACATGTATTGTGGGTATATGTATGAGTTCACTGGCAGATGCAACATCTTCCGATTGCCCAGTAGTTGAAGAAGCTGAACTACCCGGGACGCTACTGTCGCTTCCAGTGTCCAGACCTAATTCCAGTAACGGGCCTCGTCCATTCATTATAACGCCGAATTTGAAGTCGAATGAATTTTCGTCACGTATGTTTAACTCCGTCTGGACTTGTTGCTTCATCAGGATGCTCGCACTCGTCTTTGCGCCCTGGCTGAATCCCAATATGCCGACCCATTTACCGGTAGCTCCTTTGGCATCGTCCTCAGCCATGGCGTCTCGAAGAATCTTTTCTACGTAACTCAACGTCTGTCCCCCGAAGTCCTCCGTGACACCAGGCTTCCAGTTATGCCAGCAGTAGAAAGGCGCATAGTCTTCGTATACTGACTCGATGCCTGGCCCTGCGGGGCTGGAGAACGGCGCATCAACGAAACATAGTCTAAAACTGGACTTGAGGTGAGCCCTTATAACACGGCACTGGGTATGGAAGATTTTCGCATTTGAACCACCGCCATGGAGACAGAGGATTCGAGGCAGATGGAGAGTTTCCGTGTCGGCCATCACGTCTACTCCCGGCATTGTTAACGTCTGGCGGCAGTGTCAGGGCCTTGCCTCGGGCTAATAATCAAACAAGGCTGCAAGGAGATAGTATTCGAATTGGTTGAATAGGCGGGGCAAAATGCGCTCGATAATATGCAAGACAGCTCAGTAGGCACTCGGGTCCGCGTTACACAAAACAACCCATAAAGATGATCCGAGTTGGAATTCTTTGGAGATGTTGTGTCGATGAAAATGAATGGACCGGGTTAGGAGATAAATTCTTCTAGAGAGAAAGTCCCGAGGCAGCGCGATCTGCCGCTAGTTATAAATAGCACTCGGTGTACGAAAGCGGGCCGCAGGATGATGGAGCAGAGTATGGAAAAAGAACTGTCCGAGAGGACTTATTCGGAGGGTTTTGAATAGTCTTTCGGATATCAAAGAGTCTACGGCCAGGCGATTGGTATCCAGGCAATGGAAATTTGGGGTGAGGTCTCTGGATATGTGATGAAGAGCCATCTTCCAGTTTAGTTGAGCTGAGCCCAAGGTGGCCAGCCGCATTCCCACGGAGAAATACCTTCAATCTCATCGTACAGGTGAGGATTCGTCCCTTTACTGTTTAAGCTCCCCACCTCTTTAACTTGGGTTGTTGAAGGGTAATCCATGCTTGCTCGGTAAACATTCATCAAATCAAGTCTCGGGCTTGTTCTTGATTAGCCACATATTGGCTTTGGGTTTACTTATATAAAGACCAGAACAGCTACCCAGATGAGATGGGTTATCTCCCCAGAGAGCAGTTTAACATTCATCAAGCTACTAAGATCCTTGTCTTAGCATACTCTATACTCCGGGCCGTTTTGATTTCTCAGAAAGCCGTTGGTCGAGCCTGAGCTGTCGGAAGAGACCAGATTAATACCCCCTGACAAACCCTATGCACTGCTTCTGTGCGAATAGTCAAAATATTCAATTTCACATGGAAGCCCGCCGAAATGGGATCTAAAACGGGAAGAGAGCACCCATTTTTAGTCATTTCTGCGTCAATAACTCAGGATTGATCGGCTGGGTGCCGGGATAACCAGCGCCCTGCTGCAGTGAGACTAGACCGGGAGCCCCGGATCAGGAGTTGCTCGTATATATAACTAATGAGAACGCCCATCCCGCATAACCCTGCATAGATAATTCTTCATATTTTTTTCCTATGAAAAATATTCTGATTTTCTGTTGCATTGACTAAATTCAAGCAGACATGACTGATACCTCTGTTGTTGCCAAGTGGTACGACCAAAATGCGGCTCTCGAGCACAACAGGCTCGTGACATCTTGTATAGAATACTCTATAACAATGAGAGTGATAAAGCAGTGCCTTCTAGAACTTTCAGCCAGTTCTAGAAACCAGGTTCGCATTCTTGATCTTGGTGGTGGGACTGGAAGATATGGTCTGCCGCCCTTTCTTACTCACTTCTCAAAGGGATGACAGAAGAGTTGACTAACTCGTGTTATAGCGGTCGAACTGGCTAGGTTGGGGCATTCCGTGACCCTCTCAGATATCTCACAGTCAGAACTGGATTATGCGGCCAAGTTTGCTATTGACAGTGGTGTGATTCTCGAAAACATTGTCCAAGCAGATGCCCGACAAGTGAGAAACAACAAGGAACTCTTTCGAAAGGGTCACTATGACCTTGTTCTTTGCATGGGCCCAATGTACCATCTTCTTGAAGAATGCGAGAGGCTGGCTCTTCTGGAGTCATGCAGTCTGATGACCAAACCGGAAGGCTTCATCGTAGCCTCATTCGTCACAAAATACGCACACTTGCGAGACATTGCCCAAAGGGATCCCAAGCGTCTAAGCGATGAATCTGATTTTTATGCTCAGTATTTGTCGACTGGAAAATATACTCGCAATTCGGGCAATATTGTGTCTCACCACGTTGACGTTGGTGACATACGAGGGCTCTTTAACAAGTTGCAACGCAACGGATTAGCAAATACCCGTCTTGAAAGGCTTGTTGGATGCGAAGGATTTTTAGGTGGTGGTTTAGGAGCGGCGATTAACTTGAATGATGCGGAAACGTATGAAGCTTGGGTGGACGTTCTGGCTAGGTATTCAATGGATCCCCACGTTCTTGGTTCCTCAGATCATATCGTCGCAGTTGCCCGGCGTGACGGGTAGGTAGCCATATCTTCTATGGCAATTTGGTGTGCGAGCATTGCAACGATGCATTGTATGAATATACACAGAAGTTAGCCATACAACCCCTGCTACGCAGCATAACCCTAGATTGATTTCGCCACTGAGTGTTGTCCTCTATATCCGCGTCAATTTTGACCATATGAGTGGCGTATGTTGACTTGAAAAGCCCTGGTCTTCAGTGCCGTAGCCTAGGGCAAGGTATATTAAATATAAGCCTTAAGTAACTAGTTAGTTTATTACCATCAGGCATAGACTTTTTCTAGAAGACGGTCGAAAAATGTCTGCAAAAATGTTAAACCACATCAATTTTTCGGTCGTCCAGCTAATGATGTGACATAGGCATGCCATCTCAGATAATAGATTACCATCTTCTGGTCCCCCGCCACTGGATTGATCCAGACCACATTGGGATTTTCTCCGCAATAAAGGATACTAAATTGGGTACGGAGTATAGCTGAGGACTGAGTTCCCGAAGTACGGAGCATGAACGAAGCCACCTAAGTAGCACGTCATATGCTAATTTATCTCATGCAGATTAAATTATATCTGTACGTAAAAGCGGTTGGGCTAGCATGACAAAAGGACAAATGGCCTTTTCGGGGTATATGTCCTAGCTTTACCGAAGCTAGGTCTTGCCTGAGTCCCAGAACTAATAATGAGAGGTCCCGAACAAACTAGGAAATGGGCAGACGCATAGCCACCTGTGTAACGTTAATCAAAGGGCGTTCCCAACACCCATTCCAGAACGTCTCTCGGTATCTAGTGGAAAAATGGCTTCAGGCTAAAGAGACAAGGGTTTCCCCGGCCCCTCGAGCCTTGATATAAACATATCACATGCAGGGAAGTGAAAATATGTTGACTTCCGAAACATAGCACACAGATCCCGCTCTTGTGCCTGTTTAGTGCGGCCGCCATCCGTATCCCCGCATGTTTAACTATCCACTAGGGAACACTCGACTCAGTTTGAGCCCGCAGAAGACAGCAGAGTATTTTGCAGCACACAGTGCTCTACATGCTATATAGATTGTTGTTTCTTAAATTCTTGACGTCAAAAGAAAGGAAAGACCCAAGAAAATAGATTATCGCTTACTTAATTATCACGTGCCAGTCACACGTCACCTGATATCAAAATGGACGCCGGGCCCGAGCTCTTTGGACAAGGGGTCAACAGCCAGAGGTTTCCCAGGACGAACCAAAGACGTTTCTTCTTCGCCACGGCTCATAGTTCAACTCTTTGCTAGCACAACATTAGAGGCCGGCCATCAATCTGGATGTACAGACTAACTCAATTTAGGTAATTTCACTGCCTAAATGACGTACACTAAAATGTGATTCCTGGCCCCCTGGTAGCCGCACCATCGTGATGGGGAGGGAACTCGCTTGAGCCGTGTCAAACAACCAATTGCTACCAAGACATATAAACCCTGGTTCTTCCTACTAAACTTCTTCACTACGCTCATGGACAAGGCATCTGAGTTTACCGCCACTTGCCCTTGCTAGCCAGATGAATCTTCCTGAGATGACGAAGACCTACGTGTATAGCCAATGAAGACAGTTTTACTATAAATATGGCTATCTATACCCCGCAAATGATAGTGTACCAAGCCTTGAGAACCATCCTGAACTTGCGTCTTGTTCGCATTTTACCCCAGCTTCTGCACAAGGCCCCTGACAATGCAACCCAACGTAGCCCCATCAGGCACTTGGTATTTATACTTTCTCGGGATAGGGAAACAGAAAGCCGGCAAATTATCCTAAATGAAGCTGCGGGAGTGGGTTATCTTCGGGAATCTCTTAATGCTCTTATCAGGAAAAGATAAAACACCGGGATATATAAGGATGGCACAGAGGATGTCAATCTCCCGAGATCATCAACCCAGCTTATTTTGGTTGTACGCTGATCATCCATTTTGTAGTGGAAACCCACCAAGATGCGCTCAGTTTTCTCTCTTGCGCTGCTTGCGGCCAATGTGGTCTCTGCTGCTGTAATCTCCCCTTTTGACTACTCTGGATACAAGGTCATCCGTGTCCCTACCCAGAAGAACAATGTCAAGGAGGTTCAGAGGATCATTACAGACCTGGACCTTGACACCTGGAAATACCCCAAGGCTGAAGGCCAAAATGCGGATATTGTGATCCCCCCAAGCCAGATCTCGTCCTTCATGGAACGTATTTCTAGAATGGACAGCGAAATTATGCACGAGGATCTCGGGTTGTCTATTAGCAACGAAACCACTTTCGAGGCATACAGTGGTAAGCTTATGTTCATGTAGTCGGATCAAACATATTTTCTAATAACAGAGCTGACACACGTATAATTAGCTGGCTATGCTCCTGACATCAACTGGTTCAAGTCGTACCATAGCTACCAGGACCATATTTCCTACCTACAGGACCTACAGGGTCTCTTCCGCACTCGCTCCGAGTTCATTGATGCAGGCAAGAGCCACGAGGGCCGCACCATCCCAGCCCTTCACCTCTGGGGCAGCGGTGGAAAGAACTCGAAGCCCGCTATCATTTTCCATGGAACCATTCATGCTCGCGAATGGATCACTACCATGGTAAGTAATCTTCCCTGATCTGTTATACTTCTAATAATGTCCTTTGACTCACATTCAATAACAGGTCACCGAGTATATGGCTTGGTCTTTCCTCTCCCAATATAACAAGAATGCCGACATTACCTCCATTGTCGATAATTTCGATATCTGGATCTTCCCAATTGTTAACCCAGATGGTATGTTCCGCCTCACATCATACATGCCGTGAAAAATAGATCATCATCTAATGAAACTCATCCAGGCTTTTCCTATACTCAAACCAACAACCGCTTGTGGCGCAAGAACCGTCAGCCAAACCCCAATGCTAGATGCCCTGGACGTGATCTCAACCGCAACTACCCATACCAGTGGGTCGGACCTGGATCTTCTTCCAACCCTTGCTCTGATACATACAGAGGTATTGCCCCCTAATGTTAGCCTGCTTAATCCAAAAGTAGTTACATACTTACCCATCCTCACTACAGGTGCCCAACCCGGTGATGGAACCGAGATCAAGGTCCACATCGCCAACATGAAGAAAATCGCTTCGTACAAGGGTATTGCTATGTTTGTTGACTGGCACTCATATGGCCAGCTCTTCATGTCGCGTAAGTCACTGCTGCATTATAATCATTGAGCAATCTTGGTGGAATCACAATTAACTGATGATTACCCACAGCATATGGCTACTCCTGCACTGCTCGCCCGCCAACTGATGCCCGACATCAGGAACTCTCTAAAATCTTTGCTCAGGCATTGAAGGCTGTACACGGAACACCATACAAGACCGGGCCCATCTGCAACACCATCTACCAAGTTAACGGTGACAGTGTTGACTATGCTCTCGAAGTTCTCAAGGTGAAGTATTCGTTGACCGCTGAACTCCGTGACACTGGTGCCCGCGGATTCGTGCTCCCAGCCGACCAGATCATCCCAAGTGGTGAGGAGACTCTTGCTGGTACAGTTGCCATGCTCAAGGCTGCGCTGCGGGGATAGATCAAACCCTAGGGGTGTACATATGACCAACTGGATGTATATAGCTTGAATAATTATTATCAGTATATCTTCATGACCTCTGTCTATATTAGATATCTCCTTTGCGGCTTCACAGGTCTTTATAACTACCGTCATATGCTCTAGCAGTTTCATTGGGCCTGATGTCTGTTGGTTTCCATGTTCATCAAATACGCAGGCCATTTGTATTTCAACTGCTATAGACGTCGATATAAGCTATAATTTAACTCATTGCGGGCCGTCGATCAAAAACCGATATGAGCACCCCGAGCTGAAGCTATTCAAGGATTTTTCCAAGGGTATCAGTATTTCTAACTCCGATCGTTTATTAATAGGTCCTTTGAAGCCTTTGAGAAACCGAACTCCCTCGGATCAATGTGATGATCACCTAGAAGCACCCCGCAGACCCTGTTTCAGGAAAACGACGATCTCTCTAATTCTGAGGATATTGTAACTAACGGAAGAGATTATTAAGTTATGAAAATATCATTGAGCTTTGAGAAAAATTGAATTATTGATTTAAGGTGTCTACTCTCGCAGGGTGGTTTTATATTGAACGTTAACTCGTTAACCAAACCACCCCACCATTGGTTGGACCTCAAATTTGAGAGTTACTTAACCAAAAGTTCTTCCCCGAGAACTCAACTTCAACGTCAACCATTATTCACTCAAGATACATAACAAATATGGCAGAAGCACAACGTCAGAAGAGAGATGAAGAAGAGGAGGACGAGGAAGATCTTCTTGCCGCGCTCGAGGCAGAGGAAGATGACCCCAAATACCGCGCCAATCGCATAAAACAACTCCAGTCTGAACTCTCGGACACCAAATCCAACGCTCAACAGTCCAATACTTCTGCACAGAATGCCGAAAAGTCGGAAGCAACTTCACTCTCCACAGGAACAGACGCAGTTGTAACGACCATGCTCAATAATTCCCTTTACCCCACACTTCCAAACGACCAATCGCTCCTAGACTTCTCTACGCAAATACACCGCTGCATAATTCACTTCTTCCATCCGGATTTCGCACGTTGCAGCATAATGGATAAACACCTTACGACACTCTCAGAAGCTCATAATAAGCGGGGTAAAGACGACGCACGCTTCGCTCGAGTCGACGTGCGGAACGTGCCATTTATAGTTGAGAAGCTGAAAATAAGAGTCCTGCCTTGTGTTCTTGGGTTTATTGACGGAGCCGTTGTGGAGAGAATAACGGGATTTGAGGGATTGGTTGATATGAATGCATTAATGGGGAAAAAAGGCACTACCAAAGCCAGTGGTGAAGATTTCAAGACAAGTATGTTGGAATTTAGGCTTGTTCAGACTGGGCTGTTGAAGAATGCGGTGCTGTATGGGGATAATGTCGACGATGATGACGATGATGATAGGGATGATGACGAATATAATGAGAGAACGGGGAAGAGAAAAACCATTCGGACGGGGAAAACGATGAAGAGACGAGGGGACGAAGATGATGAAGACGATTGGGATTGATTAGGGAATTGGTGTTCATTGGACTGTCTCGATACCTTGATAGGGTGCTCGAACGGCTGGTCTTGTCTGGGACTTGTAAAGACGACTCTATCTTTACGTGAGTGAATGTCTTCTTCACTGCTATTCAGCTTGGTTGGCCTAGCTCTATGCCTAGCTATGACAAGCCCCCCTGGAGGGTAAAAGCTCAGGCCCCCTATATAACCATAGCCACATATGGGAGCTATTACCCAGATATGAAAAATATCTATGTGGTATGTTGTACATATTATAAGCTCATACCACCCAGAATGGTTTATTGGGGAGCAGATGCCCAAATAGATATAACTCGAAAAGGTAAAACATGTATAAGATTTATGCCTCTTTGATTAATGGTTTCTTGTATGACAGCCGGGGTATCAAGGAGAGGCTATATTAAGTAACAGAACACCACCGTTGCAAGGAGAGTAAGAAAAACGCAGCACTGGGTTTTCAAACGACTAAGCTTAATGGGCGGCAGGACATTCATTATACAGGGGTAGGGAAGAAGGCAAATTTTCCTTTGAAACTGGCGGACAATGAAAGGAATAATAGTATTCATCGATCTGTCATAGGGAAAGAAATACGGGTACGTGATGGAGAGAAGCGGATGTCAAGGAGAGGTAGATTAACCCGTCAAGAAAATCATTAGGCCATGAATAGAGCATAGCACGGAAAAGAAGAAGGTTAAGTGAAAAAATTGGCTGGCAATACATTGAGAAAAGAAAGGAATAATTCTAAGCTGGTTTGAAGGAAGGAAAAGTAAAAAGTGAAAGCCACATAACTAGGGAAAGGCAAGAAGAAGAAAAAAAGACCCAGCCTATGGGTTGCCTTGTTGTAACATGTGGAATCGGGTGGAAAAAAAACCTGTAAAGCCGAGAGAGGTGATTTAGACGCTGTAATGACAAGCAAAGTACATATTAAACAATGGGATGGGTTGACTGACTGACTGGAAGGAAGGGAGGGGAAAAGAAGAATAAAGCCGGCCGTTTCCTGTTTATCATGATAAGGGGGGTGGGGGAAGTCTTTAAATTTCAACAGTCTTCATGTCGTCTAATGCGTCTGTGTCTAGGCCTTTGGAGGCGGTGGTGGTCTTATTCTTATCGGTGGTGGTAGATGGGTTGTTCTCTTTGGCTTCGCCGTTTGTTGCAGGTTCAGAGGGTGCCTCTGTTTTCGTCTCGGGAGCAGGGAAGGACTCGGATGGCTTCTGCAAGACGGGAGACGAGAGATCCACCAGGTCGTCCGATTTTCTTAGTTTGCTTTGGATCTTCAAGTCTAGCTCCTTCTTATTAGTACCGTTCACTGGAGAAGATATTTCTTCAGTCACGCGTGCAAGAGGGCTGGAAACACCCATTGCTCCCGCAGGGCTTCCGGTAGGTCCCCGAGATGGGAATCGATGGGGTGATCGGCCTCTGTCTTCACTAGGAGTTGGGCTACCGTATGGAGAGTCCCTGGTAGTTTTGCCGTTGACGTTTGTATTCACTCCGAGTCCGTTGGATCGTCGTTTGGGCTGCCGTCTACCGTACTTCTGATCGGTTCTCCAGCGGAGGATCTCGAGGTATGGGGGCTCATGCTGTCTAAACGGCTTCAATTTCAATTCACCCTCTTCCTCGTCAACATAAACGTGAGGTGAATGAAGGTCGTCCGCCACGGTTGCAAGGAACGATGCCCAGGACCGTGCAATAACGTACTTGCAGTCGTAGTCACGGCCGAAGATAATGACTTGTCCCCATTTTCCAGCTGGTCCCGGTGCAAGATCTATAGCGATGTTGTTGCCACCCCAGTCTCTGGCAAGCGGGATCCATGCTGGGTGAGCATAGGCCTTTTGTATGGCTCGAGGGGGTTGAGAGTCCTGTCTATCAAGTAGTTCCTGTCTCCACAGGGGGTTTGATGCGTTTTGCTGGGTTGTTGGTGGCGGCGGTGGTGCCGACGAGGACGATGCAGCTGCGCCGCCATAGGCTTTCAAGGGAGGCTGAGGATGAGAGACGGTCGAGCCAGAGAGGAATTCTTCATTGACGGTTCTCCAGTTCTTCCACTCCTGGACAATTTCTTCACAGTCGAGGAGCATGCATCCAAAGATAATACCGGTTGGTAGGCCGCCACGCTCCTGTCCGTCGTGAACCTGAAGCGACTCGCGCACCTCGAGTGGTAGGCTGCAATCCAGCTCGTGTTCCAGTTCATTGACGTCATTCTGCGTACATCCTTCGCAAAGCTGGTCGAATAGCTCTTCGTAATTCTTCTCGACCCACCGGTCGATTTTCTTCCATGAATGTGAGACAGGAGGTGGAGGAGGAGCACCGTCATGAAAGCTCTGCATCTGTATCTCTCCGCCGTCCACCGAGCTCTGGTCGAGTTTCTGGGAAGATAGTGACCTCATCCCTGGAGAATACGGCCGTGTGGGGGAGGTGATTGCGCCCTGGGAGGTCGAAGATCGACTGAGAGATGGTGGCTCGTCGAAGGAGTTGGTGAGGTCTGGCCGCGACTCAATGGCACTGGTTGCTACCGAGGTAAGAGGGGCATCACGGCTCTGGCTGAGAGGGACATGCTGGCCGGTCCTGTAAGGAGAATCGTGTGAAGCATGACGGTCGTTGGAGGTCATGGTATGCCAGAAGGAGCGCCATGTCGAAGAGAATCTACCATATCGAGGTGTTAGCCATACACCCCGGTCAGCAAAGCACTGGATTTCTAGACTTACGAGGCCGCCATGATATCTGCAGACGATAGAAGGGACTCGTTAAAGCTGGATTGTAAGATTAGAAGGGAGTTGCAGAGGACGACGCTGTTCCTCGGTCCTTTTACAGCTTAGGGGGGGCTTTTTCCCGGGGCTAAGCTAATCTCAGGGCTTGGATAGAGGTTGCCGTAGGCAGTGCAATGCCGCTCCTGTCTATTTGTATCTCTCTATCGGTCCACAGAGTGCTGTCTCCCTGAACCGAGGTGGTGAATGAAATGGTACAAAGCCGCCGGTGGCTCCTTGGGCGTCTGTACTGGGTGGGAGCAACGGACAGAGGGAGGAGGAGAGCCAGCGCGATAGGCCCAACCGCAAGCTAGCCCGAGGAAGAGAGCGACGCGTGGAGAGACAGGCTCAGCAGCAGCTGTCCAAGACAACAGAGAGGCGAGGAGAGGAGGAGAGGTCGCCGGCGAGCTGGGGGCGAAGGAGACGAAGGAGACGAAGATGGAAGATGGTGAAGATGCTTGAAGATGGAGAAGACGAAGTTCGACTTTTTGTCGCTCCAGAAGGAGAAGAAAGAAAGATTACGGCATGTCTGTAACGGCCTGGAACGTGGCTCGTGCATGAAAGAAACACTGGCCAATCATCGGCGCCGAAGCCACGCTCAAGCCACAAAAGTTGACATGAAACGCGGTGGAGCTCCGCCGCACCCATGGCCCGCGGTATTCGTATTACCAGCACCCTGTATCGATATATCGAAAACCTTTCAAGGGGCTTTTTTTTGCTTTGCTTTGGGCTTTTTCTGCTTCTGCTTCGTGACGACATCGTCATCTGCGTCTGCTTGTTTCTGCTGCTGCTTCCTTTTTTTAGAAAGTGTTTTATGCAGAGTTAGAAGAAGCAAGACGGGAGATGCTGCGTGGTGAGTTCCGTGGTGGGCGGTTACATTCCTGACTACCGGCGACCCCCTGGGCATACGTAACTACTAATTGAGATAACTCGACTCCGTACGCTCTCCCTACTTCCTCCCACCCCCGTTGTTTGTTCATTTCCAGTCGCCTTATCTTCTGCCTAACTACAGGGCCGGACAGACACGAACAAGAAAGAACAAGGTGGTGGCAAATTGGATAACTAGTAGTTTAGTTGCTGCTTGCACAAGGAGACCCAACATACCTGTAAGTCAATGGCGTGGTTTCAATCATGCTGAGGAAACATGCAGCAGTCGAGGAGATCGAACATGCAGGCCCTCCTCGAGAGGGTGTGGTGTGTGTATGAGTACCTGATACTCTGCAGGGCCGTCTGCTTGTTTGTTTTAGGTAGGCAGCCTACCAGCGTCGACGACATGACTCCTGAAGCGCTTGATACAGGATGTGCTGCTTGTGGCGGGAGCTTCCAGGAAACTTCGCTGCTTAAGATTGACTGTGGCCACCCCCTGAAAAAACCTTGTGCTAAAAGCCAGCCGTGTCAGGGGCGCCTCTCATAGGGCAGATTCTGGCTTTAGGCACTGAGGTGTCATAGGGAGCGTGTCTTGCGGGCGGCAAGCAGCGGTTGCCATGCTTTTATTGGCCCTACCCCTTTTCTTGCTTTCTTTCCTTCTTTCTTACTTTACGGAAGTACTGGCAGTAGGATGCAAAGATGAGTAAACAAACGAGTGTGATATTGAGTGATAGACTAGAAGTGGGATGTTGAGTCGCCAAGTTCAAAAGAAAAAAAAAGAGACGGGGGTAAACGAGTGTGAAGATGTCCCCTGGGGGACAATGATATAAAAAAAACAGAAGGAACAGAACCCGAGATGTGAAGTGATAAGTAGATCAGAGCGAGTGTCGGTGGTAGAAAAAGAAAGGAGAAATGAAAGCAATGCGGTGCAGTGTATACTAATAATAACGTTGGGGGAAGGGGAAGGGGGAGAGAGCAGACAGATATCAGGGGGAAGACAGTCAAGGGGGCAAGACGGGTCAGAGCAAGGGGAACAGAACTCCATTAACCCCCAGCACATGCATATGCATACCGTAAACAAAGTATATGTAGCTAGCGGCCAGCCGAATCATTCATCCAGGTTTCCCATATGAATATCAAAAGCGAAAAAGGGGGAAAAAGGGAAACAAACAACCCAGGCAGGTATAACTAACTCCCTTGAAAAGAAGAGCAAAGCCATGAGAAACACCGTGTCTCTCCAACCATCAAACCAAGTAGAACGGACAAACAACCAGCCAAGCCAAGGTGTGTGTTGAAAGATGATATAAGAAATAAAAATCCAGTGAGAAAAGCAGACGGGGGAAAAAGGGACAGAAAGAAAGAAAACTCCAGGATATCATCCATCCTCATCTGACGCCATGCTGAGCCAAGTGGTGCGTTGCTGTACTAGAAAAATATGAAAGGGAGGTAAGGTTGTCTGACAGATAAAGAAGAAACGAAGACAAGGTTGACTCCGACCCTTGGGAACCCGATTGAAAACCATAACCATAACAAACATGTTTCCGTAGCCCAGGTTGACATCGCAGATGATACGAACGCTGGAAATCTCAAGAAGGAAAAATAGGTGCGAAAGGAGAAGCCTAGCCTGCCTTTAACAGAGAAAAAATATGCAGGGGATGGAAGCATTGAAGAAGCATAGAAAATAAGGAAAAAGATGAAAATGCAAGCTTAGGCCTGAAAGATCATTGGAACATGGGGCAAGCAATTAGTGACTAAAACCACTTTCACCACTGGTTTAAGAGCTGGGTATGCATAAGATGTATTGGGGGGAAAGGGAAAGGGCGAACCAAATAAAGACGAGTTCGTAAACAAAAGGTCGACTGAGCAGGTGATAGTCTGACCTGGCCTGATGAGCCATCTAGGAAGAATTCCGCCCATCGCCGACATTAAGATTCAACATACGCCGTAAGTCATCTTCCATTCGTTTGGTTTCCGCTGAATCCAGTTTTGGCGGAGGGCCGTTTCTCGCAGGAGGCGTAGAAGAGATTGGGTGCATTGTTCGGTTGGGAGTTGGTGATGTAAGAGTACCCCCATTGTAGCTTGAATGCGCCGGAGGAGCACTGCCGAGTCCGAACTGTGCATATCGCGAGAAGGACTGTTGACGAGGCGGAGTGACCGGGCTGGTGGGAGACACCATAGTTCGCAAGCCGGAAGACGGTGCACGGTGAGGCTGGGCACATAGTGATGCCAAATACTGCTGTGGAATACTGCTGCTCTCCGGGCCGCTCAGCTCGTTGCGGGTGCCTAGGGGTTTACCGGAGTGGGTAAACGGCACAGGTGAAGCAGGGCCAGATGCATATCGAGTGGGTTGCTGGTACATAGAGTAGTCCCCGGACATCCTGAAATTGTTGTTATTACTATTATTGTGGTTGCTGGCGCCATTCGATGGATCCGTGAGTCTCGGGGACGCTGACGCTGCGCGCTGCGGAGGGGGGTTAAGAAGTAGGTTTTTGAGAGCTTGGCTTTTGATTTTGTTGTCATTAATGTTATCCTTTGCTGCGGCAGGTGTTCCTTGTTTCCCTGGGCTAGTTGCACGCAACGCATTCATCCGATCTTTAAACGAGGTTGCAAAGGAGGGGCCAATCGGTGGCATTCGTGCATCCGAGCCTTCTAATTCTAAAGGAAACACACCGCCGCTGACCTGTCTTTCCCCTTGCTGCGGACGTGCTTCGTTTTTTGGCGGCGTAGATGCATTAAAAGGGCCCGAGTCCTCGAGCTCGCTGACGGGGTTGGCAACCCTCGCCTTCAATGCGGCCTTGAAAAGAAAATCGAGAGGGGAAGCTGTACCGGCTTCCTGTTGAGAAGGCTGAGGGCCATTATTGGCCTTTGTGGGCGTACTATCTCCCGGATCAGTGTCTGGTGACTCATCCTGGAGGTCGTCTGAAGTTCGATGATCAGTTTCCGGCACTGATTTTGAAAAAAACGATGGTATTGGGAGAGCTGATGGTGCGGGAGATGCATGGAACGTTGGTCCCGCATAGTGAGGGCTATCTTTGATAGAAGACTGGGAGGAGGTATGACGGTGACCATGGCCATGGGCATGGTTCGCATTTCGAGCTGGAGCCGGCGAATTCTTGTTATTATCTCTGTTCTTTTTCGCGGACCGGCCATTCTTCGCCTTGACCGCGCTCTCAGGCCCATGGTTTCCCGAGTCACTGGCGACATTCGAGTCTCGGCTAGCTGCCGGGGTGTTGGTCTTATCAGGCTGATGTGAGGGGTCGGCAGCAGCGGATTTCGCCGAAGGAGTGCGCTTCTGGTAACGTCGGCCATTTCGAGGCGCCTTGGGCGTAGTAGGAGCCGGAGTCGTCATATTGTGTGGACTCGGTTCGTGGTATGTGGCTTAATAAATAGGCAGCCGTAGATATAATAAGGAAAGAAACCAAAGGAAACAAAACCAAGAAGAGCAAGGTAGAACGCTCCAAGAAGTGGAAAGAAAAGAACTGCACGCAACAAAGCAGATCTATTGCGCTAAAGTATTCACTGAGTAGATGACAAGGCAACGATGGCAACGGTGGTGGTATGGAGGCTTCGTGGGAACGGGTTCAGCTGGCCACCGGGAATGCTGTGTACGGCTGGAGTTGTTGGCTGTTTATATCTGTGAGAAGCGCAAAAGAAAACAAGGGCGGTCCCCCTAACATATTCATAACTTATCGAGCAGCAAGACCAGAGTACGCAGTGAGTTTCACGTTGACAGCGGGAAGAAGCGCGGTGGGGGCTATCTTTGTGTGTCTTGCTGGGGCATGTAGAGGTCGAAAGCGCTGTCGTTGATGCTTGTCGTTGACGTTCGTTGTCCAACAGGCGGCGAAGTGCGCAGAAAAAGGCGGCGCCCGCGATGGTTCGTTTTTTGGGGGCGGGAGCTTAGTCATGTGATCTTGGCGGGCCATCTTATCTCCGTCATCTTTTTGCCCGCCAGAGCCAGAGAGCGACTTCCAAGGTTGCGAAAGACGTTGGCGGAGAAGCTTGGTGGTGACAGCGCTGAGAGCTGTGTTTCAGGTCGGGTGGCATTGCAAACAAGACCGGGATATCCCACACAGGCTGCATACAGACATACAGAGAAGTACACTCCCCGTTTGTGCTGCTGGCTGCTAGTTAGATAAGCGCTCCCAGGGTGGCAGAGGCTAACTCACAGAAGGCAACAGCCGCATCTCCTAGCACCAACTTCGGCCTCCTCCCAGCACGCAGAGTATTGGAGCTGCCCTAAAGTGACCACACGAGATATCTTCTTCCTTTTCCTTGTACGAAGTCGATTACTGTTTGTCCCGCATAAAAACTATGGCGGACGTTGAAATGACGGACGCTGCCGGTGAAGCCAGCAAAGGAAAAGCTGTAGCTAAGACCACAAAGGGCGATGCCGCAGGAGAGGGCAAGAAGAGATTCGAGGTCAAAAAAGTGCGTGATACCTACTGGATTCCTCGCTGGAGCTTCCTCTGACTGCCACTGCTGGAATGCAAGTCCCTTCCCGGCTAACCTGTGATATTGGGATGCTTTAGTGGAATGCTGTTGCTCTATGGGCATGGGACATCATCGTTGATAACTGTGCTATTTGCCGAAACCACATCATGGACTTGTGTCAGTTACCATGAAGCTCCCCTGCATATCCCCGCAGTTTATCTAACTGTGCTATAGGTATTGAATGTCAAGCCAACCAAGGCTCATCCACCACAGAGGAATGCACAGTTGCGTGGGGTATCTGTAACGTAAGTTTACTCGGTTTCGGCATTCATTTACGTCATGATCTATTCTCCTAACATATCTTGTTTCCAGCATGCGTTCCACTTCCACTGCATCTCGAGATGGCTCAGAACTAGACAAGTGTGCCCACTCGACAACAGAGACTGGGAGTTCCAGAAATACGGACGATAGATGATTCTATCTTATTCTGTTCCTCTGTCAATCTTCCTACACACTTTCTCCCACGGGTCTGCCGTTCATCATTCTAATGTAAAGAAGGCGTTACAACATTTCAAACCAACAAAGGTACCGGCGTATGTAGTTCAAGGACTTTGAAGTTATGGGATTTCAATTCAAGACCTGGCCATTCCTACAAATACTCTCAAGGAAGAGCTACAGGCTTCTCTCCCGTGCTGCCTGCCCCTAGTCAGAAGCAGCTAAGTGAGAGACCTTCCCACTATCCCTCTCCACACCATGTTAAGCAAAGAATAAATTAGCCCATAGTAAATATGAATATTGCGCAACCAAAAACCCAGCAAGAATAACAGTATATCGTCATCAACTCCCCGCTTTGTCTATAACAATTCCGTCTCTGCCAATCCCTCCAGCTCCCGTGACCAGCCATGCCTCTGGATTTTGGTTATATGTAGGCCATGGTGGAACAACGACCAACATCGTTAATACAGAGCCGGCCAGCATCGTCCAGAGCGTCAGGAAGATGTCTTCGTACGCATATCCCACTACAAATGAGACGGCCTAGAACCAGAACCCTTGTTATTATTCCATGGTCTAGCAAGTATTTCTGGCCTTACAGCTCCACCATAGTATATCGAATGATCGGCTCTTGGGTATAACTCACGGCGAATAAAATAAGGAGGGCGGTTGACAGGAAGTCCGTTACTCGTTGGCCATGGAAGTCCTGTCAAAACAGTGGTTAGTTACTTATCTTGGCTGAGAAAGGAGTGTTTGCAAAATAGCTTACTATTGGGCCGTCAAGAGCCTCTCGGAGAGGTCCAAGGAGCTCATCCATGATTTATATATCGTTCTTTTACAAGCTGGTGTCTTCCCAGCTGGAGCTTTCCTTTGTGCAGCCAAAGTAAAGTAAGAACAGTCTGGCAGTTGTGTTGCTGACTAATGAACATTATTCTATCACGTGACATGTATTTTATTTCTTAAAGCTTAAAAGCATATTCAACGAACGAACAAAATTCGACATCACGTCGCATATTCGCATATTTCTCGGTCTTTGCGGGAGAATGGAGTACAGAGGATCTAAGTAGCTAACTTGCATGTTTAATGTTGCTTACAGTTTTTACAGGAAATCCACCAGGTTGACATCCTTGAAGATCAGACGAAACTCTCCAAGGTGGACTTTCAGCCACCGATGCCGAGAATTCCTATCAGCGTCAGTCACCTCAACATGCAATTTTGATTGCGCCAGCATTTCCTTCATTGTCGTCATGCTTTTATGGTATATATAGACCAGGTACACCTGCTTGGCTATTGATCCGCACGCTAAGCTTTCCGGCACTTAGTTGGGAGACATTTAAGCATCTTTGGAGCTCGGGAAGGGGACCTCCAGCCAGCTTCCGGGTGGGCCATAGATCCGCCTTTATAGGCCGCCGGCAGGACTTCAGAGCCGGGGCAGCCAACAGGAATCTAAACGTGGTCATCGTTTTTGACATTATTTGATACTACAGTAGGAAGCTACTCGACAATATGGAGCATAAGATGCCATCGTTCTCCACTTCATAAAGAATCCTGGCAGTTGTTCTTCGAATTCTTCTTCTACACCTGATCTACTTCATTTTTTTTATCTGATGTTTGAATACTTCGGCAAGTGCTATCCTAGTACCCGTCCTTGTCGACTCCGTTCTCCAGATACACCTGCAAACTATACCGTGCAAACTTACTGCGTGCCCGGATCCGTGGTCCGTACCGGGTGAACAGGGGCGGAATGATGCAGAAGGCAGTAGCTAAAGCTGCAAGAATAGAAGTGGCTAGATTTGCGCCCAATACCTCGTACATCCGCCCGGCAAACAGTGGGAACACAGCAGAAAGTGTGGAACGCACGAGAGATAGGGCAGCAAACCCACTCGCCGAATAGCTCAAGTAGCTGTCGGCTAGGTATCCGGCTAAAACGGCGTCGAATTCATTTAAAGCATAACCGATCAGCACCAGGGATATAGCAGATACCACCCAGTGGACCCCTAGAACTCGCGGTGGAATAGTCCAAGCAAACCACCACAGGCCGACTGCCAGAACAGGGGCGCCAATGGAGAATCCAACAAGCTTATGTTCTGGCTGCAATGGCTTGCCTTCTCTCTGGTATCTGGTGATAGTTTTATGATCAAAGATACGGGTAAGAACTCCACTGATCAGGCCGATGCCGATTGCGAGGAAAGGAAGAGACGAGTTGGCGCTAGAGAATCCAAGGTCCTCGTATATCGGGGGCAGAGCCTCTGTGAACAGATAAATAAGCGCAAATGCTACAGCACTGATTGTGGCAACCATGAAGACGATGGGTTCCGTGAAGAATAACTTGAGGGGCCGGAAAAGAGCTATCCGAACAAAGGTCTTCATGTCTGGGGCATGGTCAGGGTTCAGAGCTTTCAATGTGCTGATACCGGTTAATTTTCGCAATTTGGCCACCTCCTGGGCAAGGAGCAATGATGGCCTAGATTCGCGAATCCCTAACAGGAGAACGGTGATTACTGCAGTAAAAATAGCGGATATATGGAAGACCCATCGCCTAGAACGAAACAAGTGTCAGTGAAGAGGATCATACCCGCATGCTAAGCCGATCAAACCCACCAGTCCAAAGCATCAATAATGTAGATGCTCATGATGGGTCCAAGGATCAGACCCATGTTAGCCACCATTGCCCACAGGAAAATCAGCCAGATGCGATCTTTGGAGTTGAAAATATCCTCGATACTTCCTGCCACAACAATAGTCGGGATAGCAGATAAGAATCCGGAGAAGAACCGGCCCACTATAGCTCCAGCTACGGAGGGGGACAGCCCAACCATAAGGCAAAACAGGCTGTATAGCCCAGTGCTGATGATATACAGCTTCTTGCGGCCAAAAGACTCCGAGTAAGGCGGGAATATGATTCCTCCTATTCCTTGGCCTATGAGATACCTAGTTTTTCCAAAAACTATAATTAGAGTGGGAGTCTGTGAATGGTAACGGGGAAAGAACTCAACCTACACTGAAACGAACAAGAAGACAGCCAGGGTTCGGCTAAGGCCGAACTCGTGTCGTGCGTGATCAGCAGCTGCGCTCTGCAGGGGGTCAATATTAGGATCACGTCATGCTGGAGCTATGATTTGATGATCAACTTACTCCTGCCGTACTCACGGCCGTTCTTCATCCAAACAAAATACCCGTCAGTAAGCAGTTCAAATGCACACAATAATGAAGATAATGAGGGAGCAAAAAAGGGGTGAGTCAAAGGACATACGTGAAAAGATCCAAGATAATAATCAAACCACTGTCATAAATCTTGCGCAACATAGGCCATTTGCGTGGGTGACTCGGGTTCGAAGCTAGCCAGCGTATATGCTCGCCATCAGGGGTATATTCAAGGCCGTGTTCCTCCAGCAGCGCTTGTATGTTATCCTCCCCTATTGTGGGAAGGATATCGAGCTTCGTCATTGAAAGCTGAGAGATGGGTGTATCGCTGGGAGAGCCCATCTGGACGTGGCCACTCTCAGACATCTTTCAGCGGTCCTAGAAGAGCAAAACGAAGTATGAAAATTGGACGTAAGAAGTTGTAGGATGAGCTCCTACATCTGTATCCTTTGTAGGCAAGAGAAGAACGGATATTCGTTCTTGGTTAAACGGTTAATTGAGGATATCAATGGGGCGTTGAGGAGAATTGCAGATACAGCATTAAATGCGCGGCTGCTTTATTCCTAAGCTGAAGAGACTGCAGGTATCTAACTGGCCTATCATATCCCGCATCGCAAAAAGACATAATACCCAGTTTTGTTGAAGGATCCGCGGGCAGGGCCTAGCGAAGTCGTTAACTGGACGGGCCGGTAAAGTTTTTCCTCTTCTTTCATCATCACAAAGCCACGCCAGAGTCTAGAATGTATCAGAGATTTTTTTCCCACTTTAGTAAGAACCATACATTTAAAAGATCAGCGCCGGCTTTCTGTCCCCGTAGCCAGATCTACTGGTACAGCTAGTGCTGTTGCAAGTTGTCTGGTAGTTGATGATCCGGCAGGTCCTCTTTTTTCCTTTCATCAAATTTAAGTCTTTTTGCCCTGAGATATTTTTAGGTTCATCCCTAGCTCCTGCGCTTTGAACGTGTTCCATTCGCTTGATTCGTTTATGTCTGGGCGATCCTTCATAGCTTGCAGAGGAACCTTGAAGGTTTCTAGAACGCCCCAACATCACATATCTTTACCCTAGTATTTATACACTTCTCATGGGTAGGACGTGGCAAGAATACCCTGACGAGAACGTGCTAGATGCAAGGGTTGATAGATATTCGGAAGCAGGGCAGCCTCATCCTTCGAAATACATGGGTACAAACTTGACATAGAGGCAAATGACCAGATTGAATCTTCACTTTGACGGGGACTCCGGAGTCTGGAGTAATACGATCATCACCAGCGGCGCTGGCGCTAATTCCAGTGGGCCGAGTGGCTTTGGAGATCATGATAAGGGGATCGACGCTTGCGTGTCGTGTACATCTAGCGTTCGCGAGAAGGTTGAGCTGATGGAAGAGGCTCTTGGGGGAATGGTAAAGTTTAAGTTGTTTTTATTGGCAGGGACTCCTATGGGCTGAACGCAATATCCTTCGAGAAAGCCTAAACTGGCATGTAATATGCAATGGTGTAATGGAATCAAGTCCCGCATGGTGTGATTGCTCCAAGCTGTCACAGGATAGAGGCGGAAATAGAATAAATTCGGAAAATATAGCATTCAAATTGGCCATCCGGAGCTGTCCCGCCACGCGAATGGTCCCATAATGTTCTTTTTAACAGTTTGTGCTTGCAGGGTTGAAAACACGGTCATAGCGAAATAGGATGGTTTGTTGATTTGTAGGATCCAGACTTATCCGATATCTCCCGCAAGCCAGTGGCATGCAGATGTCACGGCAATTGGATTCGTGAAGGGGCTCACAAGCCATGGGGGGCTGAAAGGGTATATATATAGGTATGTATGTTGATGGACTGATGCCATGGAAAGAGAGGAACAGATCCAGCGCATCCACATCTTCTTTTATCGATCAAGCTGAAAAACGCAAGCATCTGTCATTCATCACAATGGCTTTCATTGCCCTTGCCCTCGTCTGCGTTCTGCTTTATATCATTTTTGTTCTCATCTCCCACAACCAAGGCCAGAAGAGTCTATCTCACGAAGGGTTCCTCCAGCAGGTTACTCATCTGCTCCAAAGTATCGGTCAGCAAAAGACGCCTCAGGGCTCAAAGATCTTGAAAAGGTACGCCCTGATATATAAACTTACATGATAGGTACCGTTGAGAGCACCCCGCTAATCAACACCTTTTTTGAGTATAGAAAAGAGCTTGAAGACACGTTTGGCCCGACGACATGGCAGAGAGAGTCGTATGATGCCTTCCAAGCTGCTGTCTGTTCAACAGACCCCGTGGCTTTCCCCTGTGTATATGCTACCAAGGGCTTCAAGGCAAAGGAGCATCGATACATCTTCCTGGATTCCGAAGACATGAACAACAAGAAGAACATTTCCACCTTGGCCACTGCTCTCAAGGAATACCTCACCACCCCACACTCAGCACTAGGCCCCAACACCAGCCTGGTTGTTCTTTTCCCTATTGCCAACTCCCAGCTGTCGCCTCGAGAATACCATCAGAAATACTGGGACTGTCTCCGTGCGCTAAGAAAAGTCGACACGAAGCCATGGCCAGCAAACATTCCAACAGACACAGATACCCCGCTGTGGAAATTTTGCTTTAACGGCGAGCCTGTGTTCAGCGCAGCTATGACACCTTCTCACGAGAAGCGACGATCGCGATATGCACCTTGTTTCTGCATTGTGTTCCAGCCTAACTTCGTGTTTGACATTCTCTTCGCCACAGAATTGAAGAAGAAAGCGGCTATCTCAAAGGTTCGAGGGCTGCTGGCAGACTTCGATGAGGTGCCCATTAGTCCGGAGTTGAAAAACTATGGAGATGTGACTGGCCGGGAGAGCAAGCAATATTTCATCATGGATGAAAACCAATCATCTCCACCGTGCCCTTACACATCCCTTGATGTCTAATTTGATTTTAGAGGAAGTCGTGTTAGATTTGAGAGTCGGTACATAGGCGGCAGACTGTTGACCATCAAAAAAAACCATATAGATTATTTCAAGGGTAATAGAAATAAAAGTCAGGCGAGAGCCTATTGTTTTCTTATCTTCTCCTCTGTTCTCTAAGGGAATTGGGGTATGGCATGGCTCTCCTGTTGATCTAACAGCCACCCTAGTCATTGGACGTCACACCACTGCCCGGGTTGGGTATCAATTGCTGAAGAAAAGGAGGGGAAATTTTTGATTAGGGTAATCGTTTTGATAGCTGTCTCAGACTTGGAAATGGCCCAACTTTTGAGAGGCCCAAAGGAAGTTTCCAATAGAAGCACGGCGATTGGTAGGAGATATATCAAGATGGCTAGCACCATCCATGGAAACCGTGAGTGGAGCAAAAGACGGCAGAGGGAAAAAACCTTCTAAGGGCGCCTAAATTCCCGGGTTCCACGTGACTGACATATCAATTGTCTTGATGGGCGTTGGTCATTTTAAACGTCGAATGTTTGCGTTATTATTATTAAACACAAATGCAGACTCCGTTGGAGCCGTCGAGGCCTCTGGCCCTTCTCCGTACGACTCGAGCACACTACAGGCCATGCTGCACAACAGCCGACTGGTTAAACGGATGCATGACACCTTTGCTTTTGGTCGTTGCTCTCGAAGTCGTTCCACAACGACGCCTAAAGGGCCGATGAATAAACACCAAAAACAAAGTCATGGAGCGGAGTAGAGCCGAGATTGAGACCAGGTTCGGCGAAGACGCCTTGGGTCGCAACTTGGCGGTGACTGATGGGGATACAGAGTGCAGACTCGCAGGCGTTTCATGCTGTACGGCTGACATGCAGCTCGTCACCAAAGGGGTAGCACGCCGATTATCAACTTGGAAAACAGGCCACAAAGGGACTCGGCTATCAAATCGGAATAAGCATGTACGAGAAGACGAGAAGAGGGATATGCAAGCGAAAAGAAAAGGTGGTCACCAGGGTTGAAGTCTCCTGTCTTAGCTTGATATTTCATCAGCCACATCAGTGACAACCAGGCGCCAAGGGCTGAGAGGCCAGGCCGGGATCTCCTAACGGAGTACACTCGTCAGTCTTCCCCGTAGCATCCATACGGAAGAATAAGCATTCCCATATCTCTTTTTCTCTGCTGGCGACCAGCACCCTCTCGACGCCATTATAGAATCCCCTATCATCCGGTCATCTCAGCTTGTCCCGTCGTCGTCGTCGTCGTCGTCGTCGTCTTCGGCCTTTTTTTATCTTGCTTTTTAGTGGCGGAAATTGTCAACAACGCCGAGTGACGCTATCCCCTTTTAGGCTTAGCAGTTGTCTTTTTTTGCTGTAGGGCTACGATGACTCAGCGACTTTGTGATTAAGTAAGCTGCCGTGCTTTGTATTTTTATTTTTTCTCTCACTCGTTCCTTTTCACCTTTTTTTGCCGACCGCCACAAGTGCAGAACTTGCAGCAACACCACCTCAACCACCGCTAGCACCACCACGACCAACAACAACAATAACCAACAGCCACCGCCTCAGAACCAACCCAACTTCGGAAGTAAGCCTGTCACCGTCGCAGCGAGACAGGATAGCTTCAGTTAGCGGATTTCGCGGACAGAAGCTAGTGATCGCCGTCGAGGGGCGTTGTTCGACTCTTTCTCTACTGTGTTCATCGGGACAGTGAGTGACAGCGGTAGGGAGACCAGCAGCCAGACGCACGCTCTTCCCGCCGTCCCGCTCCTACGCAGTGACTCTGGAGCCTCGACGCTCCCATTCTGAATATTCCGGCAAGTTGGCGGGGCTTAACTACACTCAGAACTCCTTCCTCCACCCTCTCTTGGGCCCCAAGTTCCGGGTCTTCGTCGGGGGAGACATTCGACCTCCATAACTTGACTCCCGCAAATATATGGCAATACGCGAAGCAATACACGTTGATCACGCGCAGCCAGCCCTTTCTCGAGGGCTAGGCTGGACCGGACTATCCAACTGAACAAGAGTGGCCGTTTTCTCGCTGGAGAGAAAGGGGTTGCTTCATTTGGTTTAAGCTTATCAAAAATCTCACATTGTCGTTCAAGACCGCAAAGTGAGCGCTACCCTGCGCGCGTTCACTCTACCACGCTAGGATTACAAAGGCAACGCATACCCTGTAATATTCTTCCTGCAATTGGGCAACGTTGAGAACAAGAATAAACACACAAAAAGGGGAAGGGGTTCCAGAACAACGATCTATAACAAAACCCAAAAATAAAGATAAAAAAGGACAAGGACACAATGAGTGATTCACCAAAGTCGGACAAGGGTGAGACCAGATTCCGCACACCCGCCCCAGAGTTGGACGACCACCGGTTCCAGGCCGAAAGTCTTCCTAGAGCGGATATCATGGAGAATCCCGCTGCACGGGGCTCTCTTGAAACTCGTGACCGGCCCGATCTCCTGCCGGTCAGCGGCAACACAATCCAAGAAAGAGCCCCGATATGCATAGATTTTGAGCATGCAGTTATCGATGATGACGAGGATGAAAACCTAGACAGGTTTGGAGTTAGGAGGGTTTCTGTGAACCAATGGGAGCCCGTCTTAGCCCAATGATGTCCGCAGGCCTTCAGTGACATCTTCGCACACCTCTGTCTCAACTCTCCCCCAAACTCGGTCGGAGGCCTTTGCTGAGCCTCGTCGACGTGCAACGGGCAAACACAATGGAGAGCCAAATGCCTGGAGAGCGGGAACTCAACCTTCATCGCACCATATCTGCTACCTCTCATCACCACAAGCCAGCCTTTAGCAATGCCAGCGTGGTTCATCCCGGCAGCGTGGATATCCGCGTCAACCCAACGGAGGAGGCAGACGTATGCTTCCCACCCCCACCGTTCGAAGATACAGGTCGCTCGCCAATAATCGATTATGAGGAGCTTGAGGAGTTCGTTGCCCTTAGCAAGGCTAAGGCAGGTAATCTTTCAGTGCAGCACGCAGCTCAACGCAAGCATAGCATCAGCGCTCAGAGCAGGCAAACTCTCAACTTCACGGGCATCCGGAAGGGGAACAGCAATGTCGATGTCCCTGACATTGTAATGACACCTTGTGCCCCTGAGAAGTCAAACAACACCATTCACCTACCCGTAGATAGTGCCAAGGATTCCGGCTCGGACGAACCAGACGACGAAAAGGCCGGCCTTGAGGCTATGAAGAATACTAACGGCCCACAGCGCTTCAGCTTCTTTTCCTCTGAGTTTGAAAGCACAGTCCACGCTGCTTCAATTGGAGATCTTGTCCTTCCAGGCGATTCTTTCCGGGATCTTTTCCAGCTTGGCCTCGAGGGAGGTGTTTGGTGGCTTGATGTTGTCAACCCGACCAGTGACGAGATGGGTGCCATTTCTCGAGCTTTCTCTATTCATCCCCTGACTGCAGAGGATATAATGACCCAGGAAGCCCGTGAAAAAGTCGAGCTGTTCCGTCAATATTACTTTGTTTGTTTCCGGACGTTTTACCAGGTGGATAAGACCAGTGAAGACTATTTAGAGCCTGTTAATTTATACATGGTGGTGTTCCGGGAGGGCGTTATTTCTTTTAGCTTTACTGATAACCCTCATGCGGCGAACGTGAGGAAGCGCATTGGCAAACTGCGTGAATATGTCTCTCTCAGCAGTGATTGGATTTGCTATGCCATGATGTAAGTTCTGGTGATTTTCTCTGTCTACTCTTTAAATTCATCTAACTAACAATTACACAAACAGTGATGATATTGTTGATAGCTTTGGCCCGGTCATCCGTGAAATCGAGGCTGAATCCGAAGCTATTGAAGATGACGTCTACGTCGCCCGAATTGAGGATTTCAATCTTTTCCTCCCAAAGATTGGCGGTCTGCGCAAGAAAGTCATGAGTCTTATGCGCCTTCTTGGTGGCAAAGCAGACGTTATCAAAGGTTTCGCCAAGCGTTGCAACGAGCAATACTCTGTCACACCTCGCGGCGATATCGGACTTTACCTTGGCGATATCCAAGATCACGTTGTCACCATGATGTCTAATTTGGGCCACTTTGAAAAGATGCTCAGCCGTTCTCATGGCAACTACCTGGCCCAGGTCAACGTCACAAATATCATGGTGGGCAACAGGGTCAACGAGGTGCTCAGCAAGATTACTTTCTTGGCCAGTATCCTTGTTCCAATGAACTTAATCTGCGGTCTTTTCGGCATGAACGTGCATGTCCCCGGCCAGAACGATGATAATCTCCACTGGTTCTTTGGTATCGTCGGGATCATTGTTCTCATATCCATCGTCAGCTTGACTTTTGCTCGCCGATATAAGCTGGTGTAAATAAATGCACAATTGAGTGTGTGCCGTTGTTGAATTTACGGCCCTTCGCTTCTTTCCTCTTGACGGCCGCCTGGACGCACGCCAATACAATATCAGCGGGCATGCCTGCAAATACAGAAAATTAATATTGATTCTATTGCTGCTTTGGTCCAGTTCTGTGTTAACCCCCTCTTTTTTTGTTGATACTTGCAGTTTCTTGTTGATATTTGGTTGTAATTGTTTTTACTTTGGATTTTCGATAACTCAAGGAGATTTTGGCGTTGTGTTAATCTTTCTCTAGTTCCTTAAAAGTTTCTATCACTGTAATATTACCATTAATCCGTACATACTCTACGGTTCCTCATGATTCTCGTCTCCAGCCTTTTTTTATATCACAAGGTTTTCTAGTGGTTGAAGATTACATAATCCCGCGGTTCCTTATCCAGTTATCCTGGCAACGTCTTTAAGCACAGCAGGAAAGACGTTGGACAGTTTGCATCGGTCTTGAGCAAGGACAATGACTAGAGAGACGATGATATAATGAAAACCCGTCAGGAGAAGATCTCGCGCTTTCAGTATTCTTCAACTGTTTACACTCTCCTGGATTATTCTGCAGCATCGATGGTCACTTTCGCCTTGTTTTCCTGATAATTCGGTGCCTATAGACGGATAACCACATTCGAAGGAACCGCCTGCTCCCTTTTACCCACTCGTTTAGCGATACGTTCATACCGGCGTGCCGATGCCTTGGCCGAAGCTCACTCCTCTCCAATCCCGCTTCGCCGCCTCCCTCGCTGCCACCATCCTCCTTATAATACTCTACTTTGCCCTCTCCAACCCACACCTTGCATACGCAACCGACGTCGATGCTCTAATATTAGAAAGACATGGCCCCCCGGATTTAATACTTATAGATACCCATGAGCAAATTTCCGTACAACGACTTGACGCTGAAGATGGTGTTGATATTGAGCGTAGGGCGGCACCTGGAACAGAGGCTCTAGCAAACAATGTTGCCAAGTTGAAGAACATAAAGATTGGAGAAACACAGTATTGGGTATTTCCCAAGGAGGCAGTACATGGTCCCAAATCTCCGCCTACACCGGGCTTGCCGTCCGATATAAGCGTTATCCTGAGTGGAGGTACGACAACTCCAAATAACAACTCGGGAGATTCCGAGGACTCAGATGATACGGATAATAAACTCGAATTGGGCAGCAGGGATACAAAATTATCTCGTCGTTCTGTTTCCGTATATATCACTGCCAACACTTGCCTTCAACCAGCACTTAATGCCACCCGTGCCGCTAAAGATGCCGGGCCCCCTCAGTTGGAACTGTACGTGTCTACGAGCAAGACGTTTGACAGACCTGGTCCACAGTACAAGGACAACTCTGCTGTTACACACAAACCCTTTGACGGAGGCTATGTTGCTGTAAATCCTAACACAGACGGAGACGTATACATTGCCGTTTCCGCTCCAAGCAGCACCCGGTACTCAGGGATATATAATTACGAAATAGCAGCCTCCATTGACGCTCCGTTCCATGGACTTGAGAATAGGACTTCTTTTCTCTACTTTGTTGATGGGGATAGTGATGCTGCTCTTCTCCAAACAAATGATACGACACGTGAACCACCAGAGTCTGAAATATATAAACAGTGGCTTGCCCTCGATCCACCTCCTTTTACGCTATTTGCACATAATATGAATGATTCAGCCATTTTGGGCCTTCAACATTCATTTTGTGGTCTGCAAAATAATGCACAAATAAGCAAAAAGCAGAAAAGCTTGGATGTTGGTATGACTGCTCGTGGTATGGACCATAAACCCAAGCAGCAGATCTATGCTCAGGGACTCAATCGCAGCTCTGTTTACTATGGATTTTTGGCCATGGAAGGAAATTCAACTAACTACGGGAACAAAGTGGTTGGAGGTGGAGGAAAGGTGTGGAAAGCAATGAATTTCACAACAAAAACAGGTAGGCTAGAGGCCAACCCCATTGAGCGACCAAGTTACTTTTAGCTAACCTGTGATTTGGAAAGAAAACAATTGCGCTATAATATATAATCTGAAGTTCTGCTCAGAAGTTGCCTATGCAGTCCCATCGAGCCCTGACCTCAGCGTTACTCAACTCAGCGAAATTTATGACACACAAGCCAAGCAGTTATTCCAAAATTTCAGCTATTCTCTTCAGCAAGTATCCTGCAATGCTCCTGCAACCGAGCAGTACTCTCTTGCAACGAACTGCACTCAGTGCGCAGGTGCCTACAAACAATGGCTTTGCGCCGTCACTATACCCAGATGTCAAGACTTTTCCAGCGACCTTCCATTTCTTCGTCCAAGAAATACTGGCCAACAGTTTCTCAACGGCACTGTGCTACCAGACGACTACTCAGGCCGACTGAATGTATTAACCAACTCTTCTCGAAACCCGCTTATCGACAGCAAAATAAAACCAGGGCCTTATAAAGAGGTTCTTCCCTGCCAGGACTTATGTCATTCATTAGTTCGAAGCTGTCCTGCGTCATTTGGATTCGGATGCCCCACAGGCCAATGGCTGAACTACTCCTATGGGCAACGAAGTGCCAATGGAGACATTACCTGCAGCTATCTTGGGGCCGCATACTTTTTGAATTCGGGCTGGAAGTCCATGGATGGAATGAAGTTTATCTTTTCCTTTACACTCGTATTTTGGGGGCTTGTCTGGGGATTTTTGCACTGGGACTGATCTGAAACAACCGACTAGAGCGGAAAGTGATCGGACAATCGCCACCCTTGTTTCAAAACAAAGCCAAGCGAGGTGAACAGCTATCGTACGCTCTTAAATATGAAACAACTCTCAATTTGGCCTTAAGATCGATGTCTGGTCTATATTCAAATCATGCACTGAAAATAGATTAAGGGCGGTCTGGCAGGAAACTGCAGGTCAATGCTCATAATTAAGGACAACACGAAGAATCGTTCATGTATTGTTGCGTTATGACCCCCAGGACGGAAGAAGCATACATATCTCGGGAATTTGCAATACACAGGACAGGGCAGATCCAGTTTCATGTCTTTGTGTCCCAATTACGCAGCCTTGTTCCCTGCGGCGCTGCAATATAGTATATATACATTCATACCCCACGAGATCCAGGACATCTCGACCGTCCAAGGAAAAAAAAATAGATTCATGTGAGAGAAAAGATTCTCCGCACAGGGTCGGGGGTCGGGGGTCAAGGTCCTTTGGAATAATTTGAGAGCTTTCTGGGGAGGCATGGGTTTTAGTCTTTGATAGCAAGGTGCAAGGAGTTTGGTAATATATTTAGCTGCCCAGTAGTATGAGAATTCTACAGGGCTATGACTTAATAATTTAGGTAATAGAAAGCCCAAGTATCTAATGGAATCGTCTTTGCAAGTTCGTGAATCTATAGTAATCGTAATATTTACAAGGGGTCCGCTGTCGGGATATGGAGATAGTCGGTCCACCACTACTTGGCCCTTTTGGGAGTAGGTGTCCACATATTCTTCCCGCTCGTTGAATTTGATATCACAGCTCTTTTGGGAGTGCCATTGCCCACTTGGGCCCAGAGCCTCTGGGCGGCAGGGGTAAGGGCCGCTCGGCTCATCGGAGGAGTTTTGGAAATTGACGATCTATCGCCCGATTTCCCAAAGGCAATCATGGGGCTACTTGGGAACATTGGGACAGGGGTCTTTGTCTCTTTGATCGCCTTTTCTCTTCTATTATTCTTCGCCACTCGGTCCACCATACGGTGAAGCAGCAGTTCTCGCTTGCCGCTCTCTTTGAGCTTGAACGGGTTCGGCGTCGAGTCAGACGCTTGGCTTTCAAGGAGCTTGAGATGATATGCTTCCTCGTCCTCGTCAGCATGTGGCGCAGAGCGTGGCTCATGTTCAGGTTCGTCTTCGTCAACAAAGGAGTACCCGTTTACACGAGGAGTTTCACCGCCGGTATACCCTGGCTCCGAGTCAGTAGGTCTAGGCTTTCCGGCGATTGCGTCACGAACCGCAGATAAGGAAGGTGATGGCGGAACACTTGTGTATTGTTCCCCGTCATTATTTTCCATCTGCGGTCTTAGACGGGTGTTGTGATAGAGGACTTGCTTCTCTCCCATTCGGGATGTAGCTTCTTGCTTCTGCTGAACTGTTTCCACGTCGTCTTCTACCGATGAAGGAACAAACATCAAGGAATTCTCGGGTTTCGATTTCCATCCATCTGGTCTCGCCGGACGGTTATCCGCTGTAGTCTTGGTGTCTGATAGCTTCATAAGTTGTTTCTCCTTGCTTCCGTCTGGCGCGGCCTGCGCTTCCAGCCTTTTAGCTTCCCGCTTTTTATGCACTAGCTCCCTACCAGAGGGTATCGTATTTCCACTCCATAGCCAGGCGTATTTCTCTCTCTTCTTCTCATTTTGTTTATCGAGTAATTTGTTGAATGATTCGTTGTCTTCGCTGGTATATTTCTGCTGAAAAGACCCTAATCCCATGTTTCGAATTTTCGATGAGATCTCGCGTCCTGCTGAGCTTGTCGCAACCGATGCCATGCTGCCGGGTGTAGCACACGACATCGGTGTATCTCCTTTCCAGCCTCTGGGCGTGTTCTTGTCCATAGCCGGGGTCCTGTGGGGAGTATCCGTATTCGGCAAGCTGGGAGTCCTTCCGCGATGTGGTGTCATGGATGTCCCAGCATATCTCCTCTGCGAACCCGGTGTCATTAGTTGAGCCATTCTCCTCCCCGCTGTGGCAATCCATTCTTTATCCTTGGACTCAAGGGCGTCAAGGTAATCTTGCTGAGCTTGGGTTTCGAGCAGCCCAGGGAAGAAGTCTCGGGCGACAATATGAGAAAGGGCATCAGTATAATCGTCTTCGTCCAGAGCTACTGGTGGTCGTTTTATTCTTTTGGCTGGCGGAGGAGGGGGCATCAGTTGAGTATCTGATGATCGTTTCGCAACTGCTTGCGACGAGGAGGAGGCCATGACTGCAGCTAATATCTTGAAAGTGCTGTCACAGGCCGTTGGTTATCTGCAGAGAGGTCATTAAAGCGAGCCTGCAACTCGAAGAACTCACTTTTGCCCTATGACGGCGTTTTCCTTTACGTATCACGTGAATCACGGAGAATAGTAACGGCGAGCGGTCAGTTTAAAGTTATTAGTCATGCTATTAAGGTTTAGCTTTAAGCTTTAAAGTTGTGCATAAAAATAAAATAATGACTTTGGGAGAGTTTGTTTTGTTGTTCAACCTGTGTTATTGTATTCTACATCCTAGTAGTCTGTAAAGTACTCCGCACAGTATAGAAGTAGATGTTATACGACCGAAAGAAGATAAAGAAGCAAATAATTTAAATAGGAGTAAATTAATCAATTCGCAAAAGAGTGACACACTCCGAATAATAACTCGCAAGATTTCCACCGCGCCGTTACCACCGACGGCCATGCGAATGCTCACACCCTTAGATGCCAGCCGAATGAGAAGCCCCATTCCCCAAAACCATAACAATGAAGAAATTAACAAACGTTGGGGCTGAGATAAAACGAAAAAACAGGAGATGGAAAGGGAAGTTTTTTGCGCACCGTCCCGCAGTCTATTATAGATCCCCCCCATAATGAAAGCAAGGAAAGCGGGTAGGGGAGCGGAAGACCTAAGTTGGAGTGTTGCAAGATGCTTGCCAAAAGA